TTCTATCCTCCTGAATATAACGAAGAATTAATATATATTATTTTTATCTAGTCCAGAATTAAAAATGAAATTTAATTAATATTTATACCACTTTTCATTACTTTCTTCAAATAGTAAAACAAAACATCTGAAATCAGACATGAAAATGCTGAAAGGGTGAAATTGAGAAAATGATAATTCTTATCAAGTTTTTTCTTGAGAAAGTTAAAATTAGAGAGAGAGGAAGAGTGATTCCACATGTTGGGACGAACATACCTTTAATTGTGATAAAAGATCTTTCTTTTCCGATGAAGAAATTGTGGCAGATTTAATATATTTATGCACAGCATGATTCAGTATGGTTGACAAAGTGCCTGCATCACTCATCTGGAAGATTTTTATGAAAAGCATTTCAAAATGAAACAAGATCAGACAATATCATACACACAAATCAATAGCAATCCTCAGACATTAGTAAAGTTGCTATATGGTAATATAATAGTTTGGTTATTGAAAAATTATCATCTTTATCAATTTTTTTCATCAAAGCATGTGCTGACACCTACATAGTATTGCTGCGAAAAATAACAAAGATCCTAGGAATTTACAACTGAGTTATATTTAACTAGGTTGAATCCTTTATTCAGGAATATCAAAAACTACCGTAGGTAAAATATCACATACATGATTTTATTCAATGTACATATTACAACAATTTGAACAAAAATTTTTAAATATATATTATATAAATTCACAAGATGAGCTTCTACTCATATTTCCCTTCTTGTTTGACTGTTATTTTAACTTCATATACAATTCTATTGGCAAGATGACAAACCTCTGCATCATCAATATCTCCTGTGCCATTAACTTTCCTTGAATTGTTGTCTATTCTAAACACGTTTCCGAATCCATTCATTGATTTAGGTGACGTCATGGCAGATCCACCAACGCTCTTAACATAAAAAGTTGATCGATTTCACAGTAGAACAGGAAAATAATGTTTATACATTTCGAAACGTAAATGCAATGTTACTTTCGATAAAAAAAAACGTTCTCGATATCAATGTAGAAAAAAGAAATATAAGTTATATAAGAAATATTAAAGTCAAAATATTTAAATAAATTGGCAACGAAAATATTTTGGATATAATATGAGAATAAACATATACCGACTATAGTAAAATTTAAAAAATTCCAGGTAAAAACTCAATTGATATAAAACTAACTTCTAGCAACCATTAATAGAATTCACGAATTATCCCATTAATTTTAACTTATTAATACTCAATATTCACCAAAAATTATTTCATCCCAATCACAACAAAAATCTGAACAATTTCTCAATTGCCAAAAAAATTTCAATTTGAACTTTTCTTAATTTGACATGTATTATAATTCCTGAATGTTAAATATTTGAGATATTGAAAATAACCATAAATTTGTGGATAAAGCTGAAAAGCATAAGCAGTCCATTTTGTTGAATATGATTGCCATTTTCTTTAAAGCAATATGATATATACCAAATAGAGGATCGAAATTTTAAGAATAATAATTGAATGTGGTATGGTTCATTTCTGATAATGCAAATATAGCAATAGTGAAAGCAATTCTTTGTGATATCGAGAATTATAGAAAAGTGTTAGCAAAATTGACACACGCACATATCAACAAGGATTGACAGAAAACCTAATAATATTGATCATATGAAAATGGTGATCTTTTTCAAATATAATCACATCACAGAGATATTCACAAAATTTGGCTCTATCAACAAAAAAGTTATAGCAATCTAACGAATTAATCTGCAATTAAAAAAGTTTTACCAGTGGTCTGTTTGAAAGTTCATCTTGTCCCGGGAGAGCACCGTTAGTTTCTCTTGCAAAACCGGGAGAGGTGGCTTTATTAGGAATTGTGATTGACATTCCTGCAAGATCTCTAGCATCGATTCCAAGTGATGTTAATGGAATACTCTGAGCAGGAAGATAATTGATCTTTCATAGAAAACAAGATAACTTTAATAATACTAAAAATGTGAAGTTATATATTAAAGAATTCAAAGATTGTGATATGTGTAGTGTATATAAGCACAGATATGAAATAACCTAACTAAAATAGATAAGGAGAACAAATTTACACTTTGTATCAAACAAATAAAATCTACATATATGGATTTTCAGATCACAATTAGTATATTATTAAGCGCATATTTTACGACTTGGGCTATTTTCAAGATAACTAAAGATGCAAAATCTTGTAAAAAAAATAACTGCTTGGGATAGAGATAGAATGAATTCAATTTTTCATCTGGTATAAGGAAATGTGAACTAGTTAATTTAATAAATTGGCAAATTGCAACTGTTATAGGTTGAGATTGGACTGTAAAATCAGCTACCAACTTCAGCATTATATATGAAAATGGCCGAGAAAGAAAGATAACATATAAAATAACAGAGTTCGTGCTGTTTTTATCATGATCAAGAATCCAATTCAACAGTTGCTAATCGTGACAACGAATGGATTCTTGTGCCTTTTCTAATAATTCATAACAAATGTGAAGCATAAAAATTTTAAAATATTGTTCAAAGAAACATACACTTGTTCCTCGAAATATAGCAGGCCGAGTAACCCATTCTTGAAGTGCTTTTTGTAATCTTCTAACATGCAATGGTTTGCAAGCCATTCCAACCAACGCCATAATTTCAAGAAATTCTTCTTCTCCAGCTTCACAAAGTTGCTGCACATCATCGCCACCTAGATTTGTGGTCGATAATAATTAGTTGAAATACAAAAGCACTTTTCACAAAATCGAATTCCATTTATATGTTCATTGTGGTTTTGCAATCATGATGAATCTACAGCGATAAATTTAATTGTTAATATTGGAAAGATAAAGTTGGGTCTAGTATAGTTTAGTACCACAAGTAGTTCCAGTGGGCAATCCTAACCCCCACTTGACTACGTCACCGAAAAATTACGTCATTCCGACGTCACAGTGGCGTAATAAGGCCCACCGAAGTATGCGGATGGTCGTCCAAAACGCGCAGACGATAACCCCGAAATCGAGCAAGCTATTTCTCTCGTTTTCTCGTCGCAACGATCACGATAGGAGAGAGATCGCCGGCTTTAGCAAGTTCTTATCGGCGGCGCAGATGCCATTTCGGGCGATCGTAATCATACTTTGGCAATCCCTATGACATGATGGTGACGCAGTAGTGATGTAATTTTTGGATGGCATAGTCAGGTGAGGGTTAGGAATAACATATGCAAAAATCGTTATGCTACGCCCACTGGAAGTACTTGTGGTACTAAACTATACGGGTCTCGTGTAATTTTTGGATGGCATAGTCAGGTGGGGGTTAGGATTGATATGTCAAAAAATCGTGATGCTACGCCCACTAGAAGTATGTTAGGTAGGAAACTACGGGAGACCAAACTATACTAGACCCGGATTGACATATGCAAAAATAATTGAGCCAGGCCAACTAGAAGTGCATGCGGAACTAAACTAGTCTATACCAGACCCCAAAAGTTGACTGTAAGCATAAAAATTAAAAATAATCTTCATTATAAAAAAAGTTGGAAGCTCGGGTGGGTCCGGCGAACTTATTTCAAGCGCAGCATGTCTGCATGTAGGGAATATTTTAGACTATATTTGTATATTGTGAGAATTGTAGGTTTAACATTAGTAGTAGGTGATTTTATAATGCAGTACAGTCCGACAGTACGGTACGGTACCTGCAGTAATGCAAGTTGTTCGCAAACTGGGCAAATACATGACAAACTTTTAAATATAGAACAGCCTGGCAAAAGTTGATGAATTGTATATTCACTTACCTTGTGAAATAAATGTTTCGTAATAGGATAACAGGTTCGCTCGCTGCAACACTTTGAACAATTGCAACTCTCCTAGCGTCGAAGGCTTTGTAGTACTCATGATTACAAAGCCTGTGGAACTACGCAGTCAAATCGGCAACCTACTACCTCAAGTTAAACTTCCTGGTTTGTGGATGTTTGAATGGAAAGTTAAGATAAATAGAGCGAATGCAAAACCATCGGAATCCCTCGAAGCGCGACTGAACGCACAACTAAACTGCGTCGCATCTTTGATCGGATGAGACATCTCGGATCGATCAAGAGAAGAAGGGAATCACAGAGAAAAGTCGGCGTCAAAACAACCCGCGTGGGTCCTCGATGCGATCGCAAAACATTTGACAGATAGAAAGAAAGACAACTTTTAAATTAGATCGCCCATTGATAAGAAATGAAATTGTAAAGTAATCGGTTTTAAAAATTAGTCTGAAACTGTAAAATAGCTTAATAGAGTGATGGTTTTGAAGTGCGATCTGTAACATGAAAAAAAAATTAACGAGAGATGGCAGGCAAGAGCCAAAACCATGGTCACAACTTCAGAACTTCCATCACTCTGCGTTGTTTGGCTTGGAGTTTCAAGTGGTTTCCTGGGATCGTCGAGGTAAGTAATTCCGCTTATTAACTACATAGCTTTGTTAAAGGATCTTGGTAATTATTTTAATGGGTCGTAGGCTAGTTCTTGCTTAGCCTGAACAAGGATTAAGATATTTATTTGAACCGCTCCTATGGCTGTATCGAAAATCTCAATAATACTGTCTGACTGTAATATAAATACTGAAATATGGAAATGGGTGAAGTTATATTATCAACTTCTGATTGTATCTCAGCATGTCTATAGCTCCTGAATCAGTTTGATTTTATTCTCCTGAGAATCATTATATACAGTTAATTACCTACCTCAATAACCTGATAATGTTATACCGGTAACGCACGTGCTGATTTTATTATACTTTAATTTGTGCTATTTGTACTGCCTTGTCTTCTTCGGTTCTTATTCATTTTCTATATTGAGCTCGGTTTCGATATTGTGGTAGGCCTAGATCACAGCGCAGTATAGAATAGGGTGGTATAGCCAGTCTGCGGACGATTTCATTCAAACGGCTATAAAACAAAAAACAATATTTCTAACCTGTTAATTTTTCCACCGTAGGTGCATTGGCATGTATTCTACACGCTAAACCTCGAATTAACTTTCTACGACCAGGGGTTAAGCTATACAAAGCTTAATTCTTCTTAATTTCTTCATCGGAAAAGAAAGATCTTTTATCACAATTAAAGGTATGTTCGTCCCAACATGTGGAATCACTCTTTCTCCCTCTCTCTGTATATATAAGCTATACGCAGCCATGCGTGAAAAAATTAGGCTTCTAATTGCATTTCTGACCGTCATATATTTTAAGAACACGGTCATTTCGAACAAAACTTGTCAAATTATATACAAAGCAATCAAACAGACAAAAACACGGTGGTCGCAAATTGGTCTACAAAGATGTTATCGACGTATTGGAAATGCGCACCCCCCTATTCCCCCTCCTTTAAATGTAGAAACGCGAAAAATTAAAGATGGGTAGAAGAAACACAACTCTACCCCCTTGCCAAGTTTCATCTTTTTATCTCCTATATTTGTATGGATTTTCAAGTTTTTTCAATGGGAAAATGGGTAGTTGGCAACATGAAAAAATAGTCCGTTTTTTTTCTTCGGTCAGGTTTTCGGTCGTAACTTTTTTGTTTGTGGCCGCATTTTAGTGTAATTTCGCAGAGCTGTGAGGGACAAGAGGACGATCACGCGTGAGAAATATCGTTGCGGTTCGCTAATTTTTTCGACATTAATTAGATCGATGAAGTTGATGGCCGCAAATAGGTCGTGGCCGCAAAGCGGGTAAGCCACCCTATAATGTAACCCATGTCCTCTAAACTCATAATTCTGCTATAAATTGTTGGATCATGGAACAAAATTTTCCTATAGTTATGTTGTCGCAACCAATTCTGACAGTTTATTTACAGCTTAAATGCAATGGCAAGGAGCCTTGATGATCTTCGACGGTCTTGCATACTGACCTGCACAAAACACAAAACAATGTGTGCTATGGCCAACTGGGTTGACCGTTGTCTACAATTCCAACTCTGCTAGTAATGGAAGTCATTAAGGAATTACGGATCGGTTGTTTTATGTCAAATCGCTTAGTACTAAAAAATTTTGAAATCACACAAGGGAAAAGGTACAACAGGCACAATGGTATTTGAAAGGGAATGAACCATTTTATAATGATATATTCAAAAATTCTTAGGCCATATCACACCCAGTAAAATTGTGATGTTACACTGCTGCCTTGGCCCGCTGTTATTCTGTAGGCAACACTTTAGTTTACAAGGCCGGATACAGGATATCATAATATTATCTGGATGTCAATTTTGCATCTAACTAAATCTTTACTTCGTTCATGTGATTCATAATACCATTGGCATGGGGTCGGGGATATGGGAATGGTCACATTGAGGGTGATAGAATTATGCACAGAGGTAAAGTTGCCATTTCTTTCCAACCCTCTACAATTGATTACTGACGATGAACTGTCTCATTTGTTATATAATATAATAAATATTAACCACTCGCCCAATAAAAAATGTATTAATGATCAAATTACATAAGGAATCATTAGCTGTATAACCATAGTATCGGTAAAGTAATCTTTGGTATGAGTCTTCAATTTGTGTGTGAATTGAAGACTGGTCAGCAAATGGGGCCGTACCGCTCTCCCAGTTTAAACAAACTGATTTACAGAATGTACTGCCAAGTATTAATCAAATTACTTGCCATAAAACCTGCTGTGTTCATTTTATTCAAGGGAATATCACCAATTTTACTTGGTGTACCAGAAAATACAAAAAATAGTTCGATAAGTGATGATAAAGGCCGCTGGAAATGATTCTAGAGAGAATATTCTCCATAATCAAACCATAGTTGCATGACATAATGATTTTAGAATAGCTAATGAATGCTTTACAATAAACAACATATAAAGGTTTTTAGGAAGTAGTGCCAAACACTTTGAATTTCAGCGAGGACCATTTTTATAAATAACCAGTAGCTATCAGCGAATGTTTATGGAAGACTGAATCGGTGTTTGTTATTCTGCTACCAACATGTATTGAATGAAAGGGTTAATATTTCCATAGTAATCTCAAACCATATATAAGCACATTTTCCATTTTTTCTTGATGGTTGGATTGCTTGAGCCAAGTTTCCATTTGCTGTAGTCTTTTGTTCTTTTCTTCACTGTAATGATATAATATTGATTTTAAGGTGATCATACAACATTATGCTGCCTATAATCCAAATAATGTCATCAATTACAAAATGCTTATGCCTTACTGTTAGGATTATCATTGTATCACTATATATCCCCAATATTGATTTGGTTTTGGATACAATACTGTGTCCAATTAATATAATTCTATTAACCGGTAATGAGAAATGCTCATCTCATAGTGTAGTTGTATTTACGTTAAGATTTTCATGGGTATACAATTTATTAACGGGATGTGCCAACTATAGGTTTCATGTGACTCAATATGATTCAAGGTATATTTTTAAATTTGCATTTTAAACATTTAATGACTATTTTTAAGAGGACAAAAATATTGTTTGGATTAATGAAATCTTTTTTTTCTGTGCCACATTCGAGAATATATGGTGTATAATATACAATTGAGTAATAAAAATGTGGAGGAATGTAATGTGGGAAGTAAAAAGACATACAGTAGCCTGATTATAAAATTAAATGTTAACATATATGTATTTAAATCCTCCTTTCTAATAGAAACTTGTGTATTTTTTAAACAATGCTCTGTATTTAATGTAACAGGAAAAAATGAAATATAAAGTTGAATTGGTGCTTCTGAAGTATGCGCACCAAGATGTCGCATAACCTGAACCCTGGTACGCAACATGAGTTCAGGTTGTGCGCCATCTTGGTGCGCATACTTCAGGAGGTCTGTTGAATTTATATAAACTTCGGGAAGATTTACTTTAAATGTAGCCCAAGTCATTGAATAGTTGTGTACTCATACATACCCCATTTGATTTTTTTTTTTTAAATTTCCCCCTTCTTTTATTTTTGTACACGAAAACAGAATGGCGTCCAAACAACCTGAGAGTATTATTTTAAATTAAAACCTATTTTTGGAAATATAAGTTATTTACAATAAACACCATAGTGCCGTTGAGTATGGTAAACCAATGATATTTCTATTTAGTGATCACACAGATTGTTTATGGTTTTGTAGTCACATTTATACATGCAATATAACCAATAAAACAATAATTTAATCTCGAATTTTCTCCTAACCAAATTAGACATCTTACGAAATTGTTAATAATAATAGATAGCAGTATGGTAATTTTGTATGCAATTAATATGGTAATATTATGTCTACATAACCACACACTTTCGCCATTATAATATATAGAATACCAGTAGACTATGTTCAAGTCTAGTTACACATCTGCACTCGATTAACAATATTACTTACAAATCTTCAAAAATTAAACTTTCTGTATATATGGCAGTCAGGGGCCTCATTCAAACCACAGTTAGGGAAGGTATATCATTTTTGTTATAACAATTATAAAATGCAAAAGTAGTATAATAAATGTATTCCAGTTTACGTACTATATCAATTAGCCTCTTAGGTTTTTTTTAGTGTGGCTTCTATCAGGTTTAGCGAATTAAAAGTATTTGTTTTATATATTTTTTGTTATATTATACTTGATTCTGTAACTTTGATTATGTGGTAATTATTATTAATTAATTATGTCATGGTAACCTCCCATTTTGATTTTATTGATTTGGTATATAAAAATTGTGATAAATATGCTCATTATTGTTTGGTATTCTAATTTGATATGTTGCTATTTTATATGCTTTTTCATAATCTCTTGTCGATATCTGCTAAATAAGTTAGTATCTCAGAAAGATTGAAAAAATTTTGGCAAAACTCTGGGTTTTGGAAATGTTTGTCTCCACCCTCTGGCTGTAAAAAAGTGCATTTTTAAAACTTTTAAAATTATTTCATCACCATTGAAAATCTGAAATTTCGACTCCAGGAGATTTGGAAGTAGAATTCAGACTCCAGTGATGGTGTTTGCTTTAGATCAGGGGTGCACAACTCAAATGAGAATATGTGCCAAATTTTTTTAAATATTCTTGTCGCGTGCCATGCACAATCGTTGGTATTGTAAATTACCTCCCGTAAAACAAAACACACATCAAGCAAATTCCAATAATAATTCATAAAAACGAATATCTATTTATTGAAACAATTTAATGTCCTGAAAAAACGCTGATTTTGATAGAAACGTGATATTTTAATGTATATCATAAATGCAATTTTTATTTTCACAAAACCATTCGCGTGCCACGTTTGAGCGTATGGCGTGCCAAATTTGGCACGCGTGCCCCGTGTTGTGCACCCCTGCTTTAGATCAACTTAATTTCATGGTAGTCTTTCAATCCGTCAGCATCAACCAGATATCAGAACGTTTGAAGTAACATCTTTGGTATTTTTATATCACAGATCAGGTGTAATTTAGCTTGGTAATTCTTATGTAATTCTGGGATATTTTTGAAGACTAACATGAGTTCATCAGAAGAGGTGTCATGGATATCATGGTTTTGTGGACTGAGGGGAAATGAGTTTTTTTGTGAAGTAGATGAGGATTACATACAGGATAAATTCAATTTAACTGGTCTAAATGAACAAGTTCCACATTATCGACAAGCACTTGATATGATCTTGGATTTGGAACCTGATGATGACTTGGAAGACAACCCAAACCAATCAGATCTTATAGAACAAGCTGCTGAAATGTTGTATGGTTTGATTCATGCAAGATATATCTTGACGAATCGTGGAATTGCACAGATGCTTGAAAAGTATCAACAAGGAGATTTTGGTCATTGTTCGAGAGTGTATTGTGAAAATCAGCCAATGTTGCCTATTGGACTATCAGATGTACCAGGCGAGGCTATGGTAAAGCTTTACTGCCCCAAGTGTTTAGATGTGTATACTCCGAAGTCCTCGCGCCATCACCACACAGATGGTGCCTACTTTGGAACAGGATTCCCACATATGCTTTTTATGGTTCACCCTGAATATCGTCCAAAGCGTCCAGTAAACCAATTCACACCCAGGCTCTTTGGCTTCAAGATTCACGCCATGGCTTATCAGTTGCAGTACCAAGCCGCACAGACTTTCAAAAACCCAACCAAACTTCGTCATTAATTTGTACATATTATGTCTCACAAACCCCTGTTTATTTGTATTATATGTCAAGTATGGTTTCCATGGTGTCATTGTTAACATCTGTATAGCCTTTAACTTTTCATGTCGCTTGTCACACAGTAATTTTCTATAAAATTTGATAGATAGAGCATGGTATGTCTGAACCCAGTGAGCCCCATTCGGCAGACATGAAAAAGTGGTTTTATTCAACGAGAGAATTACAGGTTGTACTATCACAATAATGAGAACACGCAGTAATGAATATTTTTTTTAACGGAATGAATTCTTGTATTGTGTTATGCTTACAATGTTGACAATTGTACTTTTTAAACTTTTCAATTCCGGATTAGCCTTCCTGCCTCAGATCAATTAACGTTAGGTGCACACCTGTATGTATTATGTTAATTTGTGGAATAATTACACCTTACAATGATAGCGATGTAATTTGTCAGTAATTGTCTGTGAATTATATATAAAATTATGATATGGCTATTTGAGTACTGTTCCTTTGTTGTTTAGCTACTAATATAAAGGTTTCATAAGGTAGCTCAAAATCTGTTCAATTTGTAATGTCAACTGCTTCACATTGTCATGTTGTCATTGCATCGGCTGGGAATGGTACACGCTTTCAATCTGTGATTCCAAAGCAGTTCCATAAGATCAAGGGTCAAGCGATCATCTCCCATACGGTTGAAAAGTTTGGAAGGTAAATTTCAATTTGAATGCATTGAGCACTATACTGGTTTATAGTAGCAAAGAAAACAATTGTATACTATATATTGAAGATCAATATGGAGTTCAGTAAAACTAGTGTGAAAACTGGAAAGACTCTTGTCTTGTCGACACTTCACTCCAGTCCATATTATAGCAAATGGCGGATAAATCGTACAAAATAGACTTCAATTAATTCCCAGTTCTATGACATTGTAATTTCCTACCCCATAATTCATGTGTTGATCGCTACCACAGAACCATGTGGCAAAACTTATTCGTAGCTTTTGTGAACTGATCATTGAAATACCTCAATCGCTTTTTACAAGGTATTTTCACACAAAAGATAGATAATTTCATACTTGACATTATTAATCAGTACTAGTTACCTAGGTTCTTGCCAGAATTCCATATGAATTGGCTGGTTAATTCACTTTTGTAAATTACATTTTCATAAAAACAAATTTGTTCAACATAATGAGGCATTCAAATCTATTCATACGAATTATTTAAATAATTGAAGATCAATATGTATTCAAAAATTTCTGTGACAAAATATAGTTTATAATGGAATCAATTTCAGCTAAATATTAATATCATCGTATACACATGAAATTGATCAAATGCAGACAGGTATTATTTGAGATGAAATTAATATTTCTCATCTGGTCCACTTATAGGGTATCTTGTGTGAAGAATATTGTTGTTGTTGCACCCGAATCAGAGGAACTCATGATGAAAATGAAAGAAGTGTTACAAAGACAGAGAACTGAATCTAATAAAATTATAATCACTTCTGGGGGGAAGTCCAGACATAAGTCAGTTGAAAATTATTTTGTATCAATGCTACATGGCTAATCTTATGTAGAGTATCTAGAGTTACTTGTTGTTCCATTACATGCCAGTGGTATTTGGAAATCCTGCGCTTTGGACAACACTTTAATTAAACACACACAGCCAGTGTACCAGCCCGAATATCTAAGACGCAAAAGAAACGGCTCAATTTATTCTATTGCAAAAATATCGTAAGACCCAAAATTAATTTGCTACTTGAAAAGTATATTAATTTTACTGAATTCTAAATTTGTTATTTCCACAACTTTATTAAACCAAACCACGTACATAAGAAACTTCTTAGTTAATATTGATCTTGGGTGGTAATTATTGCTATACTATGGTTTCTCCCATTAAAATAAGATTATCAAATAAGGATGGTCTGTTCGATTTATCAAACTCATTCAGTTCATATTTTGATTCGAAATTACAAGATTGATGATAATTGAATTGCAGATCCATTTTCCAGGGACTGTTGCGCCTCAAAAATAAGTTGACAAAGGATTATTGTACACATGAAGAATGGCTAAATGAAATTGTTATAATACATGATGGAGTTCGCCCATTTGTTAACACTGATGACATAGAAAGGATCATAATTGCAGCCAAAAAGCATAAGGTCAGCAATTCGAGAATGGAGTCGAAGCGCGCATTCATGTTCTTTTCGTTGAGAGTAGAAAAAAATGGTGTTATATGCCTGTTTTGAACAAATATAAATTATAATCACAACAATAGTTCGTATATACAAGAAAGTTTGCTTAAAGCAAAGGTCAAATATCATTTAACCATGAGTATAATGGGATACCCACAAAATCGGATGGATAAATCATACATAACTACGTGTCACGTTATCATATGATACTAACCAAAAACTCCAATTAAAATAGGAAATCTAATCTTTTAGTATATTATTTATTATCAGGCCGCAGGTTTAGTCAAGCCATTGGTTTCAACGGTACTAAAGCCGAATTCCGATGATGTTCTTGAGCTAAGCCTAGACAGATCGTTATACTGGTCTAGTGAAATGCCTCAGGCTTTTCATTTAGGAGTAATTTTGCAGGCATATGAAAAGGTATGTTTAATTGGTTAATTAATGTCTGACTTTTCAGGAAGCTAAATACCTCATATAATTTCTTCCAGTGTTCTGAATATGATTTTGAAAATGGAACTGAATGTTTACATATTGCTCAAAAATATGGATCGGTGTGCGCTAAATTATTGAAAGGTGATTCAAACAGATTATGGAAAATAACACTTCAACGAGATATAGCTGCTGCTGAAGCATTATTAAATGGTATATATTGGTAAATGTTATTTGTTGGAAAAGTGTTGTTTGGAAAAAGATTCAACATCTTTAAATTTTTTCAGGTTATGAAAACATGTTACTCGTTCTCCCAAATAACATTGCCCTCAGGCAGAATGTGTCTTCAACCTTTGGTGAGAAATAAAATAAAGCGATGTTATAACGTCGATACTTTTGATTTAAAATGTCTAATCTTTATTTATTCTGTATTTCAAAGGTGGTATATCAGTTTGTTGTATCAAGGAAGTTGATGAACTTATTTTGAAAAATATGCAAATATTTTGGTTGTTGAATATTATTGATGATCTTTTACCCAACATGGAACATGTTATAAATATACTTCATAGTCACAAAAAGTAGGTACTGCTTCCAGCAATTCTTGAAATCTCCTTGCAAAAGGTACGAAAATTTCAACGCTTTGCCCAATAATTTTTTTGTCAAACTCCTAAATTTATTTATATGTCCACAAACCAAGAATGTTTGTTAATGGTATAATCAAGATGTGTTGGATCTGCAAATAAATAGTTTTGATTCCATATGAAAAAGATTTTAATTGGTTTAACTCCAGTTAATCTTATATATTAAAGAAGACCAACTCAGCAGCTTTAATATTGTACCCCCATTGGCAAATGATTAGAATCAGATTGTCCTCGTTTTTGTAGATGACCAGTGAAATTTATGGATGTACTAATTCATCTCTTGATATAATAATGATATAGTCATCATTAACATTGTTATTATACACAAATTTGGTTGCAGGTCTTGCCACCTCATCATCTTTCTTATTGATTCTGAACCACTCACAGTCGATGATAACACCAGACTAAAGTATTGGGATTCTTGTCATCAGCTATTAAAATTTGATGTCTTGACACAATTGGTTGTTAAAAAAGATCTATTAAACAAAGGTTAGCTTTTTCAATTTTAAAAGCCTCTGTCAACCAACTATCTGATATTTCTTTACGCTGTTGGCAAATTGTTATTGTAGTAAGATAATTGGTTGATAGCAGAAGGTGTAACTAGTATTTTTGAAGTAAATTCCCCACTGTCATTGGTATACACAATAAATAATAGCAAGCAGGTTGTGTATGAATGTTCACTCTGTAGGGATAGAGAAGGTAGCTTGTCGCCTTGTTAATCCATGTATATTTCCTTTAGTTCAATTCAAAATGCTTGGAACTAACATATTAACAATTTTCATGTTTAGGAATGGAGGAGTTACTTTCCCTTCAAACAACTGTTGAAAAACTGCCACCTGGACAAATTCTATACTTCTAAGAATGCTACAATATTGCACATTTTTTTACTTCCTATTATACCACACTAACCAGAATATGCACTCAACCTGCTACATTTTTGCAATAAAATGTCTGTTATTTGAACTCCACAGTTATACCAAGTTTTGAGAGGTATGTAGAGTCAAATGCGACTTGATGGTCAATTTTTATATCTGAACATCTCATTAAACACAAATAGGAATGCCTGGCGTGGCAGCACTTGAAGGATGAAAAAATTCAAGACTACAAATAGGACTTGAAATTTTGTATCTCGACTAGTAGAGACCTGATGAAAAGTCCCGTCAAATTGTTGCTTGTTAGGGGGCTTCACTTGGGATAGGATGACCTACATCACCATAGAATAAGTTTACTGGGGTGACGATAGAAGGAAGACATGATTAGGGATGTACGTTTTGAAATTTGATTCCCGAATAAGGATAACATCACACTATAGTTAACTTTCTTCAAATTTGGAAAAACTGTAGCGTAAATTGTGATTGAATAAAAGTAATAAACTTGAAGAATTAAGTTAATATAAATAAATGGATGAATCAAATACCCAATATAACAGAGAAATATGTATGCAAATGCATATTTACTTATTACATGAATTTATGTTTGCAAACATGTTTGTATGGTGTTAGTCTTCAAAATGCATACGAATGATGAATGCCAGTGAAATGAGCATTAGAACGGTTTGCGCCCTAATTCAATAAAAGGAAACGATGGTGAGGGAAGTATAACAAATCCATGTTTTTAAAAGAAATTATGTCATTATTATAATAACATTATATAGGTCATTTATCTATATAATTAGGTACATATCTGTAAAACTTCCTAACATTTCAAGTAGTCGAAAAAAAAAATAAGCGAAACTATTGATTCCACTAAGGCCGTGCCTATGTGAAATATAACAACCCCCTGGACTGTTAAGACTTGGAAAAGCTGTAAAGCCAATAATCGCCTTTAGTAAATGTCGAGACAATGCCGCTGCGTCGTGCAATCACCTGGTGTTATATATATTTATTTTTAAACGAGGCCATTGTTTTCAGTAATTGCTTCGAAACGACATTTGATTCAAAATTCTGAAACTCATTTCCCTAGACATGATACGAGGTTATGTAAATAACTTGCCCGCATGTTGCATTTCACAATAGGAAATTGTTCTAGGGAACATTGTACAAACACACAGAGCAGAAACGATGTATACAATTGTAAAGTTTTATTGAATTATAACACCAACACTTGAAGACAGTGAATTTATTTGTAATAGTGTAGAAACAATTGCATACTATGCATAGTTAAAATAATTAAACTACAGTGAACACAAATACTAAAAATGTTATGTCTGAAGAGGTTTTGCAAACCTTAGAGTGATATAAAAATCATTGGTATCACCACTATAAAAATCCGTGATTCGGTGTGAGTAAAACTTTTGATATGAGATATCTGTAGTAGTTGTTTTTTAATATCCATAATTAAACTTCAGTAGTGAATAAACATGCTGAAAACAATGCTTGTCTGAAAGTGTTTTAGAAACCTCTAAATGATATAAAAATCATTGGTAACACCATTTAAGAAAACCATGATTAGAATTTGAAACTTTTGATTTGAGATATCTGTGGTAGTTGTTTCATAAACAAAAAGATAGGAAAAATTAATTTAGTCCTGTTTAAATCCAGCCTGCAGTATTCCCATGAAGGCATTCATAGTGAGCAATCCTGTCACACAGAGATAACATATGATGCATGCTGATCCAGACCAAGCATTCCACAATATAAAGGCAGATGCAGGAACATAAATCTTAAACGGAAAAATTGGAGGAAGTTATTTTGCTCGGGGTTCCGAAACTGACAACTGGTATCAAAATCACCTAAGAAGATTATTTTGCAATAACAGCAGTTAATTCCTATCTAACTGAGTGGTTTCCAACCTCTTTAATATAATTGCAAAGATGTTATAGGTTATTGCTGATTTGGCCGCACCTTGTCGTACACATTTATTCATATGAAGCATTGGGACAAGATATTATATTGTCGGTGCATTAAAAAAGCTAATTGTCCATGTGATGAAATGTCTGTATACGATTCTCAAAAATATTTAAGCAGTCGGTTTAAACTAAGTTTTGTAGAGAAGCTAATTTAATACAGGGACTGCAAGATTTAGGTGGTTTAAAACTCCTCTTATACAGCAAAGCTACTCAGCTTCCGAGTGAAGCAGTGTGTTAAGCGGAGCTATGCATGGTCAAAATAACTCACAAACAGGTGGAGTTGATTTCATAGTTACCAAGAATCTCACCACTAGTTTTGACTTGAGAATGGATGCTACATCTTTATTCTTCTTGTAGCATAGAGAGGAAAGAGAAAGCAATGATCCTGCTAGAAGTTGAAATCCAAATGATCTCATGAAAACTTGACATACATCCGTGACTGGTGTGCTGAGGTTCTAAATATGGAATATCGTTTCATTATGAAATTTGACCATTAAGAGAACAGTTATAATTTTGATACTCCCGTAGGGTTAGGTCATAATTTTATTTAGGTTTTCCCTATTTTATTTCTATTACAAGTTCTGGGACTGTCTGTGTAAGCCAAGTGAATATACCCCCTGCCCATAGGCTTCAGTCCATTTACACAACTTGATGTAGGCGAACAAAATTATTCACCTCCATATTGGTACACACACTTCTGGAACGCACTTCTACTTTGGTGTGGGATGTGGATGTGTAAATCAAACATAATGTTATGGTTATGACTCATTTTGCTAGTATGATTATTTTCAAGCCTTTGCCTCAAACAAGGCTTTATTCTAGTAGACATATATACTTGAATGAGTGTGAATGTTCAGATGTCACTGAATGGACAAAACCATAAAGTGGTTGTGGTCAAAACGGATGTTGTTTCTGTTGCATATCCTTAAACTAAACAACCTTGATTTGAAGTATTCCTAAATTACCAGAACTCATTCTGAAAGAATATACCGTACTAAGTTTTTATAATATTGAATGCTATTCACTTTTAAAATCATACCAGGGGTCCTGCCAGAATGCTTGGAAATCCCAGTAATATTACTCCCAAGAGAAATGTTCCCAAAGCATCAACGACGACATGGAATCTCACTGAATCACCAAATATCAGTGTACCATCTTTTGTGGTAATTTTCCTCATATGAACAAAGTCTCCCACCATTAGCAATGAGAGAAACACGTAGTCGAATTTCAAAGCAAGCTGTAAACAAAAGGATATGATTCATTATACATTCACAATGCATTATACAACATTTAGCAAAATAAATTTTTCTTACTGGAGACAAGCTTTTCACATACAGCATGGCATAAACTGCAGATAGAAGAAGCCCTCCACGACTCTGTCAAAAAGAAAATATTTGAACTGACTGTTGATATGCACTTTGAAATTGGTGAATTAAATAGACAAAAGCAGACAGGATTGCCTACTGGTTACCATATCGTATTCAAGATTTATTTCATCCATGTGTGGGACATCTTATACAAAGGCTAAAGCTTTAGTTTACAAAGGTCGATACATTTTCCTGTTATGACTCGAAGTACAATATCTTAGGACACATAAATAGTAACTACTAAGTTAATTTTAAAGAAAAAAATGTCCAACATTATCAAAAATCCACAGCTGGATGGTTGTTTGATATTGAAATAGATTTACTTTTGATCTATTGTCAAATTGGATCGCCTCAGATTCAAAATTTACCAATAAAAACTCACCAAAATATTCGTAATGATGAGGGAACAATCGATTACGGAATCAGATGAGTCATCCGTGAGGAAAAATGCAAATGCTTGTACCGCCATGGCCAGTAACATCAGCTGAAGTAAATGTTTTGTCAACGAATCGCCTTCAGCTCCATTCAGCTGAAAAATGATTGGTGAGAATTTTTAAATGGGTATTTAAAGGACTGTAAATGACAAAATAAACTTATTCAAACTCAGAATAATACAATTTTACAGAGACTTTCGAGTTAATTCCATATCAAATTACTAAAGCTGTCACACCTTTCATAATTATAATCACACTATCAGAACTCTACTGACAGAGTACTCACTATGTAGATAACATATATCAAGAGCATATAATATAAACAATGTATAATCAAACTAAAAAATTAGAATGGAATGTGTATTATGTCTTTCTTGGCAAATTGTTCTGTTAAATTTATAATTTTTTTACTAAGCTTGTCGCATACTGGATGTGAAAATTAAAAAGCTCAGAAACTCAGTTGGGTGGATATAGTACAATAAATCAGATACACAAAGTCTGTCAAAGATCTAGAAAATACATTGATAGAATAAGATGAAATTCCAACCTACCCAAATTGAGAGAAGGTTGTTTGCATATGGAAGTGAAACGATGTAGCAAACTCCCAAAGACATTTCCAAATTCCTCCATTTTGTCCGATCAAATAGTAGAATGAGGTAAAATATCATAATTGGAATGAAAAGTATAAGACCAACTACTGGATGGCTTTGTAGGAACTCCAAAGCATATGCCATCACGGGTGATGTTTCAGTTATATTCACCATTATTCTTAGGCTATTAGATCAACAAACTAAATAACAATGATATATTTTAGATATGAAAGCATATTATATTATACTTTAAAATGAAATGTGCATAAGACATAATGGATTTTTAAAGTGCAAAAAACATGCATAAAATGGAAGCAAAAAATAAAATTGCTTATATCAGATAATTTTTTTCCGTATTAATCTACTAAATCATAACATTTTAATATTATTTTAAACCAATTTTGATATAGAAATGCATTTATCAAATTATTTCCAACTGACAGTAATCAGGCATTCAGTTCGAGATTTTATAGTAGAAACATCAGCCGGTTCAGGACATCATACATTTTGATTAAATTAATAACAATACAAGGTTTATGGTTACTTCACAGTTATGCAGTTTTGAAATTGAACAGATTGTTATTTTCCAATATGAGTTACCAGCATCTTATGTTTCTATCGAAAACATCATGTTTTATAAAACAACACATTATACTTCGGAACACTTCCTGATTTCTGAGCCAAACAATGATTTTCATTTGATTTTGATATAAAAAATCTCAAATTCTTAATAACGAGAATATTTTTATAAACAGGCAGTAAAGAAATGAGTTCATGAAATTCAGCAATTGAATAGGTTTAGTGGCCAATTATACTGACCAAATTGAATACTTCAGACAAAAATTGGGGCAGTTCCAAGTTGAAGGAAAAAGTACAAAGCTACTGAGAGCAGTTACACCAACCACATACTATTCCTGATTATCAATAAACTTTCGAATGAGTGTTTTGGTAATAGGCGTGCGCAATCAACAAAGCTTTCATCTTTTGAATCATAACTAGTAGCTATTAATAATTCTTCAATTCATTATTCCAAATTGAAACACTATCCATCGATAATGTTTGCAGAAAGAAAAGAAAAGCACAATTACGGTAATAATAACAAACTATATATTATAGTTAAGAAGAAAAGACAGGATTGATCCACTTCGCAACACAGTTCATCCGCGGGGATAAATATTAGCTAGGTAGGAAAACAATCAATGAGGTAATCTTGGCTAAATTGAATTATGGTAGTTAATATAGAACAATACTGATATTCATTAGAAACATTTGTAAAATCAGAAATAGATGGAAAAGTAGATTGTTCAATATATTAAATTAAAAGCATATTTCATAGAAAGTGCGAAAATCAATCATTTACAGAGCCTATAATTCATTTCTAAAGGAAGAAGGTGTTTTTTTTTTAAACGAAATTGAAAATGTTGACTGATTATATGGTGCAATAATTTTTCTCAATACTCCTTCTATATTGTATGTAAAATATTTTTGGAAGAAAAGAGATTTCACTTTTAGAAATGTTGTACCATCTTTAAAATAACTTGTTCGGAGCATTCAACTTTATCAAGTTTAGTGAAAAGTATATGCCGAAATTGCACTCGTAACACTTGAACATGGATTGTCAATACAAAATATGACAGAAAATCCGAACTGATGAATATATAGTATAAATGAAATTTACACACAATCTTAATTCAAAGTTATTGTTGTTATGAAGCAATTTATTCATATCTTCAATAATAAGATTGAAATTCTATTAATATTATTCGAAACGGCCACAGTCAAGTGAGATGATTTAAACACATATTTCAAAAATGGTTATATTTTCAACAATATACCAAAAACTAACACAGTCAAGGAAGATGATTTAATTATCTCTAACACTGTAGACATTGGTGATTCACAGATAAAGTTAATCACAGAACTAATTAATAGAAAATAACATTAAATTCTATCATTGCATGGATATGTATGAACTTTATGACAGTGATTATATTATTACAAGTGAAATGATAAATTGCGGCAATAAAAGTAATGAAATTAAATAGGACAAGATATGACAGTGCATTAAAACTTCATGTGGTACCGTATTTCTAGTGCAAAAACTGCACATAATATAAATAGATTATTAATAGGGGTGCCATTTTCAGATACCATATGTTTTGCATTATTTAATTGTGGATTGGATTAAGGCTTGAACAGTATTTGATTCTAAAAGATAATTATAAACATACATATTTTCTATAAATCTTACAAATACAAGAAGTGTTCAACAAAATTTTGAGTATCAAATCATTATAAATCTGAGAATGGCAACCTCAATTAAAAACAACATGATTAAATAAAATACAATCATTACCATAGTTATATTTTAAGATACTGTATAATGAGCTGGTAATAAATTTTTATTTTATAATTATATCAAATTCTCAGAAATTCTGATGTGAAACACTCATATATGAGCATACCATACGATGAAATGTATAACTTTAAATAGTATTATATTTGTGGTTAAAAGTAAATGAAGTGCAAGTAGTGATAATTCCAATTGAATATTCAGGAACAAATTGTTTCGATAATTATGGTTCTACAAAATGAAAAGAAATTCAAATTTATTTCATTTATATATTTTCATGTATGAATGATATACTTTGACTGTAATTTAGCATAGTGTCACAGATGAATGAGAAATTGTGAAAAAAAATTCCGAAATCATTTGCTGAAATAGTTAATGAAATTGGAACTCATGAAAACTTTTCCCTTCAGATATTGTGAGACACTTCCACAACTATTGATACTATTATTCATTTTTTGCAACAAGAAAGAGCATGTGAGGAACAAAACACGAATATTTGGATACATTATTACTGGAAGAGACTAAAATTCTAAAACATCAATTCCTGGGATGAGCATTTAACAATTCTGGTGCTTGATTTCTTCAATACATTCGATGTTCTGAAAGCGCATATCCCGCATTGTAGAGAAGTGCAAGAGATGTGCCAACCAAATAAAAGGGATGACCATTGCTCCAGAATGCTTTGTCATTGACTGCGCTAACCAGTACAACAAACATGGACAGCACATACATCTGTATAATAATAAACCAAAAAATTTGTAATCAAATTGAATGCTTGAAATGCAAAAGTAGGCAATGAAATGATCAGAGTAAGCCTACGAGAGGTACAAATAATATTCTGATACAGTTAGTGTGATAAATCAAACATGTAGCATTTCTTATATGACAGCTTCTGATGCAATTTGCTCATAACAAGGCCCTGTACAAGTATCCACTGAAATCTATCGATATAAGAAGAGCTACTTGTTTTGGAAAAACTACCAAAAATTTATCACACCCTGGGTAGGTGGTAAGCATGGTATATGAACATGAGATGCCAGCCTGCGATACTACGATTAACAATGCTTTGACCATTACACCCACAAAATTAGATTCAATCTGGTAATTTGTACAAGACCATACTTCAAAGGAATACTTTATAGTTAGAAAACATAGCTCAAAGTTGTAACATCAACAGCCAAGTTTTGAGAAAGATTAATATTTAGTATAACCGTATTTTCACAAACAGTGTCAAAATGTTTGATGAAGTAAGTCAATATTCAAATGACAATGCTGTGTGTGAATAAGTCATCTATTAACAAAAGAACCTTGAAGTAGAAGCATTATCTGAACTCACCACTACTTTTGATTTCAGTATTGCAATGGCATCTTCTCTAGATCGGAAACATAAAGATGCAAATGAAAGTAAGGATTGTCCAATAACCGCAATACCAAGAGCTTTGGTGAGAAGTCCAGCCGATTCAGTCTAACATTGAAGATTAGATTGATTTATGTATTATATTCAGTTTGAGCAAGAAAACCTCATTTTCATATCAAATGCCATTATTCCGATTATAGCAGTTACTAGTTTCTGCCTATGAACAATCGCCACATTAAGCTTCAAATTATGCAGCAGCCGCAGCTGCTATTTCTGTAATATTTACAACCAACGGTAAGCACTTTTGACAAGTCAGCGACATATCACTGACAAAATAAACGCCGTACAACAGCTATTGTTACAGCATATATCCGTGCACAGATAAAAAAAAATGATCCCATTTTGTTTTTATGCATCAAAAGGGAGGTCAAGCGAGACCACAAAAACATTATTCTTCAGTCCCTTGCAAGCTGCAGTTTTCCGACCACTGCTGACATTATTCTAAAGCAGTATAATCAGCAGTACTAGTGACAGCGCGATTGGGTTCCTTCAATTGAATAAACAAACTATTGGACTTTTTTGGGCATATAACTATTCCTGTCATTGTCTAATAAAGCAACATATGCTTACACAAATAAAATAGTATAAATCTCATTTACCATCTTTTCACAAAACACGTCAGGAAACGCCAGAGCACAACATCCTAGGAAAAATGTTGACATAGCATCAACTGACACATGCCAACTTATGGGATCTCCAATTGTAAGGTACGACTTGGATGACATTGAGAAGAGGTGAGCAAAATCTCCAAGCACCAGAGGAAGCAATATCACTAGAGTCAGCATACATGGCAACTGCAATATATATATTACGAATATATAAGCACACAACTGCAGCATTTACATTTGAACATTTTTGTTCATACCTCATTGCAGTGATAGCCTAATGAAATTACCTAATGTCCAAAATGGAAATTACATGATCGTGCTACACAAGATCATTATTTCCTTCAAAATAATTACTCACATTGTCATTTACTCATGCTCATTGCTCACTAAGAGAGTTCTAAATTCTATTGTTTTTGAGTAACTTATCCATACAAAAAGTTCTTGACATAGCACATCCTTTATCAGGTAGGGTATTGTCTTCTATTTAAAAGTGTCCACAATTTCTAGAAAAATCATCAGAAGGGTCATCACATTGAAGAGGTTGTTTCTCTAGTAAGATTTTTCACAGATATTTAGGCTTAGCTAATTATTGATGAAAATTGGTAACCATTGGAGATTAGTGGACATGGACATTTCTACTGTAATTCTGAAAAAATTGATACTATACCTGTAAACCTAAACTACGTCTAATACAGATACTTACATTCAATACAAATTTGGACTGTATCCCATATAAAGCACAGAGAATCAGGGAGCATCGAGTCTAAAGAAGAAAATATAGGGCGAATGTTAGAAAGCATTAAGAACAATGTTTTAAATATAAAGCAAAGTTTGTAAAGGAATCTGTCATTCATAAGTATGTGAAAAATAGTAAAGATTTATAGAAAGGATTTTAAGTTAAGTTTAGTCACACAAATATTGCGGTATTCAGAATCTCAATAAGTGCAGGTCATTTTAGCACAAATATGATATCACAATACAAAATGAATAAAGCATCACAATACCATTTTATGTCAAAGGTGTGTACAAAGAAATAAACAAAACTGAAATACAATATTGCACAGAACTGTTGATTGGATAACTTATATTGATCCAATTGTTAATTCAGGAATGAATTCCATTCCATACAGAAAGATAACTTCGTATCCTGAAAAGACATGAAATAATCTTTCTGTTTCAAAATATATCTACATTAGAATTTGAGAGAATATTAAAATAACAAACCAAAATGTTGACGACAGTTGTACTGAATACGACTTCAGGTTGGACTGAATTTCTGGTTATTTGATAAGCAATTGATTGTGCAAGCAAGCATGAGAAAACAAGTTGAAAAACACAGATTGGAAGATTGTTTGTGGTTGATACCTAAAAATAAATTGATGATAGATTATAGGATATATCTTAAAGAATTCAACAAAAAGAGTTTCCCTTGCTTTGATGATCCAGGTGATTATTTTTCATTTAGTATTGAATATATATGGCCCTACTTGAAATGAATTCCCATAATATATGGTGTGAGCTAGATCTAGTAATCAAAGCATTTGCCTGAGCATGGTGCTACATTTCGCCGCCTACATACATCAAGTTTTCACCAAACTTACTAACCCAAGGTTAACAAACTTACTTGAATTTGTTCAACTAACATGATCAAGTCTTTGGCAATGGCAATGAGTCTTCTGACAGAGATCCAAAGAAGCATATGAGTGAAATATCCAATACGAAACTAACTCAATCTCAATTATGCTATCATATTAATTATTAACCATATGATAAAGTAACGAAATAGAAAATAAACTTACAAAGTATGACAGTGATCCACTTGGAAAGAAAATAAGAATTGCATAAGCCACAGCCAAACAACCTTCTACGATGGCAGTTCTCTGACGATTTCCAACACCTTGAACATATAGAATGAACCCAAATGCAGATGTAAGAAACATCAACATCTGGTTACACTCACCACTAGATGTATCACTACCTTGTGCAGTCATTTTGATACTTCCGAAGTTTTGTAAAAATTTGAAATTTACACAAAATTTAAAAACTTAAATAGAACTATCAATTGCCTGAGTAAAGACAAAAATAATTAGTAAAAGCGAAAATAATAATACTCTTCATAATTTAGATAATACATAACATACACCATATCTACCAATAGCAAAGAGCAGAAATATCTATCTGAATACATTGTAATATTAAGCTAAAAAGCTATCTGAAATCGTTGATTCCAGTCTGTACTCCATTAAACTTCAATGAAACTGAGGTTCAATAAATTTGTTTAGAACCTATTAAAAAGATGTGGAAAGAACAAAAGAAAACTTTTTATTGATAAATATGAGAAAATTTCAAACTTCTTTGGCAGTAGAAATTTGTATTCACTATTTCATACCTGGCTTCTCAATACAGTTTTAATACTTATTAAATAATAACTGTAATCTCAGAGTGAAGAATACAATTTCATATCAGCTTGTTTGTTCATGATAAGTTACATCACGACTACCGGTAATCTCTGAATAGATTTATCAGGGTCTTATACACACATCCATTTATCAGAATTCTAGTTCAATCAATATCAATCACATTGTCAATGAACACACTAAAATGTGTTGAAGCGATGCGTTGAAGCCACATGAAGATATCAAAATTTGGTTGAACTTTCAATAAGATTTGTCAGAACACTCAGAAGTGAGACATTACTTATGATTATGATCAAGGAATAGAATTGTAATAATCACTCAGATTTGTTTTTTAGCAAACATAATTGTGCATCACTTCACAGGTGAATATAAACCAATTGATTATGCTTTGCATATTAAAATCATTCATGGTAAATGTGGAAAGGAAATCATGATTAATGTGAAAATCTTAATGTAAAATCATTATATTTATTATTTTCAAATATTGAGTAGGTCCTATTGACCTAATATCATACTAATTTACACCCACATAACTTAAAAATTCAAAAATCATCAACTTTCTACACCTTACATGATCAATGTTTCAATTTTTGACAATGTTTAAATACTGAACAAATGCGAAGCAAATGTATCCTGAATGAACCAGGATATCCTTTAATGTATTATCATCAGTATGACAAATAATGTTGATGGGGTTAATATAATAAGGTACAGGAAAAAGGTTAATAGGTGAAATCGGTCAAGGAAATTGAAATACATTTTTTCATGTTGTCTAATTTTTATGAGAGACATGCTTTAGTGACTGAGATACTTTTACTATCTTACTTGAGTTGCGATCATACTTTGTCACAATATCTTCAATGTACAAATAAATATTTTAAAATTTATGGAAACAAACCATCACAACTTGTATAAGTCAAAACTGCCACGCATCTTCATCAATTCAACTCTTCTGCTGCTATCAAATTCTGTCCTCAATATTTTAATACTGTAGGTTTTCCTTGAAATTGTTTCATTCATATATCTACTAACTATTTTTCTATAAATCTGTAATACAATTCAATTAGAAAATGATTACTACTGTACTAGAAGATACCTTGGGTTATTTGGGTTTATGATTATACTAAAAAAATCTAAAATTTAACAAACTGAAATCAGTGTAGAGTACCAAAACATGGCAAAATCATTTTTTTAAACGTTACAAAAGGACAATTGGCAGCAAATGTTGGTTGACAATATTTTTTACAAAAATACAAAATAGGTGCATAATCAAAACCTGATACTATTTGTAAAAAATGTTTTTGAACAATGATTAGTTAGTTATAAAATGAAACAAATCTCCTTAAAAATAATTTCATCGGTGCTGAATGTTAAAAGAATAATACAACAATACAAAAATCATGGATTTACACAAAATAACGGTTTTCAAATTTGAACTTCTTGTATTATTATTTAACTAACTATATTTTATTAGTAAAATTGGCTGTACTTTCAGGCAGAAACTCCCTCCTTTATTAAATGTTAAAAATGAGCCATTTCATTACAGCTAAAATAGTATTAAAAAAATTTCGTTCAAGTCAACATTACAAAATTATCTAACTTTGTGAACAACATGAAAATGAATTTTTCATCAAATCTCCAGCAAAATCCTAGTAATATACAACATAACATGAATGAAACGGATATGCATGATATGTATGTACCATGTGTGCCATTAATTCAAGTGAAATTTTGAATTATGAAAGATTGGAAACAAAATAATTTGCTATAAAATTTGGCCCTGATTGAAAACAAAACAATTCAAATAATGTTAATAACGTATTCATGGCACTGTTTCAGCTGTTTTCTATTGGAAACTTCAAACTTTCAGTATCTAATTTATGTATAAATAATACCTAAAGTGAAATGAATTGTCATGTCTCATATGATTTAATAAAATTATCAAATGCAACAAGAAATAAGAATACATAACTGTTGGATAGGGCATTTTCACACCTTCTCTAAATTTTAATGATTTAATTTATCCAGTGAACACTTAACTATAGAGTACATAAAAGTTAACATGATAAGATAACAGGAAAACTATATATCCCATAAAAGGGATATTTGGTCCATTTTACTACAAATTCCTAGCATATAACAAACAAAGCAGTATCATGTATCAAGTTGTATACATTTTAAATTGATAAAGGTAGACAAAAATGTTATGCAAATTTTTATCATATCAAATAGCAGCAAACATGATTGTTTCGGAGTAGACACAACATGAAAAATATGTCTGTGATGATGTATTTGTTCCAAAGAATTTAAAAAAATTCAAGTTTGCAAAAAATTGCTGCCTTCAAAGAAAAAAATATGTTGAAGAGGAAAATCAATTAATCTTCTTTTCCATGTCTGTAGACAACGGAACCGGCATTTATGGCCAGTCCACCCATTACTCCCACCATGATAGCAGCATGTCCATAGGTGCGGAAGTGGCTATCTATGAGCATGTTTGTAAGAGCATTGAGCAAAGCTGGGAGGTAAACCTGCGAAATAAATATAGTAATTTATTAATTACAATATTAATTATTAATTACATAATTAATTACTTTACAAGTATTGGCATTTTCACTATTTTAGGTTTTTTATGATTTTCACAGTTAAATTACATGACCATTGAGAGTAAAACAGAGATAACCGCCAACTAAGTAAATACACACAACACACAAACATGAGTTCTTATGCTAAGAAATCAGAGAGATGAAGAAATCCAGGAACACACTTGGTATTGAATTACTGTTTCACCTGTTCAGCAATTAAAGATTTGAATCGTATGATAATTGAAATGCGCAAGAAGATTGGTGGATTACCTTCTGTTGCCCACTAGCTTTCCCCAAAACCAAAACCAAAAGAGAAGTTAAATTTCCTATGCTTAGTATTTAACTCTCTTTACACTCACCACAAGCTTAATTTTCAGAGTATTCACGGCATCTTTATCATCTCTGTAGCAAAGTGATGCAAACGACAACATTGAACCAGAGAGAATCAAAACAGCAACTCCCCTCAGAGTGAAGAAATGACACTCACGCAACTGAAATCCACGACTCTAAAAAGAATCATTTACCATTTTTCATGTAGTGGTATTTCACATATTTTATATATCCTACAATGATACATAATTCGTGAATTTTGGAAAAAATTTTAATTGCTATATAAAACAGTTATAGTTGCTAAACGAATATAGGTTTCGTAAATAAACATGGGTGAACATTGAAAAAGTAAGAAATCTAATATGAGAATGTAGACAGCATTATATAAACTTTAACCAATGCAAGAAAAAACGTCATCAAACATACCACCAAGGAGCAGAACATATCTGGAAATCCGAGTGCCAGTGACCCTATGAAAAATGTAAGAAGAGCATCTATGGACAGATGAAAACTGATCGGATCTCCAACAGTTCTACTTCTGTATTGTCTTGTTTTGGTTTTTGCCATGAAATATATATCACCGAAGAGCAACAACGCAGTCTGTGCTGTATCAATATAAGCTGATATTTCGTGCTGTAAATATGATTTCTGCATTCAGTTGTCAATGTATTACTTTATTTGTTTTTTTACTATAATAAACGTTTCAAATCAAGAAAATATGAACAAAGCATGATATCATTTTACATTCACCAGTTCAACATTCTGAAAGTAAGTCTAGTGATGCAAAGTCCAGCAATCTTCTTGTTTAGGGAGACACAAAAAAATTTAACCCACTCCTCCAACCTAAGTATATCTTTGTTAAGACGAAAGAGGTCCAAAGCTCGGCTCAATCCCCCACATCCCCAAGCTATAAACGAAGAGGGTCCAAAGCTTGGCTTCAACTAATCACCCAGGTATAGATGAGAGAGGTTCAAGGCTTAGCTCCCTTCTCTAAACCACCTAGTATAGACGAGAGAGATTCAAAACTTGTCTCAGTCACCCTAACCACTCCGGTATTGACGGGGGAGGTCCAAAGCCTGGCTCAGAGTTTCCCCTAATCACCCATGTATTGATGGGAGAGGTCCAAAGCTTGGCTCAGTCCCCCCTAATCCCCCAGGTATATATTCAAAGAATACATACATCTCGGATAATAAGAACTTGGGTTTAGGTATCTCCATTATAAGAAATCCACATTTGAAGGCATTTATATTATTATCAATATTTAAATTTTATTTTATTATAACACCTAATATTTTGTATTTTTAAATTGCTATCTTACTTCAAAATTTCTTACAAAACAAAATAAACATTTTATTTGTAACATTATAAGCATCGGTACTTACATTTACATTGAACGTGTCTGTATATATAGCCACGAAATAAGTCATGAGAAGAGGACCACGTCCCTGAAGTATAAAAAAAATGATACATTTTTTATGACTGCAAAATACAGTTTATGACGTGTATAACGAAACATTGTTTAATAATGAATGGATAAGAAATGTAAAATAATTTCAAGCTTTTCATTAATCCCAAGCTGGACAATATGATACTTGACAGTTTTGAGGTTTGGTAAAGTAAAACTCACTTATTTAGAACGCTAAAATTATCATATCTCAAACTAGAATTGGAATATGAAGCAAACTTAAACATTTCAGAATTTACTGATAATTTATATTATAGTACAAAAGCAAGTTACCAATATATTTGTAATTGAAACAGCGACTGGTACAGTACGATCTGATGATTCTTGTGTCAAGTAGACTGCCGAAGCTTGAGCAACAAAAGAAATGATCAGAAGTCGACACATGTAAATAGTCAGTGCATCAGATTCTCTCATCTGTAAATCAAGATTTTGTAACATTTGAGCACCGACAAAATAGCTAGTAATTTTTTATCTTGATTTATTAAAATCCCTGGCTTGTGGCTAAACCTACAGCAAAATGTTTTTAACAATCAGAATAAAAAGCATTGGTGACACCAAGAACTTGAATACTTTCAATAGTTTCAATATTCAAGATATATTAGCGCCTATGTATGGAATAATAAAAACTACATAGGCCTATTATTGTAATAGTATCAAACTTTAAAAGACTGGGAACTGATTTAAGATCAGAACAAAATTGTGAGATAAGTGTATAAAAATTATCCGGTAGTTTAATAAGAACAGACATTCTAATATTATGAATACCCTATAAGGATAGGTAATGATGAAGCAATCCATGTAGTACCTAGTTTTTAGTAGTACTTGTGCCTAGTATTATCTTGTAGAACTCAAAATGATATACAAATAATACAATGATTAAGTTCAAAATTACTGGCTTCCAGCAAGAATATACCTGCAGAAATAAAGTGTCAAAATATACTGATGCATCATTCCTAATCTCTATTCCAGTATCATTATATTTCTGTTGGTAAAACGACAAAGTGAATAGTATCAATCAAATCTATAAGCATGACTTACGAAGTATGGGGAAAGCACTCCAGAAAATGGAAAAGAGAGGGCATACATTACACCAAGGCAAACTTCCATGTTAATCCAATATTTACGATTCTGCAGCAGTTGGATATACAGAACTATCACAGCTGCTACTCCAGCAAATAATGCAAACTTTCGAATATCCTGATATTCATCAGTAATATCCGCAGCTGTTTCGTTTCCCATGGTTTTCTTCACTTGACTGTAGTTGCAATACTAGTTACTAAAGTATCTACAATACAATGAAAATACAGTAACAATTCAGAAATTAAATGGAAGTATTATATTCAAGGCACGTTCAAATAGTAAGGTTATTTTCAAATCTCAAATTTCCTGAGAAGACATTCTAGATTCTACGATACAGCTCCTGTATATAAACATAACACAAAGGATGATGTATAAAAACTCATCAAAATATTTCAGCATACAATGAAGAAATTTGACAAGACTGTTCTAAAAAATTTGAACTTTGAATTTAGCAAAATAAAATATTTCTTTCTTCCAGCAATTCAATATAAATTGTACAAAATGTCAAAATAGCCAAGTCCAAATTGATATGCAACCAAAAGTATGAGCAAGATGTAATTTGAAACAAAATTAACGATCAATAGTATTTAAGTTTTATCAACAATGCACGTCTGAAAACTGTTTCTGCATATAATTTTATACTGTTAAATTTGATATATATACAGATAAATATCAATTTTATCAAACACTTACTCATTTCTACATTCAAGAGACGGAAATAAATGGTTCAAATTTCAATGATACAATAATTCAGTAATTTTGAATTTCAATAACTATGTATATACATGATTAGAACAAATCACACAGACAGCAGAAAGAGCTTTGCTTTGAACCAAAAAATTGAGCAAATTGACTCTATATCCGGAATTCAAGCAAACTAGAAAGAAAAATTTCTTTTCAGTAATACAAAAGCAAATTATAAAATGTTGCATCAATTTGAGGGGCAATTTATCATTCAGATTTTTAGTAACCACTTTTTCATTATTAATAATACCAATGAAATGAGCCAACATTGAGATAATATCAAAAGAAAAGTAAATAAAATACTAGCAGACACACCTAAATTTCACCAAAAATTTGATATTTCAGTACAAGTATTTTAGTACACTATATATTTGAAAACCCATATTTTGAAAAGTAATACTATGATACATGGCACTGGATGGCAGTTCGTTACTATGTGACTGCATAGACCAGTGATGCTGATTATTTCATCCAGTCTTCAAATTAGTCATTTTTTATAAATCAGCATAAAAGAATCAAATTACACTTAAAAATGGAAGATTAATGGCTAAGATTTCCTGTTGCTCAGCATGAAGCATTAATAATAAATTACTCATGTGTTACTATATAATGCATACGAAACACCAAAATAGTAACAACACCATATAATGATTGATTAATGTTACTGTATTTTATTATTATGATAGTTATAGTATTGCTTATGTTGATAAGAAAAGTGCAAAATTCCTAATTTGGAATGAAATAATGTTAGTAGTAAGCAAAGTGAAATATTACGGGCTGTTGAATAGCCAAATGATCCAAATTATATCCCATATTTTTATATTATATCCACTTTTCAAAACTTTCATTTTCAAAATGCAGAAAGCTATAAATCATTTGGAATTTCATAATTTTACTTCACAGGCCCATAACACTAATAACAAATAGTATTTTAAAAATTCTGAAAATATATTGAACCAATATTTTTGACTTTTTTTTCTCTGCCATAAAGAGAGAATGATATTCTAATATTTGAGCATTTATTGTGAACAATGATTGGAAACACAAAAATTATAATTCAATTTTGTCCTAACTGACATAAATAAAAAAGTTTCCAGAAAAGGCTATGATGAAATAAATAGAAAAATACCAGTATTTGCTTTTCAGAATATACTCATCAGTAACAAACACTTGGTTTCTGAAAATGCATTCAATAGAATTCTCAAAAAAGCACCTGCTAATACCACAAAGATACAACAGGCAAATGCAATTGTCTATTCTCTATGATTAGTCAATCAATATGCCCAAAAATTTACACATTGTAATAGCAGCATGCGCATTCATGGTACCCAGTATCAATAAAGCATATTAGAATAAAAATGCAAGTATCAAATCAAATTGCCCGAATTTTGATAACGGCGTGGGTACAAAATTTGTTATGAAAAATACAAAAAAAAAATTTATACACAAATTTCATATTTTTCCCAAAACGATTAGAGATATACAAACTAAAGTATCATGTCATAAAAATGCTACAATGAACCCTATTTTTTAAAATAAAATTATTTATTATACAATTGCCTGTAACTCGCCTAGAAAAATGTAAAAAAACTTGTGCTAAGCATACAAATGTGCTCACTTTTGCAATTCTCAGGTTATTTTACAAATAATTAGTATGTTAAAATCAATAAAACCACACCAAAAGCTAAAAAGGCAATGATATAAAACAACTACGTTACATGATGCATTTTAAATACAAGAATATATAGGTATATAACTCCAGTACCATTATATTACATAAAAAGGTTCACTAGAAATCACACCATTTTGAATATTATTAGGATTATACGTGAATGAATGAATACTAAAGAAATTCAGGTAAAACATTCTGTGCAAGAAGGGTCTAAAAGAAGTATGGTCTATAAAGAATAGGCATTTCAGAAAATATAATCACATGAGGTTGACCCAGTGTGATAGAATGAAATAATATGAAACATTACTCTAGCTTACATAACACTACCTTAACATCCTTCAAAACCTTGTCAGATCTCATTTAAATAAGAGCATGTTTCAAAACATAACCACAGAATTTCAATAATATGATGAAATCGAAATTCAATATTCAAATGAAAACACTTTGTAGTTAAATTGTTGGTTTTCTTGTTGGTTACATTATCAAATATAATTATACACAGCTTTTCTTTCGCAACTCCTAAACACAGAAGATGAATGGATGAGAACATTATCTGACATTAATACAATTTTTCCTTCTCATAATCCCAGACAGCATATCCAGCATTCAAACACAAAACTCCCATTCCTCCAATAACTGGTATAGTGTGTCCTGGATGCTGATATTGTGAATCCAAAACATAGTTGACAGCAGCCAGAAGTATGACGGGTGCATACAGCTTAAATTAAAAAAGGATTTTTTTTTAACTCTCGCAAAATATAACAAATTTAAATTTCACAGTGGAACCCAGGTATATCACATGAAATTTTATATTATGTCCTTATCAGTATTGTAATAATTATTATCATATTTTTTGATACAGAAATATAAAATATGATTCAACTGTTTTTCCTGAGTTTCTACCATGAAACTTATGATACATTCACATCTTAATTCTTTTCTACGAGAGAATATGATTTGACTTATTATTTTATAGCTAATATAAGATTCGCTTCACTCACACTTATAAAATTTTGAACAATAATTTATATACAATATAAAATCATATAGTCTCTCTCTAAATATTTGAATTCATATTGATAGCTCTTTTTGTAACATTATGTACCACTTCCCCTTTTTTATCACAACACAATCAAACAAAACAGGTGTCATGTTTGAACAAAGCGAGAACAAATCGTCAACAATGAACAATATAAGTTTCCTTCAAATTTCTAAGGCAGAATCAAAGCAAGGTTAATCAACGTAAGTCATTTCATTATCTACATGTTCATATTATCTTATCAGACTGACAATATTTTGGTCTTTTGAAATACATTGTTATTGCGTTTAAAACATGAATAGAATATTTTCTCTCCAACTATAAAAGAATAGAATAGTGCAATAGTGGAAACTACAATACTTGCTCTTCCAATTTTATCAAAACTTACCAATAACTTGGATTTCAGAACACTTATTGCATCATCATTATTTTTGAAACACAAAGCAGCAAAGGAGAGCACAGATAAACCACATACAAAGGATCCAAAAACTTGAGTCGTTCCCACATGTCCTTCTCGAATTGCAATACTGGGATTCTAAAAAATGTTCATTGATTCAATTAATTTCAGAATAGATCGATTATGGAATAAAACCTGTATTTGCTAAAATAGAGTAGTAGACTCATCTGAAATAAGTGAACAGATAAAAAAAGAATATTGCTATGAATTATGATTGATTTACCACAATTGAGAGGAACATTTTTGGGAATCCAAAGACCCAGGTACCAAGTATAAATGTGAGTAATCCATCAATTGATAAGTGAAGACTTGTAGGATCTCCCACAGTGAGGCTGCCTTCTCTGGTTGACAACTTGGATAATTGAAACAGATCACCAATGATCAGAAGTGACACAGTTACCAAATCACATTTCAAAGCAAACTGTAAAATAAAACACCTTGTTGAGAATTGTTGCATCAATGAAAAAATAATGCATGTGTGAAAGATTACAGGATCTTCAAATCAGAGCAAAAAGATCTGGGCACTCAAAGATGAATTTGCTGTCACTATAAAAAAAATCCTGTATGCATAGGTATACATTTATTGTGTAACAAGTCTATTCAAAATGTGGTCACACAACAAACACACATAAAAAAAACGTTGTCCTTCGCAACCAAAGATATAATGAGTATAATTAGCCATTATGATTCAGCCAAAACTAAAAATTGAAATCATAGAATACGAGGCTATAGCAGCTGTACCTAGATAAAAACAAATAGCATTCCCCATATAATTTATAATAAAGTATTAGCACTTACTTTTGATACATTTTTGGTGTAGTAGAGTCCATACAGAGTGCACATCAACAATGCGGCCCGAGACTGAATAATAAGTATAGGTGATGGCAATGATTACACAAAAAGTACAATGTATTTTAAACGTTATGTATATTATTACTAATTTTAGAATTTATCAATTTCATTACTTTTTGTATTTGATTTATTATTATTTGTATTTAATTGTGTTTGTTATATTATAATTAAAAAAATAATTTCTGTATATTATTGTACAAGAAATATTTATTTCACCAATGATTATTCAAATGATATTATTCTTGAACTATGGTATATTGTCTATTAAAATCATTCATCCTACAGCTGCATGAGAGAAGACACCAGTTGCTAATAAAAACCACATGGGAATCATACCATAATTCAAATTACGGCCTTATAAGGTGTGCACTAAATTTTGAATATACAGAGGTCAATAAATATTTTTTCCTCAAATGGACATTTTTAAGAAGCAAAAGACTATTAGAAATTTGCCCATAATGAGAATTTATTAATAAATATAGATGAACTTTATGTACACATGAAATATCATTGATGGTCAAAAAATGACAATTGACAAATACAGAACAGATGTCAAACCAATGCCATGATACTGACCAGAAAACATGACACAGTCATTTCTTTTGCTCAGAACAAAAAACTATTCCAGATTAGGCGAGTAAAATGTTAAAACAAAACTCACCAAGATATTCGTTGTTGATATGGCAATTGCTACAGTTGGGTCACGAGATCTCCTGGTCAAAAATAAGGCTGCAGTTTGAGAAACTTTTGCAAGAAGCATGATTCGTAACAGGAATATGCTGAGGCTATCGACATCATAATTAACCTAAAAAAAAATATTGTATATAAAATGATTTTTCCAAGCAGATCTATTCAATCTGTCAGTCTAGAATCAAAATGAAACCGAATATACTGTAAATTAGTGGAATATGATGAGCATGTCACGACTAAATAGTCAATCATACAAATGAGGAAAGTCTGAAAAATTTGTAAAATTGATTGCATAATATAACTCTATATTCCACTTTCTTAGACTTTGAGGGGCTTATGTAGTTTCGTACCTAACATACTTCTAGTGGGCGTAGCATGAAAATTTTTTCGCGTATCAATCCTAACCCCCACTCGACTACACCATCCAAAAATTACGTGATTACGACGTCACAGTGACGTAATAGAGCCCTTCAAACTATACGAACTGCCATCCAAGACGCGCAAACGAGCACCCGAAATCGAACAGTTATTTCTCTCGTTTTCTCGTCGCAACGATTCCGATGGGAGAGAGATCGATAACGTCAGTCAGTTCCTTATCGTCGGCGCCAATGCCATTTCGGTCGATCGTGCGTATATTTGGCAAGCTCTATAACGTGATTGTGATGTCGTAGTGTTTTGATTTTTGGATAGCGTAGTCAGATGGGGGTTAGGATTGACATATCAAATTTGTTATGCTACGCCCACTAGAAGTACGCTAGGTACGAAACTACACGAGACCCGACTTTGGGATCTTGACCTGAGCTATTTAGCACAGTACTGATTACTGCTTGTCTGAGGCCTTGTTCATTGCATGTTGAAAACTTTATAAGAGAAGTTTTCTATACTTACATAAAAAGATATTGTGGTGCCAGCAAAGGGGATCATGAGCAAGGACAAAACACCCAAGACAGTTTCCATGATAATCCAGTATTGACGATTACGAAGCACTTGTAGGTACAATGTCAAACCAAATCCAATAGCGATAAAGGCAAGAAATTTATACAAATCTCCCACTGCTTCAGTATCTTTTGCAGAAGTTGATCCTGTTTTGCCAGCCATTATGAATTTTATAACTTCTCTCAGAAAACAACTATTATACAAATACAATCTGTCATCAATTTGAAAAACATGTTTTTACATTTCTATCATTTACATACACAAAATACTATTATTTCTAGATCATTTCGAATCCAGAGAATATAGACTGGCTATATATATCTAAAAATTCATTAAAATACTATCTCAATTGCACCAATCTCAGAATTCTGTTATTTCAAAACCGCTTGCTAAATTTCTGCCTGTTTTTACAATTCAGCAATTTGTTACAAAAGCAGCAGGTGGCAACGTGGAGGCAAGGTTCACGTGTGACTAATACATAATTAAAAATCATCGGTCATTGCCGAAGTCAATGAACATAGTACCGCACAGCAGTAACAATTGATCTGTTCCAATGCTTACTGGTTGTAATTAGATCGTATATTTCGAGCGCTTTGCGACAAATATTTTTATGTACAGATTACGACAACGCCAACTTTTTTGCCTAAAACACTTGGGCATAACAACTGTTGTTTGTACGTATCGTAATGCACCTGCACCTGTTCGTAGCAACTGCTATCTACGTAAAAGCAGAATAGCATAAGTTATATTCACGCGGCTTGCGCATTCTTTCTATTTTTAGCAAACCCGGCGAAATTGCTGTTCAACCAATCGTATGACAGGCACGTTACAGTGTCAGCATTTTGGATACGAGAACACGCCCTATGAGCCGTTAAAAATACAAAATTTTTGTTCCATCAGAAGAAAAATATTCGTATAATAAATATCGAATAACGGATACAATTTTCGTCGTAAACATCTCTCTGCGCCGGCAAAGATGCCGCAATTACCAACGCGTTTAGGCGGGTGAATGCCTTTTTCATACTTTCTCTACTATACGATGTCGATCGTTACTATTGTCAAATGTTTATAAACCGGCGACACGACTAAACTTGTTTCTCCTAAGTGCATACGGGTTTGTCGATGCGAATATGTATGTTCCCACCGTAACTAAAAACGAAAAGTCCGTTACCAAAAGTTTACAATTTTACCGACACAAACATCTCGAAGTTGAAACGCTTTGTCTTGTGGTCAACCAATTGGTATTTCAAAGATGTCCTACATCAAATCTTATCTGGTAGAACCCGTTGAAAATTACAGCACAGCTGTATCGTTATTTGACAACCATTATACAATACGCGAATTTTTGACAGCGGTATCGTATTTGTCTTTCAAACCAATTATCATGTCTCATCAAAATTCAAAACTTTGTTCTTATTTTCTGGCAGACAAAATAGACATTCACAATGTCCACAGAAAACCTTGTTCAGCGCAGTATTAACATCTCAAGTGGCCTAAGCACATAAGTTTTGTTAAGAACATTGACCTTGATCTCGCTCTAGTAACTATTAACTTGATCATGTCCTACGATGCTCCACTATTGCCCCTAACTTTGTGTTAACACAAATAAAATACAATTTTCACATTACATTTCATGTAATATTTTCTTAAGACGGATCTTCCAGAAATAAATCATAAAAGAAGTCAAGTTTGAAAGAGAATAAGAATATCTAGTCATATTATGTCAAAATCATATGTGGTAAACAGATATGTACCATAATGACAGGGCAAAATTGAGACTAACAAGAAAAAGATAAGAATAGAAAGCTAGCTGCCACCATTGTCTGAAAAATGGAACATTTACAAAATTCAAAACACAGCAGGAGTTATTGAATTCAGCAATCATGCAAATAACAACAAATTTAGACAAAAGCAGAAACCTCGACTCAGATTTTGAAATGGAACATATCTACTTTATAACGAAGGTGTCTACTCTAAACCAGTTCCAAACAATGCCCAAATATTCATCCCCCAAATGAAGTTTTGTCAGTCGCTTCAAGATCAGAGGACCAGGATCCAGCGAACAGCTAGACAATCCTAATAAGCTCATGTATGAGGATATAGAGACCAATGAAATTCCAATTTTTCTCTTTAGAGAAACCTTTCATGTAAATAAACAGGACTTCAAAACATAAGAGAAAGTTGGATGGATACCATGAAATGGCTTGGAATGAAATTCCTATAAAAAAAAATTTGATAGTCTATACAGAATGAAAAATGTCTATCCCCGTTGCTATAGTGAACTATTATTGCTATTAGCAGTCACAATCTTTTTAAAAAAGAACTGTACAAGTGGTACAAATGGCGACTTGCATTTTCAGTCAACAATAAACAGTAGGAATGGATGTACTTTTTCTAGAGTTGAACTTATGGAAACTGCATGTATGATAACATCATGAATTATATCAAGATCTTCGTCGAGATGTGCTTCTGCTTCTTGAATAACTTCTTGATCTGCTGCGTGACCTGACAATCAAAGTAAGAGATCTAAGTATTCTTCATTCAAACAAGGGCATGAAATGGTTGTAAAAATTACATTTAACACAAAAACAAAATCGAACAGTTATTTTTTTCAACCATTTTACTAACCTGCTGGAGTATTCACTATCAGTTGAATAATCTCTGCTGCGTCTCCTGAATAAAAAAACAACATAATCATTACCACTATTCTCCATTGTACTAACACAAATGAAAGTTGGCATACATTGTAACTTTGCCATTACACCAAACAGCCTAAATATTTCAAATTGGGATAGATTGAAAATAGTACGAATATATAACAATAACATACAGCCATTTAATTCTTGAACAATTACATTATGAGTTAGCAACAAGTAGTAAAACTGAATTGATGTAAAGGCACATGTCCACAATACCTTGCACTTGAACGTCTTCCGTGAGAACGTGATCTACTGCGACTTCTTGATGAATAAGAATCATAACTGAAAATCAATGGAATCGGAGATAATATAATTAGTAACAGGGTTTTTAATTATTTGAACAAGGACTGCGTAGCAGAAGAACAAATTACAATTTCCCTTCTCTCAGTTGAAAATAAGAAACTTTGACTTATTTTGAAAATTCATGCTTTTGGCCTCCAGAAATATTCCAGCAGCAAGTTTAAAATGCGACTCGGCTCTATGTCAGACTAACTGAATAGAACTTATTAAATATAAAACTATCCATTAGTCTGATGAAAAGTTTAGAAATGAAGTAAAATGTACCTGGATGAACGTGAACGAGATCTGTGTCTGCATTTGTGTGATGAACGGGATCGATCAGAACTGCAACGAAGAAAACTCATCATTGGGTCATAACCAGGGTTGAGAAATCAGAGTCAGATGTGGTATATTATTATTGATATGTAGTCAGAACCGAAATTCAAACTTTATGGAGTCAGGAGACAGAGTCGAATCAGAAATTTCAAATTTGTTGAAGGATGATTAAAGATGTAATGGCGGTCAAAATTTTAGTTAAAATAAAAAAAAGCATTAAGTTGACTTAAGCAGTCATTCTACATACATATGTCAGGCGTGCATACCCCAGTTTCGCATATATACTCAGCATACAAAGTTTTTTGAAGTTAGGAGCAAGAGCCTGTGTTTGAATGTTTTGAACCAGGAGTAGTTTGGAGTCTGCTACTGGTCTTAACTATTACTGAACAGAGTTGAACAAATCGGGCCAGTTTTAAAATGAACACATTGGCCTATATTCCATCGATTATAATTCCAATATACAACAATGAATTTTAAAACATACCTGCTATAGTAACTATCATAGGATGAACTTCGACTTCTTCGTGAACCAGAATGCTTTGACCTTGATCTGCGTTTTGAGTGAAAACAATTTAACCTTGAATTACGTTTCATATTAAAATGACTGAAATATTGAATATTGACACTAACATATGTAAGACAATGAATAATACAGGATTCAACCCCAAAGGACGAAACTTGAAAAATTGAAGAAAAATAATGGAGACAAATATTTTTGAACCATTAACTACTCCAACTTTTTATAGAAACACTTTGGTGAATATTGGTTCAAACTTTGATCATTTTTTATTCAAAAATTCAATATTTGCCCTTTTGTCTTGGAACCCTTGAGTAAGCATGTGCAGAAAATAGAAATATAAAAATAAAATGAAGTAAACACATACATGGTTGGAATTTGCTGAAGAATGTTATGATTTAAATTCTGATTTCTTATGTAATTTAATGTTAGAAATTAGAACCAGCAAAATTAGCATTCATCAACCTTTTTTTATCAAATTATCTTGAAGTAATCAAATGAAGAGAAACAAAACACCAACCTTCTGCTCCTGTCCCGAGATCTTGACGAAGAACGAGATGAATCTGATGAATAAGAAGATGACGAACTAGATCGATGTCTTCCACGATATGATGCACGCTGTTTATTTCTTGATTTCCTTTCTTCTAATGATGGTGCAGGTGAAGGTAACCTCTCGTCATTTCTGAAAGTTGATAATTGAAAATGTAGTTTATCGTATAAAACAGGGTTGTGGAATCAGAGTTTAGCATGTTCTCATTGAAGTCCGAGTCATATTTTCGAACTTCCTGGCATCAGGAGCTAGAATTGTCAACTTTCAATGGTGATAAAATTAAGCTAAAATCACCAGTAATCAAATCTGATTGCTATAGTAAGAAATTGACCTACTTGTCTTCCCCAGCAAGGAGAGTCGATAATCTTTCACTTGTTATGTTTTTCTTTTTAAATAAATCAGTAACAGCGTCATCAGATAATTTGCAACACTCTAAATAAGAAAAGTAAGATATCGAGTTATGGCAATGGAATAGATATCATAAATCAGTGGCTAAATTTGTGCTAAGTTGTTATATTATTCTCTACAATTGCTATTGCTAATTAAAATCGAGTGATCTATGAATGCTCTAGTGAAATATTTTCAGCTGGGTAAAATAGGCACAAGTGAAGAATCAACTGAATACAAAATGAAATCTGCCTTTTCTGCAACGCTCACATGAACTAATAATATGTGACATAAATCATAATCAATCAAAGCCATTAAATCATTATGTGTATACTATGCAGAAAATCGTGTAAAAAAGGCAAAAAATACTACGAGAACCACCAACTTACTTCCTTTGGGTTCGGGAGGCTGAGAAGGGAAATCTGAAACAAGAAGACAAAGAATAATTATAAAAAGAATTATTTATTTATTTTATTTACTTGTATCTAAGCTAAGGATAGCCAAAACAAAAAAATCTGCCATCCTGGATATATTTTAAATACTTTAGAATATGTAACATTGAATATATTCTATGCATATAACCTAGCAATTCGAGAGTAACAAAAATTTTCGTTAACATAAGACCAATGAGGCAAAAAAACTATTTTGCTGGTTCAGAGGCATGAAAAAAACAAGCACAGCTATATTTAGTAGTTCGGAATGACTCTGCCCTCTGTCTTAGTATATGAAACATATTCCGAGTAACAAATGTCATCAGGTAATACTTTTAGATTCTGAGATTCCATTCGGCATATTTTTACGGATATTAAGCACTAGATTAAAAAATCCATTTCATATAAAGATTTCACTTACTTTCTTCTGGCAGTGGAGGTGGACTATCAGCATCCGGTAGTGGGGGCATGTTAACTGGCATAGGAAGTGGGGGATGCGACATTGGATATCGCATATTCATTGGATGCATGACAGGCGTGTTGTTATATGAGAATGGTGGGAATGGGTAACCTCTTGGAGGACGCATCCCCATTGACATTTGGTAAGGGTAAGATGGGGTTGGGAAAGACATTCTTGCCTGTTGAGATGTTGTAGGAAATAGAGCCTGATTTGGAGACATTGCACTGTTTTTTTGAAAATCGTTTTCAGGTTCTGGAACGTCACTTGTAGTTGTAGTTTCTTCATTCGTAACATCAGCTGAAATACTTTCTGGTTCCTGTGATTTGGTATTATCTGTAATCTGTGGTTGCGTAATATCATCATTATTTGGTTTGTTATTATCAGTTTTGGGTTCATTTTCCTTTTCACGATGTTTTCTCAAACTTCTAGCAATCATTTCAAATGAAGTCAACGTAATTTCTTCTTTTTTCTTTTCCCTTTTCTTCTTTTTATGTTTACGTTGTTTCTTTTTGATATTATTTTCTTGTTGATTGTCATCAATACTTTCATTTTTTAGTTTTTCATTGTTATTTTTATCCTCTGTCAGCGGTGGCTGTGCAGGAAGTTTGATGTTAATTTTTATCGTCTTCTTAGTAGATTGTAAATTAGCAGGAGTCCAGTCTTCTTCGCTTTCACTAGATTCAGTATCCTCCCTGGCGAGATCATATTGTTGAGCACGAAAAGATGGCAGGTTTTTTACTTCTTTTTTGGTCTGTAAATCTTGATGCATTTGTGCGTTATTATTCCTGTTATTTATCTGATCATCAGTATTTTCTTTTTTTAAATTATCCAATATCTTTGTTTCCACTGAGTTACTCTTATCATTGAGTTTAGTGATATTATCTTCGGGCCAAATGCTGTCTAAATCTGCGTCAAAGTGTTGTTCTTCACTTTTCTCAATCTTAACTTCTGTAGAAGGTTCCATCTTAATCACTTTTGGCTTTGGTGTGAACTTTGGCATTTTTCCAAAACCAACAGTTACTTTGTTTTCCATCTGTCCATGAACATCTGAACTTGACAAATTATTTTCTATTTCTTCCGGTTCCGTCTTTATGTTTATGCTTTCCCCTTTTTGTCGTTTCTTAAATTCTAACAATGACTTTGCCCTTTTTTCAAAAACATTTACAGATGCTTTACCATTTGTTGAAATAGTCCTATCAATACCAGAAGACAACATTTTATCGATCTCATCTTCTTGAAATCCATTATCCAAGGTTTCTACAAAGAAATTAGTCATTTTAATCATCAAAAAGTTAATAAATTCAGTTGGACCAGGGACTCGAGGGACTATAAAATCGAATGAATATAATAGTAACACAATAAATGGAGTAGTAAGTAATGAAACAAGTCATTCCATAGTTGCATGGCCAACTTATGGCATAGGCTTCTGAAAAATATAAGTTGAGAATTGAAACACGAAGTAACAAATAGGAAAACGATCAAAGACATCTATGTCTGGCACACAAGCAAAATACCTAAGTATTACAGAATCCTGGTGGGAAATAATCAGATGAAAATGAATATTACTGCAATGAGAAAAAAATTCAGTAATTCATGTTGTTCACCTTGGATAGAATCGAATTGAATATCATTTTGATTTTCAGCTTTCATTTCAATACTTTTCTTTCCATTGTGCTTTGTAATCTTCATAGCTTTGTTTGGTTTCTGTGTTAAAACAAATTCCACATTGAATGTTATCTTCATGAAACAAAAAATGAACAAACATGATAAAAAACATTTTGGTAACTGTTTGGACAAATCAGAGTAAATTTTAAATGCCCTCAGCAGAACTGAACATGAAAATTTATTTATAATATTTTTATTATTTATTAGTATTTTTGTAAATGAACTAAATCCCAAATAGTTGTGGAAAAAACTAGTTTAAAAGTTTTTTTTGTTGCCGCCAACTCCTCCAGAAATATTCATTATCCATTACATTTACCATGGAATTTTTGATTGGAGATTTCTCTTCTACATTGTCTTCTTCTTCTTCCCCAAATTCTAACGGAGGTTGCCACAACAACTGTTCTGCCTTCAATTTCTTCTGTTTTTTTACTTTTTCAGCTTTACGTACACTTGCAGCCGTCATAACAGCCTTAGGTTTATCTTCTTTCTAAAAAAAGAAAATCATTTTCTAAACTTGTAAAGTTTGGTATTTGTGAGTAGTAACCCATATTTAACTTATTATTAAAGCTAGTGGTTAGAGAGCTGGACCTAACAATGTCAACATAACAGATTAAATAAATATCCAGAGTTCAATCCTCACGCCCACCACCTGGTTGCGCGTATCAGGCGTTGGTAGGCAAAGCCGAAACAGAAAGTGTGTCTCACCAATACTAACTAGCAACTCCTCATTTATCAAGGACTGTTTTTACAAAGCCTTGTTCAGCCCTGAGTTGTGTCTGAAAGTACACTACTCAGAAAAAAAAAATTAAAAAACACAATTTATGTTATAAATAAATTTGGAATGTATTGAAAAATCAGGCATTATACCGATTATTCAACAATTGATATTCAATTTAAGATAATTTTGTTTATTCCTATGCAGCATTCATACTTAACAATAACACTGTTGTAGATATGCAACATACTACTCATATAGCTATAAAAGCAATACCAACCTTTGATTTGTTCATTTTATTCTTTAATCTACTTTTTTCAGAATAGGGATCATATTCAGCAGATGATGAATTGTTCTGAACTTTTCCTGTTAAATATAATACTTGTGAATTGTGATTACTTATTAAGCATGTTACTCAGCAAGAATTCTATAGTTACAAAATACATAAAACCCGGTAAAAAAGAAAATGACAAAAATAATATGAGGATACTTAATCTACAACCAAACTGAAATAGACCATGGTATAATTGTTCAAAGCCAAAGCCTCGGCCAAAAATATAAGTTTAACAATGAAACCTTCAAAGTACAGACTATATCTACAATAAACTATTTTTAACTTTTGTTTTAAGCTAAATTTGGAGAGTTGATTTAACATCGCAACATCCTTCGATAACTATAAAATACCTGCAGTTTTTTCCTTCAAATTTTTGTCTTCAGTATTCTTCTGTACTTTTACTTTATTCACATTAACAGTAGAAATTTTCGTATTGGAGCCATTTTTGTTGGGCGATAACTTTGTTTTCTTTCTTGATGAAGATGAAGTGTTTGAACGAGAAGATCGCGAAGTTGAAGATGAGCGAGAAGAAGAATGACTCGCACTTCGACTTGATCTTGAGCTGCTTCTGTTAAATATAATTCATATATTAAGTATATTCCCGAAAAATTATCTTGTAGTAATTGATTGATTGACATTGCCAATTGCATATGAATTGTGGTAAATAAAAGTAAATACAAAATATGAAACAATAAAAGCATTACAAAACAAACACAATTGCCTGTGTTTATCAACAATTGATTGTTACAAAACATTAGTGGTTGAAAATAGCATCGTTGGGTCAAAATAAAAAGTTGAGTGTATACACAGACCACTAGTGGTACATATACTTGGTCCTGCTCCGAAGCTTGATCACCCTAGGCTAGTAAGATAAAATTCTTGAGAAATGTGCTTGGAGAAACTATTTTGGCAGCAATCAAAAGAATGGGGTTGAATTGAAAACAAATTCTTCACCTTACACACATGGCACAGAAGCCAATAAATAGTTCCTGATGCACAGGATTAGTATTGTATAGAAAGTCATAATTGACCAGCAGGTGCACAAATATTCTTGAAAAAATCTTCCTGCCAATTTTAGATATCCTATATAGCATATAGCAGACCACAATTTCTTTCAATCTCCACCCTATACATATCAATTTATACATCATACCTTGAAGTTGAACTTCTTCTCCCAGAAGATTTTGAAGATGCTCTATGTAATCTTCCTCTTCTCTTGGGTGATCTGATGACAACAAAATATATTGATAAGAATGCACACCCTCCTACCAAATTTACGCTCACACTCCACAAAATAGGCTTTCCGCAGGCAGCCGCTAAGCTAAGCTAATGTTAGTTTATTCTGAAACATGTATGGCGACAGAACTTTGAATAAGGAATTGTAAATTCTAAACATAGGCTGCTACAACATCATGGTTGCAATGCTTGAGTCTATATTTCCTTAGAGCTGGCACAACATTTTATATTCCTTACCTCCACGTCACTAGTCTGGTCAAAAATACCCAAATATTGTACTTTACTGACTTTACACTAGGTCAGAAATGACGAACTACTGACCCACGAGTCACAAAGATACAATTGACATAAAGTATAAAGATACAATTGATTTGCTCATTACTCGCAACTGGTTTTGTAACAGCCTGTTGAAGGTGCATTACAAAAGGGGTCGCAGCAGAATGTTTTGGGGGGTATACAAAAGCTAGATGCTACACCGCTGTTTGATTCTTCCAGCATACAATGCCGTTTGGAGAAAAAAAAATTTTATTGTCTTACTTAAATGACCACAGAAATGGAAAAAGCGAAGCAGCAGAATTTTAGTGACAAATAGGCTGAATTTATATGACTTGGGAGCCAATTTAAAAATAATAATTCTCTCATTTGAATAATTCTCACTCTATGAAACCATGAAAAGATGGTTTTTGGGTATGCATGTGAATTCGTGTTTTTTTTTATACATGTACATGAACTTCATAAAGTCGAGTACCATGAATCGCCAAATATGTGTGCTACATGTCATGTGCAAAGCTCAAAACTACATATGCTAAGACTTGTTGACAAGTTGCAACTGCAACTTTTCTCTATACCTGCACTAGGTATTACCAACCTTGATCGCGAGTGGGAACTAGTCCGAGAGGATGAGTTTCTTCTTCTTGAGTGTCTTGACCGTGAATTCGATCTAGTGTAACTTCTTCGTCTATCCCGAGAGTAATCCTGACGTCTGTATCGCTCACCAGATCTAGAATTATCAGAGATTTTTTCACTTAAAAATTAAATATAAATTAAATATTTATTCATATGAAAATACATATTAAAATCTTTCCAACAAATTTTGCGTTCAGGAATTGTTGTACCAAACCATGTTGCTTGCGAATTAAAGATCTTAGGTAAGTTCAAACCCCATGCCCACCACTTCACCCAGGGTGTAGAACAGGGGTGATAAGGGTTTTTGGAGCAGGGGCCAAAAATATTGCCCATCTAGACTGGCAGGCAATGTAAGTGTGACGAAAAAAGTTACATTTTATGAACAGAATGCTCAACATTATGGCAAGAATTCGTAAACTACAAACAAACAAAAAACGTTGAAAGAGCATTATGGGGATGTTACCAAAACTTTGTCGGCACTAAATTGAAGCTCTAGGCTGCGGGTGAAAAAGAAAGTGGCATGAGGAGCATGAGCAATTTATGGCAACATCAGATGGGCTGGATTGAATCATCCAACATGCAGGATTCTGGCCGTGTGCTGTAGTTTGCCCATGTCAGGATGTTTGTACAGAGCCTAATTTGGAATGAAGGTGTGGAGACGACACATTAAAATAGGAGAGAAATCCCACCTGCTCCTTGATCTAGATCTGGACGATGAGTATCTACGGGATCGAGATCTGTGTCTCAATTTCCCACTCAATGAACTACTTGCTTTATGATAACCAATAGCAGCAAGTTCAGCTTCTGCTTTTAAAAGAACGTTACGAGCTTGCTCGAATAATCTTGCTGAGGATTGCCTTGATGATTTGTTAATTTTCTTTGATGATGAAGGCTTTCCTATCCTCCCAGATTTTCTGTATCATAAATTTAAATAAAAGGTAACAATAATCTTGTATATAAAATAACAAAAAACAAAATATCACAACTGTAACCTAGACTTATTAATTAAACGAAAGATTTATGATGCTCTGTTTTCAACTTTTTAAACATACCGGTAATCATTTTCAAGTGCCCATACTAACAATGAATTATTAATTTCATAACTAGTCTTGCAATCACATTACTAAAGACGAAATTATTTTTGAATTCTAAAAAAAAAAAATGTTATTTACCTGGTTACAGATGGTGATGATTTTACAGAACTATTTTCAGAAATTCTTCTTTTCTTTGATACCCGGCTTGAAGCTTGAAAAGAAATCATATTATCAAACCACCAGGTTCTGTTTGTGGCAGCATAGCAACAATTTTCAGTATTAGAATCAGGCTAAGATTATTGTGAAATTTTAGTAATGTTTTCTACTTAGGACCAGCTATATTTTGATCCATTAGAATTTAGTATAGATTTCACGTATTACCAATATATATGAATATATATAGCCTACATAGAAATGGGCTCAGTCTATGAGAAAATTTTAACTCATTTTTTTTTTCAGTTTCTGTTGAGGAATCAAACACTAAAACAACTTCCCAAATTGAATAAACATTTCATTGAAAATTATTTAAAATTTTAGAAAAAATTGAAATACAAAGATATATAATAGTATTATAAGTTAACAAGTAAATTCTAATATTTTTCATCACAAATATTGCTCCATTAGGACTTACATAGTAAATTTGAGAAAAGCGTTTATAGAATGCATTATGAATGGCATATTTTCAATTATTAAGTAAATTATTCGATCATCTCTGTTTGACATCTTCCACTTACTTGCTTCATGCCAAGCTCTGTCATTGACATCAGAATCACTCTCATGTCTGGTACGAATATTTTTCAATTTTTTCTTGTTCTCCCTTTTTAATTCACGTCTCTTTCCTTTCAACAATTTGTCAGCACCGAGAACACCAGTTACTGGTTGTTTAGGTGAAGCAGTTTGTATCTTAATATGGTCAGGAGGTTCGGGAAGCTCTGTGTTGGTCACTGGAGGCAAAAAATATTTGATACAACAAAAATGAAGCTAAAATGTATCATTCAAATAGCAGACCTTTATGAAAGCAAGAATTGCTTATTTATATTTTAATTTTGCTAAAATTTCCTGTTTATATTGATAGTTTCTATATCAATATTATCTTTACCTAGTATATTGTTGGAAAGACACTTAAAAAAAAATCATTTATATAGTGGAAAATAAATATGTGAGTAATATGAGACTCAGATCTGTGGAATGTGGGGTAATTTGCACACATTTTAACAGTGAATCCAAATTGATCGAAATTTTGATTTTGACGGTTCCTAACTTTAAAACCAAATTTTGATCACAAAAACTTTGCCATACTAAGGTCTTCTTAATTGGACTGCCGACAATGCCTAATAAACTTAGTGCTTAATGCGTCAGAAAATTTGACTGGGACCACCACATTTTGAAGTCCGATATTTTGACTTCAAGTTGGAACAGACTCCTGAATGTTAGAAGATATGGTCCGACACCACGATCAATACAAACCATGCCAAACTCAAACCCTGACTCAAAGTCTTGTTCTATTGATAATTTATTTGACTGAGATTTATTTTTTGATTTTCACAATATTAATTACTTTCTGTCCGCTTCTTACTGCTAAATACTTATCGATTTTAATCGGTAAGTATGTTGATAGGTATTTGTCTGTCCGTTTGTCTGTTAGATGCACGCGATATCTCACGAAAGCGAGATTGAATCTGTTCCAGATTTTGCATGTGCATTCATCATATTTCGTACCAGAAGCCTATTGATTTTGGATGAATTATGACGTATAATTAGCGAGTTATTAATTAATTAGTGATGGGACACAAGGTGTCACTATGGAGTAAGAATGCTGTTTTGGGGGATCCCCTAACTTTCGATCGATAAGTTTCGGTTTCTGACCGATATTCTCGTTTTATTCTTTTTAATATCTAAAAGTAAATTCACATTGCACTTTCCGGTATATAGAAAACACTAGTATCAGGATCACTATAAAAAAATACCATTATTTGCAGAATCATCTTCATCTGTACTGTCCCACTTGCTTTTAACAACTCCTCTTTCAGCTGAGTATTTAGGTGAATTTTGGTTAGCCTCAGGTTCAGGTTGTTCCACTACTGAATTAGTTGTTTCATGTGCCTGTAGATTTAATGAAACCTATCTCTTTAAAATTCCGACAATTGTCGAATAAACATTCTTTCAGTCGCTATAAAATCTGTTTCTTAGTGGTTTATGATGCATTTTGCACATTTTAGTAGGGTTTCCAACAGTCTAATATATGCGAATACCAAAAGTAATTCAACTGTTTTGAGTTACCAAAACGAAAAATTATGTTACCATAAGCGTCAGAAAAACTGTGAACAGTTGGGAGATTTGATTAAGCTGTAGATAACTTGGAAAGCATTAGTATCTGAAATCAAGGATAGCAACGAAAAGTTATTTATTTTGGCCAGTTTTATGCTACTGTTCATTAAAAATTTTGGTTTGGACTGTTGATGGGCGATAGATGCATTTTTCATTTTTGGTATTTAACTTTGCTTCTGCCTTAGTTTTCAAGGTTGGTATTTGGATAACTAGTAGATCAACAATAATCAAGTACAGCTAATTCGTCAGATCATCAAGACAATTCCAAATAGCATAACATTAGACGAACAATCATATCAGAGCAGTTTTCCACATTTTTTTGTCAAGAAGTAAAAATTTACAATGCATATAGAATAAGCTTAGTAAAGCCACATTCAAAAATACAAAAACAGCATAAAACTGTTTGTAAAGTAACCACTTGAGTTGACTTCAGAATTACTATTACTTCAACTGATTCTGTCCCATCTTTTTCTGGTTGTTGTAAAGTTTTGGATTTTCTATTGTACGATTCTTTTGATTTCTTTGATTTTTTCCTACGTCTTGAACTATTAGACTTTGTAGATCTTCGCCTTTTAGGAAAGAAAAATAAACAAATTGCTCATTTACTGTTATCGTTGTGTACATATTATATAAATTATATATATTGAGCTTGATATGACTATAGTTGGAGGAAGAATCGGAAGTGAGAAAAAATATTTATGTGATGACATTTCCGAAGTATACAAACAGTTTCGATTCAAGATTCCAAATTATTAGATTAGTAAATTAGATTTTATCACCTACTGTACCTCTGTATATGACAAATTGTTGACAGATATCGATAATAAAGCTCTATTGATATTACTCACATAAAACCTTTCTGACTAATTATGTAACGAGTATATATAGTTTGGAATACTATAATACAATTTTTATGCAAGCATATTAAAAAAATAACAAAAGAAACCTTTTTCTCTTTGACTTGTCATTGTACCCTGGTGGCAAAGCAGGTCCTTCAATGGTCAGACTAAAATTTAAACAGTAAGGTGAATAATGAGAACATAAACAAGGGAGCAAATGAATAAACACAAAGTTCATTTTCATAGCATTCAAATGCTTTAAATCAAAATTTACATATAGGTACAAGCAGGTCATGTTGGGACTATAAGGTCGTGGCTGAAGACAGGGTTTGAATAAAATAACTAGACGGATTTTAAATCAGACTTATATTTTTTAAGCAGTTTCAATGCAATTATTATCATTTCCACTCCACAGTAGAAGGCAGATGCAATAATAGGGACATACTCTAATTCCTTCGATTGTGCGCCATTTTTTTGTGGCTTTTTCTCTTCCCGCAGTTCTCCTTCTTCATATCTAAAATAAATATATAAATATTCAACAATTATAGATGTAACATCACAAAAAAAAGTTACATCCTCAAGATATTTTAAAGAGATATAACTAGGATAGAATTCAAGATAAAAGATCTTGGGTTCAAAAGTCTGATATTTCATCTGGATATAAGGCGAGTAACAGTCGCCACTTACTAATATGGGTCAAATTGTTTATGTTTTATTCCAGAATCAAACTGTATTTCTTAACATAAAGATGATTTAAATCATTTAGAGTTTCTCTGATATTCAAATCCTTCGACTAGTCCAATTACTTACTCTTTGCTATCATTCAGATGGTCATCAGGATTAGACCATTCTCCCTCACTCAAGCTATCTATTCGTTTCCTGGTTTTTGAATCGTCATCACTTGCCCATGGTGAAGTCACCCTGTTAAATAGTAAACAAAAGCACACAAGAGTTAAATAAACCATAATAACAGTTTTTCTCAGGATGACATCAAAACATAATAACTCATATAGAAAAAAATGTAACTGGATACGCAACAACCAAACTGAATAAATCAAAACTAAAAAGTGAACACCAAAGATAAGGGAAACTTAAAGAAAATTGTGATGTTAGTGAATTGAAAAATAGTGTGATTGTGTATCATACTAACCTGATGAAGCTTAAGCCATACATTTTGACATAGATTAGCAACATGCAGAAAAAAATAACACGAAACAAGGCATGCAACCCAAAACAAAGTGTATTACATTGATAAGCAGTCATCAACGAATACCCTATGTATTATTTGTGTATGTAATCAAAGCATTGATGGCAACTGGCCTCATTAGAAAATCAACTATTGTCTAAGCTTGTTCAAGCACCAATTTATGGCTGACAAATATTACTAATAATCTTACCCTATGGTCGCTGATGACAACATGAAAATACAAGGTTCAATTATGAAGGAAGGAAGTTGAACATGTTATAGGATTAGATTATTCTGCGAATTAGGTCAATGTATAATACTATATTACACATAAATATGCTACCATGGTACAAAATATTTCCTAGCAAATGCCATTGACTTAAATGCTAAATGACATAACACAGATTAGCACTGAGTTTTACAAGAACCACATATTTGATTGAATAAAATTGGTATGAAATAAATTAATTTTCTAATTGAAAAAATTTCGATCCTAATATTATTGTGAATATTTGTGGCAATAATATATTTATTAAAAGACTGAGAAACTAAAACTGCAACACTATCAGAATATAAAATTATAATTGATATTTTACAACTATAATTATTATTAGACTCCACCCCGTGCTGAAATATTTTCAATTGACGTTGTCCAAGAATAGCAAAATGCAATAAATAGCTCATTAGAAGGTGTTAGCATTAAGTTGAATTTTCAGACACCACACGTACTACTGGGCAGGAATTAATGTTATGTATTTGTAAATACATGCATGACAATGATGAATAACTAACACATAAATTTGTTAAAGTTTTGGACCACCGAGATTATGAGTGACATAAACCAAGAACAGAAGTGGTTCACTGTATCACTTAGCAAAAAATTTAAGTTTTTTTATTCAACACAACAAAGATAATTACTATCACTAAGTTTTACCATAATATTTCATTTGAATACAAAATGAAGATTTTCATAAGAACATGTTAATCAAAACATGAAAATTATTAAACCAGAAATAGGCCTCTACAAAAATTGAGTCGAATGTTTAAAAAAGTTGAGATTATTTCACCCACTATTTCACAAAGCTAAAGTAATTGTGGCATGTTCCACAATATTTATTGAAATGAAACAAACTGAACATTTAAAGAAAAGTGTGGCAGCATGCAAAATTATTGATAAAAAACCTACGGCAAATTAGTTTTGCTGTGAAATTAAAAGGCATGCTGAGTAAACACCACTACAACAACAATACAAATTCAAACACTATTGAAACTAATATTAATGATTTTCTGGGTCTCAATATGTATATTTCAGTATGTAAATTGTCTCCTCTATTCCAAATCCAATTTTGATTGACACATATGTATCAAAGTGGTGGCCAATGAAAAGATTGAGTCCTTTCCCCAATATTAAAGAAATTATACAAACCAGATAATTATGGCATACAAAGCATGAGCGTCAAAAATACCAAGTTGTAAGAAATACCTAATCTGATAGCTCATGATTTACATATCATAATTCAGATTTCCAAATGGGGGCAGAGAGGTTAGATATCATTTCTTACCTTTCCGCTTATATTGTATTAACCTTCATACAAAACCATAATGCCTTCGCTGGAAGAAACAAAAACGTGTGGCGTTTAGAATATATATTTCAACAGAAAGAGTAATTTTTTTAATATTACAGGTTTAAAAAGTTTCAAGTCAGTAGTTGTCATAAGCTGCCAAGCCTCTAATTATAAAAATTATTCAAAAAAAAAGGTTTTACAAAATAAATAACTTACCAGTATTAAGAATAGTCATCAGCTAGATTTTAGACAAAAATTTTTGACAACAATTATGCTCTTGTGTAAAGAATACGTTCTAAATCCTATCACATATGCAAGCTATAGTTCTGAGTATTTTCTCCTACGAGATGGTCAATAATGTGACTACTGATACTTCAATGAAGGTCTGATTCATCAGTCTGGGTATAATAAATTACTATTTGGAAAACTTGCTAAGTATTGACATGTACAATTTAAAATGGAGAGAGACAGTGTCTGGAGAAATGTCCTGAAAATCAGCCTATACGCCTAACGAGTATAAGAAAACTGTACATATATATATTTGTATCTTGGTGTTTAATGAAAAAATTAACTTGAGAGCAACGCATATAGTACATACCTTCATATCTGTTCCATCAAACATCACACAAAACACCATCACAACCAAATATATCAACTATAATGCATTTATTCAACAAACTCAGTCAGAATGAGGGCAATATTCATCAAGATATTTCCAGCAGTTTGAGTAAAAAGATAACAAAAAATGCTAACTAACATTTTTAGGCTTGGCAGCATGTTCCCAGTGGTAAAATTGCTTAAAACATCCGAACCAAAATGTTACAGAAAAAATAAAAATAAAAGTTCAAGAATACATTGCAACATATTAATTACAAACCAAAAGTTTCAGCCGATACATTGTAAAATCAAATTCCAAATGTCAGTTAAAAACATATCGTTGTTTTGTTTAGTTATTAAAAAGCAATTTTACAATGGGACCACAGACATTATTACTGACAAAAACATTACTTAATAAATGAATTAACAGGTATTAAGAAATAGGTACAAAATGTTCGAATTAATAGCACAATATTGTACTTAGAATTACTCCACACGGCAGTGTTTCAGTTCCAGCGAAGTTACATTTTAAGACAAAAAGAAAACAGGATGAGATGATTAGTATTTTACCAATATGGACCAATAACTTTAACATTTATAACCTGAAAATAAAGTGTTATTACATATAACAAATCAAATAACTGAATAACATTGAATAGGTTATCAAGGCCATAGTATTAGTGATGGACCAGCTCATAAAAAAACAAAATACCATAACTCAAGTCTGCTATAGATCATTTTAGACTTTTAAGTTCTATTAGCACAAGCTTCTATAAGAGTTACCCAGATATTGATTAAAAACAAGACATTCATGATTAGGTAAATTCTGAAGCAATTGGGACCAACAGCTAAAAGTGAAATTCTGTATTCCAAAGGCACCCCAAGGCTAACAATATTCTGATGGCCGTGGCAAACTTGACTCTGCACAATTCAGGCGTCACAAAACAGTCCAGTAAATTGATATCGAATAGCACCATGATAGTTGTAAACGAAGAGGTGTTTGAGCATCAAAAAGAAACGTGCTGAAGAACTTCGTTCTATCCTGCATCAGTTGCATCGCAAAGATTGTATTCTTCTACTGCAACAGACATTGTCAAGATATGACATGAACTATTGTTATCACACAATTAAAATTGGAATTCAAATTTTCGAAGATAAAAGTAATCAGAATTCATGTTTAGAATATACTACCATCTCGGAAAAGTTTTATACGTGAAATAGTTGTGCTTTGAAATACGCCATAAAACAGAGAACGACTGGTTGTGGAGATTAGTTTGCTTAGATTAGAAAAAATAATTGGCAACAATCTCTTGTTAATAGCATAATTTAGCACTGATTGAGTGAGTCTTGGCCAAGCCTATATGAATTTAACTCAAGTTATCTTGCCCATAACTACCTAAATTACTCCAATGCAATGCAACTATCAGCTGTATTCATCAGATAACATGTTCCAAACATCAATGATCAGAATCTGAAGAAGACTTTTTTGAAGAGTCTGAGCTTGTACTGGATTTTCTTCTTCTATGATGATCAGAATCATGATCATCTTCTTTCTTTTTTTTATCGGTAGATTTAGAACGAGATGTTTTGTCTGATGACCGCCTTCTTTTCCCATCTTGAGATCTAGAGCGACTTCTGTGTGAATTTTTTCTTGACCTAGACCTATGACTTCGGGATCGTCTGTCATCTCTTGAACTTCTACGTCTTCCATGAGAACGGCTGCGTGATCTTCTTCTAGAGCGGTCACGACTTTTACTCTTTGAATGATGTCGGTCACGAGACCTACTGCGTCGAATATTTCTATGAGAAGGTCGTGAGTACCTACCATGGGAGCGAGACCTGCTTCTTCGATTGTATGGGCGCGAGGAGTATCTTGTGGAGTATGAGGATCTTTTGGGCGATCTGCTCTTAGAGCGTCTCCTTGAACCATGTGATCGAGATCGAGACCTTTTTCGGCGTGGTGATCGAGATCTTTTACGATGTGGTGATCGAGATTTGCTCCTGCTGTGTTTTCTCTTTCTTGAAGATGAACGTGAACGCCGCTTCCGGTCTTTAGAGCTGGAATGAGTTTTCTTTTTGTCAGGTGTTTTCTTTTTCTCCTTATCATCCGATGCTGTGGTATTCTCACCATTCTTGACCAACTTTTCACTCTTAGTGGATGAATCAGCTTTGCTAGAGTGATTTTTACTTTCTTCTTTAGATTTTTTGGAGGCAATTTCCTTATTTGCAGCAACGTTTTTTTCTAGTTGTTTGATAGGTGCTTGAATGTGTTCTTCTTTCTCACCAATGCTCATCTCTTCGACTTCCTCAGTTACTGCAGTATCATCAGTGGTTGAATCCTTATTTCTTTTGATTTCATTGCTGCTTTGTTTTTCTTCTTCAGACTCCACGGAAGATACATTATGGGGCTGTGAAGCAGAATCACTATCATATGAAGTTATTACTGCTTGTTTTTGTACAGAAGTTTTGGATTTATCTTTTCTGACATTCTTGGACTTGTCATCATCTTTTGATAAACTTCTACTTCTCTTCTCCTTTTCATATGATCTGTCTCGTTTTTCTTTTGAACTGCTTAATTTCTTGGGAGAAGGACTTCTTTCTCTCTTTACACATTCTTTTTTGTCAGCATCCTGTTTTTTATCACGTTGATTTCCATCTCGGTAACTATCTCTAGATTGTTTAGTTTTGGATGAAGAATGATCACGATGATTACTTTTATTATCACTAATATTATGACGCCTGCTCTTGTCTGAGTCACGTTTGCCACGGCCACCTGAATCCCTATCCCTATTATCATGTTTACCCCCCACTGAATTATTTTTATCTCTGTCATGATATCTATTTTCCTTATCATCCCTCCCATTGGCTTTTTTCCCATCAGGTGATTTAGAATCATTTGACCTGTGGTTACGCCGTTCAGTATTCACATCCGAGGGTGATCTTGATGTCTGTCTCCATTTTCCGCTATCAGGTGAACCAAGCGAGCGGCCAGTAACCTCCTTCAAAGGACGTTGACCTCGTTGGGCTTCCCGCCAATGAGGTGGAGTCTCACTGTCCCGCCTACTACGATAGCTGCTTCTCCTACTGCTTCTATAAGGACTTCTTGATCGAGATCTGGACGGTGTGCGATATCGCTGATCAAAACAAAATGAAGACGTCAGTATAAAATTCCAATAAACAATTGACAAAAAGAAATATAATTTACCATAACTCCACGGCCCTTCACTTTTCGTCCAGACCTCGTTCGCCATTGCCGTCCCTGACTTCTTACAGAGCTTGGTGTTACACTGTCTTGTGTTTTCTCGCTGCGCATAATTCATGAAAGTATCATAAAATCAAACACTTCAATGAAAAAAAAAATTTGCAATACCACAAATAGAGAATTTTTGAATCACTTACTCATCTTTCTTAGTTTGTTCTCCTCGCATCAAAAATTTTTGTTCCGGCACAGGTGGAACTTCGTCTGCTTTGATTGAACTAACAGTACGTGCACTATCTGGATCCTCTTTCACATCCTCATCCGAACTACAATGCCAAGAATTGATAATTGTAGGCATGTAATCATTACGAAAATGAATCAAGCCCAGTTTTTCACAACAATTTGCCATTATATTGAATGTTTTATACTAGCTACATAACTCATAAAAATTTATGACAAAGACTCAGTCGGCATCACAAACTCCAAAGCAATCTGTGCTAGATAATTTATGTAATTAATGATACCAAACCAGATGGTACCATTCCATTGTTTAACAGCCATATGATCAGAAAATCAACTATTTCTTTTCAAGCTGTTGAACCATTGTTCAGCATAGTGTGTCCCAAATCACAAACTTGTCATATAGTTGCATTATTGAATGTGACTATAAATGATATATGTTGCACCTATTTACAACTTGTAGTGAAAATAAATTCACCTATATAAAGCATATAAATCGTAGGGCAAAAAATTAAGAATTTGCGAAGTGGTATCAGAGTTCAATTTTGTTAATAAAAACCCTTTTATTTATTACAAAATATAATTTCATATATTATTACATTACTTTACCTATCTTTACTTTTAGCTTTCTTCTTTTTCTTCTCTTTTTTATGTTTTTTCTTTTTCTTTTTTTCCTTTTTTTTCTTTTTAATCTCTTCTTCAGAATCAGAAGAATCATCTTTAGAAGAATCACTAGAATCATCATCAGAATCCTTGACTGAATCTTTCATTTTCTTAGCTGTTCGAAAATAAAGGATGGGGTAAACAAAAATATAATTCAACTTCTGGAAAGAGGAAAATTATTTACCTAATTTATTTTATTCAGTGCATTGAAATCATACCTTTAACTTTTTTAGTTTTGGCAAGAACAAGTTCTCCACAGTGAACAATTTTACATTCATTGTTAGGACGACTGTTAGCATCTGTTGGTTGACTTTCTATTTTCTTAATGATGCTTTTGCCAGTCACAACTCTTCCAAAAACAACATGAACTCTACAAAAATATCACAATAGTGAGAGTCATTTTCAAATAGGAAGAATGTAAACTGAAAACGATAAAGCATTTCCAATAAAAAAGAAAGAGAAGTATATTAAACAATAAAGTAGTTAAATTTATATTCATACAAATCAACAGATTGGGTTAATATTAAGAAAACTGTATCTTGTAACAGAAGCTAAACCTGAACAATATTATACAAAATATACTTCATAATTATTAATCCCTATCAATTCACATTACACAATGCGCCATTCATATAACCTGTAAAGCAGTATTTCTGAATGTCAATTCTAACCCATATAACTCTACAAAATGTGTTCCAATTTGTTTTGGAGGTCAATGTTTAACACTTAAAAGATTGAATAATGAACTGAGTTAAGTAAGAGAGTACTTGGGTATTAAAATCTTAAACAAACTCACCCATCCAGATGAGGTGTTGGTTGAGTAGTTCTGAAAACATAGTTACAGTTTATGTTATAAAAATCATTACCAACATACAAACAGGAACAGTTACAAAACAGTACAAAGCACTCACACAAAGAACTGGGATCCATTTGTATTTTTTCCTCTGTTAGCCATAGAAAGTAAAAATGGCTCATCATGCTTCTTTTCAAAAGATTCATCTGAAAAAATTTAAAGTGAATAAATGTGTATTAATACAAAAATATAAGCCATCAAATATATGTAATATTATACAATTACTAATGAAAGTGCTTAATCATTTTATTCGGTGTGTGTACAAAAAACAGAAGCAAGGTACACTAGTAACCAAAGGGTCCAGTTATTCAAACAAAAACAGTAATTTTTTTTTGAACTCAGAGCATTTTCCATTGATAATATGAATTCTTACAATGACTGCAATACAGAAATAAATATGGTGTTTATTAAACACAAGCAATACTTAACAAGAACAGTTTAAATGCAACAATTAATAATAGAATATAATGCCCAGCAAGAGCCACATGCTCTGCCATACCAAAGTACTGAATGTTCTCTTGAGACCAGCACACCAGTATTTATACTCAGGAAGTAATGCTTCAGTGGTTTACCCACTGCGCTATACCAACATGCTGTGCTGTCATTGGTCAGTCAAAAAATGGGAAAATAGGATTGAAGCACAGTTATATCAGGATGGCAATCAACCTGGACAAAATGTAAGTTAACATATGGATTCATTCTAACCTGCGAAATATCCCCCATAAATGCTTTCACCTCCACGTCCGTTTCCTGCAAAAAAGCGATGAAGAAATTGAGACAAATAAAACACATTAACACTTCATAATCACAGAAAGTATACAGATAGTAGATTCGGGAGGTGGGAGATCTATTCCCATGCAAAACATGTAGTATATGCAACAGCTCCGATAACAGATTGTCATCAGTAGCTCAATCTCGACAAAAACAACTAAAATCTACTAATCTGAAACTTCCGGAAGAAACACCATATAAAAACACAGAAAAATTCATAGCAAGTCAATTGAATATTATAAGGTTTGTGTTATAAATAGAAGATGAAGTAAAGTTTATAATTTATACAGTAAATAAAATATATGGAAAAGTAACTAATACACTGAGACAAGGGTAAAACCGTTGCTCATCAACACAACTTACCAAAAATACTTTCACAGAATCTGAATTACATCAACAAATTAACTACACATAGTAATTTGCAAAATCAAACTAACTCATGGGGTCAAATAATATCATAATTTTACATTTCCAAAGAAATTACTAACTATAGAAATAGATACAGAGAGCTTTTTCTTGTGGAAAATAAAACATAATTCATAATTTCAGTGTATGACTTTCAATTAGTGATAAAATGATGTCGATAAAATATCGTAAATCATTTTAAATGCATTTTAAATATGTTACCTTTCTATCTTAAAAAAAGTATTCATGGAATCTTAAGTTTGACAAAAGTAAAACAAGATGACACGACTGAACACAAGAGAAAAATAATGCAGAACACACAAACTCAAAAGTGATATAGGATTACCTGAAACTCCTATACTCAATAAAAAGTAACAAAAATATTAGTTTACAACAAAAAAGTATTATAAATGAAACCTTTATTTTTATGCAATCCCCACAAAAGTTACAAAACATTTCTTTCTCTTCTAATTTCATATGCATGGTTTATGACTTTTTGAGATAGCGATAAATTAGTGTCATAACAGGAAATGTGTAAATTGAAGCGTTATAATTAATAAAACTGAGGTTGACTATTTTTGTCAAATATTCGTATGATTTTGACATAGCACCTGTCCCATTATTAAACTGTTGTGTCTACTGTGCCGTTTAAAAAGCTATTGAAGTCAAACGCCTTCGTTTTTAATTTTATATCATTACAGAATTCAAGTTATCTGAAAAAACATACTTCTTGAACACTTGAACTCATGCACTCAATATTTTTTGACACAGTCATTATTGATAGTAGATTACAAACCAAATATATAATTTCATTATATAAACCTCGAATCTCTATGATAACTGACAACCGAATCACCAAAATCATGCTATGCCCAATAAAATATGCAATAAATAAGTGCAGTAGATATAATTTGATTGCTGTAATCAAATTTTATTCAGCACTTGCGAACCCAAATGATTTCATGATGAACCAATATGAACATATCTATTTTTATACCCAGTGCATTTCGGCCTGAACGTTTTGATGTGTTAAGCCATTTTTACGCAAACTGAAAATAATTAAATGTCAAACAGAAAATACTTTCAAGGCAAAATTTAAAAACGTTTCATAGAATTTTATTATGTCTTCATCGAGTATAGCTAGATTTTCCAAATTTTATTAATGTCATACCAACTACTAAAATATTCAACTTCTAATATTTCATACTTATCAATGAACTGATCAGAAAATGGGAAATTAGTACAATTGAATGCCATGATCAAATTATGCTACCTTCTGAGAAGTCACCAGCCTGAATCATAAAATCCCGAACAACTCTGTGAAAGACAACTCCTTTGTAATGCAGCGGTTTGCTTGTTGTGTCACCAAGCCCTCTTTCCCCTTTAAATAAAAACAAAAGCATTAACCAAAAAAACAAATCTGGCAACATTCCTGAGCGTCTAAGGTTTTTATTACAATTTTGTAGGATAGGGAAGAATAAAGCTGACAAGGCAGCCTAATCATATGGCAAATCCCAACCTCTCGTGTTATCAGTACATGCTAGGTGAAGGAATAATTTGCCAGGTATTCGTTCCAGATGTATGGCCTTAAAGGAGAAGGAAGCCGCAATCCTACCACACATAATTATGCCTCACATGATTCGAATGTGTTAACACACACAGGATGATCAGAGTGAGACAATAAGCATGTTGCTAGATGGGCCAACCAGCATTTAGTACAATAAAATGTATACGCATTGGTTGTAACTTGCAAATACAATAAACACTGAACAAATTTCTTTGCCAAATTTTATGAAATCGGCATGCGACTTGCAATATTTTTACAAGTATGATGTAATATTGTGATAATTGCTGTAACCAGAGATGGCTGAAACCGACCAATCGCCTAATCCACATAAATTCTAAAATAATGTTTCCATGCATTGTTAAATTAGGTATGAAATATAGAGAAATCGAGATAAACAATTGGATGAATTTTCATTTCCAGAGTAAAATGCATTTTTGGTAATACTATAAACTACATTTGCAAAGATTGCAGATTTTTAAGCAATCAAATTTATCCAATTTTGAATCATTCAAAATATTTGATCATAGTAGACACCCATGGTTGTAAAATAATGTGGGCCTACTAGTTGCATGAATGATCATAAAAAATCGCTAAAATGAAAACTAGTTGACAGAATCAAATATGAGCATCCTTATATTATGGCTTTGGAATTTGACAGTTAAAATCTCGAGTAGCAAAATACCGTAATAAAATGACAACCCACCAGTGCACAGGCATCTGAAATTCTCTGTAGTCTTTGGACAAACATCAGAAAATAGCTGGAACACAACTCTTCCAACTGAAAAAAAATTTGTATAAACGTTATAAACAATCTCGCTTTCAATTAATTCAGTAATATGAACAAATAATTCCATACCTGGATTTCCTGCTATTTCTATATCAAAGAATACGCGAGGCAGCACCTTCTTTTTCATAATGAAACTGTCAATGAATCATTGATACAGTAATTACCTAGAAAGTTACTAAAACAATCCTCAGAATACTAAAATAAGTAAGAATAGGTATACACAATATGAACATAGTTCAGTGGTTGATGATTGAAGAAACAGTAGGGCTATACTTGGTTACTCCATAATTATTACATACAAACATAGAAATATTGAATATACAAAGGAACCATACATCCTTGTTCTCATGACTGAATAACAATACATGTTTGACCATTTTAAAAAGTATCTCAGACAACAGTTTATCATTGCTTGTTTTTGACACTTCATTGCTTGCGATTCTTATGAAGTAAAAAGTTGATAGTACATATTGAATCTATGTTCAGTTCGCAATCAAATTTAAACTAATTTGGATTTTACTTCTAACTGCTCCGAAACATATTATGATTGGTGGAGGAATATTATTGTATTTATGACTTTATTCGGCTATTAATTTCTCGGTTGTCTTGAATTGTTAAATATATGATAGACTCTAATAAAACCAGTTATTTTCACATTTCTTGGGGTAAAAGAAAATGTAAAAATATCGCTACAAATACTGAAATATGCAGTAATAATTATGGAATTGCCCAAACAGCCATATCTCAGTATGTTTCTATTAACTCTAATTTTTTATTTGCAGCTTTTTTTTAAATCTATTAATTTCTCTAAATACCAGTTTGTCACTAGTGTTCTGTGCCATCGCGGCCTCGTAGCCAAAAATATACCACGCTCAGACACTGTCGTACGTACTGCCACATGCGAGTGAAAATAATGCGAAATTGAGAAAAGAACTGAGAATACAATTTTGTTTTCAAATAGGCTACTAACATATTCAAAATTTGTTAAAACTAAAAAGTTGGAATAGACTTGACAAATTGTTAGAATAAACCCACTCGGCTGGTGGAAATCATATAGCACACTGTCTTGGCATTGCTTGCTAGCGCACCGATCGCAACCATGTCTACACATCAGCCACGTGGTTGCACTATGGAGCAAATTATACGCTGGTTTGCCTGTAGGGAAGGTGGCCACGGCAGCGCTAGGAAGCGTGTGGGTGTTGTTTACCTTCTTTAATTTTCCATATATTTCTGTATTTTTAGTGCAGATATCAAGAATACTCTACTACTTATATTTGTCATTTGGTGATTACTGGAATATCAGTATTTATCAACGATACTTTTAAATCTGATGCTTTCGATTTTGAGACACAAGGCCAAGTTACTTCCTTTTGTAATGTCCAATTTGAAACCAGTTGTGATAAGTGGACCATCTGGCGCAGGAAAAAGCACCCTGCTGAGAAAACTCTTTCAGGAATATCCAAATACTTTTGCATTCAGTGTATCGCGTAAGTTATTTTTGTATCTATTCATCTGTGCAATTTTTTCTTTCCTTCACTATAAATTCATTATGATTTATATTATATTTATTATTACGGTATTTGATAATTTACAGTAGCTCATATTTATAAATTATTAACTTACTCTATGATAGTAATGTATAAAATTTTCAACAAAATCTTACATTTGTCTTGTTTTATGCTCCAGATACAACACGAAAGAAGCGGGATGGTGAAACTGATGGAATACAATACCATTTCACAACTGTTGAAAGAATGAAAGAAGAAATTGAGAAAGGATTGTTTGTTGAATATACAAATTTTTCAGGCAATTATTATGGCACAAGGTATATAACTTTGCATGTATTGAAACAATTGGCATATTTGGTATTGAAATCAAATATTTAATAGAGAATATAGCAATAATGTTTGTAGTATTACTGTGTTAATACTATAAAGATGGTATAGATAGATTATATAGTTTGTATAAATAGATATATTTCACTTATGAAACTTTAGAAGTATAATCAAACTTTCACATAAACCTATGAAGGTTTACATTATTCGAAATAAATTTAAAATGCTATTTTACAGTATGTGTATTATGGGTTTATCATGTCATTCGATCGGTTCCATAAATGTATTGTAATGGCATGTGGCAATGCATAGGCATTTGATCAGTAAAGAGAGACATTTTGTAATTCTATAAAAATCACCACACCCAAGTTCCTCATAGCATTAATCACTGGGTGAATAAAACTGACTATTTTGTTATAACAGTAAATCTGCGATCAAAGAAGTACTTGACACAAACAAAATATGTATATTGGACATTGATGAACAAGGGGTGCGAAATATTAAAGAAAGTGATATTAATGCAGTCTTTATATTCATCAAGCCACCCTCTATGGATGTGAGTTCAGATTTTAGTAAATTTACTATTTAAAATCCATTCAAACTGAATGTGAATTACTAATGAAACATAAAAAGTTCATTTACCACATCATAATATATTGTTTTACTTACAACATCAGTAAACCTGATGACTAACTTTCTATATCTCTATTGAATGGTATAGTTCCAGGTTACCGTATATTTCACATATAAGCCGACCCCATAAAACGGACCTTGCCCAACTGAGCACTGCTCAGATTGAGATTTCAAAACAACAATACTACCTGAAATATTATGTAATCAGTGTCTTAATTGTTAGCATGTCTGGCCTGGCCAAGTTGATGTGGCAAGAAAATTTCTCTAACTTAAATCAGAATGGTCCAAATAAATTGAATATAGTATTTGAGATCTGGTTATCGAAAAAAGCAAATGTTATGGATACTAAAAAATAAAAACTGTTATTTTGCACTAGAAATGACAATAATTTCTGTAAATTTTTAACAGGATTAATTTAGAAAATATTAGAGATTCCCAATGTGAAAATATTACCGTAGTTTGAATATGTCAGAATTAGTAAGTAGTAAAATGTTCGTTTGGCAAACACCATGTCCATGAGCTCACTCATGTTCTTGTTGATACCAATATTTAATAAAATATATAAAACTATTCAAGGAACTTCGAAGAAGATTGACATCAAGAGGTACTGAAACGCAAGAAAGTCTAGAAAGAAGAATGAGCACTGCCGAATCATCAATTTCATTCAGTGAGTGAATTCCCATCGTTTTATTTATTTTTGAAGTCATACATTGTCTGGGAGCTGTTTTATGACATTTAATATCTATCGACTTTATACTCAATGGATATGCATTCAAAATGCAACGTTGCTCTTGTGCAAATTTGACATACAGATACCATGAACATTTCATAACACTGTATTTTTTAAATTTATTCTGATTTCTGGGTTAACTTAATGCATAATACTCCCTTCAAAATAACAGGTTACCATGTTAGACAAATATTATTTTATTGCAGCCAGCCAGTGGAAGGAGGGTGGCGTTAAATTGCTGTTTATCAATATAAAGGTCACAAAGGACAAATAAAATATTTATAGAAATGGACGCCTTAAAGCAATATGCTTAGTATATTAAATCCTTATGAGAAATGGACTGAATACCACCGCAGTATTGGGTGCTAATTTGCATATCATATTTTATTCATAGGCGAAAAACCTGGTGTTTATGACTTTGTCTTGGAAAATGGTGATCTGAATCAATCATATATCAATCTCCTAAGTTTTATGAAGCAGGTGAGATGAAGTTTGTATTATAGTTTTTCAGTATCAGCAATATAGTAATATTTACTTAACAGCCACTTAGTTGCAGAAATATTGGGTTAATATGTTACATTTGCATTGCACAAAATTTAGCAGCCACATCTTGCTAATTTCAGTTCAACCATTCAAACTAATCTGTGATGAATAGCATTACATGTTTCACAGCATTTTTCCAAAATACAATAGACATGTCCGAACTTATTGGAAAAGAGCAAGAGATACAATTCAAACGATGAGTTGCCGCTCGCTGCAAGTGTCGGAATGTTAGAACAAGCATCAAAATTGGAAGCGGGAGATGCTGGAAGAAACGTTTGTAATGGATTTTCAGAAATTAAATTGGAAAGTAGTGTGGCAGAAATACCTTTAAGCCCTACAAGAACTACTTCTGACCAAGAGAATCCTGCAGTCGTTAATGTTGGGGAAACTCCATTGCTACTTGTTAATGAAATCTCCGATGTGAATTTAAGCGAGAGCGATTCACCTGCAGTTGTCACACTCGAAGAGTCCGAAACAACTCTCCCTTCTGATGGAGTCTGTGGTCGACAGTCTTGGTGTTCTATTTCTTGACGACGAAGTTTATATAGAAATATTTGGTTTATTTTTTATTCATGAAGCCTCTGCAGCAAGTTTCATATTATTTATCATAAATGTAGTAAATATGTTTTAAGTTTTAGTTTAGATTTTCTTTTACTCGTGCACTGCATGCCACAATAGTTTATCATGAGTGTGAGAATTTTATTTTTTATCTTCTGCTGTCTGATTTCTGTAAATTTTGTTATCATTTTAGTATCGCATGAAAAGCTTGGTACACGATCATGATGTTTTGGTAATCACTGTAAGAGCTGAAAAGTTAAATAAGGCTGATAATAACAAGTCTAGCAGTAGCCAAAACCTCTTTTTCAGTTATCCAAACTGGTCGTTTCCTTGATCCTCAATCATGAGGCCAAAACACATTTATGCAACAAGGCTAGTTCCACCTTTTATCAAATTACTATATGCAAAACCATAACCATTATTAGACTAATCAATTCGAATCTAAAGACCCTAGTCTCTCTGTATGCGAATTTGGTTGGTGCTTCATGTGTTTTATTTCAGTTTTAAAAATTGTGCATTGTGACAATCTTTTGTAATACTGTTCAATACAAAAATTCTGCATGAAAATGTGTATGTCATTGCTAACGTTGGCAGAACATAAAACGATATATTGATCCCTGACATAGGCACATGCATCCCATAAAGATGAGATGAATTTTTATGTTCATCCAGGAGGGTGGATGCCCATTTTTTGGTATTCCAGACTCTCTGTCCACTGTTGACTAGAAATGTCAAGAAGGCTGTTGAGAAACTTATATTAGTTCACAGAAGCATACTGTTCTGTCAATTTTTCAGTCTTGTCGAGGTTACGCATATGATCTAGTGCAGTTGTTAAAAAAGCCCTAACTGTATTTATTTCCATTTGTGACAAATTATCCAGCTTGGCATAGGTAGCTTTCAGTTTTACAAATTTATCTATGCTGCTTCTTAACTTAGCAACTCTTATATCCAAAATGTCTTTAATAATAGTCCTTATACCATCAGCGTGGGGTATATTATCAGTTGCTTGATTTAGTAGAATATGGGAAATTTCCTGGAAGTAAGGACTAGGTAGAGGAGTAAAGAGTTCGCTATTGCTTTCATCTTCCTTCATTGTTTCCAGTGTGACAAGTTCCATCCAAGTAGGGCGTTGAATCTGACATTCATTTCTCTGTTTCAAATTAATTGCTAACCAAATTGGAACTTCTGTAGGAACACCGACATTAAATGGTCCAACTTCGCCGGATATCAAAAACATTTTGTCAGAATTGAACTTGGGAATGATTGATACATGTTCTCTTTCAGCAAGAAATTCAATATCCACATGATCCATGATTAAGATGCTGTTGAATTACAATAATCAAGAGAGTTAATCACCCGGGAATGGCTGATTTTAGATGAGAGATTGGGGAGAATTAACAATGATAATTGATCAGAATATTCTAAACATAATTGGAATAGATGCAATTATAAAACTTAATCGAAATAATGGGGGATAAAACTTTCGATAATTTTGGCAGATGATTGTGTGTGGCATAACTCATAAGGTGATTCACATACATAAGTTACAGGCAGCTACCTACATCCCATTATATATTAAATAGATTGCTACTCTAAGAGATGAAAAAGACAGAGGCGAAACTGTGGCTGGCTATATGATTCTGCTGTCTCAATCCATCGTCACAGTATGTTATTAAAAAACATTAATTAATTATTAATCTGATATTGGTATCTGTTTAGTAAAATTCTCTATATAGCTGTATAGTGTATACATCTCCGGATTATTTTGCTCATAATTTTCTGCTCTTTTTTGATTTATTATTATAATGACTAAAAAATCTCTTTCTTCAGTGTGACGTTGCAGGGGCCAGGCCCTCATGTAGAAACTGCTTTCTGTACAGCTGTGAGCAGATCAATGCAGCAATGGCAGGAATTTAGGAAAAGATTTTCAACTAGGCATATCTGCATCCTCCAGTACCGGTACGGTAAACTATTTCGGCAGATCTCAATCAAATCAAATTTTACGGTATCTCTGTACCGGTATACAGGTATATATTACAATTTACAGGATTTCAATGCCACTGTTTTATATTTCTGTACCGGTATTTATCATACGCTAGAGTTCGTGAAATCAAATTGTACCATAGTTTGCAAAGTAAAATTTCTCTCTTTCCTGATTCCTGCTCCTGCAGGGCCAAGACAGACTACCATAGTTTGCAAAGTAAAACTTCTCTCATTCCTGATTCCTGCTCCTGCAGGGCCAAGACAGACGACTACCATAGTTTGCAAAGTAAAACTTCTCTCTTTCCTGATTCCTGCTCCTGCAGGGCCAAGACAGACTACCATAGTTTGCAAAGTAAAACTTCTCTCTTTCCTGATTCCTGCTCCCGCCCTGGCCAAGACAGACAGATACTGAGATACCGGTACAGGTTTGTCCCTAACCACTCGTAAAATATCCTGAAAATCCCGCGTCGCAATCATTGAGGTTGAACCATGAACTGTTTTCATCCATTCCAATAAATTTTACTTTTTTCGCCGCCAGGTAGCAGCACAGAACAACATTTTTGTTGTGAAAACAACAAAGCTCGGTGAAAAAAAAACCAACAACATGGCCATTCAGCTCACGCCACACTCAGATGAGGTTTGCCTGTCGCTCTGCCAGCTTTTTTAGGGGGGGGGGGGGGGAGAGCACACCCTACGGTTTTCCTCGAATTTACATTGAGATTGAAGAAAAGGCAAATAACAGTATTAGTTATATAAGTAGTGTAGATTTTAAAGCAATTATTCTTTTGTTATCAATAGTTCGATATAAAATTTGGATTACCGTATTCAGTATGATTGGATTAAAACACCTGATATTAAATTGCAGAATTTATGTGAAGCAAATAGGTGTACAGTACATTGTAGACTATATTATTATAAATATTAATTATTATTTATTTTCTCATTTTCAACAAATGGATTATGAACTCAAAATGGAGTATGGACTTATTTTATTTTGTACATTATTTATTTTTTACATTTATTTTTTTTATTTATTAAAATCACTAATTAAGTGAGCCAATCAAAAAAAAAATTAAAAAAACATTACCGGTATTATGATTAGAGAGATTATTGTTAAATTGAGCAAGCATTACAGCTACGGGTACCATACCAATCACAAATCAAGAGTGTACGACCCATGTCTAAATGTAGCTGTGGGTTAGTTAACATACAGATATCTGGATATACAGCTCTTAGTTTATTTTGTTTGTCAGTTTGTGATATTTCCATACTATGGTACTGCTACGGTTATACTACTATATCAATATACAGTATGGCACAGTTCTTCGAGATAAGGAATAGCCCTCACAATAAAGGACATCAATTATAACAGCGAAAGCTACTTATCATCACCATATCGCTACAAATCAACTGCGCAATAAACTCAAGGGAAGCGACATTTAAAAATGTCACTCTTGGATTCCTCGGAAAATATAATTTGATTTACAGAAGAAAAGGAATTTTATCACAGCATTCAATAGGTTTTGTCAAAATTTAGTCACATGACGGCCAACACATGTCGCGATTGATTTAAATTATTATCAGGAGAAGCATCTACGCAATTTGCGTAGTACCAAACACCATCGTTTCAAAGACAAATACAGTGTTCGTTTTATGGAACTAAATGTCGGGATATCTAGGAATCATTGGAGCACTGTGCTCTACTGATGTATTGTTTCATGGTTTTGTTCCCGTAGTCTTCAAGATTATTCACTTTTATCCCTTTTGTGTATTGTTGTATCGCTTGGCTGTATATTTATGCAGTAATCATTAATTAAAACACTTAAACACCTCACTTATAGTTTGTAGAGTGTCTTGGATTCTTGGAAGTTAATTAGATAGGCGAGCATGTTAATAATGTAGGTAGCCAATTAATAGCCAATTAATTCATTTGAACTCATTTCACTTCAAGTTATAATTTCTGGTTTAGTTAGTACAGTTGAGTAGTGCTTTTAGAATTCGTAGTTGTCTCTCGCGAATGAAATTTTTGTAATATTTCATACATTAAAGGGGTCTTACTACTTACTGAATACAGCGCGAAATACCGCAAAGAGCGCAAAACAGCGCGAAACAGCGCAAAAGAGCGCGAAACAGCGCAAAATAGCGCGAAACAGCGCAAAACAGAGGAAAACAGCGCGAAACAGAAGGAAACCAGCGCAAAACAGAGGGAAACAGCGCAAAACAGGAGACGCAGTCATTACCACCTCCTGCCACGAAAGAACCACGGCGACCTTTTTGGTGCTCCAGAAGTATGTGCAGCAATATGTCGCACAACCTGAATGCGCTACACACACACACACACATATACTATTTTCAGGTTGTGCGCCATCTTGGTGCACATACTTCTGGAGGTCCCTTTTTACCTAACCCTAACCCTAAAGCCAACCATATCCACATGGAAAATGTTCTAAATTATGGTACCGGTACCCAAAATGTGTCACCAGCAGGGGCAGACCTGCCATTACAGCATTACTGGCTACATACGTTGGTTTGTGTTTTTAATTTGCTGCCGTGGTAATCCAACTCAAAACAAGGTGCCCCGAACTCATTGCAAAATTTTTTTCTGCTTCACACTGTTTCCCTCTGTTTTGCGCTCTTTCGCGCTGTTTCCCCACTATTTTGCGCTGTTTCCCTCTGTTTCGCGCTCTTTTGCGCTGTTTCGCGCTCTTTGCGGTGTTTCGCGCTGTATTCAGTAAGTAGTAAGACCGCATTAAAGTAATATTTGATACATTAAATTATTGATTTTGGAATGATTTAAATATATGTTAATAAATATATGATTCAAAGCAAAGTAGGGAATAGTTCTTCAATTTCAAGAAAACAAATACTCTATATGTCTTGAAAGCAAGTGCATCTGATGCACCAGATCACGCCATGCATGTTTCGATGATAATTTAAATCAATTGTGACGTGCCTTTCAGTTTTGGTAAAAATATTTTCATTCTGTAAATCAGATTATTTCATCCGAGGAATCCAATTTTATGTTGCGGTTTGCTGATTTGTGCCAATATGAAACCCCAGACTGCCTCCTAAAGAAGGATTTCGCACTCACTGTCAAAATTGATGTCTTTTACTGTAGGGGATATTCTTGGAATTTGAGAACTGTGCCGTACTGTAACATATTCAGAAAAAGGCAACTATTGCTTGAACATACTTAGAACTTGGAATACTATATGAGGTGTCATATTGATATCATTTATGTCTCTTATATTCTGAGTTCAAAAGTTCATATTCAGTAAAGAATATCAAAATCTGGATTAGTTCAATTTTTTTTTTATACTTTTATTTTCTATCTACAGCCTGTGATTAAGTATGTAGATAGAATGACCTAATAAATCTTAAAAGACTTTTGAAGGATGGTGTAACATAAATTTTAACATTTCAAAAATTTCTACCAATTACTCTTGCTTTCTATAATGGATACTACGGACTCAGCAAACAACAATTTTACATCAAACACCACAGGAAATGGACATCCACGAAGTAGATTGGAAATGATGAGAAAACAATTTGTAAGCAAACAGGCAGGACGTACCAGTCAACCTCACCATAGTGCTAGACCGGTGAGATAATGTGCTTGTATTTTGCACAAATATGGCACTTTAATTTTCCATTTTCTAGGTTTGCACATAGAGAGCTCTCACTGAAACCATTAGGCCTACTACATTATAGATTGGAAAAAATCTTCACATTGGGTAGGTGAAAATCTAGTGTTACTAAGAGGATTACCATTGGAAGTGAAGGATTAGTTCTTGACTATGAATGGACTTATCACTTGTCTGTCTCTGTCATGCTAATGACGTCCATATGGCCGTACAATTTATTGTGATTTGAGTTGGTATTTAAAATTGTTTCTCTTAAAAAATTGGATACAAATAATCCATTCACTATAAATAAAGTACAATTATTGTTTTGAATATAAATGTACTTGAAGGCATAAAAATATCATTTGTTTTAAATATTATGCTTTGCAGTATATGGTTATCTTAACCAAGGAGGAAATAGTTCTAGATCGTAATTTTGCAATTTGGTGAAATTATTTTCTGTTTGAACCACTTCAAATTGTGCCTAGTAAGAATCAAATTGGGGCCCTGATACAAACCTGTGTACCCCTTTACCTCCATGATCTATGTGTTTGAGATGTTTTCATATAATTCTTGCTCATATTGAATATAAACAGAATTACATACCGGTACTACCTATTAGAAGATTCTATTTATAAATAGTTTTTCCATAAATAGAAATTTAATTTAAACAATTTAGTGTTGAGTTGATCAATCTTTTCCGGTATTAAAAGGATTCGAAAAGGCAAGCAAATTTATTTGAACATATATATCTTTTGAGATTGACATCCATTTTATTGTTTATCTTGTCATTTCAATCTTATTTTTAGTGGACCAAAACCCAGGGATAATTACTGGTAATATAATTCTTATAAATTACGGCTAAACCATATTTGTCTGTCTACTTTAGACCTTTGAATTGATATATTTTTTTGTAAACCTAATTGGAAATATTCCTTAATTCTTGTGTTAATTGATTCAGTTTTGTGAGTTTTATTATTTATTTAGAAAACTGGCATTCCAGTACAAAGTTCCAGCAGTCCAGAGAAGAAACACCATCCACCGAGACATATTGCTCCTCCATCAGCGAGAAATTTATTGAACAGCGTGATTGGTAAAGAAATGAGATCTGGAAACTCTAGACGCCAGGGTGCGTGATTTATTGTGTTTATCAACCTACTAGGCCTTCCTGTCAATTGACTCTATTGAAGAACCATGTAAACAACTCCCTCTGATTTGAAAGATATTATTCAATGAAATGCGAGACAGGCATCTACTAGACACAATTTCCACACCATGATTAACTGAAACAATTTTCATGTTCCGTTTTGCAGCAAGAGCTGTAATAAAATCATACTGTAAACAATCAGGCATTATTTTCTTTATTTTCAACCACAAATGAAGCATTTAACATTGATAAAATAGTAGACCATATCATTGAGATCCTCACGAATCGCCAATTTTCTTCATAGCATTTATTTAACACTTCAGTTGATCTACTATTATAATGTCTAGGATGCTGAAAGAGCACTAACATCTTATTTTGCCATGTTGTATTGAATTTATTTTAATAATGTAGGCTACCCAAATATATGCACTGTCAACAATTATTAATAATAAAATTGTTAATATTGTGAGCACCAAAAAATTATAAAAAGTCCACTTTTGCAATTTATATTATTTTGTAGAGCATAACTCATCAGACAATACTGGAACAAGTGTGGCAGAATCAAATAATGATGCCAAGGCTGCAGAAAAAGATCAAGATGAAAACGCTTCTGTTCCTCCCACATTGCGGTTAGAACAGCACATTGAGGAATCCGATATCAGAGAGAAATTGAAAAAACAACACATTAGGCGGCCTATCCATCGTGGGGCTATGACATACAGAGTGAGAGATCATGGTAAATATCAACTTTGTTTTGTCTTTAAATATGATAAAAACATCGATGATTCATCAAAATTTTGTTTGTAGTTCAACAAAAAATAAAAGTAGTAAGAATTCTTAATTACAGGTCATAATATGTACATATAATGAAAACCATTGACTAAAATTGTTCTAATATTTCATCGAACAATGTTATTCCATCACTTTTTCCATCAGTAATGTAAGATAACTGATTTTTTCATGAACTTGTGTTGGTTGCCACTTCTACTTATGACTCATTTGAATAGGGTTTGCTTAGTAGTCCTTAATAATAGCTGATATAAATAGTAGGTGAATAAAATATTTTAATAATAATCTGGTACTGATTGGGATTTCTATATACAAATATTTTTGTAATGTATAATTCTGTATTTACGATTAATTTTATTCGTAAATAAACTACCGGTAGATCTATTCTATAGTAGAACCATGATACATGCTAAATTTGACATTAATAATCCTATTTTCACTATGACATGTCTAATTTAAAAAAATATTGATGGCACTTTTTTTGTTATATCAACCTTTTGAATAAAATTAATTTCAAGTTTTATTACCAGTACCTAATTTTTTGAGACATAAACAATGATATTAGTGAAACAACATTCAAAAAATCAAGAACATATAATTTAGAATGTTCTATTTGCCTTATGATACTATATAAGGTATGGTCTGTTATGTTTGCCACTACTTTGCAAAAAATAAGTAGAGATTTTTATTATAGGGCTATATTTAGTTTTATGTGGGTGTTCTGATTCCCAGCATGTGTGAGGTGTGTGAAAATAATCAAAAAGGAAATTCTTTATGTTCTATATTATTATGCAAACATTAAAACGGTACATTGTTCCAGGAAACATCTTTTGAAATGCAAATTTTCGATTTCATCGGCTTTTAGCAATTTTGTTTTATATTGAAATTGGAGTAATAGAATTATGGAAAACATGGCTTTGCTTTAACTGACTCAACTTATAGACAGCCTGGAAGGCATAAACTAGTAATATTTCAATTTTATCTGTACATCTTCATTTACAGTAAAACCACCACCTTCTAATGACACTGAAAATGAAAATATACTCAACCAAATAAGAGGAAAGGGGCCTATGGTAAGTGGCTCCAATTTTCTAATAAGGTTATTAAATGGAAATGGCACTTTTGATTATTTGATTATAGAGACATGTTAATTTATAATGTGTGTTTTAGGTGCTATCAGGCAAGTAACTCAGGCACAGAATTTTTTTAATAATCTAATTATACATTTATTTATATTATAATAACTACTCAATATTGAAACATTATGTGTGCATCTACCCTACATTTAAATTGCTTCACCATCAATAAACTAACACTGACAAAACTATTTGGTTTTACAATTCATCATTCCTTTCTGTAATTGAAATGGCAGTGGCATATTTTTGTCCTCTTCTTTCAGTTGGGATTATTTACGTTGGACAATGGTAGTAAAGTGTAAGCTTTTGTCTGAATTAAAAATAACTTTTCCGTGATGGGCATGCAATGTATTATATATGAAATATATTTTGGCAATAACCCAAATCTATTAAACATGAAATTTATTGCGACAACACTTGAAATATTGAATAAATCATACCAAAAATTTAAAATGTCGTTTTTCAATTTAATAAGGTATATTTTACAGCATTGTTCTAATATTTTTATTTGAAAATATTTGAAATTGTTTTAATAACAGTCAGGTTTTGGATACTTTCAATTCTGTAAATTGCCAAATTCAATTATTAATGTCTGACTATGTCAGCATTGTTATTATCTTCAGATTGGAAAAAAATTTTCCTAATCAATGCCCCATGTATGATTACTAGTATTTAATGGAAATTACATGAAAAACGTGGATTGGAAAGCGATGCCTATCTAAGTACTCTTTGTCTGTGAATTGTGTTATTTTTGAAATCTCATTTAATTTTCCATCGTCAACCTTTGCAGGTCGTTAAAAACAATGTTAGCGTGACCGACGTTGGTGAGACGGAAAAGGAAACCAATAGAAGTCATGTTGTACACCAGGTTCTGTATATATGCTTTCTGTAAATAGGAATATTGACAAAACCCCTTTTTTTGTATTTTTTTAAAATGTTATATGACTTATGCCAAACTCTATACGGCAATGGTGTTCATCGAGCCATCAAACCATCTAAAATTAATGCTGTTTACTTTTCACTCTACTACTGTAATAATGCATTTTTTGGTTTTGTCGCTCAATTCCCATCTTTTCGGGTCATTTACGCACACACTTTAGGATTTTAGTAACACTTCGGTATACGCATCCTTGTCACCAGCCATTTTAAAACAATAAGAAATACTGACATCAGAAAGCGTGAAGCAATAACGTACCTTTTAAGTAAGCTTTTTTTTGGCTGCACAGTCGACCAACCATGGGCTATGAATAAATAAAAAAGTGAAAAGTCAATATTTGTAAATTTTGGCATGTCAGTTTTATTTGATCATAAAATATAAAAAGAAAACTTTCATAAAAGATTGTATATTAGGAATTTCCCCTGTTTGACCGACAGAGTAGCTGTTATTGATTATGTTTCCTGTCTGTGTGCTTAATTTCATGGCTTACACATGCCATTTTCTCTTAATTTTATATTTGAAATCTCACGGGAAGAAAAGGCTTTGTTTCTACGAGGCCAACATATGATAACTGATATAGCTCGTTAGAATTTTAGGTCGGATTAAAATTCCTGGCTATCATATAATGGCATTTCCTCATTCAAGTTTAATTAAGCATCAAAGCTAAACTTTAAACAATACTTGAATTTGTCTGGCTATTTATTGATGTTTTACAGCAAAATATTGACAAATTTGCTAATTTTAATTTTATATATTATAGTTACATTGATATTGGCTGATGGTATTTATCAAATTTGAATACATTGTTATTCAATAATAGTTCCAAAATTTATAATGTAGTTCCAGCTTGCCAATATTTCTTAGAAATGGGCGTCATATGCTTCATTTTTCTTACTAATCGTGCATGTTTTTGTTCAAAACAGACACGAAATTTGAGATCAGGTTCCCCCAAAGTTGGACAAAATCGGAATTTGGTAAGTGATATTGAATTTTTGAAACATGCTTTTCGGTTGATATAGTATCCTGTTGAGACCACCGCGATAATGGATTGCTTGTAATACAAAGGAAAATAGTGAAATATTCGAATTGTCCCATATTTTTGCATTAATATAATTTATACGGAAAATTTTTGTCACTCTATTTTTAAATATCATTTTTGAAGCTTTATAGCGTGCTATATATTTTGAATGCATACATGTTATGGCTTACTTCCAATTGTAATTTTTTTGATTGATTGCAGTGCAATTTTCAGTTTAGGATCTAAAAATAGCTGGCTTAAGAAAGCGATACGAAAATCTCTTTTTATGACCAAGCGCTTCACTTTTTATTTACCATTTACTATGACATCAGTGATCCATTATATATTGTTTGACAAAAAAAATTATTTTGTCTTGAAAAATTGGAAAGTTTATTGAAAGTTTGTTGTATGAAAATTGATGAAATAAATCATGTTACTATCAGAGTACCGGTACCAATGATTTTCAATACTTCAGTAGGCTTTGTTAGAATCAAATTTGTTTTCTTATTTGTGACATCTAGCTCCTAATTCTATCTAACTGCATTTAAAGTAAACATTATATAAAATGAATATTGAATATTTTACCAAATAAAAAAATTTATTGTATGGATTCCAACAATTTATTTTGCTACCTACCTCATTACTTATTCCACGAACTTTTTTCAACACAATGCAATTTTTAAATTGTAAGATCATGTAATAATTATCAACTGCCATTTGTGTAACTTGTTATGTTGGCACAAGCACAACTTCATTTATATTGCTTCGTATTATTTATAACTTTTTATTTTTTATAAAACACAGGCTTCTGGTAATGGACGTGCGAGCCCAAAAGCAAAGAGAATACCTAGTCCTGTCAATCGAGGACAGATCAGAGGTCGGAATCCATCACCGAAAGGTCGCAACCCTTCACCTCTCAACAGACCGCCATCTCCAAATACTGATGGAATATCTCCATATACTCCTGAAGACACTGCCAAAAAGGTGAGACTTTATTAAATTTGTTTAAAAGTGAATACTAAAAGTGTTCTGATGAAGACAGCTAACATAGTGGAAAATATTTATGTACAATACCGTTCAGTATGATATGTTTATTATACCTAAATGCCAGTATAGATTATTCTAATGTGAGTGAACACGTACCACATCTTCTTGGCAAAACCTTCCATCTTATATACATTCTGTACGTTTTAAACCTCATCTAAGGTTTTGTTCGCTCTCCTGATTTCATAATCAAATTTATGAAAAATAAATTTTGTATAGGGACCTAAATTCATAAAATTGTAGGGTATTCCATGAATTTATGATATTTTTCATGCATTCATTTCGCAAATTAATGTGCAAAATTGCAATACGCCCCAGATTTTTTTCTTGGTACTAATCGCCGTAGGTGACCATAGTGTACCGTTGCTCTATGACAGAGGTGTGCAACCGAGCCCGCCAAGCCATTTAGTGTGGCCCTTATCAACACTCAGACTTTCCCCCATCAAGCATAAAATCCGAATCTGACAGTTTATGTTTAACAGTTGATATTAACAAACTATTCAACAACTCGAAATTTCAATTGTCCCACTAAGATGTTGAATAACCAAAATTTTGCATTGTGAGAATGTTTTAATTCGTTGTGCACTTGAACTAGTTACTACTAGTTTTTACGTGGTACAGCTAGATTTCAATATCTGGGTTCTCTATAGTTTTATTTTCTTATTTTAGATTACAGGTAGTTCCTTCATTTTCAAATTCAAATATTTGTCTATTTTGGCATTTCTTGCTGATATTGGAATATCTTCGTTATAATATTATCACAACATAGTTGTCAACTAAATTCATTTCATCTATTATTATTAAATCTTAGTTTTATTAATCTCAACAATAACACAATTGTTAACTAAATTGCGAAATTCTACTTTTTAAAAATGACCTTTCTCCCATTTATTTGTGAGTGACAGAATTTTGCAATCAATAGTGCAAGAACTTATATCATGTGGGAAATGTACTTTAACGCAATAATTAGCAGGAATCACATGATATTTCCTCAATACGTTTGCATTACACAAGTTCTTCAGTGCATTCGTTAAATGTATTGGTCATTAGGTAGGTCAGAGTAATTATTGTGGCAGTGGACATTGTAAGATATCCTATGTTATGTTGTTCAAGAATCTTGAGAAAATCTCTATAGCATGGAGAATAGCCCTCAAGTAACTCAAGTTTTGAAATCCTTTGTTTCACGTTGTTGTTCTTTCATAAAAGTGTGGCCACAATGGGAGCTCATTTCTTTTATGTGGTAAATAAATATGAATAGCCCTAAAGTAAAGAGATGATGCCTATGTCCTAATGTACAATCACTTTTTGTTTGCCATTCATTTGATTTAGTCTATATATGGATAAAACAAACCAATATCCCATATGTAAATATGCAGAATAACTAGATAATAGGAGTGATTTGCGAACCAATATTAAACATTTTTTTAATTCCTTTTATGTTATGCTGTTGTTATTTCACAAAGAATTTTGGTCACAAAAATTTTACTTTGTTTTCATGTCACCACAAAATCAAAAAAAAAATTTCAATTTCAATCTCATTCAATCTCATCTCAGCTTATATAAACTCAGATTAAGGAGGCAATATACCAGGCTCATGCTTTGATTTTATTTGTTTTAATGACACATTTGCTTTACTCGCCGATTTTGTTTTTGTTGTGTGACCAAGTTCATTATTTTTATCTATTACACAAGACCTATATTCAAGAAAATTTGATTCCTGTTATTGACCTCAACAAAAACTGAATGAAATGTAGCATTTTATCAGTTTCTACATATAACCAATATAACATAATTTGTTTTGAAATTAGTTGAATATTATCTGTATTACAACGAAAAGCAATAGCTTGTATTTGTGATTGTCAAATAAATTTGATAACTTCCTATTATGTACAATTGTGGCTATTGGGTTTTGAAATATTAATATTTGTAGTTATTGCATTTTAGCATATGTCATCATTTTAGGAATTTTTTTTATTTGTGCGATAATCTTGACTGATGATAGTAGTGTCAATGTCAGGTCAAGGTTACCTCAATGTTGCTTTGATAATAAGCAAAGCAGCACAAGCTGTGTTTTTCTGATTATAGACTAGTGTATACCAAACTGAATGATATGCAAGGTTAATCCCTTCAGCACATTTGTGGTGATAGAAAATTCTAGAAATGTAACAGTTACTTGCTGCTTATTATCACGATGTGGATATCTAAAAGTAAATATGTATTCAAACTCATTAAACATTGAATATATTTAGTAGATTCAAAAAAATGTCATTTGGAGACTTTTACCATAGACAGAAAGCATGACTTTTTGTAAACTCATTTTCAAACTCAAAATAAGGAATCAAATAAATATATATTTTATATTTTTTGCATTATGAAGTTTTATTATCTCTATTATTTTTCATACTTATGATCTTTGCATACTTATTCATTTGACATGTCCCAGTTCATATTATAGTTGTTACTTGTTATATTACTTAGGTTTTTAAAAATGATGTCTCATGCAAATTTGTTTATTATTTGACTTTGTATTTCAGGTCTCTCGGGTAATGAAAGCTCGACTGTATCTGCTACAGCAAAACGGACCAAACTCGTTCAGGATAGGTGGAGACTCACCTGAACACAAATTCCGCGTAATCGTTGGTCCTCAGGTTAGTTTTGCTCTTATCAACGATTTCCTTCTTCAGTTACTTAGCTTTAACCCTAAAGATGTTCAAATCGATTTGAAATTAGATATATATTATTTTCAATTTAAAATGCCCAACTGTATCAAAAAAGCCTTCATTTAATTTCCTAATCTGTAACAAAGGAACCCATCGAATATTGTTTATATTAACATTCTTCTATTTCCATCTTCAAACTGATTGAATATACAACAACTGTGTGTACTCATCTGACTTTTTATTGAAACAGTCAGGTGAATATCGCTTCAAACTTTTATCTTGAAATCCGCTTAAAAACATATATTTCTTGTAATTTTTTTTTTTAAATCTAAAAAAATTCGACAAAATTATTGGAAATATGAGGATTTGACGCTCATTATTTATATTTTTTATTCTATATTTCAGTCTTGTAGTTGTGGAAGAACTTTCTGTGTTCATGTGTTATTCGTGATGTTACGTGTATTCAAACTTGATGCAGGTAGCCCTTTGCTATGGAGGAAGAAACTGAAAAATTTTGAGGTAAGCAATATAGGCAACAAATGGTTTCGGAAACTTGTAGAATCATGAACACAAATTTGTAAATATATTCAATTTTTTTCTTTGTTTCAAGGTGTTTTATTCTCATACGCCAAGTCCTGTGTATTTTTCTGTGTTGTATTCCAATTATTCCAACACTACATATGGTAACATCAATATGTTTTTTTCTATCATCAGCCATTGAACAACTGATTTAGTTTAAAAAAATAAATTTTGATTGAAGAACTAATTTTCAGTTTTTATCACCTGGTTATTCACTTCGCAGTTTGTCTAATTGTATTTTGTTTTGAGTTCAATTTTCTTGATTACATTCAAATAATAATTAAATTTCACTTGTGCTTCATTCACAGGTGGAAACCTTATTTCGTGATTATCACGAGCGATGTAAATCAAGAATTTCTCCCAAAAGGAAATCAAGAGTAAAGAGAATGGTTTCACAAATATCACATGGAAACCAACAACAAGATACCTCTAGTAACAGTGACGATCAGTGAGTTTTAACTAAAAATTAAAAATTAAACCAAAATGGGACATATGTTTTATCATATTCAAATCAAGCATGGGCTATTGATGTATCATGTCTTTTAAGTATAGTGTGTGTGTTACTCATAGTTGATGCTTATCTGATATATATTTCCACGAATACTTCTACGTGACACCTTTATTAGTGGTCATATCATTGGCCAAATTAATCCTTGTTAACGTAGGTTGTGGATATGCTTCCTATCCTTTGATTACGGGTTATCTGCTCCAATTTTATTACATTTGGTTTCACAAAACTCGGTTTTGCCATTGCCTAAAGCTACCTTAACAATGCCATTTAGTGTTGGTAGTAATTGCTTTTACTGCGAAAGCGTAAGATAATAACAGTCCTTGAAAGGTTTTTTATTGTCGGGAAGTATAATGACAAAAGCTGTCTGGCGGAGAGGTTCAAAACAAACTGGGTGGTTGATTTATAACTTTTAAAATATATCAGAATTCATACCAATTTTCTGTGGCGTGACACATGATAAGAACGAAAAATATTGAAATTATTTATCCTGTTAGAAAATAATGTTGACTATTCATTAATTTGATTTGTGAAGGTTGCTAATTTAACCCAATTGAAAGCTATATGCTCATCTTTCCTACAAAATTTTGAAGGTTTGTTTATATATTATATATAGGTAATAAAATTGGTCATGTTGAACAAATGTACAACATTCTATAAGCTGATTTTGATTGATTTTTAGATAGAACTGGAATATTTTTTTTATTATTATGAGGCTAGCCGGTAATTTCATTTTGTTATACTTGTTCTGATATGAAACCAAATCATACAAATATCATATAAATACCTTATAAAACAGTGTCAAATTTGAAATAATAAATTACTCAAGTCTTTATGAGCAATTACCTTTAATACGGCCTGTGTGGGAAATATTGTGCTAATGTAGTTATGTCTTTATCGGGGATGAGGTAACTTGACATAAAATTATGATGTATTCGCCCACATGATCATATAATTTTCTTCCAATTCTCTTTCATCATTTGATGGAAACGTTTCATAATGTTCTCTTAATCATGTTTTGTACATTTGCTTCATTTATTAAAATTAAATGTTGTCCGTTTTATTTTCAAGTGTTCACAGCTTTTCCCACTACAAATTTGTTTTTATCATTCTTAGTTTCTTTTGGGTTTAAATTGAAACTTCAGTCCATCTGTCTAAAATACAATGACATTTATCCTAAACTACTAATTATATTGTCCCTTCGGCAAAATGCAAACTGGGTGCTTTAACTGTGGATTGTTACTATACAGCTGATTGTTATTTGTATGGTTCTGTTTTTGTTATTCATTACATTTAAATATGTAGATTTTACATGTCTTGAAATTGAATAGAGATTTACAATAAAGGAAAAATTACACCAATGTTATATATTCAAAATTAAAATATGCCAGGTGACCCCTTCAAAAAAAAATTTGTTTTTTAAATTCTGATACAAAAATAAAGAAAATTTACTTCATAATAACAGTGAACTGCTGTTTGTGTTGATTGTACACAAAAGTGTTACGTAATCTAAGACACTCTGCATAAGAGTTATCTTCTTCATATAATAAATATACATTGTGTAGTACATATTTAGGCTCATTATTTCAATCCAGTTTTAATTTGAGAATATTTTTTCTAGAACCAGTCCCCTTATTTTCCAAACTACAAAAATGACCACACCACTCTTTATTGTTGGTTAGAGGATCATTTATCAAACTACTGCTCTCTTTTGTTTGCCATTATGTTATAGGAAGCAGTCAGCCAACATGACTATATTGTGTGATTCGAAGGTCTCCATCATACTCTCACAAATTCCATTCTGTAATGTTTCATTAGACCGAATTGTTTGTCTGAAGAAGCTTGACTTTGGCTGATTATGGCAAAATTTTTATTTTTAAGTTTTGTGAAAAACAATGTTTCGATTCTGGAAAATTCTAAAATAGGTTTTCTTTATATTAATTTCTGTCTTTTATGTCTCCATTTTTATTTCAATACTTTTCAATTATTTCTTTTTTTGAAAATATGTAATAAATTATTTTCTAGTTCCTCTAAAGGCGAAGAAGAAAATTGTCCAATATGTTTATTACAAATGATTGATGATGAACCTATAACAGTATGTGAAGTCGGATGTCGGAATAAATTACACACACATTGTGTAGATATATGTGAGTTTTTCTTTTTAATCTATATAGCATAGCAAAAATAGAGCAAAAATAAACAGAAAAGATGAAATTTTCTGACATAATTAAGGGTTTATTCTGGCATATTATTCTTTATTCTAATTGCACCAAGTTTTATCGATAAACTTCAATAAATAAAATTTTGAATATTTTTCGCCATTTTATAGTTGATGGTATGAATTATCATTTTAAATATTATTAATCACAGGGGCAGAGGAATGCCGAAGAAATGGAGATTCATTAAAATGTCCTTTGTGTAGGGTGGTTTGGAAACCAGCAGAAACAGCACGAAGACCATTTTTGGTTGAAATTCCAAGAGAATATGAAGATACGGCGGACTCTTGGGTTCGGGTGGGTGAAATTTTTAAAATAATTTCAATTTAACTTTTTTATCAAAATCTAACATTATTTACTTTTGATAAACAGGCATTTGGTTGGGAGTTGGTTTCCTGCCTTTTCTCAGCTCATCCGAATATTCGAGAGAATGGTCTTCGAAGATTATCACATGATATCACAGGAGCTTTACTTACTTCACAACCAGCTGACATTCCAGATGATAATTCAGAAGATTCTGACAGGTAAAAAATAGTATAACAATGGATTTTTGCTAATTAAGAGTAATGATTTGAAATCTTCATTTTAATTTGCCTTCACTTAATTTCATTGCTGTCATGATAGGATAATTGGGTGAGTTACATGTTGCGTAAATATGTGACATTGCCTATATTTGTTCATCGGTGAATAGTGATTTTTATGGAGCATACCATGTTTCTATTTGGTACCTGTTACGCTGTAAGTCATCATATAATCTTCTATATCAGTGTGTTCAAACTTTTTTTTATATCGCGACCCACTTGGCACTGCCAATTTGTTTTGCGACCTCCAGGAACTAAAATAAAAATAGGTAAAATATAATAATACATATAAAATTAAAAAAATAATAAAACTGACAATACCTTCAATGAGACTGATGTGCTTGCATATTCTTAGATAAAAGATCGAATCTTAGCCCTATTTTGGTGATGGTGGGTCACAGTACTGGCTCCAAATCTTTCAAATTTGATCGATATTTTGTTTTAACATAAGTTAGTCTCGAAAAAGATTTCGCCATTTGGTTCTATATGTTTCTTGAAGTCGTTAACTGAAAATAATCTTAAATGAAAAATAAACTGTACAGAGAATGGTACACAAAATAAAATTCAACGGATTTTTTTTTAAATTAAAAATCGAGGTTTTCGATGATTTCTCACAGTAAAAAGTCATTGATTTGTACCTATTCAAACATGATATATTTTAGAATATGTTTAAATAGTATTTGTGCAATCGACATTGACCATGTTTTTAATCTCAAGGGAACAGATATGGTATTTACACAGCAGTCATCTTATTAAATTTGTAACTGACGTATATATCGTGGTAATCACCAATGGGATTCAAATTTAGAATCCAATGTCTAGCCATGCCTTGTTCTGTCTACATATGGAAATAAGGCTATTACTTATTGCATCAATTACATATCTCGTGCGCAATGTATTGTAAGGATTTCTCACCTTTACAAACATTCTATATATAAATAGTGGTTAACTCTCTTTGTACGGCAATTGCAATCTTTCAGAAGCTGTGTCGATTTAACTCACTCAGTAGTGAAGATAAAGATTTAATATTCTGTATATGATAATTACCGATATTTTTCAATCCTGTATATGGTTTTCTCACTTTTATTTGCTATATATTCAGTGGATATGACAAACGAATTTAGTTGAAACATCTTTTGAAATTGAATCATATGAATATGGATAATCAAAGACTATTTTTAAATTTAATGTGCCTTTGTTACAGTAAAATGAGGATTAATAGTATGTCATATTTTGCAAAGTAAAAGATTTTATGATCTTGGCCTTTCTTATGATCTTAAATTGATGAAATATAGTATTTATATTAAAAGGAAATTCATAATTCTATAATACCCATAATAATTGTTTAGATATACCACAGTTTAATCCACACCTGCATTTCCTCTATGATTCACTCTGAGAATGAGAATGTAACATGCATATGAGACACTTTTTATGTAAACTATATATTAAAAATAAAATTTCAATTCAGATCTTCACCAAGGGGTGCAACTGCAGATCCAGAGTCCTCTGCTCTTTCGTTGAATTCAAGTCTGTCAGCATGCTGTTCCATTCTTGCTATGGTTTGTGCAGATCCAGAGTACAGGGTTTATGTAACTGCTTTGGTGAGAAACTATGCTTAAGTTATAGGGCTTAATGAGAATTACTGATTACTATTATACCAATGAGGTAAAGTTGATCATCTGAATGGTTAATATTCAGTCTTATAATTTTAACAGTGCAATTCTTGAAGTGTGAACTGATATCATTGCCTTCTTGGAGTAATTTTGGGTAAAAAAATGTACTTGTGTTATAGTAAAATTTTACGAGTTGTTTTTAAGTTAGATATATTCTCAATCTCTAAACTAATGGACGCTTTGCAATTCAGAGAACACTTCGAGCAATGCTGGCATACACACAATGTCAATCGACAGCTGATGTGAAAGCTTTCCAGAAAATTCTATCTCCTGTCATCGAAACTATTCTTCTGAAATGTGCAGATAGCAGTCGGTATGTTTTTTATTCACTGATGTATAGTAAAAAGTGATTACATTTAATGAGCCAATAATTTGGTGTAAAAAATACATCTTTTTTGGCACGAATTCGGCATAAGCGATCAGTGTAAAATCTTTATTGAACCACCAACATAATCAGTATGTGGGGGGATCCTAGGTCCAGCATGCCCTAAGAAGTTTGGTTGAAAAATATAGGTAATAAAAGCTATTTTTGAGACACAACTTAAAATTAAATAGTGTTCAGTGCTATAGTCGAAGAAAAAAGTGATTTTCATGTCCTAACAATAACAGCACGAATAACAATTACATCTTTTTTAAACATGCAAGATTTTTGTCCATTTGGTAGCCATGAAGTCATTTTTTGCAATAACTATCCCTACATGATCCTAAGTTCAAATAATTTTTTACATTCAAGAGTTCAAAATATTTCTTTGATATTATTTTTTGTCTGGGCTTGTTATATCAATGAAACATGATGTTCACACAAGCTTATATATAGCCGAATTCTACAATTTTCAATTAACAATGTTTTATATTCTAGACGTGCTTTACAATTATCTGTCAGCACTATCATGGAACTTTGCAAAGGACAATCAGGGGAACTCGCAGTCGGAAAGGAAATAGCAACAGGTTTGTGCTGAAGGATATTCTACAAGAGCGCTAAATCAAATTCATTTCAAATTCATTGTTTGCCTTAACTTAGGACTATGTTTATTATTATGTTTATGATACTTTGATATTTTACAACAAGAGAGCAATGCTCAAATATTTGGACAAGTGGACCAGAGCGAAGCAGTCTTTACCTTTGACGTTACCGATACCATACCCTCAAAAAAAAAATTTGTTTTTTTATATTTCTATTTCACTTTAAATCTTAACAGAACTGGTTCAAGAGTTGGTAATTACACTTTGTATAGATTTAGATCAACATTTCCTTTACGTCAAGCAGAATGAAATGTATTCCAAATTTCATAATGATTATCTGAAATCTGCCAACGTAGCTAAATACTTGACGTCACTGATCTCAAGTTATTTATTCTTTCCATTTTTATTACTGGTTCAAAGTATTTTTCTATATTATTATTGAGTTTCATTACTATTCAGAATCCTTCACAGTTGGAGATGTAGACCTCATCATCACTTTTCTAGAATCTGGACGATCTCCTGATTCTTCTTCATGGCAGTGGATGTTAGGAAGGTTGAACGTTCTTAATGAGTTATTTAAAGAATTCAAACATGAATTTATACTTTCGTAAGTATTTTATTTATTGTAGTGGTCATTTATGTAGTAAAAATATTTAGGTTAAAATTTGTGTTCTGATTTTGTTTCAGATTATCCTACAAATAAAGCATTTTCTTTAAAAATAATCTTCAAAACTCTCATTGACCTTCCATGTTCATACACATGTCATGGAGTCCATTCCCAATATTTCTTGTAGTTACCTTTGCATTATTACATTAGCTCTTTACTTGATGTGGTGTTCATTTGATAATATTGAATCTTATGCTCCAGGGGGGAGCCAGGTAACACAGATGCAGAAAGTGAAGGATTCATATCAGCCAAATTATCGAAAGTAACCAAGTTCACAGCAGATTGCCTGAGAATTTCCAAGCATCAAAATGTGGTTAAAATGGCTCACAAAGTTTTTGTTCAGGTAAACTATTTGTTCAATTTCACTTTAAGAATTAGTAATATTTATTTATTTATACTAATATTTATGTAATACATGATCATTGAAATGCTCCTAGTTAGGGTATTTTAGTAAATCAGTATTAGATACCTGCATATATATATATATATACAGAGTGTGTTGTAGATAATATGTAAAATAATATAATGAATAATTTGGAATGCTTTTATCTCGCAGGCTGTAAATTTTGGAAGCAGAGATTCTGTCTTTATGACGACTTGTATGCACTTGTTGCAAAATCTTGACTATCCAAGGCTGAAGAAAAGGGTTGCGCAATTTTTACCAAGTGATAATGCTGTCGTCGCAGAATGGTAAATTTTCCATAATGGCTTATTTTGATTTCTTTGATTCAGATTTCACTGAAGTTTAAGTGATTCTCATACCTATGTACATAATATTTATAAAATTGAATTAGAATTATTGGTAACTATAAAGTACCATTGTTGGCCACCTATGAGCAGCCTATGAGCAATACTCAATCTCATTGCGATGAAGCTATTCTGGTTCCCACAGTAACCTTTCATATCGATCTTCATATTCATGTAATTGTTGCTTTCCAAACCCTTGATCTTCTCTCTCACTCACCAAACAAACAAGATATTTCTGACAACCTTTTGCAAGAGCCTTGTGAAGATTAATTGATATTTGACCTCTTGGTTTCAGCATCTCCTTAGTTCAAGTTCAAAGATCGTCTTGAAATGTCTATTTTAACATTCTTTCGAAACAAGTTCCATGTTTTTGTTTACCAGGGAAAGCTTATCAGGTTCGTGTGATGATTCTGACATGAAAGAACAATTAGTGCCTGTGAGCATCAAGAGTCCAGTTCTGGATTCAAATCCATCTGTTGGTGAAATTGGTTTGGCTTCATCAAGTTTAGCAAGGTTTCCATCATTTACAGTTTCTAGTCAGCGTGCCACCTTTCCACCTGCGCATTTGGCTGAAGCTACAATGCATATTGCTTCATCACCTCCTCTACCTGATGGTGGAGATTTCGAGGAAGGTTAGTATTTGCTTTTTCCCCTTATATTCAAATTGGTTCTTATTTGTTATACAGTCTAATAAAGTTATATTGCAAGAACCTTGACATAGGTGTGAATATTAGTAATTTATGAATAGGGATTCAGGTGTTTTGAATACTGTGGTGTTTGATATCAGACCACGATGCATGTTGTGGATTTGTATCTCATTTTGAAACCAATATAATAATAAATAGCTGGATTATTGTTATCTATTTGTTGCTATATTCTAGCATGTTTAATAGAAAAAACAAAATTTTGTGCAGAATTGAACCATGCTCACCAGGAAGCAATGTATCTTGGAAGATCTTGTGCCCACCCCCCAACACCCCCTCCATCTTCTGATGATACAACCAATTTGGCAGATGCAATTCAAGTATGTTTAACAATGTTTTCTTATCATCTAGTACTTCTGCAAACCTAATGATAACTTTTATTGGTTTATAGGTCAGTTTGTTTCGTCCCATACATTGCTTTAGTCCACATGAAGAAAACAATGGACCACCATTCAATGAGCCTAGGCAACCTGTTTTAGATGGTAGAACTAGGAATCCCGTCCAGTCGATGCATATGCAGAATGACGAAGAAGAGGAATCAATGTTCCCACCACCTTTACCAGTCAAGGAAAGGAGACTTGCAGCAGAACAGTCCAAATCTGCCCCTGTAACTCCAGCTTCCCCTGATCGTTCTGTGATGCCAGAATCTAGAAGACAACGTCCTACCCTACTGAGACTCAGATCCGAAACATCCGCATTCAGACAAACAAAAGGATTCTCAAGTGCCTCAAAGAAAAGTGTAACCCCAGATTCTGAAACGAGCCTGTCATCTCCATCTTGCAGGGAAAGAAGCAGCAGTCGAGAGTCTGACTCTTCTGCTTCACAAGATTGCTTAATGAAAAGCGCTGACCGTCGTATGAGCGTAAAAGAACTTGCAGAGAACATAAACAGAAAACAAGGCCGTCCACATGCTCCAAATATAAAGAAAGAAACACCAACTCGCGGTGGATTCATGTCGCCTCAAAATAAGACAAATGTTTATCAAATGCTCGATAGAGGTGATGCTACTGCTAATTTACAAGATTCGCCGACCAAACAACCGCCTCTAAGAAACATTTCTGAACCAGAACCACCTGATCTATCTGCTCAATATAACACTGGAAATATTGCTAAGAAGCCACTTATGCTTGCAGCAAAGTATGAAAGCCATCCGATCAGCCGAAACATAGCAAGGCGTGGTACAATGGAAAGGTATAAAGAGAAAAAACGTTTGGAAGGTCTTACCAACCCACCCCAGACATTGCATGAAGTTAGGACACCAGATTCTGATTATGCAGACACGCACGAGCCTTTATCGGGCAAAACAAATCCTCCCCTCAATTTGTATAGTCGGTCAACAGAATCTTCTCCGAGCAGAGGTAGGCCAATGCGTGGAATTCTGAAAAATGGACCACCGGATGTAGTGAAAAAGCCTGTTCCACCACCTTGTCCAGCTCAGCGACAAAAGTCAAGTAACACTGATAGCGGTCGAGCATCAACTAGCTCAGCGGATTATTTATCCGAAGATAAGGATTTAACTAACTCTGCTTCTAGCCCATGTAAGAGTGCCGACGAATTTACATCAGTATTTGCGAATCCAAATGATGACCAAGTAGTGCCTAAGTCTTCTCATGACGATGCCTTATCACCGACGACATCTCAATATCCAGTTATTCCACCGAGACCACAAACAGAATCAGAGTCCGATTCTGATTATGTTGGGTCTGAAAAAAGATTCGGTAATGCCAGAGATTCTCTCATTGACCACCACGAGTCTTTTGCAATTGGAACATCATGTGCTACTTCAAACCGTCCCATGAGACCAAAGCAATTGAAAAGAAATGCTAAATCTCCAACAAGAGAAGCAGCAAGGCATAGGGATCCAGTTTTGTCACCAACGACTTCGAGATCGGCTGTTAAACATGTTACAGAATCAGTCCAATCAAGGGATGGGAAGGAATCATTATTTTATATCAGGACGGCCAGACAAGATGAAGATAGGTAAGATTTTGACCGGTATGAGCTAATTTGGGTGTTGTTGATTAATATCATCTTCTAACAGTTATGTCTTTTTATGAACAGGCCGGGAACGAGTCGACATAGAAAACTTCCGCCATTACCAACGGACGATGCATGCTCTACACACCCACCACTGACTGAGGTGAGGAGTAGTTGATTTATATTTTGCCATTTGGAACAGGAATATTTATTAAACCAAGCTGTTGAAGGCACTGCCTTGTTTTGTTTATGCTTATATTTATAAAGTCAGTACCTCGTTTGTGTTTATATCTTATTGGCAATGACAAGTTCAAATTGTGTTGCAGAATCAAAATACACCATGCAGAGAGGGGCTTTCTCTTGAAGATCCAGAATCGGATACATCACAGGCAGAGAAAAATCAAGTTACATTCCAGACTGAAATAGGTAGAAAACTGCAAATTTGTTTCTGTTTCGTGTTGGTACATTGCTAGGGTGGTGAATATAATGACTTTGTAAAGTAAAATGCAAATGAAACAACGATAGCCCTGCATTGTCAAGTCTGCTTTCTGTTGTAACTTATAAAACCAAAATACTATAGGACTAATAACTGACCCTTGGGTAACGCTCTGATATGTACCTTATTGTCCATCTAATAAGCTGATTGTCTAGACCGAATTTTTTGGGTCTGATTTTCTGGAGTCGACTTATTAGGCGCCTCGGCTTATTTTAGTATTTCTTTAGTGGGCTCATTAGCTTTATCAGAAAATAACGAAAAAGGGGGGACAATACCGTGCCATCCCTGTCAGTTTTCATAATTCAGCATTCTCACACTGGGAATCTGGAATGTCTTCCCTGTGATTAGTATATTTGATGTTGTGACGTTCGTGTATTGTATGTATCAGGAGCAAAAGAAATTATCCATCACATGTGGTAAATCATGAATACAAGGCGCTTTGTCATGTGTACTGTAAACTCATCAAAGAGAGAGAGAGTGAGTGCATTGGCGCATAACTGAGGAAAATGAGTGAACTAGAATCAATAAAAATAGAGCGTGCATTTGTTCTCAACTAAAAATAAAAGGGGAACACAGTTTTTCTGCCTCTGCTTAATGGTAAAATCGAATAACCCTCATTTTTAGTGCCTATTTTGCCAATAAATACAGTAATAAACTAATAATATATTGCTTTGTTCAAAGGTGACGGTATCACTCCTGGAGAAGAGATTAACAACACTGCTGATTTCAGTTCAATTGTGGGCAGTGATTATGCATCAGATATCAATTATGCATGTTCTTGCCAAGCCCAAATTGCAGAAGAAGAAAGCAAGTTGTTTGCAAGGGCTCTTGCTGTCAGTTATGTTCAAGATGCACTACCAACCATTCCACACTTAAGTTACACAGAATATGACACAGAAATTATAAGGACACAGGATGAGGTTTGTAAATTATCTCAAACTATGAATTTATTAGACACAAAGTGGACATATGGATCGTTTTGTTATCATGTTGTTTTTGTTAGAATTAGTACTTATCGATCTCGATCGGTAAGTATGTTGATAGGTATTTGTCTGTTAGACACTTTCGTATGTTACGCGATATCTCACGAAAGCGAGGTTGAATCTGCTCCAAATTTTGCATGTGCATTCATCATATCTCAGACCAGAAGCCTATTGATTTTGACTGAATTATGTCATATAATTAGTGATGGGACACACGGTGTCGCTATTGAGTCATATCGAAGGAATTGGAACCGCAGATCGATAAGTCAGCAGTCTTCGATCGCTATCTAGTTTTTCTTGTTGTTATGGAAAAATCACTTTTCTCATTAACTACTGTATTTTTCCATGGAGAAAGATTGTATTTTTTGCCACAAGGCTTATTTTGATTCATTTCCAAAATTTGTGTGGGCTATGTAAGATTTTTTGTGTACGGGAACATCATCAAAATTAAAAAATTGCGCACCTCGTGGTGGTTCGTGATCTGGTGGTCAGGCGAAGTTGTGAACACTGCGGTACCGGTCTAGAGATTGCCAACCTGTACTACTTCGTTTTGGTCTTCGTTACCATATATTTGATCATCGCTCTCTTGTTTTAATCTGAACTCATTTTTAATCAATCATTATATCTTTAGAATACAGATCTTTCTCAGGAATACCGAATGAATCAACACTGGGTCAAAGGTCATCAAATTGGACTTGGAGCTTTGTCTTCATGCTTCCAAGCTAGAGATGTTTTCACTGGAACGCTCATGGCTGTCAAGCAAGTATGTAAATTGAAATTTGGTTGTTTCATATTTAACTTGTACATTATCTTGCTGTAGACTCTATCAACTTAGTTGTCTTAGTTTTTGTCAGATTCAATTCTGTTGTCAGATAAAAATGGTCATGTTACACATACACACATATTTGTCGGTAGGGAGAGGGAAGGTATTAAGCTGAACATATGGTGAACCACAGACTCTTGTCAAATTACAAGTCCATGTCGGTTATGGCAATAGTTTGCCAGTTATCTGTTCAAGATGCATGGAGTTGAATGCGGAGGAAGCCTTAAATGACTAGCAGTTATGTGAACCAACATAGAGCGTTGGCGAGCATATTCCTAACGCCTAGCACAATGTGCCACATCAAGGGGTTCGTGCGCACCCATTCTTGGGATGTCATGAGACATCATGTCTCAATTTTTTGCGTAAAATCAAGTTTTGTTGTGTAATATTTTTAACTATCATATGTTACACAACATAGAATGATCTATATTACCGATTAACACTTTTTCGTTTGTAGGTAAATTATCAAAGATGTTCTGCAAAAGAACAACAGCAGGTTTTGGAAGTTATAGGGAAAGAGATCGAAATGATGAGACATTTGTCACATCCGAATGTTGTAAGATTACACGGAACTACGAAGGAAAGCGGCTTGTACAATGTGTTCTTTGAATGGTGTGCTGGTGAGTGGCTCTGCATTTTCTAGTTTACCGACTATATCTCAAAAAAATTATAATTTTATTCGATTAAATGAATGTTTTGAGGCGAAATCAAGTTAAATTTTGTTTTTAACAGGTGGATCAGTCTCCACACTTCTCAGCAAGTTTGGTTCTTTCACAGAGTCTGTTATTTCAAACTATACACTACAAGTTCTTCGTGGGTTGGCATATCTCCATGAAAAATCCATTGTGCACAGGGACATCAAAGGTATAGTATTATAATTCAAAAGTAATATTCTTTTTATGTTGTTTTTTTTTCAATTTTTTCATTGCCCACATTATCTGACTAATTCTATGTTTCATATATCAGGGGCTAATCTGTTAATTGATTGCACTGGGCAACGATTGAGAATAGGAGATTTTGGCGCATCCGCAAGACTAGCCACAAAGTGCACAGGTGCTGGTGAATTTCAAGGACAGTTACTGGGTACCATTGCTTTTATGGCACCAGAGGTAGGTTATTAAACTATTTAGCATTTCATCCAATTCAGATAAAAGATTTATTTGTAGCAGAATGAGATGCTAGTGTGTGGTTAGTTAGATTTATTGTCCTCTCATCTATACTTATTGCAACCATGATTTATTGTACAGGTGCTGCGTGGTGAACACTATGGAAGAAGCTGTGACATTTGGGGTGCAGGATGTGTCATCACAGAAATGGCAACTGGTAAACCGCCATGGGAAGCCGATCAACATTCCAATCATTTATCATTGATATTCAAGGTGCTGATTCATAATTTTAATGGAATTTTAGTTTTTTTTTATTTAGGATTTCCAGCTTAATGATATTAACTCAGAATAAAAGATCTTTATGATGAGTTTTGTGATGCAAGTTGAAAATTCTAGGCTGTATCAGCTAAGTCTGAGCAGAATTTCCATCTCACATAAAATACAAATAACTGTATTCCAAACTTCCAGTTTTATATAGTCAAGAGCAACTAATTCAAATTTAGTGCATTCTTTCGTGATCCACCTTCTATCTTTGAATCCACTGAAGTCCTTAGTTCAGAGGTAATGCAAAAGTCTGTGGAATGAGGCAGGCAAACTATCCAATTTATCACAGAAGTCACGGTTTGGATCATGCCGTCTTCCAAGATTTTAGTCAAATAAAGTTATTCCACTAAAGTATTCGAGTCAATATTCTTTCGAGTCTTCTCAATCATAGTTATATATAATTGTATAGCAGAATAATTTCATATATATCTTTTTTATCCTATTTTTACAGATTGCCAGTTCATCCAGCATACCAATTATTCCTGACCATCTTTCACCAGCATTACGTGATTTATGCAGAAGGTGTCTAGAAACTGACCCCAGCCTTCGGCCACCTGCAGATGATTTGCTGAAACATCCAGTGTTTGTGAGGTGGTAAGATTGTATATAAAACCTACACACAAGTCACCATGTACAGTATTCTGAGTGCACCTGCCATTGACGATTTGCCAACTGAATGCAGATTGCCAATTTTAGTATTTGGTACTGGCAAGAAATTGTTTATATTTATACTCCATTGAACTTTTTTATCTTTCATTTCATCATTTATTTTACTGTATCAGTTCTGTGAAGTATTGAACACCTTTATAAAAGGCAGTTATTGTTAGTTTTGTTTTTGGTAACATTTTTATTGTTATCGCACTTTTTATAACTGCTTTAATCAGATGTAAACCAATATCTTCAAATCATCAAACAGTATTTGAACGAGTTGGAAAAGTAATCAAGTCGACTGTGGGTTGAACTATTTTAACTAACTAAAAAGTTTATTTTTGTAGCAAGAAACACGAAATGGCTGTATTTTTTGCACTTGGCACTACACATGATATTAGCAATTGGAAAAATATTTTTTACTACCTTTTTCAAGTTTTAATGTCAGCCCTTTTGGCTTTTTAAACTTTTTTATTGCTCACCTAAATCATCATAAGTTCTGTAAATATACTATTTTCGTTATTGAATTATATTTGCCATTGTCTGTCAGTCATTCCCTTTCTACTCCATTCCTTTCATTTCGTTTTCTATACATTTTATTGTCAAGAGTTGTTCAGTGGAAAAGTCCCAGGTGTGTTTTCTCAATCTATTTAATGGTTAGAGTGTCTTTCACTGCTTCTTATCATGTCGGAACCATAGATTATATTTTCTCAGAGACAGAGCTGGAATGTACATAAAGTGATTTGAGATTATTATCATTGAGCCTGTGTATGTAATTTCTTAAGTATTTTTGTATAGTTCTCATGTTGCTGTACATTCATTCCTATAAGCTTGAGTTTCCTGAGTTCTTGAACTTCACTGCACCTCTCAATAAAAACGAAAATTTTTAGTTTATTTTCAGTCTTCAGGCCGATTGCTTGGTTGATCTTGTTCTATTGCTTTATATCCAAGTTGCTTATAAGTAAATCTGTTGCGTTCTCTTCCTTTCCACTCTCATAGTTTGTTGTATTACCTGCCTGACTCAGTTTTTTGATTGTGAGACCTTTTATATATAGTAGCTGTAAGTTACCTGGTGTTCGTTATTTTTATCTTCATTTTCCCAAATTATGTTCATAACCATTTCAAGCGGAATGAAATTCGAAAAAAAATGTAAAATGTTTGTGTAATTAAATTGCCAATGATATGGATTTGAACGGAATATAATAAATATATATAATACCGTGCTTAGGAAAATAGGGCATGCAGGAAATAATCTCGCTAATATCAAAGCTGGTACGCTAAATTATGCGGAGGCCTGGAAAAGAAAAGTCATAGTGAAAGCACTCTAGTATAAAGGCGAAACTAGTGCTCCATGCAATTGCTGATTCCGTTACAATGTTCCCTTCAAAAGAGCGCGCTAACTCTATTCGCGCCGCACTGATGTTAATTGTACTCAAGTCTGGTGTATTTGACCATTATTCCTGTATTACCTTAATCTGCATGTTGTGTGGATAGGGATTGTGCCAACATCTACATATTGCGTTAAATAACGCTAATAAACAATAGGGCCGTATATTATAAACGGGAAAAGTAAGAATAGTTTGGTTCCTGTACCTCAAATATATCAATTGCTATCACAACCCTCACTTTGGTGAATCTCTTGTCTAACCGTAGCGTTCGGCATTTAAAGCTAGTCCAATCAACTGTACTGCACTCTCCCAAAGTATAGAAAAGACAAGACCAGGTTGAAGTTTAAAATTTACTAGCCAAAAGATAACTCACGTAATTTTCTAACAGTATGAATAATATAAAATTGCATATTGAAATGTTTTGTTCATATTCGGTCCATTGAGCTTTGAGAAGCTCCGTAAAGGACAACGTGGATTAATAAAGTTGCGTAAATGTTTTCATAATATAGCCGTTTCCAGTAAATATTGCCAACGCGATATCCAGCTAGGAAATACAGATTCGAAACAATTAAAAAGACAAATGCAAATGATGAAAAAACTCCCCTTATTCTTCTACTCCAAGCAGGCGTCAGATATTTATTTTCAAAATTTTGCACCGGTTTTGTTCTGTATATTCCCAGCGCAATACTTTCAACTAGAACTCCGAACCAACAAAAGAATCCCCACCATAAATGATGAATTAATGGGCCGTGCCAATAAGTTACAAATGTAAAAGTTACCATTAAACTAAAGATTGATCGAAGGACACCAGCTTTTGATCCGCCACATGGAATATAGACGTATCTGACCAACCATTTGTGAAGACCACGGTCGATGAGTTTCCAGAAATCGGTCATTCGATGTTTTGAATAAACGCATTGGGGCTGCCCAGGTACAATCATGTTATCAGACGTGGCGAAATGAGAAGGCATTCCATACCATATCAAGTACTTCATGTAAAATAACCATACTTGCGCCATAGAAAGACCGCACAAGTTGAAGATTGACATTTTTTGAACAACTCTTACATCTGCTGCCAATGACGATGTGTAAATGAAATGCAATCCGATATCTGTGAAAAAATTCCAGAAAGCAAAACGCAGGAGTCCAGTAATAAACTGTTTGGTCTTTTCCACATCCCAATTCATCGGTGGTCGCCTTCTTTGCCTTACGAATTCATCGTAGTTCATTACAGGACCACCATAAAACAATGGAAAATACATTTGATAAATAAGTAGGTCAATGAAGCTGAACTCCGAAATTGACTCCGGTTCATTCGATTTCTTGTCTTCTTCTTTTCTCTTTTGCTTCTTATTTGATTGTTTGCTAGATTGACTTTGCTCGACGATATCTGGCTCCGTTAGCAGTTCTTGACGTCGCCCGTTGCGCCACCAGGCAAATTCAAGGCTGTAGCCGATGTAACGTAGATTTGACATACCAGTACAAACCAGTAAAACGTATGCTTTATCTTCGTCTTCTTTCGAGTAGAATGTTAGTATGGTTTTTAAGCACGTCGGGTGCTGCATGCTATACAGAAGCGAAAGGCCAGCTATCCAACAAACCGTAGTACTTCCAGTGAGAAAAACAGCCAAGTATTGAATTGTGAAATGTCCCATTAGGAAGAGCAGACCATACACTCCTAGAAAATGTGCCGTAAATGAAAGAGTATAAACTAGCATTATTTCGAATCGTCTATCCGGCCATACTCTTTCAGCGAATCTTGAAATAATAAAATGTCCAGCGAAGCCCAGTACTGTACATTCCCAAAGATATTTTTTCCACAGTCCCCATTCGGAATCGTAAGCGTCTTGGTGAATTCCCAACCAATGTTTCCAACCTTGTTCCAAATATCCATAGCGCTTATATCTGTCCTCATTTTTGCGCGATATTGCATACAACGAAGATATTGAAAGCACAATACCACCTCCCCATAACAAAGTACATATCAGTACTTCGAAGAAAGGCAATCTCGGATAGTAATATTTTCTCTCCTTCGTGTCACTATCATTTCTATGTAGCTTTTCACATGCCATTGATCTATTTTCGGTGATAGAATAATGCATTTACTATACGACTGTCACAAATAGCTTCAAATCGTGTGTTACGTATTTATTTCCGTCTATTGATCCTGTACCACGGATTGGTATGTACTAATACTCTATTCTCTGGCATCGGTACATCCGTTTCAACTCGCCTGTACTTATTATCCGTGGCGCAAGTAGTGTAACACATACAGTATTTCAAACATTGCCTCGGGCCATTCGAGGACAGAAGCGGCATTTTGCGTTTCCAATATGAAATCCTTCCTCAGCCGTTCTAATATTCTTTCCCGAGGCCCTTTACTTTTGGCACTGTTAAATGATGATACTTAGTATTATAGAATTAGGTAATTTTAATAAATAAAGCAAGTTTCGAAACCGAAGAGTTTTATATTTTTAGCACTAGACCGGCTGAAGAACTGAAGAGTGTTATATTTTTAGCGATAGACCGGCTTCATCTGCATAACCTCGCGTGATTGAAAAGATGCCAAAATTTGCACTATTTGGACTTGCCCTCTCGCAAGTTTTGTTTTTTCAGATGATGTAATCTTTGATGTTTGGATTATCTTCTTACTTTTCATCTTCTGATAATATCAATGCGCCAAAAGGCCAATATTGCATCTTTTCTATACATCGACCTACTGACATGTGGAAAACATTTGATCGACGATTACATGAATTTCTCGTGAGATGATACATCTACTTATCATGCGGTGGATCAAGGGTAAATTTCTTTCGTGCATCGTTGAACTCGTTTCTGCTTTCGTATATACAGCCTTTTGGCATGGTTACAAGATTGAGTACATGCTTTGGGTAGTGATGAGTTGGGCTGCCGCTTACGCGCCACGATCCTCGATTGCACAACATATTATTATACTTTCAGTTAAATATGCCGCCAGGTAGGCTACTGAATTGTAAAGTGGGTCAGCAAAAACGGAAGTCCATGCAATCCAAAAAAATTCAACTTGAAAACAATGCCGTATGCACAAAATATTTTGAATCTCTATAGAGTAGGGCAGTAAATATCAGCAATTCTCGCTGATAGGTACCATTCCAACGCCAGCTGGCCATCTATAATTAAATCTTTTTCGTTTTCTTGTGAAACATAGTAAACTTGCGACATGCAACCAATTGAGCTTGCCACCAATAACACAGCATATACCAGGATTTCAAAACTTGGTAATTCTGGATAGTATGGATCATCCGAAACGTTTTTGATACCCTTCGAACCCTGATTTCCGTGCTTCTGATTCAATCCCATTGTTGATAGAACGCTGTATGCACAGAAGCGTCTAATTAAAAGGTGACCGTACATTTGAACCCATGTGTATAACTGCGGGTTCAATCTATATGCGGGTGCTAAAACCCATGGGTTCAAATATCCGCAAAACAAAAAAAATCCATGGGTGCAATAGTATGCAGGTGCAATTGTCGTGGGTTCAAATGTACGGGAACCTAATTAAAACAATATCGTAGCAAACCTTTCGTGTATTTTATTCGCAACATAAGCTAGAAGCCTCCGGCCAGGCGTGTGAACTTGCCACATAAAACAATAGTGGACAGTCCAATAATTGGCTATGTGTCACGACAAGTTGTGGTCGATGAGATATATTTTCTCTGCCAAACATCTCGCCGGTTCAATCATTAAAAAATGAACTGTCGATTCATATTCCGGACCCAGTTTCTAGACTATATTATAAACACTATCCAACATTGAAGATGTTCGCACGTCACATTTCCGGCGATCATAGATAGTATATACATGCCGCCAGATATTACGGTGATGACCTCTGTTGATGTTCACACTATTACCCACCCTACCTCTAATGGCAAGGAGATATGCCCGACAGAACGCCAGGATAAAATTGTTTAACAAATTTTATTCTCTTCCAAAAGTAAATTAAAAAACGCTGACTGTGCAAGACATTGCTCTAGACACTTTCTAGCTATGTTAAAATATAAATTATTCGTTCGAATTTGGTCACGTGATTAAAATGTTAAACAAATACCAAATAACATAAAACATCTGTTGAAGAGTAAAGTCATAATATGCATAGGACACCTGGTACATATGAATTAGTATACCGGTAATAATAATTTGTGCAAATCATTCACACTACTGACTAAATGCTCATACAGAGAAAATTGTAATTTGAAAATGAGACAATTTACTGCAAGGCCTACTGGCAGCATATTGAAATCTATGTTCATTGCAAGCAAAACAAGCTAACAGGGATAAAAAATAAATACATTTGAAAGTATGCTAAATTGAAGAATTGTGTGCTGTGGCATAATTTTAGTACAGAAAGAATAAAAAACTATCTACATATTTCAGGTATTGCAAAATCACAGAAAACTGTCTAAAAGCAACATATGATAAAAATAAAACAAACAGTTTTAGAAAGGAATCTAATTCTCATTAGGTTTTGATTGGAGTCATTTTGAAAGTCTCCACAATTGTCTAAGAATTTCTTTAAAATCTACATTTACTTTCACATCTTCAGTAATCGAAAATATCATTTTAAAAATACTATTGAGATATTGATTACTCAGAGACCCATTCTTTCGAACTCCATAGAACTCTGGCATCCACCATAAAATACCAAATGCATCAGAAAAGTTGCCAAAAAACTTTCATGATAAAATCTTTGCCAGCAAAGATTACCAATATATATTCCAGATAAAAAATACAGATTTGAGGGAAGCATCAAAAACATGAAGATACTTGACAATCCAGCTCGTATCCTCCTACTCCAAGCTGGAGTAAGATAATTTGATTCAAATTTTTCGACATAATCAATTTTGTAAACTCTGAGTGCTATGCCTTCAATATACACACCGAACCAACTTAAAGCACCCCAATATATATTAACACGAGATGCTCCATGCCAAAAAGAAACAAATGCAAAGGGAAGAATAGAGTTGATGGTTGCACGCAACAAATTAACCCTAGACCCACCACAGGGAATATATATGTATCTCAATAGCCACAAATGCAGTCCCTTATCAAAATACTTCCACATATCAGTCATTCTGTGCTTTGAAAATACACAATGAGGTCCTTTAGGAACATCAAGGTTATCCGATGTAGAAAAGTGAGCAGGCATTCCATACATAACAACATACTTTAAATAGAAAAATATAACCTGAGCCATGCCTACACCAAACAGATCAAGTAAAGGCAATTTTTGCAGCAAATAATAATCAGAAAATACTGCACTGACATAAAAGAAATGTAATACAAACTCAATAAATAAATGCCAGAATATATGCCTTGCCATGCCCACAACAAAATGTTTCACAGTTCCACTCTTCCATATCACCGGTGGTTTATTTATTTGCATAGCAAACTCATTATAGTTAATGATAGGTCCCCCATAAAGCAAAGGGTAATACATTTGATACACAAGTAAATCTAAGAATGACAATGGGAGGATTTTTTCACTTGGACCAATAGGAGGTGACGATTTCTGATCAGTGATCGTTTTTTCATTTTTAACACGATTACGTTTTCGTAGAATGTTTCCTTCCATAATTGGAAGTTCAGATTTTTCTACCATTATTGGGATTTTTTCTTTCTCATCTTTTCTGGCATTCGATAATTTTTGGCACGACCATACATATTCAACACTGAAGGCGATATACCGCAGATTGCACATAGCAGTTGCAAAAATTAAGAAAAATGCTTTGCTCTCTTCATCAATATATAATTTTTGAACGTACATTGAGCAGGTTTCATTAACCAGAGAATAAGCCAACATACATCCAGTTATCCAACAAGCAATTACACTTTTGGTCAACACAGCTGTAACATATTGAATAACAAAATGGCCTAACATGAACAATATTCCACGAATTCCAAGAAATAAAGTGGTGAATATAGTTCCATATAAAAAATATACCTTAAATCTATGCTTTGGGTATAAAAAATCTCCAAGGCGTGCAACAGCAAAGTGACCAGTAAAACCAATAACAACAACCGGCCATAGAAATTCAACCCAGAATGACCATTCATAATCTGAGACATCCTTATATCTCCCAATCCAATCTTTCCATCCATTTTCCACATAATCAGCATTTTTGTATTTTTCGGCGTTATTTCTTGAGGAGTAAAACAACATGAAAATAGATCCCAATACACCACCAATCCAAATGACATAATTCAAAACCACTTCAACGAAAGGAAGTGCAGGATAATAAGGAATTCGAACTTCTTCCTCCTTTCCATTGAATGCTTTGGAATTATCCTTTATCATCACGAACAAATTTGATTCAATAATGAAGCAATTTTTATCAGTGTTCTAGGTTTCAAAATTTGTTGAATTCACTTTCTGAATCCAGTGTTCATAATCAATTCTGTTGATCTAGGGTTACAAGTAAATCATAATTTCTCTTCTCAGATTCTACCATCAAACACCATATCTGATTTAATTTAAAATAAACAAATTTGAACTTTTTAAAATAAATTCCAGTTGTTTTTGAACATCTTCGTACCGAATATACAGAGATATAAGTGTACGGTACCAATACCTGAATACCTAGGGGTACAGGTACCGGTACTGATATGATGGGCCACAGTAGGTAAGGCACGGTACCGGTAGTTGTCCCTTTCAATCCCCTGCTATTTTCTCGAATTTTAACTACTGAACTAGTTCTAAACTTCAATAAAACAGTATTACAAAGAAAGAAATGTGGCTTGACTTACTGCATTATTAGACCACTGCAACGATTATGATTTATGGCTTAAGATTAACACCTTAAATTTGAAAACTAGAAAACGTACCGAATGTCCAAAGCAACTTACCGAACCAGGCTACTTATAAATTAAAATAGAAGACACGGTGTACCTGATTTGAACTTTTCCTTAATCAATAGCACTCTGTGAAATGTAAGCAAATGCGATGTAAAACATTATATGCGCGGAATGCCAACAAAATTTTACAAATAAATATTCCTGTTGATTACCCCATCATACATGGACCATGAATAAAATATTATAAAAATAATATAAGCTCCTCAGTGACATCTAGCGACAACAACGAAACTCGCGACTCTGGTGGTGATTTCGGTCTGCGAGTGCTGGGATGGTCGACTTGCTATTTGTTAGCTTTCTTAGAACGACAAACAGCGCTGTTTGGACCGGTTTCGCAGTTGTGAAAAGGCATTCGCATTGTGATATGGATTGACATGACTGTTATGAATACAGGTGGACATTTTTATAATATTACCTTTAATATCGTACAAAAGATTTTTAGTTAAGTTTTTTCTTAACGGCTCCAGAGCTTGGTTCATGTCTTACAGACTGATCAACTTACAATACTGACGTAGTACTGATACCTGGGTACCGTACAATTCCGACTCCCCACTAGTCAGCTCGTGGAGGTCTGACTATACAAATCATAATACTCACATTCCGAAGCTGAATTGTTCAAACTAATATTATTTGTCTATGGTTAAGGTTATCTGGGCCCACATTTGGCCTGATCATGAAATAAAGCTATGAACACATTAGCTTTGCATCATAGTCTACCTGTCATATATACAAGTCTTTTACTCTGTTAACGAAATTGTTAATTTGTATGTTATTTTTCAGTTTACAGGTTTATATTTGTAATTGTTTGTGTCTGAAATGATAATTTTTTTTCTATTTCAGGTTGCTCTTATCATAATATCAGCTTGTAGAGTTGCAGACTGAGCATTTGTTACATTTTGCACATCAACTTTAGACCAATTGATTGAACTTTTATTTTGGAAAATGGATATCGATCCTCAAAGGTAAGTTTGGCTTCATGTTCGATATCACCATTTTCTACCATCATGATTCACGTGCACCACAAGGCTGCTTTTGAGTGAGCGCAACCCATTTCTTGAAATCAATTTAAAATCTTGATAACAGATTAATAGTATGTCTGTTCTGAACAATTTGATGTGGAATTTATTCATGATATTTAGCAATAATTTATTGTTGGTTTAACTAATTTGCACAGGTATTTATATTATTAGCAGGCTCAAAAATGTGCGTAATAGAAATATTTAAAAGGTTTGCAAACCAATCTTTTTGTGTCCATGTAATTACATTTTGATCAAATATTGTTTATTAAGCTATACATGAATTCATCATTCTCAATCACTAGCCAAACCTGTTATTATTTAATTCCTATGAATACCTTACATATTAAAAACTTGATGTTTGTCAAATAGATTTTTGCTTTTATATATTATTTTGTGCTTTTTAGCCTATTACTAATGGAAGAATTCTTTAATAGTTTAATATATTTGAAATATTATGTTACATTTACTATTTTTTTTTTTTTTTTAGGAGAACGGATGAAAGTTGTAAGAGTACTAGTACAATGTTGCCTTCCAATCCTACTGGTATAAGCCCAACGAAGGACCAGGGAAAAACTGTAATTGGTTTTCAAGGCTTCAAGCTAATTAATTCCAAAATCAAGTTGGTGAAACAAGTCGACGTGAAAGTTTCTGTAGTGAAGAAAAAAGAGATGCCGCAACCAGGAATAGAAGATATTTCATCTTCTACAATTTATCAAATGAATGAACCTGCAAAAAAACTCAGCACTGCTGATGCTTTAAAACAAATAAGGGAAAAGATACAATCTAGAAAGAAGATGAATACAGTCAATTGTACGGATAATGGAAGCTCATCGGAGGCAAAATTAAATGGAATAGATAAAGAACATGATATGTCTAATTCATCACATCTTCAATCACCAAAAAAATCAACTGTTGAAACAATAAGCCCTACCAAAAAAACTGAAGATAATATTCAGAGTAGGCGTTCACCAAAGAAAATCAAATCAAGGGATTATTCTGATTCGTCGCAAACATATTCTCGTAGATACACTGAATCAAGGTATGGGTTTTCTGAGTGGCACAGAAATATTTTTATACAACGCTTATTCACGCTTTTAATTCCGAACGAGTCTTTAAACAAGCAACCACTGTTATGTAGGGAGGTACTACTTTGGAAGGTTTGGAATAATCTTGGTTCAGCATCGTTTACCCAATTTATTACATCTTGACTGAGGTGGTGGACATAGGATTTGAACCATAGATGTCCAATCTGCGATGATAACACTGTTAATTCTATCACCTTAACCATCTAGTCTAGGCATTGTGTCATACATATTGCATATATTGCTCAATAGAGCATAGGCTTATCTTAATACTTGAAAAAATCTTAAGTGGTTTACATTGTATGTATTGCATTAATACAAATTAAGTCGAAAATTTTAGCAAATACAAAGTAAATCTGTTTCCCCAAAACTAAATATTTCCTCTTTGGGAGTATTCCCTGGTTAGGAAACGCTGATTAAAGAATGTAACTGAACATTTTCATGTGAAATACTGCAAAACCAAGTTAATTAAACACTTTTGATGATCAAATATGGAAGAGTTTGGCGTCACATTCTTGGGATACATTTTGTTTATCCCTGTTGCCCATCCCATGAATCATTAAATTAAGAGCCTAAACTTCATTGGTAGTAAATTTAATTTTCATATCTGTTGATTATTTTCACATTTTCATTTTATAGACGACACCGGGAAAGATCAAGATCACCATACAGAGATAAGGAACCTTATCCCAGTAGGGAAAGGATATATAGGCCATCTAGAAGAAGGTAGAGTATTACTATATTTTTTTATTCCTGTTTGAGGGAGAAGGCTATACAATTTATATTCCAGAACTCGTTTGAATTCTATTGATCACTTGATTCGAATATTGAATAGTTAGTAAAACTTCACAGGAGTCATTTACTTGTTTGTCTATGAAGGAATATATTACAAAATAACGTCAGGGTTAGTTTTGGATAAAGCTAAGTTGACATCGAGGTTAATTACCTCTAGGTCAAACTCCTGGCCCACCAACTCGCCCAGTATATATGCAATACTGAACTCGAATGCTTCTGTTCCTTTTAAAAATATAGTCCCTAGCTCCTTATGTATATAACGGCTGCTTGTCCAGAGCATTTTCCAGAATGAAGGTGTAAAAAGACACTTAAGAACACATGATTTAGTTCCCAAATTCTCAATTTGTAACTGTTTTATGTCCTTTGGTTGAAAATCCATTAATGTATTTTTATTACAGGATTGAGATATGTTAGTGTATTAAATATAATATAGGTTTTGGTACTGATTGGAATATTCTACTAACATTTTGGCCTTGTTTCTAATGTGACATTGATTACCAACATTGAAATGCTAAGTTGATATCATCAATATTTTTCATGTTCAGGCGATCATCTTATGAATCCAAAACATCATCATCTCACAGGCCAAGGTAAAAAAATACGAAAGCATTTAACAGCAACTTCATGTTTCTTGACAAAAAGTCTTTAAATGTTGGATATCATCTTTGGTATTCCATAATAGTTTAAACAAAACTTATCTTAGTCCTATTTTTTCCTTCCGTTAAGGTAACTATCTTTGAATTTTTTTTTTATCATGAGCATAAATAAAAGAGTTATACTCCAAATACTATTGAAACATAATTTTATTTTCAAATTATTTGCGTATTGCATATACATATACGACCCTCAATTTTATTTCTTATTTTGCTTCATTTACAGAGTAACTAAGGATTTAAAGTCATACTCTCGCTCTCACCAGCACCACAATGAAAAAAGGAGTATGTCTGAAGACGATTCCAAACATAATAGGTGGGAATATTAAATTTAATTCGTGACTGATTAAAAAATAATTTATCATATGCCAGTTGTGAACAAGGTTGTGAAGTTTTTTTTATTCTAAGAGAATCAATATTGTAAATATCTGCTGGTTAATGACTATGTGGGGTTACCTAGTCAGTATTTTAAATGTAACTGTAACCCCACATAGTCATTATTAACCATCTATACCAGTGGTTATCAAGTAGACAAATTTTTTAAGCTAAAAAAATATTTTGTATATTTACATTTCAAAACTTTTCATTTTTTTCATTATTCACATTCCATCCATGTATTTCCAATTTTTTTGAATATAACCTACTTTATCCTTATTATCTGTTATTTGTAGCTCATTGTTAACTAGTCATTTGGGGCGCGAGACTTGACAAATTCTAAAAAGGAGGCATAGCTTAAAACGTTTAGTCTATACTGTGTTAAGAGAAAGCTCTGCCATTTTCCAACAGCTTTTTGATTAAAGCTTATTTGGTGCAGTAAAAATAACTTCTCTCTGTATAATTTACATGGAAGGACATTAGACTCATTTTTTTTAGATTGTCTCACAATCAAAACTCGAGAAGCTCAGAACGTACTTCTACCTCCTCACACCGATCATTTGAAGCACTAGAAGGCTCAAAGAAAGGTGTTAGTGCGGGTTTGGAACCAATTTTTAACACTGTAAGAGCTCATAGCGACGTCGAATCAAGTAATGCATCCTCATTACCAACCAGTGAAACAGAGGAATATGTCATCAGATCTGCTTGTTCTTCTTCCCAAAGTGATGAAGAGCGTCCAGTATCAACCCAGAAGCTTCAAAATTCTGAGGACAATAACAGTACTTCTGATGATGGAATATTCTCAAAGTTATCCAAAATATATTCTATTAGTGAAGCAATTTCTGATTTACCTTCTGAAGAAATATCTGAGACGAATAAACATGTGAGTTGTATTTGATATATGGGGGGTGTCCTCGTACTAATGATCAATTTATTTTATAGACAGTTCGATTGCCAATATATCTCATAGTATATCAGAAAAAAAGTTCAAATATTACATGTTTTTCCGCTCAGGATACTAGGATAGTGTATCGATTTGCTAGTCCTTTCCCTTGTTTATTTCCTACCTTGGATGCATATATTGCCACAAACATACTCGAATGAGACAGCATTAGAGTGGTAAATAAGAATTATATCTTTCCCTGTGGTGCTATGTTATTTTTCTTTTCTGCTTGGATCATTTTACCGTAAATAAAAATTAGATTTTCTTTTACACTAATATTTCACGTTTTTAGGAAGCTTTTTATCATGCCATAATATACGGTATTGTATTTTATTCTTTATTTCATCTTCTACTGTATTTGTATTAAATACAATGTTAAATGTCATAATATCTTTTTCAATTTAGGATGATATTTCACTTGATGCACATTCTCATCCAGAATCAAGCAAAATTGAGAATATTCCTGAACATAAACTGTCTAATGAAAATGAAATTTTACTCAATGGTGCCTCTCCTGTATGTCAAGAAGATCTAATCGATGCAGATAGAGATATTGTTAAGACAGTTTCAAGTGAATTATTAACTCCTACGGAGTTACGTCAGACTGAAAAATCTGATAAATTAGACAATTCTTCATTGTGTGCTGATTCTGCTACTACGCAAGAAGCAGAAATATTATTCTCACCGTCAAATGGAAATTCTCCTGACAGCCAACCTTCAGAAACCGATGAAACGACCAATATATTGCCTATACCAGATACTGTGTCCCACGATGTCATGTTCGAGGAAGAAGATGTAGAAAAGCTTGAAAAAACACATAAAGATTCATTTGCTCTAATTACTGATGCACCTGAAGATGCCAAAATTCCAACTTTGGCATCAAAACTCAAAAGTGTGTTTGATTCATTGTTGCAAACTGATTTCAAAGCTTCTGAAATTGACCGTAGCACAGAATTAACTAAAATAAACGGTATTTTACAAAATAATGTAGAAGGTAAACAGGAAGATATATCTAATTCTATAGCAATAGATGCGACTGTTGAAAACATAGAACTCACAGAAAACTCACATGAAGATCATCAGTCAAAACCTTTACTTGCAGATGACACTGCCTCCCACCAGATTATTGACGCAAGCCCAGATAGACTATCCCGCACATCACCACATAGTAACAAATTGAAACTACACGCAACAACAAAAACACCATTGCCTGCGAAAAAGAGTTATATTCAACAAGTGCAAAGTGATTCTGAAACCACAAAATTGAATACTAACTTCGAAAGTGATTCTTCTCCACCGGCGAAACATTCTATAAAAACCAATGTAACAAACGAAGACTTATCTATAAATCAAGTAACAACATCTGTATCCAATTTTACCTGTGAGCAAGTTTTAATAAATAACGAAGAAATGTCAGACGTCCACTGTGATACAAACCTTGCAACAAACAAGATCCAAGATTCATCCGAACATTCAGGTATTTTATTGAGTAAAATTATGCTGGACCTTAACCTGGACTCTTAATGAATTCATTTAATCAGGAATAGTTAACATTGTCTAGTGAATTTCTATTTGCTTTTGACAGATCTTCTAAGACAAGATTCCAGTGGGTCCAGTACAAATGATAATGAGGATGGTTAGTAATTATTTATATTCTGTTGTGGAAAGATAGGGTTTGAGATTTATGGTGCGACCAGTTTATTGAGTAATTTGAATTGACGGTACTTCTGTATCATGTGAACCAAGATGGCGAACACCGGAACGTAGTATGTGTACCAGGTTATGGTTAGGCCATAATTTCAGGTACAAATACTATGGGAGTCACTTGGCTAATTCCCGAACTTGTAATAGAACTAAAATAGGGAAAATTGGAATAAAATTATGGCCTAACCCTAACCTGGTACACATGCTACGTTCTGGTGTCCGCTATCTTGGTTCGCATACTACAGGAGTATCTTTATCTTTTAACTTTATCTTAGATATAGGACTGGAGAAATATATTTAACTTTTGAAGAAAAATCTGAAAAATTTCTGATTAGATGGGATTGGTTATCAATTTGGATCAAATTCAAACATCAAGCAAGCTATGAAGCTTCCTTGAATATTGTTTGCTATTGCAATATGTATTACCCAAGTAAAGTATTATTTGAAATAAACGAAATCAATTTTATATTTCCATAATATCTCGCAGGTCCACGACGTTCTGCTCGTATTCGAACAAAGAAGAGTGAAAAAGTTATTCATAAATTGTTGGTCAGTAAATCAGTGGATTCTACCTCAGATGCGAAAGAGGTCAAATCTTATCATTTTTTATGTTGCTATAATGCTATGATTATCGCTTAGGTATATATTAAAAGTGAGTTTAGAGAATTTACTATGAATTTACCCAACTAACTTTTATACATATTCTGATATTTCACTTAAGAAATATGTCTGTCAGTGTCAATTAATATATTCATTGATCACTGTAGAAACCATTGGTTGTTAGTAAGTGGCCTTTCAACCCACTTCTGTCATGAACATTTTTACGCTTAGTTTTAGGCCTTATGCTTGTATTCGAAAAACATTACTGTACATGAAAATCATATTACAGAAGAATATATATATATATTGTTTAGGAGTTTCATGATATTTATTGCAAATTTTAGAACGTATCACCAAACAACCAAACGACAATAGAAACTATAATACAGACCAAGAATACAATCAATGGCCAACATCAAACTATTGAAAGGTTTGTGCTGCGATCTGTGCCGTAATAGTGATCTTAAATATAGTTATGAAAATCTTTACGAGGGTTGTATGTTATTGATTCATTTAAACTCTTTATAGTTTGATTTTAGCAAGCCTAGAAGTTTTTTTTCATAATAAATTATTATTTTTAATAATGACACATTTGACAATATTAAAAAATTTTGTTTTTTGTTTTGACATATACGGCTCACTGTAGTTACAATTCTCAGTTTCCTTTGAAATGACTTTTTACTCTGATGTTTTACCCTCTATTTATTTCACTTCAGTATAGTTTGACAGATTAATTTTAAGAATATTTGTAGTCAGACCCATCATCAGCATTAATATACGGTAAATATTTTGACCAGGGATTGCCCCAACCAGACATCAGACTATTCTGAATACATTCTAAAATATTGGAATATCAAAAACATTTTAAATTTAGTCATGTTACACAATAAACAATTAGAATTAGATTCAATTCAAATTGGATAAAAATAGACAGTGGTTCAAATTGGTTCCTAATGTTTTACACTTTTTAAAAATAGAATGAACGCCTTTTCAGTCCTACTGTTAAGTTACTCAAAATGATAATTTTTTTAATAACATTTTTTAATATTTCTAAAATTAAGAATTGGAAACAATTGAAATATTCGATTTGATTTTGGACACCATAATTTTGACTTTTCCAAGCGTTCCTGGATAAACTTTGTATATTCATTAAACTGAAAAAAATTATCTATTTTTAAACAGGAAAGAGATGACAAAAGAAGAAATTTTCAAGGCAAAAATAAAACTGGCAGAAGATGTCACCGACGATTGTCCTGAATTATTTGAATTGCTGGACGAAAATTTTTACCTAACATCCAAGTATGATTGTTGTTATTTTTTTCTAAATTTTTTGGCACAGTATTGAATAATAATTTTGTCTGTATGTTCGATAGATCACAGTAAATGCAAGTAGCAAATCTTGTTTTAAAATGCATTTTTTTCGAATCTGGAAAATATGTTATGAATTAGACTGTGGTTCTCAATCTGTGGGTCGCGCCACACAGGGGGTGCGTTGACAATTTTTTGAGGGGGCGTGAAAGTAATTAAAAATAAAAATATTTGTTAGATTTGGATATTTAAATTTCGAAAATTTTTCATTTATTCCATTATTCACGTTCCATCCACATATTTTCAACCTGTTTTTACTTTCTGTTATTTGTAGCTTGATGTTAGCTAGTTTTTCTTGAGATAGGGCGAGAAACTTGACAAATTCTATGAAGGGGCGCGGCTTAAAAGTTTGAGAACTACTGAATTAGACTCAAAAGAAGATTATTGAAAAAATTAGGATATCTTTGTGGAAACTTGATTGAAAAGATTGAAAAACTTGAAAAGTCCTTTTAATCTTCTTCCATTTCTTCGATTACCAATTAAGTTAGGTTGTTCTTACACTTTTTTCAAAACAATTTATACACGCTCAAAAGTAGAAGAGACTAATCTCTGAGCGAAATAACCAATGACGACTGAAATGCCCAGATCTTCTGAGTATACTCTCTGATGATTTTTTTGTATTATTATTTCAATAGTTTTCTCAATGCTTGAAATTTATAGAAAGAAATCTCGAGCCCGTAAAGAGATTCGGCGCATGATTTGTGAATGTGCATTCGAAGAAAGCTCTGATTCCGATGGACCCTGTGGGGAAAATTGTTTGAATCGTCTTCTCATGATTGAATGTTCATCTCGCTGTCATTTTGGAGATCAATGCACAAATAAAAGGTTGGATATGGCGGCAATTTGTTTTATTTATTTTATGGTTTTCTTTTCTGTAATTTTTTCCGTCAATAAATTTTGGAAGAATGTGTTGTCTTTTCCTCTATAAGGGTTCAACAGTCACGCATACCATGTAGTTTGTTAGTCATTCGGAAAAGATATTAATAATCCAAGAATATTTAAATTGATTTGAGCTATCTCAATGAAATAAGTATCTTGGAATCTCAAAAAACATGTCTTTATGCTCAATTCAGAAACTCAATTGTTATTGGTTCTGAAACTATTAGAAATGCTCTATTAAAGGATGCTATCTGCGCTATGCCAGGTACAAATTTGGTCTTCATTTCTAATCGGTAGCTTTTCGTATTTAATTATGCATTCCATGTTCAGTATGGCATCATATAAAGTGAATAATTTTTTCAGTGTTTACATTAAACTTGAAATTTACTAATAAATGTAACTAATGTCTGATATTTAGGGTAATGGCAAGAAGATAGATATAGGCAGTAGTATGTTTTATCAGCTGATTTAATTTCCATAACAATGTCAATAGATGTGAGAATTTCATTTAAGAAGATGATGTGTGTGACAGCCAGATATTAATGGAGGAAAAGGTGTTATTATGCAGATGCCAAATTTTTTTATATAATCCATAGGCTAAAGGATTTTTAGAAATCTCTGTTATATGAGTCCAGTATATTACAGAATTTCTGAACTTTAGTTTATTAGACTTCCTGCTTACAAATTCTACATTTCCTTTCAATAAATCTTTTTAAGGCGAATATTCCAAGTAAGAATTAGATTGTTGCATTAGAAATGCACAAATAAACGCTCTATTTGTAAGATATTTACACACTGTCGAGTATTTGATGTCATAAATAGTTAGGGACTTCTAGTAAAATTTGTGTTGTTAAATCTAGTCAATACTGCCAACGGCAATATGCCAACCATATATTCGATAATATTGTGCAGATACCAAACAATATTTCAACGTTAGGATTTAATCTATTAGCATTTGTCATAAAAAGCTCTCCCTAGATGCTGTAAATACACTACGATTAGAAGCCTCTATTTATAAACAAGCATAATAAAACCTCTTTCCACAACATAATAGGTGGAAACTAATTAGGTTATTCTTGTTTATAAATCTTATGCTACCTTGTTCAAGCATTCTTGTGACAACTTCTACATACATATCCAAAGGAAGAAAGTACTTGCAGTACAATATTCTACTACTGTAGTAGTTCTAGTACTGTATTGACAGTTTGGAATGTCTATATCTTAGGATTTATACAGGGTGACCAAAAAATTCCTAAATCACATGTACAAGAATGAGGGAAATTTATTCAACACTCCAACTTTCCATATGCTCCATATGTTTGTGTATGATTGTACCCAAAATTTTGATACTCCCTTAGTTTGTGTACCAGGTTAGGGTTAGGCAATAATTTTATCCCGATTTTCCCTATTTTAGTTCTGTTACGAGCTCGGGGACTGGCTGTGTTAGCCATGTGAATATCCTCCCATAGGTTTGTCCCCTTATACAACTTGATGTAAAGTAGGCAAACAAAATTAGTTACCTCATTTGACAGACATTTTGTATAAAAGATATGTTCTCCTTAGAATATGTTCCAAATAACCTGAGTTAGTTTTTTTGGTCACCCTGTACAATCATTAATAACAATTTGTATTGAAGTTTCCAAAATAAAATGAATTAATTATTGGAGTGTCAGAGGGGAATAAAACAGTAATATTATTATTTGGTCAAGATCCTGCTCGAAATCAATTTAAATTTCTACAATGTAAACAAATTTGCCGATCATCTGCTCAACTAGTCACAAACATTCATTTTTGCAAATAGAATTACATATTCAAAAATGTACTAATTCTGTATATTATAATTGGTACCGAATTCTTAAAATTATTTCCAGGTTTCAGCAACGAATATATGCTCGGACAGAAGTTTTTAAAACAAGTTTTAAAGGCTGGGGTATTCGTGCTGCTGATGATCTTACATCCGGTGAATTAATCATGGAATATTGCGGAGAAGTTGTCCATCAACGTGAATTTACCAGAAGATCACTGGAATATTCAAAAAGCAATCATGCACATTTCTATTTCATGGCTTTGTCACAAGATGAGGTACATTAATATGGCATTTTTTTGTTTTCATTTAAACTGTATAGCTTGTTCACAAGGCTGCAATGTTTTGTTTTTCATTAGTTGCCATAATTTTTCATTAAAAATATTTTGGCTAGTTCGTTTTAGTTATTACTTATCGATCTTAAGATCGGTAAGTATGTTGATAGGTATTTGTCTGTCTGTATGTCTACATTCACGTATATATTAGGCTACTCAATATTCTTAATTTTAGAAATAATTTGAAATCTTTTGAACAACTATCGTTTTCGTGCTGTAGTCACTTAGTGCCTTCATTTAATTCCCAAATTGGTTGTAGTCAACAGAAAATCAACTGAAGTATCGTCTATTTTTATTGTCTTGCATTTCCAAACTCATTCGATGAACTTTATCTTCCATATATTCTTTGTTATAGATGACCTAATTCAAAATTCCAAAATGTATCCATCATAATGCCAGGGTGTTTTTTAGTAAATTTAAATTATTCAGTTTTTGCCATCTCATGTGGAAAGTTCTATCTCAAAATGTTCTTTTTTCAAACTGTCATTTTAAATTCCAGGTGAAGTTGATCACCTGATTATTTTTCGAATTGCGATTGAATTTTCGAGTCTTTTTTATCAGTTATTCTCACTCTCTTATTGTTTAAATGTCTCAATGGCAAAATGTGTGTTATACCATTGATTGTTTCATAAGAGCTGTAACAAATTTTTAGGTTATTGATGCAACATACAAAGGAAACTCGTCGAGGTTTATAAACCACAGTTGTGATCCGAATGCTGAAACACAGAAATGGACAGTGAATGGAAGATTGAGAGTTGGATTTTTTATGTTGAAAAATATCAAGAAAGGGGAAGAAATTACTTTTGATTATCAGTTTGAAAGATATGGGTATGTTGTAGAGCTCGACCGATATCACTTTTTGGCACCGATACCGATAACGATATATCGGCCAACTAGTGACCGATAACCGATATCGACATACCGATATCTACAACCTGAACCCGCGATAAATACAAATAGAAAGAAAAATTCAGTTTCAGTCAATCAAAAGTTTATGTTGAAAAATAAAGCAGTCCTACACAGTGCTTGCATCATTGATAAAAGTTTCACAGCAATTAATAAGAACACACATTAATGCACAAAACAGAAGGCAAAGTTTGAAAAAACCAAGCACAAAAGAAAAAGGGCAATCAGTAAAAAGCTTATAGAAGTCCATATTGATCCATACAGTAGTAGGTGGGACTAGGCTTGCACGTAATTTAGGGAATTACGTAATTATTTCGAGTTAGGGAAGGGAAGTTACAAATTACGTAAAGTCGCCACCCCGTTTGAGCGTTTGGTTTTACGATCAAAACGATATTATTATGAGCGTTATCACCGTAACGCAATTAACACCGACAGACTTTTTTGTCTTCACGATTTGGTATCTTTTTTATTCGGCGCTGATATCGATAAATAAGAATGTGTGATAGTTGATTGTAATTCCGGAAGGCGTATTTTTCTTTCTCTCCGTGAAACAGACATGAAACGAATTTTACCGCCGCTATGGAGCAAAGGGAAAGAAGGCTACTTTCTTTTGCCGACTCTTATCACTTTTATTAATACAAATTACAGCACATTAAAAAACAAAATAGAATTTATTAGCATTAATTTACAACGAGTTACGGGTAAGAATTTACCGCCGGCTAGATAATTAATATGTGATCTAAATTTATCGCAAATAATGTTATAACATTTAGGCCGCGAAATGATTTAATATAAAATGAAGCTTGGTAATCGGAATATCGTCAATAATTCAGCATCAATAATTATTGCAAAATGCTAACTAGGTAGCAAAGTCGGATAATGTAAAAAACGGAGCAATAACAAGTCTTTGTCGCGAGGCAAACGCAGGTATAATCAAACGAAAGAATACGCTCGTTGATTAATAACTTGGAAACCCGACATTTTTATTCAATACGAAAGTCGATTTTGAAAAAAGGCAACTATTGTTTCATAAATATCCGTATACCAGTGTTGGTAATGATAAAATTGGGACGGTTAATTTGCGAAGGTGATAAAGGAAAATCAAATCAACACAAAAGATAAAAATCAGAATAAATACAATTTGAATTCACTCCTTGGTATTTGTCTTTAACATCTGTCGCCGGCGTGTAGTACTATCGGTGATATGAAAACCAAACTTCGATGTCCCATTCGGAAAAGAAGTGGATTCAAATGGTTTTTATGATCGGTTTAAATGCGTGAAAAATATCGCAATTACGGGGTCATTACGTAATCGATTTTGTCGTAATTACGAAATTGATTTTTGTCGATTACGTGCAAGTCTAGTGGGGACGCAAGATATTCGAAGGCAAGGATTTTGCGCCGCACGAAGAGATAAAAGAGAGAAATATAGAAGAGAACTCTCTGTTCATTGAGAGGCAAAATGAGAGAAGCGAAAAAAAGAAAACGCTCGGCCGCAGATATTTCCCGGGGAAAAAGACTCATTTTTTAGAACGTGGAAAAGCGACTAAAGCTGATATATATCGGCCAGATATATCGGCTGGTTGGGCCGATATGATATATCGGCAAACACGCAATATCGGCCCGATATATCGGTTGGCCGATATATCAGTCGAGCTCTAGTATGTTGTGGCTCATTGGACAAAACAAAAATTACTTTTTCGAATATTCGGCAATGTTCAATTGTTAACATTTGTCAATATTGCTGTAAAATATGAATAAAAAACGTAGGTTGAAAAAAATAGACTGCCTGTATTAATATTCAACCATAAATTGTAATTTTATTATTTCTATGTTGATGTTTCCATTGCTTTTTTCTATTGAAATCATAATTTATCAGAATAGTATGTGTTATATATAGAAGTTTAATTTCGAGAATATTCATTTCATCGAAAATGAAACGCAGGTGAAATGTACCCCAAGAAAATTTGTTTATACTTTTGATAATCAGTTGTTGTTTTTTATTTTTACTCAAAGCAATGTCACACACACACAGAGTATTGCAGTTGTCAAACTGTAGCCAGATTCAAAAATATGTTATTGATAGAGTAATCTTTATTAAAATGAATTGAATTATAAAATGATCCGCTTATAAAATGGGATCCATGTTAAAATTGAGCAGTCACACAAAAGAATTTTTGCATATCTTCATCCTCATTGTGAGTTTATATTCAGAACGGTTGGATTTCATTTCAAACTTATTTCATCTGCAACATGCAGTTTTAAAGTGATTTTGATGCGTATTTGAGGATTTGCGTCTTCAATCTAATCACTAGATATTTTCTGTTTATAATTTTGCCTTTTTAAAAAGTTGTTTGTTTGTTTTATCTAGAAAAGTAGCTCAGAAGTGTTTCTGTGGCACAGCCAAATGTCGAGGATATCTTGGTAAAGCTCCCAATGATGATGATAATGATGCAGATACAAAGTATTCAAGATTATTGTCAAATGATGCAGCATCTGATGAAATTTTTGAAGATGGAACAAGTATACAGGAAAAAGAAGAAAAAGCAAGAGGAAAAAAGAAAAAATTGTCCTTGTTTGCAGATGATACGGTAATTCATACAATCAAAATCCATTGTAGTTTGTTCAGTAGAATTTTATTCAAACAAGATAGAAATAGTCAAAGATATGGATCCAAAGATTATGCATTTATGCCATCGTGGCTCACTAGTCAAATTTCAAAATATTTTGGTTGAAACGTGGGTCCCAGGTAGTCCATGAAAAATTTGAAAAACTAATGGAAGTATGCTTTACCAGAAGTCGTTTTCATCTTTTGTTTAATAGATAATTTCTTTTGAATTCCGCTATGATGAAAAAAATGAGAAACTTTTGAATGAAAAATTCAAACTACTGCAATTTGAAGACATGTAGTTCCGATTGTCCAGGAGAAACTTTATATTCCATGATAGATTAATTAACATAATGTTTATTAATATCTGATTTCATATTTTCCTTCTCTTCATTTGTTTCGTTCTGGGTAATAATATACAAATTACCAGAACATTTGGCATAAAACTAAATGTTTTACTCACAGATGGAAAAAGATATTTCCAAGCTTCTTGGAGGATTGCGATCATCAAAAGAAGTTCTTTCATTATCACGTTTGATGGTTCGATGTGACACTCACTCACAGAGAGTCATGTGTCTTCAGGTCCTCAAGGAGACAACAAGCCAAACAAGATTAAAGTAGGATTTCCTATTCATTTTTTTGTCTTTTCCAATTTTAAGGGAATACAGGATATTCATACAGGGTGTTCAGAAAGTCCTCTATTAAATTAGGTAAAAGAACTTAAATGGGCTTTGTGCAACTAATGGTGGGCATATAAAGTTTTTTTTTAATTAAGTAGAGACTTAATAATAAGCACTGATTCAAACAAGAGAACGGTGCACAAATATATGGACACAAAGCCCAAAACAGAGTAGTATGGGCGCGCAATCTGTCACAGTTGACGACCGCAGTGTTCACGACTTTGCCTGACAACCAGGTTTTGACCATCTAATTTTGATGATGTCATCACACACACACAAAAAAGGAATCTTTCACAGCCCACATAATTTTTAAAACTAATGAAAGTAATCCTGCGGAAAATACAATCCTGGACCACTGAAAGTCATTCACAAGTATATTCACAACTGACTCCAGACCAAAATTTTGATCGACTTCAGATCACCCTACATTGACCGGGACCTGAGATATGAATTTTAAAACAATTAGTTTAAATAGGATTTAAAATTATTGCTGTTGGAAGCTTGTGGCCCTTAAAAGAAATTCAAATAAAACTTTGTTGTCAAAGTTACCATTTTTATTGAAGCTTGTCATTTTGCAGGGAAGCAGTTTAAATATTTTTTTTGAAAAATAGTGATATATGCAACATTGACAATACATAAGCTTTTGATGTTCTCTGTAGACATAAACAATTCTATGTGGTAAAATTTCATATTGTTCAGTCATACAGGCTACCCATTTTGTTATTTATTGTTCTTATCAAATCTTCAACTATCAGTGTTTGGTTTGAGTCAGCGTTTTCAGTGTACAGTATAAACTGTTCAATCAACGAGGTTGTTTATTGTTATTTCAGGTTCTTTTTATCACATTTTAAAATCTTATATATAATTTTACCTAAGCTAATTTCTAGGTAAAATTTAGGGAATATTTCAATTTGCAACAAAGATGTATAGAGATGACTGAACATTCTGTTTTCTTTCTTTATTTTACTAAAATACACTTGAGCACAGTCTATGTATGTGAGCCAGTTGTTCATTTCAAATGTATTTTTATGTATTGCCTATGTTCCATACAAGCTGCGTTTTCATTATGAACTTTCCTTGTTGACTCAAATACACTGCAATATATGTATGTAATAGCCAGCAATGACAAAAACAGTAAAATTTGACCCTTGCAGTAACCAAATTTGTCCCTATAGCTGGTCATTTAAGACAGGGATGTGCAACCTTTAAAACAGGAGGGCCAAAATGAAATAACTGCAATCTAGTTGTTAAAGCATTGTAAAGTCACAGGCAGAGATTTCGCAACACAAAGGGATCGGAATTACTCGCACATACCAAATTGGAATGAAAACTCGTTTTGCCGGCCACACATCATTCAAAATTGGCACTTATTATTATGCCATCAAGGCCATTCATAAAAAATAAATTTATGAAAATACTTTTGCCATATGATTATGCCATCTTAAGAAAATCTTATCTCAACGCTGATATAATTTATATTTTGTATCGTACAATAACGCTTTTTGAATAGTGAGCGATATGTAGTCTACTCATAAGTTGGTATGCCAAACCATTTCTTTTCATTTTCAGAACCTTTCTTCAATTTCATGGATTATCCATTATATGGAGTTGGATGGTTGATGTCAGTGGTGTGGAAGATAACGATGCTTACAATCTGAAAATGGAAATTATAAATACACTGTGCATTCTACCAATCACTAATAAAAATGTGATTGAAGATAGTAAAGTATTATCAGTCGTACAAAGATGGGCCAAACAAGGTGAGTACCTATTTTTTTAAGTGGAAAATCATGGGGGACAATTATTTTTCGATTCTTTATAATAAACATGATTTCAATTGAGTACTTTATTTGGCGCTCCAGAAGTGTGTGTACCAATATGGAGGTAACTAATTTTGTTCGCCTGCTTTACATGAAGTTGTGTAAAGGGACTGAAGCCTATGGGCAGGTTGTATATTCACTTGGCTAACACCGACAGTGCCCGAACTCGTAATAGAACTTTAATAAGAAAAATCGGAATAAAATTATGGCCTAACCCCAACTTTGCACACATACTACGGGAGTATTCTTTATTTAATATACGAAGTGATAAATTCATAATGTTTTCATGAATTATATTAATAAGCTTTTTGATAAGATTTGAAAGAAAGTTAAATATTGTATCGTCCTGTCAATTCGACTCATTTTCTGTGGAATACATTTCTGTAATAAGGTTATTGTTACAAAGATTCAGAGCCATTAAACTGTTCAACCAATGTATCAATATAGTTTATTAATTTATCGTTTCAACAATTTCCAATTTTTGCCACAGATGAAGAAGATAAAGTTAAATCAGAAGAAATCGAGGCTGTAGATTCTGAAAAGAAAGAAGAAGATACTGCTGAAAGTGATAATGAAAAAGATGAAGTTTCGCAGGGGACTGGTAAATTTTTTTAATTCACAAAAGTGCATGCTATCTATATCCATATCTCGAAAGCTTAATGTTCACAGACTTCGTTTTGAAAATTATTTGTATTTTTTTTCTTTGAAATCGGTATTTTTTGCATTGCTCAGGAACTAAAATCAAAATGAAATGAAATTTAATAATACAGAAAACATTAAAAATAATAATAAAAGTGACAATACGTTTATTTATTTTATTTATACTTGCATATTCTCGAACAAAAGTAGAACCTTAGCTCGATTTCGGTGATGGTTGGTCTTAGTACTGGTTCCAAATCTTTCAAATTTAATCGATATTTTGTTTTAACATGAGTTGTTAGTGTCAAAAAAGATTTTACAAGGGGTCACGACCAGGGATGGCCAATTCGAATAAAGTATTCGAATGTATTCGAATATCTCGTCATTCGAATATCGGAATTAGCGTTCATAAGAATATCGGACAGTTGTGTGACGTCACACATTTTCGACGCCTCTTTCAAGATGTTTCCGTTGAATGAAAACATTCTCGATAGAAACTTGCGCGCGATTGCTTTTATCAGCGTGACTAGTTTATTTAGGCCATAAACGCCTTTACGTTTGTGTTATTTTCTCTGAAAAGCAAATTTTCCACAAATTTGTTCCACGATAACGATGACAATTATTTTATTTTTGTATTCGCACGGAATTGTGAATCCGGTGAATACGTTCATCGGCGGCGAGTTTCTAAAGAAAACGCAACGCAAATATTTTGATTGAAAAGCGGCAATTCAAAATACTGAAAATAAAGCCGTAGGTAAAATAGTTTTTTTGAGGCCCGCGACAGTATAAAATACGGCAGTGAAAATCGCAAAATTTCGTGTGCCTCTGTCACACATTATGTTTGGTCCGCTTTAAAAAACATATCGACACTAATTGAGGGCGGGATTAGCCTGATTGTCCATTAGTTTTTAATTGAATTGCCGTCAAAAATTTTCGTGTTATCATTATACAAGGTTTGAAAAGCGACTTTTTCCCGGGTTGTGAGAATGTATATAATATAATTAATCTAAACTAAAGTATATTCAATCATATTTTATTGTGCTGAAATAATTTTTACTCTGAGATTTTACGGCAGATTTATGGATTTTTCAAACGGTTTTATCTTAAAAATAATCGGAGTGGCGGAATTTCGATTGATCTGAGTCAGTGTTACACATCTTAAATTTGCCGAACCGAATTCGCAAAATACGGATCAAAACAATATATAATCGGGCAGTTTACCACACATTTTTATTTTTTTGTCTGCGAATGCGATGGTATATTGGTGAGGATTTTATTTTGTCGACGCCACCGCAGGTTAAATTGAAAACGATTGAATTAATAAAGCAAGACATTTTAAATATGCTCATATCGGTCCCGAATTCATCACTTTGCACAACAGAAAAATATATATTCGTTGTTTTATTATTCGTTGTAAAAGTCGGCTATTTTAACAGTTGGAGTAATCGCGGGGATGAATAAGTATTTTTAATTTACTGCCAAACTTTATATGTATATTCATTGTATGAAATGAAGTTGTACTTTACTGGATTTTATATTAGGTATTGTGATTTTTCTAACGGCGATAACGAGTTGGCAAGATTGCAAAAATACGTATTAAAATTAAATCCATCAGGCAGTTTATCTCGTACTTTCAGACCACAGATCGCGTCTACCAAATACTATAGTAATGTTTTTATTTTGACGTATAAAGAAGCAACCGCGAGTTACGTTGGACTCACTTGGACTCATAAAATTAATATATAAAGATATTTTAGAATCTCGTAGGATGGTCATGTATTGAATATTTTATGTGACAAGATGATCCTTATACGCTGAAAAGACGGATCAAGCGCGGAATCGCGGTGGCTGTTACAGGCGGCAATCGGAATTTCCGATTTTGAAAATCGTGGCAGTGGTGGTCATCTATCCTCTAACGTCTAACTTATTGCTAATTTCAGACATAACAATATGCTACACATATTAACAATATGGTTCACATGAATTAATATACAAATATACTGGTAGGTAGTAGAATACTCTAGGCATAATGGATATTCGATCGTTGTTGCTTGCTTCAGTTGCCTGTATTGCCAATGAATTTTATTACTCTCAGAAAATATACATAATTAACTGAATACAAGTAGTCTTTTTGTCAATAGACTTGGCTATTATCGTAATATCATGGTATGAATGATAGAAAGCGTCAGACAACTCCTTGGCTATCTTTTCATAGGGTCATTTGTACTAAGTTTAAAAAACTGACTGTGTCACAAGTTGCTATTATTTTTTTGATAGCTATAAACTATCAATTACTTTGTGTACATATACTGTTGGTTTGTGGCTTCATTCTGATGTTTCTATTGAAGTTTATTTCCTAATTTATTGGGTTTTAATAAACTAAAACAAAAATGTGTTATTTTCGATTTCAGAATGTATTCGGAATTCCAGATTCGAAAACAATATTTTAGAATGTATTCGGAATAGTTTAGTATTCGGGAATGGCCATCCCTGGTCACGACCTACGATTTAAGAAGCCCTGGTCTAAGTAATAGTTTTTCTTGCTTGCTTCATAAGATTAAATCTTTTTTATTTCCAGAAAAAGTCAAAGGTGAAGAAAAAACTGAGGTTTCCACTATGATAGAAACAACAACTGATTGCACTGTTGAGAAGCCAGATGAAATACCTAAAGTTTGTTCAATTTTTCATTATAAAAAAAAAATATTTTTTCTAGTTTACTAGTACAGCGTGTTCAATTTTTCATAAATGGGCTGTATTAAATTAAGTAAGAGACCTTTATGTGCTTTGTGTATGTGCTACTAATGGTATGCATAAAGGGTGTATCAAATGAAGAAAAAAAACTTAAATAAACACTGATTAAATAAAGCAAACCTGGTTAAGATATAAGGATTCCTGATTGAAACCAGACTTTGTGAACACCCTGTACTTGTAGCATTATTGAATGATATAAATAAATTGCTGTTTCATGGAGGTCTATGGGGGTTACTAATTTTGTTCGTCTACAATCAAGTTGTGTAAAGTCCCCGAACTAGTAATAGAACTAAAATAAGGAAAATCGGAATAAAAGTATGGCCTAACCCTAACCTGGTACACATATTACGGGAGTACCATTTTCCCAAAGTATATCTTTTTTGAAATGTCGAAATAGAATTTAGGTTACCAATCGAAAGCTATTAGTGGAAATTTCTTACTTGATGTGAATTTATAATGTTGAGCTTGATTTAACACAGGAACCTTCATCAGATGAGGATATGTCAGACAATAAAACGTCATCAGATTTAACTGAAATCAAGTTAATAAATGAAAAAGTATTAACGGCTGCTGCTTCTCTTCTCGATTCATGGAAAGATTTGAAAGAAATTTACAGGTATTTTCTACATGAAAAGTACAATACAGTAATTGAAAAATAAATTTTTAACAGATTTTTTATTTTTTTGTGTTACAGGATAAATGCATCTATGTTTTTGCAAATTCAAATATTACCTTTTCCATTATCTCAAAATACATTATTATTTAAATCAATGTTTTTTTCAATATTTTTAAATGCTCTGAAAAATTTAATGCAACAGTACATTTTATTTGTTTTCATCTTTGAGCCTATCTAAATCATTTTTCCACAGAATACCAAAGCGGCAAAAACCCATCAATTCTCCATCAGATTTCGATTCAAATTCAAGAGATAATTCAAGAACTTCGTCCCCAACACCCAATCGTACTCCTAAACATAGTCGAACAGAAGATAATGAATACCGAAGTAGTCGTCCACTACATTCGCGTCGAGACAGCAGTCAGGAAAGATGGAGGGAACGAGATAGCCTCGATCGAAGTTGGGACGGGGAAAGGAGCCGGTAAATTACACTGAACTTCTTGCAAATTAGATCTCGTTTTCAATTTAGGTGTTTTGGTCTCGATTTCTGTTAGGATTTTAGTTTCTATGTTGCCAGAATATTTAAAATAGAAGTATTGCCAGAAGTATTTACATTTTGAAATAGCTTCATCAAATCTTTAAGATCCCCAAAGTCTTTACTCTAAGTTATCCTTTACTTCTAGTGAGTTGTGCATGCACTCGCTTTGAGGAAATTTTTAGAATGCAAAATATATGTTACAAATATGACAAAGTTCTAATATTATCCAAATTTTCCAATATTGCAATATTTCATTGATAATAGTGGTACTCTGATCAAATTTCTGAACCTCATTGTTACATCTCTCACAGTATTGAAGGTACAATGAAATTCTCGATTTTATTATAGACATAGAGATCGTAGAAGTGATTATGGTGATAGTAGATATTCACCGGGATCAAGTCACGATAGTAGAAAGGAGCCCGGAAGAAGGAAAAGAAGATTCTCTACTGATAGTGGTAATTAATGAAATTTTTTACAAAACTGTATTTGTGGGTTATCCTCTTTGTAGTTCTTACTTTGGATTTGTGTTACAGATGACGGCAAAAATGTACCATGGTATTGTCGACCCCCACGGAATAGCAGATTTGAGTCTAAAATGTCACGTCAAGAGTACAGAAAAAGATTTGAAAAAGACGTTAAAAAAAAAGAGCTAGAAAAGAAACGAAGAATTGAGGAACGAATGGAAAGCGATAACAGCATGACTCCTAATACCATGTTTTCTCCAATGCACAGGTAAAGAAAATCCTGAAACTTCAAGCTCGATTGTTTGCGCATCATGCTAGAAACCAGCCCCTGGCGTCACAGGCTGTAATGGCTTCCTCCGTCATCAAGTCCATGCATCTGAAACCAATAACTGGCTGAAATTACGTTTGTACTCTGTACCGAAGCAGATAAACCCTGATCATGCTAGAAACCAGCCCCTGGCGTCACAGGCTGTAATGGCTTCCCCCGTCATCAAGTCCATGCATCTGAAACCAATAACTGGCTGAAATTACGTTTGTACTCTGTACCGAAGCAGATAAACCCTGATTAGAGTGAACAATCTTGCCTAGTTATACAAGTTGTTAATAGAGTCCTTTTACAGTCAAATTTTGTTATGAACGCAGTTCTCAATATATTTGATCCGGGTTTGTTTATTTTAACCAGTGTTTATTTACTTCATCCAACAAAGCTTTATTAGCTCACCATTATTTGCGCGAAGAGCATTAAACATCAAGTTCTTTTACCTAGCTTAATACAGGACCTTATGCACACCTAGAATTCTTTTCAAGAATGTTTCATGCGCACTAAAATATGTATCATGTTTCTAAACAGACCATGTTCTTTATGATTCATATTATGGTCTACTCAATTTATTATACACTGGGTGAGGTCGTGAACATGGGATTTAAATTTTCAACTTATGATACTTGCAATCTGCGATGCATATTTCTCAACTTGCCAACCACTTTTTGTATATCTCAGAAAAATTGATCGCTATGAATTCCTCAGCCATCATATAATTAGCAAATTACGATTATTTTTTCAGTTTTCAAGGAATGAATGATGCACCACCACCATCAGACATACCCTCTCTAATGGGTCAGGATGGAGCATTACTAGCACAAGGTGTTGTTCCATCTAACGCTACGTTCACGCCCAGTGGATATTCTGGAAATTTAATCCAGATCAATCCATCACAACCATCACAACTTATTGTTGACCAACCCTACCTCAATATGACTGTAAATCAACAAATGGTCATGCAGCCTCAAGTGATGCAACAAAACCAATTTGCAATGCAAGTTCCGGTTCAAACTGGTTATAATATGGTTGGAGTTTATAATCAGGTAATGGACTCATCATTTGTGACATTGTAATAATAATTAGAAACAAGGTTGCTAACTCGTCTCTGATTCAAATCTTGTGAAAGATAATTATATACAATAGAATTTTCTGTTTCTTCTTCTCCACACATTCATGTAACCTTTGTTTCACACGCCATATCCCATAGTTCATAGGTTCATATCCCATAAGTGATATATTTTGGTGAGAAGATTGATGGACTCATTGTTTCATAGGGTTGTGCTTCCTCCACTATGAATCTAAAACCAATAACTAGAATTAACTATTTCCATACCTGACATGAAACTGTAAGAAGCCAACACCCTGTTTGTCTACACTTCAATTTCTAGGCCACCACACTTACATTATTTACCAAGTTTCTCCTGTGTCGCTTGACTAGTTTAATTTCTCAGCACATTCCAAAATAATTATGATTACATAACTAACCATCTTGACTATAGTCGCTTTTTTTAAATTTTTTTCATTTTTTATTCAGGATCCCAATATTCAAATGAGTATGCAAGGTGCATATGCTGGACAGCAACAACAGATTAATGCAGTTGCGCAACAGGTAAATTTTTTGTTTAAATAAGTGTTTTATGGAGTGAAAAAAAAATCAGATATTTATATAAAAAGTATTCAATTAGGTTTGAAGTTTTGTAATTAGCCTTAAAACTTGTTGAATATATACCGCTGTTTTAGGGTATATCTGTTTTATAGTGAGAAATGCTACTGGATAACAGCCAAAGCCTTTTTAAAGCTCCCACCATTGTAGTTACTCTTTAACATTCTAGATTGATAATTAGTTTCTCGTGGTAATGTATAACGAATATATATGTATATATTAGCATTTTTTTCAAATTCGTTATTGCTATTCTTTCATAAATTAAACTTTGTTATAAGTCAAAATACAGTTGCATTGCTCACTTTATTTTTGCAGATGATTCCAAATAACGTTGGTATGCTTCAACAACAACCTCTTATGCAACAACAACAACCACAAAATTTGTTTCCACAACAACAACCCCAACCTCCTGCAAGTAATTTAACAATACTCGGATCACGAAACGGACAAGCTATTGTGTTACTAACTGCAGAACAATTACAAAAGGTATTTTTTCTATGTTCTATTCTTATTACTTATCGATTTTAATCGGTAAGTATGTTGATAGGGTGTCTGTCTGTCTGTTTGTTTGTTAGATGCACGCGATATCTCACGAAAGCGAGATTGAATCTGCTTCAGATTTTGCATGAGCATTTATCATATGTCGTACCAGAAGCCTATTGATTTTGGATGAATTATGTCGTATAACTATCGAGGTATTAATTAATTAGTGATGGGACACAAGGTGTCACTATGGAGTAAGAGCGCTGTTTTGTGGGATCCCCTAACTTTCGATCGATAAGTCTTGCTTTCTTGCTTTTTTTTACAAAGAATAGAATTATTCAAATTATGTGTTGCCAGGGCTAGGGAGCCACATAACATTATTTCATGAAATGTTCCACGTTGTTGAATGTGATATCATATGTGTGTATTACAGTTGACACAAGGCAATGCATCAGCTCAACCTGAACCTTCTGAAATTCAAGCCACTGTTTCAACTCCTGTAAAACAAGTCAATGAAACCCCAGTAAAACAGGAACGAAAGCCTAAAGAATCTGCTTTAAAAGTTACTAGTTCTGATAGCAAAGACTCCAGTCCATCAAAACTGCCACCTAATTGGAAAACTGCTCATGATGCCGAAGGAAGGATTTATTATTACCATGCAATAACAAGGTAAAGAAACTCAGCAGTTTAACATTGTCATTTATTTGTAGGCTTTTAACTGAAATTTAGCTGTGACTGATCGTACCAATCAATGTATTTTTTTGGTTTGCTTCAGGTCCCATTCTTCCGATATTTGTTTTACTATATTTATTTCTATGTAGGAGTTTGGGTAATTAATGTAATATTATAGGATATGATTTTCATATTTATCCCGAGGAGAGAAAAGTTGATAAGACAGCTTACTCATATGGCGAACCTTGGCCTCTCGTTGAAAGCCGTTTTTATATAGCTATCACTGGTCTTAGAACTGATCGACCGATACTCTTTTAGGTGAAGAATTATGGCGTTGGTTTAGCAAACTCACATAAAAATTTAATTTAGAGCAATATGTTCAGTATCTCAGTTTTCATCTCATAATGTTCACAAAAGTATTGATTCCCGAGTAGTAGCAGTCAGATTTTTCAAAACAAAAAAAATTATGCTATCTATATGTTTGGTTTTCTGTGATTATATCTTTCATCCTTTTGCATTGGGAGATCCATATGCGAATAGCGCAAAAATTTCATATGAAGAAGAGACCAATTCTGATGAAGTCTTAACTTTGGTCAGAGAAAACGTTAATAGAAATATGTTTGTGTCAGTGTGCAGCAAAACCGTTCTTTTTTTTTTTTTACATATCCCTTTGCTTATTTTTTGTATTGGTGGAAACTGGACCAATATTCAATTCATATACATACTCATTAATCTTTTTCTGATTTATCTCAGGCAAACGCAGTGGGATGCACCAACATGGGATGGTAGAGATGAAGATATGATTGGAAAGAAAGAAGCTGAGATGGATTTGTCATCAACACCAACACATGATGAAAGACGTCATAAGGTAAAGCATGATTTGCAATCATTACATGTATGGGAATCTCTTTTTATGAATATACCAGCTTTTAAAGATTTTTTGTTTGCAGCTCATTTTTAATTCAAATATTTTAAATTGTTCTATAAAACAGTATAATTACAGGGTCTCAAATTTTGTGTCCCACTTAGCCCCATTTATTCCACTCTTGTCCCACTGTTTTGAGTAAAGATATATATATATATTGTGGAGCAAATGGTTGATATAAGTATATGAGGTGGAATTATGACATGTTCTCGGCTAAGATACATATAATACGTTGGCATAAACATGAAGTATTCATATCAAATGCACTCGCAGTTATATTGCGCTTTTAGTGCTCGCGGGCCAAAATTAAGGTTGCAAGTCATTGGCGGGCCGCACATATTTTTAGAAAGTTGAAAAACCGAACGGATGGTACTTTTTATAATAAAAATCAAGCAGTGATACATCTCTCGAATAGAATATAGATTTATTTCCTCATTGCATCTCATAAAATTCCATTTGAATATTTTCAGCGCCATTGAACCCTTTGCACTTAGCATCAACTTTTCTGCGTTTTGTTGCCATTTGCTTAATTATAATTAAATTATATGCTCATTAAACGAGTAATTGTGAAATATATAATTGTTAGGTTAAAATATAATTTAGTCTATAGAATATATTCGTCAAAACGAATGTTTTGTTACTATAATTTAGTGAAGGGTCGCGGGCCGGATTATAGCGCGCAGGCCGTAGGTTGTCGACCTCTGGTTTAAGGCATTGTTGATACATCCTTTTCATAGGGTAAGCAAATCTCACAATCTCGTACCCAAAGTGTATTAAATTGGCATCCATATCTGAACGATTTCGGTTTTACAAATCCAATATTTCGCCACATTTGTGTACTGCTTATGTAGAGCCGTTTTCGAAGCTACAGTGGAAAATAAACATTGTTTTATACAGAATGGAATTGTTACTGGCTTGCCTATAAATAGCGCAATAAGATCAAAGTAGTCAATCATCAATTTTACGTACATGGATGGGTAGGTATATTGGTGATTTTAGTTAGCTTGTTCTACCTCATTATTCTCTTTTTTAGACCTCACGGAACAAAAACGAGAATGTTACTGAGGAAGGAAAAAAGGCAAAAGAAACTTTCAGATTACACATGTCACAGTTTGTTGTGCAATGTCTCAGTCAATACAGAAAATCTGACAGGAAAGTTGGTCGGATTACGTCAACGGAAGATTTCAAACATCTTGCTCGAAAGGTGAGTGTTGTAGTTTTAACATTAGATTTGTAAGCATAAATTCCATACTTACCACTTCACCCAGTGTGTAATAAATTGGGTGAGAAATGCCGAACCTAAAAGATTCTGGTCTATTCAAAATGGTAGCTTACCTGTTGTTACATATTCAGACCAGAATCAAAACTTATTAGCCAAAGGTGTCTTCATTAGAATGCTAGAGAGTCAAATATGACTTTTCACAGCGTTCATTCCACCATCATCAAGTCCATGCATCTGAAAACAAATAACTGACCAACTGATCTCATACCCAATTAAGCTGTATGATTAAGCCGTCTTATTAGTTTTCCTCTCCTACAGGATGAATATTTAAATCCTATCCTAACTCCTCCAGATTTTACCTCATTTCTGTGATATTTTATGGGCAAATATCCCCTTTATGAATTGAATGGCGTTAGAGCAATAGTTGTCTAACTAACATGCTTAAACCCAGTCAAATCCAGGAAACCTATTATCCTACTGGATATCACAATACCTTTATTCTAAAATATATCTTCTTTCAGCTAACCCACAACATAATGCAGAAAGAAATCAAACAAGTCAGAGTTTGGGAAGATTTAGATTTTAATGCAAACGTTCGTTATAAGACGAAAGAATATGTGAAAAAATATATGAGTAAAGTTGGACCGATCTATAGAATTCGAGACGACAATCCTATGGATCCAATATGAATCGAAGATACATTGTACTTTTCCACGACCCTGTGACCTCTATTTTTCAGCCGTTTTTTTATTTTGCACTAGCGATGGGTCCACGTTTTACAAACTGTATTTCTCTGATTATCAATCAATGAGGGAGCGAGCAGTCACCAAACCAGCAAGAATCAGCATATTCTCTGTGTTTTCTGTTTGGAGGTCAAGCTTGTTGCTTGGTTATAATATATGTAATGAACTTAATTAAATCACTTATAAGCGTGTTATATGTTCTCAGATTGTCATATATATCTGGTGGAATATTTTGATAAATAGTGGACACTCTTCCATATTAAAGGATTGTGACCGGGAAATTCTATATAAATGGCCCAATTTTTTTTTTTAAATTGCATTTCTATTAATCTTTTGAGGCCTTTTGGATCACTTTGTATTTTGTCGTGAACCTCTGCTTTTGCATTCTTGTATGATTGCTTTTTTACCAAGTAAATTTTTCAATTTATTTTTTTCAGCTGTAAGCTATTTAATTTTTTCGTCGATAGTCGTTTAAAATGCAATTCAATAAATTTGGTTTTTACTACAATAGGTTGTTTATTACCCTATGGTCCGGAAATATTCGTATATGGGCGCCATTTTTTGACCCTTCTAGTTATGAATTCTCTTAAGCGTAATCACTGAAAGCGACTTTTTTCGCAGTCTTAAAAGTTTAAAACACTTGACGGTAGAAGTGACGAGCCGTACGCTATTAATTTTGATTTAAGTTTAGATCCTGCAAGTGATGATTATGTGCAAAATACTTAATAAGAGATTCACCTTGCGCAATACCACTCGCGTTATTTTGAATGCTTAGACGGGTTGCTAACTTCATTTTCTATTCGCCCCCAAAGATGCTTTAAACAGTGAGGTGCCGATAGAAAATCACATCTCTGTGAAAAATTAAAATCTTGTACGTGGGACCAGTGCTGTGGAGTCAGAAAAGATTTGCAATCGACCATCTATCTACTCTCGAGTTGATAGAAATTTGGTCTCGTCTCCGAACTCCCGAGAAAATCAGTATTTTTAATAGGGTGTTAGGATTACTCACTCAGCAAATTCGGCTCCACAGCTTTTCCTAATATAAGTGTCGCTGTACTAATTCGGCTTGGTATTTAGTTGTACGTGTAAAAGCGTATTAAGTAAACCGCCCTATTACGGATGTGAAATTTCAAGTCTCTTCTGTGGGCCCGGCCTGAGTGAAAACATATAAATGATATTAAAATGAGCTGCGTAAAGTCGAAGCCTTGGAACGACATTTTCCTAATTAAGTTTAGCTTATAGCATAGGCCTACGTCAATGCACGAACATCCATTTGTTACTAATCCCGTCCCTAACGTTGGACAAGTCTATTGAACGAATCCCCAATTCAATCGCGGGGGAATGTTTTTTCAAAGTTAAAATTCTATGAGATGTCGATGTAAATCTTGGATGTACAATCATTGAATCCATATCGTTTCTTGTATCTTTTTTCCACTTTTTTATTGAAACGTATTTTGGAAAAAATGTTTTCTTTCTCACAGAACCTCCAAAATATACGTTGAAATTGAGATAAGGTACGTCAAAATCCCACCAGTCACCTCGTCTGTACATAGCAGCCAAAGGATTTTCAACGTAGATGACGTTACGAAGCATTGAGAAAATCTGTAAAACAATTGTATTTCTGTGCAAATGTCGTGGTTATAAAGTGGTGTCTGTAGGCTACTGTAGAAATTATACGTGAGAGAAATATCCGTGGGCGTCAATCTAGACACATATTAATTCATATTTACATGGGTGGCTACATTGTAGGATTGAATACAGTGTATATATATATACTGTTCTGTGGACACGGTAACCTAATGGTTATAGAGTTAACTTAACAACTATAAATGGGTTGCATAAAAAACTTTGTATTTCAATTCAATCATAACGGAGAAGCACACCTGATATTTTCTTTGAAATGAAAAATTTAATGAGGCCATAAATAATTACTCATCACCCCATTTTATAATTCCAGTTATCTTGTGTAATTTATTTCGCCGTAGAGCTATTTCAAAATACTTTGAAATTGCATATACATTTCACGATATTTTTCGATGTTGTAGGAACACGACAGATATGTTCGATTTAAATCTAAATCCGGATTTATAAAACAATTAACTCACCTGTCTCGATCTATCACCGTTGGCATTCGCATGATTACATGTGCCGAAAATCCGGTTTGGGTTGACATGAACAATCATATTATTTGTTGCGGTGTTGTTCTGTCCGCAGTGGAAATTGATTGCCGGACCACCAACGTCATATATCCAATTGTTCGATACTGAATTACAATATATGGTCATTTTTCAGGGGGTACTGAAGCTAAATGCAATGCTCTCGCATGCCGGTAACTATTTAAGCAGTTGGTCGAACGTAGCCTATATAAATTATCGTCTAATTGGAATTGGGTTTTTTGTCCATTCAAAAATCAGGAATACGAAATCGGAGCCTGGAGTCGACGTCAGGCCATGTTTGCCCGGTTTGTAGTCTAAGTCAAATTCGTTTCTTTAAATTCCCCAAAGTTGGATAAGTCAGAAATGGCGTGTCACAATTTCGAAAACATGAGTTTTAGAAGATATCATGGAATGAAACAAAAAATCATACTACGATACTCCTCTCTACAATTAGTCGTGATTCAAAAGACTAAAATTACCAATATTATCCAGTTCCTATAATACTGTTTTAAAAGAGATTCGTCAAGGGCATTTCGTCACTCAAAAAATTAATCCGTTTATTAAAGCAGTTTTTCTTTAGTTAACCTACCGGTTACAGACGAAGCCGCTGTATCGCTATAAATCCCTGCCGCACCGTAATTATAACTACGACCTTGGTGAACAACATTCCTTGTAATTAATGCGTGCAGATGACATTTTTCCAATCGCTGAAAAAGAATATTGTAGATCTACACTATGTTCTCTTCCGTTGAGGATCACTGATAGGGCCACAAAGTTTTAAAATATGCCATTTATATATAAAAGGTTCTCTAAATGTACGACAATATATATTTTTGCAATATCCGGTCTTGTAAATAACTACTACAGAAATCGTGTGAATTCGAAGATATATGTAATTTTTGGCCAGCACGGCAGTTTTTTCTGACACAAGAGAATTTTTTGCAACAACATTCTATATGAATATGAAAGACCAATGTAAACAATTAACATCAAGGACAATTTACAAGCTATTTATAATTGTCTGACTTATTTATTTTACCGTATTTTAACTTTCTGTACTTTAAAACAATTTTATCATTGATTTCATACATATATATTTTAATTTAGGAGGAAATTGGTTGAGTGTGGACATTATATTGTACATTCCTATGAAGTATAAAGTAATATGAGTTTAACGACTTTATAGACTAAGATTATCAGACTATTGTTATTGTAGGTGGTCACAGTTTTAACATTATTTTATCATTAGTTTGATATGCTGATATTTTCTCAGACAAGTCGCGTCGCTAAAAAGGCATTGCGTCTTTTACTGTCTACATTCACGATAATAAATTGTACTTTGTCGACTGTAATCGGGCTATAATATTCTTTGTATTTGTAAAACAAAATGACATAATTTCCACCACAAAATCTATACTGAAAGATAATTTGTCGGAATATTTTTGAGATGAACATTTAGGTTTGAAAAGTTTACAGGCACTTACCGGTGAATATTTTTTGAGACATTTTTATGATGATCGTAATGAGCTAGCCATATTATAAAATAGATTATAAAATATAATGAATCCTTACTTGCAGTATTCCACAATCTCTCATATTTGTCGATAAATATATTCCAGCAAAATCATTCAATATTGCAAGACCGTACTCGCTTACGTGATTTTCTGCTACGTAAAACACAGGGTGTGACGCACTGGAATGCTTTGGGGAAAACGATTTTTGCCAACCTACCTGTAATAATTTAGTAAATTTTATATCCAAATTCATTAATCTAAAAACTAAGGTTCTCAACCAGTAGGCCATGGCCCACTTCTAGGCCACAGGAACATTTTCAGGTGGGCCACAAGACTATTAAAAATTGATAGAGTTGTTGATAAATTCAGTTAAATTTGATGGTTGTAGCAATGAACGATGCTGTTATTTGTTACAGGGTGGTAATTTTCTCCTAAATATTATTAAAGCGAAAGCGTCTATTTTCGCAGAAAGCATTCTTTGTTTTTCTTGTAGTTCTTACCTATCATGAAAAAGTTAATGGGCCACAGAATTTTTGTGCAACGAAAATGGGCCACGGGAGAAAAAGGGTTGAGAATCACTTGACTCTAGTCGAAAAAATGGATATGATTTTATGTACTTGCCTTTATTCCTGCGTAAGGAGTGTTTCTTACGTCATTTCCAAGTATTGTAATATTCCGAATGCCTCTGACATGCACGCAAGAAGGCTGAAAAAATATATCAATTACATTGTATTGATTTTTAATCGAAAATATATATTTTACCAGAATAAAAGTATTATGTATTGTTTCCGCAATAGTACTTTTATTTTGTGCTTATTCGGTATTCTCTTACTAAAGTATGCTGTACTTATTAAAATACTATTGTATGTAGTCCACTAATCACATACGGGAGCTCAGTTCATAACACGGCACCTTCGAATTCTAGCTCATATATAACCAAGGAACAAACCTGCAACATATGATAAACCCCACATCCATCGAAAGTATTATTTGCCACAATGACATCACGAGATCTCATTGAATTCAGAGATTTTCGTTTTCCTGTGTCTGCAATGTTGACAGCGTAGTTTCCAATATCATAAAACTGATTTCCAAAAATCTACAAAATTTATGAGGTGAAAACAAAGATGATCAAACGGACACAAAACTTGAGCGCAATATCGGTTTCAATAAAATTAAAATGTTCACTTACTTCGACTTGTCTAGATTCTTCTATAACGATGCCATTGTGGCCCAAATGCCCAATTACAGAATTCATTATTTTTATATGAGAGCAATTTTCAAACTCCAATGCAGAGGGTTTGCTATTAAACCATCCAACAGAGTCATCGTGTGTATATTTTACCTCGATTCCGTTGAATGTGATATTTGAAGCATCTACAACTAAAAAGAAATTGGTTCAATTTTGAATCTGGAAGAAATCGAATTTACTGTCAACAAATGATAATCGAAGTTACATTTCAAGTTGAAATGAAAAATTTGAATTTCAAAGGTGAAACTTTTATGAATCATCTTTTATTTATTGAAAACCATGGGCAAAACATGACGGAATATCAAAACATGAATGTAATAACCATATAATAATAACCATGATATAATAACCAACGTCCATAAATTGCTCAGATTAGCACCCGCCAATAAGACCAAACGGTTTTCAAGGAGTATCGGGTTACCGTATGAAGCTCATTGAATAAAAAATAACTCAATATTTTTTATGATTATCGTATTTTCTTCGAAGAAAGCGTAAAGCGGCGATTTGTTTATAAAACAATTGTACCGGTACTGGTTTTGAGTGAAGGCAATAAAGCAAGAGGCACACCTGATCCATACATAAGGCGCACCGGCTTAAGCCGCGCGATCGATTTTCGAGTAAAAAAGAATTTACAGTGCAACTTATGTTCCGTAAAATACGGTATTCAATCCTTACCTTTAAAAAGTTGTGCGTTATTTCCGATATATACATATTCTGACATAAACGTTTCGTTAGGTGGAATTATGTATAACGCTTTCCTCACCGGATCACAATAAAATTCTCCCACTGCGTCTAATTCTGTAAAAATGGGCGTGTTGAAAATTATTTTTCTGGTAACAAAGAAAGTGGGTATAGGGGATAGACAAGTTTCAAATATATTTTTTGAACATTAAATATCTTCTCATGTGTCTTGTACAAACACGCAAAACAAAGAGAACAAATTATATTTTTATCCTGTTTCGTGTTCTAAAATGACATTAAACTTCTTAGTAAATTTAAAATTGCATATTCTTCATGCATCACATTGTACCTTCATACATTGAAATACATGTATATAAAGCTTAGTAATATAGTTGAACCTTTTTATTAACTCCGTGATGTCAAGTGTTCAAAGTTACGCATAAATCAGTCAAACCTTCATGTGAATTTTCAATAATGTACCTCCAGCCAGATGGCCGAGGTCTTGTTCCGATGGCTTCTCGTAGAGATTCTCGGAAAAGGATTCTGTTATCTCGTGAGATACGATTAATATAAGCCCGCTCTGCTGTCCATGCATGAAAAATTAAAATTTGTATTTGATCCTCATTTGTTCCATTCTTAACGATGTCCCCTTCTCCCATTCTGAATCCAACTTTGTTCTTCGGAGGGCATTTCTGAATACATTTTTTGATTAAAATTTGTTTGTTCGTTTTAGTCCCCACTCTAGTTAGACATGTAAAAACTAACAACGTATCATGCTAAATTAATAGAATGTGTCGCTATAGTCAAATATATGTATATATTATTATATGAACCAACTCAAGACACCCTCCAACGACAAACAGCTCATAGTGGGGAAGGTTATGCTATTGTATCCGAATCACCACACCATACGAAATTTATTTACCTGATAATAAACGTCATTTCCACGTTTACACTCATCCGTTGAAATCAATACATCATGTATCAACATATATGGGCCTTCCCCCGCTAAATTACGTCCGTTCCATTCGTATATATTTGGCTTCCTACACGAAAATAAGAAAGGAGAGAAATGATAATGAAGTCATTTATTAAATAGAGATGAGTTCCTCGTAAACAATTTTAATATGAATTATAGTGTCACTTTGAGCAAGATTAACAAACAACATGATGTATGAACTTGCCCGGTTGACATTTCCGAAACTATACTGTTGTCTGAAATTCGAAATCATCGATATAACCAAGGGCAGAGAAATTTAGATTCATGTATTCTTCGTACAACACTTATGATGTTATCATACTTCAATTGTTATAATAATTAGAGTTAGACGAATACTCCTATTATCAAGTCATAACTGCGCGAAGATCCGCGGGCAATTTTGGTTTAAATGTGAATTACCACATAACACAAATGTTTTTATATCGCGTGTAACAAACACATGCAGTTATAATTTGGAAAATTATAACAAATAACAGTTTTGAAAATCACGTCAAGTTACTAATATTTTCTAGGAATATAATTTCGTTATCAAGGTGATATTACACAGCACAGAAATTTGTCTTCAAGACACACATAAACTCTGCGCTTGTAATCGCTTGTACTGCCTACTGAGCCAGAAGAATTCCCCCGGTTGTATTTTCTAATGGGTACTTTAAACATAATAATTTCATCTGCTTTATTACAAAAATAGTATATATATATAATTTTCTACCTGGCTCGCACCATCCTCTTATTTCCGACAAAGAGATGCGGCGAACACCCGCCTTCGTAACTAAGTTTATAAATCCAGTTCAGATTAGCGAGTTGATGAACTTTGAAAAACTGAGAACCCCAAACACGTCGTGCTCCACTTATTACCGGTCGTTCATTGTCAAATGGATATCCAAGTATTTCTAAGTTTGAATCCTGTAGACACATACACTACATAATAAAAAAGTACTGACGGCTTGTATAATATATAATACTGCGTGGTGCAGTAGTGTGTATAAGAATATAACATACTCCTGAAGTATGCGCACCAAGATGTCGCACAACCTGAACCCTAACATGGTACAAAACCTGAGTTCAGGTTGTGCGCCATCTTGGTGTGCATACTTCAGGAGGTCCGAATATAATAATAATAACAATTGCAGGCGCATTTTCTCACAAATAACTAATCTATAATTTGTGAATCCGTAGCGGTAAATGATACAAAATAATGTGTGATTCTTACCTTTTCAGTCATTCTAATCTGTTTCTTTATGAAGTAAAATCCAGATCGAATGTAAAGTTTCACTGGTAGAGACAGTGATCGACGAAAAATACGTATTTTACGTATCGCTACAGATATTGTACGGAAAGGACCGAGTCTCCGATACCCATGCCGCCAAGGACTTAACCCCGTGAATCTATCGTTTCCATTATCACCATCAACATAGAACACGTCGTAATCTTTGAGATATTGAATATAATTATTGATATCTTCTTTAGTCTCTCTTCTTCGAATAGAATATCGAGATTCAAAACTGGTCTGAATAAATTAATGTAAACGGATTTTATATGTACAATTGAGCAGGGTACAGAATTCCGAATTTCAATTCAATTTATATTATTATAAATCACCGTACCATCAATTAGATTCATGTAAGGTATGATCTTTACTGAAAAACCCAAATTTTAAAAACTTGAGGCGTAAGATATTCACTAATATACACAGACTGCAGTTAGAGCCGGTATCGGCTCAGTTATGATCGATACATCCGCTATCAGAGGCCCATGCCAGACCAAAATATAGATACGCCGAGATGATACTTACTGCTAGATTGATGTACGCTATCAGAAATATGATCTTGGTAGTGGTATCGAATTTACACATAATGCTGCATTCGGCTACAATATCTCTGGTCAAATAGTAGATGTCAGTTTTGTAACTACCGGTAAATATACGCATTCGTAGCTCAACGCAACTGACGCTAAATCTATGATGTAACAACGTCAGCGTACTTATAACGGTACTTTTAAATGGTTGATATTACACGCTTGAATTTATAAACGCGGAACAAACTAGCCAAGGGCATATATCTCTTTATATAACGTATTGGTTGAATATTATCAGAAAAACTGTACATCACCCGGAAAAATCGTATGATTAAATGTTTCTTGGAACACCAGATGTTGTACGAATGTAGTGAGAAGTACTACTTGGACAAATCATTTGTGGATTAGATAGCGGAATCACAAATGGCTAAATATTCGACCATTATAAAGGGATACGGACCTAGTTTTACAATCAGACTGGTTTAGTCATTTGTTAAAGTGTTATGTAATAGATTTGTTTGGTTGCTCCAAATAACAATTTTCGAATATCCGGAGGTTAGGTATTTTATGTTTACAATATCCGGATAATCGTATATTTTTAGAAGATAGCCGTTAGTTTATCATTGCCTCCGTAAATCTTGATAGACTACATGTTATAGTACTCTTACACGAGCTCCAACTTGCGGAATACGCCAATGCACGAGGTATACATATTGGTTCGTCCTTTTTCTTTCACCTTTTCACGATAGACATCATCAAGAGTATAGCTGCGCAATAACTGGTATCATTTTTCGCGTCTCCCGTCACCCTGAAATACCACATCTTCTCTTTCAGTATCTATATTTTATAAATTTTAGATATTGAAATAAAAGTATTAAAACGACTTTGAATCCGAAGCCAAATCGGTCACCTAAAAGTGATTTTTTAAGGCACATCTCTTGGACGCACCGCTAAGTTCTATTGCGAAGATACAACGCATTAATTTAACAAAATGTTTTAAATCAGTAAAGGATGTATTAATTTTTTTGATTATGTAAACAATAACCAACATTTAAAACAGTTGTGAGTAAAATTCGGCACAGATCTTACGTGTTTTTCCACTGGCATGAACACAGGTTGAAAACAGGACTGATAAACCAGTTTCGGTCTTTCAATTTCATGACCGCAATCGACCAGATGCTTCGTGGACAACGTACGTGAACGGCCCTGCTTCCACTCCAATGGACTAGGGAATAACAGCAACTGTTCCAAGTCAGAACAAGTACAGTATGTATAAAGATTCTTCATGCAAAGCTTTCAAAATACCAGTAATTGATTTTAGGTTCTGTGCATTTCAGGATTGAGTGGCTTCAAGTCCACCCGCACCAGGTCAGCCTCCTCAGAATATAGAACATCATCCCTGTCCATAAAATAACTAAATTAAATCTTTGGCGCATGCTGGGGAACACAGCATGTATGACGACTTACCTAACAACAGCGATTTAGCCGGAACATGAGAACGTCTCCTACCAAAATATTATCCTGAGGAAGGTATGACAAGCTTACTTCATGGTATTCGACAGCGCCTACTAAGTATTTCTGAAGCAGGCAACACTATTACCGAACGTGCTCATTATACCACAAAGTACAGTAACAATGCTAAACTTTATTAAAAAATTCATACTATACTACCGAATGTCTTGCGTACCACCAGAATAGCATCAATTTGAGAACAACTGGCCTACATAAAAAATTGGTCGTGAGTCACCTAGAGGTGTGCATAAAGTAACAACTCGTTAAAAAGTAACAAACAATAATAAAAGATAGCAGCTAAGTCATTTGCAAAGTAACTGTTAGGACGTAACTGAACAGTCTTAGGGCAGTGGTTCTCAAACTTTTTTAGTCCCAGAGCCGCATTTCAAACCTCGAAGTTATGAAGAGCCGCACACAAACAACGCAAGGTAAAATAGCAACAAACCTTAAGCGCGTATTTGAAATACAAAAGTCATCGTAACACCAACACACGTAACAACTGGGGTTGGGCAAAATATTCGAATGGTATTAAAATATTCAAATATCCGGCACCACGTCACCTGCGCAGCTCTGCTTGGACACCGAACTCGCGCATCTCGGTTACGGTTCACTTTAAACGAGCACGGTTAATTTACAAGCGGTGATAAGGAAGATCAAATCCAAGGCAGAGGATAAAACTCAGAATAAAATAAATTTGTTTTTGAAATCAGCAGCTGTCGCTGATGTGAACGCAAGGGTACACTAGAAATATAAAATTCGATATCCCGCGACCCCTTATTCTTGCAAAAAAACGAGAAAGGGCGGGAATATAGAATACCAACTTTAGGATATCGCAGCCGAAACGATCGCGGTGACAAAGACAATGAGCGATTATGATGAAATTAACCATTAACCAGTAAAAAAGCGCTTTATTGCCGACTTTTCGATGTTTCTCTCAATTTCCAAATAGAGTATCGACCTTCGACGTTCTGGATGTATAAAAAATATTTATTATTCGACTATTCGGTATTCGTTAAAAATATTCAAATTATTCGATTCGAAAAAAGATTCGATTTTGCCCACCCTAGACAAACAGCCATTCAATTTGGCTTTCATTCCTATAATAAGTTTGTCAAAGCGGGTTGAAATCGTGGAGGATGCAAGGTGCAGTCGCTGCTTGAAATGATCGCCAGATATTTTGGGACTATTTCGATTACTGGAACAAAATTGAAATGCTCTAGAAATTAAAATAATCATTGAGTTATTTGATTTATACATAATATTCGGAAAAGCGACAAAAACTGAAAATCCACGGAAGCAAGCCAATGATTACAGACAGCCATGTCTTAAATCTTTCCAAGTGAAAAGTGTCCGAGTGGCCGCGAAAACGCTAACTGTTGCGTCACTATGCATCTTGCATATTGTAGATTAGTCAACGCTACACAAATAAACACGGGGAAATCCATTCGACTAAGTAATAGACTTCCGCATTTTAATTTGAAGTCAATGATTAGTTTTCGATGAAATCTTGTATTTGAAAGTAATTAATTTTAAAGCAAACCCTATTTTAAGAATCAGATTTTGTGCGCAGGAATTCGGAAGATTTTCAAGCGGCAAAGCTAGATCGTTTGCTTTGGAAGTTTGGTGGAAGTTGGCCAATACATAAACGAAGCGTACTCCTCACGCCGCGGTGATCCGTTCTGATAAAAAAGCCGCGAAACTGTTCATTTGAATTCTTGAACTGTAATTTAAATACATGCTGTGACTCAAATTTCATTGTATTAGTTGCAGTGCCTTTCTTGTATGTCGTGGTTATTTTGTTGAATAGCTATGTTTACTGGCTTACATTAACATAGAAAAACATACAAACTAAATAACAAATCATACTTGCTTTCTAGGTATTAAAGCCTGCAAAAGTAGCAGTTGAAAATAACAGTCAAAAATTGAAATGAGCAATTAGTAACAATTGTGCAAAAGTAGCAGTTTTGCACATCTTTGCCTGCGAGTGTAAACCGCAAATGACAATCAAATATTGTTATGTTACAACCTGCCACGCCCACAAACAACGCCCTCCGCAGTAGATAACGCCGCGAATTTCCTTTGCACGTGACCGACGGGAGATGTTGTTTTGCATCAAAAAATTGCGATCTTGGGCACACCCTCATTAACGCCCCTGGCGTAATCCAATCGGTATTCAGAATAAGTCGGTGACAATCTTCACCTCGATTTCCCCCGCGTTCAGAGATTCGTCATATAACTTTGCAGTGAAGAGGCGATAGAGATTCAATTTGTTTATTTAAATCCATGTGTTCCATTTCGAAATCGTCATTTTACTCGTATGCTCACAGCGTTGTGTTTATTTACGGGCTAATCTCGAAATATCTTAGGTATCAGCAAGTGCTGTTCGCTTTCATTTCGATGTCATAGTGCGAGGAAATTGCTGCACTTATTCAGTCGTAAATCACCATTGCAATCAAGAATCAACTCATTCAGTTATTACTGTATTCTGGTATTATACCTGTATACGGTGATGCCTTGCGCTTGTCAGCTTTTGACAGTGCCGCAGTCTGCCAGACGACCAGAGCACATTTCCGGAAAAAAGCCATTGTGGGAAAAGTTTAAACCTTGCAAATCGAGGTCAGATACACTTTTACTTTCAAGAGTCAGAGAGTGAGTATTCAGATACCGTATTGCACTTTGGATTTAACTAGTAGAAGATGAAAGGGTGTAACTTTCAGGTAAAACAAAAAACCCAAAGGTAAATGATTTAATTGAATCCTGTACATCGGTAGGAGTATCTCAATATAGTATTAATCCAATTTAAACTCCAACAACACCTGTGCTCTTCTATTTCTGTATTATATTTCCTGGGCTACCGGTATACAATTTGTAGTGATATAAACATAAAGAAACAAATCTGCTCTTTGCTAACCCTTATTACTAATGCTGTAATTCATCCAATCTAGGCCAGCTGTCTGGACCTTCCATGACAGTACAGCACAATTCACTAATGTCATGAATAACCCCCTTATTTCAGTATTTAAAGACCCTTAAGACGTTAATATTTTAGAATGAGTGCAAATTAATCCTTTTTCATTCGACTATTCGTCAGGGAAGGTTAGCTTGATGAAGGGCTCGAAATACGCTCAAGATTAAGTTTATTTTATCTTGGTCATTAAATACTTTTTTTTATCCTAAGCCAGTAAGCCACATCATTTGCCCAGACACTATCTTTTTTTGCTTTCAGAGTAAATACCAAGACAGTGTGACTAAGATGGCTGGCTATGAATTCTTCCGAATACCAATATTCGGATATTCATTGACAGATTGAGGATAATTATTTTTTCCTTTGTCATAAAAAATATATTCCATTTGATTAAAATGTTTTTTGTCGGAATAATATTTTCATGCATTATTCACAATATTGAAATATCGAAAATTAAGCCTAATTCAATCAAGTTGGAGAGTCCCAAATTCAAAATTGAAACTTGTTTGTGTAAGTTACGAACCCTAATATGTCACAAACCCTCAGCAATATCAACTATATATTAATTTCACTGAGAATACTATCACATATCTGAACACTTTTTGAAATTAGCTGGGTTCCCCATACAGCCATGATTTGTATAAAAAGCCAGAAATACTTATGTCAAATAGCTGTCCCTGAAAATTCATGTATTCGTGATATCGAGCTTGAACATGAGGTATGCTTTTCACCATAATCATTTGGCTTCTGCACCAAAATGTAATGAAACCCAAAAAATTGCAACCTATTGGGTATTCTATTCAATTAAAGAGTCCAGCTGCACACTAACACAAATGTATTTCTGTAACGTTTCGTCCGACCAGAGTCAGACTTCCTCAGACTAGCAGTTTACAACAATGGCAAGAAATAAATTTGCTAAATTAATAGTAATTAATACTAAATTAATACTCGACAACTATTGGGTATTGTTGTGCAAGTTTGGGTAGAATAGGGTAAGATTGCAGTAGTGCTGATGATCATTCAAATATTGAATTTTCTGATTATACTGGTATATTTATTCTATTATTTACTGCCAGTAAGAACTAATGGGCTAACTAATAGGCTATTAATGATTTTGCTGAGTGTTCAGGTGTGTGTATTAATTCCAGTAAATAACATTTGTTAGCCAACATTGTATGTTTACTGGTCAGCAGTTTTCATAGCAGCTTATCTCTCAAAGACACTTCACATTTCAAGATGCTATTCTGTGCCAAGTAACAGTCAGTTTATCTTGTATCAATCATTGTCCAATCTCTTATGTAATACCCCTATATTATTTTATTGTTTTATATTTGTCAACCACCTCAAGTGTATTTGTCAACAAGTTTTGTAGCTGTAAGTTGGTTATGAAGTATTGTGTTCTAGGTTTTCATAATTATAACGTATAAAATAAATAGGGCTCGTAGGTCTGTATACTAACATTATGAATTTGAGTGTAACTATTTAGCCTAGTAGTACATTAATCAATATCTAGTACTTGAATTTATGTTTATATTAACAAGTTTAAATAATTATTAACTTTTGTTTTTGGTCATTGAAGTCAGCATCATGAATCCCTTAAACTGAATTGACTAAGATATATTTTTAGTGCATCTTGAGTGTTTCTTTTTATGATTTTGTTTGTTTTTATAAAAGTTGACAATTTGGGCGAGAAGAAGCATTTACCAACCAGGATGGACTCCCTCCCCAGAGAGGATTAATTTTGGTGTTATGGCCTAGGGGAGAAAGCCGTACTTTCCATTTGGGAGCAGTATCATAAATATTCATTTGTTATTTAGTATTATTGACTATTGTAATACACATTTATGCACACATAACTGTTATGATATATTGAAACTTGAACAACAAACTATTCATTTTCAAGTACAGCCGGTGGAAATGAATAGCTTCATAATAGGCAAAGGGAAGCTCTAAAAGTCTATCACTGTGATATTTGCTTAATTAGTGATATAATATTTAAGATCAATATTTTAATTTATTAGTTTGACAATCCTTTTTTTCTGACTTTTAGACAAGGTTGAAAGCTATTTATTCGTATAGCTTTAATTCATACAATATCCTAGAAACATGCTGTATGTGTTGTTGCCGTGAGAAGATGCACGTATCACAAATCCGCGTAACCAAACTATGTGCCTGAGGTCGGGGTATTGGTTATGAGATGCATAAAAAATTGAAATAGGTCATAGGTTATTTTTCTTTGTAAACTGTTAAATGGAACATTGTTTGTTTTTAAGATCTCAATTGCCGTAAATATGCCACTTATGATTTGAGTAGAATGCTTTTTGTGTTGATAGTTTATTGTTGAAAAATATGACTATCAAGTTTCAACCTTTTTTAGATAAATATTTTAGTTTTGTCTTAATTTTCAGCTAGTGGCAAACTGAGAAAAGTTCAAATAATCTGTAGCATATAAAAAATGAATGAAATATCCTATCATTTTTACAGTCATTATTTTCTGTATGTGACTGAACATCTTTTACATTTTACAATTATGTATCTTATCGATTTCAGGGCAAATAGGACTATCTGTCATATATTTGCTATCTAGAGGTTAAACAAAAGCTGCTCAGTAGGTGGGTTGGGAGATGACATATTGTGCTTTTAGAGGTCACATCGTTTTAATGAATTTAATTTAAATGCTCAAATAAAGAAAACGTACCTGATCAAACAAAGGAAAAACTTTGCCTCAACCAAGGACACAAGCTCACCTTCACTTTTTTCATCATCGCTACCAAAGACGACGCGCAGCGCCGAAAAGAGTCACTTCCGAATGCGGTGCCTATATGGTCAAAGGGTTTTTGCAGAATCAGGTACCGTACATAGATTTATTAATATTTTATATCTAGTATATGGTTTGAATGTTTTGACAATAAATTTTTTTTTAAAGAGGTTGGAGATTCATATTGGCGGTATGATCTTATTTTGTCAACATATTACAATGTAAAATGTACAATTTCATATTTAGTTTATACTACATTCTTTCCCATCTTATTCTGTGACGTTATTGCAGTTAGACATAAATGATACAATTTTGTGCCATGTTAGTTTCAATATATATGAATCAGCTGGTTATTAATTTCTCAACATAATCTAAATTTAACATCATGTGTCATTTCACACTTCTGATGCGCTAATTATATTTTGATTGTTGCAATGGTATGCCAAGATAAGTGAGATTTTCTCTACAGTTACTTTTTGAAGTGTCATTTTGCAGCAGTGTTCATGTAGACAGTAGGTAAGGAAGTTATTTCTTGTGATTTATATTTTTCAATATAGGCATTTTGGATGAGAGTAGTCATTGATGAAATGTTCAAATTATTGAAATTATGAATGAATAAATCGATCACATGCGCTATTGTAGGTTTTCAAAAAGTTCAATAATTTTATTCGATTGAAGCAGTTGAACAGATAGATAATCATTATTATCAAGGGTTTAATTATGGTATGAATGAAATACAATATTTCACTTTGATGTTTTCTTAATTCAGGGATAGTATCGGATTTCTCTTTAAATCCATTGTGCTATTTCTATTTAATATTAATGATCAACTGCTATACATAGTTTTTGTAATATTGCTGCGCTTGAAAGTTTTGTCTTACTGCTTTTACAGTTCATGGCGATTTTATTAATAGTTTGTACCAAAATAGTAGCTGGTTCTTCGTGATATTTTGGCATAACTCCATGATCTTATTTCACACTTAACCCCATGTTGAACTTTGAAATGCTTAATGTAGTGCATGCATCATTGTTCAGGAATGCATGGCATATTTTGATCTCGTTATTCCATCATATCGTTCGAACATTACTTACATTTTTTTGTATCTTTGCTTTTGTCCAAGCAATATTTTACTATTTTGCATTATCATATATAATACATTATTTTAAAAAATGTAAACATCTTTTTTTGAAGATCCATATTATGTTAAATAACTTTTCAAAATTGAATACCAAATTTTCACCTTCCGATTCTATTTATTGACGATGTATGCTAATGTGTATATAATATCATAAAGCATATGATAAAATAAGTTTTCTTGAGTATATAAACACCTTTTTTTAAAGGTACATATGTTTATTAGATTTTCCAAATTTATTACCGAATTTTCACCTTCCGATTCAATTAGATGACAGTGTATGCTATTGCTAATGTGTACAAAATTCATCATCAAATAAAATAGGTAGGTATACACAATGAGGTTTCATGCATCAAAAAGCGTAAAAGCGTCTGTGTATCAGTGTTAACTCTAAGCAAATTATGAGTGCGAAAGTGCTTCGCAGTCGGAAAAAAAAGTGCGAAAGTGCTTTTGCCGATTTTAACAAGTTAGGTGCCCTAGCTTTTCATATAACCCATTTAAAACCGCATAGATACTCGAAAAAGCGCTCCTCCGGTTAATATTATGAATTAAAGAGAAGCCTTTTCGTTAACCGAGTTCCTTTAAGCGAATTCATGTTTAATTAATACAAGGGAATTCATCGGCAACGAAATGACATCTGCTAACACCTGCCGCGGACAAAACTTTCATGCAATGTATCACGGTGTCAGTTGCTTACTCGCGTAAACAGCAAAGACTTTCACATTTGTTACTCCTTCCATCTAACAGACACGAGGCAGGCTGGAAACCATAGTAGTTACAGGGTGGATCGTTTGTACAAATCCCCTGCAAAATAATCCCCCCCAAATATAAATAGCAATCAACTAATTAGGGTTAGATGCGCTGGAAATTCAACTTTTCGATTTATCCCTAAACCTAATCTGATAATTAGTAATTTGTGATTTTGAACCACTTTGAAAGTCGCCACCCGCTGTTTTAAAAGATAGGTTAACCTACGTTCCCTCCGAAATATTAGGCAGCATACTACCCTGTTTTAGGAGATAGGTTGACCTACTTTCCTTTCAAACTTTTTTCTCCGAAGTATTACACAAGATCACTTTGAAAATCCTCCGTTTCGTGAGCTAGCGTAACCTAATTTCTCATTTACATTTATATTATACTATTTCAGAGCTTACCCAAAGACAAGTAATTTTTAAATGTCGACATGCCTTGGTTGGCGTGTGAGTCAGTTTAAATCGGGCAGAAAACATCATATATTGGCAAAATGTTTAGTAATGTCATGTACTTTCAGCATTCATGAATAGCACTCTTTGTAATGCTGCTGACCTAGTATCAAATATTCGCATCACAACGCCACTTGCCCGAGGTTTCCATATATTTCAATTACACTAATAGGAACGATGACACCAAAGAGTTTTCTTTTGCGAAGGTACACTGAATATAACGAGGGTGATTCTTGAGAAAAACATGAATATAAAAAATAAACGAATGATATGATAGTGGATCCCAAATAATTTTGAGAGTGTCTCGAAATACCAATTCATTTGATAAATAATTATTATTAGACCACATGAACGCTGATATCCTGAAAATTAATGTTGAAAGATAAATACGCATTCTCAGATATCGGACATCCATTCGCGATATTCAATCGTTCATATGCACAAATCTCACATTAATAGTAATTGCTACCCAAGTTTGTAAAGTTTAGAAACCAACAAACAGAAAATAACTTATCCCGAAACACAATTAAAATTCAGTCCGCAATAAATTCGTCGCCAAGACGATGCCATACAAAACAAAAAAGATTTGGTCGCGAGAGTTACGTGAGATGACTGCCGTTGTTTTTTAAGCAGAATGTAAAAAAATTTATTATTAATAAACGGGAGTTAGGACGCCCCTTACACATCGTGTGTATTAAACTTCCCTGGTAGGTACTTTGGTAAGTACTATTATTATCGTACTTATACACCTGTTGGAGTATTTCGGACAATTTCGAATTTAAAATAAATGAAAACCCGACATATAATAAAGGCGCAAAAGTAAAATGAACATTTATTGAAAAAGTTATTATTTAAGAAAAACAACATGATCGTACAATTCCGCCAAAACCTCGATGTTCGCAAGTGAGATGATAAATAAATACTTCCCCGTATTCGATCAATTAACTTTAGCGTATCGTTGTTCTGCCAACAATCAGCCGGGTGCAAAATATTTCCGTCCTGTGATATGCTCACAAATATTCTCGATATTAATATCATACCCTCGCGTATGTACTTTCTATTAGCTCTCTAGTGATCCCTTCTATCCTTGGCCAAGTCATGTTTCGAATATGTGAACATTTTATTCGACCATACATGGCCGGCGGGATGTTAAAAATGTAAACAAGAGAGGTAAAAGCAATCGCGAATTCCGTTACAACGGCTCGTTTACGAATTGTTGCGCCTGTTATCGTCGAAAATGATTACATTTGTTGTATTTTGAGGCATTTAAGCAGTAATAATTAGGGCATGACATCATCAAAATCGTCAAGTGAGATCTTGAAATTGCAAATTCCGTAAATAAAATTGTGAATTACTCGGTAACGAGTTCAGCTTTAATGAACGTCGGGGTATTGTTTTGTTGAAAATTATTATTAATGTGAGAGCGCCAAAAACATACAGTCCATACCGATGCGACTGCAATTTATATGGTCGCAATTGGTGTGGCGCGGTTATTAATAGTGTAAAATGAATTAAACGAATATCAATTATAACCAAGCCTGTCAGCGTGTTTATTTTCTGTGGGCAGGAATCGTAAAATACCATCTTGAGACAAATTCACTTCTATTATAAAATCTTAATTTTCAGTTATTATCGTTATACAAATAAGGTGTGGCAACTTTTTAATTTATCGACCAAAAAACCGCCCCACACTCGTCCAAACGTGTGTCGAGCTTGAACGACAGGATCAGATTCATCGACGACCTTAATTAGGGAAAATATGTATTTTATTGAGTATGCAAAATAAATGTAACAAAACGCATTTTTTTGTGATATAACTTTGTATTTTCGGAAACGGGTTGCCGTGAATGGTAAAATTTGATCTAAATTAATCGCAAGATGTTTTATTTTAAATGTAACAAAACACATTTTGCGATATAACCTTGTATTTTCGAAAACGGGTGTCCTGAAAAGTAAAATATGATCTAAATTAATCGCAAAAATGTTTTATTTTAAATGTAACAAAACACATTTTCGCGATATAACCTTGTATTTTCGGAAACGGGTGTCGTGAAAAGTAAAATATGATTTAAATTAATTGCAAAAATGTTTTATTTTAAATGTAACAAAACACATTTTTCGAGATACAACTGTATTTTCGGATACCGGGTGTCATTTAGAGTAAAATATGATCTGAATTAACCGTAAATAATGTTTCATTCCAAATGTATCATAACGCATTTTTTGCGATATAACTTTGTATTTTCGAAAACGGGGCGTCACGAAAATTATTAATCTAATGTTTTATCTATCGTCTTAACTAACGTCTGGAACACATCATTTTTGGGGAGAACTCTAGCCCGCAAACGTCATTTAATTTAAAATAGAGAATGTTTCACGCATTTCAAAACGGAAAATTACCAGTAAGTGGACAGGGATTCAACCCTCTGGATTTAGTATTCTATATCCCTGTGTCAGAACTTTCTGAAGATGGAACAAAGAACCCGTCAAACCGCCGCGGAAAAGGGGAGTATTTTTTTGCACTAATAATTAGGGCGTGACAATATCAAAATCGTCAAGAAACTGGTGAATTTGCAAATTCCATAAATAAAATTGTGAATTGCTCGGTAACATTTCAGCTATAATTATCGCCGGGGTATTGTTTTGTTGAAAACACGTTGAAACTTGAGGGAATTAGTTACAATTAGCGCCTGACCTCTATTAGGCACTCGAGCACTCGAAAAAAAAAGCACTCGAACCCAATTTTTTTAGCATTAAGTCGCATACGTAAAATATCCTGTAAAAGAAGTGCTGTTCATTAACGTCATCTCGTCTTATGACCACCAGAAATGCCTTTATTGCCGAATTATTCAATGACTATTTTAAATCAACATTCAGGATTGGCACAATTTCAGATTTGCGAAGTTTATCACCATAGAAAAACATGAGAAAGTTAATTATCGTCTTAATAAATATCTGCATCACGGTATGGACAATTATATTACCATTCGCATAAAATTGGGACGGTAAATTTACAAATCTTGATAGGTAATATTAAAGTCAACGCAAATGTTAATTTGAGTCCTCAATGTCTTCAACAGCTGTTGCCGATGTGAACGAACGGGTAAACCCGAAATATAAAACTTCGATGTCCGCCGACCCACAAGAATTCATATTTGTAAAAAAGAGAGGGCGGGAATATAGATTACCCAAAACCTGGATATCGCCCCGAAACGATCGGTGACAAGAACAATTAGCGATTACAACGGAATTAACCAGTAAAAAGGCTTTGTTGCCGATTTTTTAATGTTCCACCACGTTTTTTCGGTACTCCTTAAAAATATTCGATTCAAAAAAATATTGAATTTTGCCCACCCGTCCGCACATCAATGAGAAATAGTTGTGTAAATATCGCAAAATTCCGGAAAATGCTACCTCCTTTCAACATTGTGATTACAATAAAATGGTACTTAATGGTATTTTGTGAATTTGGTGATTTTGCAAATCTGTGACATGCTGCTAAAAGTTTCCTCTGATTTGAAAATCGTGCAGTTTGGTGACAATTCATCCAAAGTGACTATAACAGGTTACTAACACTTTTATAGTAATTTTGAATTCATCGATATCATTGATAGTCACATGACCACTCTCGTTCAAAGAAACGCGCACTGCGTAGTATTCCAACATCTGGTACACCCGGGAGCGTTTTTTGCCGGAGAAGCGGAATCGGTGTGCTTGTATAATAATCATATTATAAACAAGAATTTTGCCGTTAATGCAAAAGCTTTATCTCCTATGTCTGCATCTCATAGGTTAGAATTTCGGTAAATAACGTTATGATATGCAGAATTGAGTTACAAAAGTACTAGTATGTTACTTATTTGTCAACTTAATACTCGAAAATATTTGTTAACTTTGAATTTTTATTCCATTCAAAATCGGAAAAAAGTGCTATTTCTCTTCAAAATCGGAAAAAAGTGCTATTTCGCAGTCCCTAAAAAAAGTTGCGAAAGTGCTTCGCAATTTTCGCAAAAAAGTGCGCTAATAGTGAACACTGCTGTGTATCATATTGGAGTAGCAAACTATTTGCTTGTATTATTTCAACATCTCCAACAATCGCTATCTCAGAAAACTGGTAAAATCCAAATTTATATTACACATTTTTTTTTATTCTTGCAGAGACTGTAAATTCCTTTACCTGGATAGAAACTGTGTCTGTGCGAAAACTTTTTCTACTGAATTGCAGCAATTTAATAAGTTCTGGACCAAAGCACCACTTCGAAGACATAGAAAATGGCTAGTGGAATTGATGGTAAGTACATAATGGCCATTATTCTGTAATCTTTCAAACCCATTACTCAAACTATTGTACAAGCCCATTATCTGGTTATTATAAAATATTCATATTATAAGACACAGTAATATATTTATATAGTTGCCAATTCTTGCTTGGAGATCGTGATGCTATTTCTGTCTTGTAGTTGAATTGTTTTTGGCACGGATTTTTAATGATTTTTTATGATTCAGTCCATCGGTGGTTTTCATTTCAATGAGCATAAGTAACTTTAATTTAGTCTTGATTTAGAGCAGAGGTAACCTAAAAGTAACCTAAAATTCACCGTAAAATTTGAAGATATTCCACAACTTTATGAGTTTTTAATGATCTTGTAGTGATCCATTTTTCATCTTATGCTTGATTATTAAAACTACATCAGCATTATGGAACTTTCCAGAAATTGGATACATATTCACCGATGAAGGTTTTACATGAAAAAAAATGCCATAATTGTACTTGTTTTTAAATAATGAGAAGGTGCACAAGCTCTCATTGCAGGAGTACCCATTTCTAATTAGCAATATGAAGCATTGTCAAAGATGATGCAATTACTCTTGTGGAAGTTATAGCTTATGGTTTCACAAAGCAAATACTATACCTTGAATCATAGACCAGCTAGATGTCAAAATATTTATACATTGACTACCACTAGGCACTAAGCTCTTTCTTGAAAAAATTAAATACAAAATATAGATATCTATATACTCTTAAAGAGTTAAATCAACCGGTTTCCCAGAAATAAATTCATCAGTTTATACCTTTAATCATCATTTTGTAATCTGAGGTTTCAAGCTCCTCCTGCTCATGATAATACTGTGTTATTCATCTGCAAAGCAGAAAACAATTTGCCATACAAATATTTGTGCGGTTTAACCACAAACAACTTTAATGTTGTTTAGCAAGCAAGGCTCAGTATTTCTCTGGGGATTTCCAAGTTCCATTGAGCCATAAAGTCATTCTCTGACTGTTTTCAAATACTTATTTACACAAAGGAGGAATATTTTTCTTATTATTCCACATGTGTCATATTTTATTGTCATATTTTGACAATACCTATGATACCTAAAATATTTTCCCTTATCCAAAAGCATTGTGCGTTATTCACCTTTACAAAAATTTGTTTGTTCAACTATTGTGCACATTTGTTTTTCACTCAGGTTTTGCTGTTTACGCTTATTTATAGTGGTTAGTGGTTAATAAACCAAACATTTGTTCAGCACACAATTATATGCAAAGTTTTATCCCAAGTTTCAAAGCCATTGCCATCTTATACAATAATTCGCTTTTTTCCTGGGTTGAGAATGCATTTTGCTGAAATCAATGCTAAAATTTCCATAAACAAGTTTTCCTACAATAGTTTAATGAATGACCTTGCCCAAATTGTGTGTAATTTAGATGACATAATTATTTTGGTTGGAAAAATTGAATACCACTGTTAATTATAAGCAGATATATTATTGGTGTGCACTGTGCAGTGTGATATGGTGAAGGCGGGTGTTTTTATTGTTCAGGCCCGGGTGTTGGTGATTCACCCCAGCAAATGCACATCTCTCCTATAGCTGGAGATAAGGTTACCGCCGACCCAGTTAGGTTCCAAGTTTCTTATGGTGATGGGATGTCTTACACGCCAGGTAATAATGCATCATTAGTGCCTTTTCAAACATTGCATGTTTCTTGTAGATTACTGTCCGTGAGTGCTTCATTGATTATTCTGTTATGGTTCCATTATTCTTCTTATTTCATTATTATTAATGTGAAGGCCTATTGAGTAGTCGGTGATGGTTTGATGTTTAGTGTGAAGCTATGTGTCTGTCATCTGTAGTTTGTTCATCTTCTTTTATTTTTAGTTTTTTCGATCCAAATGTATGGATATAGTTATCTATCCGATTAACTACATTTTTAAATTAATTATTTTGCTGCATGGGTGACACTTCCACTTGTATTTACTCATAAATTCTAATTAATAATATACTATTGTGAACATTTTGCATGATCATTTCCTATTTATATGTATGGTATTTTTTGTTATGGTGTGTTTCACATTTTTGTTCAGTCTAAATACACAATTGAGTTTTCAGGATTTTTTTTATGCTTTTTCTAGCTGCTACTTCAACTCATCATGATGATGTGCCGGCAGTTACTGTATCAGAACCAATGGATAGTCATCTAAGTTTTGCAAATTTAATGTCAATGCAGGACCAACCAGAATCTTCTGATGTAATGCGGGTAAGAACTTCAAAAGTCAAAAATAGATTTATTTTTTATATAACATTAATTCACTTTGTTTGCTCTAAATAAGGCTCTATGCAGGCAGTCCCTGATATCTAATGATATGTAAAAAGATATTTTTATTTATAAGTGCAGGAATCTTTCCTGTTCAGCATTGCATAAACAATTTATTTCACCCTAGGTGAGGTGGGATGCATTAGATTTAAATCGGGGATGTGTAATTTGCTTATGTGTAACAAGATTTAGGAAACATTATGGAAATTTTTAGTAGACAGTTCCAGACAGTTTGCACAGGTACAGACAGTTCTTCTCAGTAGCAATTCCTAAATTATTTGTGTAAGCATCCAAGCATTTATGCATAGCAAGAATTAATTTACATCTAATGTGATCTAATTTAGCATTGTTCAATTTGAATCAAGTTTTATTATATTTGATGGGGGATGGAGAGTATTGTTGATGTGTATCCTTGACTGATCAGCTAATTTTTACATTTTCCTTTTAATATTAAGTCAAGTCTATTTTTACATCTTATGTTTGCTGTTTAATATGCGCTGAGTTATTTATAATAATACTGAACAAACAAGTACCGGTACTATTTGCCTTTTTATCATGTATTTGCGTTGTGTCATTATCAGTGTCATGTTGTAATATTAATCCTGTACCATTTTTCTTGCTTGGAGATCTGTATTTTATCTTCCATAGTTAGGGAATACATTTGATAAGGAATATATTTGTCTTTTTATTTTTATTTTTATTTTATTCATAAAGTTGGAGAACTTCTGGGTGATTTCTATGGATTCAGTTACCGTAAACAGAACATGGTTCTTTGATTACTGTCAGTTGACTCTGTTTTGTATGTTATTTTCACCTTTTTTTTTATAAATTGTTTGATATGTTTATTTGTGGGAAAAGCAAGGTCTCAAGCTCAAAGTTAACTAAAAGCAAGAAAAATTAGGATGCACAATGCATTATTTTTTTACGCTCCCGATCAAAATGAGTAAACCAAAAATGTTATAGAATTTAGAATTTTTTTAAATGAGCACCCCCTATTGGAATTCTAACCACTGAGTCAATAAAAGAAAACATAATGTTTGACGTTAGAACCACATGTTTTGAAACTTTCCATTGGTTTTATGACTTGGTCAATGAGGGTCAAAAAATATGTTACTAAATCGGTGATTCATGGATGGAAAGTTTCAAAAAATATTTGCATGCTATGACATAACCCATACTGAAATTTTTATGAAATCACATATATTAGAGAGTCGGCCATAACTGTACTATCACCTTTAAATAAGGTTCATCCAAGGCCCACATATGCAATTTTTTACTTGCGGAACATATTGTGAATAAAAAATTAATATAGTTGTTTTGAAACATTCCTCCTCACTCACATATATCTTGAGATGGACAGGCTGATCGCACTCATTTGTAAGTGTGGTACTGACAATCAAAGAAGTCATTGCTGATACTGTATGCTTACCAAGCTTTATATTGGGCTTTTAGCTTAGGTTTAAGATTATATATTGAGCCAATAATGGCTTTCAATGCGATTCAAATCACCTATGCCCCCAAGTTGGTCAACGGATTTCATGCGAAAAAGGTAAATTAGTCCTATTTTATTTGTATCATGTACACATGCTTTGCTCTGAACAAAGTCTGCATAAGTCATCGCTGCTAGGTACGGAGGAGCTACTATGGTGTGGAAAGACCAATATATTTATGGTTCATGTTGTCTACCTAAGTTATTACACGCTGGGTGAGGTGGTGGGTATGGGATTTGAACCCAAGATTTAAACCAGGAATGTCAACATTGTGTTATTCAATGATTACCGTACATTTGTGTGTTGTTGATTACTTTTCTATAACTTATTCAATCCCAGGTACATTACCCCACTCATTAGCTGACAATTATTTTCAAATTGTGATTCACTTGTTTTTCTTCAGTTTGAGAAAGCTTTCTTACTTTTGAAATGTAAATACAAGTTTAAAATGTAATAATACTGATAATTTATGTTACTGTTACTATAAATATTTTACGAAATATATACCGGTAGTTTATTGGGTGAGAGAGTTTTGCATATTGATGACAATCTCACCCAAGGTATTATTGAACAGCATTTTGGTCTGCTTGAATTGTCAGGAACTTCTTCGAACAAACAATGATTTGAACGCTTACTATTACCAATTTTTTTTGATTTAAATGCTTATCAGTAAAGAAAACATATTGCTTGAATCACTGTCAGGATATGAAAGAGTGTGAAGTAGTGTCATCACCTACTTACACCTTACTTAAAAGTGACTTACCGGTATGTCAATCGGTATACTCTTGGTTAACAAATTGTTTAATGATTATTTTGTTCGAGTCAATATCTAATTTAGAGAATTGATTTTCTTTAACTTTTCGTTCGATTGTGAATTTAGATTAACTTTTTAAAATTAGGTAGCATTTACATGACCATTGAATCTAAATTTTTTTTTTAATAAAATAACAGAAAAAAATTATCTTAGCAGGTCTATTCATCCCCTATACTGCACAGTAACGAATATAATACGCTGAGGTCAGCAACTAGAAGAGTAGAAAGCTTTCAACAAGACTCCAGAAGGCAAAGTTCAGAAATGGTAGCTTGTTGTTGTGAATCAGTTTAGTACGTTAGTATGTTATGTTGAGCATGGCTGATTAGTTTTTTTGTATACAGTTTTGGTTTATTTAATTTTATTCAGTTTTTTTTTTAATTTATATAATGTTATATTATTAACGCAGTTATGGTAAGTATAAAAGTGCCAGGATTTTTTTAATTTATGTTACAAAAGCAGAGACTGTTTTAGTGTGATAGTAATATTGAAGGATGGAAGAATTGTTTAAATTTTGGGTTCATTTAGTTTCATTCAGTTTCATTTTGATTTTGTATAATGTTATATTAATGTAGATAAGTATAAAAAGATTTATTTGATTTATGTTACAAAAGCAGAGAAGAGACTCTTTTATTGTGATAGTAATATAATATGGGATGGAAGAATGTTCGCAATTGCTTTAATTTTGGAGAAAGATCAAATATTAGGTATAGATTGAGGAAAATCATAATTATATAAAGCTGTTATTTGAAATGGACTGTCTGTATAGAGCCCTTGTTTTGTGCAAAGTTGTGAAATACTCTAAACAAGTATGGTTTTTAACTACTATTTTGCCGAATCATATTGTTGGCGTGATAGCTTTTTAACTTTTTGGTATGAATGAAAATTTTAATAGATATAAATTAGTTTAAGAGGATTCTAGCCTCTGAATTATTGCACAGACCACTTCAAATGAAAATTTCATATCGATTTTGCAATGTATGATATCTTGCAAGTTAAAAATCCTATTTGCTCAGTGCACGACCCGTTTCCTGTTTTAAAACCTTGACTCACCTATTGTATAGTGGACTGTGTTTGCTGCCACTTTTATTGCTTATAAAACTCTAAAACTCCTAATCGTTGTTTGCTTCCTTATCTCAGATTGCTTTGCTATTCATGCACTGCCATTGATTTAATTTACATCTATTGGCTCTGTGGGTTTATTGAAGCTAGTATAAGTTTTTTCTGTTATAGGATATTTGCCTTGTTTCTAATACTGACCTTGACAATGTAGTAGTTCTACATGCTTCTATAAATAGGTTCATAAGTAGTGTCAGTTCATTTATGTCATCATTAAAGAAGTTTTTGAAAACTTAGTAGTCTTCGAGATAATTGATAAATGATTTAGTAGCCTATGTCATGTGATCCTCATGTGATTTCGTAAATCCTTTGGTAATGAGATTATTAGATTCAGAATATAGTTGTTTGTTGGAAGTCTCTACTCTCATAAGTTCATGTGCATATACTTGAACAATGTTTGTTGTCCTGAATCATCCTTCGGCATGTTTAAAGAATACAGTTTTATGAGAGAATTGAAGAATTTTTAGGAATCCCCTACAGTTTGATTAGTTGTACTATCAGTTTCAATCCATTTCTTATCTTAATGTGATGCTGTTCTGCTTTCTAAACGTTTAATTCTAAATTGTGAATTTCACTTGGCATTAAAACTTATGTATTTGCCCACAGTGAAGTTGAGCACCTTGGTCTTAGGTTATCTCAGTGTAAGATTTCTGCAGTCATAGAATTGTACAATATACCAGCAGCAGGGATGACCAAATCGAATTGGCTTCGTTCTCTGTTGATGCTATTAAAAATAAAAATCAATCGATGTTGATTTCTACTACGTTGGTTGAATATCTATGAATTTACACTGAATTCTGTAAATTTTTCATGCAGAACATGACCAAATTTTGAATCTGTTGGATATTTCATATTTGAAATATTACTTGAAATATGATATGAAAGTACACATAATAGCGAATTAATTGATTTCGGCCATCTGTAACACCAATGCACGTAAATTAGCTGGAAGTTTACATTTTTAGTTCAGTCGATGATAAATTGGAATGTCAATGCATCTAAATAAAAATTTCATGTAATACAATACAAACTTTATGAGTAATTTAAAGAAATTTTGAGATTTCGAATTTTCAATTATTAATGTTTTATTCTCAGAGAGGATCAAGTGCAATTCCTGTAGCTGATATGGCAGCGGCTCAAAGAGCTAATAGACGGCCATCAGGTCTTGCTGATGAAATTGATAAAGTGCTTGATGAGGCTTCTGGTAAGAAATCTCAAATTTGAATTGAAATTGAAGAGAATGTATTACTTATTCTACTTACGACATTATCAGCCATGAATGTAAATTAAGTTGTGAATGTCCATGCCTGAAAAGATGTAAAAGACAGTATATTCTAAAATTTTGCCTTGCATTCAGTAGTTCCCATTGCAAATCCTTGAAATATAAAACATTTCTTGCGAAACTTCCACATGATTATGATTTTGCTATGGAGGTGACAAATTTTACAGGAATATACATTTACGGTACATAATTCTGAAAAAAATCTGAATAACATTGATTATACTGAATTTTTTTCTTTATCTGTATTTATTGGACATAACTAATATTTATAGCAGAAAAAGTATCCAAAGAATTTGAATAATCAGATAATCAAAAGTTATGATTTTTCCATAAGATTGGGATCTCCAAACAGAAATTAAAAAATTCCTATACAAATCTGTTCAATGACTCCATAAATATTTATAAATAATATTGATTACAATCATATTATTATTATATTGCGGTTCCAAGAACGGGATACTAGAAAGACAGATTTATTTCGATATTTCCTGAAATTAAACAATAAAGCAAGCACCCTACTTGATTTCATCTTCAAAATTCGGGGAACACTCAATAAGTGTTGATCGTAAAGATTTTCTGAAGTTATTATCAAGCACCAAAGAAAGTTTGAATTTGAATTGGTAGCCACACCCCACCAGAAACATTTCGGTGATATATATTATGGACGACTGTTGATGAGTTTTATAAGAGCTTTGAATATAATCAGTTACCATGGTCATCAGCAGTCGGTGTCCATAGAGCGTTCATAAAAAACTGTATTAAATTAGGTAAAAGAAAGAACTTTAATGTGCTTTGCGCAAATAATGGGGGGACTGGGAATACAAAGATGTGATAAATAAAGTAAGAAACTCAAAATAGACCAAGATTAAAATTAAACAAACATGGTTAAGATATATTGAAAACTGACTTCATACCAAAATTTGATTGTAATGTTTGTAACAGGACTTTATTAACACTGTGCATATAACAAGCAATAGATATCTGATGCATTATCTTCTAATATATACCGTAATTTCACAAATTCGTTACCTGAATTTCTCATAGAGTTTCCATAATACTGTTTCCCCTATCTCTATTGTTTTGCAGGAACTACCAGGCCGTATGCCGAACCTCTCAAATTGCAGCTTGATTTTGGTGATCCTGATATTGCCTCAGAGGTGTCTAATTACAACGACCAGCGATATAATGACGCCGATTATTCGTGTAAGTTTGCAAATCGTGTGTCATGTACTATATTGTAAGGCCCAACAAAACTAATCATAAATTTAAGCAATGAAAGCAGTATCCATTTATTTTGCCAATATATTCTGGTTTTGTACAAATTTTTTTTTTTCCACATTTGCTCATTTCTAGTGATCAAAACGTTAGCAGCCCTAACTATGCTGGTTAAAAATATCTGATCCAAATTTAATGCCCACCCCACCCGACGTGTATTAAGTTGGGCAGTGGTTGTTGAACCAGAAAAATATATAGTAGCCTAACATTTTTCCTTGAATTGAATTCTTGTACAGAGCCTTATTCGGATGAAAGGAATATAAAACGTGTTATCGAAAAAGTTTTTTCGTTTTTGTATTGTTGTCATATTTCGTTCATTCAAGGTCAGTGTTTTTTATCAGCTCACAGAAGAAGCCAAAGGCATCATTCCAAACCACTCGCGGCACACTTATCAAGCCATGACATGAAGTCTATCAAATCACGAGCCGCTGCCGCCGCAGCATTATCAGGATCAGATAAAGAGAAGAAGTATAAACATGATTTGTTCTATGATATTTTATCTGCAATAACATTGACTTTGGCCACCCAAAAGTAGATACAATCTTGTTTATGAAATTCTTCATCAGTCAAGTATGGCGGGAAGAAAGATTATATCTATAGACTTTTAATCAATCAATAGCTTTTCATTGCACTGTCGATTTGAGTCATTTCAATATTTCGTATTAAGGATAGTTTACGACTTTTGAAATATTCGCAGAATTGTCTGCATAGAAATGTTATCAGTAATCAAATTTTTGAGATGCAAGCATGAAATTGTACTTAATATGTTAAGTATGGTTGCTAAATATCTGATGATACCGAAATTTTTAAACTGATAATTTTAATTCATGCTGGATTGGTTTGAAATTTTAAGTTCTGAATAAATTTATATTTGAACGCAAAGTGGACATATGAATCGTTTTGTTAATAAATTGATGTTGATTGTTGTTGTTGGAAAAAAATGCTTTTCTATGCAACTAATATGCCATTCCAAATTTATAATAATTATTAAGGATGGAAGAAGTCGCTAGGAGGCTAATACTTTCAAATTTCTTTTGGAGTTTCTTATAGGACCCAATATTTTACCCCAAATTTTATCATTTTTTGTAAATCACAGGCGCATTGTTACTATGACTTACGTAAAATTTTTTCAAGATTTGCCTGCAATTTCGTTGCAGTACTCATTTGACCTCATTTTGTGTTACTATATCTGAGCATCGTTCACTCATTGGATCAATCATAAAAATGTGTAAATTGAAATTTGATAATTTGAACATGATGTTCGTTTTTTAACTTCGTCTAGACCTGATTACAAGAAATTGGAGATTGATATATATATTGCATTATAATGAGGAAGATAGTTTCAACTCGAGTTTTCCTTTTTCTTGCTAGCTGTTATCGAACCAATGTAAATAACTCTCTATATGAATTGAGAAAAGGGATTTTCTGTTCCACATTTCTATACCCAATCTCTGTTCAGTGGGGATGATGGTTTGAGTTGAAAAATACCCTGATTTATGTGTGCTCAAAGCCTAAGATCTGAAAGAGAGGGGAAAATTGTTACCGGTATGTCAATTTACTAAGAGTAACCATCAGACCATAATGCCAGATAACAATGTTTGCACATGGTTTTGGTTATCATATTCGTGTTTGAATGTTACATAAAGTACTAGAATATGAAACCTATCCACTTTTCATTTTTCAAGGAAAAGTCGAAGAAGACATAGGTCTTCATCTTCTTCATCATCTCATGGAAGTACATCTAAATCTCCTGGTGGAGGAGGAAGTGATCTGCTTCCTGCTGAAAGAAAAATTAAAAGAAAAGAAAAGAAGAAGAAAAAGGTTGGTCAATTTGATTTGTAATTGCTTTGTACTGAACATTTGAAGTCATTTGTGCTGTTGTATTTTCAAACTGCCTGGCCTCCATTTTTGACATATGAGTATAAATTCCTTACTTCTAAAAGTGGGAGTAGGAGTCAAAGTTGTAATTAAATTTAAAAAGGCAAATCAAATTTTTAATAAAAACTGGTATACCACAAATATTTTGGTACTTCCGTAGTGTGTACTAGGTTAGGGTTAGGCCATAATTTTATTCTGATTTTCCTTATTAAGTTCTATTACAAGTTCGGAGACTGTCTGTGTTAACCAAGTGAATTTACGATATACGGCCTATAAGTTTCAGTCCCTTTACACAACTTGATGTAAAGTAAGCGAACAAAATTAATTACCTCCATGATGGTACACACACTTCTGGAGCGCCAATATTTCTTCGCCAAATCTTAGGAGCCCGGGCCAAAGATTTTAATAGAATTCACAAAGGCGAAGTTAAATTAAAATTTTTAACAAAAACTTGTATTGCAAAAACTACTGCAAAAAAATTTACATGGTAAAAATTTGGTTTTCTTAAGCCACGAGTCTAATGCTCTTTTAACCTTTAGTTGAGTCAGTAGTCACACAATTGACAACCCTGATTATGACTGATAATTACATCATTAGTATTGACCTTTGCACTTTATAATGATAGTTTTTATGATCTTCACAGTCTCATAGAATTAAATAGATTTACTTATGATGTGATAATAAGATGTGATTAACTTTTTTACGAGGATTAAAGGGTAAATCAGTCGGGATATTTTGAAGCTTAACTTTATTATTTTGGAAAATGAGTGCATATTCTCATCTATTACCACAAATATTTAATTTGAATGCATATTTATTGGAAAGTATAAATGAAATGTAAAATTTAAATCAAATATCCAACTACAATATGTAAATATGAATAAATATAGGCTTTATAATCGTAATATATTAATTAAATGTTTTGCAACCCTCCTTCAGATTTCATTTAAATTTTTTAATTTTTTTTTAAATACTTCATATTGATTATTTAATAAAATCGTATGTATGCAAATTGATGTATGCAAAATTTGATAAAATAATATATATCTGGAATAATAATAATAATGTAATAAAATGGTTTTAATAAAATTATTTATTTATTTCTGAAACAAAAGAGCCATGCACAAGTATATAGACATAAAGGAGATACCGGTTCAGACGCTCGTATAGCTTATAAATGTAAATTGATGTTTGCACAAACCATAAATTAGTATAAAAGAATAAGGGCCCAGGAGTTTAGAGGCATTTTCATTTTTTCAGGATACCCTGCCTGCCACATATGGTGATTGGCATATGCAGGTGATTCATTTCACTTACTGTAACTTGAATATGACTGTATAAATTTTAATACACTAACGAAACAAGTTATCTTATGTTTTGAACATGTTGACTTTCTGTCTGAAAACCATGAAGTTACTGTCAAATCAAGTTCCATATTTAATTATATTCTTTGATCTGTTATTTTCGAGCCTTTGTGATTAATTAGAATAATATCTTGGGGACCGAATTGTCTTGCAGATTCAATACAACACCACTTACTTAATTAATATTTTTGCTATATTATTAAATTTCTGCTTCAACGCGCCACCTCACACTGTTATATTAATTTAATATTCTTCATTTTATAAAAATGTTTTTAATTTATCAAGATGATAAAATGTACATTTGTCAGCAATTTTAATAAAAACATGAATCTTGGTTGTCATTTAGTATTTATTATGATGAATTTGTTTTATTATTAAAGTTTATATGGGTCGTAGATTTATTATTATTTCGCAATATTCTTGATCGAAATTGCTGGAAAAATAAGACCTTCAGAATTTAATAATTTGCAAGTAGGAGGTAGAATGTTGACCACATTTCTCGTTTGATCGCTTGGTATGTTTGATTTTTACCACTGGATTTTACAGTTTTTCTGTGGCCTACATTGTGAATTTAATTTTAGGTAAATATTGGCGTTTTCTGCCATTCATCAATGCCCTTGTTCGTTGTTTGGTTAGCTTTTATTAGGACAAAACCAATATGGTCAATAGTAATACATATCCAACTCTTTAGAAAACACATTTTCATCTCAGTTTTAATATGTTCAAATGTTGATAAATGATTTACTGGTTGTATTAGGTATAAAATATTAACAAAATACTACTTTTTTAGCCAGCAGGCGGAATTATTAAATTAATTTGGCAGACAAAAATGTTATTAATATATGGAATATTAATAAAAAACATTTTTCATGCGTCTTTATTAGCAACCAGCATATTTCAATCTCTGAAATTTGGTTTGTTTGATGTTACACCATCACTGTGGAATTTTGTCCCTTTGAAAATGGAAATTCCCTTGAAGTTGCTTGATAATATGAAGAATGTTAGGAAATGTTGCACTCGCTTTGTATTTTTTAGAGTGGCCCATAGGTAAATTGCGCACTTTATGTGATGCCTTTCTTAGGCCTGTGTTTAATAATATTCAAATACTGCTATGGAATGGAATGTGTCCATGGAATGTGTCAATGTTATTTTTATTAAAAGAGAAACAAAAAACAAGAAATCAAATATTTTGCAAATATGTGATTTCTAGTAATTCTTTATAAATTTTCTTTATAAAATTTGAGTAAATTGAATATATTTTTGCTGTAAACGAAAGGAATGATATTAATTAAAAATGATTATACTTGAATTGCTGAATGCAAAAAATGCATAGGATTGATAGGAATGCCATAATATTCCAGCAAGAGAAAAATTATCTTTTAATAAAAGTAAAGTGTGTCATGTTGGACTATTTCATTAGCCTAGCCGAATCTGAAAAAAAAAGTTCTTACCGGTAATTGGCTTTTTAACTTTTTTTAGTCATGTTATAACAGAAAAATTATTTAGTATATATATTTCTTGGGGACTTTTATGTTTGATTCTGAAAAGTCTACATAAGCATCAAGCATCCAGGTAGATACTGAACTTCTATTAAGTTTTAAAGAAGCTATATCTGGTACTCTCGTAGTGTGTGTACCATGTTAGGGTTAGGCCATAATTTTATTCCGATTTTCCTTATTTCAGTTCTATTAGGAGTTCGAGGACTGTCTGTGTTAGCCAAGTGAATATCCCCCCTCGCCTGCCCATAGGTTTCAGCCCCTTTACACAACTTCATGTGAAGTAGGCGAACAAAATTAGTTACCCCATATTGGTACACACATGTCTGGAGTGCCCAATATCTTAACCAATTTGCCAATGTATTAATTTATTGCACCCTAGCACTGCATGTCTTAATGCAGCACATAAATCGAGCCTGAAATATCTCTCAGGCTATTCCATCCGGAAAACCAAAAAACTATTGCACTACCAAGTAATTCAAGACAATCGTAACAATAATACAATATTTATACAAATTTTTCAGAATGTAAGAAAGTCACTCACTGGTCCTCTTAGACAACGAACATTGAGTATCCCAGAAGAAGAAGAAGATGATGAGGAGTTTATGAGGCATCTCGATGATGATCTTGAGGAAGAAGATGAGAGTGAGGAGGAAGAAGAGGAGGTAATAGTGAAAAAATAACAAATAAATATACATTTTTTTAATGATTATTTTAGATTAGTCCTGCTTTTTAAACAGGAAGAGTACGTATCTGCCGCTTACTAAATTGTTGTTGTGGTTGTGAAAAAAACTGATTTGTGCCGCAGCTAATGGACCCATCAATTTCAAGCATTGGGTATCGCTCCACTAAATTAACAATATCAAATTTTCATCACTTAAAGACAGAAAAAGTCATTTTATTTTATTTTCTCATTCTTTTTTTTATGGTTTTCATTCCAACTTCATTCCATTTAGGAAGAGGAAGAAGATTCTGATAAAGGTCCTGATGACAGAGGTGAAGAAAGACATGATGATGATAAAGGAGGTGATTCAAATCACAGAAAACCAGAAGATGATGTAGGTTGCTTTCATTATGAGTAAATTTACAATTCATTATTATTGGCTTGGTTCGTGTCCATATAATTGTGCATTAATCCGCTTGTTAGAATATCAAATGATTAAATGAGATGGCCCCAAAAATACTCAAATGATTACCCGAAATTGCATATAGAAGTCTGTAGATTTATTTATTCACCCGTTTGTATAATTTTTCAAGTAAATCTGTTTTCGGGAGATGTGTTGAATTTTGAGTTTTTAAATGGTAGTTTAATACAAGTGAAATCTGAATTCGAAGAATAGAGCGGTATTAAAAAAAAGTTTTATGAACAAAATCCAAAGTACATTTCGGTTTGGACAAATGAAACTCATTACTGATACCTGATTCTGTTATTTTAAACGAGAAACGTAGACAACAGATTTTTCTTGTCTACATTTCACAATATCTTTTAATTGCAATCACAAGTATCAATTTTGTCAGAAAAGTAATGGATTTTCATTACTTTTCATTAAAAAGCTTATTTTAAAGTACGTTTGCCTGTCAAATGTAGGGAGTCTGGTGTCATTAAACAGAGGATAATCCAGATTTATTTTCAGGATGATGACTACGTTCGTAAAGTAAATGAAGTGTCAACACCTGCCGGTACGAGCACTGATGTTGTCGACACTGGAAAAGAAAAAATGAAGGTAGATAAAAACTAATTTAATATTGACCTGTTGGATGAAATTAGAGGTGTTTGCTTAGTTTGAACGCTCTAGCACAGAAGCCCTTCGATACAAGAGCTTATTAGGTATCAGGTAACTGAATCATTTTTCGGGTAAGATAGTCTAGAACAGGGTTTCCTAACCTATCGGTCGCCTACAAGTTATTTTTAATTTTGCATCCAGATAAGCATTTTTTATTCTGACTGCACTGCTTTTTTTTTATTATCAACATTTATAACAGGATAATATTAGTGCAATGCCGCAACAGATAGCACATTGAGCTATGTTTCATTACTGGTTCCAAATGTTTCACATCTGATCAATATTTTGTTTCAACATAAATTTAGTGTCAAAAAAGATTTTATTGTGACTCCAGTTTGAAAAACTCAGGTTTAATATTAGGCCTGCACTTAATACACATATGTAATGATACAAATCAAAGAATAGAACCATATTCAAAGCGAATACTAAATAATATAAAATATTTCATATTTTTATGAAATTCAGCAAACTCATGAATGTATTTTAGTTGTTATGTTCTGTTAAATATTTTCTGCACAAATAGTGGTTCAGTATTTGTGTATGAAAGCATGAAAATGAGTAAATCCGTGCTATAATTCAAAGTAAGACCTAATGCAATTTTATGGTCAGTGAACATGAAAATTAGTCTTTACTATTTATATGCTAATTAATGTCTGACAAACTTAAATTTATTCAAATTCGACTCATTCCGTATTTATTGCATCAGTTTTACAGAGATATTTTGCCCAATAGAATCGATTTAAATTGATTATATTTTTGCTACAGAAGATAAAACCACATATGTATGACTTATTTAAATGTCTTCCACTCTGAATAAGGCTCTGCAAAAACAGCCACTGATATAATTGTGTAAGGAGATGTTTTATTTTCTGGAATTTTTCCTGTTCGGAATTGCGTACCTAATGTTACACATCCAGGGTGGAGTGGTGGCACTGGTGTGCATGGTCATTTTAGCTAAAAACATGTTACATAACTTTGAACAAACTGTAAAAATGCTGATAAAAAATTAGCATTTATGTATTAATATGCTATCTAAGCTATATACCAGGTTCGTTCATTCTTGCGACATAGATATCTGTGGAGACACACTGTCTGATTGTGATATAATTCAAGTAAACACTAAGAGGGTGAGGGGCTCTGACTGGTGGGTAATTTGACCATAATTTATCATATGGTTAAATCCGGCAGACATCTGAGACAAATAAATCTATGTGAATTTCAGTCACTTTAAACAGTATTAAATCAACTTTCAATTTTTATTTTTTTTTATTTTTGAAATTACGTAAATAAAGTATTAAATTATGATTCTTATTTTACTAAATATTCCTTATAACTTCATCAAATTTAATATTATCCATTTTGCTTGATTGCACACCATGCATATAAATCCTAATTGGATTCGGAGGTCAATGAAGTGTGAAAAAACATTATTTTTCAAAAATGATTCATTCTTTATCTTCTTTGCATTGAAAACTGTTGAATTATTAATTAAGAAAATACGCTTTCAACAATTTCGTAAAAATATATAGGTGTTTAACTGTAATTTTTTTTATCTCAGGTTGGATTTTCAATTGGAGATGATGATGGCGAACGACCTGCGAGTGTCTTAACTGTGCCTTCTATATTATCATGTATGCAAATACAAATGAATTTTTTTTAATCAAAATGACCGTAAATCATATTATGAGATTGATATTGATAGTTCGTGTGACAATTTTAGATTTATCATCATCATAAAGAATTTAATTGAGAGGAATTGAGGATTATTTTTCAAGTGTCTTGATTATGGATTATAGTGCTTTTGAAATATTGGACAAAATTTTGATTATGAGATGAGATAAGCCATATTTTGCTTTATTATGAATTTGTTTTCAGGAATGAATTTCATTTTGGATTTTCGAAATTATTTTGTATTACCGTAAGTAGGATTACGTATAAGATTTAAAAATATCTTTTCTTGAACTTTTAGCCAAGGCTTCTCCATCCGGTCATCGTAAATCCAAAACTGCGACATTCAAATTAGGAGAAGAAAGTGAGGAAGATGTATTACAAAGAAGGCAGTAAGTTGCTAATACTATAGAAAAGCATAAGACGCAGTCTTGTCAAGGCTCGCTCTAACTGTGATTTATTCTTACTATAGTTCTGAACCATGGATGCTTCCCAACCCAATCCTCGACTCTAAAAAGTTTTTGATGATCGTTTTTTGAGTTTCACAAATTGACGCTAACTTTCATAACCAATATTATTATTCAAAACATTTAACCACTTTCCATTTGAAAGTATTAATAGCTGATTTTGGCGTAATTTAGTTTTTTGGCGTAATTAAGTTTTTTGGCTATGATTGACTAATTATTGATTACTGCAACTAGCCTGAAACCGCTAGGAAGACTTGATGACCATTAAATTATTCGATTTATACCGAAGTTTTATAGCTTGCATAATCACGAGTCTTGTGGGAAAAATGGTATATGAGCGGCCGCACAATTATCAATTGTTGGTCAGTGTTACGAGTCTTGTGGGAAAAATGGTATATGAGCGGCCGCACAATTATCAATTGTTGGTCAGTGTTATGGATATATGTAATGTTGATGTGTCTATTCATAAACTTGCTGAAATTAACAACTTTTTCCAGTTCTGCGACGGCCATTGATGAGAAGAAAAAAAAGAAGAAACACAGACATTCTCATCACAAGAGAGGAAGGCACAGCAGCATCACAATAAGTCAACGACGAGCTTCTGGAAAACAATTGAGAGTAAGCATAAGCGGTTATGATGGTTTTTCCTTATTAGGCTCTATACCTGACATGTGCAAAGTACGGCCTGCAGGCTAAATCCGGCCCGTTGGGTAATTCAATCTGGCCCGCTTGAAGCTGCCACAACCAAACTTCGACCAAATTTTGATGTTTTAGCTGAAAACAGCTCAAGGATTTTGTTAAAATTGGGGTTGAATTTAGTTTTCGCACGAGGCATATTGTTTTCCACCTTTGCTTTGTAACACTGTAAATATTGTTCATAAAATGTAATTTTTTACGTCACACTTACGGTACATGGCCTGCCAAACTAGGTAGGCAAATTTTTTGGCCCCTCGTTGAAAAACCTTGCTTGCCCCAGCTCTATACTAACTATGTATACTGTTATGCCTTGCTAGAAAATTTAAAAAAATCTTCTTGTTACAAATTGAGTGAAATCTGAATTAAATATTCTTATGTTATAAAATACTATAAGTTTTGGCAGATGGTTGAATTCAAATGGTTGAACATCATATTTTTTTTTTCAAATGCTAACGTGAGACTTTTTCTCTATAGGACTTGGATGAAATGAAAGAGGAAAAAATGCGGCGGCAACTGAACTCTGAAGCTGATGAAGATATAAGAAGTATGTTTAATTTTTATAAGTAATAATCGACATAATTATTACTCAAATTTAAGTATTTAGGAGATGGTGAAGATCAAGGAATGTAAGATTATTGCTCTTTTAGATGCAATTTTGAATATTTATTCAATTACCGTATTCTCAAAGCACCCAACGTTCTCTTATGTGTTTTTCAAACTATAGATAGCCATTGCAATCTACTTTTCATACATCAGAATGCTATCCCCACATATATAGGTATTTTACTTTGATTTTATTTGTACAGGTCATAGGTATGAACATCATGCTGGAATTCGGAAACATTTGTTACATCGACCTGTTAAGAAAAGAAGAGTGGGAAAATTACCAGAAACACAAATACCTATGGATAGAAGACCACATGAGGTAACATATTTCATGGTTCTTCAAGCATATTGTTTGCCAATTTATCAGTTGAGGCTAGTTGTTGTTGAGGTTACTTGTTCAAAAGTAAGCTTCAAGGTAACTAGTAATGTGTTGTTGGTAAATTATGGTAATATTTGAACGGTATACCATGTTGATGTATAAATATTGGATTTGAATAGAAATGTTATTGATATAACACTCTATAGGGGAAAAAAGGCAACAAACAGTCATTTTTTTGAAAGAATTTTCTCAAAACAAAATCACGCTCACTCAGAAGAAAAGAGACTCGTATTTGAACAAAGTTAAGAACAACCATTAAAATGCCTTGAGCTACTGAAAATAGAATAGAATTATTCTGATGCATTACATGGCAGTAAATACCTGATGAGATCTGAAGCAAATAAAGGAAATAGGATCCGACAAACAACTCAGCTCAATATCAACTTATCATTTTCTTGTAGGTGTTTGTTGAATTAGATGAATTAGTATCAGGAGAATGGAAAGAAACAGCAAGATGGATCAAATTTGAGGAAGACGTAGAAGAGTCTCAACAATGGGGAAAACCGAGAGTTGCATCTTTATCTTTTCATAGTTTGCTCGAATTGAGAAAAACAATTGAAAAAGGTAAATATAAATAAGTATATTGACTTAATATGGAATATAATTTCCACCGTATCTGATTTTCTGTGTGATTTCTAAAAATCTCAGAGAATCAGGATAGATGTATTATGAGTAGGACTGGGAATTTCAGGGAGAACTTCCATCGTTCACCGGGTAAAATTAACCTGTTAACCGCAGCGTGACGTTTGACGTAATAAGTTACAATTTTAGATTGTTACGTCACGATGGTTACAAACCAATTTCGAGTGATATTATCCCGGTATTGCTCAAAATCATTCACGAATGGAGATGGTTTCATGATCACTCTGCTCCAAGATATATGCAGCGTGTTTCGAACATATGGATGTATTTTGGTGAAACCCTATTCCGTTATTAAATGTCATTTATGTGACAAATTATACCGTAAGTGTTCGATCTGCAAATCCTACTTTGAGATATCATAAAGAAAAACAGCATCAACTGCGCACTTGTTGGATGACATTGAATAGACGCTTTCGCGATAAAATCGAGAACAATATATTCTGACCGAAATCTGATTCTGAATTTATCATTGTGAAATTTTCATAGTCAGTGATATTGGTACTTCAATAATTTTCTACAATTTTTGGTGCTCACCAATACAATCAGTGATATTCTCATGAATCAAACACCCGGGAGATAAATTTGCGATAAATTGATCATTTTTGAAGAAATTGTACATTATAATGATGATTTGTACTTGAGATGTCAGTTAACGGTTAAAATAAATCGGAACCGTTAACCATCTAAAATCGGTTAACCAGTTGACTATTCCCAGCCCTAATTATGAGGGCAACCTACTAGTAACTCGATCAAAGAAAAAATTTAGTTCGAACAACAATCCTTAATACAGTCAACGCCATAGCACTTCTGATTACCCTGCAAAGTTTGTAGGTTCAAATCCCATGGAGGATAATTATGTGTGAGAAAATTGCTGGACACATCGCCAAAGTAGAGTGGGGTGGTTCACGTAACTGCTTTTTGGTTACGACTTCCCCATCAAGTCCATGAATCGGGAACAAATATCTGATTAACAATTCCAATACCCAACATGGCCTGTTAACTGGACGAAATGTTGTGGATTGCCGTATGATTCAGACATCTTATTGACTTTTCTCCCTCATAAGATAAATATAAAAATCCTAATCTTATGCTGAACTTGAAATATCCAGTCATTTGACCAGCTCTGATACATATTCTTTATAACTTGTTTGCAGCTTTTTTCGAGTGATTTTTGAAAAATGTTACATAAAAAAAAGACTAACTTCAATAGCATTTCAAAGTCATCTGGTTTGGGTATATTTTCCAAACTTTATTGTTGTGTATTAACAGGTGCAGTTGTTCTTGATTTGCCTCATGATAACTTGACTGACATCGCTAATGCCGTTGTGGAGCAGATGGTTCAGTCTGATCAAATTCGAGCAGATGATAGAGGAAGCGTACTCAGAGTTTTACTTTCAAAGCACAAGTAAGTTTTACGTTTTATTTTTATTTTATCCTTTTCTAATGATGTTTATATTCAATTTGCATAAAGAAATTTTTTTTTTCGTTTGAGTCATTCATGATTGAGTTATGCCTGCCTGGGTGGATACAGGGTGTCCATAAATTTTATTTATACGTCGCTAATTTTTCCCTTTCGCTCTGAACCCGAGATGTGTAATCTGCGTTATCAAAATAGTTGAGTCTACTGTTTTAACTGCTAGGCCAGGGTGGTCCAGGATTGGCAGCTCCGCGGGCCACAAAATTACTCATGCATTGTTCGCGGGCCACAATAGTGTAAAGAACTTCGCTTATTTAACTTCGCTAGTTGAATCAGTAAGCCATATCACTAGTCAATTCAGCGACATTAGTGATGCAACAATATGTCAAAAGATTTTTTGGTTAATTTTGTGACTATACAACACGAAATGCGATTTTTTGATCCTTCTCCGAATGCGACACGGGCCACAGATAATAAGCGGCGGGCCTGGGTTTGGACCACCCTGTGCTAGGCCATCCCGCTGCCTGTAATCACTAAATGTTCAAAAATTTATCATTTGGCTTTGTAATAAATTTTGAATTTTTTGGATACCCTGTATATTATCATTGCTTTCTGATAAAAATTATAAAAAGCCTTATTTCTTGTGTTCAAATTATCGATATGATACCTCAGACAAGACGCTTAAATTTCATTTTTTTATTTATTGCAAAGCTTCAATTACTGATTGCAATATTTAACTTAACAAAAAATTCTCTTCCATGTATGTTCCATGGCTTGAATTTTTTGGGATTTCTTTTCAAATAAATCAACTTTGCTTTTTGCAAGTCATTATCAGCTTATCTTCATAAAAGATAAAATGAAATGACTTGATAGCATGATAAAGTATCTGAAAAGCAAATCAACACATGAACACATCAGCTTCAATTGTATATTTTTCAGGAATTTATTGAGCAAATCAGGGGAACGGTAAATAATAATGCTGCTGTTCATCAAATTTGCTTTTATGTTTGATTCAACCAGCTTGTGATATTTTATAATTTGAATCAGACTTGGCTGTTCAAGTTTCTAACATGTAGAGTTTCCTGGGCGCAGAAGTGTGTGTACCAATATGGAGGTAACTAATTTTGTTCGCCTACTTCCCATCAAGTTGTGTTAAGGGACTGAAACTAATGTAGGGGGTATATTCACTTGGCTAACACAGACAGTCCCTGAACTCGTAATAGAGCTAAAATAAGGAAAATTTGAATAAAATTATGGCCTAACTCTATCCTGGTACTGGTACAACTACAAGAGTACCGTTGCTTATAGTTGTCATTCAGGAAGTAAAATTCTCAATTCTGCGGAGATGACAAAAATTTATTATATTATATTATTTTATATTACATTATATATTATATATTACACCCTCGATGTGTGTGAAGGGGGGAGTGGGTGATGGGGTAATGGGATTTCACCCCCGAGATTTTAACCTGCAAATGCCATCATAGGTAAGTCAAACGTTCCGCGCCCACAATACACTTTCTCATACAGAACAACAGCCAAGTAGGATTTAGTTATAAAATTGCAAGCTTGGAATGATCTGCCTGCTTCTATCACAGTCATGTTTATTATTGTTCTCTGATTCACAAACTAATTGTTTAGATCAGAATGTTGAAACAAAATCTGTAGTAATTGTTTTACCCAATCAGAAGCTTCTCGTCTTGTATTATTGTGATTTTGTAACAATGATATATCTATGTCCAGGCAGAAAATGATTTCAAGTTTTTGCACTGCCGAGCCTATAACTTTCTTACACTAACTAGGAAATTACAATTTTTTCCTAGTATATCTATAGTCGTGATACAGAGCAAGAACCATGAAATTCCAAGTTAATGTCCATGCAGCATTACTGTACCTCCGATAGATTTGTAGCACTGACCAACATAAGATTTGTAGCACTGACCAACATACTATTAAAACAGTATAGATATTTATAGGAATTGAATTATATTATTTCGGTCCCTCTATTTGGAATTTCTGGTTCAAAAAATGCATAATTACAGAATTACCCCAAAAATTTATTCTAGTATGCAGAAGAAATGTGCTGTAAAGCTAACTCCCTGAAATAGTTGAAATTTGTACATTTGTAACAATGAAATAATTTCAGTCCACTTGTTATCTTGTACGAATGTTATGTCACGTATCCAAATTCACATGGATTCTTTTTGTTGTTTTTTGTACTAATATTCAGTAATAGTATATATCGCCGGATGAGAACAGAAGGGGCCTAAGTCACATTTTTGGAAAATTGACTTTTTTCAATATTTTGGGGTTTTGAGCCATGCTCTACAAGGTGGTGGTCTTGAAATCCTGAATTTCTCAATAATGAAAATTTTAGCTGGACTTAGGCCTAAAATATTTAAGAACAGACTGGGCCTAAGTCCAGCTAAAATTTTTATTATTGAGAAATTCAGGATTTCAAGACCACCACCTTGTAGAGCATGGCTCGAAACCCCAAAATATTGAAAAAAGATAGTCCTAAGTTCCAATATGATGGGCATGAACATCAGAAATGAAATGTCCGAAACTTACATCCCTAAAAATTTGTTCAGTGCAACTTAGGCCTAAATCACCTTGTTTTACCTTGCATCCCATACAAAAAATTTCAGAAGTTGTTGAGAACAGAATGGGCCAAAGTTTCTTATGGGGGTAAAAAAGCAGGAAGGAATTGAAGCTGAAGTGCCAAAAAATATTGATTACAAAGATATTCTCATCCACATTAAAATAATCAGAGTTCAGGACTTTACTAAGTGTGAATATCTAGAAATTCGAAAATAAAAAAATTCCAAATTGTTTTTTGCCTTTTTCTCAAAACTCAGAATTGTGACTTAGGCCTGTTCTGTTCTCATCCGGCGATATATATATATTTCAATTCATTAACTGTATGTAGTGCATGCAGAAACATACTAAAAATGACAGAATTTTTTTACTTGCAAATGCATTGCTGCAATGCCGCAAACAATCACACTTTCAAAGCTATTGCAGCAGCATATTAAGTGCTGGATGATGAATTAATAACAGTATTTTGCTCTTTATTGACGCATTAAGTAATGAGAGACAGGAAGTTGAAGCGAAATTGCTTCTTTCAAATTTATATTAAATCAGTTCATATGAGGTTACAATGATGTATCATGTGTTTGTGTAAAATAAAAAATTCATCATAAAACACTTTCTGTATAAAAACAAAATAGTTCACATGGGAATTTAGTATAAATATGCATATGTACGAGTATAAGAGGCCTCTTTTTAGATATCAGATATCTTAATAATAAATATAATCTAATTTTGGAAATATTGAAATCATGATAGCTAAAAAATAATATTTCTGTGTAGATTTTTGAGACCTTGCTTTAACACGAAAAAAAAACTGAATTAAATTTTTATTTAATCCTAATATTCGTTAAATTAATTATTCACAGTAGTAACATTCTGTGTTATCATAAAACAACGGCTTCGATGGAACCAATCACGCCAACCATTGTGCATCATCCTTTGATTTTAAATCGAAAACAACTAAATATTAGCTGCTTGTATAAGGTCTTGTTCATAGTGGAAGGCGCGTGCGTATAAGCGCCATATGAAAAATTAACCAATTCATTTTGATTTTAACTGATTTATTTCCATTTGACCGTCATAATGCATTTGTACAGTAACAGTTGAAATTCGAAACTGATTTCGTTTTATGTTGGTACGTTGTAAATCAACTTGAAATAAGCGTCATATAAAAAATTAACTGATTCATTTTGATTTGACCGTCATAATGCATCTGTACAGTAACAGTTGAAATTCGAAACTGATTTCGTTTTATGTTGGTACGTTGTAAATCAACTTCATTTTGAACTGATTCATTTTGATTTGACCGTCATAATGCATCTCTGTACAGTAACAGTTGAAATTTGAAACTGATTTCGTTTTATGTTGGTACATTGTAAATCAACTTGAAATAAGCATCATATAAAAAATTAGCTGATTCATTTCGATTCGACCATCATAATGCATCTGTACAGATTGTACAGTAACAGTTGAAATTCAAAACTGATTTTATTTTATATCAATACATTGTAAGCCACTCAAAATAGTGTCATATAAATACTAACTGATATATTTTGATTTGACCTCAACCTCAATAATGAATTTTTTACAGCAACAGTTGAAATTCAAATCTGATTTTTTTATACCCCTACATTGTAAACCAACTTAAAATCAAAGAATGACATTCTCCGATATGAGAACACTTCGATCAATTTTCAACAAAAAAAAGTCAATTTTATGAAGATTTTCATTTTTTCATTTATTCAATTTCAGACATCTTCCTTCCAAAAGTGGATTCAGTACTAATTTTTCAACAGCAAGTTTAAGTAGTTTCTTTAATCCAAGTTCTACTGGGCTTGACAATATGGATGATGAGGAATCATCTGTTAGTTATAGTACTGCAACACAAGAACCGAAAATACCATTATTGGATGGAGACAGCTTTTCCGAGGCCGAGGTATAGATTAATTTGTATAATGATCAGGGCTGTGTTGTTTCAGTATGATTATAGAGTTGGGCATGTTGTTTGGTAATATGGAGGCTGGAGTCGTATTTTCAAACTCCCCGAAGCCTCAAGAGTTTTTCAATCATGTTTGTAATCGAAGTCGTGGTGTGTGAATTTTTTCCAGCTATGTATCCCTGATAGTGATATTAAAATAGAATTATTATCTCAACTCTGGGAGTAGAAAGCTGATAAGATAACCTAATCATATGGTGAATCACTGCCTTTTATCGGCTTATCAAACTATGATTGGTATCGAAGTAGTCAACTGTTCGATAATCCTAACGGTGGATGAATTCATAACTGATTACAAGCAATTAATTACTTGTATAGTTATTCTGTAGCAACGAAAAGTCCCAACAATCCTTTTGCGCATAATCATTCCATATGGAAATCCATTTTACGATAGTCAGCAGTGCGATGTATGGTATGCATGCTTCCAAAATTCAACAAAATGAAAAATTTACTGAATTCGACTAAACTACTTTTAGAATTCATTTTGCTCCGTTTCAAGTGTACTACGCTCATAGCTTGATTTGTTTATTTATTCTTTATTTAAAATTGTTTCAGAGAGGAAGATCAGGAAGTGTTGTTCGACCACCGCATTCAAGTCAATCAGCAAAGGATTTGAAAATTATGAAAAAAATTCCACAGGATGCTGAAGCCACTGCTGTACTAGTTGGTAAGTTCAAGATATCCTAAGGGATCTCCAAACAATATCTATGACAATTCACTGTATCTTGTACATTTTGGTAGAACTGGAGCTAAGCTTGACCATATTGGCTGGGGTCGGAGTTGCCAGAAATTTTAGTGGCTCACGCTTCTAACCATCTCATTATTTTCCATCATGTACAATTCTGGAGTCCAGCTCTGACTTAAAATATGAAGCTCTGGAACCGAAGCTGAGGCCACAGTTTGAAAATGATATAACACTGGAGCCAGAGACTCCTTGATTTCGAACCAGCTTCCCAGTCCTGTCTTGTACTGTTACCAGTTCATATCGGTTTTGGAAGAAGCTAGTCTTTGGTTCCAGATGCATAGACTTTAAGGGCGAAAACTATTATTAAGTAGCAGTGACATTATCCATGAGAAATCACATCTCCTTTTCCTATTACCAGTTAATATCTGAGCTTGGAAAAATCTAACCAATCAATGGTATCAGATGCCTGGTTATGGTGAAGGAAATCATTGGAGACCTGTGGTTACATCAATTTTTTTGTGCTTTCTTTTCCATGAGGCAACAGCTGTTTTGGCTAAGAAACCCTGGCGTAGCACAATGCCCTAACCTTTGATAAATTCCCATAATTTTTTTCTTTTTGAGAGGTAGTCTGCATTAAAACGGACTTAGAAAAGTCGCTTTTTTAGAAATAGGAACACCTTTGTGTTAAATAGCCTCCAAAAGTGCTCATACCGAAACTTATTTTCACAATATTTATCTTTTTCATTGGTAATTATGAAAACTAATCCACAATTTTTATATATTCAGGTTCTCTGAAAGACCTCGAACAACCGACAATGGCATTTGTAAGATTGGCTGCTGGAGTGGATTTAGAAAACGTTGTTGCATTGCCGATTCCAATCAGATTTTTATTCATACTTCTTGGACCAATCACTGAAGATTTTGATTATCATGAAATTGGTCGATCAATCTCTACCTTGATGGCAGACGAGGTAGGGTATAGGATTCGTGTGAAATTCCCATAGTTTTTTAATAATGTTTCCCAAATAGGTTAGAGTATAAAAATTTTCTTGGAATTGTTATCCAAGACTTACCTCATTTTCTTTTTGTGAATAAGATAGTTCAAAATTTTTTGTATTTCATCTGTTTGTTCATTTGATCAAGTATATCGTATTCTATGGATCATAAGGCACACTTTGAATCCCTTTTTTTCCAAAAATTGATCGTGCAAGCCGGTGCACCTAATGTATGAATCAGGTTGTGCTTTATGCTTTTTTGCCTACTCTCAAACCAATACCAGTATTGCCTTAAAACATATTGCACTTTGTAGCCAGATGCACCTTACGTATGAATATAAACACAACTCAAGTATTTATTGACAGTGCACCTTATAATACGATGCACTTTGTATTCCATAAAATGTGGTACTTTATCTTCGTAATACCACAGTTGTTCCCTAAACTATAAAAGAATTTATAATAATAAGAGTATACGACTATGAGTTGATCTTATATATGAGTTGAGTGTGTCATATAAAACCAACACATTCCCCAAAAAATGAATGATTTCAATAATGAAATTTGTTTAACAAAAATATGACTGGCTTTGCCAAACACCTGATATCGTTATAGTGCACATGAAGAAGCTCACATATGGCAATAATGATTAAAAATTCATATAATATAAAACTTTCCCTTGTTTTAATTTGAAGCTAATGAAACAAATTTTTTCTAATGCGTCGTGTGTTTGTAAAGTTTGAGAACATTTGGATTAACATGTTACATTGCATTTGGCAGTTTATTTTTTCAATTTGGTGTCTCCTTATATTAGTCCTATGAACACTTACTGAATTTTCTATGTTGCTTCAAGGAATTTCATGTTGTTGCTTATCAAGCTGAAACACGAGGTGATTTGTTGCGAGCCATCAATGAATTTCTTGATGATTCAATCGTGTTACCACCAGGACAACTTGAGAATCCAGAACTGTTAAAAAATATCGATCGATATCAAAAACATTTAGCTCAAAGAAATAAAAGGAAACAATTGAAAGCTATTGCTGAGAAGAAAGGTATATTTATACTTGTTATATTATTACATCTTTATTAATACATAAGAGAGATTTGATTCGACAGGCTGTCACTTGACTAATCAACAGTTGCATCATTAAGACCAGTTCGCTAACCACAAGCAGTTATTCCCTGACAAAGATTTTACAATTTTACTGAAAAAATGTTAGAATGGGATTATAGTCTAAAAGCTGAAAGTTTCTTCAATCTTTAAACATCTTGGCTCAATTCCGCCAAACTGTATTCAAAAAACATTTTTTGTAATTGCACATAAAACCTCATTAATTTTATTTCTGATCACAGAACCTGAAAAACCACCTGAGGACCCACTGAAAAGAACGAAGAAATGCTTCGGAGGACTTGTTCGTGATGTCAAACGTAGATACCCAAAATATTGGTCTGATATCCGTGATGCCTTCAATGCCCAATGTCTCGCCTCTTTCATTTTCATATATTTTGCTGCTCTGTCTCCTGCTATTACATTCGGTGGTCTTCTAGGTATGTAAAGTTTGATTCAAAAACAGAGATAGATCAAAGGAATGAGTATGCCCAAACTGGTGAAGCTGTTAGTTATGCCTTGTGAATGTGCTTTGTCTTTGCACCATTGATTACCATTGTTGACTAAAAGTTGTAAACACAAATCAAGTCACATGTCACCCGAGTCCAAAGTCTAGTCAAATACTGAGTTAAGTCTCACCATGGTTATTTGAGTATGAATCCGAGTACATTTAAATGACCCGAGCCACTTTTAGTCTTTGATAAATGGAGACTCGAGTCCATCTCTAGTTGAGTAAATGAATCCAGCCCCCACCTCTCCTTCCTTCAACACTACTGATTTCCTACATAGATTTACAGGTTTGAAGGTTTGAATTATACCACTATCGGAGATGATTATACATTACAGGATTCCCCTTGTGATTGCAGGGTGTTTATTGTCATCTCTGGTTAGATTTAGCTTTCTCCGCGATCCCATCGATCCATATGGAGTAATTAACTAAATAGTTCTGACCTGACCTCAACTGGTACCTTTTGTTATTATCGACTTTTTTCTCTCATTCAAAAAGTTCCCTTTCTAATGATTGAAGCTTAATATTACAATTTAACCTTATAACACTTTTATTCCTTTGTAAAGAATGCTAAAGCAATTTATCTGTTTTGTTTTTAATTTCTGTTAATTTATTGTTAATTTTATTCAGGTGAAAAAACTGGTAACCTGATTGGAGTTTCAGAAATGGTTCTTGGATGTTGTGCTTGCGGATGTATAATGGCGTTATTCTCTGGACAACCTATGTTAATTGTTGGTGCTACTGGTCCTCTCTTAGTGTTCGAAGAAGCTGTTTATGGCGTAAGCGACTCGTGACATTTTTTATCTGTTTGGCATTGGTTGGAATTACAAGATTTTGAAATGCTGTTGTTAGATATAAAGCAAACCTGAAGATGGTCTTGGTAAACTCTTGAGGGGGGCTGGGGGTGGATGAGGGTAAAGTGGCAATTTGACCTATTATTTTTTTACAGAACACCTATTTTCAATATTTATTCCTGTGAACCAGCTCAGGGTAATTGGAGGTGCAATAACATGTGTATTCCAAACTCTTGGCATTTTGCATCGATTGTTGGGTCCATTTTATCCCATATTTTGCTGGTTTTGAGGTTCTGACATGACTTTTTCTACTTTAGTTTTGTGTTGGAAACGGTCTTCCTGTTCTTGCTACGAGATTTTGGATCGGATGCTGGATTTGTATTATTGCAATTGTTACTGTTGCATTCGAAGGATCCTTCTTGATTCGGTTCGTCAGCAGGTTTACTCAGGAAATATTTGCCGTTCTCATTTCTTTGATTTTCATCTATGAAACTTTCAACAAGCTATTTAAAGTGAGTACAAACCTAGTTTTCAATACAGTGCATTTCGTTTAGAAAATATTTATTCTTTTTAATATGGATTTGAAATTGGAATAAATATTGCCGTTTAGAGCAGTGGTTCCCAAACTTTTTTGACAATCGCTCCCCTATAGTAGTTTATACAACTTCATCGCCCCCCCGGCAATACAAAAAAATGTAAAGTCAGAAACGAATATATTACAAACCAAATAAGAAGACAAATCATAGTTTATAGTGTTTTTTAATGAAATAGATGAGATTGGTGTTCTTTAGCTTCTTTTTTATTGTGTCTAAAATTACCCCGTTTACTGGTGGAAAGGCTATTTTGTTGTTTTGATAGCAATAGTAGCACGGCTGAAAACCCCTTTGTCACCATATAATAGGTCGGAAATGAAAGAATCCAGGGTTCTACCTCCTCAAACACCGCCGTGTACTCTTGCCTTATAGTATTTCACTTCCTAAATTCACTTTATTTCACATTAAAATAATAAAAACAAGGTTAATTTTCCCAAACTTATAATAATGATTTTTGTACATCTCATTTATTCGTACAGCATGATGACATGCACCAAAATACTTTGGTAAAATTCATCCCCGATTCCTCATCCTACCACGGCCTCCAGTCCGATCACCAGTCCATAATTAATCAGCCATTTGTTTTTGGATTCATGGACTCGGATGTGGAAGAAGCCATGATCGACTATCGGCTACGGCCCAGGGGACGGCAAATTTTATGTCGCTCGCGGGACAAAATTCAGGGTTGCCATTTTTTTGCGGGTCGCATAAATTTTTTGAAATTAAAAACGGAACAGTGCGCGAAAACTGCGACAATTCGTGAACTCAACTCAGTCGTCTTATTAAAAAAATATTACAATGACATTTAATGTGGCGCTGTCTTGTTGCTGCATCACGCTGGATAGCTTTACGACGCCAAGATTGGAATATTTTCTAAATGGGAATCACTAATCCCAGTTCATTGCTTTAGGATATAATAAAATTTAGTCCAAACGAGACTCACGATAAATTCTGTTACGTAAAAAAATGTAATTTACTCCTCGAGCATAGATTATAAATAAAAAAATTTCATCGTCAAAACCGCCGTTTGAATGTTTACCCGGACATAGACTTCCTTGTTTACTTCGTAACATTGGCCAATCAGCAAGATGCAAAAAACGTGACAATGCCCCCTTTCACATCCGCTCAGACAGATTCTCAGGCGTGGTCGTGAACATTACCTCAATTTCGCGATTTTGAATTATGTTCGTTAGTTTTTAGTTGTTTTTCGGAAATTTAAATATAAATCAAATAAATCAATGATTACTTTGTCTTCTTATGAGTTTCAGTTAAATTACAGGAATCCAAAATTAGTGTAGAAATAGCTGTGATAGACTAGGCTAAAATTCTTTATCGGTACTTTTAAAAAACTGATTGTTGAATGGTGTGTATTAGAATGATAGTTTGAAACAAATACCTAATTTTACAGGCAACAACTCGCGAAACCACACTTAAAATAAACACCGAAAATTTTAAAATAGTAAAGTATGGGAAGAATTTTCCGCGATCAAAGGTCGGGGAAGGTCCATTCAGTGAATCGTCCCGGGCCAGATTATTTTACTCCGGCCGTATTTTGCCGACCACTGGGATACGCAACTACCGTACCTTACTGCGAAGACGAGTCCAGAAATCATTTCGCGTGTGATAATCGAACATAAAACAGGTTTCGCGAAATCGCCCACTTTGGGAATCACTGGTTTAGAGTATGAGTCAATATTTTTTTTGACTTTTTGAATTTGAAAAATAGAAATCTTGCAAACACAAGTTGTCAGTAAAAGCTTCATTATGTGTGACAAAAGTGGAAGCCTGATTCATATGTTAATAATAATCAAGACTGAAAAGTTGAACGGCTTAGGTGGTACTTTTCTTTAATGGATGGTTGTATGTAAATTTAATAATTAGTTTGTGCAGTGGTCTAGTGGTTTAAGCGTGTAATCTTTTATGGCATATCTGGTTATAATCTTGGGTTCAAATCCCATGCCTACCCCATCACCAAGGTTGTTCAAAATTGAGTATGGAATACCTACCGGTAAAACTGTAGTGACTGCTTGTGTAAGTGCGAAGCCTTGCTCGGAGCAAAATACATGTGAATACTTGTATAAAAATAATTCTCATCAGATTGCAATAAATTTTACCAGAAAATTTATTCTTATTAGATCTATGGTCAACATCCTCTAATGGCGTCTTATTGCAATCTAACTGTCAACAGTTGCAACAATTCTGTTGACAATATGAACACAACTGACTTGGATTTCAATTTAACAATGACTGCTGCTAACACATCAATGTGCAACAATGGAACTAGTATCTATGAAACAACCTTAGGTTTGTGATAAAGTTTTTATTACATGGTTTATTGAATAACCCTTGACTTCAGAAAAATTGGAAGTCTATGTTAAGGTAACATGCTTAAGCGCCATTATTAGACACAAAGTTTACATATGGATTCTTTTGTACATTATGATGTTCTTGTTAGTCTTTATTTTCTTCTTCTTATTGTGAAAAAATCATTTTACTCATTAACTACCGGAGTCGGACCAATTGCTTTGAAATTTGCAGTGGTTATGGACTGTATTTTTCGCTAGAAGGCTATTTCCTTTCATTATTTAGAAAATGATTGTGGTCCCTAGGAGATTGTTCTTTGGTGTGCGATGACGTCATAAAAATTAAACATTGCACACCCTGTCACGGTTTCGCGTTTGCATTAGTGGTCCCGCGTTTGCATTAGTGGTCAAGGACAGCAGTACCCGTATTCTAATGTGGCAGATCGCATATCTGTACTATGTTGTATTGGCCTTCGTGTCCATATATTCGAACATCGCTCTCTTGTTATTTCATTGTTTTTTTATACAGAACCTCAACCAAACACAGCATTATTATCTACTTTACTTATGTTCGGAACATACATTATTGCAATGCAGTTGCGTGAATTCAGGTCTGTAATTTGAGAATATAAAATCTTCTGTTTTACATATTAAAAAAATACTACTAATTCTGATTTCGCTTTTTTAATATATATCACAGGAATAGCAAATTCTTGCGAAGCTCCGTCCGGCGCACCATAGGTGACTTCGGTGTTCCCATTGCAATTTTTGTTATGGTTTTATTTGATTACTTGATTAAAGAAACTGAGACACAGGTAAATTTTACATAGACAATACTGAGTGATTATTGCCTCGTCATCTCGCTCAAATATAAATTCAGGCTTTAAATTTTACTACCGATTCTGGGTTGACCCTAGTTCCGAGAATATCGCATTTTGAAAAAAAAAACATTGTCGTGTTCAAACCTTCTTTAAGAGGCTGTTAAAGAACGCTTAGTAAACTTAGTGATTCGGTGGAATATCAGAAAATCCAACTTCGGCTCAGGGTAGTTAGAAAATACGACTCGAGCTCCACACTCCTGCCCTCCACCAATCTTGATCTGTTTTCTTCGATTGAAAGCATCTCACCTAACTCTGAACAGAATTGAAAAAAGTAGATCAGAAAAAAGTGCTGGTAGATAAAAAAACTAATAGTGAAGCAATATAATATTGAACGCAAATTCAAAGTAAAATTTACCCTCCCTAATGAATAAAAATTCTATCAGGGAGAGATTTCCCACGGTTAAAAAATCGCTGGAATTTTAGTCCTTTTCTGTCATATTTCAGAAACTATCACTGCCAGGTGGAATTTCGCCCACTGATACAACACAACGTGGATGGTTGGTGAATCCATTTGTTGATGAATATACTGGTCGGGTAATGCCAGTATGGATGATATTTGCTGCCAGTCTTCCTGCCTTCCTTGTTTTTATCCTTATTTTCATGGAATCTCATATCACAGAGTATGTTAATTATACTATTTTTCGTATGGTATTTTACAGACCATAAGGCACACTTGAAGGCTTGCCTCTTAAGCCAGTGCGCCTAATGTATGGACAAAACTCCAATCTAAGCAATTTATGCATATGCTTTATTGCCTACCATCAAAACCAGAACTGGTACTATTTTTTATAAACAACAGATCAAAGCAAACAGCAGGGGTATCAGAAAACATATCAAATTTTTAAATAAATTTTGGAATTATATTCCATAATAAATTCTAAACTTTCGTTAACTTGTGCGTAATCAGATGGTACTCGTTCTGTTATCGATGGATATCAAACTTATTGAATTATATAACAGATTAATCGTCAGCAAAAAAGAAAGGTGTTTAAAGAAAGGAACTGGTTTCCATCTAAATCTATTGGTTTTGGGAATGGTCAATTGTCTTGTATCAGCATTTGGAATGCCTTGGGTTTGTGCTGCTGCTGTGCGTTCCATCACTCACACAAATAGGTTAGTCTTTACTCATATTTGCCATTTCTGTTGAATCCTATCTTGAAAGAATTGTCGTGAACCGATGTACTATCATATTATGCTATGTATTGTTGAATATAGACTTTCTGAAACAGCAGCTAAAGTGTTACCAGGATAGGGTTAGGCCATAATTTTATTCAGATTTTCCTTATTTTAGTTCTATTAAGAGTTCGGGGATTGTTTTTGTTGGCCAAGTGGATAGTGAAGCCCATAGGCTTCAGTCCCTTTACACAACTTGATGTAAAGTAGGCGAACAAAATTAGTCACCTCCATATTGGTACACATACTTACAGAGCGCCCAATTGTGTCAGCATGGCAGGTTGCACATTATTGGTTCAAATCCCATGCCCGCCTCTTCAACCGGGTGTAATAAATTTGGTAGCGATGCCGAGGATTCTAGTTCCTCCAAAAATAGTATCTTTCTATATTTATATGACATCAGTAGACGCTTATTCGGGGCCTTGGTTGGACAAAATGTGTGAATTATGCGCTGTATAAAAAAAATAAAATTGATCGAGTTTGATAAAATTTTCATTATATTCGGTTTTACTGATGTAATCATAGTAAATTATGAATGTGATTTTTTTTTTTCAGTTTAACGGTGATGAGTCAAACACAAGCTCCTGGTGAAAAACCAAAAATCGAAGCAACTTTGGAACAGAGAGTTACTTGCTTTCTTGTTAATGCAGCTCTAGGTATCTTTCGTATTTTCTTTTTTATATTTTACTCAATGTGTAATCAAGTGTTGTTTCAACCTAGGACATTTAATAACATACTTTTCTTGTCAAATTTTCAAAAAATGGATCTAAAATTATTCTATTTCAAAGCAAAGATTTCCTCATTTTGTTGTTTACAAACAAGGGGTGCGTGAAAATTTTCAATTTGAACAATAAAAGGTTGATTTTAGAAAATAAACATATTTGGAGATATTTCTTTAAAATTCCAATGAGATATGAAATACAAGAAAGACTCATTATCTGTGTATTAGCATGCTCACAACATCGATTCTCGCTGCTAAATGACTATCAATTTGTTTTTAAACAGGTTTATCCATACTGATGGCACCAATTTTGAAGGAGATTCCTATTGCTGTATTGTTCGGAATATTTTTATACATGGGTGTGACGTCACTCACAGGTGTTCAATTTGTTGACAGAATGGAATTATTATTTATGCCATCGAAACATTATCCAGATTGCGGATATGTAAATGCGGTGAGTCTTTTGCGTTGTTTCTTGTTCTCTATGTTGTTAAGTGATTATTAGAACAAGCAAAATTTCCCCTTTGTGTCAGAAGGGATAACTCATAATATCTCTTGTGAAGGGTTTACTATATTTATAGCTTATCTGATATTTTCAACGAATTGTTTTATATGTAATTTGGAAAAAAAATAATTCTCGAAACTTTACAATATTAATAGAACTGTAGCTAATCAAATGACTGAATATGCCATGGTTTATGAAGTTAAGCATTTATTAGGATTTTGATGTGTGTGAATTTAAATGTATAGTACAGTGGTTCCCACCCTTTTTTGTTTAATTCTTTTTTTTGGGTCTATTTTGAATCTCTTATGGGTATAGTAATATTAAATAGATAAAGAATATTAATGATACTACAGCGAATACAAAGCAAAATTTTTCTCCCAAAACGGCAGAATTTGAAACATTGTTATAGTAGAAAATGATGTCTTCAACGTCAATTGATTGAAATATTTTTGAAAGTGGTTGTGATGAAAAATGACATTGATTCAGTCATACCGATTTCCGAATAATCAGCTTGGATGTTGACATTTCCTTTACAGGTACGCCCGTTTCGTATTCACATATTTACAATCATTGAAATTGTTTGTCTGGCTATATTATGGGTCGTAAAATCCACTTCAGCATCGATTGCATTCCCGTTCTTTTTGCTGCTTACCGTTCCATTGCGTCGATTTCTGCTACCGAAGATATTTACAGATAAAGAGCTGCAAGAGGTAATATTTCAAATTGGAAATCATTTACAACGTTTCTCCTCCGGTCTCAGGAACTTAAGTTCCGCTGTCGCAATAGTTGCAGCAATTTGAAAGACAAATACACAAAGTAGTTATTGTAAATAGTTTTTTTTTGTCTTGTCAATCTATATTTTTTGCTAAAAAATAGCTACCTAAAATCGGGAAATATTCTTGGTTGTCAGTCATCAATCTACCTTCCACTTATTGCTTCAAGGGTTAACTATCATAGTCTTGTCAATTTAATCATTTGCCCCTTTCGTATACTCTGATATACCTTTAAAATTTTTGACTCTCGAAAATAAATAAATTTTTATTAAAACAAATTATTACTACGTTTTTACCTACTCTATATCGTACTTTTTATCATACACGAGGTTTGAACTATTTTTGCTATCTTGTTGAGAAGGTGTAGATATTAGTAAAATATGTGTAATATATTGCCCAACCTTCTTTCTTCACCATACATACGATTGTAAATATTTACCAAGTATAAGTCATATTTTGGAAGGTGTTTTATTAATTCCGGACAAATAAGCTATTTTTATAATCTAAACTCAAAAAATTCATCCATTTTCCAAATTCCCTTGAAAATTTTGAAATTGGAAACTAATTTAAGCCCATTGAATTGATAGTTTCAAATTGAGATTGTATTGGAAAAAGACTGAATATTGTGTTCAGGTAAAATACTTTAACCAATTTAACTTGGAATGCACCTTGACTCGTACAAAATTTCTATGTTTCTTTTATTGCATACATCATAAAGTCTCCCACATCATGCACTACTACATACAGTTGCAACATCCAACTTCTCATATCTTGAAAGCTTCTTATTCACTTTGTTTTGGTGATATGATTTATTAGAGGCTACAGAATAAAAAGCCCAAAATCCCTATTAAAATATATTTATTTCGAGGCTTGATGTTCTGTCGCAACTAAACATCATGTACTTCCAAGTATGGGCTAATAAATAATATGTTGGTCCATCTATTCCGCATGCAAACAATAAAAAAATTCCAAGCTTGTTGCATCTCATTTTTGCTTTAAATTTTTTCACCTTTATACCCAAATTGCTTGTCTGCAGGACACTGAGCACTCAGCTCCGGTGGTTCTCTAATATTGCTATATTACTGGACATTCTGATCACTTCTAGTTAAGGTATCGATCAGGTTTAGTAAGCAATATGATGTAAAATAAAGGCAATTAACATATTTCACTGTATTTTTTGAAATTATTGATGAAATGTGAACTGGGTATAATCTCACTAAACTGTCTTAAAAAATTAGTGTTTCCCACAATTAATTAATTCACAAGCAATTGGTACTTGGTTTTGGAGCATATTGGTAATTTCTAAAACTAACCAGACGCAAAGGTGATTCCCAAATCACCCTAAATTTGACTCTGGCTGATTAACATTACATGCTGAACACTTATAGTAGATTTCATCGACATAATACAAATGTAATATTTGAAATCGTCAAGATGTTAAAACCATACCAGTTGGATTTGGTTCTGTTTTTTTTTTTGGTAGTTTAAAAACGTAACACTGAACAATACCAATGCATTGACAATGACAACTAGTTTTGAATTTAAAACTGTTTTTTCTAGTTACTGTAGATCGTTCCTCTCTTTGATTGAAATCAAACTATATTACGCAATAGTAATATGGTTTGTGTCTGCACTATCATTGTTCTTTGTGATGTAGATGGATACTAACAAGTCATATTATTCATATTTCACTTTATTGACTATGCGGTTACAACTAGGGCGAATTGACGATTGAAATTTAGAATTTGAAAATGATATCGGAACCAAACATCATGGTATACTACTCTCAACTTGTACAAGTGCTATGCTTTTTGGAGTTTGGTAATAAAAACTAGTTCTTAACTATAAAAAGCATGTGAGTGTGTTTGAGTAGATTTGCCCAAGTTTTGTAGGTTGTGGTAGTGATATGTTTTTGCATACCGGTACTCATTAGTCATTGCCATTTTTTTTGAACACTGATAGTATAATAATCATCATTGTCTTTACAAGTCTTAAGTACCAGTTAAAATTCATGGTCCAAAATCTCCTAACCTTATATGTTTGGGTGATGCTTGTGGTGACTTAACATTATTAATTAACAAAATAAATGTAAGACCAAAACAAGCACGATGTACTTCCGATTTTTACAGCTAGACAGTGATGGATCGAGTCCAGATAACAAAGACGATTTCGAAGACAACGATTCATCTTAAAAAAACGTTCACATACCCTATGTGCCGCTTATATCTCTATTTACCTATTTTATCCTATCCTATTACTGTTTTTACCAATTTGGAACCAACTGCATGGGGTATGGTACATCCATATCCCATGCTTGGTCTTAATTCCTGTTCCATTTATCTCACATCCGCATCTGAGTGTACCAACTCATCAATACCGACCTAATTAACATGAATCATGGTGTCTGCTTTCTCATACAATGTGCATGATTGCCTACCCTCACTATTTCATTCAAACTAACCAATCTAGTTGCAAGTCATTCTTCTTGTAGATTCGTATATGATATAAACATCGTAATATAAGACTCTTTCTTCTGGTAGATCCGTATATGATATAAACATCGTAATATAACCATATTATACCTTTTTGGACTCTTTCTTCTGGTAGATTCGTATATGATATAAACATCGTAATTTAACCATTTAAAGTTTTATACCTTTTTGGACTATAATTTTGATAGGCCTGCAAGACCATTTAAATCATATTCATATAAAAACATTTACAATTTTTCCACCCGCCAAAATAGCAAGTCATACAGCTAATCACTATTTGGTCATCATTTTTAATATCGTACATTTTGGCTTAAAACAAACAAACTCATCTAGAATGAAAGAAATTTCAGATCTCTCACAAATCGATTTGCCATTTTTTTTATATAATTTTATTGCTGGTTTTGCATGTTGCATGTGCTTGAATGTAGCACTCGTTCCAGTAATATAGTTTCATTTTCATCTAAAATTCTTTCCTAAACCCCACCCACTGTTTCTTTTTTTTTGTATTTGATTTACGTTCCATGTTGCTTGAATAATATGCTAATTAACAGATAGCAAATGTTGCCCATTTTAACCATTATCTGCGAAATATGTACCGATATATTTAAATTTACTTTCCTGGTGAATATTTTCATATTGCATCTATCATACATCTTCAACACACCTAGTTTGTTGCTCAGCGAATGTTAAGATGCCATTTTTAGCTTTAATTGTCAGCTGAATCTGTTCGTGCTTGGATATGTATCAGTATATATTGCAGCCTTAAAGTGAGACTGAAATTGGCTTTAGAGCATGTCAGCATAGCCAATACAATGGCTTTTACCATTTTTAATTCAACCTATTGAATATGCTTCAGTGCCCAAAACGAACTCGATAGCAATAAGAATATTTCCATTTTTATGGTGAAACTAGAGGAACTCATTTAAACCTGATAATGGTGAGGAATGTTAAACCAAACAATTTGATATCATGTAAAAATACAATGATGTGTTTCTCGTTAAATATTTATAATATGTGTGTTGTTCCATATTCATAAATATTCTTCAAAATGTGTTTGGAATAGTAAAGGCCCTTCCTGATTTCCCTGTGTAAGCTCCTACTTAGTTGCCATGGTAATAATTTTTGAATTGAATTTAGAGGTCTCATTGGCCATTCAATTATTACAAAAAATGTCACATTTCATCTAACTGCCTGGTACACATTACATCCACATATTTGCTATTCAGTAAATGTATTGAACTAACCATAATTCGTTTTTATTTGACTCACATGTACAGCTTGATGGATAACACAGTGTGTGAAGTTTTCATCAAAGCTCAAGACAGCTTGTGCGACGTACCCACCGCAGAAAAGACAAAATACTTTGGAAAGTATTAATTGTGCTTTGGCTTGCGGTGCGTTGGTTGCATTTGCTGTGAATTTCTTCTCTCTATGCTTAGAACTGATAATGTGTGTTGTGTATCATAGAACTGCTATTTGACAATCGTTTTCTCACAATTTGTGCAAATTTTATTGTTATATATAATTATCAAGGCTTGTGGCTAACTATGTAAATGTGTGACACTACTTCAATATGCTTTTGGCCATGCACTAGTTTGAACATTTTCCAATAACATAAGAGCTGGTGACATCCGTAACCATCTCACCACTATTATATTGTATGAAAAGCATGCAATTTTTGCTGAAGTGGATCTTCAAGAATTTACAAACATTTTCTCAATTTGTCACTGGAGACTTTCTGAACTTTTACTGCTTAATTTCACTGTATTGCATAAATAGTTGGACCAGCAAACCAGCAAATACTAACTAGTATAAGAATTTTTTTTGCATTCATTGGTGTATTTATCAGTTATTTGTCATGCAAATAAATTTTCTTACTTTTAATGAACCGAGTGCTATATACCGAGCATTTTATTCAATAGATTCTATGTTTTAGTAGTATTTTTAAACTGGTGTTGACTAATTTTTTTAGTAGAAATAAAGGAATTTTGAGCAGCTTCACCACCAATAATTATTTGTTTAAAAGATAAAAACCATGTGATTTGCTTTTAATTAAAGGTGAATAAAATATAAAATGGAACAAATAAGATTGTGACGATTAATGGGTGCAGTGGATCACAGGATTATATAAAAAGAAATAAAAACTGCAAGATTTGGCGCAGGAAAGATATTCAGCATGGCAACGGGGGTTAGTTTCGTAAACTGTAAATGTGGGACTGTCATAATGTTTTGCTCAGGATATACCGTTTCGTTTTATGGAAACAAGAGGAACTTTTTTGGTGACCATCAAGCACAAATACAAACTATACTGATTTTCTGCTGGGAGAAAACGCTGATATCTCCAGAGTGGAAACACCATTCAATACTAATTCAGATAAACATTTTCCAGTTGCAGGAGCATTCAATATCCCCCAACAACCATGGCCAGCGGCAACATAAACTCCATCAAAATCCGGCACTTTGCCGATGATAGGTAAACCATCTTGTGTTAGTGGGAGATAACAGGCCTGCTCAACAGTGACATCACCATCTCGCAGTGAACTGGACATTTTATCAGCTATCGTCTTCAGTTTTTCACATGCACCGTCAGAAGGGTTAACTGATCCAGGGTTGTTAAGTTTTTCAGAGGGCTTTGGTTTCTCTGCTATACCACATACATATGCTTCACCATCTGGTCTAGGATACACGTCATGCGAGTCATCCCCAGAAGTAGCCATTATGCAATCAGTTGACAGTAGTGCATTGGGATGAACAGTGATTGAATGTGCTTTTTGTCCATAAAAAGAAGTAATTGTGGGGAACCACTTGCTGGCAAGACCGGTCCATGGTCCCATAGCAATTATAACAACATCAGCAGATAGCTGTTTGTTATTGTTCATTGTAATGATTTTAGGTTTCTCTTTTGAATATGCAATATTAGTGACTTCGTTTTTAGTAAGAAAAATGACTCCCATATTTGAACATGCTTTGCGGAGAGTTTGGCAAAATTGATACGGATGTACTTGTGCACATGTTTCTAAGTTCCCAATTTGCATGGAAGGGTTTTTCACTAAGTCTAGCCAGGAAGGTAGTTTATTGTGACTCGTCTTGCTATTGGAAACATTTTCATCCAAAGTTAAAGTATGACAATTTGTTCTACGATATCCGTATTCCATTTCTCCATTCAATTCATCTGCCAAATCAGCATGAAGGTCGAAGCTAAACTCAGAAAATTTGTCTAGTGGTGAACCTTGGTTCCAGTCTCGTGCAAGAAATCCACCAGCTTTTCCAGATGCAGCATTTGCAATCATATCCTTTTCAATCACAATGGAAAAAACACCCCGTTTTGCCAAAAAATATGCAGTACTTATACCCATTATCCCGGCTCCACATATAATAACATCAATATGTTTCCCATCATCAGCCATTGCATAGCTGATTTAGTTGAAACTGAATTCAATAGGTTTATATGATTTATTCAGGTAATGCTGCAATCAGACAGAAAGTGAGGAAATTTTGTAGATATAGGAATTTCATACTTCACCAAACAGCCAATTGAAGAAGCAAATATGCAACATCTTGAATCAAAGCCATACTGCCATAAGTGTAATTTTCACATTAAAATTCGGGCAGGTTTATTCACTTTTGCACCTATAAAACTGCAAAATAAGAACTAGGCTACCCAACACTGCAATATCCCCAATTCAAGTTGCTTATTTTGCAATAAAATTGGCTAGGTATCATTTACTAACTTTTTGAAGCAAACGAGTCTGTCCTGAGCCTAATTTCCTATAAAACAATCTATATGAAACTCTTAATTACCCCCATCAATCTTCCTAAAATATTCAACGATAATTCTGTGATTGATCAATTTTTGTCATGCTCTCATTGAACAAATGTTCGGACTTTTTTTGCATGACTTTCGGGACTGATCAGTCTGTTTTTTACCCAACAACGGCTAAGCATATAAGTAACCCTGCGGTCTGTGGTCGCTTTTCGCAAAAAAACTTTCTAACTAGTTGCTAACGAGAAAAGAAAGGATTGTTTACCAGTACGTGTTATTGCCGTTGCCGCACCAGACACTACGTTAGCAGAAGCACGTCTCATTATTCTATCGGGAACATCACTCTACGTAATGAGGCGCTGCATTTCTGAAGTTGTCAACAAGGTATATCAAACATAAATTGTCTTTGTATCCAGCGACTGGTCTGTTTTATTTTCGTCCATGTGACTAAACTTAACATATACATAATAACCTTGGGTGGGAATTGGTATTTTACTTTGCAAAATAAGTGTTTATTCTACGCCCATTCACTTTTTCACGGGCGTGATTTGCCTTTCTTACGTTGTTTAACTGTGTTTTTAAATTTCTTTGGTTTTCGGAAAATAAACCCGGATATTTAATCATCAATTTTAGTGTATATTATGGAGATTTCAAAATAAATTAGCGGTCTTTTTATTATATCAATGGAACCACAGAGAATGATAATAATGAAACCACGAAATTGTTTAATGACATCCAACATCGTTGTGTCGAAAGACACTGGGCGCTGTTATATTAAAAACATATACGTCTATTTTATATTGTATGCTATACTTGTCCACTTGTCCAGGTAGTATATCTTTATACGTAAAATTGGAGAATCCGGACTGGGCATCAACATGTTAAACAGTGGGTGGAGCAGAGAGGAGTTTTCGTCCAATGTTTGTTGCGCTTAGTTAACGCGGGTATCGAGATATCGCTGTGGTTGTCTGGCTTTGTTGAGTCGTGGGATACCCGTGGGGTGGATGTACTAAAATGGACAATACGCCGACTTCAGCTAACAGGAATGACGAAGTCATTGAGGTAGACGGCGTTGCTACGAGACCGTTAGCTGCACGACAACCAATCACTCCCAAGAGAGATCATGCGGGTCATCCATCCAGGAAACCAAATGGTTGGTGAGATAAAATTATTCCATTAGGCCATGTGGGCGTGCTAGCATCATTTGCACATTATACCTATTTGATCGGCACATACTTACTATATATTTAAGCTGGTTCTACATCTTCTGAGAGAAAATCTCCAGGATGCTGCGATAGATTCATGGGAGGACTTGTTGACTTGGTGTTGACAAAAGATGAGGATAAGCTTGCATATTTGAAGAACTATAACTGCATGCCTCCACCAATCTTTATATTACTTGTCTCTATCATTGAGGTTTGTAGAGTTTAGTCATGAAATGATATTATAACATTGAAAAAATTTTGTTTAGAGAGCGAGCAAAAAAGTAAAAATGTTTTTTCGCACACTTTCATTTATGAATTTGATTTTAAATTACATGGTTGACCCCTCACCTTATGAAGTATCATATATTCTGCCTGTATTTTTTCAAATTTTTCATAATAAAGTGAAACTTTACATTCAAGGATCTTCTTCGTTTTAATTGAAATAAATTTTAAATTATAAATAGTTATTATTAAATGAGATGGCTTATAAAAATTATTTTTTTTAGTTGGCAATCTTCATCTACTATAGTGTGATAGCAGAGACGAAGCAATGGATGACATTAAACGATGCTTTGCTTTCTAGTGTATTGATTTATGATCCATATAAAAGAGAACAGGCTTGGAGATTCATTTCATATCTGCTTCTCCACGCTGGGTAATTTTCAAGCTAGAATTCGAAAGGACTAAACTATGTATCAATAAGGAAAGAAAGGGATTTTTCTGTTCTATCTGTAATTCTTTGACTTCTTTTTGGTATTTCATAAAATATAAAAAAAAATCCTTCCCCATTGCCAATATTTGTTTTTATAAGCACATCATTTTTAAAAATTATTCAATTCATAAAAGTTCTGAAATATCATAACATTTTTTTGCATAGAATGGAAATTTCTGTCTATCTTGTACTGTACATTTGAGCTTATGTTTGTAAATTTTATTTTTTCATTTCAGAATTGAACACATTATGGGCAATATACTATTACAGTTGGTTATTGGTATTCCATTAGAAATGGTTCACAAAGGTCTGAGAGTAGGAACAGTGTACATGTCGGGTGTTTTAGCAGGTTATATAGCATTGTATAAGAGTAATATTTATTATCATAGACTTTTCTATGTATCATTACCCCAGCGGTATCATTCGAAATGTGCTTTTTGGACCACTTTTTCTGTAATAGAAAACATTATTGATAAAATTCATTCTTTCATTTCTGAAGAGTGAACTTGAAATTTCATGTAATTATTCTCCAAAAATTTTCTTATCTAATTCCAATTACGGCTCATGAGGCTGAGACTTTTGGTAGTGCCTTCATTTGGTACAATAGGTTTGAAGTAGATGTAATATGCGTTTTTTAGTAATAATGGAAAATTAATACATTGTGGAATTAAATCTATCAAATATGAGTATTGGTATGTATTGTAGTCATTGGTGTGACGCCATTGTTAATCCCAATTTTCTATTGACATTGCGTGTCCCAATATTCGTTGTATTGACTTCCCATTGTGCTGGTGAAGAATATTGTATAACAGTTATAATTTCAAGCAAATTTCATATGTGTTTGCTTTTTTCAGGTTCACTTGCAAGCTCTATGTTTGATCCATTCATGTATCTGGTTGGTGCTTCAGGGGGAGTATATGCTCTCATAGGAGGGTATTTCTCTAATCTTGTCATGGTAGGTAACCTTGGGTAGTTGAATCAATCACTGTTTATCTTGTGGGTCATAAAAATTTAGGGAACTTAATTCTTATGATAATGATTTTGGTCTTTTGATATACTACACTGACATTTATGCATTTGTTCGTATTGTTGTTAACAAAAATATATATATTTTTCAAATATTTCTTTAAGCTTCCAAAGTTTATAATATGTTTGCAAATCAAGAGCAGTTAGCCTTTACAATATGTAAATGAATCCACAATTTACATTTTAATCAACTAGGGATGTCAACTAGAACTAACTGTTTTGTTGCTGTCCAGATGTAAATTTACCCTGACTTGTAACATTTAATTTTTTTAAATACGCAATTAAAGACTTATGGAATGTTTGTACTGTGTGTTTTAGAACTGGTCAAAAATGGCAATGAATGGTCTTCATCTTGTGATGGTTATTATTCTAGGTAAGGTAATTATATATCTTCGTGTATCAGTCTATCTATGAGAAAATATTGTTTGATGATGTTATAACTCTTATCATTGTACACAACTGTTGAAAAATTGTCTGTTCACATTTTGAAAAATCAGGATCAAGCATCAGGGGCGCAGCCAGGGGGGTGTTGCTGGTCGAAACCCCCCTTTTGGAATGTGTAAAAAATGACGCCTAGTAGGCGCAACTTGCCATGCACCAAATAAGCACGCAAAACTTTATGGTTCCGGTTGCCGTCAAGTAGAAGCGACGTGATTGTGGCCGAGTAAGGCTATTTATGGACCTTTCCCCGGCCTTTGACCCCCGTAAAATTCTTCCGGTACTTAACCATTGCAAAATTTTCGGTGCTTATTTTAAGAGTGGTTTTGCGAGTTGGCGCCTGTAAAATGGGGTATTTTTGTTTCAAACCATCAGTCTGATTCATAGCATTTAACAATCTGATTTTAAAAGTACTGGTAAAGAATTTTAGCTTAATCTATCGCAGCTATTTCTACACTAATTTTTGATTACTGCAATTAAACTCTTAAAAGAAGACAAAGTGTTCATTGAATTATTTGATAGATATTTATATATCCGAAACACAACCAAAAACTAACAAATAGATTTCGAAAACGCCAAAACGAGGTAATGTGTACGACAACGCCTGAAAATCTGTCTGAGCGGATGCGAAACTACGTCACTCTTTGCATCTTGCTGATTGGCCGAAGTAAACAAGGAAGTCGATGCTCGGGGAAACATCCATTCAGTCCGCAATTTCCATTGGAAGCCCTTTTTTCCTGGCGAATCCTGACATATTCAGTTTCGATTTCTAAAAACATTCTGTATCACACATAGCAATTTTTAGAACATCAGTTCTCTTAGAAACTCGTGTTTTGCGTCCTCCGGCCAGACTACCTGTTACAGTCAAACTTGGCATTTACAAATTTCGGCGCTCCGGAAGTATCTGTACCAAGATGACGCACAACCTGGACCCTAACCTGGTACACTTACTATGTTCAGGTTGTGCACCATTTGGAGCACCTAAATTTCAGAACCTCCCCATTGAAAAATCCTGGCTACGCCAAGCATTATTTTATTCTTGTTTATTTTTGCCAAAGATACAAATAACAACAAAATATGATGAAAAAAAGAAATATTGCTTTTGCATTCTCCTTTTCACAACTTCGTCCTTGTTTTCATGTAGCTTGCAAATGTACATTTACTTTCAGTGCTGGTTGATTTTGCATTTTCAATATATAGAAGATTTGTATATTATCCTGAAGGTGGCCAGCAAGTATCGTTTGTTGCTCATTTAGCAGGAGGATTGGCAGGTTAGTTTAGTACTGAATAAATGCACTTCAGTGCAGATTTTCTAATTCGAATTAATTGTATGTATGTATGTTTATTAGTCTCAAAAATAGTGTCTGCATAATAATTAAACGGTATAAGAGAGACGGGATACATGTTCAAGGCCTTACTGATCTAAGACACAGTTGTGTCTAATGTACCCGTAACAGGTATAACGGCGGTTTGGGGCTGCTGCGTTATAATAAGTCAACAGACATAAAATAGCGAAAATATACAAATAAAACTTCATTACACATCGCAACAACGATATGCACAATGGTCAATTCCATGTTCCAATGTGAAAGGATTGAAGTAGGGTTTAAGTTGCAATTGCATGTTTTACAATAACTGTTATGTAACAAGTAAATATTTGCTCAACTTGACAAAAACCATCGTTCAGTGAGACCATGACGCACCTAGATAAAATGTTATGAACTTATAAATTCGTAGAAGCAAATATATTTGAAACAATTAGTTAGATCCACTGTCTGAATCTTGACCCTCATTATTCAGAGTGAAAGAGTTTGGGATTTGCATTAATATCACACAAATTAGAAAAAAATGTCGAGGACTATTGATTTACTGTTCTATTAATATCGGTTCCCATTGAAAATTTCTATTCTGGCCAAACACTGTCTTGTAGGCCTATATTTTCATGTGTCATTAATATTTTATTTCACTTACAGGCATCACGATTGGTTATGTGGTCTTCAGCAATTTCAACAAAAAATTGTCAAAAGATCCAAAATTTTGGGTTTGCCTTCTTTCATACTTTGGGTGTTGCGCAGTTGCTGTATTTTGGAATTTGTTTTTATCACCTGTTGGAACTATTTGATTTGACTCTGCCAATTTGAGCAAATTTAAATAATTAAGAAATTTGCACATTAGGTACTTTGCTTTCGCTTAACTATTAGTTCACTTTATTTTTATTCCAAAGAAAGTCATTATGTCCAAAGCAGTAACTACCATAGTCATGCAACTGAAACACAAACAAGGTTTATTTGGTTTCCAATACCAGCACAGTCTCAGAGTCTCATATATTAGGTGAATTTAGTGATGTATGGGATTGCATATTTCAAATACCATTTACAGGGCCGTGTGCTGAGTTCTTAATATTTTAGGATTGGATTTCATAAATACAGGGTTGTCAAAAATAAACGGAACCCATAAATTTCCTAATTCGACGAAATTTAAGAAAACTTATTTTATACCTGAACTTCTGTTTTTGAGTATGATTGTACCAAAAATTTCAGTAGTCCATGTCATTTTACACAAAAGTTATGTTCTGTCTATAATATGTTTAAATTGACCTGGGTTCTGTTTTTTTATTATTGAGGTCACCTTGTACCAACTCAATTCAATATTATTTGGTATATTTAGTCAAATTGAATTATTTTCTATACAAAATTGCACTTATTTGATGATGACATATTCTCACATTTTCATCGTTCCATCAGAGTGAATTATCTCATGTCTCTTTTATATGTACACCCAAGTTTGGGATAATGAGCAAAAATTTTTGACTTTGTTTAGGTAACACATTGTCAACTGCTTGCTTTTTTACACATCTTGAAATGTCTTCAATTCATATTTTACTCTTGCAATTTGCGAACGCTGCACTGCATGTCTTTTTTTCTATCTCTTTTTTATTTACCTAGTAGAACTGTCCCGTTAACAACATTCATATATGCATTAATTTTACTATTCCATCAGGAATGCCATGTACTATGAAGAATAATACAAATCCTCGTTCGTTGTTATTGTGTTTTCTGATTGATTTTAAAGGTTTGTTTCCATTATTTCTTAAATCCGAATATGGCCGGTCCGTGATCTATGCGCAGAAGCAAACCTGGTGTAAAATTGTCTAAGACGTTGCGAAGATTACTGTCTCGTTTATGTAGCAGGACATCGTCTATATTCGACCGTTTTGTTGTGCATTCGGAGTTATCGGAACTCAGCAATCGAACAGTTGTATTAAGTCAGTGTTTCTTTTCTAATGTTTCAGAGCGAATCAGTTTTAAAAACGCCGAAATTTCTAGTCTAGGCATTTTTGAACTATCGTAAAATGGCTCGCCGGGAACGTCATTTCTAAATTCGAATCAAAGACTGAAGTTCGCAAAATGGCGTGGAATTGAAATTCCAAAGGAGAAAGTAAATGTACGTTAACTTAGACATCTATATATATCTGTCACTAGATAATAATCTGGAATCTACAGGACGCTACTCGGTGTATTTGTTTTTCAATCGTACCGGTATTCATTTTTTTGACCAAAGTAAGCATTTTGGGAGACTGAATACGGATATTTTGCACAAAAACACATCACCGCCAACGCTCAAAGTAAGAAAATTACTCATTATCCAGGGAGTGTTAGGAATGCATATTGCGCGAACAAGAATGTCATTCTAAACTGATTCAAACATTTCATTAGATTAGATTCATTGGATTAGTAACGCCTCTCAAAAGTAGACGAAAGATGCAGTTGAGATGTTGCACAAATGCTTATTGTGCTGTTTCAGCCTTTTTTATTTTACTTTATGGATGCACTCGCCTACAACTAACTATATTAATTTTACTGACTGCAATACTCTTAACATCAACTTAATTTTGCCTAATGCATTGTACTATTTCACTGCTTTCATTTATTCAAACACAAATATATCACAAACGGCACATTTTTCACATTGAAATTATATTGATTAAAATTCAATGGTCATCCTTGTACGTACGATACATAAGCGCCTGTGCAAAATTGGTATATATAGTTGAACTGAAATTAATAAAACAGTAATCTTATTTGTAAATAACTCAAACGCCAAATAAGTCCGAAGAGCTGCTCATGTACACGGGAAATAATTAGCTAGGCAAAATTGTTAACAATTCGTCTTCGCGATCTTTACTCCTGATACAGGATAATAGACTCGTATATCAAGTTATTTCATTTCGCTAGCGATAATTGTGTTCTTCAACTTTTATCTGTGTGGCGTCAAATATTTTCCCATCTTTATATTGAAACTGAAACCATACCTAAACACAGAAGGAATACTTTTACATTTTTGGTTTTAACGGATAGAATGGCTTTCAACCTACCGTTTTGTTTCGGGAAAAACAATTATATCCTGTGTTTTGTCTACATTAAATGATTATTACAATGCGACTATGGAAATAATTTTTTTTTGCATCACAAAGAAGAGTATAAAGCCTTCGGCGGTCCTGAAGTGTTATTGGGCCCATTTATGTTAAGTGATTTTAGCTTAGCATACGTCTTCATTAAATTCTTTTAAAACCCTCATTTCAAATTTCCTTATGTCGCTTACGGGGCAATTGTTGATGTTTATAGTGGATTTGTTTATCTACGTTTTGGCATTATTGTACCAAAATGTCGGCCAAATTAGTATAGTTTTCCTATCAAATAAATTTTTGCTAAATGGTATTTTTTCAAACTGCCCAATTTTTATCAAATGAAAACGATTTTATAAAATATAGAGCGCTTGACAGAGATTCTGTAAAGTTCCACGGGAAGGTGACAAATCTACTCATTAGTAATTCCCCCTACAGGTATATTAGAAAGTTCTGTAAATCTGCCAATTCCTGCCAGCGATATCAGCGTTGAATCAAATATATTTGGGCTTTGCCAATACTTCTGTATACCGAACTAATATGATATTTGTATTATAAATATAACCACAAACTAAAATAACTTACCTCATCTTGTTCTAAATAAAATCCAGATAATGTATAAATAGTATGCGCTCTTTTTATAGTCTTTCCAGCTCCGAATGCCTGTAAAAGTAGTAGGTATGTCTTAACAAGCTAACACACATAACATTATACATATTTCCGATTATATTGCGTCAAGCTGCTCGGTAGTCGGTACACCGCCGTATTTTGTATAAATATCATAATATGCTTAGGATGTTGAAGTACATATCAAAATTGTTTTAAAAATGGAAAAATTATTCCTAGAGTATAGGTTAACGCAAGTGCAGTCGTACTGTAATATTAACTTCTAATGTGCTCACCACTGGGAGCGCTAGAGTATTGCTAGCTCAGTTGAACAACGTTGTGCTACAGTTGGCAGTAATTTAGCATATCTTTCTTTACATAATTATGGTTTTAGTATTTTGTACTAGTTGATAATGCGGTAAAACTTCAATTCATTAGTTGTGATATGCTAGTATGTATGGTCACGTAAGAATGTTACCCTGAATTCCTCAACTGGAAAGGGAAAGTAAAGTGTTATTTGACTTTTTCTTCGCAATCCGGGAATCCAGACATGAGAAGATGCCAAATTCTGTGTGAGGTCAGTTGGGAATGAACGAATACCAACTGGAATAAACAGAAAGTATAATAAATAATTGAAACAATATTATTTTGATGTTTTGCAAATAATTTTAAATGCGAAAAACACAAATATAATCTATACTATTTAAAAAAAAGATTACCACCACCACGTAACAGGTAGCTAAATGGGGTCAAATAAGAATATCAGTTAATGACTACAGACCAAATACAATTTGCTACAAAATTAGGATAATGCTACAATGTTGTTCGAATTCTAATATCTCACCATCTGCTTCTTGTGAGATATCGCACGACCATTCTATTCCTTCAGCAGAAAACGATTTTCCAGGATAAAAACGAAGCAAAAAATTGAATTTTGGCTCGTTGTAAGCTTTGTATGGAGCTACGAGGACATATTTTCCAATTCGATTATCTGACAGATGAGGCACAATATCAAAATTTTCACCCTGAAATGATTGACATGATTTGTTGAAATCAAGATGAAACATGAAGTCATGCACTGACTTGTTTGGCAGACGCACGACAGTAATTGTGGATTGCAGCACTTTTTTTTTCGGAGGTAATGGAATTATTGCAACATTTAGTCGATATGCGCGTGTAACAAATATAAAAAATATATATATATACTGCGTTTTAACGGAATTTTAAATATTTTCTAGACATACCCACATTTGGTATTGTAATTTTGTAAAAACTATAAATTTAATGAGAATATTTGGAGCTATTGAAAATTTAAACAGGATCGAACTTTATCGAATATTATTAATAAAGTGAGGTGAAAAAATGAAAAAACGCTAAAAATTTATAATCGCTATAATTTCGCCATCAAAAGTCAAAATTCGTTCCTAATTCATGATACGCAGGAAATATATCGTAGCACCGTTGTTATCGCAATATAAACAACAATAGGACTAATGGATGAATATGGTGTCCTGATACTTACTACAAATAGTGGCACCGACAATGGCAGAAATATTGTACAAGTTCCAGTGTATAAATCTGGAAACTCAAAATATCCTCTCGCTCCCGCATAAGAGTGGCGTCCTGCCGGCCATTTGGTTGTGTACATTACTAAAAAAAATAGGCAGTAGGTAGTCATTGCGTGATAAAAAAAATCATTTGGAAGTATATACGTTAGTAACGATTTGAAAATTTTGGAATAGTACAGGGAAATGCAAAATCGTGAATTGAAGTCCAATTAAATTGATCTTAATTAAAACGTCAGGACTCGATTAAGAGAACGAGAGGATTTCTGTATTTTCCACGGGGAGGGTAATGCGCTTAAGGAAATTGCACGTGATCGACCACTTGGGGTGGACTTGCAGCGGGAGAGTGTTGAATTTATTATTATCCGCGGTTACGTGAAACTTTTGTACGCGTAGTCCATCAACCATTTCTTACTTGATTATCCCCGTGAGATTCAAATCTGCTAAATCATTCTATTCCCTATCGCCGTCGTGCCAACGGTGATCGTCATTCGACATAATTGACGTAAGTTTTGTCTAAATACGTCGACATCGGACTATATTAGTCGCAGTGGACAAACACGTAAAGTCGCGCCTTTTTCATTGTCGCGGGCAACAAAACTTTCTCTCGCTTCTCTTGATAAAAATGCAACGGCCATGTACAGAATGGTAAGAAGTTTCTGCCTCTGGAATTTTCATGCAGTTACGTTGGCAGCTGCTAATAATACTAGACGCATAGCCTCCGATTGCCTGCGACTGTTCTTGATCAAGTTCTCTCCGACAGGGAGACGTGGGGAAAATTACTGGAGTTTTCCGCATATTATGCAAATTTTTTACGGTCGAGTGAAACTCTAACAACGCAGGCACTAACCGAAATTATTAGTTACTAAAATTTTCGAGCTTAATACGATACACATTACTGATTTCGAACTTCAATTACATTTCGGATGGTCCTGACCTGAGCGTAGGTAGCACTTTTTCAATTGCCCATTATGAAATTACAATTAAGCGGAATCTGAATTGCTTGTTTGACCAATAATTAATTACCTATAGGTCAATCATATATGCATAAACAACATTATTACTACATTATTTGGCTAGTAATGCTTGAGTTTACAATGAGTACAAGTTACGTTTGTAAATTCAGGACGTGTTGGACGAAGGCCAAGTCAGTCACATTAAATTGCACAGTACTGATTATCGCCAACAACGACATTTGATTTTTGATATTGCCAATACTTGGTTATGTCGTATGTTCGCTCCCCATGTCCACGTCAAAAGATTGAAAATTTCATGAATTAAGTTACAAATGTATCACAGTGATTACATTTGACAAAAGTTTCTTCGTTTTGCCCTTTTGCGTTGTAAATATTGGCTGTAGTGAACAATTTAGCAAAGAGGTATCGATATATATCAGTGTAAGTATTGTATAATTTTTTCCATTTAGCGTGTGGGAAGTACCACCCAGTTAATATTAATTTTATGCAATGACGAAATCGAAGTTTTGCAATGTCGATGTGGGACGACGTCGCGAGATTTATTTGCTTGTTGTTGTTACATAGATAACATATTTAAGGTCTGGCTTATCGCTACTACAATCACATTCCGTGGTGGAAAATTTTAAACAATTTCTCGCCAACTCAGATTTGACATAGTCGGTTTATTACCATGCACGAATCGTGTATAAAATGCCCTCGATGTTTGAATGCAAAGTACCTGGCCACAATTTCGGGTAAATGTATTTTAATTATGCCAAGTCAATAATCATATAATATTCGTTTTATCCGTTGCGGTTACGTTTTGCGCCGGTCGCACACGTTGCGAAATGCACAAAATGTAGATCAAAAATTATAAATATTTTGAACTTGAATTTTTAAAATCTTCGTTGTTCGTCCTTGCAATTTCAACTTTCCGAAGATGATATCATCATATCAGACAATCAGTTATTCAACCCGTTAAAATTATCTCATAGTACTACAGAAGCAATTACAATACTACTTCATTTCTAGGTATATTATACCTTTGGAAGCAGCGGCATATGTTAAAAAGAATGCCCATAACAGCAACCTGTAACGCATTCTAAGTGGTCGAAAATATAGAAATCTGAATCATTGTTAAATCTTTTAATCCAATAAAACCACCTTAGCGTACTAAAAAGCTAACAAAATACTAATTTATGTGTACGTACCTTTAGAAGCAGAGGCAGACGTCAAAAAGAATGCTAAAAACAGCAACCTGGTGGACATTTTATGCAGTAAACAGTTTAGAAATCTGAAGCGTAGCTACATACAAATCATACAAAATGTTGCAAAGATCAACAAACTGAAAAATTTCTTAAACAAATTCCATATTGATCATGTGGTTAGGTATTTATGAAGATCTGTGTCAAAAACCAGGTTCAACATCCGATTATAACTGATTTTATCCTTTTCCTGAGACCCAGCTATGTCTAGCCAGAGGCGAGATAGTGAGAATTAAAACTGAAATTACCTAACGTTGCAATTATGAAAATATCTATCTCTACTTATGAATAAACAATTGCGACCACCGTAAACATTTAGTATTTTGTGAGTAGCCATGGAAACTGTATATTGGCTCTAGAAAGGAGTGTCGAGAATTCAGAAACGTTCATTTAAAATTTATTTTGTAGGTTCTCATTTTACACATACATTTTGTAAGATTGAATTCCATTTTCAATTTATTTTTTTTGACAGAATTGTTTATATTGGAATTACATTCTTGGCTATTCACTTTCTTGACTACCGCTCACCAACCTACTTTCTTTCTACTACGTTTAAAATTGTCTCCAGATCCTTAAATAAGATTTGTAATTCACAAAATTATTTTTACTTCTACAATTGTTCTTTTTATATTTTTCGATCTCTAGCCAAAACGACCTCTCCATTATAATGCTTTTTCACACAAAGTAGCGCTTAGTAGTAGTTTAGAAAAGAAACACTCGAACAATACTAGTCTTTCACAAAAAGTCTTATTATTTCTGACTGCTAAAGTACTTTTTGCTATTTTGAACGATACAGCTTGAAAATCCACAAAAATGTCATTTCGAAACTAAATGCAATTGCTTCTCGCACGAGGATTTCTATATTTAAACACTAAATTTTTGAGCGTCTATCAATTACACCTCCATCTACTTTGACATCTTCGTTGATTAAGGCATGTTGGTACGCTCTTAATTAGCCTACTATTTCCGGCTAAAACCCTGCTTAGCAATGAACTTTAATTTCAACTTGCGCGCACCACCTGATCGTTAAATACAAACTTGACTGGTTTGTTTAGGGAAGTAACAACTAAATCCAGCATTGAGGGCAAATTGCCGATAGTTAACCTAAACATAACGCCCATTGTTAAGATCTGTCCAACGTTAAACCCTCAGCAGTACGACTGCAGGTGCGAAGAAAATTAGAACGCGGATATATATGGGCCATGGATAAAGTGCGAATATTGAACGTGTATCATTCTCTGTACATACTTGATTGAAGTGTAAACAACTGTAAATTACTTTTTTTAGTTTCAGCTTGCCTGCAGTTACAACTTTTCCTGCTACTAAATTTTCTAGATAGATTGTTTTCCGATAAAAACGCGATTATATATTTCCGTTCTACGACGTCATTTTTGATAGCTGACGCCGACTTTAAATTGCTAGTGGCAATTCCTATTTGACACTTTTTTTAAATCAAATATTTTTCTTTTCCATCACGACTGGGAACGGATTACCGTGATTCACCTATTGTTTTCTCCCATGGACGTTTTATACAAAGATAACAAACGTGAACTTCTAATGTATACCTTTCTGACTTTTGCGAAAATCGTATTTAGCCCGAAAGTATAGGTTTATTCATATGAGGTATATATATATATATATGAAAATTGTCTGACGCCCTAGTAGTGATTGCAAACTTGAGCTTGTTGACAGAAAGTATAGCTAATGTCGTTCGACATCTCGAGCACGAAATCGAAATGATTCATATATATATATATTTATTCCGGTATTAGAATATTGTTGGTATCGAAACGTTTTTAATTTATAATGATAAATAATCAGCAATTTTTTTCGTATCTTCTACATAGAATCTATCTCGCCGAGGAAAGTTACAAGAGCTCAGAAGCGAATAAATAACTATCTGATGGCAACGACTGAGCAATTTTGGACACCGATATTCGTTATTTTAAACGAAGTGTTTGAAGGTGAAACTTAAAAACGATGCACAAACTATTTTAAAAAGTATTGAGTCTTATCGAGTTGAATTATGTCGTGCAACCTTGATCGCCCATTAACTACGCAAGAATTGTATTGTCACAAAAACGTCTATCGCCTTCCCCTTCGATTACGAAAACAAAAATCTACAAGTATTAATTTTATTACAACTTGGTATAACTTTACAATGATAATTTTCAACTCTCAGGTATATATATACAGAAATGAATTATATTTAGCGATTCAATCAAATAATAATCTGCGTCGATAAAATTAATAGATATACTTAGACAGATATTAAATCGTATGGTACTGTTCTTATGTTTCGTCGTAGAGGTAGGAACGTAAAATCACAGAAAACTAAAGCTCATATTTCAATTCTTTTACGTTACCTTTGTGCCATAATAGACCACGGAACAAAATATATTGTCGTACCCCCCACATAAAGCTCACGAAGATCTTGAAGAATATTTTAATCGTTAAAACTCTCTTGTAGCTAGATTGCAATACAGTTTTTGTACAAACGACCGAGGGCCGCGTTCAGACGCGCGCCCATCATTGAATCACACTTATTGCATGATGTTAGTTACAGAATTAGTGGGTTTCGAGAGTAACATAATTTTGGCTGTACTCCCCAAGTACGCCCTTATAACTGAAACCATTTGCGCAAATTCTGCGCCACGCTTTTTAAAATTTATAAATCTCTTCCCAACTTTTCAATCTCGTCAAGAACAAAATCTAAATCCGCTGTGGTTACCATTGGGTTAATAATAATCATCCTGAAGAAATTAACATGTGATGCAACGGTTGTATATGTAATGAGCATCGTCCCGGCCTTCTGCATTCTCTGTTTTATGATCGGTGCGACGTGGGACAACTTTTCATAGAATTTGTTTGTGAGGTCTTCGGGAAATATAACGTCGCCGTCTTTTTGATGACAAAGATTCCTAATACTTGGAGGTACAAACCAAAATGACACGTTGGTACACTCAGGCTGCAAAACAAGATTTAGAAGTTGTTTACTGCTGCTATATATCTAATAAAATCTCGGGAATACTGCAAGCTCGAACATTACAACAAAATCTTAATCCATCACATTTATAAGTACTATATGAACTAACCTCTTCTAAGACAAGTTTGAACCACTTTCTCGTCTGTACTTGCGTTGTCAGATACTTTGCATTATCGAACGCTTTGTCGATTTGATCACGAAAGCCCAAAGTTCCTTTAGCTTTCCACATCAACCAGAATTTCAGAACATCTACCTACAATACAACGGTTTTTGTGGTTAAAATCAGTGGTGGGATTCAAATTTTTTGTCAGTCGGTTCCATCACAAAAGTCATATTTTTCAGCCGGTTCTGTTACAAAAACTCATGTTTTTTCAGTAATGCTAACCGGTTCGCTGATCTCATAAAATTCCGTAAGACGGTTCTATAGAACCGGTGCGAACCGGCTGAATCCCACCACTGGTTAAAATGAAATCGTAATAAAATACTGTTGCAATTTTATCTTTTCCAAAGTTATCGATGATCTATTAATGTGATTTTACTTTTTCAAACAAATGCCATCAAAATACAGCGTTGAAATGAGTAGATTTGATAGATATGCCAGTTTTGCATCAAAATCGAAGATTTAAATTTTTGAATAAACTGTCAAAAATTCTAACCTTTCTTCCGCATTGTATAAGTTCATGGCCAACGTCGAAAGATGGATCGTACGCACGTTTGTCGGTTTGAAATAAATATGGAACGTTCAGACTGTGACATTCTTTCATTATTTCCTGTAATTGTCATAAAATATTATCATTTTGTACTTTGATATTGCTTATCATTATATATATAAGTACTAGTTATATTTAAAACTTGACCACACATGCTAATTAATATTAAGCATCGCAAAAATTTCTAACTAACCTTTCTCTTGACTAAAAGAACTGAACATTGCTGTGGAACCATCATCAATTTATGTGGATTCCACGTTACAGAATCTGACCTAGAAAGAAGGAAAATTATATTTTGTATTAGAAATTTAAATGCGTGTTGTGTGACATGTGAAATATTTTAACTAAAATTTATGTTTTCAGCTACCTCTCGATTCCTTTACAAAGATGTTTATGTTTTTCGGACATCAGGCTGGCGCCTCCCCATGCTGCCTGTAAAAAAAAAAAAATATATTCAAATACGGTCGTTAACAAACGCTGCATACGGGGGCAACCCTAAAATGCGGGAAACGGGAACGACGGGAACTACGGGAAATGCACTAAAATGCGGGAACTGCGGGAACGACGGGAAATTGCAAAAACTAAAATGCGGGAACTACGGGAATGACGGGAACTACGGGAAATTTCACTAAAAGCGGGAATGACGGGAAATCGCTTTAAGGTATGGGAAATATTCATTTTGGAGTATGTTTAGGGGAAATTGTTCTAGAAAGCGAAAGCAATGGTGTATATACGCTTGGGGGTGTATGTACGTGAAAATTTATCTAAAATGCGGGAACGACGGCAAATCGCGTTAAAGTACGGGAAATACTCATTTCAGAGTATGTTTAGAAGAAATTGCACTAGAAATAACGTATAAACTTACATCAACGTGCAACCATATATTGTGAGCTTCGCATATCGATGCTATTTCTTCGATTGGATCAAAAGCTCCGAGTACAGTCGTTCCGGCAGTTGCATTTACCATGAATGGAAGTTTACCCTGGTCAGAAAAAATATCATCAATATGCATATAAAAAATGTTATAATGACAATTTTTGTGTAATGTTGTAATATTTATTACCTCAGTTATGGACTCTTCTATTTTCCGTTCCAGGTCACTCGGTAACATCTTACCTCGCGCGTCACACGTGACCGAAATCACGTTATTGATGCCGATTCCTATTAGAGCTGCGCTTTTTTCAATGGAGTAATGACATTGTTCAGATGTGAAGAGTACTAGAGGCTTTGTAGATGACATTCCTTCATGTTTTATTTCAGGACATTTCCAATATCGTGCAAGGTTGATTGCTAACATGTTGCTGTAGGTACCACCTTTAGGAATATTGAGTTGGGAGTATTTAGAAGCCTACCAGGTGCTTGGAAATCCTATACTTCGTCTTATAAATATTATTTTCGAAAAAGCCGAACTACTTATAATACCATTCACGGCTATATATTGGTTCAATAACTAATATAAAACAGTATCCATTCATACCTGGGCACATAGTTCCGTTTCCAGTTTTATATCCGACAAATTCTCTCATTCTCTGCAATACGATCTTTTCCATCATAATGAACACAGGTGCAGTCTCGTATGTGTACCTGAATTAGAACATTGTAATCGTAATGCATTTTACTGTAGTTTTGTCTTACGAATCCGATGCTCAGTATGCATAAATCTATAGCGCTATAAAGGATTTCAAGGTACACCTGTGATAAGTGTATGAACATTGAATTCTGGGCATTTCTGTGATATCCTATATATATCCTATAAAAAAGCAATATTAATCTCAGCCGTGAGCAGAAAGCACCCCGAAGGCTATGTATTCATGTCGGTGATTCTAACTTACATAGCTCCGTTTAATGCATCAGTCAAAATCTGTCCACCGAATCCATACGCATCAAGTCCACAGAACAATTGGTTGAAAAATCGTTGATGACCTTGAAAAACAAACAAAACAATTTGTACTGGTTGTCCTGCATAAAATTATATGGGTGATAATCGTAAGATTTGTACCTGTTTTTACGCTGTAGTGAAGAATATCTTTGCAGTGATCCAGCAGGGTACTGTTATCTGTTGGTTCATCTTGAAGATTGAAATCCATGGCTTCCAACAATTCTTTTGGAGTTTTAAAATTGACGACAGGTGTTTCGACATCCTGGGGCTTCTCCCATGCTTCTTCTATTGCCAATTTTGTTATATCATACAAGAAATATTTTTCTTCGTCTATTTCACCTAACGAACCCATTGTTACTAGATATTTTATTTAACTGTAATTTCTAAAATGACATAATTTGCACGTTTCAGTCTAGCGATCGCTTTTTACATTTTTCGAATTCATTCTCAATTCACGATTCTTGTATCAAGGCTAAGTAAGTGACTATACCGTAACATCAGAGACATCCACATTCTGACCGGTATCGCTAAAATGACATCCTTCTCAATCCGTCCGTCGGCTAATGTCTCTTTCTGTCTTCCTACTGAATATATTTATAGTGAGCTTGGTAATATAGATTATTTACCTTTTTTATTTGTTCATCAACCTTTCTCACAGCCAGGTTACACTTCTGATTGATTTTTGTTTATTAGGAGCTAATTAAAAGTCGAGAAACATTCGATAATATTGAGCATACATACTCGAATTTCAATTTGTACACTCTTGAATAAATCGATTTTATTGAGCAGTTTTTAATAGTTTCACATAATTTTTATGGGCCCAATTTATGAAACCGTGTACTCGACAAGTGAATCGATAATAATATGCAAAATTACAAATGAACCGTTAAACTAATATGGATTTGCATGTAAATGTTGTCGGTTTTTATTGATCAGTGTTATAACATAGCTTTCTAGCAGTAAAACAGGTGGAAAAATAAACTAAGCAATTGATTTTTATGAATATAGCCCAACTGCGCCAAATTTTATTAATTTGCACTATTGACCAGCACTACGTCAGTTAGTTTGCTACAATTTTCGCATTTATCGAACGAGCATCTGCCTACGCCGTTCGAGAGAGCATCCCGGTTTACACAAAAATATTGTGTAATATCTCGACCGGATTGCATGGTGAGCCGGCATTTCCATTGAATGACGATTTGTTTCTCTCCTATTTATTCCCACCCAGAAATGGCTTACATCGATGAATGGTCTGTTTTCTCGGTTCCAATTATTTTCCCAACTGCTTGTGAGTAACTGTGCTGTATTAAAATGCTTACGGCAACTGACTCACAGTCATTCAATACAGCCGGTCGTTTAATTACGCCATACATACAATGGTAATTTCACAGTAGAAAGTGGAAAATTCCACAGAAACAGCAACGTGATAAAACGGCTTCGGAATTCCGTTACGTTTATGATGTGATATGAATTTAATTTTTGGTTCAGGGAAAATTGAAAGTATACTTAATATAATTTTTTCTAGTTTTAAAATTATTATATCGGTCGGTGATTGAAAAAATTATTTGGTTTGAAACGATACACATATATTTATATAACTTCTACAACTTAAAAAACATAATTATATATATATATATATATTTAGTTCCCAAACTATTTCTCCGGCACCGTAGGCAAATGCGGGGACTTCATTGAATTTAACTATGGATTATCAGGGCATGCGCAATAAGCTAAATAAATCCATTTATTCCACAAATTCCAATCCCAAATTTGATTATCTTCCGATTGACATACGATCGTTTGCATAAAAGTGGTGCCATTAAATTTTAAAAGTCCGATTCGACCAATGTTCATTCTTGTTTGTAGTAATTTATTTTTATTTACTTTGACATTGCTGACGTTACTGAGACGTTGTAATTCTCAGGTACCTAAATGAAAACGGAACGTTATCAATATGTGCATTGTAGATGCAATCTCTTCGCTGTGCTTTTTATTAAAATATTTTGAATATAATTCCTGCTTCAAATGAACACTACTTATTCTTTTTGGTGATTGCAAATCTCCCTCAAATTTTTCTTACGCGAACGTGGCGTCGGTTGCTGAATGAATGGAAGGTTGTATTATGTAACCTATTTATATATATATCATTTTTGAACCGAACGTGGAAAATAACTGGGTTTTCCTGAAGTACGTCCTTACTATAAACCAATGCCCAACCGCATTCCTATCGGCAATAAGTCTCCGAATTGCGAAATACGCTCGGTGGAAAAGTACAAAAAGTTTCACGCCACCGTCGGCGCGTATGTCTCAATAGTCGATGAAAACAGCCACCATTGCCAGCGCGGCAGAACGATACAAAATTCAATGATTCAAGGTACTTAACCATATTACTGGGTCGTATCACGTGACAAAATCTAAAAATAAACTTTCGAGTCCCCCAATATAAATGAATGACTCTACTCCACTTTCGAGGATCTTAAGAACAAATGCAAAAGATGAATGGAACAGTCGAACCACTTATAGTGCAATAGTATCGACATACATGGCCGAAGCAAACATTCCATTAGGTATAGAAACGAAGACTGACCCTTTTCATGAATTACACATTTTAGGTTGTCATGAATCGACCACATCCATTAGTACGAAAACAATTACATTTCGCAATTCGCATGTTGTACGTGTGAACAAAAACTTCAGAAAAAATTCCATTGTGTCATCGTTGCTGTTCAAAACATCATCAATGCCGGGTTTATCGAATTCGCATGTTGTACGTGTGAACAATAACTTCAGAAAAAATTCCATTGTGTCATCGTTGCTGTTCAAAACATCATCAATGCCGGGTTTATCGAATTCGCTTCTCTCAAGGTATTTCTTCCAAAGCATGATTTAGCGCGTGTTAGTCATCGTCGTTTGCAGCTTTTCTTCCCGGTTTCGGCTGTTGGCCCGGGACCTTATTTTGAACAAACTTGAGCGAAATATTTATTCCCACATGAGAAGTTTTACTAGATAAACATGGAAAAAAAGAGAAACATAAAGAAAAAATAAATTTCGAATCACTATATTTCAGAACGTAAAAATAAATTGAAATGCGCTATATCTTGTTGTTTTCCAGTCTGTATAGCGGTAACCAAGTACCTTTCCTAATTTTGTCAGGACATGTATGTCTCGGACTTTATGCATTACCTACACTTTATTACATCTGAAAATACATTTACATTTTACATTTACAAAGGTTTAAATATTAAAACTATTTGTGCTCTGGTAATAAGGAATATTTCGCCAATTCTTGTCAACATTAGTCAGATCAAACTATTTATGAGTGTTTTGGAACCACGGACCAGGTAACAATTAGTCACCATTGTTTTGTAACACGAGGTCAGCGATTTGACAGTCGCCTACGTCGAAGCACAGTGTGTTATATAATATTAAAAATTATTGGGGAAACAGTAATTGTAGCAAGATGAAACGTCATATCAAATAAACCTTTTGATACTGAATAGAGTGATTTATTGGATTATTTCCTAAATTAAAATTATTATCGCCGCTGCTCTCTTCAATCCAATATGATCAACCATAATCGCTAAGAGAATTACTCGTATAAAGCGTGACCAGTGGGTTGTTGTGATCAATCAATTCATACATGCCATATGATTATGAATACGGGTGTTGTCCTTTTTGCGGATGCGGGAATAGATGGTAATTGCGCTGATAGGAAGAGCAGATTTTAACCTTGATAATTATATCAGGAACTTCTGTAAAAATACCGACGAAAGACGGAAAGTATTATAATATTCAATATATTTGAAGTGGCAAAAGCTTCGTCAACATTCACCACACTCTGTATAATACCTTGTTCATTCAAAGCTACGCCTCTTTTCGAGCGTGGTCCGTGGCAATACACATGTTAATACATGGCTACTGCATAACCTATATTGCTGACGAATATACCCCTGAGGAATCATTATTCTGCGAGTTTCGACAATGAATAAACGAGAATATCGGTTGGAAACCGAAGACTTATCGATCGATAGTTAGGGGATCCCCCAAAACAGAAACTGCAGTTTCGATTCATCCGCTCTTGTAACTTGCACACTGCGCATCGCACACACACACTCGGCGGGTCTCAAAATTCTCTCGCTTTACAAAAATCTAAATCACTATATCAATAATTGATTGATAACTCGCTAATTATACGACATAATTCGCCCAAAATCAATAGGTTTCTGGTCCGAGATAAGATGAATGCACATGCATAATTTGGAGCAGATTCAACCTCGCATTCGCGAGATATCGCGTTGATCTAACAGACACACAGACAGACATACATACAGACAAATACCTATCAATATACTTACCGATCTTAAGATCGATAAGTAAAAAGGCAAAATTCGTTTGCTGGTACAGTATTTTATTCTTTCATTAGAATATGGCCCATCCAAATAAGCTAGTCGAAACGTAAGATAAATTTATTACTCTTGCAGCGCGATCACCATTCTGCTCGAAAAAACTTTGATTGTTACAATTCCAGTGGGAGTATAACTGTCCATCATAAATCTTATGATCTATTTTACATCTTCGAACAATGCTTTAGACAATGCGAACGATAAGCGAAGGACCAATATGTTATTGGTAGAACCGGAATCTTTTCGATTTTGCATATCCTACTTAATTTATTATAACCTGTTTGGTGTTCAAACCGAGAATTCAACCTTGGTTATAATATTTCATACAACTTGTGTATGTTTTTTTAATAATTGAAAGTACATTTCCATTCAAATTTTGTGTTTTTATTTTCATTTATTAAACGTTTGTCTTTTCGGTCATTTAATAGATCTATTTTTTGTGCAGATGGGATTATCTTAGATAAGTAAGATAAGTTTGTTTCGACTCCATAATCAGCATAAAGGCGATAAAATGGTGATAAAGACAAATAAATAAAAACTGAATATAAAATCAGGAGAGTAAACAAAACCTTGGAAAAGATTCAAAACGTACAGAATATAAGATGGAAGGCATTGCTAAAAAGAAGTGGTACGTGTTCACTCACCTAAAAGTATTGAATCAAATCATACACACTCGCACACACACACAACCATAAGGCATTATTGAAATTAGAAAAAAAGAGAAGCTTTGGATAATTTATATAGTGTAATTGTATAGTGGATAAATTATTAAAAAATTGTAATTTATACGATTATATTTATTTTTTCTTCCTGCTTCATCAAATTTAATAGAATGAGCGAAGTGGTCACTGCAATTTAAATGTAATCCGCCTATTTTTTTCAATATTTCTCTTCATATATTTTTTGTTTTTTTCACTTTCGCAGGAATTTATTACTGTCCCGAGTAAAATAACAGTCACAATTTGAAAGTCAAAACTATCTACATAGAAAAAACATAATCAGCATAACAGATAAATTATTAGTTCTTTAAATGTCGCAGGTAATGAGCTGCATTTTCTCAGCAAGGCTAGATGAAGGATAAGAACACTCATGGGTGTTCTTAGGTCTACAACAGGGGTCCAACTCAAAAAATGTCATGGGCTAATTCTTGAACTTTATTGACAACGCGGGCCACAAACCAACAAACTAGTTACAAAATTCATACACATAATTTTGCGTTGGCTTGCTAGTCTTAAGACACCATGCAAATACTCGTCCGATAGTCGTGTGCGGAGGGCTGCTTTGTAACCTTCAATGTTAAAAAAAAAAATGCTCGCAAAAAACAAGTACTGCCAAACATCGCCAAAACATGCCAAGTATGCGACGTGAGTGTGCAATTAACTTTGGGAACCCTTCTTCGGACACAATGATCTGGCCGAAACTGGTTTATTTTGTCACAATAAAAATAAAATATGAACGGAGTAAAGTGGAATAACAGGGGAAAGGTTTGTTTCACTTTTTACAGTTTGTCGGACCGGATCTTGAATAACACGATAAAACTTACTTATAGTTGACACCGTACTATTTTAGTTTCTCTGCGGAAAAAATTGGCTCTGGGCCGCGTGTTGGAGACCCCTGGTCCAAAGTATATCCCCAGTCGATAACCCAAAATAGAATCTCATAAATTAGCACTGCATTTGAATTTTACCAATCAAAATTTATTTCACAGGAACAAATATTTTGCATAAGCGCAAGCAGTTCCAAACATTTGAAATATTGCACTTGAAAAATACACAAGAAGCAAGATTTAAACAAAATAAAGAATTAAATATCAACATATATGTGAAAATTTTGATAGATTTCAATATCACAGCAAGATACAAAGCCCAGGCAAATGTTTTTTTCATCTTTTTTTCAAAATTAATAATAAAAAATTATGAAGTCATTAAGGCACAGGTTGTAAATAATTGGAACAAAACGAATATGAGAAATGTACATGTTATATCACATATCGAATAGTTAATATATACAAAGTGATTCTAAACATAAGAAAAGAGTCATTCGTGTTGAATTTTTCTGGCTAACAGCTGATTAATGGTTAAAACAATCTCTTACATTATGTATTAAATTAAATAATCGCTACAATCCTATTGATTAGGTAAGGTTGGAAGCCGAAAGTTGCTTTGAATCTGTTTAAAACCACTCTAAGAAGGACATATATGTATATATACCAATATATTCATCTATATTGTTAATAAACGTGATAGCACTTTCCATTACTCAAAGCCTTAATGTGAAATATGGATTAAAACAAATATTTATCATAAAAAGTGTTTTGATTAACTATGATGGAACTAAAACTTTCATTTAGCAATTTCACTTGGAACAAACAAGAAGTCTGTTGGAATGAACGTCTTCAGATCTGACATGTTTTTCACATATTTCATTTTCTTCATTACTTTCCGACTGTGTGATGATAATATTAGTGGTTATTAAAATGACAAATTTAAGTTATCATGTACAGTATATAGTTATGTATACAGACAACAAGGAAACTTGTACTGCCATCTGAATGTTCAGGCGAGTGTTTCATGGCCGAATTGGTTGGTGAAATAGCCGTTATAACAACTGTGCTGAGCGTCAAATACATGTAAAATTGCCAGCACAACCATTATTATTCACATTTGACCATTAAATAATATTTGTGGTGATAAGGAGTGTCGAAATCACTCTGACAAAAATCACCCAAGCGCAATTCCCTGAGTCAATTAGAATTAATATTTTTGCACATCCAAATAAGCAGTTCCAAACCAGATGAAACAACACAAAATAATATGAAAGCAAAATAAAAAGATTACCTGACAAACAATCTTGCCATTGTTCTAAAATATAGAGTTGGATTCATGATGTAGAATGCTTCCACATTTTTCTTCAAACTATAGTCAACATGCTCATGCCATTTTTTCAAAAGTGAATTTGAAGGAATTTGATGTTTGGGAGTTGATCCAACAAACATAACCACACTAAATTTATCTCGAGCGAGAAGTTCCACAGTGGCTAATACATATCTGGAACGAAAAGAGTTAGAATAGTCTATCGGTATTTTCTATGGAAATTTGGAATTTTCGAAACAACTGATTTGAACTGTACATAAAACAAAAGATTCAAGTTTTATTTTTCCATGTTAGTAAACAAGGTTCATATTGATTCTCCCATTCTGTGATTATATGGCATTACTGAAGCATTACATAGCAGTTATATCACAACTAGTTACTGATCAAGTCAATTATAAAAAATTTTAAAAAATTTGAGCACCCAAGACAGGTAGTTGAAGCAGCAACCAAATATCAGCTTAATATTGTACTGCTTTTGGTAGTGTAGTACAATGACTGTTAATTAAAAAAAACATTAGAACATTTAAAACACAAATTACCGGTAGTCGGAATAGTCTTGACTTATACAAATCAAATACTCATACAAATAAAAATCAAAGGAACTCACAGGAATAGATTGTCCATAACCCAGGCATAATGATCTATGTTGGAACTTGGTAGGTATGAAGTGAATATTTCAATAATTGCACTCTTTTCATCATAAAATCCTGTATGTAAAATAATAAATAAACATTTTCTATATACACTACCTTTGCTGCAATAATAGATCAACATAAATTAAATCATAAGTGTCTTACAAAAACATCCTGCAAATAAGAATAACAAGAATATATTTTGTATGTGAGCATGATTCATAAGGAAAAATACTAGAAACATATTTTCCCAGAAGTCATTTATATCTCAAACATCGAGGAGTGCATAGTTTTTAATATGTGTTTTCCATGTGTGACCTATATCCAAGTCCTCATTGATGAGGCATACTAAGTTCAGAAATTCAAAAGAATTCCTCTTCATTCAGTATCTTAACTTTGGAATTCACTGAGATTAGCAACTATAGTTGGAGCAAAGTGACTACCTCAAATTCAATTTTGCCTCAATTTTGACTCCAAAAAATTAGTAATTTCCAGTACAAATACCTGATTATAATACAACATGCATTTATATCAGTGACTTACCTCCATGAGAGATGACCTTTTTAAAGGGCTGTATAGCAGTTTCATCAATCTTATACTCAATATTTTTTATTGTTACAGTCTCCCACCGAATCATTCTAAGTACATCTGGTTTCGGTGAGATTGGTATGATATCTTTTCTTGCCACCAACTGAATATTGGTTTTTACAATTGTCGGTTCCGGAGGTGTTTTGGGCTTTTTCTTCCGCAGTGATGGCAACCTTGGAAGTGAGCTTCTCTTTCCTGTTTTATGAATAAAAGAAAAGTGCGTTTCGAATTAAATGCCACAAAGCCATACTTGAAAAATAAGTACAAACCTGTAACATCATCAATACTGCTGGTTGCCGAAGTTTCAGACCCAATGAAGCTAGAAGACCTTTGACTTATATTTTCTGACATTGGTGTCGCTGTTGAAAAATTTTGATTTCAGCGTCTTAGGTTTCAATATACACAATTATCACTTCCTTTAGACCAATATTATTACAGTCATTACTCATCTAATAAGTAGTCATAAGGACAACAAAATATAACTCTTTCAGTCAAATGTTTTTTTGGCGCTTCAGGTGTGGTGTGTACCAATATGGAGGTAACTAATTTTTGTTCACCTACTCTACATCAAGTTGTGTGAAGGGACTGAAACCTATGGACAGGGGGTATATTCACTTAGCTAACATAGACAGTCCCGAACTCGTAATAGAACTAAAATAAGGAAAATTGAAATAAAATTATGGCCTAACCCGAACCCAGTACACACACTACGGAAGTACAGTTTTTTCCGTCTTACCTTATACCAAAGCTACTAGAATGCATAAACTTAGAATATTGGCTTCTCTTACAACATTCCTAATAAACAAAAAGAAAAACGGTTCCAATTGTTATCAACACAAAAATTACCTAAATCGATGGTTATTTGTTCGACAGGGGTGTCGACAAATTGTGCGGCGTCAGACGTGTCATCCAGAGCAACTGATAGTATAAGAGACGATGGAGGTACCAGAGATTTCTTTTTTCCTGGCGGATGAATCTCATTACTAAAGTCATTGATCATTGGTTCAATAATGTCATCATCATCCACAACAGCATCATCATCAAGTGATATGAGCTGTTCTTGCTTTTGTTCTGAAATTAAAATTAAATAATTATTGTGAAAATATCAAAAACTTGACTGCATTTAAAGGTAGAATGTTTTATTTCATCAATAAACCTATGCCAATAAATAAATCATTCAGGATATCGAATGAAATAATTTTATTGGAAGCTAAGCAGAAAGATTTCACTAGCAGTGCCAAAATGTGAAATATTACTTCAAAATAATTTTTCACATGAGCAGAACTTAAACTTAGGAAAGTGAACTGGGGAGAAAATCTGGTGGTTCTTGGAAAATAACGGACTTCACATAAACTAAAATACAATTTAAGTATCACCAAGCAATAGATCCTAAACTTCACACCAAATTTCAAATGTGACTTTCCAGTATATACTCACTAATGTTAGCATCATCATCTTCTTCTGAATCAGTAAGAAATGTCAAACTTCCAACACTTCCAGTTGTTTCATATCGTATTCTGTGTGATTGGTTTGATCTAAAATTTTTTTATAATTTAGTTATACTGATAAATCAGATATCAATAAGTATTGATGTTTTTAATTTCCAAATTAGATCAATACATGACATCGATCATTCAATTACTTTTATTGGCTTATTCCATAATATTTAAAAATATATTATACCTATTTGAATTCTTATTTATATATAATCGGATAAAAACAAATGTACATACTGTTTAGGCTTGGATTCTGCGTCATTAAGAGCAACCACTTGCACCAAATGACCCTCTTTGGAATTATCTTCAAACACATCAGTCTCAAGAAATTCATTTGCTTTGACCTCGAAACTATCATGTGTAGCGTCAAGGTTGACAAATGTAATATCTGCATCAATCAAATTGGGTGTTTCAATGTCATGTCTGGGTTCCATTTCTGGTTTTAAATCTTGATCGTCTTCTTGAGCAAAATTAAAAGGATCTGTGTTGGAAACATTTTCAACTGATATAAGAGATTCCAAAGTGGACTCAGCGACAGTTTGTTCTTTTCCCATAGTTATGATTTCTTCCACCAACTGATCAACAATTGCGAGAGCCATTGAGTGGTAAGACTCCATTAAAGAATCCTGAACGGGCTGCTCTGGTTTTTCATCTGCATGAATATCGACATTTGATGAGAGCAACTTTCTATCATCATTTGCATGCAAATTTTCATCTGAACTTGACATATCTTTTAATAAATCTTGAGTATGTTCGCTATCACTATCAGATAGACCATGTGTCTCCAATAAATTCTTTTCAATGATTTCATTAGTATCTTTTGATGCAGTTGAATCTAAATCATGATTTGAAGAAGCCATGTTATCTTTTACGTCACTATCCAAAATTGATTTTTTGGGTTCTTCCGACTCCATTTGTTCTGTGATCTCCTCAACATGAGTCATTTCTTCCGGTTTTGTGTCTACAGATTCAGGTTCCATGATTTTGGTCATTCCTGTGACGGTAGCACCAAAAAGTAATGCCTCCTCTATATCTGAATCTTGATCACTATTTTGTATAATATCAGAATGCATTTTCACATGGTCTACATCAGCATCGACAATTGAATTACTAGTTTCTGCATTTGATTGTAGTGGTGTAATTGTCGTTTCAGATTTGGAAACTGAGGAGACATCTTCAGTAGTATCAGCCATGTTATCCACGGTGTTTTCAGTGATTGAATATGTGTCCTGTGTAGGTGGCATCGGAGCAATTTTTTTACGTGGCAATACACCATCTTCTATATCTGTGACTGTAGCACCAAAAAGTACTGCCTCTCCTACTTCAGAATCATCATCACTTTTTTCTGTAATATCAGATTGAATTTTCATGTGATCAACACCTGCATTTTCGACATTCATAATAGAATCAATTGAGGCTTCTACATTTTGGGCTATTGATGTAATTTTGTTAGATTCAGAAACTGCTGCGGTATTATCAATAGCATGAGTGTTGTTATCTGTGGTGTCGACAGTATTCAAATATGTATGCTGAGTTGGAGGCATTGGAGCAATTCTTTTACGTGGCTTCACACCATCTTCAATAACTGTGACTTTGGCACCAGGAAGTAATGCCTTTCCTACCTCAGAATCATCATCAGTTTTTTCTGGTATTTCAGATTGAATTTCCATGCGATCCACACCTGCATTTTCGACATTGATATTTGAATTACTGGAAGCTTCTACATTTTGGGCTATTGGTGTAATTTCGTCAGATTTGGAAACTGCTGAGGTATTTCCAATAGCATGAATTCTGTCATCCATAGTGTTGTCAGTATTCAAATATGTATGCTGAGTTGGTGGCATTGGAGCAATTCTTTTACGTGGCTTCACACCATCAATAATTTCTCCTGTCTGAGAGCGTGTGTGATTTTGGAGAATATTTTCATCCTGTGATGCTTGCAAGTCTGCAGGTACCTCACTACGATCTCTAGATGTGATTTGGTCATTGGCCACCAAATGACTCTCAATAACTTGACGGTCCAAAACATCTTTCTCAGTGTCATTGGCATTGAATGGTTGATTATCCACAAAGTCATTATCAATACTCTGGTTAGATGGTGGAAGTGGAGCAATTCTTTTTTTAGGTTTCAAATCAGATTCATGTTGACTTATAACAGTTTCCTCCACAGCCTGCTCAATATCCAATTTTAATGTTCTTTTCTTTTTTCTTGAGGGAGGTGGAGGAGGATAGTTTTGCTTATGTTCATCTATATCAATTAAGGATTCTTGAGGCGACTTATCAATATCTGGTGAATGAGCTATTGCACATGATTCTTTTGAATCATCTGTTTCACGAAAAGTTTTTGCAAATATGTTTTCTGCAGCCTGTGGGATTAGCGAGTTTGATTGAATCTCGACCACAGAATCTTTTCCCATTGGATTACGATTAGTTGAATCATACAAAGATTCTGTTTTACCTTCCATTTGCAGTGTGCCAATACCAGTACAAGATTCCATACTCATTTCAGTATTTACAACAACATTGGATTCAATGTGCGATTGTGCATATATTTCAAAACTTGAATCCATGGCTGATTTTTCCTGCTCTCCAGAGAGTTGAACATCTGCATGTAGAGTGTCTTTAATAATCACATTCTCTGAAATTTCATCTCTAACTGAAGTAGGAACTGACAGTTCACCACCCATGGCTGGTTTATCAAGCTCAATAGTAGCATTGGACAATGAATCGACAGTGAGTTTGTCAGGTATTTCTGACTTTGCGGTGTCTGATATAGGCTGGTCTTCAAGAAAGGGTAGCTCAGGTATGCTGATTGGAGCTGCATGAATAGCTTGATCTTGCTCTACATTGCTCTGTGATATTATTGAAGAAAATGGTGGAGTCCCTCCTGTGACTATTGAATCATCAATTTGAGGTGCAGACTCACTTATTATATCCACGTTGTGTTCCACTTCATTTAATAAAAGTTTTTTCTTCTTTCTTGTGGGAGGTGGTGGAGGAATGTTGTCTTCATGTCTGTTGGTATGGATTACAGAATGCTCAGATATTCCAGCATTTGTTGGTGAAAAATCATTTGAGATAGATTTCTCCACATTCTGATTATCAGAAGGTTCACTGATTAAGTTACTGTCAGCGATCTGATGTTCCAACAAGGTTGAATGAATTTCAGTGTCAGAATATTTTTCAGTATTGGCAATTTCTATTCCATCGCTGAGATCCATATCCGCAACTAATGGCTGATTCAATTCATCATTTTTAAGATTGCTGTCTCCTTTTGCTTGTTCATCTAATAACTCATTATCAGTAGGTATTGAGTCTACAATAAATACATTCTCATGAGTAATTTCAGCTGATGATTGTAATGATACCTCCCTTTCTGTGTCTAATTCAGTAGCAACTTCTTTCTCTGTATCAGAAGAAGGAATGATTACTTCATTGGCTTGTTTGCCTGATTTTTCTGCATTAGCATTTGTGGATAATATACTATTAGAATGTTCAATCATGTCCATATCATCAAGCGAGGCTGGTTGAGATATAGTAATTGTTGGTACACCCTTCTGTAACTCTTCTGTAGACGTTTCAAAAACACCAGTGTGTTCAGTTTTACTGTTTACTATTGATGTAGGTTCAGTTGTGTTGGATTCCCATTCCTGTAGAATTTCGAATTCTTGCGCAATGCTAAGTCCATTTTTATCCTCAGATTCTTCAGCAGAATGATTCAAAGATGTGGGTTCATCAGTATCACTCGGTTCTGTTTCTTCCATAATTATGGGTAAATTAGAATATATCGGATGTTCCTCTTCAGCTATTTCTTCCCAGCCGGCATCAAAGCCTCTGTAGGTAAAATTAGAATCTTCTGGCCCGCTCTGAACATATGGAGATAAGGGCACAGAGTTGTTTTGACTGACTTGGTGCCTCAATGCTATGATAGGATCGTCAAAGTCATCTTGACCGTGAAACATATCATCATCAGTTTCCGAATCATCATTATGTTCATCATCACTACTTGTAGCATTTGCTTCTATTGAAGCAACATCACCCTCATCATCAGAAAGCAAATCGTTATCAATATAAACTGATGATGGAACAGCAGATGAGTAACTTTGTCCAGAAACGTAAGTATTCGAAACAGTAGTTCGATGTGATGGAAGAGAAGGTGTTTTCTTTATTACATTAGATGCTATTGATATTCTTGACTCAAGTTCAGTGTCTCCAAACATATCATCATCAAACTCCATTGTTGGAGAAACTATATGATCTGGAGGTAAAATATTGCTATCTCTTGTAGCAGCAGCCGGTTCTATTAATTGCAAAGTGCTTTCAACTTCTTCACAAGAAGCATCAACATTTATAACCTGATCATGTTCTTTACCAACAATTTCCTCTTTTGATGTTCCATCAATTACATCAACTTCATTGATATCTGTTATGTCCATGTCTGCATCAGATGGTGCCAGTTCTGTTATATTTACACCTAATTTTGCAACATTATTATGACTGCTGGCTACAGTATTGGAACAATCTTGTATGGTTTCAAGTCCGTCCTCCTTTTGCCGAAAGTTGACACTACTACCATTTTTCGAAGTTACATTTGAATCTACATCTATAATCTCCGAATGCTCTGTATGATCATCATCTGATAAAATTTGATACTTATAAAGTTCATTTATAGTATGGTCTTTTTCATCATTTGACTCATCATGTATTCCCTTCAGTAAATTCTCATTTCCGAAACATGATTCACTTTGGGATTCATCATGAACTGTATCTGGCACATCCTTTGTAGAATATTCAAGTATAACTGAACTTTTATTTAGTGTTGGGTCTGAAATAATTTGATGAAAAATTTGGCCTGTTACACCTGTTTCAACCAAATCAATTTTCTCAGTAGACTTTTCTTCAGTAGAATGACGAACTGGCTCTATAATATCAATGTTGTCCACAGATTGATTTTCAGATGCTTTTTCAAGTATAGGCTTCTGTAATTCATTACTTGAATTTTTCTCGAGAATATCCTTCTCCGAAGTTGATGTTTCATCCGAGTGACTCGAAGTAGTATGTCTTTCAGAAGCTATGTCACTGAATTTGAGCATTTCAGAATTTTCCAGTGGATCTCCAACATGATTTGATTCCTCATTCTCTTCATCAGCTATACTTAATGACAACTGCATTGTATCATCTACGTTTAAGCAGTCTATGACAGGTATATAATTTGAGTCTGGCTGCATGACAACTTCACTGTATTGATCAGTATTGATCAGCACTTGACTACATGTAGCATGATATTTTTCAGAGTCCACTTTTAATTCACTCGATTCATCATTTATGAATGAGTCTAGCTTTACTTCTTCACATTCTTTAGGTGTATTGGAATCAATTATTAATAAAGCATCGCTTTTGTCACAAATGCTATTGTTTTGAATGTCTGCTAACAAACTTCCATTGTCTTCAAATAAACTATTGAAATTTGATCCATCATTACTATCTTTTGTTTTCTGTAGTGCCGCCATCTCAAATGTATCGGAAGTAAGTAGCTCTGATACGAGTTTTTCTGAAATTGTATCAGATGCATTTTTCGTCCCAAATGAATTTTCAATTTGAACATCAATAATTTCACTATGGGTTTCATCATCTATTTGGTCTTCATTATTCATATCACCAGAATGTATAGAAAAACTTGCCTCAGAAGTTGTTGTCATTGATTCATCAGAATCCATAATTAATATGTCTTTACCAGACTCAGTATGCAAAACAGGATCAGTGGTTTCAATATTTACACCTGTGGTTGTATCTGGTAGTAATATGCCATCAGGGTAAGTGCCTCTGTCACCAGTCATAAAACTTTCTTCAGAGTTCATTTGCTGCTCATTAATTGATGTAATAGGCTGTATCTCATGAGTAGCTGGGGATGGTATTTCTTGTGTAGTGACAATAAATTGTTCTTGTTCAGAGATTTGCATCAATGAATTTGACATATTTATTTCTGGCGAACGATCATCCATAAGATTATCTTTCACCATGTCATCGGATTTTTCTTTGTCTGCGAAATCTGCCATATCGCTTATTTGATTAATCACTGTAGGTAATTCAAGAGGCAAACTACTGCCAATAGAATCCTGGTCAGGACTTCTTTGCTGCTGTTGATCTTGCAGTGAATCATTGTCATTTCCTGTTATTTGATGTTGGGAAGCGTTTTCTGAAGAATCGTTCTGTTTTGAGTCAAACTCTGTTTCAGTGAAAATATCATCATTTGATTTCGAAATTTCATGATAGTTCTTATCAGATTTTTCTGTCATGTGCCTTTCTGTAAAATCTTTTTCTAAATCGATGGTTATGTCACTCCCAAAAGACTGGTCATAAGTTGTTTCCAAAATGCAATCTGTAGCTTCAATATCTGCTGTAACTATAGTTGGCTTCGCAATATTGACAATGCAGTCTTCAACTTGAAACTTCGGTACCAACTCACTTTGATCTTCATCATTTGGTTTAAGATCCTCTGAGTCACGTGGTGAATCATTTATAAATTGAACACTGGAGTTTTCAATCATCAAATCCTCACTTGCAACCAAATCTTCAGAATTTATCATATTCTCTTGGTTTATGATTTGAAATGAATTATTGATGCCTTCAATTATTCCTTCGTTTGTGTCACTTGATTCATGTTCAGTGTGTTTGACAAATGCATTTTCTTCAGAATAACAGTCTTTTGTGACACTATCCACAACCTGATTTTGATTTTCTTTCGAGACAGTGTCATCTATTCGCTCAGCAGATATAATATCTGACATATTGCTTTCATTTGAATTTTCATCACGTTGAGCAGTATCTTGTTGACCAATATCACCAGGATTTGAGTCGTCAACTTTATCTTTTTTCTTTTTACGCCGAGGGGCAACAGGTGCCGTGTTTGTATTAGTAATGTCAGTTTCTTCAAGTAAATTCTCAATAGCATAGGGCAATGTCACTACCCCTTCAGAGTTCGAATAATCCGCATTTGAATCATCCTGTAACCCTTTCATTGAATTGTTATTTTTAAAACATGATTCACTATTTGATGTATTAGGAACTGTATTGCCTTGAGTTGACTTTTCCGGCTCATCATTTATAGATGATTCTTGAGAAACAAAACTATTATCTGGTGATTGGTCTGTGATATTTTGTTCAAGTATCTGGTCAATGGAATAATCTTCAGCCTCATCAGGATTTTCTCCATTAAAACTGCTTTCACTGGTATTACCAGATTCAACTCCTTCAATTAAATCCTCTACAGGAGAAGCCAATGACACTACTACTTTGGGAACTGTACCACATGTATATTCAGCTTTCGATCTTTCAGACTGAGTTTGCGGCAATTTTCCCAGTAATAAACTTTTAGGAATAGACATATTTTTATCTGGGATATCTTCAACAAGTACATTTTCAGAACCAGTATCCATTGTGCTGTTTTTACTTTGACTATTGAAAGTGTCAGAAGAAGATACTTCCAATATTTCTGTTTTTGATTCTAATGTGGTGGACACATCAACATTTTCACCATTAGAGCTCTCTTCACTAACATTAGCAGATTCAGCTTCTTCAATTAAATTCCCAGCAGGCGAAGTCGAAGACACCTCGTTTGTGGGAATAGTACCAAGTGAGCCAAAGATATCCATATTAGCACTGTTGGAATTTTTCTCTGACCCTTGTATTGTCACTTCATTGCCCACTTGCATAATCAAGTCAATTGATGGCTTATCATCTTGAGAATTTGAATGGTTTTCTGAATCCCCTTTATTTTGATCTGGAAGCATTATACTTTGATCATGCTCAAATGTGTTGACTTCAGAATGCATGAAGAGGTTCCTTTGTTCTGCATTGATGTCTGAACAATCAATGTAGTCAGCTTCTGATCTTTCAGGTGGGGTTTGCTGTACTTTTTTCTCAGATAAACTTGCAGGAATAGAAGCATGGGTATCTGTAGTATCCCTCACATGAATATTTTCAACATCAGTAGTTGCATCGTTTTTACTTTGACTAACAAAAGTGTCACAAGAGGATATGTCCAATATTTCTGTTTTTAATTCCAACATTGTGGACACATCAACACCTGTTGACTCCGTTTCTAAACTTTCTGGTTCATGAGTTATATAAGCTTCCTGATTATTGAAGTAATTGTTATCATCAAATTGATTGACAAAATCATCATCACCATTCAATTCAGTTGAAATGCCAATGATCATTAATTCTTCGCCCAATCTATCTTGTTCATTCTTATTCTGACTTGAATCAGGTGGTAATGTATCTACATCCCGAGAAACAGAATCAAGAATAGAATCATCAGCATTAGACTTTGAACTAACATTTTCTTGGACATGAGAAAAGTCATTTATCAAAAGTTCAGATTTTACTTCCGAGTTTTCTCCGTCTTCTGATATAGTTTTTTCATCAGACTTTCCAACAGAATCAATGATGTCGATTGCAATTTCCTTTATTGCCTGACTTGAATTTTTAGAATTAGGAACCATGGCACTATCATTGTCATTACAACCGGGTGATTTTGATTCAGATATGATTGATTCATTTGCAGATTCCAGCATATAATCCTGCACTGAGCTTTTTTGTTTTGCTATTAAAATTTCTTCAGGCGAGAATAGCTCAAAATCATTTGACAAAATTTCCAGGCTCTCTTCAGTTGAGGAGCCACGCGCTGTATCCTCAAAAATATGTTGTTCTAAAGATGGTCCAAACGAAGTCTGTAGATTTGAATGCTTGTTAAAATCAAAATTCTGATCATAAGAAACTTCACTGCTACTTTTCTCTGTATCTTTTGTTGACAAACACTTTTCACTTGTATGCGTGTAGTTTGCAATATCAAACTGACTATGTATATTTATTGACTGATCTGTGGTATTCTCAGCATGTGGTGATGTCATTTCATCGCTATTCATATTTTGGCCCTGGGGCAACATAGTACCATTAAGCACATGACTGTCTGATAATTCCAATAAACTCTCAGAAAAATTTGTTGTTATAGTAGACATGTTGCATTTTTCTCCTTCTGAAGGCAAAATTATATCTGAAGTCAGAGAACTATTACTTATGGCAAATTCACTTTGTTGTCCAATAGGTAACAGAATATCATTGACTTCACCACCAGATGAATTTTGAACGGGTTCTACACTCTGTTCAAATCCGGTAGTTAAATCAAACATGTAACTTATATCGGCATCATTATCTTGTTTGGATTCAGCCTCATTTGTTGTTAAAAGTCCATCATTATTTGGTTGTGAAGTGCCACTTGAAGCGAATGGTACACCATCGTCAGAGATCATAGGATCAATAATGCTATTCATATCATCACACACTGGTTTGTTTGTCTCGAATAATGAAGTTTCCACTTGTGGCCTAATAACTGCTCTCATATTTTCTTCTTGATTATCGTCTGTTTCAGTAATATTATTTTTGTCCAGTTCCATAGCATCTGAGTATTCTGATATTTCTTTGCCTACTTCAATGAAAACAGATTCCAACAAATTATCCACCGTCTCCAACAGTGCTTGTGAATATTCTATAGGAGTTTCTGAAGGACTGGACAAATTTAAAATTGATTGAGAGTCAGAAATGGCATCAGAAGCAGCATTGAGCTCATCAATTTCACTTTTATGCAATTCTGGATTGATGTTTTCATAACTTATTTCCAAATTCTTGTGATCAGCAGTAACTGGTATTAAAGGCTCATTGACAGCACTACTACTTGAGCCTTCAACTTCAAGATCGTTTGTTGAGATTTTATTATCCTTCTGATGATTTGAAGTCATCGGTGCAGATATGCTCAAACTTTTTTCAATTATAAATGAATTACTATCAAGTTCTTGTTCCATTGAAGAGAGAAGAGTGTCATTTACTAGATTTGGTAAAACATCAGCTTTTTCCTCATTTTCTGATATCCCAGTCTTCTCAACCATGCCCTTTGTATTTTCTTGCTTATCTGTAAAACCATGATTGCCACTCTCATCAACACCAGTTGGTTCTGTACTTAGATTTAACAAATTTTCCCCAGAACTGGCAGTCAAAAATAGATCAGAATTATTAAGTCCTTTTGGTGTTCCATCGCTGTCCTGTATCAAGCTGACATGATTTCCTGAATAATCGACACTGTTTTCTTGAGAAAAGAGAAACTCGTTATCAGACGTTTGTTCAGTTTTAGTTAATTCTGAAGTGGAGGTGAATAATAGATCTTCACATACATCAGCATCAATCAGTACATTAGTTAGCATCATAAAACTTGGATTATTTTCTACTTCAGAGGGTATCTGTGAGGTTTCCATTGTAGAAGATTCTTGATCCGGGGATTTTATATCCAATGTATCCAACGAAGTCTTGTTTGGGTGAAATATACTTATATCAGCTGATTGTTTTGCAGTTTCTTCACCCAAATCAGTTTGATTGACAACAACGTTATCAAAATTGGTAGGACTAGAATCCACTGCAACTGTTTTATTCTCCACGTTCGAACTGACTGAATTTTCATTGGGAATTGTTGTCTTGGGATCATCTGCAATTTTATCATCACTAAAAATACTCAATTTTTCTTCATTTTTAGATGTCAACATTGCTTTGTTCTCCTCATTGTTGTTAACACTCTTTATCATACCACTAGCTTCTTGTTCAGCATTTGCAGTAAATATCGATAACTCTGAACTTTCTGAAGTAAGGAAAAGATCTGAGTTTGACACCAAAGAATTACTTGCTTTTAGTGAATCATCGTCCATAATTTCTGATAAACTCTGACCCTCAGTGGCATTGCTATTCTCCAATGGTGTCATTAAATTTGGTGGCAATAGATTAAAATCTGATTCATTCTCATGCTGAGTAGCAGAAGCTTCTGAAGGAATATTCATTGATGTTGATGTGAAATCTATTACATCCACTTGTTCATTATTCTGGCGGCTTGGACTCGTATTATCTCTGACAATATCAGAATCAAAATCACTTTCATCCATCAGTGCATCTGATGTAACTGCTATGTTACTTTCAATGCCGAGTACATTATCAAAAGTTGGATTATCTTCTGATTCAAGGGATTTCTGTGAGATATTGTTTGCACATTCTTGATCAGTGGATTTTATATCCAATGTATCCAATAAAGTCTGATTTGAGTGAGGTGTACTTTTATCAGCTGATTGTTTTGCAGTTTCTTCACCCAAATCACTTCGATTGACAACAACGTTATCAAAATCGGTAGGACTTGAATGCACTACAGCTGTTTCATTATCCAGGTTTAAACTGAACAAATTTTCATTTGAAATTGTTGTCTCGGAATCATCTGCAATTTTTTCATCCTTTACAATGTTACATGCTTCTTCATTTTTAGATGTGAACATTGCTTTGTTCTCCTCATCATTGTTAACACTCTTTAGTATACCACTAGCTTCTTGTTCAGCACTTGCAGTGAATATCGATAACTCTGAACTTTCAGAAGTGGAAAAAATATCTGGGTTTGACACCGAAGAAGTGTTCCCTTTTTTAGAATCATCCATCATTGCTGATAAACTTTGACTCTTAGTGGCATTGGTATTTTCAAATGGTGTCTTAGAGTTTGGTGACACTAGATTAAAATCTGTTCCATTCTCATGCTGAGTAGCAGGATCTTCTGAAGAAATACTCATTGATGTAAAATCTAATACAAATGCGTGTTTGTTATTCGGGCTGCATGGACCCGTATTATCTTTGACAACATCACTCTGCGTAGAATTAAAATCACTTTCATCGATCAGTGCATCTGATGTAACTGCTTTGTCACCTTCAATGCCAAGTACATTACCAAGCATGTTAAAACTTGGATTATTTGCTGATTCAATGAATTTCTGTGAGGTATTGTTTGCAAATTCTTGATCAGTGGATTTTATATCCAATGTATCCAACAAAGTCTGATTTGAATGAAGTATACTTGATTCAGCTGGTGTTTTTGCAGTTTCTTCTCTCAAAGAAGTTTGACTGACAGTGATAGTATCAAAATCAGAAGGATTAGGATCCACTACAGCTGTTTCATTCTTCAAGTTTAAACTGACCAAATTTTCATTGGAAATTGTGGTCTTGGGACCATCTGCAATTTTTTCATCAAAAAAAATACCACATGTTTCTTCATTTTTAGATGTCAACATTGCTTTGTTCTCCTCATTGTTGTTAACATTCTTTATCATACCACTAGCTTCTTGTTCAGCATTTGCAGTAAATATGGATAACTCTGAACTTTCTGAAGTAAGAAAAAGGTCTGGGTTTGACACCGAAGAGTTACTCGTTTTTATTGAATCATCATCCATCATTTCTGATAAACTCGGACCCTCAGTGGCGTTGTTATTTTCCATTGGTGACATTGAGTTTGGTGACAATAGATTAAAATTTGTTTCATTCTCATTCTGAGTAGCGGGGGCTTCTGAAGAAAAACTCATTGATGTGAAATTTAATACATCCACTTGTTTGTTATTCGGGCTGCTTGGACTCATATTATCTTTGACAATATCAATTTGCGTAGGATTAAAATCACTTTCATCGATCAGTGCATCTGATGTAACTGCTTTGTCACCTTCAATGCCAAGTACATTACCAAGCATGTTAAAACTTGGATTATTTGCTGATTCAATGAATTTCTGTGAGGTATTGTTTGCAAATTCTTGATCAGTGGATTTTATATCCAATGTATCCAACAAAGTCTGATTTGAATGAAGGATGCTTGAATCAGCTGGCATTTTTGCAGTTTCCTCATCCAAAGAAGTTTGGTTTTCAGTGACATTATCAAAATCAATAGGACTAGAAACCAATACATCTGTTTTAATCTCCATGTTCAAACTGAACAAATTTTCATTTGAAATTGCTGCCTTGGAATCATTTTCATTTACAATTTCATCATCACTAGATGTGCCATATGGTTTTCCATTTTTAGATGTCAATGTAGCTTTGTTTTCCTCATTGTTGTTAACAGTCTTTATTATACCACTAGCTTCTTTTTCAGCATTAGCAGTAAATATGGGGAGCTGTGAACTTTCTGCAGTAATAAAAAGATTTGAGTTTAACAATTGAGATAGAGAACTGTTCGGTTTTAGTGAATCATCATCCATCATTTCTGAAAATTCATCAATTTGTAATAAACTCCGACCCTCGGTGGTATTATTTGTCGATGCTGTCATTGAGTTTGTTGGCAATAGATTAAAATTTGTTTCATCCCCATGCTGAGTAGAAATGGCTCCTGAAGAAACGCTCACTATTGCTAAGTCATCAGTTTTAGAATCAGCGTCAGATAAGGATGTAAATTTTAAAACATCTACCTGTTCATTCTCCTGGCTGCTTGGCGTTATATTATCTTTGATAACATCACTATGTAGAGAATTAAAATCACTGTTATCCATCAATACATCCGTTTCAACTGCTGTGTCACTTCCAATGCCAAGTAAGTCAACAGCTGACGATGCTGACTTTGCTTCACTGGCTTCATTTTCAATCCGTTTAGGTTCATTAGGTGCGAGTAAATCTGTTTGAACAACATTCGTCTGAAAGAAACCACCCAAAAGGTCAATATTGGACTCGTCTGGGATATTCTTCACAGTGTTATCAGCAGTCTCAAATAATTCAAGCATGCTTTCAATGCCGGATTCAACTTCTGATTGATGAATGTCAAACAATGAGCTTTCAAATGGGTTTACTTGATTTTTGGCTTCTGTATTTTCTATAGGATGCTGATTAAATACATCAAAGTTAAGATTGTCCAATGTGTTAGAGGTGTTGGTAGGATTTTCTGCAATTTGATTAGATAAGTTAATATTACTTGGAAAATCAAGGAAATTTTCTGTTGCAGCTCCATCATTAAACTGCAATGTATGATTGGCATCAGGGTATCCAATTCCTGTGATATCATTGCCATTTGCTGAACTACTGTCATTGTCAAATGCCAGTAGTATTTGGTCATTTGCCGTAGAACTCTGAGGACTATCTTCACTAGTCAACCCATTTTGTTCAACAGCACTATTATCTCCAAATATATCTAGCAGATCACCTTCGGATGCCATTTTCGATTTGACAAAAAAGGCTTACATTTTGATAAATTTTGTATCTGATAACAGTAAAAATATGGTGATCAAATCACATCGGTAGTAGATTATATTGTTTCGAAACTGAATTACCATACCTGTCGCTGTACTGAAATGGATAAATTAAAATGCATCAAGTGTAAGATATCCTGATGAACTTTATGAGTTTTAACAATTTATTGGACATTAATCAATATTCTTTCTGACATGTTAGGGACATATTATCAATAATATAACCTCAGTAATTATGGCTGATGACATGACTACTTACTAAGATCAGGGCAAAAAAAAAATGAAATAAATACTTGATACAATTATAAATATTATTCGGCTTCGTGCAGACTTATTAGCCTTGACCCAACTATTTGCAACTAAACACAATGCTGTTTGCAGAACCTGAACCAGAAATAATTTAAGCTGCTTCATAATCATACACCCACAGTAAGAACATATATTGTACCATGCACACACTCGACAACATATATATATTGGGTAAATATAAATCGAAACACAGTTAATTATTAACCAGAATATGAAAGAATGACAAATAAATACAGATGTTCCGCGATATAAGTCTATAGTTGAATACCAAATCAAAATCAGTTCATTTTACACTATCCTTTCGCTTCAACTTTGTCACAGTAACTAAGTGCGCATAACAGATGGAATGTTAATGGCCCATATCTGAAAAACTAACACAATTGTGCTTTACTAGTTTCATCAAAATTTACTTGACTTTATCTTCTGTTATTCATGTTGAATTCAATCTGGACTATAGCTAATGAAGAAAAGCATTTCCACCTACCTTCCACTAATTCTTTAGTTTTAATACTATATGGTATTTTTAATACTTTCTCTTTCATGAATGAAGTCACAAGAATAAACTATGCGGTGATCGTTTCAGTGTTTATTATCAAACATTCTCTCTTATTTGATGGTAATATATCAAAACATTTTGTTCATTCAATTATGGCAAACGTGAGGTCATGGTATTAAAGCAATCTGATAAGATTATGGCAGTGGATATAAAAAAAGGGGATTTACTAAATTGAAACAAAATAAAACCAAATATGAAAATGCCCTCCCACTAACGACAATAACATACTAATAACTGCATAAAAACAATAACTATATTATCAACGGGTTTGGCAGTGACAAATATCAAATTAATAAACAACATACAAATGATCATTAGTTGAGGCAATTTATAGTTCAATTATACATGCATTTTCTATAGTTTTGTAACTCATGGTGAATTAAAACGTACATTGCACCTGATCTCTGCCTCTCCTCTGAAATTTCAGTAACTGCACTGTAACGAATGCGTTCTTGGTTCTATAAGATACAATAGGTCTCTGTTATCTTAAGCCAGTTTGTTATCTATTCAAAGAGCCGTGACAGAAACCACAAGGCTACATAAGTGGTCATAAATAGCATGAGCAAAGAATAAAATTCTCTTTACACAACTTAATAGGTACCATTTCTGGCATTTGCAGATGATAAATATTCTACCATGCACAAAATCACTAAAGCAAGTTTGATGTGTAGAAAAATTATTTACCTGAGTATAAGATAACAAAGATATATCTTAGCATTAATTAATCAATGGCCTGTTGTACCACTGGAAGAATTTGTTTTCTAGAGGCTTTAATGTTGTACATTCTGAAAATAAAAAATTAGAAAATAAAATCTAAATGGTTAATTCCTCCAAAGAGTGGTGGATAAAACTTTACGATTTTAGTAAAGATATGTAGTAGTTGTTACTGCTTCAAATTACAGCAGTTCAGTGGCAATGAAATTTTCTGTCTATAGCAACATTAAGTATTTGTATAATAAATGCAAAGTTGAGCGTTCAAGTCATCAATATAAATATAACTATACCTTAGCTTCGTGAATTCCTCAGAGATTCCATTACTATCTTCTACTATGATTTGTAGACAAGGGGTTTCAGATGAAATCAGCGCTTGTTTCACCTGTGAAAAGTAGAAAAAAAACTTGGAATTGCAGAATTATCATTGTTCTATGCATTAGAAATATAACAGCAAATGATTAACATACGTGGGTCTACAGGTTTGTACCCTATTGGGAATAATCATGGGCAGGAGGATCACAAGAGTTATTTATTGGCTTTCTTGTCCCTTTGAAATAAATATGGAACTATCTTATAAAGAGTGCTTTGTCAGAATTGTTTACACCCTAAAACATTTTTATTTTTCATTCAAAATGTCTTCTCAGCATATAGTCAACATCCTTCGACAAACTATCTATCCATGTTGTTGCATTATCAACAAATGCTAGTTTTTGATTGTTTGCATTTAAAACTGAGCTTGACACTAATCCGATATTACAACTGTTGAAAACAAAAAATTCTAATTTAGTACCAGCTTGTTATGAGCATTCAAATTAAACAGCATTCAGAAATTGGTACCTTCGCCGTCAAATCATGATTTTCAGAGAAGAGTAACAATGGTTTGAAAGGTTTTTCAGATTCATCATTTTTAAGTGGTGCCAAGCCAAGCCATAAGTGACAATTTCTTGCAGACACTAAAATTGGAATGCATGATACTGCATCATCACGATGAAGAAAATTTTCCATTTTGTCGTGTATTGTACTGAGGAACAATTTTGTTGTACGATCTTTGTTCTCAATAAATTTTGCATCCTAAAAATATAGATTGTCATATCACGTAAGTAAAATAATGTAATGTAATTCAGCTAATGATAAAACTGAAAGCAATTATCAAAATGATTTTTCGAACTCAAACAAAATATCAAACTAGATAATACACGATACAAAGAAAAAATCCAACTCAAAATATCCAAAACATAATAAAATGAAATTCAATGAAAAAAAAATTAACACTTAATTCTGAATTAGGAAGTTGTCTATTAATAACTCGGAAATTTCTGTTCTGAATATGAAAAACTTTTACCTTCAGCATCAAATCCTCGACTGTTAGGCCATCTGCAGAATACTTGGCTTCACTCAACTCAATAAAAATTCTACAAAATTAAATATTGAGCATAAGTAATGATCAGTGACCAAGTGTCATTTATTCTAGATTACAAATATTAATTATGCTGATGTTTCAGTTTATAAAGTATTGGAGTGATGTAATTCAAATTGGGAATTGAAAAATCTAAATGACTCATAGAACAACCTTAACTGTCCTTAGGTCATATTTCCAAAAATAAACAACTAAATTGACTGAAATATAAAATGCTGAGTTCCCACTGACATTTCACTATTCTGTTGTTACTAGTTGACACACAATATGTACTACAGTACATTTAATAGGTACTATATGTTCAAAGTGCATAGTATTTGTATAAAGGAAGTTATTCAATAACACATACTGTGCCAGTTGCTCATTGCTGTTGTTTTTCCAGAATGTCCTGATGACATTCAAGTCACGCTCAGTAACTTTCCCAGCAGATTCTTGTAGGTTAACAGTATCTAGCAAGATTGGACCTGAAAGTATTAAATTAAATTTAGCACAAATTCCACACAACAAATTCAGCGAAATAGACATGACTACAAATGCAATAACATTTGCTGTCAATGTAGAATTGCTAGATTCTTCAAAATAGAGTTTAGACCAGCGTGTCCCAAATTCTTTACACCCACTAATTACAATTGTCAAATACCTCATATCTATCCGCAGTACAAAACATGAGAAGATTGGATGTATCAAGTGATATTAAAAGTTCTATGATATTCTATTATGTTTGATGAATCCATCTTAACATTATCAAACTTTATTGTTTTTTAAACTTCTATCAACTTTTAAATTTTTTCACTCTAATATTTCATATCAATAAACCAATATTATAAAGCCGATTCCGCAATCTTTTCTGACAACAAATATTATGTGTGTGTACAAACATATTTTGAAATATTTTTTAGTTTTAAGTGGTCAAAGGATCTTTTCTCTTTACGAATCCAGATTTTGGCAGTAATTTTCAATATGAGTCTCTTAAAATATGTATTTTAGCTTACTTTTAGTCGTTTGAAGCTAAACATACTGTACTATGCATGAATTTTATTGACATTTCGTAGTCGTAGACTATTTTCTCACCAGCGAGAATCTTTGCGAACTCAAGGTGCGTTTATTGTAACGTGCCCCGCGTATCTGAGCCTCTATTGATATCTCTTAGAAAAAAAAAAATCCTTGTCCAAACGCCTGAGAAACACCACTTAGTTTAAAACTAAAAAAAGTTTCCAAACTAAGGGGTTGGCTTATAGGCGCATGACACTGACCGCCCTCAAATGTAATGACATTTTATAAATTGATTATTGCCGCAAACTCAAACTGAACGATATTATCATCAACGACGCCAGGCTCACAATAAGATACTAAATAATATTTAAGAGCTATTTTATATGCTGTAAATTGCAAGAAAGCTTAGTGACCTACATGAACTATACGACTGCATAATGTTTCTAAAACGATATTGTTCGCTGAGGACTCATTAAAACGCCTCTGCAGATTCATTTAAGACCCCAGACTCAGATTGGGAAACACTGTTCTAAAGAATTGACCAAGAATCTAAAAGTGACAATATTGTAGGAGGAAAAAATCAAAAATTTAATATATTAACTAGGACAGTTTGAATATATTCAACATTATATTCCCTTGGGATATCCCTAGTTTGAACACAGTAGGATAGGATTTACACATTTATCCCAGGTAAGAAGAAAGCCAATAAGACACCATAATCATATAGCATACCACGGCCCCCTGTTTACTTACCACTCTATGTCGAGTATGGGCTTAGTTAGCCAGCTAATCCAGAAATCCTCTTGCACATATTCATTCCCTACAGGTTTCGAACCCAAACAGGGTAATCGTGGTGGAGGCAAACATATTCCTAACACTAAGTACCATGCGCCACACCACCAAGCCTCAGTACAATATCCAATACTAAGTACATAATAAATTTAAAACAAAAGAATACCTGTGACTAATAAAGTAATTTCTTTCAGTTCTTTATCACTGAGCATAAGTTCTTCCCTATCAATTGCCTTGATGATTCTTTCAGCAATCAAGGTAGTGCAAGATCCGACTGTTGCGATTTCAACTTTAATATCAGAGTCATATTCTCTTGCCTGAGTCCTGTGATCTATAACTTCAGAAACCATTGGATACAAATATTCATCTGATCTGCCAAAATTGAATAACATAGAATTTTTTGAAAAATATAAAGGTCATAAATCAAAAATATGATCTCAGATAAATATTGTAATAAGAAAATAAGAATATAATATTAGGTTTTAGAAAGCATTTGTTGTGAGAACTTTTTCAAAAACTAATGTTATTGAAAATGCGAATGGTTCAATTAATATTTCAACACTCATTTTCACATTGGGTGTATAACTATTGATCAATGTCCTTCATTGCAATGCAAGAGAAAGCTTTTTTTGTAACGCTAATATCATGTTTTCTCGACACTGTAGGTTCTGCATTGAATCAAAACTGAAGATAATAGCATAAATAAATGTCAGTTTTGAACAAGGTAGTTAATATTATCAACACAGATATATAACAGATAGGATATGATTACCAGTAAGTTGCATTTACAATAACCGTAATAAAATGAAAACTAAACCTAGAACCTTGAAATATTTAAACCTAACCTTGATAACACATGATGGTCCAGAAGAGTGATTTTAACATTTTGTTTATGATTGCAGAAGAGATTATGAAAATCAACTGTATCTTGAAAAATCAAATCATTCTGTGATATTTCAAATTTCTTCAGCAAGTGAACGGTTTCTGTTTTCAGTCGAAACATGTTTTGAGGAATGTTTAAAACTGGAATATGATAAATCTTCTTCCTGTTTTCGATGGATTGAATCTAGAAATATTAACATAATTTGTTTATAATCAATGATAACAAATATGGGTATTATTCACAAAGCAAAGGGTTTGGTCAGTTACAATGCATATATCTTCATTGCATTTATAATTGCGATTCATTTTAAGCTTCAAAAGTTTCTTCAATATTCAAGAGATGCCAGCTGAACTACTGCATGCAAATAATTTAACCAAATTTAATCTAAGTAGTGATATTACAACAATAAAAGCTAACATAAATAGTGTGACAGTCAAAAGTCAACCTAATCCTTGTTTTTTTTTAGTTTATTATCGTCAAATTGTCTTGCTAAAATAACTTTTATGTGCTTTACCCGTGTAAGAAACCAAGCATACACCAAAGCTGACACAGCAGAATCGAGATCACATGCTTCATTCCCAAATATCACATTGAGTGTTTCGGTAGTTGTTAAAAGACTGCTCCGTCTTGCCTGACGAATAAAAAATGACAAAATCAAAGTCCAAGCTAGCATGAAGTCAGGTCAACCATCATAAAAAAGTGAAATTTTAGTATCCTATATTTTAAAGCATTCTGATTGCGATTGGTCACCTTTCTGCCTTTAGGGAGATTTTTGACATTTTATAGCAAGTTTTTTAGCAACAAATGAAAAAGTTAAAATGAAGATTTAAACTTCTTTGTTGAGGCAAACAAGCAAATATAGCGTCTGGTATAGTTTAGTACCACATGTACTTCTAGTTGGCCTGGCTCACCAATTTTTGCATACATCATTCCTAACCCCCACCTGACTACGTCACCGAAAAATTTCGTCATTGAGACGTCACAGTCAGACAGTGGCGTAAAAAGGCCCACCAAAGTATGCAGATGGTCGTTCAAAACGCTCAGACAATCACCCGAAATCGAGCAAGCTATTTCTCTCGTTTTCTCGTTGAAACGATCACGATATGAGACAGATTGCCGGCGTTATCGGCGGCGCAGATGCCATTTCGGGCGATTGTAATTATACTTTGGCAAGCTCTATGGCGTGATGGTGACGTCGTAGCAACATAATTTTTGGATGGCATAGTCAGGTGGGGGTTCTCTAGACTTAGAGAATGATAACCGTATCTACAGACCTATAACACAAACTCAGTGTGCGGGATAGGCCATCAATCGTTTATAACTAAACAGCGAGAACATTAAATTCCCAAATGATATTGCCGAATCTGTTTTGCTGGATCTGGCACTTTCTTATCAGAATAGCCGTTTTGTCTGTCCTGATTGCTCAAGTAATCAAAAAATCTTTTTTCATTCCAGTCTTATGTACCGGTACGGTACAATTTCAAAAGTGGTACAGGATTTTATTAAAAATCAGTAAAATGGTTAATTACAAGTTTTTCCGCATCTTACTCACCACGTCGGAAATTTTTACACGTGCCCGACTCAAAAAATCCACAAAATTCATCGAGGACAGTGGACCAAACCCCCACCAAACTAAAACAAAAAATAAACAAATTAGACACAAGCTGTCAATCAAACTTGGCTACTCCAGTCACTCAACCCGAAAGGGTCAGAGATCACACCGCAATTCCATTAAAATTGTAATTTTTGGCAATTGGCATTAAATATTTCGTCAATACAAATTTTACATTATTATTCCTTGTTTTTATTTCATATCGAATTATTTAATAATTTTGTGAATGTTTAGTGTTTTTTATTTCATTTATTTGACGCACCGGTCACGGATGAATCGACATGCAGTTGCTAAGCGACACAAGCTTCTCGACAATTTTGTCGCCAGGTCGCTGCTGGTAATTTATTTTGTCTCCCGGTAAAATTTAGTTAGGTTTCAGTTCAGTATGCCTCTATCTGTGTATGATGAATAACTACTTCATAGGGTTAAATCTATGTATGGAGTTGATTGAAACTTTTTGAAAAATAATTTTGCTTCAATTTTTATTCTTTTCCTATAAATTAGCCAAATGAGATGATACTATACGCTAGATAAAGTTAACAGGTAACGGAAGATGGACTATCAGGTTGGTTATTTAATTTTTGATTATATATTTCAACCTCAATGCTTTTTTCTCATTATATACATGTGTTTTGTTTTTTAAAAGTCAACTCCAAGGCTGAGGTCCAACAAAGTGAAACTGTCGGAACCACAGACATCAAGTTTTTTACCTCAACTTCCCCAGAAGAGAAACAAACCTCTATGGTCGAGTACTGCTCCTTCATTTGTACTGAATGGAAGTGCACCAGATGATGCTTTAGGAAGGTATTATAAAATTACTAGTATATTATCTTAATATGATGAAGATTTTCATAAGCTGTTTCACACACATGTTCTGTGGATGCTCAATTCAAAAGTATAACACTTGCCTTCAGTTCAAATTTATAAATTTGCAATATTGTATTCCATATTTCAAATGCTTTCAATAGTGGAGTTCTGTATTTCTTACGAGTATTTTTACGTTGAATATATACAAAATATAATGAAATAAAAAATATAATTTTTATATCTTTACTTTTTTAAAATTTATATTTTTATCAATACTTATCAATAAACAATTGATGCAATATATATTTGTCTTTACTCCTATTTGATAAGGTTCTCCACTGACTCTCATATTTCTGTTTTCTTCTTTATATTTAATGATTGTTTTGTCCTTAGGGACAAATTAGATCTTGCTCGTGAGCTGTCAGTTCCAGCTAAAAGACAAAAGCCTCACCAAAGAAGCAAAACATGGTCAGAAGACAAATCTCGTCATTCACTGACAAATGGAGCTTCCTCGTCTTTCCAACATCCAAAGAAAAGCCGAGAAGCATTCAGGAGTTCATTGGTCAACATTATAATGTAGGTTAAGTATTGTACTGACATTTTTGCGTGCTCCAGAAGTATGCGCACCATGCAGTCGCACAACCTGAATCCCAACCGGTACACACATACTATGTTTAGGTTGTGCGCCATCTTGGTGCGCATACTTCTGGAGGTCCCATTTTTTTTTTATCTATTTTGCCTACTTGCGTGATAGATGTACTGTAATAGCACATTACACCATCTTGAAATAAGAATCATTTAGTGTTATTGGATTTCCATAAATAAAAATTTCATATTTGTACAAAATGTTACTAATTTAGCCTGATTTAACTTACAATTTTCGATATTGCTCTTTGACAAGATGTTAGAAAGAATAATATAAGCCATTCACTCCATTTTTATCACTTTTACTATATATTGTTCGATATCAAGACATATGTAAATATATAAAAAATTTAAATAGGTTTTCTTGGTAAACAACATTACAAAACTTTATGATTTTACTTTTATTTGGTAGAAGATAATAAAAATAGATTGATTTTTGGATTCAATTTCAAAAAGTTTGTGTCATGGTTTAGATTTGTATGTTTTTTAATTATATTTTTAACATTAGGCATAAGCATGCAATCAGAGGTAAATTAGAAATGTCATACTTTTTAGGCAAAAAGAGGAAAAAAGTCGACCACCCAGTGCCACAAGTAGCTTATCACAAAGACCTGGTTCTCCGACAAGTGCTGAAAAGGACATCTTGAGATATTATTATTACATTCATAATGGCATTGATACAGGTGCATGGTGCTATATATTCGTATTTCACTTTATTCAACATAATCTTGTTGAAACAGATAATGGTGGCAGCTTATATCAGATTATCTTTCTGGATGTTTGCCCCATTCAAACACTATATACCACTGTTATGTTTATATACTACTCAGAATCAATATTCATTTTTTATTGTATGATTAAATGAACGATTTTGCTGAATATTTGAAAGAGGTAATAACAGTGAAAAGTGCATATTTTTTGGTGACCAGCTTCAAGTTTCTGTAATTCATTATTACCATTTAAATTTTCAAGTTTATTTTATTGCAGAATTTTTTTTTTATATTTTTCTTAGAACATGTCGCACCTATGGAGGATATGTGGTTGGATCATGTTATGCAAATGGTTCCAAAACGTTTGAAACATCTATCGGATTCCATTGAAACTTTATCAGATGAAATGAGAGAAGATTATCTTCTGTCAGTGAAAAAAGCTATTGGTAAGTTGCTTTCAGTATATTCATACAACAATTCTAAACTGAGGTGCAACATCTAAAATATTTTTGCAAGATCTGTAATTTTTCATAATGAATTTGAAAATTACTATTTTAAAGTATCCTGCAACCTTTTTGAATCCTGGCTTGGTATGTTACACTCTCGATTTTTGCAATACTCAATAAATACTCATTGTGAACATTTGAGTAGCGTACTGCTGATTCATTTTGTAGACTGAACAAGCACTTGTGACTTCTCAAATAATTGTATTGAAGAGCAATCAAATAAAAATATTATGTTACCCTTGTTTATAGTTTTACAGCCATTGTTGCACCATATCATGTTATTTGTCTTTAGAAATATAAACTTGGGTCTTTTGATTTTAATAAAAATTCAAAATATGAATGATTTTTAACAAAACTTTATTTTTTTGCTCATATGCATGTATTGTAAATACCCACTTGATTAAATTGAATGAAATGATTTCGGAAGGCTTTTTGTTAGAATTTTTTTATATATACATTATGCTTCCTGGTAAGCAGGAATGTCGAAATACTTAAAAAAAATTCCTGTATTTCCCGCCTCAGTAAAATTTATCAGTAATTTTGTGACCTGTGTTGTCTGCATAAAAAATTGATATTATTTAGAAATTTTTTTCTTCAGAAAAGCATAAGTCTATATTTTAAAATTACTTGACTTTCAGATTAGGATTATTTTTTGTCTCAAATGTGAGGATATATTTATTTACTTCAAATTCCTTGTTCAACTAATACTAATTGGTTTTACAATTTTTTTTTAGTCGACTTCGTACTTCGAGATCCAAGAGAGAAAGAAGAAGCAGCTCCAGAACTTCCACCGCACTGTGAGGAGTTAGAGGTTGTTCCTAAACCTTGGCACAGATCATTTGTTTCAGCTGCGAATTCTACTAAAGATAAATTGAATGTCACAAACCCAACAATGTTGGCTGTACTCGATCTTTGGCATGTATCATTCGGGTACGTTCAGTGTTTTTTAAATTGACTTACCGTATATAGAAAATTTTATTGACTATATTAGTATTTCTAGATTAGTTAAAATTCTTACCATGTAACATGCATCTTGATTGATTTATGCAAGCTCTCTTTTTCTAGGTTATATTGGGTTTGGAAGTTATATTAGTGATTTATGACAACATATAAAATAAGGAATGCTTTCCCCATTTGATTTTTTTAATAAAATTAAACTCTATATTCTGTATCCGGCAACCCTATATATTTTGTTGAAGTGTCAAAATGCAATTTGGAATTTTCATAGGGTGCACAAGGTTTTACTGTTTTGTTGAGTTAGAAAGTTATGTCAGTGATTTATGGCAACATATTTTTCATTTGTTCACTCGTAAAATATGAGAAGCTTTATGGATATTTACATTTCATAGTTTTTAGTGTGTTTATTTACCTCAAAATGAAAGTTTTGTTTGCTTTGTAAATATAGGAAACTTCGGTTAATTGATATTGAAGAATTTCACAAGAAAGAGGATTCAATGGAATTACAAACATTTCAAAGTCTTGTTTTAAGACATATTGAAGCAGCCAAAGACAAACTTTTGAAAAAGTAATAAATTGCTTCTTGGATAAGTATTTCTTATCATTCCTTTTTATTACGATATATAATATATTGTGTCTGTTCAAAATTTTGAAACAAAGAAGAGACGTTATTGGACACTTTAGGAATCATGAATTACATGCCTATTTGGTATTTTGTACTGACATTACTTGTCTATATTTACTTAGTCTATTTTATTTTCTTGGGGCATTACATTCTTTCAAGAGCAGTCATTCTATCCAACAGAGTGTGCTCTTGTCTGAAACTTTGCTCAAAATATGGACCTATTACCCAATATAAAAGAGGCTAGACAAGTATATATATAGGAAGAAGTCCAATACATACGTTTTCAAACCCTTTTTAATATTATACAGATGGTTTCCTGAAGTACAGAACATCTATTACCAAGGAAATAAAAGAAAGCAAGTACCAAGTAATCACAATGAGGCAAAGTTACAGTCATTCTTCAATTGTGCAGCAACATTGATGACACAACAATTACAAAGTCTTGCTCTTCTTTCTATTGACGACTACACCAGCTTGATTTGCCAACCTCCTGTAAGTATTTTCATAGAAACTGTGGCGAAATGATGTCAAATATTATTTTTGTTAATATTGAGAAATTCTCAACAGATATTTTATCTTTCCATTGTTCTTCAACATCTAAAATAATTTTATGTATGAAAAGTTCAAAAAAAACTAAATTCTAACTTTAATTTCAGTTTTTGGAATTTAATCCATATCTAATGACTAATTTGAGGTCAAATAATGTAAATGTTAATGTGATATTAAGACTTGCAACCTGTAGAGCTAATTACACAAAGTAAAATTGGTAGCCTATGTATATAAAGCTTCGAAGTATTTGTGATTTCCTTATTGAGCGTCACAGATTTACAGTAGTTTTGTGATTTTTTTCCCTTTATTCAATATACCGGTAATTGAAAATACAAACCCCAAAATTAAAATCATTGGATTTCCATTCTTCTTTTTTTACATTAATTGTTGAAACCGTGTAATTGTTGAAAAATTCAAATATAGTAATGAACTGTTATATCAGAACATGTATTACAGACACATATCACACAATAAAAGAACTTATTTCTTCATTTCAGACATCGATTCGAGCTTATGAACATTCTGGTTTCATCATTCGACTTGTGTTGGATGATACAACAATCAAATTTGAACCTGATTTTCCCGATTTTGAGTTGGTTATCGTCAATGTATTTGATGTTATGATAAAAGCTGTTAGTATTGTACCAAGAGTGGAAACCAAATTATATTCAGAATGGGTAAGAAAGTCTGTTTCAAATTTTTAACATAAAAGTATTTTTTGTGCGACAGATTTATGTTATGTATTTCTAGATGGTGCAATTGAATAATGTATTATTAGCTGTATTATATGGCCACACCAGGAAATATCCTGTAGAAAACTAGACAACTCTCCAACAGTTATCCCTTTTCACATCATTTACTTACAATTATCGTCAATCTCCATATATAATACAAGAAAGTGAATATGGGGGGAGCTGACTCTGATGACCATATAATCGTATCGCTCCTCCCAGTCTATATCAATGAAACTTTGCGTATGTTGTATATTTTTTTATTGTGGCAGTGTTTGTTTTCTGGTTGACAAATAATAAATATTTCTCACTCTCTCTCGGTATACTTGAATATAATTCATATAATAAGTATTAAATATAAGTAATAATTGTCCTTTATAATAATGAATCTTTCTAATTTATTCTTAAATACATTAGAAATTTGTCAAATCATATTTCTGAGTGTATGAATTAGATGAACACTGACTGTTTTTTTGGGATATGTAGTTCTGTCATAGTAGCATATAGATATAGTAGGATGTAAATGATAATGTGATGACTTCGCACTATTATTTAAGTTGTTACAGCATTAAATGAGTTCCGTTTAGTTTTTTCCATGTTTTCTGTTTTGAAGATTTCAACAGTTAAATTATTTTATCAAATGGCATGATCAGACAAAATATAAAAATGCGGTGCAAAACTTTCTATTTACACGCTATTCTTTCCTAAAAGTTATATTTATCTAAATACAATGCAACTTTTGAAATTTTATATCATTCGTGTAATAGGATACTACTATATTTCTAATATTCACGTCTTGTGAGGTCCAACACAATAGCAAAATGTATTGTAGTCATAGAATGTTTTTCTTGGGCGAGAAATGAACAAAGGTGTGCCTGAACTATTGTTCATTGTTTTCTTTTGTCTACGGAACAAAATGGAGTTATCCATGTTGAGTATTATGCAGTAATAATATTCAAGTATCGGACTTATGCAAAGGCTCTTGATGCCTTCATTTCTTTTAAGTTCATGATTAGGTGTTTTGTGTATTTGCTATGAACAAGAACCTGACACGCCTCTGTTAAGTTTGGAATGGCCAGAATCTATCTGTCCTGGCGCAGCCTGTCCAATTTCTAACATTTGGAGTGGTTCTCTCAAATTAAATTAGGGTCAGACTGATCGTGACTCATCAGAATTATTCTGAAATCTTGTAGCTGTCAGACTTTGGAATAAGATGACACTTTTGACTTGGCTCGCTGAAGATCTTGGCACTCAAGTGATTGCTCATACTTTTGCTCACTTCTGAGTGAGTGAGTGCACATGACCTTGCTTTGAGATCAAATTTGCCTCAAAAAATATGTGTTTATTATATCAACCCTGTCAAAAATAGTTAAAACATGCTAAAAATGACTGCAAATATCAATCATAGTCGCATTTTTTTCCTAATTTTTGTCATTTTCATTTTATGTTCCTAGTCTGGAAGCAATACCACACTGAAGCCTGTGATTTTGGATGAAATAATGTCAGTTGTAAAAGCACAAGTTCGTGCTGTTATTGCCAAAGAAAGTGAAGCACCAAAGGAACATTTGAAACTTTATGACAAATACCATTTCCTTATTAATAAACAGGTAAAGGGAGAATTATAACTATTGTTTGGACCATTGATTTGGCTTGTTTACTCTTTTACATATTCATTTTGGATTTTAGCAGAAGATTCAAAATAACCTTTAGCTAATACTTATACTTTATCATCAAATTTGTTTGACTTTTAGAACATAAATTTTATGTGCCAAACTGCCAAACATATTAAAACATATTCACATAAATTACCATATTCCATAGGCCATAGGGCACGTTTTGAATCCTTTTTATTCACAGAAATTGATTGTGCGTCTTATAAGCCGGTTTCGCCTAATGTATGGATCAGTTAGTGCTTTAAGTTTTATTCTTCACACCTAAAACCAGTACCAGTACCGGTTGTGTCTTATAGTCCAAGTGCGGCTTATGTATGGACAAAACCCCAATCTAGGCAATTCATTGACGGTGCGCCTAATACCCCCGGGGCGCTTTATAGTCCTAGAATACGGTAGTTACTTTGGTTCGTTTTATTGAAATCTGAATGAGATTCATACAAGATTTTTGTGTGCTCACTGCTCAGTTTAAGACACTTTGGGTAATATTTTTAGTCTGTGACACTAACATAGATATATCTAATGCTCTAATCATTAGACTATCACTAAGTCATTTGTTGAAATAATGTTTGTGGGTATTTTATTTAGGCTGAAGATGATGTTGTCGAGTTTTTATCCAAAGATAGATCATTTGATGATTACATCAGAGAAGTCACTAAATTCCAAAAATTGGCAGAAGACATTACCTTCAACTCAAGAAAGGTAAGATTGTTATATTTCATACACAGATATTGTAATTGTTTGCCATTGTTTGAAATCCAAATAATATATTATTCTTTCGAGAAAAAAAATGTCAATTTGCACCTCATGAATATGTTTTAATTCAATTATTAACTGTTGAAACTCTCATTCATGCTGAGGTTTAGTTGAAAACTATATGGAGTCATTAGCCCTATTTAGTCCTTTTACTGGCAATTGAACAGGCGATATGTGATATTTTGTTGCTCGAACTACCGATGTGCAGATGCTTAGATATATATTGTTATATTCTTCTGATACTAATCACTTAAATTCAACAAAACTTGTTATCAATAGCTTCTTACATTGGTTTCAAACTGGGGTTCGGAGACACCTTAGGGTTCTGTCAGACCAGTCTAGGGGTTACGCAGGTTCCCATTCAAATCCCAGAGTCAATATTATTATATGTACGGTATATTATTTGCACCATTACTAAACTTGCTTCGCTTCAAAGATCATTCTACTTTTGCCAGTATTAGGTTTTCTCTTATATAAATATCTATAGTTATACAATAAAAGGCAATTGAATTATTGTACAAATTATAAAGTTTTTGCAAGCGTCTGAAATGTTTCATGGGGGTTCCGCTCCATCAAAAAGGTTGAAAACACTGGTTTAGTAGATACACAGATTACCAGTATATGAAATTTTGCAGATTGTTAGGTTTGATATTCACTCAATGTTTTCAATTCTTACCATGGTGTTGTTAGTATTGTATGCAACTTTCTTGTTACAGGTGTTGAGACTTGGAATGTTTGAATTACACTGTGATGAATTGATCGGAAGTCTTGCTAAAAGAGCTGAGAATATGGCTAATAAAATGTTGACTACAATGAGTAAAAAACATCAGGAAGAAAACCAAGTGTAAGTTCAGTGTAGTAGGATTTTAAAAGTTGATTATCCGTAGGGAATGTTTACCGATTTACCAGACTGGGGCAGAAAATTAAATTATGTGGCCAACTGGAATATCAAACACGCTTGGTCAACACATGGGAAAGCTTTTTCACATTCATCCCGTGGGAGAGTAAAGACGATAATGCCACTCAATCATATGGCGAACCACAACCTGTCGTTTAGTTACCAGTCCATGTCAGGTATGGGATTAGTTAGCTAGTTATTTGTTTCAGATGCATTGACAAAACATTTTACAATAATTTTATACATACCTATAATTGTACAAAGGTATTAATATTGAATTTTACTAATAAATCATTATTGATCTAGATTGTGCAAGGAGTTTGAAGATATTGCCAACAAAGCCTTGACAACGCCTGCCAATACTGAAGAACTTGTGGAACTTAAAGAATATGTCGCCAAGGTTCTTTTTAAATTTTTTCAAAATTTCTGACTTTCAGCTCGTAGAACAAATTGGTAGCAGAAGTTTCAATATGAGCATCTCACCAATATTTATGTGATTCAAGAATTGTTTCGCTCGTTTTTTGAGCAATAAAGATTTAGAGAAATCTTCCCTAAATTATTACCGTAATTTTAAATTTTTGACTTCTGAAATGAATATACCTTGGCAATTTCTGCTCAGACTCAAAAAGTTTATTGATTATATGCTGTATACTGTCAGATTCTTCCAAATAGATTTTTAGGATGCATTATTGATTTTTTTCATAAAATGCAATGTCTATCTTATATAATTTAGTTTTATCGTACTTTATTTTGGTTCAATTTGGCTTCGTTCATTTTTTGGGTAAGGTAATGGACTCAAGGTTGAAGTGCTGTTTCTATTTTAAAATACTATTCTGTGGTCTTTTTATTTTCAGGTTCGTACTACGGATATGCTTGAACTTGAGAAAAAACTTGTCGTCTGCAAAGACAGACTCGCCTTTCTTGTTGATTTCACCTCATTCACTCCACGAGAGATTCGAACAAACAGCGAAGTATTTAAATGGCATGCCAGAATGCCGAGAGTATTTGAAGATCACGAGAGGATTATTGATGATAAGCTGAACCAATATCAAGATGGACTCAAGGTGGGTTACATTGAAATTTTGTTAAGTAAGTAATAGCCTATTTGAGTTGTATTATTACAGCTAATCTAATTATGCTAAGTATGCTAATCTAATTGAAGGATGAATGTTCGCGAGGTTTAGTTCAGTTGAGAATGTGAATGGATGTTTTTTATGAAATATTATTGAATGAAGAGATGGTAAAAACTTGCTATAATGACTAATTTGAGTATCAATTGAGTATTGCCAATATCAAATTTAGATCAGTATCAGTCAAAAATATGATATTTGTACATTTCTATGAATATATTATTTGTTCACCCACATTTTTTTTTAAATCTAAGTTGTAAGTCAGTTAAAGAGCAAAATTGTTATTCACTCCAATTTTTGTAATACGAATCACACATGTTTTATGATTCTGGTGAACTGGATAAATTATATTATTCAAGCTATATTGATATGCATGCATATCTTTGAAATGATGACACTACTAACCGCAACTGTTTTTTCATAAAGCTATTTTACAGCAACTATAATCAGAGTTCTGATGTGTATTATTATACTTACAGTTGAGACGTGAAAGATTTGTTGAAGAGTTGGAAGGATATTCTAAACAACTTGAAGAGTTTTCTGGATTCGCTGATCTCGCTGAAGTTCCAAGATATTTGAAGAAGGCCCAAGCTCTCACAAGTATGAAAAACGAATTTTGCTTCAAATGAATTCAAATTTTCGGATCCAAAATAGACACATACGTCAATTTTTGTTATTCTGGCTAGTGTTCATGTTTTTTCTAATGTTGTTGGGACAAAAAGTTATTTTTTTTTGACTAAAAGATTTAAATTCTTAACATTTGAAGACTTCCAAATAGTTATTGCTTTCATATTTTTTCGAATTTCTGGGTTTAATGAGCCTAATAAATTGTCGCCACACAGATTTTGCCATCAGTATTAGTAAACTTGTGCTCAATCAAATGCATATGTTTATGTTCATATATTTGTTGATTGCTTCTTAGTTTATAACATTGTATAATTACTTTCCTGTTTGATTGCAGCTCGTCTTGAGACTGCTTCTGAAAAAATAGAACAGTTCAACATTGAGGAAGAAGCATTCGGATGGGAAACTTCACAATATCCTCAGCGAAAACAACTTGACACCACACTGGCTCCTTATTTGAAACTTTATGAAACTACTGTTGATTTTAACAACAAAAACAAGTATGTCATTTTTTTAACTCAAAATATTTCGATTCATATTTAGCTGCATAGAAAAAACAAAGATACAATAATGGGAAGAATTTAGAGTATACTTGTTCCTGCTGGCCTACTAAATTTATTTAATGCTATTTGTGACAACAATATTGTCATTTCATGGTATATATACAGCTGAGATTGATTCTTTATTAAAGTATCATTAAGATATGTTATATGTATGCCTTACGACAAGTGTGTTTCGTCCAACTTTTAGGTTGAAGTTAAATATTTGAAATTCTGTTTATGTAATTTAAGTAGAATCAAATTTCATTTTCAATAAAATTAGTTCACAGATTCCAAGTATTCATTTGAAGAGATCCCACAAATGGCTATTAAACTACTGCACTTTGGCACCAAAACCATTTCAATTTGTCGATTTGCTCGTATTTAACTTTTTTCAAAGTGACATTCGATTATTCGATTTTATAAAAAAAACTATGAAAGTAAGAGGAAGACTTTTGACAAAAGAATGAATTATATAATCACATTTTTTTGCATCGTTTTAATAATAATATAAAATTTGCACTAGCACCTTATATTAACTTACTGACTGACAAATTTGCATTTGATTAGACAAATCACACAATCATTTTACATTGCATTCCATTTATTTCTTCAGTGATTGGATGCATGGCAAATTTGATTTGATTAATCCAGATGAAGTTGAACAAGAAGTAGGAAATGTATGGAGAGCTTTATATAAATTGGAAAAAACATTTGGTGAGAACCCAAATGCTAAAATGATTGCTGTCAAGGTAAAATTTTCTGGATATTATATTTTGTATAAAAAAGAGGGCAAATTTTGTTTCAGAGTAAAGGAAGACACAAAATTCCAATACTACTTATTGATTGATCATTGACATCCGTCTATTTTTAACATGAAATTGTTTATTAGTTCGCCTCAGTTTCTAGTTACCGGTATATAGAAATTTAAAAAAATGTACCAAATCGAAAGAATACCTTTCCTTTCAAATTTGGTTGTATTAACTTCGATTTTTATTCAATGATCAATATTTTTATTAGATTTGGACAAAAATATTAGATTTGTTATGAAATTTTCCAAATATTGATGTAACAAAAATGCTAAAAAACTTGTAGGATCATAATTGAGTTTTAAGTTTATTTCAAATTAAATATGTTTTTTTTTTTGTATTATAGACTAAAACAAAAGTTGAAGAATTCAAAGAAAACATTCCTATCATTCAATCTATTTGTAACCCAGGATTGAGAGATCGTCATTGGACTAAATTGTCTGAAATTGTCGGATTCCCAATCAAACCTGATGAGGTGAGAAAAATTTGCAAATATAATCGTTTTTAAGCTTTGAATCATTGAATGTAAAATGCATCATATTTAATACTGCCTCATCTTATTTGGTAATAGATTTTCCTTTTTTACCGAGTTTTATGTAATACTTACTCACTTTGCATTTGAATAATGTGGGCATACTGAAATTTTCTAGCCTCTGATATAAATTATCCAGTTTATAGCACACTGCTTTGGTAAGAAGGTGTTTGGCTGTCGCATCCTCATAAATAAACTGTGATAACTCTGTAGTTAGACTATCAATTTGATTCCTTATTGATTTCACCTACTTCTGAGTAAAATATTTCGTAATGCCTTCTAATACTTTCTAATTTTAAATGTTTCTTTTTGATTTATAGTATTGATTAATTTTAATTTGATTTTTATTACCATATTCTTTTAAATAATTTTAGGATTCTACATTATCAAAATATATTGATATGAATCTTGAACCATTCTTGGATAAATTCGAATCCATATCTGAAGCAGCTAGTAAAGAATTTTCACTGGAGAAAGCAATGGAAAAGATGGTTCACGAATGGGATGAGGTAATATGTAGTTTGATTTTATTCGTAATATGAACACATTCAAATACTATTGAAAGGGTTGAAAAGGAATTGACTATATAATAGGAAGGTTTCGTAATAATTCCAAGTTTGACCTAAAGAAGAAGACTAGAAAAGGAGCAGTCACCCTAATGCTAAAACATCGAAATGTTTCTAGTTTGCTACAATCTGCTCAATTTCTTTGTACTCTGGGTGAGGCGAAGATCTCTTTAGGACATCAGGCTAATGGGTTAGGAAAGTACTGTAATACACTATTGCTGTAAAAAAAAAAAAAAACTGGGCTAAGTCAAACAGAATGGCTATGAAGCTCATTAGCTATTTCATCATTTCATGTATTTAGCTTTCTATTTTTATTTTTTATATAGGACAGGGTATTTAGTAATTGTGTTGAAGATTTTATAGTGACAAGGGTAGAAGCAATTTTCATATACAAGTTTTCCTGTGTAGTTAGATCAAGAATTAACCAGAGTTAAATGAAAGAGATTGGCTATAGTACTCATTAGCTATTTCAGCATTCCATATATAAGCGTGTGTTTATGTCAGAAAGGATATCTAGTAATTATGTGTAGGATCGTATAGTTATAAGGGTAGTAGCATTCATGTATACACATCCTCAATGCAGTTAAATTATATAATACAATGATTAGCATGCTCTCGATGTTTACTAAGTTTATGATGTTTGGCTGGGATTTTACATTGTCTATAAATTTTAGGTGGAATTCAACATGATTCCATATCGTGAAACCGGAACAATGATTTTGTCATCAGTTGATGACATTCAGATGTTACTTGATGATCATATTGTGAAAACACAAACTATGTGTGGATCTCCTTTCATCAAACCATTTGAAGCCCAAATCAAGTAAGATTTATATTTGGTCAAGGTTTATTTCAAACGTTGGGCAAGTATGATGAAGTCTGATATAATATCCATACTAATTCCAAGTATATCTCTAAATTTTTCTCTGGTTCAAACTTTAATTTTTTTTTATATTACTTTGGACAAAGAATTGACTGTTATTTAAAGAAGAGTTTGATTGATAATTACTATTAAAAAATATGTTGTCACATTTCTAGTAACAGTGGAATGTGGGGAAGTCTAGGTAAAGTTGTTTAAATCTTTCTGATTCAATTTGGTGCGACAGAATTGCTGGATTCCTGTAGGGTGGTTCACGTAGCACTGGACAGTTAGGGCTTCCTCCATCACCAAGTTCATACATCTGAATCAAATCCCATACCCAACATGGACTGGAAACCAGACGAGAGGCACTGTGATTATCTGTATGGTTAAGCCATCTTAATGGTTTTCCTCTCCCTCGGGATAAATATGTACATCCTATCATAATCCTATTTAATAGTATCGGCATATTCAAAAATTTTTTTATGTATAATTTTCAGAAAATGGGAAGCAAAACTACTTCTGGTTCAAGAAATTCTGGATGAGTGGCTAAAAGTACAAGCTACATGGCTTTATCTTGAGCCAATTTTCAGTTCTCCTGATATTATGGCTCAAATGCCTGAGGAAGGAAGAAGATTCACAAAAGTTGATAAAACATGGAGAGATCTAATTAAACAATCTATTGTGGTAAGCTAATGTTTTTTTTTACTATTTTACCAAGATTAAAGTAATGATATAGCTCTGGACTTAATATGACAAATAGGTTAAATTGTGCTTTGGCTGTGACTACATTTACAAATTTTTTTAATGTCAAATTTTCAATAGTTAAAATTTAATTTTTTAACAAGTATTCGTCATATTTTATAGGACAAACATGTGCTTGTGGTTGTTGAAATTGACAAAATGTTGGATTCACTGAAAACATCAAACGAACTTCTTGAACAAATTCTTAAAGGTCTCAATGAATATTTGGAGAAAAAACGACTCTACTTTCCAAGGTTTACTGATTGTTTTTATTTTTATATATTATTAAATACAGGAAATAATTGGTTTTAATGCAATCATTGTATATTGACAGATTCTTTTTCTTGTCCAATGACGAATTGCTTGAAATTTTGTCTGAAACAAAAGATCCAACCAGAGTTCAACCTCATCTCAAGAAATGTTTTGAAGGAATCGCAAATCTGGAATTCACTGATATTTTGGGTGAGTCACTACTTTCGAAGTCCCAGTTGAAAGATTGCAGGAGTCAGAGTCGGAGTACTTTTGGGTGCTCTCGAAGTATTTGTACTGAGATGGCGCACAACCTGAACATAGTATGTGTACCAGGTTAGGATTGTTCAGGTTGTGCGTCATCTTGGTATGAATACTTCCGGAGCACCTATTTTTGTGTAATGATTTCCATGGCAATTTTGTTCTTCAGACATCACTCACATCAAGAGTTCTGAGAATGAAATCGTAAAACTAGTTGATGTGATTTCAACTGCTAAAGCTCGCGGTCAAGTCGAGAAATGGCTTTTAGAACTTGAGATTGATATGGTGAAAAGTATCAAGAAGGTTTGTATATCTCTCATCCATTATTTTCACTTTTTTATCTATACTTTATTCCTATTGAGTTGATTTCTGTATTGTTATCAACCATTCAGCTATTACGCTGGAAATTAGCATTCTCTTGAGTAGTATTTGAATATTTGTAATTCATTATTCACCAATTCCCTTCAACTTAGAAAGTCTCAGCATTCAACCCTTCAAATGACTATTGGGCCCAGAGAAGTTGGTATTTTACATTCGTGATTATCTACCTAATTTATTCCACCTATGCGTTGGATAGTGAATATGTATGTAATGGTTAAACTAGGATGGCATGGTATTTTGTATTTGTTTTGAAAAAGGGAATGTAAGCAAAGCATAAAATTGATGATAACAATCCAGGTCTTCTAGATACATAACCAGCTCATACTGTATAATAAATTGAACAGGAAGTTCAATTTATAATTGTTCAGTAAGGGTTCAGCCATCATTATATTTACTTTGAAATGATGGTCATTTTTGTAGTTCTATGCTGAATACTATCAAAATAGCATGATAATATACACTATTCCGAATTTAGTTCAATCTGATTCTGATTCATAATCCAGGTCATTGAAGAATCACTGGAAGCCTACAAGGTTGAGCCTCGAACTGACTGGGTCAGAGCTTGGCCAGGACAAGCTGTACTTTGCATCAGTCAGAAATACTGGACTGATTCAATACATCATGCATTATCAAGTGGACCTCAGGTACTTTGCCTTGTCCATTTTTTAAAATAAAGTCAGGCCTTCTTGATGTAGAGTCCAAATGGATTTTTTTTCTTGATGTAAATTATTCATGTACATTGAGCATACAAGCATATCAGCAGTCCCAAATTGTGATGAATGAAGCAGTGTTTGATAAATACTTGGCCTAATCGGAGTGCACTTTTATTGCACTTGGTTAGGTGTATGCAATCAATATAACATTCAGCCAATTTTATTATGTGACTAATGAATTAACTCTAGATATGTTCATTTATTGCGTGATTTGCAATTTCAGTTGTCCACAGAATTAAGTTCAATCAAATAGGTGAAAAAAAATTTATGATTTTTTTTAATTTTAGAATTATAGATAATGTTTAAATAGCCCACCGTAGTTCACATTGTACCAAAGTATGAAATATCACAAAAACCTTTTCCCCCAATTTATAAAATTGAAAATTTTCTTATTTATGTTGTTTTGTTGTGCGAACTTCACATTATATCTTTGTTTCTATCTGTGCACCATTCTCTCTCTACATTTTTCAGGCAATGCAAGATTATCTTGATCTTAGCAACTCCCAGATCAATGAAATCGTTGTTATGGTTCGAGGCAAGCTTTCCAAACAAAATCGTACATCACTTGGTGCTCTAATTGTGTTGGACGTTCATGCTCGTGATGTGTTGGCTGAATTAATTAAAAATAAAGTTGAAAATGACAGCGACTTTGAGTGGCTTTCTCAGTTGCGATACTATTGGGAGGTAGAGTATTATTGTCTTGCAAATCTCGAATTACTGTACTATTGAACATAAAATTGTGCATTACCATTTATTAGTCTATTATACCTCAGTGCTCTTTTGTATGCAGTGTGGTAAAAGTTTATCTTTTGGGATGAATTGAAATCATAAAACAGGAATATAACTGCATAAAACACTTCAATTTTGCAGCTTTCGTGCTATTCTGAAATAACAAATATTTCTGAACTTTGGTTTACAGACTCCTATTGTGCTACAATAGAATTGATGCCTACAAATTTATAATCTGAGAATTATTTGTTTTCATTTTTAGGAAGATAACTTACAAACTCGTATGATCAATGCTGGTCTTGCGTATGGTTATGAATATCTTGGAAATACACCGCGTCTCGTCATTACTCCACTCACTGACAGATGCTACAGGTAAATTAATGATCTGCTTTATCATCACAAAAATTAATTTGAAAAATTTTATCAAGTATTCATGCGAATTCATGCGAATGTTGAAGCACTGATACTAAAATGTGTCGTTTTATACACTATTTCAAAGTAAGTTAAATATGTTTTTTTTTTAGAACACTCTTTGGAGCTCTTAATCTTTATCTGGGAGGAGCACCTGAGGGACCTGCAGGAACTGGAAAGACAGAAACAACAAAGGATTTGGCAAAGGCAATTGCAAAACAATGTGTCGTATTCAACTGTTCTGATGGTCTTGATTACATTGCTCTCGGTAAATTTTTTAAGGTGAGATACATGATAGAAAATAGAATTTACATTTCAGTCAAATTTTGTTCTATATACATATGTTGAAAACATGCTATATTGTCAAGATAGTTTTACATTTTTTGAAAATAATATTAGAAGGTTAGTTTTTATGGTATCCAGTGACTAAGATTCCTGAAGCCAACCTGAAACAGGTCATACATTTTAAATTTAATAAAATTTATCAGGTTTATTGCATTTTATCCAAGTGATGAACTTGCACTATCACCACACTAATGGAGACCTGTAACCAATATTTCTGATATCCTGTGAACCTTTTCATTAATGATTTTATCAGCACAATCACAACATAGAAAAGAATAGATGTAATACTAGACATTACGGTAATTAATTTTTCATATGTAGGGTCTTGCATCCTGTGGTGCATGGTCTTGTTTTGATGAGTTTAACCGAATTGACTTGGAAGTGTTGTCTGTTGTTGCACAACAAATTATGACAATTCAACGTGGTATTATGTCTGGAAATGATCTTCTGCTTTTTGAAGGAACTGAAATTAAATTGGACCCAACCTGTGCTGTATTCATTACTATGAACCCAGGTATGCTTTGTTAGTTATCAGATTATGAACTTCACTACTGTTTTTCTTTATACTATTTATGTTAAAAAGAGATTTTCAATTAACTTAACTGGGTTCTCCATTGATTTTCAATTAAAGTTGAAGATTCGAAATGAACGAATGTGGGAACATTTCATTGTAAACTCTGGATGAATAAACCGGCACTATATATGCATAATACATGACATGCATTTATGTCTACTTTGATGTAAAATATTGAATTGGTTTATATATAAAATGCGATTGTCCTGTTTACACAACATGAAAATTATTGCGGCTTCCTCCACCATTAAGTCCTCCAAGTCTGAAACAAATAACTGGCTAACTAATTCAATACCCGTACTGTTACCGGACAAAAGGCCGTGGTTTGTCATATGATTATGCCCTGTTATTGTCTTTCCTTTTTTTCGGGATGAATATGTAAATCCTATCCTATTTAGCACTCAGTCAAATATAATTTATACTTTTCAACAAAGTTTCAATTATTTTATTTTTTTTGTGTTCTTAAATTAGAATTTTCATGGGCCTTATTTGCTTATCTTCTGTGTGCTCTTAGGTTATGCTGGACGTTCTGAACTGCCCGATAATTTGAAGGCATTGTTCCGTCCAGTGGCTATGATGGTACCGGATTATGCACTCATTTCTGAAATTATGCTTTACAGGTAAAATTTTCTTCTTTTTGGCATATTACAAGTGTGTAAAGCACAATTCATTCTATTAAAATCTAGTAGTTGTTCAATCTAAGTGCTTCACAGTGCTGATATATCTGCATATATTATATTATAACTAAACTATAATTATTAATCAAGTTACTTGTAGATTTACTATGAGATGCTTATTGTCTTTCATATCAGCTGTGGTTTTGTTAATGCTCGACCACTTTCTGTTAAAATTGTGGCAACATATCGTCTGTGTTCTGAACAACTTTCATCACAACATCATTATGACTATGGAATGAGAGCTGTGAAATCTGTGTTAACGGCTGCTGCAAACTTGAAGGTGATATTTTTTTATGGTAGTTTGTACTTATTTTGGTTGCAAGATAATGATCTGATATGATGATATGTGGACATTGTGTTATGATTTTTGGATATGTTGGGAATATAATCAAATTTGGTGTGATGCAATGTGGATATGATGTGATACTATATTTATATGATGTGATGGTATTTGGATATGTGCTGATAATTGGTAATGATGTGATGCTATGTGGATATGATCTGACGATATCTGAATATTGTGTGATGCCATGTGGATATGATGTGAGGTTTTTGGATATGATGTGATGATATTTGGTTATGATGTGATGCTATGTGGATTTGGTGTGATGATTTTTGGATATGATGTCATGATATTTGTATATGGTGTGATTCTATGTGGATTTGATGTGATGATTTGTGAATATGTGTTGATGTGATATAATGAAATGTGGATGTTATGTCATGATATCTGGATATGATATAATAATATATGGAACATGTGTGAATAAATGTGGATACAATGTGATTGTGTGTGGATATAATGTGATGATAAATATTATAATATATTTTAGAAAGTTAACTAAGAGATCCATGTTCTCATTGAATGATTTCTGTTGTTGTTTCAGTTGAAATATCCAGAGGAAAATGAAGACATTCTGATGCTTCGCTCCATCATTGACGTCAATCTTCCTAAATTTCTTGCTCATGATCTTCCCTTGTTTAGTGGTATTACATCTGATTTGTTCCCAGGTGTTAGACTACCTAAACCAGATTATGGTGACTTGCTTGAAGCGATCAAAAACCAATGTGATAAGATGAATCTGCAGGTAATGTTATGTCTTGATGGGCAGGATATAAATAAATCGTTATTGTTTAGTTATTTGCAATACCATTTCGTTGACCAACAAGCTGATCTCCTTATTAAGGCTGTGATAAAATCTATATTATATATATTATTCAAAATCTATATAAACTTTTCTGTTTTGTTAAATTCATTTTACTGCTTTTATTGTGCTGTGCTTTAGGGTAAGATTGAAGAAAATGTTTTACTCTGAACACAAGACGAATGATATAACACAGATGCTATATACAATATATAATATTATTGGAAAGTTGCCCTAACTTATGGTTATTTAGTGGAATATACATGCTTTGTTGTTATGTTCTTTTTTCATCCAGTTGCAGATAAATCAATCATTGCTGTAAGCTGGCTAACATTTGAAGTGTGATCATTAAAATAGGCAAATTAACAGCTGAATGTACAGTATGCAACAACCACAAAATTGAATAAACAAGAATATAGAATTTAAATTACAGTTATATCAGGAATCTCGTCATGTTGTACAGCAAGATAGGACATAGAAATCTTGTGGACCCAAAAAAAGAATGAACAAATGTTGATTTATTTGCATAAAAATATTAAGCATTGGAAACTTTTAATGGTCCAGCTTTGAAATGAGCTTTGACCACCTATCTATATTCATAAACAATGTTGTTGAAACATTTGCTAGGTTTCTTCATTACTGTGCGCAGTGTTACATGTTGCCTTTCTTTTCACAAAAAAAAATATAAAATGACATTTTAACAGTTTGTTCATCCTGACGACGTTGATGAAAATGCATCACCGGACGAGGTGACGTTTTGTGTGAACAAAAGAACGGTTTTTGTGGCATCTAGAAATCATTTTCCTATAATAAAATTTATCAACCTAAGAATTGTACTTTTTCAAACTTGGATGATTAACAAACTGAGTGATCCAAGCTTGATTGAGAAGATTCTTAGGATAATAAATTTTAGTCTTTCATGCTTTGCAGTGTTGTGTAATTAATGACCATGTCAATAAAAACACTAATTGCTTCAGAAATCCTAAGCAAAGTGTTTTTGCTGTGGATTTATTTTGTTGTGGCCTAATTTCATGTGTTTTGTGAATCATTCCATGAAACGGATTTGTTTTGGTGCTTCCGTAGTGTGTGATTTATATTTTGCTGCATAGTTCAAAATAAAATATCTTAATTTTCAGCAGATTTCAAAGCTGATATTGTCCTACGGTACTCTGCATAGATAGAGCCATGCCCTGTCATTCATGCTTTTCTGCACATGATTTATTAGGCTTGCATCTTTGCCAACATTCTCTCTTTATAACGTAACGACATATACATCATTGTTCTTCTATGTACAATCATACAAGCTTACTAAGAAATCATATTTGAAACCACAGAATCACTTGTGGAAGCCATATTGAAATATGAAACTCAAACTTGGTGATATATGCTTTTCATACGCTAAAGTTCTATCGCTGCTATTGATGATTGCTTTTACTTCAGCAATCATGTTATCTTCTGCCATTTTTTTTTGTGCAGTCTCAATTTGGATTGATGACAGATATAAATATCCTACTATTTGTAATAATGAAATTCAGAATAGGTTTCCTGCACCATACTATACAATAGAAATATGCTTGCATTTATACCCTTTGTTACAATGCACAAACATGCGGTTCCCAATTCTAAGGTCATTCATCAGGTTTGCTCATACTAAACCTGCAACCCCACTATAGATTGTGGTATGTCATATGATTAAATCATATTATTAGATTCCCATCAGCTTAAAAGAAAAAAAAGATATGTTCATAGCTGCGTGCACAGTAAAGAGTCGATTCAGTATGTACTTAGAATCATTCTGAAAATTTCTGAAATATGTCTGATGCTTTGAAAAGCTGAGAGACCGAAAGCATGAAGGGAATGTCTAAACAGAGCCGAACTGCATTACAACTTGATGAAATTTTTTTTTCATTGCTTCTGTTACAAATTACACTTTTCCTATTTTCTTATTTATTCAATCAACAGTGGGAACCAGGTACATGTGATCCTGACACACCTGGAGTTCGTGTTGATTCTGTTTATGACAACGATTGGGTAAAACTTGCTCGCTAGCTGCCTGATGGCATGCTCAGCATGGCATGTTATATAACCAAACAAAAACAATTTATCATTTTAAGACGAATCTATAAAACATGCTCAATGAGGTTTAATTTTAGACACTTGCTAGAAATGGTATAACACATTGGTTTACACTAGTATTCACTTTATTCTGAATGCATGTATACTTTCTAAACCTTGCATATGCATTAAATTCTTTTTATAATGGAAAAAGAAGAGAAAAATATTCAGACACCAATATCACCAATAGATATGATTTATTTTTTGGAAACACCAAGTCAAATGGTGGTAATGATTCAATAATTTAAGTTGTCCATTATTTCTAATGTATATAGTATAATAGGTATGATTGTATTATATTTAACTCCAACTATGTGATAAGCATATATATTCACTTGTTCAATAATTTTTCTTTGGAATTAATTTGTTTCTATTACTTAGTGTAATAACTAATAATATTTTCATTTTTAAATTGGCTGTATAATCAAATTATATTCTCTATCCAAAATTGATATATTTAGTCCTGTCAGCTGGACTGTGTATAAGGTAAACTAGATTGACTATCTTAAGTAGATGCAACCCAATATATGCAATAATGTAGGTTTATCGTTTTATGGTTGATAAAAATTTGAAATCTTTTTTAATTAGTAAATGTCTCATTCAAATAATTTCTAATTTAAGGCATACCATTTCTCTATTTTCTTCTGTAATATGCATAATGTAGTGGCTTTGCTTGAAATAATGTTTTTTTTACTGCATGATACTCTTTGCATGTAATGCTTTGAATGTATAATTGATTTTGTTTTATTTATTATTATACTTGCTTCATATGTTGATTGAAATTGAATTTTATTCCAAGCGTAACGCATGATCCAAGAAATTAAAATTACATTTTCGAAAATTGCAGATGACAGATTTCTTCACTCAAAAGATTTTGCAAATATTTGAGATGATGATTGTACGACACGGTTTCATGATTGTCGGAGAACCTTTTGGTGGAAAAACCAGTGCTTATCGTATTTTGTCTGGAGCATTGGCAGAAATTCATGAAAAAGTAAGTTCATCTATCTCTATGTGCAACTAACTATCTGTTTTCTGAAGGGTATTTGTAAGTGAAAATTTACTTGAAACAAGGTCATACACAGACCCATAACCGATTATGGAATTATTATAGCTTTCCATAATTGAACTCATAATTGACCCTCACGTCACGCTACAGTCCTGTTAACATTACCATATTGTTCAATTTCATAATTTGGTTTAAATGCCTTTATAATTTTCTTTTATTTATGGTATTTGCATTGCTTGGGGGCACATTGCTTGGGTCAACTGTATACGGTATTTGAAATAAAAGTACTGAAAGATGAAAGATACTTAACTATCACAGAGGTATTGCTGGTTGGAGCATTGTGCTTAGCCTTCAGTAGGTGTGGTATATTACTGATTTTCGAAATATTGTCATTGCTATGGTGATTTTATACAGGGACTTATGGATGAAAACAAAGTTCAGATCACTGTAATCAATCCTAAAGCTGTTACAATGGGACAACTGTATGGTTCTTTTGATCCAATTTCTCATGAATGGTCTGATGGTATTCTTGCTGTCTCGTACAGACAATTTGCTTCATCACAGGTATTTTAAACATGGTTCCTCTTGTATTTAATTTAGTATAACAGGATAATTACATATTATGTGTACCATGTCTGTTATTTACAGTGAGAACTAAACAGAGATTTTATTACATTTTATTGAGAGATTGATAACTGATTTATTGCTTGAGAATGGTGCATGAATAGCATGAATAAAACAGCGCCTGAACTTGTAACAGTAGCTAATGAACAAGATGAAAATTATAGCTTTCCGTAATCAATTGTTATAATAAAAATCTTTTTGATAAATCTTAATGCTATAAATCTGAATATCTATGCAATTCACTGAAATTCTTTTAAAATAAGATTCAGTACATCCATTTATATTGTTAGAAATGTAATTTTTGTGGAAAACAAAATAATATTAGGAAAATCAAACTGCTTGAGAGATCAGTTTATCATCTTTCAACTCTCTATAATATGATGTAATTTTATTCTATTTTCGATGTTTTCAATATCTTTATCATATTTATATTTAGACGCCTGATCGCAAATGGTTGTTATTTGATGGACCAGTCGACGCCATTTGGATTGAGAACATGAACACAGTACTTGATGATAACAAAAAATTATGTCTGATGTCTGGTGAAATTATTCAGATGTCACCTCAGATGAGTCTTATGTTTGAACCTATGGATCTGGAAGTCGCTTCACCAGCTACTGTAAGTAAATAGTTGATAAATATAGTTGTGTCCTTGAAACCTTAAAATGTTTTAAAATTGCATAGGGAATTTATTGATACTATATTTTGTTTCGCCCTCACAGATGTAATGAATGAAGTAAAAATACTTAAACAATTACTGAATAAAAAATAACAATGTATTGAGAACTAACTTTATAACAAAATTAAAATTGTAAAGGGACTTTATGGGGACACCCTGTACTTCTAGTATTTCTTCCCAGTGCTTTGCTCTATGTCTGTAGATAGAGCATGGTTGCAGTGCAGAAAAAATATTTTTGATTTTTTTAGGTATCTCGGTGTGGTATGATCTACATGGAACCTCACATGCTAGGATGGAGACCATTGATGTTGTCCTGGTTGAATACTTTACCTGAAGGCATCACTGATGCTCACAAACAAATGATTACTGAACTTTTTGACAGAATGATCAAACCCGTGTTGCAATGGCTTAGGAAAGGTTCTGTCAGGGTGAGTTCGTGATTTGTTGTTTGATATTTGGACAGCATTTAACATACTGATAACTGAATCTACCTTCAAGTAAAATACCTCTGTTTGGCCATATCTATATATACCTTTCCCAAAGATTCCATTAGAAGGTCATGCCTTCTGAATATTAAGGTAAAATTGTTTCTTTGAATTGAAATCATAATTTTCTTTCAAATTTACACAATTTTATATGAAAATTGTGGGTAGTTATTGATGGAATTGAGTAAAGATTTTGATAGTATTATATCTCAAAAATGAGTTTTTTATTTTGATAAAAAACATATACAACCTTTCTGCTGTTTTATAGTCCAAAACTTTAACTCCTGCTTCAAATAGTTTCATTGCTGGCTTACAAATGTAGAAAGTTGAAAATTGAAAGAGAAAATCTGAAATACCAATTTTGACTCAAAAAAAAAAAAAGAAACCCGACAATTTAACTTGTGGTTCTTGATTCTAGTTGTTAATTCAAATTGTACAAATAACAACACAAAGAATTCAAATGCAAAATGAAATTTGATTACTGTATTTCAGGAACTTTCACCCACAACTAACACAAATCTTGCTGTTTCTCTGATGAGAATGATGCAAGCTCACTTTGATGAATTCAAAGATCCTGCGAAGTTAAAGAACAGAGATGAAAAAGAACAAAGTTCTATTATTGAGGTAAACAAGGTTACAGAATAGCATACGTTAAAACATTTAGCATAATAAACTGAGCCCATTATCGTATTTTCAAAAGATTTGAAAATTGTATTCAACACTAGAACAGTGTTTTTCAAACTTGGGGGGTATTTATTGTTTTCAGGGAGGAAATACAAAATGTTACTTTGTATTCGGTGTAGTTTTATTAATGTTTTTTAGCTCAATAGTATCATTGTAAAACATATTCAGGTACGCGTTATAAACTATATAAAAGTCAAAGTGCGCGTTGCGAGTTAACAAGAGCTTTTTAGGATCCTTTTACGATTAAAAATATAGCAAACAGAGTTTTATGCATTGTGATGGAGAAATAAAGAGATTCAAATGAGGCGAAGGGGGGAATATATCAAAAAAGGTTGATAACTGCTGCAACAGATCATGCTCAAAATATTTATTTTATGTAATCAATATGGACCTATACTGCAGGAACTTGAACTCTTTTCTTTTCAGGGAATTTTCCTTTTTTCATTCATCTGGTCACTTGGCAGCAGCACTGACAGTGACGGTCGCGAAAAGTTTGATTACCTTCTTCGTGAAATTATGGATGGTCCTTTATCTGAAGAAACTAGAAAACAATATCACATCATTGATCCTGTCCCACCCCCGAGTAAATCATTCACTGTGCCAATACCTCGCACAGAAGATGTTTACAGTTGGAGATTCGTTATGGAAGGAAATGGAAGGTTAGGAATTATTTAACTTTGTATGTAAAGAATTATCATTTAAAATGAATTTTATTTTGCATTCAAGACATCTATTTACATTACCTTATTGGTATCAATTCAAATAAAACAAACAGCTGTTGTTTATTTGCTATCTTTTATGTGAGATCCACAATTTCCTTTTATATATAGATTTTTGTTTGTTAAATCTATCATTGGATTAGTGACTTTTTATCATTTTTATATGGCGCTCATTCACTCTTTTCGTTTTAAACGAAGTCTCAGACAAGCAAGCATCCACTGATATCTAACGATATGTTGAGGACCCAATTGGACATGGGAATTGAACTTAAGATTTGTAACATGCGATACCAACGCAGTTTACTGACTTTGACTGCTAGGCCATCCTATTATTATCTTGAAAATTCAAATATTTACCGTTATTCTATTTTGCCACACAAAGGTATACTTATTTAACAATATCGGGATATGTTTTCTACATGGCATGGAAGAAAATGAATGGCTAGCTGGGCAATATTATGACGAGTGATTATATGAGCAATATTCTAAAAATTGATTTTCGATTTACCAATCTCTCTTTTCTTGCTTTTTTGTTTCACTTGAAGATGGGAAAAATGGACAGATACTATCAAAGATGCTCCACCTCTTCCAAAAGACATTGCTTTCAATGAAATTGTCATTCCAACTAAAGATACTGTCAGATATACCGCATTGGTTAATACACTGACTACACATCAGATTCCAGTATTGTTGGTTGGCCCAACGGGAACTGGTAAATCTGTCTATGTCAATGTAAGTACAAACAGTTCCTGTGGCTGATATGTGGCTCCGACAAAAGTCCTGTTGAATGCAGGGAATTGTTGAAATTTTTCATTTTCTCATAAGCAAATAGACTGTAGATTCAAATATAATATTCATTCTAGCAAAGTTTCACAAAAGCTCGAATGGTAACATTTTGGCAGGATGCAAAACAATATTTGACGTGTTCCTCGATTTTGGTGGGAAATGAACTGTTGTAAATGTCACACACGGCCACTAATGCTCTGAGACATATTCTTATCCTTGTGGCATTGCCAGTAGATTCCAGTGTCATGTGACTTCAAGTCATTATTGTTAAGAAAATACTTGGTGGAAAATTGTTCAAAGGCGAAAATGAACTTTAATTAGATATAGACCTAAGCTGTTTAGGTCATGCGTTTTGTGAATAACCCTTGTGCAAATGAATTTTAATTACCAGAATTTCCAATAAAAAAATAGTATATGAATGACATTTTGCAGTAGAATAATTTATGAGAGATCATGTGATTTATTTTGTTATTTATAACAAACAAAATATTAATTTTAGAATTACTTGATGAATGATCTTGACAAAGAAATATTCAAACCTTCTGTCATCAACTTTTCTGCGCAAACAACTGCAAAACAAACTCAAGATATTATCATGTCTAAACTTGATAAAAGACGTAAAGGAGTTTATGGGCCTCCTATGGGAAAGAAAACTGTAAGTTTGGATTTCAACATTTTGCCACAAATGTTCCCGAAGCCTGTTTATTTGATTCAATCAAATACATATTTATTTTCAATACATTGATAAAATAAATAAGAAAGTTTTTCCTCAAGTTATGATAAAAAATCTAAGACCTATTGTTTCAAAAGTAAAAATATAGACCGTAGATCATGCTCATAAAGTATTAGAGTATTGAAGATGTTATATTAGATTATTATCCTCTTCAGCAGTGCTTCTGAACCTTTTTGATATCGCGGCCCACTTTGACGGAGAGTTTTACTACGGGGACCACCTTTATTAACATTTTTTAGAGGCTAAATAAGTCAAGGCAGGTTTGTCCAAAACGAATTGAATATCTGAATATCAAGGTATTCATATACTTTTTCGTCGAATTACTACTCTAAATTATCGCTGCAATCTGCGAACATATAATGTGTAGTTAACTTCCTGATTATAATTAATTTTTGATTTGTATTTTTGTACTTATTAAAATATAAAAACATTATTACTCTAAAATACCATAACAATCTCCATGTCCACCGATTGTGAGGAGCTGCTCTTCAGTACCCTTACTTAGGAGAATTTAGCTTTCTGTCATAATGTCCCATAGATTAGTATTCTTTTGACGTATCTACTATCATTCTTTATTCGGACACTTTCATATGTGTATAGGTACTAATATTGTTGAACCGATCAGCCTTTGAATAGGATTTGCAATCTTTGCGCTACCATAGTATGCCATAACACTTTCCTTACATTGAAACATTTCTAAAGGTTATTTTTGTTGATGACATTAACATGCCAATGAGAGAGACATATGGTGCACAACCTCCTATTGAACTTCTCAGACAATGGCTGGATCATTGGAATTGGTAAGCTATAAAAGTATTATTTTAAACTCTTTTCATCACTACCAACTTGGCACGGCCAAAATTGACAATACCTTCAATGAGAACGATGAGCTTGCATATTTTTACACAAAATATCAAATCTTAACTCTATTTCACAGATAGTGGGTCTCCGTACCGGTTCCAATATTTCAAATTTGATTTTGTTTTAACATAAGTTAGTGTCGAAAAAAGACCTTTCGCGACCCACCGGGGGATCAGGACCCCTAGTTTGAAGAGCCTTGACCCATATTATACTTAAATTATTGGGGCAATTTTCTTGTGTACTGGTATTTAAATAATAATTTTTTTTGTTTTTGTATCTCAAAAGGTATGACCTGAAGGATTGTACAATGATAAAGCTTATTGATATCCAACTTATGGCTGCAATGGGGCCCCCAGGTATGTCACCATAATAATATTTTGAGGTGTGTGTTTGATATGTATAATACTTTATACAGCTCCACTCATAAAAAAGTATTTTGGCTAATGTTGAATTTTAAGGTAAAGTTTCAATTCATTTACAAATAAATGTAAGAATAATGCATATCTATCAGGAAAATGAAATTCCCAAAGTTGGAAATAGCCATTTTTTATTTTGTCATTACCAAATCTGAGATATTTATATATGGAGAATTCAATAGTAAATATGAAATTGTTATGTCAATATGTTAAAACTACTCAAGGAAAGACACGAAGATTACAAAAAAAGGATGACACTTCTTGAAAATAACTACAATGCCAATTTTGACAACGATGATTTTAAATAGTTGAAAAATCTTAAATAAATGACAAAAATGAAATCACAGTCCACAATACCAGCAGACTCCTGATTCAATTTGTTACTTACTTAAATTCATTTTTCACAACAACATCGTTAATTTCAAATTTACGAAAATGACGCATCTGATGATTTTCACATTAATACTCCCACACCTTGTATACTATCAAGTATAGAATAAGTTGAATTACTCCTTGGATAAAAGTAACTAAATTTAAATAAATACAAACATACTCAATTATCATATTTTTGTTTGCTAATTTTGAATAATTTGTATACAACTTTTATCTTTTTAGGTGGTGGCAGAAATCCCATTACTCCTCGATTCCTTCGTCATTTCAACACAATTACAATCAATGTATTTGATGACAATGCTATGTCTACGATCTTTTCTCGTATCTTGGATTGGCATTTTACCATCAGGTAATTGGCTATCCAGTGTTTCAACAACCATTATTATAGAAAGGCATTCTTTTTACATTCCTGGGGATTGTATTTTTTTAAGGAAATTGGCTCAAAGTTAGAGTTTGGTGCGATTTCAATATCTATATTTTGCGCATAGATAAATGAGTTAGAGCAGGACTGTGCAAACTGGTCCGCCAATCCATTTTGTGTGGACCTTGTCGGAACCCAGATTTTTCCCATCGAGCATAAAGGCACAAAATGTTGCACACCCCTGAATTAGGGTTTAATAAACACACTGGTAAACAATATTTCAAGCAGAACATTGAAGTATATTTATGGGGAAATATAGTCTATATCTTGGCTCGTATCAGGAAAGAGACTATGATTTGCTATATCATTGAGCTATGTTATTTTTTTTCTCCTAATTGATCAATATTGTTGTAGTTTTTGTAGGAAAATCTTTAGACATTTCTTTTGATGAATTTCTCAACCACTTTCTAATCTAACTTTTGTAGACATCCATTTGGACCTGAATTCAAGAAACTGACGCCACAAATTGTCAACGGAACTCTGGCTGTATTTCATTCAGCTACTAAGAATCTTCTACCAACACCAGCCAAGTCTCATTATTTGTTCAATCTTCGTGACTTCAGTCGTGTTGTCGCTGGTGTCTGTTTGTCTGTTCCTCAGTCTGCAATTGACACAAATGTCATCAATAGACTTTGGGTGCATGAGGTGAGTTTGGTTTTATTTGTAAACAAACACATTTGGAACAAATAAATGTGAACCATGATAGGTTTACTGTTAGTCTACACAGAAATCAAAAACTTGCGGTTATTCGAAGCCTACCACAACCTTTCTGCATTAGGTTTTTGAAAAAATATCAAATATCAAATATCAAAAATTTCAAATAGCCTGCTATTTTATTATCGGAATTGTGAAATCTCTGACTTTTATATCATTGTGTTGTGCATTACCTTGAATTATGAATTTCTAATGATTGTTTTTCTGTTTTTACACACCTTTGCATTGGTGCGATTTCTGTGTAAACAGCCAATCACAAATAAAAAGTTGAAGACTTTTAAATTAGCAGAATATTTCAATGATGGCATATTCTAATTACTAATTTTTTACACAGTTTTACAGACAAACCACATCATTTACTTATCATCACATCTTTTGGGATCTCAGCTTTTAACCATGTTTAATTTCACTTATATAGGTGATGAGAGTGTATTATGATCGTCTTGTTGATGACAGTGATAGATCATGGCTTTTCAATTTCCTTCGTGATGTCATGAAAGAAAAGTTTGAAACTGAGTTTGATGACGTATTCAAACATTTGGATTACAATAACGATGGAGAGGTAAATTTTTATTTTGTTACAGATATATTGCGATAATTGTAATATTGCATATATTGGACTTTTTTTGGCATTTACTCTTCCCATACTATTTCCATATATACCAGTAATGATGAATATACATTAGAGGCTTTTATTACGGAATGGTTAATCTTTGTTAAATATATCTGTTTTTAACTTTAATCACATGAGATAAGCCTGGGTTTATATAATGAAAAAGCAGGATATTGTTGTACATTCTGAGTTATTTTTAAAGCTATCTTCAATCTTACCTAGGCATCCTTGCTTCATATGCATATGCTTTAGCGTAAAAGCATAGAAGATGGATAAGTACCTAGTTTGCCTCACAAAATTGTTAAAAATTTGTGTTTATGTTTGTGTTTTTAATTGGATTTGAAATTAAGAGTTTTCAAACATTAGAATTGAATATTAATTCAAAAAATTTTTTTTGTTCCATTACAGGCTTTTGGATTGTACATTGATTTAATAATTTTTCATATAGGTTGAGGAAGATGATCTTCGCAGTCTTATGTTCTGTGATTTTACACCTAAAAATGAAGACAAATTATACATGGAAGTCGATAATGTCGACAAACTACGTGAAGTTGCTGAAGGACATCTTGAAGAATTCAACAATTTAAGCAAGAAACCAATGAATCTTGTCCTTTTCAGGTATCAAATTTGAGAGTTTTGAACCAACTGAACTTTTTCATATATATATATAAACACATTAGGATTTCTGTAGTTTTTATGTAGTTTGTTTTCTTCCAAAGCTTGACTAAAAATTAAAAAAACAAGATTTTTCACATTTTTTTTTATATTTAGATTTGCCATTGAGCATGTTTGTCGTATCTCTCGTATTATCAAACAACCTCGTAGTCATGCACTGCTTGTTGGTGTTGGTGGATCCGGCAGACAATCTCTCACCAGACTTGCTTCACATATGGCAGACTTTGAACTGTTCCAGGTATAAAGTATTAGTTTTAAAGTATTATTTATCATTTACAATGAATTTGACTGCATTTAGCAATGTTTTATTTTTTATTTTTGTGAGGCTCCAAACAATGCTCCAGACAAGCAAATACTGTTACACGAGGACATATCATTTTTGCCTGGTACAGTCTGGTATCTGTAATTCTTGCCTTCCATTTTTTCTCTCATTTTTGTTAGGTTGAAATTTCTAAAGGCTACACATCTACTGAATGGCGTGAAGATTTGAAAGTAATTCTAAGAAAATCTACTGAATCAGAACAGAATGGAGTTTTCCTTTTCACTGATACTCAGATTAAAGAAGAGAGTTTCTTGGAAGATGTCAACAATTTGCTGAATGCTGGAGAGGTAGCTTTTGTTCGATAATTTCGATTTGACGTTAAACATGAAATATTGTCAGTGTCTTGGGAATGTCGTGTCCCACTTGTCCCAAGGAAAAGTGGGACATGTGACCCAAGTGGGACAATTGAAACATGTGAGACACAATATTTTTAAGACACCCTAATATTGTTTTGATTTGAGCGCAGATTTTGAATTATTATAATAACAGATATTTTTTACAAAGCTCTATTTCTTGCTTTCTATTCCTGCCAATTCTGCCAATTTAATTTTGATTCTTCAAATTTTCTATTTAATTTGTATTAAAATTACATGTTAATCAGTCATATTTTATTAAATTTGTCACCAAAAATGGGTATTTGAATGACAGCTTTTTTATAATTTACGCTACTACGTTTATGTAGTACTTCTTGTACTTTCTTGGTAGCTATGCATTGCTTCCTATCTGAGATAGAATTTATATATTTATCTTTAATAAGAAGAAAGCGATTAGACGGGTCAATCCTATGGCGTACCACACATCTCACTCTGCTATAATTTATCCCTATAGTGTTTTTTGTTTGTGTTCTTATCACGTTGCCCCACTCTCTCTAGAATAAATATAAATGAACATTCTCATCAGAAAATCTTTCTGAGATTTATACTTTTTATGAATCAAGTCATGACGCTCTGTTTTGTTACCTAGGTTCCAAATTTGTTTGCCATCGATGAAAAACAAGAAATCATCGACAAAATGAGACAACTCGACAGACAACGGGATAAATCTAAGCAAACGGATGGATCTTCAAATGCGTTATTCAGTTATTTCATTGGTAATATACACAATTCTGCATTTGATTATTTATTTAGTTCACTAAATTGGTAAAATTCATGTGTTTCATTCACGGTTTTCAGTAAAATCATATCAAGGATTGAGAGGAGAAAAGCAATTAATGAATCTATACCATTGAATTTATTTTGTGGATTTAATACATAGCTAACGCTTTTTTGTAAAGCAAATAATAGCATTATTGTAGTGATTTCTCTATTTTCCTCAATATCAGTTTTTGTAATATCTTTTTTGGAAAGCAAAGTTATTGACAAGTAGTCACTTTTGTCTAATTATTTTCTGAAATCTCATTTATTTTGCCTTTTTTGGGTGTTCTAGAAAGAATTAAAACTCCATACATTTTCTTGTAATGCCAATGCACTGTCCTATCATATCACATTCTAACAAAGTCAGGAATTCAAGCATTAAGTTTTATCAATATCTTTTCCATATTACATTGTGGTAAACCTCTTACTTTGCTTCTGTTTGTTTATTTTGAAATCTCTACCAAACTTTTTCAGATCGATGCAGAGATCAACTTCATATTGTACTCGCAATGAGTCCTATTGGAGATTCTTTCAGAACAAGATTAAGGAAATTTCCATCACTTGTGAATTGTTGTACTATTAACTGGTTCCAGGTACTTGAATTCATTTAACGTTTCAACTTTAGAAGCAATTAAATAGCTCTGTTGAAATTAATGTCTCATGTGGAATCATTTTAATGAAAAACCCAGATTTGAATGATAAGTTGTGGTCAATTGACCGTCAAACAAAGAAAATCATATTTCTATTAAGTGGGCTTTTTGGCAGTCAAATTTCTATGTAAGCATCTTTGTAAAATTATCAATTTGCATTTGTCAAATGTGACTAAGCAGCGGATATAGGTCCATATTGATTAGAACACTGTTAATAGCTGATCTATTTTGATCCAAGCCACTGATTTTTTTACTTTTTCTGGTGAATTTTAGTTTCAGTTTTGAGTTTCATAATTGTTTCTTCATTTTTGTCTTCTGTTAGAAATTCATATTCATCTCATTTTTATTTCAGTCATGGCCAGAAGATGCTCTAACAGCAGTAGCATCTCGATTTTTGGAAGATGTTGAAATGGAAGATGACCAAAGAATTGGATGCATTAAAATGTGCAAGACATTTCACACTGTATGTTATGGATTACTTTGAATTACTCATTTGAACTTTTGAAACAATAATTAAAAGCGCTAAAAGCTTAGAAAACTCGATTTATTTAACTTGCTTCTAATGATTATAATAAGTAATTGAAAATTAATTATTAATAATTGAAGCATCAAGTGCGTTTGAGTCGCATTCTTACCGCCTTACCTTAGAGATATTGATTTGAATGGACTATGCTAAACTAAAATATGAAATATGTACAAAAATGTTTTGTATACGAAAAATGCTGCTTGAAGGATGGTCACGCTCGTTATTTGTACTCTTTGCTTTTACAATATAGAATGAATTATCTGTAATTCTATTTTTTTTTTCAGGGGACTCGAGTATTGTCGGAAAGATTTTTGAATGAGCTTCAGCGTCATAATTATGTGACACCAACATCGTATCTGGAATTAATTTCAACATTCAAACAACTTCTTGATAAAAAAAGACAAGAAGTTCATAAGATGAAACGTCGTTATGAAGTTGGATTAGAAAAACTCATGTCTGCTGCTTCACAGGTATGAATGCCTGAAACTGAAATTCTTTTTGTTGATTTTTGAAATTATCAATTGTCTTTATTCGTACATAATTAGTTGTGTATTATGGAATACAGTTGGAGGGGGGGCACAATACTAGGCGCAAAACTGATTTTACTTTTTACTTAAACGAGAAAACTCCCCATTCTTCATAGTTTCATTGCTTGATAAGGTTATTTCATAGGGCATTTCCACATGTTTGTGCATGAATTGTTTGAACATAATGGGATTTGGAATAAAAAAAAAACACTATACATAACAGGGGGAGTGCTAAAAGCCTTCGGAAAGGGGGTGCAAGTCATAGAAGGCATGAGAACCACTGTCCTATGCCATTCAGTGTGAAATATACGAGTAGCAAGCTTTGTTACAGGGTAATTAAAGGTAGCATGTCCTTCAGCATCCCAGATATATTAATGATGAAGCTTTCTCTTGATTGAATTTTTTAGGTAAAATTAAACTTTACTTCAGGTTGCTGACATGCAAAAAGAACTTACTGATCTTCAACCTCAACTTGTTGTTGCTAGCAAAGAAGTCGATGAAATTATGGTGAACGTGGAAAGAGACAGTATCGAAGTAGCTAAAGTTGAAAAGGTTTGAAGATATAACTTTTTTGTATTCATTTTCAGTTAGATACATACAACTGGCAGTTTCATATCTGATACAAATCCAAATTTTGAAGGGTGTTAATTGAATTGTTTGAATTGATTTAAAATTGGTTTAAACCCAAAATTTCTATGCATTTTCATATTTTGTCATATTATTTAATATTTAATTTTTGATCGCAAAATGTTTTATCAATTTCAGCAAAAAATCAGGGCTAATTGCTAATAATCACTTACAATTTACTCTACAATATTATATTTTGTGATGATTCATCAAATGAAAATAAAATTACCCAATCAAAAACATCATACAAATTGCACAATAATATTCAATTGACTCTCTTGATAAATCCCTTTTATTATTCAGGTTGTCAAAGCAGATGAAGCAGTTGCAAATGAACAAGCAAGAGTTGCTAAAGGAATAAAGGATGAATGTGATGCTGATCTGGCTGAGGCTATTCCTATCCTCGAGGCTGCTCTGTCAGCTCTTAATACTCTTGCACCTTCAGATATTACCATGGTCAAATCCATGAGCAATCCACCTTACCCTGTCAAACTTACAATGGAAGCTGTTTGCATTCTTAAAGGAATTAAACCAGATCGTATTCCTGATCCATCTGGCTCTGGTTTGTATTTGATTACTATTAGACTTTTTAAAAAAATACAAGAAACGATTGAATAGCGTTTTCAACACGATTTTTTTCTGGAAATAAAAAAATTAAATTTTTAGATTTTTTGTTAATTACTCACGCACAAGAAAAAAGTGATTGAGGTGTAATTACTAAGTTGCCAACTAACAAAATAATGACATTAAATAAAACATAGTTCAAACAGACCATCTTCTATTGCAGCAACAAGCAACTTTACATGGCAATTCTGTCACATATTTTAAATACAGAATCTATAAAAACTTATTTAAATATTTTTATTCTGTATACTTCTATCCACATCATTATGCTATATTGTTTCATCATAAAAGAATTGCTAAATTTTATTTTTCCACCACTTACATGTGTGTATGATAGAAACTGATTGTTTGTGATGAAGTATAGAATTCTTTAATAGTATAAATCAACCATTATTTTACTACCGACTTTTTATACATTATTCTTGTTTAAATGCAGGAAAGAAGGTAGAAGATTTCTGGGGCCCATCTAAGAAATTACTCGGCGACATGAAATTCTTACAAAGTTTACAAGTTTATGATAAAGATAACATTGCACCTGCTTACATGAAACAAATTAGGTTGGAATTAATGAAACATAATAAAGTACATTAGATCTCATATTAGATTCTTGGCTGATTAAGTGCTTCAGCATCTTTCTCCAGGTGTAATTATTTTGTTATACCTGCTGTGCACAAATGTTTGAAGCATGTGATGAGAATTCCCTAGTTTATTTTTATATGGAATCAACTTTATTGTGGTAATTATGTATTTTTAATAATAATTCTTATAAAAATTTACCTATTGATATATGTTTGATCTCTAGGGCGAAGTATATCCCCAATCCTGACTTTGTGCCTGAAAAAATTCGTAATGCTTCAACTGCTTGTGAAGGTTTGTGCAAATGGGTGAGAGCAATGGATTCATATGACAGAGTGGCCAAAATTGTTGCTCCCAAGAAAATTAAACTCAAGGTAAACATATAGTTTACTGTTTGTAGTTCTCAACTAACTGGCCAAATTTATTTTAACTAGATAAATATTGTTCGTTATAGTGCTGATGTTTAACAGTGTGGGCACATCTTGCTAAGCATTAGGAATACTCTCACCTCAGATTACTGCAGGTTTATTCTGTGGGAGATATTTATGTGCAAGATGGATTGCTGAACTCTTCGCTGCCGTAGGGTGTTTCACATAGTCGAGGGTTGGATACAGCTTCCCGGACTGGTAACCTGACGAGGCCATGGTTCGCCATATGATTGAGTCGTCTTATTGGCTTTCCATTCCCCTGAAATAAATATCTGAATCTTATCCTACTTCAGCTAATATCAAGGAATGATTTTTGCATGATACTGTTGATAACTCCATGCAATGCAATGCAATTTTTGTCTTATTAATCAAAGGGTGCAGAAGCTGAACTTGCTGTTGCAATGGAGAGTCTGAAAAAGAAACAAGCTGCATTGAAGGAAGTTCAAGACAAGTTGAAAATGTTGCAAGATAAACTTGAATTTAACAAGCAAAAGAAAGCAGACCTTGAATATCAGGTTGATTTACTTTCCGGACTTATCTGAATGATTTTCCTGTTAAATTATAATTTACTCGATACCAATCTGTTGGGCGTAAATGAATATAATCGAAAATTTAAAAATGGAAACAAACATATAGTATCTAGTAAAACTAAAAACTAAGTTATGTTGTTTGTGACATGATACATGAACATCAACATAGTAAAGTAAGCCAGTTGATAAGGCGTGGCAACCCATTTTACTACTACATTTATTTATTCATGGGATCAAGCTTGATACTTACTATACTCACTGACTTCTGACTTTTTATCATACTGCGCTTTGTGGTCTGGAATGTTCATATCACATGATATTGAAGATCTATATTTTGTTATTGTATATTCAGTAACAAATTGAAAATTGACGCAGTTAACTATTATGCAACACCATTATCGTATTTTTATAATATCTCATTATAGGCTGTAGTAACTGAAAAATGTTTAATAAATTTGACACTTGGTGAGATCATTCGGATAAAAAAAGGTATATTTCAGGGTTCTCTTCTGGGCCCACTTTTCTCCCTTATTTATTTCACAATCGACATTTTCATTTACACAGATTCATTTTTATACTACAGGTTGACATCTGTAGCAAGAAATTGTCTCGTGCTACTCAGCTCATTGAGAGTTTAGGTGGTGAAAAGGATAGATGGGGAGAAGCAGCTCACACTCTTGGAATCAAATATACTAACTTAACTGGTGATGTTCTTATAGCATCTGGAATTGTCGCATACCTTGGATGTTTCACATCGAAATTCAGAGAGGTTAGTATCATAGTAGTAGTAGTAACATAGGTAGAATTCATTGAACTATGTTGTCTGTAATATTTTGGAGAAATGTTAAAAGTTACTATCCAAGTTCTTATGACCAATTTATGATACAAAGAACAGACAAAAAAAATTTCGCATCTATTGGATTGTCTGTTTATTAAAAATAAAATAATTACCACTATACTTCTCCTTGCATAATGGATACATGCAGTCAATAATAAATGTGTGCATTTTAGCACATGGATCACGAGAATCTTTCAGTCCCCATGCATGATACTCGTAGCGGAGTTTTCGTTCCTCTCTTGCGCTGCGGAAAGACAGTATGTTTTTATCTTTTTTTATTTCTCCGCTCTTTTCGACGCTAGAGTCAATGAATTGTTTAGGACTCTTGCTACCTTTAGCCCTAAATTTTCTGTTGGACTTGGTATGAGCATGATCTGATTCTAACAGAATTTGCCAAATGAAATTAAAAGACCTAAGATTAATTTATGAGAGAATGATTATTTAATGTAAACAGGACCAACTCAAAATATGGTTGACAGAATGTAAAGATATGAAAATACCATGTTCAAGTGATTGTACATTGAATCAAGTACTTGGTGAACCAGTTAAAATCAGACAATGGAATATTGCTGGACTTCCTACTGACAGTTTCTCTGTTGACAATGGCATCATTATCAGGTAAAGCATTATTAACTTTTCAAATTCATTTCTTATTTACTTTCTATAATGCAAATCATACAACACTGAAAATTACAGGGAAAAGATTTATAACAGAGTGATACCCCAGTAGTTGTACGACTCAATACTCACACAGTCCGTTAGTCAACCAAAAAATTGTAGTCCGCAATCATTAACCCAAAGTAAAACATACTCTGCATATAAAGTAAAGTTGCGAACAATAATCTTTAAACAATAATCACTTTTTGGTATTGTGTAACACGAGAAGCACAAACCCATTTTGACAGCATATACACCTTGTTTAAAATGGTTGGGAATCACTGCAGAACTGTATTAGGAAAAATTTTGATAACGTAATTGCACTTGGCTGGCAATGCTCATATTATATAGTTATCGTACATTAAAACTGAACCTGATATCTATATGGAATTTTAACAGTCCTTTTCATCTATCCTCCTTCTCACAGTAATGCTCGACGTTGGCCTCTGATGATTGACCCTCAGGGTCAAGCTAATAAATGGATCAAAAACATGGAGAGAGCGAACAATTTACATGTAATAAAACTATCAGATGGTGATTTTGTCAGAACATTGGAGAACTGCATCCAGTTTGGTACTCCTGTCTTGCTGGAAAACATCGGTATGTTATTCGATCATGTATAGCTAGCTCATATTCAACAATATCAGCGTATGACATAGTTCCCGTGATCAATAACTGGTCAATCCATAGTTTCTTTCTACATCTATGTAGTCACTTGCACAAAATCTTGTTCACATTGAAGCTTCGAACACATCATGAAAATTCTTTTTAATTTAAATAACAGTGGTTGTAATATTTTATATTTGTTAAACTACAAAATTACTCGTATTCTATAGTTCATATTTTGTACAACTGTCTTTCTACCATGTTTTATGGTCCTATTTTTCAATCTCGTTTGTATGACTTTTTCACTCCAAAGCAGGCCCTGTATAAGCAACTCTGATATGTGAGGAGGTACTATATTTGGAGAGACTGGAATGAATTTTTTCGGCTGTTAATATGTCTGTTCAATTTATCACACCCCGACACTCCAAGATCTTTTACCTGTGCCACTAACATTCACATTCATTTTGTATATAGGTGAAGAACTAGATCCTATGTTGGAACCTCTGCTTTTGAAACAAACATTCAAGCAAGGCGGTGCTATCTGTATTCGTCTTGGTGATTCTACTATTGAATACAGCAGTGATTTTAGATTCTATATTACAACAAAACTAAGGAATCCTCATTATTTACCTGAAACATCTGTGAAGGTAAGGGATTTATTTATTTCATCATGAAATGAAAATGGTTGAAACATGGGTTTTAATGATCGGGACACGCTTTCCATTGCATCATTGAGTACTCTGTTGGGGTCCAAAGTTTTGAATCATTTGGGTAACGATTATATCTAAGATGATGGCTAATCTTTTTACCGTCACAGGTTAATTATGTTAAATGCATGTTGTATAATATCTGGAATGATTCCCTAGCTATTTCTATACCTTACCTGTATCTGTAACTGAAACAGAGGCTTTATAAAGTTAAGCCTTCCAACCTCCTTTTAATTTTTGATGCGTGGGTGCTCAATAAGCATCTAATAATCAAATATTCTCCTCTGTTGACTAATTTGCTTGTATCGAGCTTCACATACCACAAGTGTGCTTACTTTGTAGTTTCATGTTCTTTAAATTATGCATTGTCTCTTTCTGCCCTCTCTTCATATGCAGTTTATATACCGTACTATTTACTTGTCCTTGTTTTCTGTTATGGATTTTTTAATGTGTTTTTTTTATTCTGACATTTCATATGTTCGTTTCAATTATCAGGAGTAAATAAAATAAATAATAATGTGATCAAATTGGATTCAAAGCAGTTTTATACAAAGTTGAAATAGTTCATATTTGGATTATTTACCACTAATTATAAATTGGATAGGCAATGCCAAAATGGAAGAGATTCTGTCCTTCTCTGGAATAATATCTCCTTAGGTTAGATACCAGAGGCTGCTTCTACAAGGCCTAGGTGAAAGTAAACGTCACGGAAAAGCATCATATAAAAAAATTACACTTCTTTTCCAGGTGACATTGCTGAACTTCATGATTACTATGGAAGGATTACAAGATCAATTGTTAGGAATCGTGGTCGCCAGAGAAAGACCAGAATTAGAAGAAGAGAAGAATGCATTGATTCTTCAGAGTGCAGAAAACAAAAAGTAATATTGAATAATCACTGTTTTTCTGAACCAATGTCTAAAGTCGATGAAATAATAATACTAAGCCTTATCTTTTGCGAGAGATATTACAAATTTAACATAGTTATGGAAACATTTATGAGATCTACTTGTAGGACTGGGAAGTGCTTTGAACAAAAATAAAATTTGCATAATAACACTCTACTCGACAACACCAAACACTCTTTTTGAAATACAGGCAATTGAAGGAAATTGAAGACAAAATTCTTGAAGTCCTATCAACATCAGAAGGAAACATTCTTGAAGATGAAACTGCTATTAAAGTTCTTTCATCATCGAAATCATTAGCTAATGAAATTTCTGAAAAACAGGCAATTGCAGAGGCAAGTTCAGAATTTTTTTTAAATCACCAGTACACTGATAAAGAATCTGATAGTTTATAATTTTTATTCTGTTGGCATAAAAAAATAAATTTATATAAACTGTAAAATAAAGTCTAATTTCATCCTGGAGAAGATTAAAAGAGACAAGATGGTAAATGTATTGAGAATTATAATCTCATTTCTAGATTTCTAGTCTGTTTTGAGTGTGGGAATAATTACAGTAATCGAATCAAAGTTTGATACAGCCTTTCTTACACAAGTTAACCACTTGCAATGATAAAGTACTTTGCAATGAATTAACTCCTACCAATAACATAAGGTACTCCCATAGTATGTGTACCAGGTTAGGGTTAGGCCATAATTTTTTTCCAATTTTCCTTATTTTAGTTCTAGAACGAGTTTAGGGACTGTCTGTGTCAGCCAAGTGAACATACCTTCAGTCCCTTTACACAACTTGATGTAAAGTAGACGAATAAAATTAGTTACCTCCATATTGGTACACATATCTGGAGAGCCTAAAATAATACTCATTATTGCCCAAGAGAGCAATCTGAAATAATTGCCAATAATTGTCGGAATACTATTAGAATATTTTACTTTTCCTTACTTTCATTGTGGTCAAGATATTGTATATAAAGTTAGTACAATCTTTCGACCAGAAAACTATAGTTTTTTGTCATTATTCAGGAAACTGAGAAAAAGATTGATACTGCACGTATGGGTTATACACCGATCGCAGAACACTCATCTGTCTTGTTCTTCTGCATCACTGATCTTGCGAACATTGAACCTATGTACCAGTATTCTCTAACTTGGTAAGTCTTTTGATATTTGATTAAACTATAGCTGTAATCCTAATACACAAAAATTGACAAATTTATAATATGAATATATATTAAAGTTATATAAATGAATGACAATTTTTGAACAATTAGGTATATCTGAATTCTTCCTAAATTCAAGCGAGCATATTGTATATTTAAATATAATTAAATTTGAATGTTCGATTTGGTTTGGAGACCAATAAATTGATGACCTCATGGGAAAAGTGGCCTACTTTGAATGGTAGGAAAAGGAATCTAATTTAAACCATCTCACCAGCTATGTTAATATTGTTTACATAATTCCCATATTACATCGACTATCAGTATTTCATAGACAGTTTAAACTTAGACAACTCTAGTTTTTCTATTTTTATTTCTATTTAAAACTGAGTAGCATTCTATTCATAAGTACTTGTTTGTGCTGTAGCCTATCCTTTTTAACTTTTCATAAATTGTATTAGGAAGGTTATCAATACAAATTTTGTAAAACTGTTCATGTTTGTTTTACATAGGTATGTCAACTTGTTTATCAACAGTATTGATAATGCAGTGAAGTCTGATGACTTGGCAGTGAGGTGAGATAATTATGTTACAATATTTACTAGTAATAAATGCGGATTTTTTAATTTATTCATACTTTTCTTTTTGACTCAGATTCGCGTTAAAGTACAAAAAAATGTAGAGTTTTTAGCATCTTGATTTATATCCCTAACTGAAAGCCCATACCTTTCCTCAATTAAATTTTTTTTCTCCAACTTTGGATTTTTCTACACTTCGCTGTAATACAAAAATACAATTATATTCTTTATTGTTTCATTATAAGTGTTTTCTGGCCAACACCAACCAGGTTAACTTGTTTCGTTTTTTTACAGACTCAAAAATCTTGAGAAGTACTTTACCTACTCACTCTACTGTAATATCTGTCGATCACTGTTTGAGAAAGATAAACTACTTTTCTCATTTTTACTCTGCATGAATCTAATGAAACATCATGGACAGATTCATGAAGATGATTACAGATTTCTACTTACTGGAGGTAAATAAAGAGTGCAATACTATATATACTATTATAAAAATTGTATAGAGATGGATATGCTTAGGATACATACAGGTCAGGTGGTGGTGGCATTCTGCTCAGTGTTAGGAATACACCTGCCGTCGCATCTCAGATAACCCTGTGTGGGTTTGTAGGTTTGAATTCTGTATGAGATAATTTTATTTAAGAGGATTGCTGGACTCCTCGCCGCCACAGGGTGGTTTATGTTACCGCTGGTCAATTCTGGCTTCCTCCACCATAAATTTCATGCATCGAAAACAAATAAGTGACCAGCTAATTTAATACCCAAACAGGAATGATAACCGAACAAGAGGGCCGTGGTGAGCCATATGATTATGTCGCCTTTTTGGATTCCTCTCCTTGGGGATAAATTCTATCCTAATGTAATTGAGACATTTTTATAAATTCATTTCGCTTGAACAATTTATAATACAGGTGTTGGGCTTGATAATCCTCATTCAAACCCTGCTACTTGGCTTCCTATCAAATCGTGGGATGAACTTTGTCGGTTGGATGCTATGGAACAATTTACTGGCATCAGACAAAAGTTTCCTGCATATAAAGCACAATGGAAAGAAATGTATGACAGCTCTGAACCTCAACATCACAAACCCCCTGGAGAGTGGGGTGAATTGGAGCAATTTCAGAAAATGATGATTTTACGATGCATGAGGCCTGACAAGGTATTAATTTAAGTTAGCATAAAGACCAAGCCTCATTGCCTATCCCTCATTTGTCTGTAGGTACGAAATTCTTTGAACAAAATCTATCAAGAGTAGTTACCGACCAAAGAGCTGGGTGTTTAACCTCAATTTTAATATACCATCTAATTTTTATAAGCCATAGACTAAAAAATAAAAATTTCGAATTTTTTTTAGGAACATCAATTAAAGAATTTAGCATTATTATTATATCACTGTCTTATACCCGAAATAAATATGAAAAAAAATCATCCTATTTCAGGTTGTTCCTGCAATTCAAGATTTCATCATTGCCAACTTAGGACAAAAGTTTGTTGAGCCTCCACCTTTTGATCTCCCCAACACATTCTTGGACAGCAATTGTACATCCCCACTGATCTTTGTTCTATCACCTGGTGCTGATCCAATGGCTGCTTTACAGAAATTTGCAGATGATCAGGTTTGTTTGGCCTTCTTCATTTGCCTTTTTAAATAATAATATGAATTTCTTATGGAATCAATCACAATGTTTTTTTTTATTAATCATATTATTGGACCCAAAGTGTACATATGGATCGTTTTGTTATTATGTTGTTGTTGTCAGAATTCCTTTTTGTGTTGTTGCGAAAAAATCACTTCCTCATAAACTACTTGACTTTGAATTATTTTGAATTACTTTGAAATTTTCAGTGGTTAAAGATTGTATTTTTCACTGGAAGTTTATTACTTTTATTTACTGTATTTCAAAAATTTCTGTGGGCTTTATGTGATTCGTTTTTTGTGTGCGATGACGTCATCATAATCAAAAATTGCGGAGCTTGTGGCAGTTCCACATTTGTGTTAATGATTTGGTAATCAGACGAAGTCGTGGAGACTGCAGTAGCAGTAGTCTGCTATAACGAATTGCATACCCCTAATACTTCGTTTTGGCCTTCGTTTCCCTATATTTCAGCATTGCTCCTATATATTTATTGTCAGCCAAGGACACATACAAAGCAAAGGTCTGTTTTGGCTACGTCTACTGAAGTCCAAACATTTGAAATGATAAACTGGTTATCTATTTCTATGCTCAACCTGAACTATTGACAGGACTCAAGATTGTTTATGATTCGAGCTATTTTATGACTTTCGTCTTTGGATAAATATGATAAAAAAAAATTCAATTTTTCAATTCAGCATATCATGCATAATTTTTTATACCCTGGGTGAATTGATGAATATGGAAATTAAACTAGAGTGCTGAATATTATTCCTTTTACCACAGGGCTTTGGAGGGGCCAAACTGAGTACACTTTCTCTTGGTCAAGGACAAGGACCCATTGCATTGAAAATGATAGATCGTGGTGTGAAAGAAGGAACATGGGTTGTTCTACAGAATTGTCATCTTGCTGTCTCCTGGATGTCTACACTTGAGAAACTATGTGAAGTAAGTTGGTTATCAGTTGGATTGTTGGAAATTTTATATTTTGTGAATTGCAATATGACCATTTCTTATAGGCTATGTATTGAATAAGGCAAACCGATAAGTTGATTTATTTATACTGGATAATACAAGCATACATCTGGTTATTTTTTATGTTTTTGTAGAAACCTGAATCTTTTCTATTCAGTATCGCCTGTCTAATTCTAATAAATACTGGCTGGCACAGTGTGTCTAAGTATGAATGCGAGGTCTGAAATGGTACACCAGTTAGAATTAACATGCTAACTACTATTATAATTAATTGATAAAATCATGCCTAATAATTAGGTTTAAATAAAATAAGTAACTAACTAGCTGAATCTCCCTAATGCATCAACATCGCTTGAAGGAGCCAAAATGACCCTGTTGCTAGCTGGTTAGTTCAGCAATATTCTAACACATAATCATATACTCTGTACAGCAGTATGATTATCAAAAATGGTGTTCATATCATCTTTCAATCGTGGCTGAAAGGGACTACCTAACTATCTTAATTTTGAAGCATTAGGAACTTATGAAGTACGGTACTTTTCAATTTGTATTAATATTGTTTGGTTTGTGTATGGCAGGAAACTCTCAATCCAGAAACAACACATCCTGATTTTCGCCTGTGGTTGACAAGTTATCCAGCTCATCACTTCCCAGTAGCTGTCTTACAAAACGGTGTCAAAATGACAAATGAACCTCCTAAAGGTTTGAAAGCCAATGTGATGAGATCTTACTTGAGTGACCCGATTTCTGATCCAGAGTTCTTCAACAGCTGCAAACAACCGGTACAGTAATTTTTTTTTAGGTTATTGTATAATATTTTGCTCGGAAAAAAATATGGCCCTCGAAAAAAAAAAAATTCACCGAAAACAAAATTACAGCCAGATTTACCATGGTCTATTAGCTTGAAGATACTAAATAAAATGGATGTAAGAAAACCACTTTTTGAGAATTTTCAAATTCCTCGATTGTAAAACAGCATAGTGGAACATGGATCTGAGAACAGCCAAAAACTTTTTACAGTATTCAATTCAGTATAATTCGAAGTGTCCCAAAAATAAATTTTTTTCAAATTTGCAAATTGAAAATATTTTCAAAAATTTGTATACAAATAGTATACAAATTGAGAAGTAATTATGCTTTTGGATATATATATATATAGCGATTTTGTCACATTTTGAATGTAAACATGAAATTTATAGTTTTTAAATTTATTCTATATTACCATAATTCATTCACATATTCAAAATATTGCTTATCTAAATTGTGAACGATTGATTCAGATTATTGTGTTACGTCTTTTCTTTTTATTGGCATTTAGATTTCTACTTCAACATTAACAAAAACTAACATCATATTTTTTATTATCTTTTATTCTCATTATTATATTTATTCTTTCTAATTTTAAAGCATGCATGGAGAAGACTTCTGTTTGGATTATGCTTTTTCCATGCTCTTGTGCAAGAGAGAAGAAAATTTGGACCTCTCGGTTGGAATATTCCATATGAATTCAATGAAACCGATTTAAGAATTTCTGTCAAACAACTTCATATGTTCTTGAATCAATATGATGTGAGTTAATCCTACCTTTCATAGTTTTTTAGGTTTTGTATCCGAGATACCCGAGTTTCTCGTTTTTTTTTTCCCCAAGATTGCCCTGTGAAATTTCAGACTAGTTTTCACCACGACAATGGCTTTAGACACCATTTTAAAATATTTTTTATTATACTTTGAAAAGACAATACAAATTTTCTATATTATAACCATCTCCATCTATAGTCTGTAAATTTAGGTTTTATTATTATTATCAGGGTTAAGGGCATTTTAACTTATTTGTGAATGCAAATGAGATACACAAACAAAACTAGCATTTGCCCAGAGAATCCAGGAAGACTAACAAAACTTACTCACATACCGTATGTTGCGATTATAAAAGGTTGCTAATAGAGATATTACGAGAATTCTATACTTGAAGTATACTCTATACTTACGCAACTTGAAGTCTAGAACGGTCGTTTATTATCATGCTCACACACAGTTGCCATGACGTTCAATCCTTTTTGCCTACTTTTTATTTTTGTAAGACCTAATATTTGAGCGTTCATTCTTTTCCATTAACAATTTAATAAACATTAAATGTAATGTTTTTCCACAGTTTGTTCCTCTTGCTGCATTAAAATATCTTGCTGGTGAATGTAACTACGGTGGAAGAGTCACAGATGACAGAGATAGAAGAACATTGAATGCTGTACTCTCAAGAGGATATAATGATGAAATTATCAACACAGATGATTTCATGTTTGATTCTAAAAGCAGATACATAGTTCCGGCAGATGGAGATGTAAGTGACATAATTAGAGTCAAGTTCTGTGCACTGTTTTTATTATTTGTATGAAATAAAATGAATTTTATCAGATCAGGCTTGTAACGATTTATTCATGTACATAATGTGTTCCCTACCTATTTTACAGTAGGATAGAATTTCCATATTTTTATTCCTGTGAGAGTGAGAGAGAGAGTTTATTGAGAGTAAAGGCAATAATGTGCAAGATGATTGCTGAACTTCTCATTGTCGTTGGTTCATGTAACTGCTAGTCGGTTACCTCTTCCTCCATCATCAAGTCGATGCATCTGAAACAAATAGTTGATCAACTACTACCATATCAGACATGCCATTGTAGTCAGATCAGCGGCCGTGGTTCATCATATGATCAAGCTATCTTCTAATTGATCCTTTACCCCGGGATAAATAGGAATGTCATACTATTCATACTACCTACCTGCACATTTATCAAATACACCAATATGCTAGCAAAAATTGTAAATCCTGATACAATTAAATATGAATTTTTTCTATTTTTTGATGTCAATTAAAATATTCTTTACAGTGGGAAAGCTATGTTGAATACTGCAAGAATCTTCCAATGATAACTGAGCCTGAGATATTTGGAATGCATGCTAATGCTGATATCACTAAAGATCAAAATGAGACGAATGTGTTATTCAACAGCATTCTACTCACACTGGTATGCAAGTTTTACTCACATATAGAATGTATATTCAATCGTTGATAGATTAGGTGAAAAATATTACAAAATAAATATTCTCGTATACTTTCAGGGCAGTGGCGCTCCAATTTTTAGGCCCCATGAATAATATTTTTATAGGTTTATTGTTTGCTGTGCAATATAACAACACCAAATCTGAAATACGGCACTCTCGTAAATTCTGTACTAAATTACTAAAAATGCAAAACTATCACTGTAAAGGTTTTTCACCAAATCCAAAACCCAAAATTGGTAGCTAGTATTATTCATTACCGTTATGTGTTATATGTTTTGTAATTCTACAATTTATCTATATCAGTAATACGTTTTTTTATTAATATACAAACTATTTGATGGATTCAATGAAAGCTTTTTAAAATAATAGTGAGGTACAATAAAGTAATTCATATTATCTACAAGGTTTTGATTAGTTACTATTTTTAATGTCATTCTGAACCACAGATCTAGTATCAACTGTTACAAATATTGAACAGTAAGTTTTTTCTGGGGGATTTTGCTATAAAATTTGATGTAATCCTGGTTTTATAAGGGATAGAATGTTTATTTTTCAAAATAGCTTAATCAACCTTGTTACATATTTGTCTGTGGTGGCAACCTTGGGTTATCTAATGGCCTGTATGACCAGATATCTGATAGAAGACTTTCGGACGAAAGAGATCAGAAGTCAGAATCAACATATTTACCCTGAATTAAAAATGTCAATCAACTTGAAATTTTCAAAAGAATCTGAAAAATTCATGCATTTTCCAAAGTTTGTGGTCAACATTCAGTTATCTCTGAGTTGGGAGTTTTGAACCTGATGTCAGGAGTCAAACTTTTGTCAGACCGAATTTGGGAGTTGAAATGTTGTCATTTTTGCCAGGGTTCGGAGTAGTTCTATAAAACTTTTCCATCACTCCATAGCCTTGCCTGCAACTACCTGAAACAAATAGATGCAATATTTTTGGCCATTAGTTGGAGTTTTTCCATTCTAAGTTAATGGTTGAAGCGTAAGGTATTAGCATATACCAAATATTTATTATATAAAAGTGGGCATACATCATGACTTGCAACCTGAAAACGTAGTTAGTATTAGTTTGGACCGCAAATAGGTTCTGCATGGAATATTTCTGTTTAGTAACTACTATTTTTATCTACTAACCCCCCTAATTGTTTTCTTTTTACAGGAAGATACAGTAAGTAACAGCAGAAGATTTCAATTGTCAGAAAGTATAGTAGAGTCATCATCATATTGTTACATTCATTCTATCATATATGCATTTCCCAATGTGCTTTAGTAAGGTCAGGTCACAGGTATTTGGTCAGTATTCTTATTCAATATAAATTGTTGATACTTGAGGCAGTGTTTGCTATAAGGAAGATGAGATCGGTAAGATTTGAAACTCCGTAATTGGAAAGGATATCAGGTTTTATGTGATCGTTCTATGTTTATGGGTGTACTAATATCTTGATTATATGGGGACTTTTAGGAAGAATTTAAATAAATGGATTCTTACTCAATGAATTCTTGTTGTATTGTAATACTGGTTCAAAATCAAAATGTAAACACAAAACTTGCCTAAGTGGTCTTGATTGACATCAAATTATTTTGACCTGAAATATGAATTGGAAAATTTTTATATTGTTCAAAGTGCCATGACACTCTTTTATGCCAATTTGAGGTTATTGGATTTTATATTCTTCCAACAAAGTTCGGAGAAAAGTAAAATAACTATCAATACACACTGTCCCATGCAAAAATAACTAAAGTTAAATTCTGACTGTTATGTTTTGAAAATATCTAGTAAATTTAATGTTGATGTCCATGTCCAGTATTGGTACATCCATGAAAACCTGGAATGATCAAGGAAGTTTATGATGAACAAATTTGAGCTCAGCAATCAGAGTTATGTGATTTTTCAGATTAAGAGCAGATTTATCTTTGCTGTTTTAATTTTGCAATCAGATATATTGAGATATAGCACGCTTGATTTTTTCCACATTTTTGAGTGGTTTTCACTCGGTGACATCCATACTGCTTTCTACAAATGTATCATTGCTTGTCATTCCTATATCAGCTTTTGCTCTTAATTCTGTAATTTTTTTGTATGTTTTCTTGAATCACATAAAAATATGAAATTATTTCACAAATACTTTCCATAGTATTTTCATTTCTTCAAAATGTCCAATCCGATATCTTTTATTTCCTCACGATTTCATACATGCCAGGCTCTTCATGCTACTTTTTTGATATTTATTTAATTCTTCACTGTGGTAAATATGTTGTACAAAAATCTTCTTTTGATATATCCTGAGATTGAATGTACGGTATTCTGATTTCCTGAATATTGTCTCCAACCATACATTGAGTTTATGATTCTGACTAAGAAATGCAATTACAATCGGATTATTACCAAATTTGATCTGTGTCCTCTGATCAATTGCTTGATAATTTCATAGATTAAACATTTTAATCACTGACGTTTACTGATAGGTAAATTGATTATACTGTATAAATAAATATAAATTCTGATTAGTCAATTGATTTTTTATATAATTCATTTATTCAAGTAATTTTACTAAATGACTCTTTCTTTCTACTTTACAGTCCCGAGCATCTGGAGGAGGTTCGCAATCCAGTGATCAGCTTGTCTATACTGTTGCAGGAGATATTCTTGGGAAACTTCCTGAGAATTTTGACACTGAAGCAGCTCTGAGAAGGTTTAGTTTGGTTTACTCTTGATCTGTTTGTGAAGTTGTAATTGCATTATAACATGAATTTATACTTTGAATATATACAGATGGTTGCGCAACATTTTAAGTTTCTTGGTATTTATGCAATAGAATGTTTTCCGGCTACCAATATATGCATACCTTTAGTGTCACAGAAAAGTTTAATTGAATGTTACATCAGTTTCTTGACTTGATTCAGAGCATGAGATATCGTATACTGAAGCCTGCTTACCTCTACCAGCTTGGCCAAGGCGAGACTTTTCTAGTGCTGGAAACCATGTACCAAACACTTTAATTCCCATGTCATAATGTAAATGTTTTTATTGATGAACTGTTTTTAGATATCCCACTGCATACAAACAATCTATGAACACAGTACTTGTACAAGAGATGGTCAGATTCAATAATCTACTTTCTGCAATTCGCGCATCACTCATCAATGTCAAAAAGGCTATCAAGGTAAGTTGGAGAAAGCTGCAACGATCCAACAGTTAAACAGTTCCGACAGGGCTGCAATCTCTGCAATCACACATTATATTTCTCCATGCGAACCCTGTAATAGCTCGTTGGTATGCCAAGTAAACCATGTTCGGTTAGCAGAATGTCCCAACTCTCACATTAAATTATTTCTATAATACCTAATTCAGAATTATAAAAAGTTGTATAAAAAAACTTCAAACTCTGTATAAAACTGTTAATTTCATCAATTCCTATCTATCAGGGACTTGTTGTTATGTCTGGAGATCTTGAAGAAGTCTTGAACAACATATTACAAGGAAAAATACCTGGAGTGTGGATGAAAAAATCTTATCCCAGTTTGAAACCTCTTGGGGGTTATGTTAATGATTTCCTTGAAAGGCTGCATTTCTTGCAGGTATAAATATTTGTAAATATAATTCCACTATCAATTTTCGTTCAGCTAGTCACACAGTGATACATGTAATGAGAAAATTTATACAGAAACGCAGTTCGGCCGAGTAAAATTGTTTCTGCATCAGTGAAAGTAAAAAAAATTTAAAATTTAAAATAGTGATTAGTATTAATGCAGTTATGCTGAACAGTCTGTCTTTTTATGATCATTACACTATTGTCATATAGCTGTTAGTGTTATATATATACATATCATATGTTATGATATTATATCATAAAACTAATAATTACAACTATATGACAATATATCATATATATTTATCATATTGTCATATAGTTTATTAGTTTTGTTCTCCTATTTCATTGTTTTATGTGTTTTGAAAAGAATGGGGAAATTATTTTTATTACCATTACGTCATCTATAACATTCATAATGTCGTATAAAAAGCATATAAATCTTAGAGACGAGTGAGAATTATGAAATGGAGAATGCCCCTCGATAAAAACTAGTCAGATGCATTTCGGATGCTTGCTAGTGAAAGTTGTAACTAATGTTCACATGAACCTCAGTGCCTCGTGTTACTATTTCTGCATATGAGTTTTCAATGCAAAGCAAAGTTTCAATTTAATACAATCCATGCCACAGTGTTTGCCACTTTTTAAAGACAAATTTGTTCTTCATTAAGAAATGGTATGAAGAAGGTCCACCTCCACAATTTTGGGTTTCTGGATTCTTTTTTACTCAAGCTTTCTTGACTGGTGTGCAACAGAACTTTGCTCGTAAATATACAATTCCAATCGACCTCCTCTCGTTTGATTATAATGTTATGGAAGACAAAGAATATAAGAATCCACCTGAAGATGGTCAGTTATTTTTTCAATTATGCATTAGTATTTACGGCTATTTAAAATTTGAAATTTTAAAAACAGCATTATTATCAGTGTTATACATTCTTTCGTAGACAAAGTCACAAAAATGTCAGATGATTGTTTTTCGTTTTTCAAGGTGTATTGGTACAAAAGTACTTTCACACTGAAGGCACATTGCGAGCATGTTGTTTACATTTGATACAAACTGCTAAATAAAAGACTTTTTTCACTTAGGTGCATACATCTTTGGACTGTATTTGGAAGGAGCAAAATGGGATAGAAAATCCAAATTAATTGCCGAGTCTATTCCAAAGATTTTATATGACAAGATGCCAAAGATTCATATCATTCCCATAAAGAGAGTAAGTCAGAAATTTGTTTTAAACTATCTTATAAATATTGAACTTTCATGGGCTGGGAATATTTGTAATATGCCATTGCCATTTTCTATAAATTGGAGCTTCAAAATGAATTTATGATGAAAAATATTCTGACCTGCTGAGGCCTTGAACAGTTGGATTTGAGACTTAGATAGGAAACAAGTTGCAAACCACTGATTTATATAATTACGCATATTTCTTTGTTTACCTGATTGTTTACTCGAATTAGTATGAATGATTTCATAGATATATTCTAAGTAAATCTGAAACTAATATATTCCCAAAAAGCAATTATTATTCTTGATGGAATGCTTCTTACGAAAAGTATGATTTGTTGTTATGAAATCCATCAGTTTTGATCTATTCATACACTAACAACACACATTGATTTTGTGTACGGATATCTCAAATTTTGAAATACTTGATTGGTGCAGCAATGGCAAAGGAAATAAAATATGCTGGACCACAACTGAGCTAACACAGATTTAAAACTATGTTTTTTGTAATAATTTTTTTTATTGAAGACCAAAGTTACCAATCATTTTAATGATTTTCCAAATACTACATAGCTTTGCTGGAAAGTATAACCTATCCAAAAATATGTCCGAATATTTGTATACTGTATATGCAAGTGCTTGCGAGCCCCTTTTTCATATGGTTTCTCCAAGATGATCTCTGGAACTAATACTGTTCAGGACCTCTATAAATGCATCAAAATTCAGCTGTTTGCTTAGGTTATGCTTTCATTTTTAACATCAACGTTGCTTTTCTTATAGCAACCATGAAATGCCGGTATTGTATATTGTCATTATTGTGTTATTTCTTTTTTTTTCAGTCTGACCTTCCTGATCGTCAAACCTACAATGCACCTGTGTATAAGACCAGTGAACGAAGAGGTGTTCTGTCCACCACTGGTCACTCTACCAACTACGTCATTGGCATGGACCTTTCTTCGGACAAACCTTCTTCACATTGGATCGGACGTGGTGTCGCTCTATTGTGCCAGCTCAATGATTAGTTTTGTGTTAGTAATATAAAAGCTGTGCCATTTTTTTATATTTCTTAGAAAAATGTAGACTTTTATAGGTTAGAGATAATATAGTGTTATTAAAAGTTTTTTTACTACATAGTTTCTTCAAGGTCATATTTAGTCGAACTTGGTACTTGATGAATTTAGATTCACCGAAAAAAATTTGTAGCTGAATCAAAGATGGTCCATGCATTTTGGCCAGTATTATAAAACCCCATACTGCGCTGTATTTTGTGACTCGGCCGAGACTCAATTTGTTGAGATTCCAAGCTTGATCAAGTATGGTCTGACTTCGTCATTTTATAGTTTAGGGAAGTTTGAAAAGTTTCATAATATGTTTTATCATATGTGTTTGTGTGTTCCATCTTAATAGAATAGTTTTTTTTTTTTAATTTTTTTTTTGTATATTGATTGTGAAAGACGAAAATCTGTGCTTAGGTGAGATAAAAAAAAAAGCTTCTCCAAGCAAAGAATGCTTTCTACTGGTGTCTGAAAAGTCAAATCGAAATTTTGTGGATGATTGTGCCATCTTGTTCAAAATTGTGATTAGGTATTTCGAAATAGACAAATCAAACCCAATCTTTTCTATTTTTGACTAAAACTCTTACGAAATTTAATTGGCATAATATTTATATCATCGCAAAATTGCATGCCTGATATTTCAATTCAACTTTAGACTTTCTTTGAATTATGAGAAAAGGACACAAGTTTTATGTGAACATATGCACAGATTTTTGTCTTTAATTGTATATATTATAATTCCAGCTTCTTGCATTCCCCTGCTTACTATTTAATAATCTTCAATACATAGCACATAATTTTCTATTCAATTTGCACCCTATTTATATATACCAGTTAGAGAATATATATTTCTTTCTGTAGAACATTTTTCTAACTGAGTATATTTAGTTTTGCACGGTAGCGATATCTCGTTAAATGAATGCCAAACAAAAACGTCACTGTATGTCTTTTTATCTGTAATTTCATTTAATAGTCAAGTATACAGTTCAGAATCAGGCTTGGTCATATATGAACCACTGTATATTGTCAGTGATTCATACACGGCCACACTTGTTGTTTGTAGTAGGGTTTTTTAAAATCCCACTGTGATTCTTACCGTACTCGCCTGACATTGTACCTATATCTAGTTCCACTTGCTTGCTTGCTTTTGAAATTTGTATTTCTATAGTCTCATTATAATAGTATCATACTTTATCAAGCATAAAATATAATGATTATTTGTTTTTGTTGATATTGAAGTTTCTCGTGTTAGAAATTTGTAATTTTTTATTATTTGCCAAGTGTGGACTTATTTAACCTAGATCTGTTTTTGTTTTTGAGAGAAGTTATGATTTATATAAGTATTTCATTGAAGGTTTTTCTTTTCATATTTAATGACCAAATACATTGAGACAAATAGATGTATCCCCGTTTGTGGACTGTTCCCTGTTGTTTGATTATTTTAAAACGTTTATTGGATTTATGATTTACTGTAATAAACTCGTAGTGTTTAATGGTTTGTTTTGCGTGCATCTGCTGTTTTTGCATAGGAATCGCGTAATTTTCATGAGTTGGTCGCCGAGAAATCGGAAATAGGGTAGAATTTTTCCTGATTGAAGTATGGTCATAAATTGGGTTTCGATGGTTTGTGCCCGGTTGGGCTAGAGCAGGGGTGGCCAACCCCCGGCTCGCGAGTCGCATGCGGCTTTTGCACCGGTTTTATGCGGCTCTTTTCGCCTTGATTATTTTAAGGAAAATTAACTTGCAACGTACGATTCATTATGTTTCGATTAAACATATTATGATACACTTGAGCGCCTCAATTGACTTTACCGTGAAATCGTATCGAAAACGAAGTCCAGCGGCAAACGCGCAATATACCATTTGAGGGAACTAGTTGAAGTGCAGATAAAACGTCACAGATTACATGGTTGTCGACCCATTTAATTCTGAGACGGATTGTTTGAAATACCCTATAGTCTCAGGCTGCAACTGGGTTGGCGATGATCTTTATGAGAAAGATCAACTGAAATGTGCTTTATGGGAACAGACCATTGAGTTATGGAAAACTACGCCAATGTCAAACGAGCCGCGCTTAGTATATTGTCAATGTTTGGGTCAACATTTGTCTGCGAATCTGTGTTTTCTACCCTAAAACACGTGAAATCAAAACATTGATCTGTTCTGGCTCACACCCCCATGTGAAAGAACTGCTTCGATTGGCTACAACGATACACAAGCCAGATTTAAAGAGGATTGTTCAATCCAAGGAATGCCAGAAGGAACGCAAAGTAGCATGCATATATAACAACAAATGGCTTGCAAATTTTGTCATAATCATGTTGGTATGTGAAATTTACAATAAACTAGCATTCTAGCAGAGCTGAATAAAGGTATATATGATGTCCATGTGTGTTCTTGTCCACAAAGTGCCTCTTCGCGGTAATAAAGTACAAAATGTGGCTTATGGTCTCTGACTGGTTGGCCACCTCTGGGCTAGAGATAAAATTGGTACGCTCAGCGCATTGTGACTAGAGATGTAAGCTTGGAATATTTTATTTTCGAATTAAATTGTTACGATTCGAATATTTCCGAATCTGATTCTATTTAGTATAACATCATATTATTGTTAACCCTGTTTAAATTTGGAAGAACTCTAGTATAAAATGAATAACAATAATGAACTTAAATGAATAAAAATGGATAGAAACAAAAAACTTTGAATGGAATGCAACTACCTTTTATATCAGGGCGGGGAAATTTATTTTTGTTACACATAGGTATACACTTAGTTACATATTTACGTATTACATAAATTTATGTTTAAAAACAATACCGGATGTAGATATGCGTTAGTAACGTTCGCGCTATGATTTCAAAAGAAGCAATGACTACGAGGGAAGCATCACAGACCTATGTTTTATTATAATTTTTTGCAATGATGTTATTATTATAATGATATTATATAGTTAAAGAAACGTTTATATAATGACATATTTGTAAAACTTCTTAATATTTCAAGCAGCCGAACAAAATCAAGCGGAACCATTGGTTCCTTTCTGTTACCCATATGAAATTTATAACAAACCTCAGAGTGTTACGATTCGGAAAAAGGTGTAAACGTAAGGAAAAAAAAAGGGGTTTGGTCGCCGTCGGGACAACGCCGCTGGGTAGTGCAATCGCCTCGTGATATCTAAATTATTCTTATTTTTTAATGGAATCAAGCAGTTTTCTGTAATTGATTCGAATTCCGACTCCCACATCTCTAGTTGTGACTCGCGTTAAAATTCTTAAGCAGAGCAATAGATTTTCGTAAAAAACGCGACTAAAATATGATCATGATAGGGATATTCTTTTTTTGGTTGTCAAGCAAGAAGCAACCAAGGCTAGCGATGAAAGCTAGATTCAAAAACGTTGGGATTCAGTCACGAAACATAAGGGTCAAGATAAAATAGTAGTACTAATATTTTTGGATTTTTTGTACAAAGCCTCCGCCACCGCTCAAAAAAATTAAAAAAAATAGTAATTATACAGTTAGGGCGAGGGCTAAGAATGCAGAGATGGAAATATCAAATTTGCAAATCATTCCGAACCCCGACTGGATAATTACTAATTTGTTATTCTGAAACGTGGCGGGGGATGTTTTTCACAGATCTCGCATTTTTTTGTATTAGCGGAGGGGCTTTGTACAGATGATCCATATTGTTTGAATAGCAGACAAAAATGTAGCTATATATATTTGTTGTACCTTGAAAAATGTTTATCTTTCCCAAATTAATCACGCGTTCGTACAGAAATAGACTATATATTGTTGTTTTCTCGTGTCTTGCATTTTGACGGATCAGCATAATTATGCCCTTTGACATATTTTGGAAATTAATTTGCATTCTTATTACGAACGGATCTAAATTTCCCGCTTTGTTTTGTAAGGTATTGTATGTAGTGTGTGTTGTTTAATCGATAAAACCGCTTTTTAGTTGAAAATTCTAAATTTGTAAAGTACAGGCAAGGATTCAAATATTTGATTTCGAAAAAATATACCATTCGGTTACGGTGTTCAATTTTAGCCAGACATGCCCCTAACACGCCCATAGGTAGCAGCAGTTGTTTTAGAATTTCTTTGTCTTCTGCCACGTTTCGAAACATCTGAAGAAACCTGTTACCACGTGAATATGACGTTGCACTTGCCCTGTGATGCAAAGCGCTACAATCTCTCGTTCTTTGTTTGATATTTTGAACGTCAGCTGATCGACGAAGACATTTTCGTGGGCAAGCGAAAGGTGTGAGTTGATGTCGCATTGCGAGTAGGTTACTTGTGAAAACTCTCAAGATAATACACAAAGAACGTACATTTAAAAGCAAAGGCGAATACCATAACTTCAAATTTGACTGCCGTAACCAGGCTACCCGTCTGGAAAATACATTATGATTGTTCACACCTTAGAGTTTGGGTATATTAGTGTTAAGAAGTTAAAGATGACGTCACGTTTATCTGACGAAAAGTTGGTCGAGAAGGACTTCTGTTAACCTCTTGTGTATGTTTCGACTCATTGTGGTAATCATGGACTCGAAGCCTGGCTAGTACATCTCGTCTGATAGCGATGGCGCCTGAGGCTATGTTCAAAATTTTTTAGTTAATCATGATGCAGGTTATGCTTTTTTTCGACCAACAGCATTTCGTCTTCATTATGCTTGGGAAACAATATTAAAGCATACATCAATACATATTCCAAATTATTTAATATGTGTTGCGTTGGCGCAATATTTCTAGTGTTATTTAAATGCGATTAGTCGTTTATACTCTTGGGAACACAGCATAGGCCAGCGAGGGCACGTGATCTTATTTAAACTTAGTGTGTACGTTCAAATATTGACATTGTCGAATCGTAGGCTCAGTCGTGGTAAATTTCCATTAAATTTTCAGGGCGACGTCTGCCTTTGTTTTGGGCATCTTACGGGAAAATTTGAAAACAGCTGACGAGTTATAGGTCGCCAATATCGTGCGTTTTGGGTTTCTTTGTCTGAAACTTGTGGTCGTGACGCCATGTCAATTAGGTTGTAGTTCAAAACAAAGAGCTGATAAAAAATTATGAAGTAGAGAGCTAGATGATGCTGAATAACATTGCCATTACTTTTAAATTCTAATGCTGTGTTGCTTAAAAATTCAAAACGAAAAGCTTTGAAAAATGGATAATCTTAACATTTGTTTTCGTTAAATTGTCGTAAATACAGCATAGCTGAGTAGTATTCTCTTCAGCTCTGTATTGCGAATTTATTTGAAATGATGAAATAATATTCTGACCAGGCTAGTTTTTTGTTCTGTCAGGTTTTAAACCTGTGTCTACCTATTTCTCTTTTGTAGTTTTCAGTTTCATTTGTAATTTTTAGTCAATTTCATGTGTGGACGAAATTAGAATTTGATTTCGTTTTCGGTGAAGATTTACAGTAACAGAAATAGCTAGGGCAAGAAGTAGTATTTATGGGTATACAATTGAACACAGATACATTTTATTAGATAATTTGAGGCAAAAAAATGTGATACATACTGAAGAAGTTAAACGCATGAAATATCGCAAAAGTACACATGATGGAAGCATCAGAAATTTCGCGATGGGGAAGTATACAGCTGTGGTTCAATAATCAGTTTCTTTTCAAGTCAGCCAACAATTACTCTCATTTGCTGAGTTTTTTTTAGAAATTGTTGTCTTCTTTCCGTTATGTAATGTATGAAAGTAGTTAAACCTAAAAGCTCAATCACTTGCATTTATATTACAGGATAGCAGTAATGTATTGTCCCTGAGTTTCCCGGACTACAACATTAGAGATTTAACTTTAAGAATATAAAATCGACCTAACGCAAGTTATACATTACCGCTTATCAAACTTGTGACGTAATGCCACTTAGACTGAGACGAGCAAGTTCCCTCATGTCGGTAAATCCACCAGTAGTAAAAAAGCAAGCGATGGATGTTGAAGTTGGAAGCAGTGATTGTTTGACATCTAAAGACGAATATAATTTCGAAAACACGCAGCATCCATCCGCAGTCCTGTCATGCTTCAATGAACTTCGGGCCCAAAATTTATTTACTGACGTCATACTCACGGCAGATGGAAGGGAGTTTCCCTGTCATAGAGCTGTTCTTGTTGCAGGTTAGATATGTTTATTTTTCAATTAGAAATATAAAATAAAGACTTCAAAAGAAATGTTGTTAAGGCTGTGTGGTTTATGATGAGAGCGTATTTCGGTATTATTGCGTTGTGACTTGTGGGTATTTTTTGTTTTAAATAAATACTTGTCCAGGGGTAATACCACTAAGTAATTGTTTTTCTCCTCACTATGCTTTTATTCAGAGTGATGAGTTATGACTATTTTCCTTGTTATTGACTTTAATTGAATTATTGTGGGGCATATGACTATGATTCATACTTTTCAGGAAGCAAGTATTACCGCGCCATGTTTTGCAACGATCATAGGGAATCACGAGAAATGTTGGTCCAAATAAATGGAATGCAAGGAGATGTTATGGATATATTGATGAATTATCTTTACACATCACAAGCTAGGATAACGCCATCCAATGTGCAATTGCTGCTTGAGGCTGCAAATCTATTTCAGGTACCTTTTCACTGTGTTAACACAACTTGAGTGAGTTACGTTTGTTGATATTTTGTATTCAAATAAATGATCTCATCTCGCTTTTCCTCAATTTATTAGGAGATGAAATATGGATTTTGACGAAGGAGTGGCGACACACCTAATTATTTATACCAAAAACTGTGCTAGTATTCAAATAATAGGAATGCTATGAATACGCGTTATGAAATTATAATTAAATCACGACTGAAAATAAATTGGCAAAGAACTAAAAGTAATACGATCATAATTATGTTCCATGATAAAAGTCCGTTAGTATTTATTCAGTATTTAAAAACATTGAAAATCATATGTTCCATGATAAAAGTCTGTTAGTATTTATTCAGTATTTAAAAACATTGAAACTCGATTCTATGAAATGATGTAGCACGACTTCTCATGACAAAATAAGATGTGAAGTAGAAATATTATTTCAAACTGACAATATGTTGTTATGAGACCCGTCGTAAAAATTCACCACAATTAAAACAACACAAGTCAAATTAAAAACGCTTGAAAATAAAAGAGTACGGTAGATACATCGACAAAAAGAAGCACTGTGTAACGGCGGACATTTCTTATCGTTATCGGTTGATCTTGTTTACAGAATAAATTTAGACAAAGAAAATGAAGTACACTCGTCAACCTGATGCAATAATATCGAATTCTTTGTCCAGTTTGGGCTTCCGATCGGTACTTCATAAATTATTCCCTCGGGCTATGTGCATCAAGCTGATATATATTAATTAAAATAGTTCAGATGAAGATATTTTACTCTGTTGCCAATAAATTGCGAAAAGTGTAGATACAGTATTATAGTGATTCCAGTATTTTTGTGAATTGCTCAGCACCAAAATCTTGTACCACCGACCGGGTGGTATTGGACAGAATAACCTTTTCTGACGTGCAGTACCCTTTACTCAGTTTATTATTAACTTATAAATTGCAATGATAACCTTGCGATCGAAAACCAAACGCAGGTCTCAGACGAAGCGTAAGATTAATTCCGAATGCGTAAAAGTAAGTTTATGTATTATATTTACACACGCTATGATTGCGTGTTGCAAGAACATAAGGAATGTAAAATAAATATGGATAGATTCGAAAATGATATCGCTAAGGGATAAATATATATTTATATATAGTGTTTTTGGTCCAAGTCTTTTAAGTTGCATATTGTGTTACAATTTTACATATAGTACCCAGTAAATTCTGTGCAAGTTCTGAATATTGTATTTTTCAGATTATTCCACTTGCCGAAGCCTGCACACGCTTTCTCGAATCCCAGCTGGATCCATGTAACTGTATCGGAATGAAAGATTTTGCGGAAACTCATTCACTGACAGACTTGTTCCGAAAATCATCTGCTATGATAATGAAAAATTTCGCAGATGTCGTACAGGTAAACATACCTAAATTTGTATGAGTTTCAGTAGCCTGCTATTTATTGTATTATAAATTTATCTATTATGAACAACAACAAAAAAATAAACGATCCATTATATTTTGAGCTTTTTTAAAGGATAATTATGTATTTTCTTTTCATAGCATGAAGAATTTCTGGAACTTCCTAAATCCAGAGTAATTGATTATATTAGTGACGATTTAATAAACGTTCACAAGGAAGAGACTGTTTTTGAGGCCGTGAAAAGATGGGTACACCACGATTTCCCTTCAAGGTAGTTTTGGTAATTGCATGAAATAAATAGAACGAAGACGTAGAAATATTTCAAATATCCAAATACTAATCAACCATCACTGATAAACGTTCAGGAATCTGCCATGGTGACTTCTGTGTGTATATTTTACTTTATATAGATATATAGATATATCAAGCGAAGCCCAAAATTGTGCAGGATTTGTCTAACAAGAACAATTTCGATACCCAATCGCTCCTTGCCCAAACTTTTATTGAGAATTCACGATTACTTCATTAAAATACTTGATACCATACATTAAAAATATCTTCACCAACGATTCAGATCCTGTAACCAAGTCCCACTACTCCCACAAATGAGAGTAACAAATTTGTTATTGTACAGTAAGTACTACGGTATAGTTCACTCCAAAATTATATCACATTATATAACATTCATATGTCCTTCCGATAAAAACATGCCCATCGCCAAGGATATCCAAAACGAAACGAATTTTAAATTACATTAGAATTTCATTAAATTCGATATAAAAAATTTTTGAATGTAGGATTAATTTAGAATATTAATATTATAGAACTAGAGATGTTGAGCGCCCAGAAAAGCAGGTTAATGTTACCGTAAACTTCACCATTCTTGCTAAACATCTCATATATAACTATTGATTACGTATAAATATATAGCCATATGACACGGTGTTAATGTAAAAACTGAATTATTTATTAGGTGCAATGATTTTCCTGAAATCCTATCATACGTTCGACTTCCGCTAATTCACCCAAACTACTTCATGAACAGCATAGAAAGCGATGAATTGATTGCGGCGAATCCGGCTTGTCAAGAAGTTTTATTGGAAACACGGAAATATCATATTCTAGGTATGGGACCTGGTACAGTATATAACTTTCAATATTATTTGCAGATTGTGAAATTTAAATTGCATTTTCATGGCTGTTTAAGCCAGTATTGGTCAGCGAATATTTTGAACCAGTATTAGTTTCCCCGCGTCTCACTTCACCCCGAAAAGGAATTTTTACTACTTTTTGTATTATTTAATCACAAAGCGTATTTTATATTTGGTGAAAAAATAAACTACTGATTACTGATTAAGTTTCGAATGCAATATAAATTGACCCTGCTTTTTTTCGAATTTTGACAAATTTAAAAAAAAATATTTTTGAGACGCTTCCAATTGAAAACGTGACATGACTAAGAAAAATTACATTTTAATTCGTTGGAAATCTCTAAGAATCGTCATGTTGGAGAATTGGATATTTTCTCTTTCGCTTTATTAAAATACCATTACCACATTTTGTCTTGTTTGTCGCTTTGTTATTACCTTTGTTGCCAATGGCACAATTCATGAAAATATTTCCGAAAACTCACTTAACAGTTTTATGACAAGAAAAACGAAATATTCCCCGGATATTTTTATGGCCGTAGGAAATTTCTTTGTTCGAAAATACTTTTCGCCAGTCACAGATGACCCGATTATTTTATTTAAGTGACATTTTCGATCGTGTATGATATCATTTTTGATTCAAGCACATGCAATCATGATCTTAGTCAGCGAGTTTTAAATATAAATTTATTTTGTTCAAAAATGTGTGTCATGATTTCAATTGGTGTTAGGGCTGGGAATGGTTAACCGGTTAATCGATTTTAGATGGTTGACGGTTACGACTTATTTTAACCGTTAACTGACATCTCATGTACAAATCATCTTTATAATGTATAATTTCTTCAAAAATGATTACGTCATCGCAAATTTATTATCTCCTGTGGCGTTTACTTCAGAAGAATATCACTAACTGTATTGGCAAGAACCCAATAGAATAATTGAAGTACCAAGATTGTTGATTATGAAATTTGCCAATGATAAATTCAGTTTTCGGTGGAAATATATTGTTCACAATTTTATTGCAAATCGTATGTATATTCAGTGTCATCCAACAATTGCGCAGTTGATGTTGTTTTTATTTTGAAAGTGCTTTGTGACCATTGTGACAAAACAAGCTAAAATTAAAAATTATTACGTCAAACGTCACGCTGCAGTTCCCGGCCCTAATTGGTGTTCGATTGTAGAAAGCCACTCAAAATTTAATATAACGTGAATTTGGTAACTTTCCAACTAGGTTATCAGTTGTCACAAAATAAGTCGCTCTTAATTAAGTTTGGTATTTATACTGTGAATTTGTAAATAACAAACATGATCAAAACTGATCTCTCGTGGGAACTCATGATGACGCTGAAAGAATTAGTGATTACGTCTTGTTGTTTGAAGTGGTAAATTTATCGTGAATAGAAATTTCTTGAGAAGTGAGTAAGGGTTATTCTATATCTAATGGCTTGTGACGAATATTCCATTTGAGGCTATCTGTCTCAACGTCCGTCAGATAAGGCACGCCAAACCTATTTTCCAAAAGGGTATACACATATATACACGCAACGTGCGTCCGGAGGGGCACGCCGAGCCTATTTTCCAAAAGGGTGTACACATATGTGCACACAACGTGCCTCCGAAGGGGCACGCCAAACCTATTTTCCAAAAAAGTGCACATATATATATATATATATATATATACGCAACTTGCGTCCGAAGGACCACGCCAAACCTATTTTCAAAAAGGGTGTACACGTATACACGCATGCTCTGATTTGATATATATAATAACAAATTTCCATTTGGCAATCAGGAGAATTTGCATTATGAGAAGCCGACATACACCACGCTTTTGTGAATTTTAAATAATGGTGAGAAAATACTCTGTTTTTTCTGTATCGTTGACTGTGATGAACAATACTGGCATTCGTAATGCCAAAGATTAAAGCATTCTTTAACATTTACAATATTCCGTGGTCATTATACTTTGTAATAATTATGCAAGAACAAATTTACATTTTTGTGAACATTGTTTTATCTTACCAGGAACTGTGAATGAAATCAACAGCATTCGTACCAGACCTCGACAATCAACAGGATGCAGCGAATCAGTAGTGATAGTAGGAGGGTGCGATCGTGTTGGCGGATACAATATGCCTTATGTGGACGCCTACGATGCAGTTTCTTCAAAATGGACTCAGTTAGCAAAACTACCGGCATTCACGAAGTCAGAATACGCCGTCGCATCATTCAGAAACAGCATAATTGTTAGTGGAGGCCGGATACATTCCAGAGACGTCTGGCTTTATCAGGTACCACAACCTTGTTATCAGACGGCTTTAATTATAGGTGACGTGTCAGTTAAATTGTTGTTGCGGTGATGTGATTACCAGAAAATGCCAATAAACTATGTTCGCTTCAAGTGTTAAATATATGCCTACATTGCCTAGCGTGTTTTTTCATTGTGCAGAAACTCTCGACTATGCAAAATATTTATAAATTGCTTTTGGTTGTTCCGGTATACAGCGAAGCAAAAAAAATTAACCAGCTTGTATATACAGTCGAGTATATTTATATGATTATATACACCCAAGATTTATTGTATCAGTCTATCATAAAAACCAGAACCGAATGAAGTTGTCTGAGGTGTGTGCTGGGTTGCACCCAACTCCCTTTTAATTGAGAAGATCTCTTTAAATTATATGGATAGCGACAAGTGAACGTTATAAATCTCATTCATTTGCAGTCTCATCTTGACAGTTGGGTTAAAGGTGCATCACTCTGTAAGGGACGATGGCGACACAGGATGGCAACAGTGGGTGGACATGTCTATTGTTTCGGAGGTTATGATGGAAAGTCAAGGCTGAACAGCGTTGAAAGATATGACAGGTTAGCCTAATTGTAGCTCCTACGCGCCCATTAAATACAAATAATGAATGAAAAAGAAAAGCTGAATTGTATGAAAATCGGACCATTTTTAATTTACTGACAATATAAAAGTCCTACGGACGAAACAAGCATTTTATTTTGCAATTTCGTTTTAATCTTAGTTATGGGGTCCTTTTTGTGTTGTTTATTTTTCTATTCAAGTAGAAATTTGCTTTAAATTAGGAAACGCCATGAGGAGTGTTGTTAATTTAATTAGAACGGCGCTAAAGCCTATATGTGGCAACAATCTAGCGGCTATATTTGACAATGAATGATGTCAACCATCACCCATATCCAACGTTTTCTGAACAACAATTTTGCTAACAAAACAGTGTTATAGTTTTATTCGCGAAGTAATATCGACACATACGAAACCCGATATTGAATTATTGTTAACTTTGGAAAAATTAAAAAGCGTCCCTAACAGTCATTCATCGCCAGGTGCGCAACGATCGTTCTGACCTGGTATCGTGAACAGCAAACAATAACATTCAGTCAACCGTTGATGTGATTGGTACAATGAAGCCGGATGTTGTACGTTACATATTTAGTAGTAGTTATTTTTATATGTTTGAGCTGAATTTGCGGTACAATATTTCAGTATCTATAACAACAAATGTTCCAACGTGATAAACCAGTTGCCAGGTTACTAATACATTATTGTAGTGCTATGCTCTAAACGCGGATGTATCGAGCAGGATCGCAAAAATACATTCTCGTAAAAGTTTCCCGCGTCAGGGTACACACTGTCAAAAATAATTTTCGCTTGAAGCGGTCCCACCAAGAATTCTCTGAAAAAAATTCACCAACCTTTTTATGTCAGGGAGTGATATAGCTCGCATATTGCATTTGATAACATGGCGCAATTTCGTTTTATTTTTATGATACCAGCAACGGTAAATTGCACATATATACATTCTCCCGTCATTCCTGATTGCTTCTGTCTTGGTGTTTTTCGAGTTGGCTGACAAAATGCTCAATTTTTTTTCAGCTTTTCAAACTGCTGGCAGGAAGTCGCACCTCTACTAACTGCAGTCAGTTCGTGTGCAGTGGCCACGTGCAACAGAAAAATTTACGTCATTGGCGGAGGAAATGATGATACGACAAGTACTGCACAGGTAACCCTTATATATATTTTAATACTGGGATCTCAAAAATGTGATTTTCATTTGAATTCTTGTTGTTCCTTCGATGAATTTTTTTATGATATAAATTTGACATGGTTCAAGAATACATTTTGTTGTAGGTCCAATGCTACAACCCAGATACAAATGAATGGGTTTACAAAACACCGATTCCAATTGCTCAGCGATGTATCACCGCAGTCAGTCTCGACAATTTAATATATGTAGTCGGTAAGTTTATTACACTTGATATATATTATATGTGTATTTAATTTAACGTTTGCTACAAAATAATGTATGTAAAATTATGAGCAATTCAATTTTTTCTTTTTTTTCAACATAAAACAACTATATTGAATTGAATTTTTTTAGGCGGGACCACAAAATCAATTCACTGTTACGATCCACTAACGGATGACTGGATAAAAGTTGTCCATACACAAGAAAAGCAGGAAAGTTGTGGGATGACGGTCTGCGGAGGAAAGATTTATATCACTGGTAAGGTTTCATCGCATTTAAAAGATGTTTTCCCATATACTTGACACACTTATTTCTATATGTATTAAACCAAAAAGTTCAACTTTTATGTTTTATCAAATATAATATACTTTTTGTCCAAGAACACCAATCACCCCCATTATATATCCAACACAATCAATCGCATCATTTGTAATCGTGCTAAAAGTACAAACGTTTACTTGCCGCCACAATTACATAAACATCTTCACGAGATCGGACTTTGGTTCGGTTGTACAATATAAACAAATACGAAATGGCAAATGAGCCTTACCGAATACAGAAAACACGGAAAAGTTTATTCCACCAACAATAAACACAATAATATTTCCTTTTGCCTTCAGGTGGAAAAAGCGAAGAAGGCTTGGAAGCGTTAGACGCAGTTACATGTTACGATCCAAGAACTGGAAGCATAGAAAAAGTTGCTACTATGCCCCGATCAGCGTGTTATCACGGTTGTGTAACAATCCATAGATTCAGTGCACAAGCGAAAAAAGAAGTGATTTTCAGTGGAGTGTCTTCATCCTTTACGTAACTTCGCTACTTTGTCTCTTCAGGACTGTAGAGCTGGATATTGGAATTTTGCTGGAATGCCATCACAGGAGCATTTTCAAATTTTACAGAGTCGGGAAACGGACTGGAATTTTTGAACTCTTCAGGATTTGTAGTATTCTGGCTATAACACAGTCTAAATTCACAATCTAATCTAAAAAGGACTTGCAAATGTCAAATTTTCAACATTAAAACTTTCCTGTTAGGTATCCAGATTCGGAACTTTGTCAATCCCGGTGTCTATTTAAGAAGGCTCTGAACCGAATGAAACTTTTCAAAATTTGCAAATATTCAAATCAAATAGCTATCCCATTTCAACAATAAATATGTTAACTATTTCCAATGAGACAAATTCATGCTGGTGCTGCTCCATATACCTGATTGTTTGATGTTCCAACTGTGTAATTTGCATATATTTTTTATTTTAGTATTTGCTTGTTGATTTTATTTATTTGTAAAATGTCGTACTTCCTCTTGCGAACGTGTGTTTAAAGAATTTGTGATGTATTGTTGGCTATTTGAACAAAACTGTAACATTTGTTTCATTTCTGCGATTCGTTTCAATTTGGTGATCTAGCCATATAAAACAGCCATCAGGTTGTATTTTTGCTTTTTTCTAAACAACTAATGAAATTTACTCATTTGGGCCCGTAAGTCACTTCTATCAGGCTGAATAACACATTTTCAACCAATTTAGTGAAAATCTTGGACATTGATTGTGAAGCAATGGTGAAAATATAGAAATAATAAGAGCTCCAATGAATCATTTAAATCGGCTGCCAACACGGTGTCGAACATATATTTTTTCAGTTTATCAGTAGTAAAATACTGCCCTCTAAAAGACATCACCATAGAATTAGCTTATTGTAGTGGTATTAAAAAGTGTTACATCTTGCCATTGCACTATACTTTAGAATATATGAAATAAAAAAACTAGGTTTCTGTACTCTTGTTTGTGAATGACATGTCTAAGTTTTGCCTCCAATTCAGGACAATGTATTTATATATTGTATTTATTGCCATTCTCTCTCGTCATGTTGATTTTCTTTTTTGTACAAAATAAAATACTCCAAACTTGAATTTCTGATGATTTCATTTAAATGTGCAGTTGTCGAGATGCCCAACTGACGATGCGCAAAGTTAAGATAATTTAATTGCATTGCTGTCTGCAAATTTAACTCAGAGTCAATTGTGCATTGATATTTACGAAGTATATGCACAATGGCAAACTTTTGTACATGCATAGAGTAATGAGCATGCTCATTCAAAAAATTTAAGTTTATTAAATTGGTGGTATGTGGGATTGCCACGTGTTTGATACAAATTGCACATTGAAATGAAAACAAAGAATGCCGCCATCGATAGGCGACAATGAATAAGGGAGCGTGCTCAAATATATTGATTCGAAGGTCTACTCTAAACCAGGTTCCACGGGTATGCAATCTTTCACAGTGAACCACCGGTACAGTGCCGCAGTATTCACGACTTCGCCCAACAACCAGATAGCAGCGAACGCGGAACCGTCACGAGGTGCGCAATTTTCAATATTGAAGACGCCATCACGCACAAAAAACGAACCCCTAGAGCCCACGGAAGTAACAGCCTTTTAGCGACAACAACAATTTTTACCCACTGAATCTTTCAAAACAACAGGCGTATAAGTTTATCAGAAAAGCGATTTCTTCACAATAAGAAGCAAAGAAATACTAAAAAAATGATCAACAACAACTTAATACCACATGGTGCGCAATTTTTAATTTTGATGACGTCATCGCACACAAAAAAGATTCCCATAGATAGACCCCACAGAATTTTGGGAAAAAAGTAAAAGCCTTCTTTAACCACTGAAAATTTCAAAGTAATTGATCGGGTAGTTTATGAGAAAATCGATTATTTTCACAACAAGAAAAATGACTAACAAGAACAAAAACATAGTAACAAAACGATCCGTATATATTCTTAGTATCCAAATAGTTGCATTTTGGTGAAAAGACGACTGTGATGGCACTGTATGAAAAATAAAGTCGTCGCAATTTCACAAAAGTTTAACACCTTTCGCGTGAGAAACGTTTAAATCGAATATCAAAGAGTTGCGACAGGATTTGGGTACATGCTCGATTTTTTTTTGACGCACACATCTGTTAACCGGAATATCATCATATGAAAACAAAAAAAAACTTGTGGTTCGTCTCTATATTTATCTGATTAAATTTGAATTATATTATTTGAACTATTTTTGAATGATTCTATTGTTTACAATTAGCGAACTGATTAAACGTCATCCTTTTCTACTAAGAAGGTGAACGATTGGTCGGCGAAACTTTGCAATAGGCCAGCGTCCAATACCCCGGCTCTTCTGCTGGTTCTCATGGGCGGTAACGGTATATCATTGGCAGGTTTCTTGGGCTTGGGCAATAAATTCGTCACCAGAATCGATTCCTGCATCAATCGAGAATCTAAACTGAAAAAATGGGTTCGTTCAACAAAATGCATACAGATTTATAAACTGACCGTTAGTTATTTCTCAACGGTACTGTTGAATATTATAGAAGTATACTCTTTTTTGTTTATTCTCTCAAGATGAGTGCAATGGCCCGAATGGTTACAGATTTGAGAGTTCGTTGGAGCTCAACAGTCTTGGGTTGAGAGTTCGTTGGAGCTCAACAGTCTCGGGTTCAAACCCCACGCTGAAACAGGGTGTAATTATTGTGTAGGCCATGCCGAACCGATAAGATTCGGTTCTATCCGAAAATAGTATATCTTTACGAATCTATTGAGGTCGTGTGGAGAGGCTTGTTCGGACTGAGAGCGTCCGAAAGCGTGAAAATTTTAACCGGATAATTCGTGTAATATGTGAATTCGCAGGTCCTAAACTAAATCAACCATTTACTACCACTATATTGTATACTTTTATCTGCGCCGGATATAGATTTTACCTGCCTCCTGGTTTCATCACAGTGAGTTTCCTGCGTCGTATTGGTTCAATCAATGTCACACCACGTCGTATTGAAAACGTCAAACGTGGACCCATGTCGTCAACTAACGTGTTAAAATAATATTATTAGTGAGATCTTCGAGCGAAATAAACTTTGAATCCTTGATGAAACCCACGCTTTTAAATCAGTACGTGACTACAGTTAAAAACACACACCAAATTAAAACCATAGCTTCTTTAGTTGTTCTGAAATGCTTACTATTTACCGTGTTACCACATAGCCATCAGATTCTAAATGCTTTAATGTGGTATATTCTTTTGGTAGAATGGTAAAAAATACCTGTTATAGAGCATTGTTATTCGTTCCATTATGAAATATTCATATCGCGTTAAAAACATCGTAGCCGCATAGGTTGAGGCCAATTTAGTCGGCGCATAAAAGACCGTGTCCGAACGAATGCGTCAAAATGGTACATCGTACACTTTTCAGTAGGGCTTCATCAAAAATATGCCAATGATAACAATGTCACAAATGAAAAATTAGGGATAAAGTGTAAGCATTATTTTAAACTAATTTCAACTAAATGGGATTTACAATTCTGTCATTGATTGGAAATTTATATTTTATAAAACAACACATACATCCAAATGGAGATCCTCGTTTTTTTGTAAATTTGCTGGAATCCATATCCAAGTAATTGGGTAAATCAGCAGTTGCAAGTCTTTTCGACTTGGATTTCTTCTTCTTAGGTGAAGCCTGCGTTTGATCACCGCGATCAGATGGTTTTTCTTGTTCAAGACCTTTCTTCTTATTTCTCATTTCTTCGGCAATAACCGGGGTCATCTTCAATCCGTATATCATTCTATGTTTCTTTGACAATGTCGGGACATATCGATAATGTTCAGCACAAAATCTAGGACATTATAACAGAAAAGATTTTATTTAAGACAAATAGAGACAAATTTGAATAAGAACATAGCCCATATTACTAACGCAGTACCGCTGCCATGGCGAAGGTTTATATGAACCCATTTACATCTCACGCATTCGAATTCAAATGAGAGTTACGCAATTCATACCACTAACCCTGAGAATTATGTTCATCTTAATTCAAACGCTTTAAAATGAAACTATCCACGATTATTTCTACAAATATTTAGAGTTGTACTTTTTTTTATTTTTGATTAGTCTTTTTTTAACATGGCGTCTGCTACAAACGTTTTTTTTTCTGTGAAATATCCGCAATAGCACAGATAACTGCATTGATGAGATTTTCAACTTTACTAGAGTCAATATTTGAAAAAAAAAAATATTAAAACAAATTCCTGGTCGTACTTTACCTTTTCCAGAAATGAAGCAGCAAGGGGAAAACATAAATTGTAGCTTCATGAAACAGACCTCTGTCGATTAATCCGTTTTGAAGTGATTCGATTGTAATATCAGCTACTTCTGGTGGCACATTTACCTTAGAAAGAAAAGTAAAGCCGTCAGTATTATCTAATAAGCCAGCAAAGATCCCGATTGAACGGAAAGATCAGGCGTTGTTGGGGTACGACATTGAAAGACTACATTACAAAACGGTCTAAATTTGCCTGTTTTTTTCATATATGCAAGTTTGCTTTATCAATGTCCCGAGCCCTCAAAATTGCCGACAGAAGAGAGTTGCGAGCGTCCACCGACGCCAATTGATAGCGGTCGACACGATGGCTCCAAGTTCACAATGTTAAAGACACGGGTAAACAGGAAGAAATTCCACAAAAAAAATGTTTTTATTAGTTCGTGGTCCCTCTCAAAAAGTGACTCGATTAACAAAGGTATTTCAAGCCCCACCCAAACTGTAACTACTTACTGGTTTGTTATAAACTACAAACGATAAAATTTTCGGTGTGGTAAGGTCGATGGATGTAGATTAATCAGCTTTTACAAACAGGATTTGATGCGATAAAATATATGTTTAATTCGCACATTGAAATAAATTTTGGATACAGGGTAAGGCCAAAATATATACTGAGTGACCCTACGGATCTATTATGATATTCTCGAAAAAAAAATGTAAAAACACTCACCCTTAGCTTCGGAGGAATGTCGGATTCTAAGTAACAGCTAACAATTAAATTTGCTTTTGTTTTTAGCATGTTCCCTTCAAGTTCTAAATTTATCGAACGACTTCCGCTTTCATCACACGAATTCGCCATTGATTTATAACTAGAAATAAAGTACAAAGTTATCGGGAATTTTACCATAATATCTGTGTAATCGAAATTTGTTAAAGATGATAATATGTCAGTGATAATTACTGTTTTTAGTAAAAACATACGACAAATTAAACTAATGAAATGGAAAATGGGGTTTATTTTATTTGAACCCAAGAATCATAATTACTGTACAATCTCAGTTAAAATCACAATCATCAAGTTAAAAATTCACCGCAACTGCAACAACAATTTTATAGAAATACTGAATCACACTGTAATACAGAAGTCCTACATAACACCCCCATTGGAATAATGCATATATTAGCGACTATTTGTAGGCACATTTGCGAAGTAACAATAGTTGAAAAGCGTCTAAAGAAATGAATTTCACTATAAGACGACTGCATATACAGCAGGAAGTAAGTTAATTCCACATATGAAATGTTACCATTCTATATCTCTCCAAAAATGTAAATCGTTTGGTAAGAAATTGAAAGTAATGAGTTGTCCGTTAACAACACGCTGTTTTACTCCATCATTTTCGTCTTCGTGTCGATAAAACATATAAGGAACTATTGTGCTTTCACTTCTGTTCGCGATAAACTCTGTTAAAAATAATAAGTAATAATGGTTAGTGCTGATTTGTAAATTTTCAATATATCATTCTATATTTACATGCTATTGGGCACGTAGTGTACTGTACATATTGTTCGTTTTGCTAATTTGTTTCTGGTATTGTTGTTGTTATAAAAAAAATGGCCGACCAACTGATCGACTTCCAGTACTTCGTCGCTAGAATTCGCCAGACAATTTTTTCTATTTTTTTACGGAGTTATACAGCCTATACTACCAAATTTTTGCCCATGGTATCATGGAAACACTTGTTATTAAGACCTATGGAAATGCTTTTATATGACCTAGAATCCTGGACCTTCGTGTGGACAAATTTAAGCACTGGTGTCTTATATTACCTTTTAAGTACATGGAAGAAAATTAGTAGAATTAATAGCAAAACTTCGTAAAAAGCAACAATCCGATTAATATATTATATATATATCACTACAGTGATTATTGAAACCACACCACAAACATATGGAACTCCATAGTAACTGGAGTACAATCTTGTGACTGTTAAAAACAATTCAATATTCACGACTCCGATATCCCACAGAAGGTCGAGTAGGTTTATAAACATTTATTTCCAATCACCCGAAGGTCCCGCGCTGTTAGGATGTCGATATCTAACATCTTCGTTTTCAATTTCACGTTCGAGATATTTTTCAAACATTTCAAACATATGTGGCTTCCTCATTGCACGAAGAAAGGACGCTGCCCGTTTGATAAAATCATTGAAAACAACCCAGATATGTTTCTGTCAATGCAAATTGTTTAATTTAACAATATTTTTTTAATTGAATTTTCATATCCTAGAAATGACATACGGTCATACGTCATCTGACAAGTAAGTATTCAATTCAAAATTTTAAATAACAAATGGTTGTGAAACTAACAAAACAGCAACGACATGTTCTATTCCGTGTCAGTAAAAAAACGAATTATCCACTCCTTTTTTTTATATAAATGCAATCATGTAACAGTCATTTATGCCTTCTATGCTATTTATATTAGAGTTAAAATGATTCATACCAGTCTCCTGTTTCGTGACAATTGGGTTCTTGCGATGTACGACTTATCCGTTATTTCCAGATCCGATGGATAGACTGTTCTCTCTTCGAACGTTTCTGCATATCTTCTGAACCAACGTTCTTCAAGGACACGCCCGATTATAGATTGCGCAGAAAATAACATTGATGTTGTTACAACATCCAAATAGGGAATTTCTCTGTGATAAATATAGAATAATAAATATATCGTTAAAGCAAAATGATGGTGAAAAAACTGACGGAGTGTGAGTGTACCACAAGGCTGTCCATTCAGTACAGTCGTATTGAGCATATATATTTATTTCTGAATTTAATTCCATCCCATTTATATGTATATAGCCAAATACTGCAGTTTGCGATTCACTATTCGTATGAATGTTGCGACTCTATTTGTCAATGTAAAACAATAATTCCAATTTGCGACCCCTGACAAATATCACAGCTGCACAAGTACTTACAGCATCTGTCACCAGAAATCAAATTTTTAATATATGAATTTTTTTTCAGGAAGGTATGACCTGAACTGTGCCGTTGGATAAACTATCTATTTTGTGTTCCTAGCATTCGTTTTTTGCATACCATTTAACTTACCGCCAATTTTTGAATTGGTAAACATCGGGACACCGCTAGCGTTCAGCTTTTCCCAAATTGTAACCCAACAGGAATTCCCTTACAAATGTACAATATAGATTTGAGAAGATGAACTACAAATAGTGCGAATTACTTGATAATATCTGCGTTGCATTGAAGTAATTTAGTTGCTGGAACCTTCGGATTGTGAAAATATTTTTTGATGATACCACGGGCTTTCACTTGTCTAGATTTTAATTTATCAGCAATTCTTAAATTTTCCACTGCATTCCAGAAACTCAGTGCAAGATCAGCACGATGAGCTTTCAAATATCTTTTGAAGAATTGAAAGTGAACTGTATCTTTCAGAACTTCTTGGAAATGCCTGGAAGTAATATGAATAACGCTTGTTAATTTAAATCGAAATAATGTAGCATTTTCGATGCTAATTTCATCAATTTCCTTTACACCACGTTTCCACATGACAATGCTATATCGACAATTAAAAATAAACAAGTGGAATCCTGTAATAAGTTCCTGTATGTATCTTTACCCTCGATAACAATGGAAGCTATAACAGGATAAGTAGTCAATATGTATATAAAATATTTCTCATTCATTTACATAATATTATTAGGATTGGCTATTTTACTTGGGTCGTATGACAGGTCGTTTCATAAGTTGTCCTCCTTTTTTCAAAGGATGATAAAGAGTTGCAGACTGAAGTCTTCTATCAAACTGAATTTTAACGGAAGTTTGCAGACCGAGTGGATTGGTAGGATCTGGATATTGCTTTACTGAACGCGCAGCCAATTCCTTCAAATCTACAGGAGGTTCTGAAATTTGAATTAGAGAACTCGTGGCGAAGAAACCCAACAAAACATTCACAAAGTAAGAGTTACGTTCATCAATGGTTATCAATTATTTTAGTCGATTGACCTTCTCATTCGCCCAAAAAATTAGCGCTGTCTAGTTTTAAAATTGGCCATATCACGTTGAGTATCTCCACCAAAAACCTGACTTTAACTGAGAAATTGTAGTGCGTGCAAAATAATTTCATGTTTAAATTACTGTAGATCGTACTTGATAATACTAGTCAACACTACTCCATTAGGTGCAAATCTGATTGTAGCAATCACTACAAATCAATTCTTTGACACCTCGACTGTCACTATCTGAAAAAAAGATACACAAAAATTTTACTTCGAATGCACTTTGGTTCAGGTGGAGGGTCAACGCATCCGTCATCGTCACTCTCATCACTGGATATTCGATCAGTAATACAAGGATCCCGACCATCTGAAATTGTTTTATAAATATTTTACGTCAAATCAATCATTTAGAGTCGACATTTGCGTCCATATAAATAAACGGGCGTCAACGATTGCTTGCAAGTCTTCCATCAGCACCCTTGCTACTTTGATCAAGCTTGTATATAGAGGGCAGAGGAAATATGCATCGAAAATGTTTATTGGTCATACCCAGTTCAGCTCACCTGGCAAATTAATTTCAATTATAAGTCGCAGTGACCTCGACATTCTTGAATTCATTTCTATTTGGAAATTCTCTTCCATATCAAATGAGGTGCTTAAGTCGTAAGTGTCTTTTCCCAATTTGCCAATTGGAGGCAAAAACGGTGGTCTCTGACGCATTTCGTCCTTTTTAAAAGCCTTTGAAAGGAGTTTTTGAAGCGTTGTGTTATATACAATGAGGATAATTCAAGTAACTAGTGCATTGCCTTCCACTAAAAAGCATTTTAAAACTTCTAATACATTTAATTTTTGTACTCCTCTTTTTACGGAATTCTTGTGAATTATTTCATTATAGAAGAAATCAGTCTTAGTTTAAGTCTATACTATATGATAAATAATAATCGATTGAACAGCAATATAAACCAGAAACATCAGCGCTGATATGGCTGATCCTTGTCTGATGCGACGACATAAGTAAATATCCCGTATAAACCTACCGCTGCGTTGAGAAATGATTGTGTTTCTTGCTGACAAAATGCTTCGTGTGCATACTTTAAATCTTCCATAACCTCCTTCTGTAATTTTCTGATTTGCCATGGCATTTCTTGCATTTCAGGAGACAAGCAATTCATAATCGCTTCTTCTCGAAGGGATTCTGGAGCTTCGATTCGACAAGGAGACGTATGCAACAGATATTGAGTAACTATTGATTGCATCTGAAATTTACGAAAGTTGTACAATTATCTCAAAAATTGAAGAGTTATTTTGATTGAATTGAGAAACTCGATGAACGCTTTGGGCAGACAAAACAAGGTCTTGATATAACTACCAAAAGAGGCAAGCACTGTTCAATAAGCAATCCTTATAGAATGGGTGCCATTCTTCTTTATGTATATATATATATATATATAAACATATATATATATATTTCCCCAAGTCGCACCGAAAGATCACCTCTTTTCGATAACTCTTTTTTGTGAGCGCGAGCAATGATGAAGCAGGCAAGGAATTGCGTTAAAAAAAGTTGAATCAAAGCGAATATAAAAATATATGAATATGAGGGGTCTCTTACCGACTGCATAAAACTATTGAACGACATATTCCCATATTGAAAATCTTGTCTTGTTTTTTCCACGTCTAACCAGAATCTGAGATAGGAAACCATTTCTTCGTTGTCAGTCGTCACAAGGAACGTGCGGAATGGCTGTGAGGCGCATTGGTCAGATTGCAGGGCGAGAATCAGCCTTCGATTTTCTGGTCGTGACCGATATGCAATGTCTTTTTCCATTGTATATTCTCGGGGCGACACGGTAGGCACGATCATAACGGCTCTGTTGAATATATAAACAATAAGAATAAAAAGTCTTCAACTTACTAGTCTTTACACCGACCTCTGAATGATAAAAGGTCTTAGATTTTAGCTTGAAGCAGTTTTGATTCATACCCACGTAACTGTAAACATAATTATGTATCGATATCATTGAACTGAACTATGTATATTGTACGTAAAATATTGCAAAGCCATTTAAAAGAATACAACGAAAACAAACAAATGTGTCACAACGGGGGAAAATACAATATCCCATATTAATTCGATAATTAGGATCATGTCAAGACCAATCTGGAACTCTTGAGATGCAGCAATACTTTTCCAATTTCGTTATACAATATACAAATTTGGTCATTTTTTATGTCTTTGAGTTTTAGCTATAATCTGTCACTTACGTTAAAGATGCAAGTTTTGTTGCGCGTCTGTGCGTTCTGCGATCTTTGACTTGTTTTAAAGATTTTTGATCGAGCTTTTTTGACTTTTTCGAATCTGAAGAGTCGACAGATCTTGCTGATTTGTCGGCAGGCGTTGGAGCATCACCGGACAGACTGAAAGTTAGGGTTGTTATCTAAAAATACATTTCATTTTATCAACTCAACTCGAATATCGCACAAATAGTCAGTAGGAAGATACACAATATTAATTTCTATCTAAATATATATATGAAATTTGTCAGGTATAAGTGTACCTCAAGGAAGTCGACTAGGTACATGGTTGTTTGTTTTATTCAATTAAGAACCTTAGATTAATGTTATACGTCTCAGACAGTAACTGCACATTATTGACGTGGCTACAATAACTATACTCGACATAGACATATATTTTTTCGTTTTTACAGTCGCATATCGGCAACATTAAAGACTGTAAAGGCTGGAAATCGAATTTCTTTAGCGATCCAATCCCATTTGAAATCATGCTTCGCTATACTATATCAAGCACACACGAATCGTTATCCATGAACAATAACATCACCAACAGTATTTCAAGTGATAGAGGTAGTAATGTTTAGGATTGTTAATTGATAGCAAAATAGCAACTTACTTTGTTCTTTTTTGGTTTATTTTTGGCGACGATACGACGTTTTTTCACTGAAGTTACGGTAATATTGGATCCAACAGAATCTTGTGATGGAGTCCGATTTAAGCTCGAAGGTCTTCTTAGTTTTCCCATTTTGCCAAAACTCATTCTAAATGTATCGAGTGTTTGGTTTATCAGTAAAGAGTATATTGCGTTTTTTGTTGATTAATTGCAGGTTATGGAATCCATGCTCACCACCTCACTTGGGTGTGATAAATTGAGTACCCAAATCGAACTGGGAAGATTCCGGTGTTTCTTAATTAAATATCAGCTCCAACGTATTAGTTGTTTTGTTCGGGAGTAAAAATATAGTGTTTCTTATGATAGCATGATGTAAACAATTTTGTTCAGATGGAACGTGATATTTTTGTATGTCATCTCATGAATTTTGTTTTCTTGTCGGGATATTTCGACAGAATCCACTTACGTACTTGAGGTTGTGAGTGGTTAAAGTCGAAGAATTATCAATGCGTTATCAGGTATTGGAGATGATGCCACATTTGAGTCATCAGAATAAAATTAGTTTAATTCCTAATAAATATTTTCACCTGCTTGTCATTGACTTGAGACTTCCAAGAGATGAAGCATCAGACTGTCTTTCATTCATTCTTCGCGAAAGTTCATCTAACGATAGATCCCACATAGAAGGAGACCTAAGTTATTAGTGATATAGTTAGGATAAGATTATAACATATATTCCCGGGGAGACGAAAGCCGATAAGGCAATTTAATCATATAACGAACGACGGCTTCTCGTCTGGTTACCAGGTTGGGTATGGGATTAGTCAGCAAGTTATTTGTTTCAGATGCATGGACTTTATGGGGAGGAAGCCGTGCCGACAAGCGGTTACGTGAACAACCTCACGGCGGAAAGAAGTGGGTCGATTCTCTAGCACATAAATATCCAACACGGGATTAAAACCTGTGAACCCACAGAGAGTAACCAAAGGTGCAACGTTCAGCACAATGCGGCACACTGCCGAGTTTAAGTTTTCAGGCAATTTATCATTACAAGAGAAAGGGAATGGATAATGTTATTTGAGAGCAATGTTTAAATATATGGTCACGAAGTTCGCGCACCAGTAGCGGTGCGCGAAAGGATTGGAGGACACGGAAGGGGTCAAGCAATACGGGATTAATATCGGGCCAAGTAAGATTTAGAGGAAATTTGAAAACAGGAAAAAAAAGTTATAGCCTTCTAGCTACTAGGCCTACTTCCATCTTTAAATACTGAAAATTTGCAATCGATTCTTTCATCAATTGCAAAGAAAAAAGAGATAATTTTTCTCAACAATACCAACAACAATAATTTAGCAAAACGGGGTCCATTTCGTGTCCAAGAATACAAAACCTGTTAAACAAGTCTGGTCTTTCCATTTCCGACCCATCCTGCATCGGTAATGAAGGTGGCGAAAGACTATTTGAACCAGGCAATTTCAGTGCCGCTTTGAGCAAAGATTTCCCCCCTGTCATTTCCATACCACCGAATGGAGAATGTTTAGGAACTTGTTTAAAATCTGGCAAGGGTCCTCCACCATCGAAAGCTTGACGTAACTCTTCCTCGTCATCGTCGAGCAAGATTTTCTAAGTGAAGCGGAAAAATTAGATTTGAACACAGAAGATTAATTTTTTTTTATTTTTTATACCTGAAATAGAGAATGAAATGCAATATTATCTCAGTTCCAAAACTTTTTTCCAGAATAATATATTCATGGATACAACATAACATATGTGATAAAAAATACACCAATTTAGAATGATCCTTACTAACTTTTATTCTGTAATTTTTGTAACACTTACAAGGCCAACCACCACAACAAGACTAATATGTATTTGGCAAAACGATCCATCGTGCTCAATAAGGAACTTTTGCTCAATAACCAAATTGTAAACGAAGTATATTGATGCAGTCGCGCCATTGAATGTCGTACCATAATAATGACGTATGGTAATAATACGATAACCATACAAAAACCGAACAAAAGCAAGAGCGACAAAATTTGACTACTCATCACTTGCATTTTACCGTAAATCTTTCATGAAAACAATTCTCACCTGTCGATCTATATTTTTCTTTCCTTTGGCAAATAGTTTGACTTGGTCAGATGACATACTTGGTCTTCGATAGGATTCTTTCACCAACAATTCTTCGAACTTTAAATTTCGTTTATGAATTGATCTTTTCCTGTGCCTGTCTTTAAATCTAAACTTCTTCTCTTTCTTGTTTTTTCTAGGAAACTCGTTAAAAAGTTCAATTTCCATGCAGATGTAGCAATATGCACACTCGAGATAGCATTGAAATAAGTAGGTGCACTTACCGTTCTGAAACCTGTATGCTATTTAAAACTGATATTACACCCAAGATGAATTTTTGTCATTCAAGAGATGCAATCACTATATATATCGTGATCTGATATATTGTAAATACAGTACCTATAGCTGTCATGAACACCTTCCCAACTTTCAGCGCTATCGCTACCCCCTGACGACTTTTTCTCACTCTTATCTGCCTTACTGCCACTGTCGGAACTTTCGGTGTCATCGTCTTTCCGGGATTCACCAGATTTGAGAGAACCTGTAACTCTATTTGCACGACGTTCTCTCGAACGAGCCTTTCTCTTTTCCATTTTTCTTTTGTACTCTTCTTCGTCCTCACTTGAAGATGCACTACCGGACGACCCACCTTTCACTGATTTATCAAGGCGGCCTTCGGAACTGCTGCTTGACACTCCGGGAGGGGGGTGTTCGCTGAATGAAACGCCTTTTCGGCCTAAGTGAAAACACTCGTCAGTGACATCCGAGCATACCTTACAATCGGTTTTAAAGATTCCAGAACAAAAAATACATCAGTGTAAAAATAGACTTTTTGGTACTAAGAAAGTAGAAACGCTAATATTTCCAAGTTTTTTTTTAAATATATCTGTGTAATAAAATATAATATTAATATATATAATAGCTCCGATGGCTCGGATGGGCTCACCATAACTCATACTAGTAAGTGTTTACAGTCTGAACAACAGCTAATGATTAAAGGATGAATTATTAATAAACTCGTTCTCTCTAAATCCAAAGATCTTGAAGTAAAGCCGATTTACAACCAATAGAAACATTTTCAAAATTTAGTTAATTTATGAAAATACCTGCACCATAAAAAGCCCCTTTTCCTAACTATACCACAATACCTCGTTTACGTTCAGATTCCGGAACTTTCTGGTCATCGATGATTTCTGACTTCTGAAATAATTGCATTAATTAAATGATAATTAAACGTTATATTTATCATATTTATTTTATTGAGAACAGAAGCTTTACCTCTTTCTTGTCGCTGTCGGATTCTGACTTGAGCTTGTCGGCATGAGCTTGCTTTTCCTCATTGTCTGTCGGAGTAACTAACATTACTTATTAACAATGTTGCAAACTGGGCAAAAGCAGTACTCGCCGCGCGTAAGAAACACAATCGCCATAAGGACAGTGGTATGTATGCGTGGGTCATCTAGCTTCAAATCTTATACGGAAGGTAATAATTATTAGTTGTGCGAGATTGCTCGTTGTCAAATTATGATTTCGACTTACAATCCAACCACATCATAAATCTATAACGTTTAGCTGGGTTATGTCTATACTTCCACACCATACGGCATACAGACTGTTTGGTGAACAAAAGAATATTTTGACATACAAGTTCATTTGCAAAATTATTTAATAATAAAAACGCGTTTTTCGTAGAAATCAATTGTAACAATCGGCAGCAGCAGCAGTTTGTGAAACAAATCACTGGATCAAATGCTACGTCAAAATTTATAAAACATATTACATAGTATACCATGGTATAGTGAATTTTATTTGAAATGTCAACTGCTATATGAGTTATATATCAAGTGTTATATTAGGACCTGCTTGATTGTTATGTATATTTTAATGTATATTTATAGGTTTTTACCTTCTACGTGTTCATCGGCAGATCGTTCTGTCTCAGTATCAATTTTTGATTCAGACTGCTCTGTACTTGACTCGGACGACGATTCCTCGGCAGTAAGCACAATTCCACCTCGCAGATACTTTTTAGCCAAATTCAAATTACTTTCTTCTTCTTCATTCAAAACCAGAGGGTTTTGTGCCAACAAATAACGAGGCATCCAATAATCTTTCAAGCGACTAGCGCAAAGCTTCAAAAAAAAAGATGATATACTTTTATGATTCTGAGCAATAAATTGTTATATTCCGCTAGAAAAGAGAATAGAGAAGTTGTAAAAAAATCGTTAAATTGACCTCTTTTTGTATGTAATCATTATCGAAGTCACCGAAGTGCACAGTAGTACGCAAAGTTGGCCATTAAAAGCAACTCTGATACTAGAAAACATCAAAGAAGTGCGTTTTATTGGCCCATACTCTATGAAATACTGCGTTTAATCGATTTAATATACTGATATTCCATTCCCTGACATTTCACTAGGTTTGTTTATGAGTAAATTGTGCACACAAGTAAAAGCGCGACCATTCTATAGACGGCTCGATCATGTTCTAACAAACTTGAATATCAACATTCTTTTTAATTTCAATAAAGTATATTCAGAATCAACTCACTCTTTGGAGACAGATGGTAAATGTGATGTCGTATGTCTTTGCGTCTTTCGCAATCCCGAGAGTGCGATGTGATGACGGCAAAGTGTCCCAAGCAAGGTCGAGTAAATGCTGAGGCATCGCAGATTCACCATTTCCGGTAAAGTATTTCTCTTTAATAGCATTAAATACTTCCATGGAAGAACTCGATCGTTTCTTCACATTGTAGTATCTGAGGTTAAAATAAAGTATTAAAAACATAGTATGAAGTTACATAATCCATAAACAATTGTGTGAAAAATTTGACATGGGCCTTGGAACAAACAGAAGGTCATTCAAGCGGTCAAATTTTTATAGAAGTTTGCTCAAACCAAGTTCATTAGTTCTCAACGAAAAATGAAAAGAAATATTGACAGATAAAATTGCAAGAGGCCAACATAGCGATAAGATCTATTATATATTTATTTTGCGCAAAATACGCAAAATGCGCAATAAACTTTAATGTAAGCTCTATCGTGTCAATAAGCAGCGAAATAGACATGTATCAGATCCGGTGATGTCTAGTATAAATAATCAGGCATTCTCAGAGAAAAAAATACTCACAGGCGTTCCGAATCCAGCCAATACTGATACAGTTTGTCACCAGCATCGCTTTTTTCGCGTAAAAATTTTCGGAACTTACGAATGGATGACACCCGACCGAGACATTTTTTTTGTAACCATGTCAATGCTTTGTGAACTTCTCGTCCAGCTAATTGACAACAAAAAGAGTACTACAAAGAAATTCGTCGAAACTTTACTAATATCAAAAAGTCTATGTAGTTCACGAAGTTTGAAACAAAATTCATTTATTCGAGAGCTTATTGTTGTATACAAAATTTCAACTTGAAACACTCATCCCCAGAAACTTTCTCTTTTCTAAAACTGCCTCCTGTAACAGGTTAACAATTCTCTATACGATTTAGTACAGATATATGACTGAATTTGAATATCGCTATGACAATACGCTTCAATATCGCTATGACGATACAATAGTGTGCAGATATGCGTACATCAACCAACAGTCACTTTTTGACATATCAATTAGTCTATTCGGTAATAGAAAGTCGGGTTATAATGAAAATTAGTACTGTATTTCACCCAAAGTGTGGAGGCTATGAATATTACTCATAAAAAACTTGCTGACAAATAAGTATTTGGTAGTAGTAAGCTAAAATTAATTGAACAAACCTTCCGTCTTTAATACTCGACCACGTTCTTTTATGAAGGAATGTCGAATAAGGTAATTGCATAAGCGATATTCGCCAGAAAAACGACTGTTCAAGAAAAGATTTAGACGTTTCCTCCACAACCATTCTACCAATCCGTTGTAATTGAGCGACTGTAATTTTCATAAAGTATGAATGAATTTTATGACGAGTTGATTGTGTGATCCACAATAATTAATGTGCGAATGGTTCCATCTCAAGAATCGAGCTTTAATTGAAATATGAAAAAACATGTCCAAATCACATGTAAACGCTACTATTGCTTTAAATTGGACAATTTGTATTGAACATGTCAAAATTTGTCAGAAAAATGGCCTATCCAACAGCAATCGTGTGTTCAATCACGTGCAGGTAGATATGATTACAAATACCTAAATGAACTATATAGAAATATTGTTAATGCGATTTTTAGTAGAACAACAAAACGGTAAAAAATTAAATATCTTACATATTTGTTTCCTGGTAATGGAGGATGGAGAATGAATCTCTGCCTCTTTTTACTGTAAACAACTAATTGTGCAAATGCCTGAAAATTAGGAATAGATTATGTAGCAAAAGATTCAGATATTTTGACAAGCCAAATCATGAACAAGTGGAAAGATATAAAATATGACTTTCAGGCCTACATCATCGGTATTTTCCATGATGCGACTAATCACTCACTTTGGAACAACTACCACATTATTAACCGTCAAATCGAAAATGAGGAATAATAATATGAATAGAAAAACACGTACTGGCAGGCATATAAATTTGTTGAAATAGTCGATAAATTCATCTTCTTTCAGAAGTTTTCTAAAATCGCCCAATGTTATTGACGTCCCTGAACAAAACAGACGTATGTCACATGATATGTATTTTGCAATTGTGTGATTCAAGATCTTAAAGATGCTGTAAGAATTACACTATTGGAGAGTTGTGTGAAATATTTTGAAAAAGGACAAGCAGGGCAGTCCACGTCGATTTGCACGAATGTCCGTTATCATATACCGTACCTAGTTTGAGATTTACATCGGAGGAGAGATAGGACAACAAGACGATTTTATCAGATGGCCTATCATAACCTCTTTTTAGGTTACCGGACCAGGTTGAATATGGAAATATGAATGAAGTTATTTATCCAATTTATTGAATGAAATCCATGAACCTGTATGGCTGAAGGAGCAGTCACCGACATACAGTCACATTAAACACAAGCAACACCGTAAAATCTAGCAATCCCCTCACACAGAGTCTAATATTCGAACCAGTATTCGTCAATTGTCGAGGCTTTTAATCAGTAGGTAAGTTACTGCACCATGACTTTAAACCCTTCGTAAGATACTAGAAAGCAGTTTTTCTTTTAGCTAAAAGCATATTGAAATAAGAAACAAGTACCTGATCTGGACATCCCGAAACCTTGCCAGCGTCTGTTTCAGTGCCTACCAGTTGAAATTGCGTTCTCCAATGTTTACAAATTACTTCCAATCGACATTTGACCCTAATCATTGTGACATCATAAATACATCTCTTTGCTCTTATGCGACACAAAGTGGCCAATATCCTGTCTCCGAGACAACGGCTTGTTTACATTTTCACTATTCGATAATCGGTGCACTCGTACGCGTCTGGCTTACGAGGCTTTTATTGTAGCGACTGCGTTCCTTCGCTCATTTGTGCAATTGGTGGCAGGAAGGATGCTTGCTAACAGTGGTCAAATGTGGTTTTACCACGCACCTTCGAAGAGAACAGAAAAACCTCAAAAACTTGCCCCTGCTGCGTCTCAGATTCCTGGTCTTGCTGCTCTAGATCCCCTTGATCAGGAAGCATGGGAACGCGAAGTTGGCATCAAGTGAGTTGAATTTATAGAAATATTCTGATAACAGTAATAAAGCCACATTTATTTGTTTGTGTGTCAGTGCTCTTTAATTTTGTACCTAAGTGTAGTTTTTAATGGCTTAGATTTTTATAAAGCTTTCATGGCTTCATGAGTATGACTATCGTCGCAAATTTATTACATTCCACTCCCCACTTTATCTTTGCATGAGATTGTAGGTATCGGTCATGATCAACGTAATTGTTGAAAGTACAACAGCCCAAAAGTTTAATACTATCATGTATTTTGTTTGTTAAGTTTGGCCCAAGCCTCATTTAATTGGGCTTGTGTTTTTGTGTGCGTGTTGGTGGGCAGGCACATGAGATACTTCATAGGTATCTCATACTTTTTTATAGGTTTTGCTTGCCCTCCAGTATTCTCCATTTTTAATTTATGTTTGTTGTGAAGTTTTCGAAATAAACTATCTATCTAAGGTATCGTATGTTGGTATGTTAAAATAAAATTACTGAATCAAGAAATTGCAACTTTTCTTAGTATTAGTGTCTTAGTATTTCTATGTCTTTAATTATACAAGGAATTTGATTTGTACTCGAGATACATAGAAAAAGTGGTTTGCAATATATACAAACTTGAGTGCAATGAAAGCGCTTTTCCAAGTACATAAACACAGGTCAGCATGTGGCTAGCTATGGTAATATTGTATGCGCTGCTTAACTTGTTGACAGGTTCACATAATGCAAGATTTATGTATGAATTATTAACTTATAACACAAGTTTTATCTAAGTATCTAAACTTTAGCCTCAATACTATAATTTTTTTTCATTTCAGGAGCCAGAAACAAGCCAAGGAATCAGATTCTCACTATATTAGGCTTGCCAAGCAGGGAGGAAGGAAAAATCTTCTAACATTTCGTGACATAGTAAGTCTCCAATTTTGTAACCGTTCATCACAATTGTGTTTGAAAAATATAGCGTAACCTATATGATAGAAATATGAATGAAATTATATATTCAATTTGTATGGTATTTTGAACAATGAAATTAGAAAGTTCAGTTATCAGAAATAGGATAATTGTTAACTGATATCAAAATTATTTGTAGAAACCACCATCAGAAGAAATTCAACCTTATCCAAGAGTTGATTGGTTTGATCATCATGACTGTGACCCAGAAAAAGACAAAAGAATGTAAGTTAATTACCTGCTATAAAAAGTAATAAAAATAAATTTTTCTTTGCTTTTATTGATTGTTACTGCATTGCAAATAAGCATTATAGTGGTTAAAGGAGAAATCTAGCAACTAATTATGCATATTCTCTAGAGATCTCTTTTTCCCAATGTGATAACCTTGTATGACTCACATACTTAGTAGTTAATTTTGATTTTGAATAATATTAAAAAGAAAACTTGTAGTCGACCAGGAAGATAATGAGGAGATGTATACACTTTCTACTAAAATATGGCTATTCATTTCCTCTATTTCTGTTGCTGTACATATGCACTATATGTTATATATTGGGTTATAATACAAATCAGTAGCAAAATAAATCATATCCTATATTAAAAATATCATCACTGATACTGCTTACTGCACAAACCATTATTGTTTTGGTGTCTTAAAATAATTCTGTAAAATTAATATCTTTAGTAAAATAATTCAATTTATACAAAGATTATCACAATCAACATGGCAACCACCTGAATATATGGTACACGATTATGAAACTACTGAGAAGGATAAGATGATGGAAGATGAAGAAATTGTTGGCAGAGCTAAGCCAAGACGTGCCCCTTTCTATTCTGACAATATGTCGGCATGGTCAAGGCCGGAAGAAGATAACCCTAAAGTATGATATTTATCAATTTATCTTTTAAAATCACCATAGAAACAAATAAGTGCACCGGCTTATAACATATCAATTAACAAATTCCTAGTTGTTGGTCTTATAATTTTAAAATATTTATTTGTTTGGGATGGTATAATACAGTCATATTAATGAGATTTCTTCAACTGCAAGATTCAATGTTTTATGTGCTAAATCTAAAGTAAATAATAATAATAAACTGACTTTTACTATTTCTTTCAGCGAAATAAGAAGAGGAAGAGTCAAATTAAGGTTGACAAACTACCAGAACTTCCCTTAAAGTAAAGCAGATTTGCATTTTATTTGTGGAAACACTTTTTTCTATTTCCAATAGAATGAGGAATTAACGGATTTGATTTAATTGTAGACAATAAAGTCAAATTATCAGGCTGATACTTTTTTGATATATGTATTTAATAGGTTGAATAAACTGAAATGGAAAATTTTTAGTTGTTAATTTTATATTGAATGAAAATGGTTGATTGTATACAAAACAAATTTATTCAAAACTGCAGTGCAAAACTGCAGTAAATTCAACTTTTTTTCCTAATATATTTAACATAACTTTTTTCCTTCAATTTTTCACTATTATATTATCTATATAAATGCTCACTTTGTACTCAATATACCCAATCAGAGGCTATTTCAAAGTAATTATTACTGTTCACAGAACACAGAAATCACCTCCTGTAGCATTCTCAAAATTAATTGGTGGAGAATATGGAACAGAATGGTATAGAAAGCAGGCTACACAAGGACAAAGCAAGGCCAAATTTACACAATATCAATCTGGAAAAGGTAATTTTTTTAAATATTTTTCAAATAACTCAATCTATGATCATTTCAGGTAGAATATCCTAATTATTCTACCATGTAACAAATAGCACAGTGAATACTATACTAATATGCAGGCAGAAAAATCAATGACCACTAGACAGAAAAACATTTTAGATTACAAAAATCTTTTTTTTTTTAAATTTCCATAAAGCAAAATTTAATACCATTAAAGTCTTCCCAATATGGATTGTGCAATTTTAAATATCTCAAAATTATAATCAATATCCAGAGATGATCAGTAATATAGCATTGGGTGGCCTTAATGTATAGAGTGCAGTGCAGACATTGCACATTGGGAATATCTAATGTTAAAATTTTTTCTAACCAGGATACTTAAATATGACTGAATATCAACAAAATATTTGCCGAAAAGTTATACCACCAAAAAAATTGAAACCAATATCAATGCCACAACAGAAAAAAGAAACAAATCAAGAAAAACCTATGTTCAAACTAAGCAAGTAAGTCTTCTGGTTTATTTCATCTAGTATTTCAGTAATGTATTTATTTGTGCAGTGATCAGTGGTTAGAGCTTTGCACTCTACTATGTTGGCATTGTAGCCTTGTAGGTTACAGATATAGAATTCAAACATCATGATCGAGCAGGCAATGCCGAACTGAGATTCTAGTCCTAAAATTAGCAGCTCTTCAAATGTAAGTGTCCGCTTGTGGAAGTCTTCGTTAAGAGCGAGAGCCCTATACAAATATAGGATAGGAATTCACATATAGAGAAAAGCACTATGATGTCTTAATCATTGCAAACCACGGCCTCTCGTCCGATTACCAGTCGATGTTGGGTATGGGATTAGTTAGCCAGTTGTTTTGTTTTAGATGCATGGACTTGATGGTGGACGAAGCCGTAACCGACTACCCTAAGGGGGTGTGGAGTTCAGCAATCCTCTCTCACATACTATAATTATCTCCCAGAGGATTCTAACCAGCGAACCCATGCGGGGTAATCGGAGGTGCAGTGGTGAGCATATTCCTAGCGCTTAGCAGGATTTGCCACACCGCCGAGCCCGGCACAGCAATTATTCTGTATAATACTCAATCTCAAAAAATTTGATCTCAGTTTGATATATGATTTACCATATTGAGTTAATTAAAATTAATTTGTATGTGACGTTCGTTAAATTTTCTCGTTTTTTATTTTCAGATTTAGCAAAGTGGAATCAAAATTGAATACTGTACCTCACGAAACGTGAAGCAATTACTTCGTTTCTGTTATCCAACTTTACTTCACCTGCCTTATCCCAAAGGTTTTAGTGTTGCAATGCATTCAAATTTTTGTAATATTTTATCAGATACATCGAAGCTTCATTTCTATGCAGATAATTTTTTTTTTGCACAAATGATAAGCAGTGGTTGATAGTGGTTGACAATATCCCACTGTATGTATTTAGGAAATATTGTCATCATTACTGTGGCTACTTGGCCCCCTATTGTGACAATTAGCCATTTCCGCTTTTGTTTAATTCATTTTATGCCTTGGTTCTTAACCATATATTCGTTTTATCGGTGTATCACCTAAGGGCTTCCCTAATAAGATAAACAAGAATATGAATGTTATTGCATGTTTCATTGCATTTCTGTACTTAGTGTTAAGTGTGTGAATGTCCCCAAGTGTACTTCAGATATTCTAAAAATGTTGTGTTGGTTATAGTTATATTATATACCATTTGTCTATAAGAGTGTCTTTTTGTTTCATAAAAAACAAATAAAAATTACTTGGTATCTGTGTATTGTTTATACTCACAACACAATGAAGTTGAATGGACATTCAACAGATTCTTATATGAATTGGTGAAACAAATAGTGAGAATACATAGTATCAAAGAAACATTTTTGCGAGAGTCCAGATGTGAAATCTCTCACTAATATGAAAAATCAGTTTTGTGACAAGCTGCACAAGATTTAGATGAGTGCTTAAATCAATTACTGATATCAGGAAACGGTGTCTTCATTTTTAGTGGTCTAAGAATTCTGCAGAACTGTAATAAAAATATTCAAAGCATACTTGCTAATATATTTAATTCTTGTTCAAACAAACATAACAAAGCCCAGTGCCATTCCTGTATCGGTCGTAGTATTCTCTAGTATTTGGTACTCGATTCATACCAAGATACACCATATACCAAGATTGGTTGTTACTAGCACTGCCATGTATTTTACCAGTCCAGTCTCCACCTTTTGACATCCAAGTCCACTCATTAAAAGTTAATTTAACTGTAGCTCTTGAATTCGGAACAACAATCACAGGCAATATATTTACTGCTATTCCGAGAGGATTGTTTTGGCTTTGAAATCTGTATATTATATATATATATTAATTAGACATAAATGTTAATAAATACTGCACCTGAATAAGTTACGAGTGTATGGTAAAGGACATGAGAGTATATAGATATCTAGAAATACAAATGTGCCTATATGCCCAAAAATTGTGATCATGAGATAATTGGAATGAATAAATGAAGCTTAGAGTCGGTGCTCCTCGTGAACAACTAACTCATTTTTGCATCAGCCAAGGATGTATTCAACAGTAAATTAATTTATTCATTTCCATTCCAATGTTTATAAATCAAATTTCGACCTACCCACAATGAATTGAATCATGTACATGCTATTCATAGTCAAGACCACTGAGTATGGATATCTGCAAATCATATCCAATACAAAAAAAAATAATGTGGGTCTAAGCCATTTAAATAACTTGTATATATATATATATTTGTGAACTTGCCCAGATGATGACAACTGTCGTCCAACTCCAGTAACCAAATGTTCTTCTGATGGTGACCGAGCATCATGACCATTTGTGTCAGGAAATGTAGTCAGAACAGTATGATAACCAGCGATTATTCCACCATACCAAAGTTGCATTGTCACCTTGAAGTGAATGATAAGAGTTTACTACAGATGCAAAATTTGCTCAAAATGATAATTTAAAATCACAAATTTTGTTCGATTCCTACATTGCGATATTCATCTCACACAATAGCCAGATCAAGTCAGTTCTTCACTAACTACAAGTTAATTGAAATAAAGTTCAAGGATCGAAATACCCTACTACTCTAAATAATCAGAAAGCTCACTTCTAGAGATATTTGTACGTAACAAATATATGATAAAAGTTAAATTCAAACTCACAGAATGTTCCTTGGTTATGTTCATTCCAATAATTGCCTTAGAATTACATGCTTTTGGAAGAGTTCTATTCTCTTTTCTTATTACTTGATCTCGATAAGGAAATTGTGGCACTGACAATAAATTTGTTCCAGTGGTTTCAAGTGTTGCAAGGTTGAATGAAGATTCACATTCACTGTGTATGCAAATAAGACCTGAAAATATGAAAGATTAGAATTTAATTTGATGCATCGAATGATTGACTATTTTGTCAGGTGTGTTTCTTGGGTGCCACAGAAAATTATGAAGTCGGATGTACGACTTTAAAACGTTTTAAATAACATAATCAATCCATGGAATGATGTAAGTACCAATGCCAAAGTTCCATTCAGTAGAAACAAACATTTTTTCATTTCGCCATATTGCATTTTCTACCATTGTTTCCATACCTCTTATTCACTTTTTAAACTGACGAGAGCTTTTTATTAAAAATTTTTTTTAAAAGTTCATTCACAGTATAATATTTCAATCATGAGTTATATTTGCAATGTAGAGGGACATAATATAAAACACACCTTTGTTTCCCACAAGATTCCAGACCATTTTTCCATCTCTTTCTTCACAAATAATACGACGAACATTTCTGTCATCCTGCACAAATCCTGAGTTGCAGATAACACTGCACACAGATCCTGGTCGAGCACTGTCTCCACATAGGTAACGTCCGTTACTGATTGCTGGAAGCAAAGTGGGACATTTTCGCTCACGACATTCCCAAATACCATCTGGTTCCCAATTGTAATTTCCACTGCAAGTCTGAAAACAAAAAAGTGTTCACACTTGAGATGTTGATGATTTTACTAATTTCGAAAAATTGGTCTCGAATACCCTCCATATATATCTTTTGATTTTCATTTAAATGGGTCAGACAAAAATTAGTTAACGAAAGAGAGGGAGAGGAAGATTTATCTTTTGGTCAACGAAAAATACAGTAAACAAAACAATAAAAAAAGTAATGGCAATAAATATCGTAATTTGATATGAACGAAAGAGAGTATGACGATGCAATAAAGGACCATATTATGCATATTTGATTTACCTTATTATAATTTATACATAACAAATAGGGTGTATGCCGCACATTCATGTTTTAGGCCAGCATGGTCTTGTGCATACATCCCGTCTTCAGTATTTATAATTACTAATTCTTTTATATTGCTTTTACGAGACGAATAAATATACATACATACAATACCTTAATGTGAGCAATATGAAAAAGAGATTCTAGACGAAAAATACTTTTATAAAAAATAACTGTATCCCTTGCCTTATTTTGGGCTCCAATAACTTCAAAATTTTTCAAGCATTTCAAAGTGCATGTGGAACCTGGTTTGAATCTGTCATCCTCACTCTGCAATTGGTTAATACGACTATAGCAGGATAACGAGTCAATATTGCCTATTGTTTTTGGATGAAAACATTTTCTTTGTACACATCTCCATCTTGAACCAGACCACGATCCATCTTTGTTACAACGCCTGAATGCAGAAATCACTTTTTGGATGGGATTTTCATATTTATCCTGGGGGAAATATTTTGCTTATGAAGATTATCATTGTTTGTTGAATAAGCCAGTGTGAATATTTTCTGAACAAAATTATTTTAAATCTTTATTGAACTTCCCCACACATATAAAGGGAGCATGGGACTTAAAAGTAATTTACATATAACAATGACTAAAAGTTATTTGTTGCAAATGAAGAAAATCCAATACCTTCTGTGTGATAATTTTGCACCAATAACAAATGCTTCATGGCATTCAAGAGTACATTCAGAACCGACACTTGTACCATTACTACAGTTGATTTTGTGTACCTCATTTTGATAATGTTTCAACAAGTCAACCTGTTTTAAAACAATATGCATATATTGCCAAAGCTAGTTTTTTATTTTATTGATAAGTAAAAGAATTTTAATAAACTTGCATCTCTCAACATTACCCTGTGATATTTCAGAGGCCCTTGAACACTGAGTTTCTCCAGCGGTGCACAAGTCATTGTTTCACATTGCCATTTAGGAGGAGAACCAGAGAAATAAAATGAGGCATTCTCCCAGCTGCCATTGATACATTCAGTATTTAATTCTGTGATGTATTTAATCCTAGGATTTGAACGACTGTCTTTCACTCTGTAGCCCTCCGGACACGATATAGTACATTCTGAACCAGGAATAACACCATCTGTACAACTCATTTCACCTAATACAGATGTATTTACGGGAAGTGAACAGAGCTCTGCGAAATTCAAAAATAATGTCTCATATTATAAAATATGAAAGTAGAAAATTTCATTGTTAGAAATCGGTTGCCATATCTGACTAAAAAGAGTGCCATCAAAAACAGAAAAGATTAGTGAAGATGTAACAAATATCATGGAGTATTTCATAGTTTACAATAAATATTGAAAAAATATTATTGTAACTAATAAAATTAATATGCCAAATAACATTTACATCTATTAAATATGTCCATATTGAATAATTTTATAGTATAAAAGTGTAACTACAATCGCTTAACAATATCGAAAACATAGAAAAATTATAAAAAAGAATGCTTAAAGAAAGAACATGATTTTATCAATGCAAAGAGATTCAAAAAGTATATTCTTTACAATTAGTTGAAGTGTTAGTCGAAGAAATTTGTTTGAGCAACTGCCTAATGATTGATAACTCACTTTCATCACAAAATATGCCTTGATATCCTTTGCTACAAACGCAGTCAAAACTCCCATAACGATTGACACAGATACCGTTCTGACCACACAATGGCGGTTCTGTTTCACATTCATCAATATCAATATTGCAATTTTTACCTTCAAATCCATGAAGACATTCACAACTGCAAACAAACTTCAATATTAACAGTATACAAGTTCATTTTTAATACCTCTACTATATCAAATGGTATACTAGATAGCTTTAATATGAACTTTTTGATTTTTCAACATGCGTCATGATGAAATCAATGACTGGAATTTTTCCTGTTTCACTAATACTTTGTGGATGACGCACCAATTAATGAATTGGGTATGCTAAACAAAAACTTTCAACTCTTTAATCACATGACAAGTCTGAAAAATAATAATCTTCATATATTACCGATATTTCAACTATTTTCCCCTCTTTTTCAATATAAATTCATTTGATACTAGTACCTTTTCACCATAACGTGCTAAGAATAATATGAAAAAAAATATTCACAAACAAAAAAGTAATATTTGTAACTAAACATATAGTGAAGTTTATTACCGGTAACCAACTTCCTCGGTCATGCATTCAGCTCCGTTTTTGCATGGAAAGGAAAGGCAAGCATCATTCTGTATTTGACATCTTTTTCCAGCATATCCTTGTTTACAATTGCACTTATAATCATTGATCAAATCAGTACAAGTAGCGCCATTTTTGCATATATTTGGTAAACAATCATCAATATTTTGATTACAAAATTTGCCAGCAAATCCAACACGACATTTGCATTTGTATTCGTTATCCTTTAATAAAGTTGGTTTAGTAAGAATATTGAATTTGTTAAATATCATCAGTGTTGAACAAGCGTAACAATCCATTAGAACATATTTTACCATATAACACTTTAAATAATTGAGAAAAAAGAATGGAGTAATCTTCAGTTTTCCAATAGATACTATTATGATGGGTTAGAATTTCCAATTCCCTCATCACAAAAAAGGTGACGTTTCACATATTAAATCACAACTCAAGTAATCATGTTAAAAACTGATATACTAAAATGTTGATGTTCCATATTCAGATATAAAAGAGAAGTAACTGATCAGTGCTCGTCACCACCTAGAGTCCGTTTACACATAACTTGGCCCTTACAAGGGTGATAAAATGTCAGATAGGAAAATTCTGCTTCTAACCCATAATGGCTAGAATCAAACACTAAGCCTGTTAAAAAGGAAAAGAAAGATTGGGAAAGCTACTACATTCTACAATTATTGTTACTACTACTATTATTATTATCTACTATTTATCTTTTATCATTTCTTTAAATTCAATTTGAGAGCAAAATATTGCGATTACTTGATTGCAACAGGCCCAACAGCTATCAAACTGTTCTGAATTTATTTAAATAAGTACGGTATTTTAAAAACACTGGTACAAATACATGAAATCTTACCCCATCAATACACTGTGCTCCATTTTTACATTCATGTTCTCCACATTCATTAATGTTAATTTCACAGCCTTCTCCTTCAAATCCATTATCACATTTACAAAAATATGAGCCGTATGTATTTCTAAGATATAGGTGTGAATTGAAACAATTTATAATAATAATTTTAACTACCATTAACTACTTCTCATGCATTTGGACCTGTTTTCTTTTTATTACTTTCAAACCTTCTGAAGGAAAGTGAGGGATTTCACTGTCTTTTTTTACTGATACTTGATAAGCAAACATTCAAATCTTTCAGGCTTGCACTCATATGCATACTATAAGATTTCAAAACTAGATGTGTATAAATAGAAAACAAAGGTGGGTGTGATAATTATAGATACTTGAATGTTACAACTTTAAAGATTAAAAGACACAACGTTTATTACTACATATTCATATTGCAGGTTTCTTGAAAATTGATCATTGAATATTTCACTAATTGACAAAATATGTATTAGATTTGCATATAAATATTTACCATTTTGATGTTTACCATAATTTTACTATCAAAAAATATAGCATAATCAAAAGAGGTTCAATTTAAGTATTGATTTTTATTTCAAACTTGACTGACTACATTCAATAAGTTTATTATTTTATTCATGTTGTGTATTTTACTCCTACTCCTTTATATGAATTTCTCGTTAGTTTTTTGCCATTTTTTCATATTTATTTCAGATCAATATTCTACTTACACACAATTGCCATGTATTCCACAAACATTTTCAATATTTCCACATTCATTGATGTCTTTAGCGCAATACGTTCCTTGAAATCCTTTTTTGCAATCACAGGTAAATTTTGCTATACCGTCTATACACGTTCCATCATTTTGACAAGGCGAGGATACACATTCATTTATGTTCTCATCACAATTTGTACCTGCATAACCTACTTTACAATCACACCTAAAATTGGTTAAAAAAGAAAATTTAAATCTAACAAAACTATAGCAAGGAAAATACTAGGTTAGTGAATAGTTAGTTTTCTATATTTAAACGATAAAAGTGCAGTCCACACAAAGGCCATAATACAGCATCAAAAAAATTCAATACCTGCAACTACTAGTACTGTATAACTTTATTTTATTGTTGCCAATGTACTTCTGATGATTCATGATGTCATCTCACTTTTCCAGATTTATTCATGCTTGCAATACACCAATTATTTATAGGATAAAATATAAATGTTACCTGTAAGAGCCTGGTTTATTTTCTTGACAATATCCATTTTCACCACATGGACTTGATAAGCATTCATTTATGTCAAACTGACAATAACGACCATTAAAGCCAGGGTGGCAACTGCATGAATATTCATTCACTCCATCTTCACAGACTAAAAATTATGATGATATTGATCGAAAACCAATGCTACAAATTAGAATTTTGTCTAAATCAAGCTATCTTGAATTGGGAAAATGACATTTATCAGATTTAATATGTAGAAAAATTTAGATCTTGGGCTTTACCAGAATTAACAAGATTCAAATCAGAGTTAATAGGTAAATGATAAAACATTGCAAAGGTTAGATGATGCTTTGCAAAATTGGTTGTATTGGGTGGAAATATAGTAATATTATTGATTCCATCAAGTTATACAATGACAAATATTAAAAATACCTCCATTCCTACAAGCATTTCCTATACATTCATCTATATCGAAATTGCATTTTGATCCTGTATATCCAGCTAAGCAGTCACATTTGGATGACCCAATATAATTTACACATTTCCCTTTATTACTACATGGATCTGGATCACAGTAATCAATTATTGTTTCGCACAGATCCCCTCTATAAAAAGTATTTTACTTCATGATGAAAAATTTTTGATATAATCATGATAAAAAGCAGAAATCACATACCAGTATACACTTTGAAGATTCAAGATCAATAAATTTTTCAAATCAATATTCAGTTAATCAAAGTAGAAACATATAATGAATGAATCATATGTGATGGTCGGAATAAATGCCATTAATTTCATGTACTCGATATTCAGTAATATATTTATGCAAATACCAACCTATATCCAACAGCACATTTACATATGAATGATCCAACTGAGTTACTACATCTCCCTCCTTCTCCACAAGGATCATCAAGACATTCATCTACATCCATGTGGCATGTACTACCTTCATAGCCATTTACACAAATACATTCAAACCTGAATTTAAATTATTTAATGTAATAAAAAATTTATTTTCAAAGACCAACTTGGGCATAAAAAATACTATAATGATTTTATAAAGCTATGCTAATGACTTTGCCATAATATGTATGTACAATTGTGGGGTGGGGCTGCATACGACCCTTTGTTGTCGAAGCTCTCCCGTGAATCAAAGTGGCTACAGCAGTTTTTTGTTAGAAGCAGTGGGGATTCAATGAAAGTCGGCGGGTATAAAGACGATTACTACTCGTCGAGAGCGGTGAAAATAAGTTGCATTAAGGTGATTCTAATCTGTCAAAACAAACTTTTTCTTTTCATTTTCCAAGTTCTTTGACAACTATTGAATTTGGCGATTAAGATTAATGCCTTAGAATTAACTGTGTGTGTATCTTAGTTGCAAACCCCATGCCCACTACCTCACTGATGGTGTAAGAAATTGAGTATGCCTTGTTGAATTGGAAAGATTCCAGTCCTTCCAATAATAATAGCTCCTAAAATATCATGACTCATGATGATTTATTATGCAAGAATAAAAATTAGACAAAATTACCCAGCAATCTTGTCAATGCAATCTTCAGACTTTTCAGTTATACAAGGTGAAGAGGCACAATCATCAATATTTGTTTCACAAAGTTTTCCTTCAAATCCTGGTTGGCATTCACATTCATAATACCCAATTCTATCTCTGTATAGCAAAAATAGCTTGATGTACTCAACTGAATTATCAATTATCTAGAGCTGGGGTTCTCAACCTTTTTTCCATCAAGTACCCCCCGAGTCACAAAATAATCAACGCGAACCCTCTGTAATCAGCCAACGAACAAAGTTGCGATATACATATATATATATTGACTAACGATTTGTTGCAATACCAACTTATTGACCATATGTAACTAAATTAAATCGTCTTGTTGATATTATTGCCCTTGTCGTCTGCCTAACTAATAAATTCCTAAAATTTCTCCCAAGTTTTAATAAGCATAATAATTCCTCCAATGCTCGCAGCACGCTGTCTTTAGAGATTTCACAGTTTGTACGCAAAGACTTGAATTTCACATTGTTGCGTCATAATCACAACAACGCTAGATCATGTAAAATCTATGTTTCAATTGGCGTCTAGTTTCAATGGGCATGCATTTTCCCGTGAAGGTAATAAAGGATATTGAAAAACAGCAACATAAAAAAACTCGACTGTCATCCAAGTACCCCTGGAAATCTTCTCGTGAACCCTTGGGGGTTTGCGAACCCCAGGTTGAGAACCTCTGATCTAGAGTGTAAATGGATTGCTACTCACCTGCAAAAACCTTTATTCATGCAAGGATTTGAGTGACATTCGTTCACAGCTTCTTCACAATTTCGTCCAGTCCATCCTGTGTTATCACATATACAAGTGTAATTGTTGATCTGATAATGAATAACTTATTCAATATATATCCAATATTGAACCAAACTAGATAAAAAAATATATATTTATCTGAATTACATACACCATCAACACAATCTCCACCATGTTTACAGGGACGTGAAAGACATTCATTTTTATTCAACTGACAGTGAGTTCCATGGAAACCTGGATTGCATTTGCATTGATAGTCTGCAAATAGAACAATAGGTTATGAGACACATGCAGTGATTTAATATATCTCGGAGAAAAAAATTGATATATTATTACCATTGATTAGATCAACGCATACTCCTCTGTTACAATCAACATTTTCACATTCCTTAATCTCAGTTTCACAGAACAGACCGGTGTATCCTGGATAAACGTGTTGATAAATGAAATCTACTTCCATAAAATCATAATGGGTGGACTGAACCTCAGCAAAAAATCAATTATGGTAAATAATCAATAGGTATATTCAAATTGTATAGAAGAAATTTTTTGTAATCAAATTAATTTTATGGAGATAAGGATTGAAGAAATGTTAATGTATGTATATATGTATGAAAAGGTAAATAAAAAAAAAACATCTAAAACTAGAGCATCAATAGTGGAACCTTTGGGATATAAAACCATGTAAAGCTTTATCATACACAGAGGCATCACAATTACTAAAATTTCAGTTCAATTCTTTTGAACTTTTAACTCTTTTGAATATGTAAGAGGTATAAAACACTGGATAAAATGAATAATTTTGCCCCTGCTCGAACTATCACATTTTTCATTCATGTTAATAATATGGAAACAAAATATCACTCCAAAATCATATAAATGTACCTGCTGTACAACTGCAATAAAATTCATCATCACTGTCTTTCAAGCATTTACTTCCATATTTACAGGTTCCTTTTCTGCAACTGCTAGTTTCTGAAAAAGAAAAATAGAAATGAATATGATTCTTAAATTTCAATATAATAAATATACTCTTCGTGAGAAGACACTTCTATATAAAGTAGTTCAAAAACTTCTTTAGTTGACAAAGTTATTGCTATTCAAAAAAGATGTTACACATCCTTGAAATTGCATACTTGCAGTAAAATACACCATGTTTCAATACCTGAATTTGAATTAATAGGCTTTTGAATATTAAAGGGCATTTTTTATATGTTGAAATAAAGTTGGATCATCTCATCAATCACAGGTTCATAAAATAATTTAAGATGTATTACACAGGCTATACTTATAATTACAATTTATAGTACCGATAGTTCATTATGGCAAGAAATTTCGAATGCATCAAAAACTTTTAAATCAAGTGTTCAAATTTCCTGAATTAATGATTGAATAATTTTAATTCATTTACTTTGACATTGTACACTTTCAGAATCCCATTTTGGGCCACTGTTTTGTGTTCTTTCGCAAGTGTGGAAGCAGGATAATATTGTGTTGTTTCCTTTCTAAAATAAATTCACTCTTGTAAGCTAGGTTTGTGAAATTTTTAAACATGCTGAATTAAAAGGTGCAATAAAAATGCCTTGTTTACCTCACATAATTTTTCATCTTCAGGGTTGGATGATGGAACAATTTCATATCCTGGCTTACATCGAGTTGTGCAACTAGAACCTATTCTATCACCTTCAGTACACGAGACAATGACTTCATTTTGTTCCGAAAGAGTCTCGCAACCTTTTTCTGCAAATAAAATTATGGTGTCATGTATATACTGTAACCTCCACATGTCTTCCTACAAAAATCAAGCTAAATGTACTTGAAATAAAATATAATTTCAGATCAGTATTAAAAGAAACTCACCTATACATTCCCAACTAGTCTTTTCCCAGCTACCATCATACCCACAAAATGCAATTCCTTCTCCTATTGTTCTATAGCCCTTAAAGCATGAAAGAGTAAATGTGGTTCCAACAGTTGTAAACACAATATTTCGATCACTTTCATTTTTATTCTCTATCTCCCCAAATGGTACTTTTAACTTTAGCTTGTCACATAATGTATCTTTAATCTCTCTAACAGCTTCACAGAATTTGTTGGCGATGTCCCTGGGCAGAATTAAGAATGAATGAAAAACAACAATGAAAAGGAAGGCATGAAAATATTAATGAGATTACCAAGAATTAATCCTAAGATCTCTATCCTGTAACACTGCAAAGCAAACTAAGTAAGAAAATTTGCTTAGAGACTGCAGGTGCACAGAGTACAAAATGTATCACATTATATCAAATATACAATATAAATATCATTCATTCTAATTCTCACCACACAAGTGTAACATTCATTAGATCTTCATACTCTGCTAAAATGTCCATTACATTTTCATCAGATGAAATTTGCCTCAAATCATTTGGACTGGCATTCTTCACTCCAATGGGATATACTTTTGACAAGCTCTTCAATTTAAGTGCAGGACCTCAAATTACATTTAGAATAGGTCAATATTTGGGCAAAGCACAGACATTATAAACATTCCCACTGCTGTTCCAAATAACCCAATAAAGCATTGGAACCCCTTCCTTGACATACCTAGGAAAACCAGTAGCGATTGTACAGAACATATGTATGCAATTTATATAAAATGATTCACTACCTGTTATATTATCTCTTGCTTCCCCGTCTGTGATGAGCAATGTAATATGTGGAACGTCATTACCTCGTCTTCCGGATTTTTGTGAAAACTGATTGTCGACTGCATATTGCAATGCTTCACCAGTTCTTGTTCCTTTACCACAATATCCGATGTTTAACATTGCCTTAATTTAAAATATTATATATAGATGCCTATAAATGCTTTATGCTTTGTCAACCAAGCTCCGTCCGAAAAAGTAAATCGTGTTTATGAATGAGACTTCTTAATACAGGGTTTCGTCCATCCTGGTCTCGTTTTTATGTTATTTTATTGGTATTGTGGAGCTAATGAGGAGCTGTGAACCAGATTAACAAAAATAGATATGCTATGCTATATGATGTTCCACAAACGATATAAATAAATATGAAAGAAAATATGCAATTTACCAACATTGAATCAAAAGACTCAGATGTCAGATCACAAAATGAAGATGTGGGGCTGAGGTAAGAGCGATATGTATCAGTCAGACAGATATTTCAAATATGATTCTCAAAAGACTGACATATTACGTATACAATGGGGGCGATATGTTTACCTGCATTCTTTTTATCGGCCCGACGGCCATTCTCCTAAGCACTATATAAATTGAAATGATTAAGCTCTTTCTTTCTTGCCTGGGCTATAGCATTTTGCTACTTGAATATTACCTGTTACAACACACATACAAACCTCAATTAAACTGTGTTTTGTCACGTATTCGTCGTAAGAAAATTCTTCATGTACATCCATGTAATATCTTAAGCAAGAAACCTGTAACAAAATTTGAAAGCAACAGTATCTCAATACGCTGAACTCGTTGAGTTATTACACGGATAAATGAAATAAACCTTACTTGTACGCCGGACGGGCCGACATTTAACGCGTCGATTAAAGTCGCAACAAATTGTTTTGCCAATTCAAATCCTTCGCAGGTGACACTGGAAGACGAATCCAATATCACCAACAGGTCGAATTTTTCTTTGCACACTGCCGAAAATATATAATTGAAAGAAGTTTTTATAAATGAAAAAGATGATTCTGAAGTTGTAGGAATACATTGTACTGTAACTTTTCAATTCAAAACGGGAGCTTGTGAACATGATGGCATCCGAAGAAAGCAGGCCCTGATCATCTCAGCTTCCCTCGTGTCATAATAACAAATTAAGTCGCGCAGAAGCGTTGGGTTAGTTATATAATTGATGCAATGTTCAACTCCTCTCAGTATACAGGTTTAATAAAAGGGCATAGTTGCTGTAAACTCTTCAAGCTTAAAAAAAATATAGCTCACTTCCACATGACGCCGGTTCTCCAGACCATTTTATACCAGGTCTAGTCACATGACAATATCTTGTGCCGTCGCCAAATAACTTGAATTTACCGTAGTTGCACGAAGTAGTGCATTTTGAGCCAATATCATTGAGATTAGAGCATTCCATCGAGGCATGTATAGGTAGTGGTAGTGGAGGACAGACTGGAATTTAAAAGAGAAAAAAATGACAGTCGTTTGTTAAGCTTTTAATCGTTAGTGACTGCAGGTTCTACATTTCCTCGAAGAACAGCAAGCGGATTTTCCATTCGGAAACGGTTTTATTCAAGTTATGACGTTCTAGAATTAGATAACACTCTTCTAACTTCGACTACAAAGCGATCAATCGACAGCACATGAAATCACGGCCGATTGGTTTTTAATTTTATTCAATTACCATACGATGAAACTACCGACGATGTAATTTCCTTGCGACGAAACTACAATGAATCATACAGAACAGAACTCTTGATTATTCACCGACGCCAAAGTATGTATAGATGTCAGCTCGCTAAAATAAAATGCTGAAATGCAGCATTGGCATATTGTCGATATGTAACATTTGAATGTACAAAGATAACTATCAATTGGAATTAAACTCGATATAGTTCAAAAATTTATGTGTACATTTGAACTTACGTACATTTGAACCACGTACATCTGAACCCACGACAATTGCCCTGCATACTATTGCACGTGCACCTTGGAATTTTTTTTTTACGGATATTTGAACCCATACTAACCCTAACCCATGGGTTTTAGCACCCGCATATAGATTGAACCCGCGGATATACACATGGGTTCAAATGTACGTGGGTTCAAATGTACGGTCACCGTCACGTTATACTTCAGAAATTGAAATCAGAAATAATATCTACCGTCATGCTTTATTACTGATTACTTACCATAATGGACATAATATGATTTGATTTCACTTCGCAAGCTATCAGTAATACTGGGCAGTCGATCGAAATTTTCCAGTACATACAGTCGCAAACTACTTCTGGTATCTCCCGTTGCGATCAGTTTCAGCTCATCAATATAGTAATAAGGTCCGATTCCAATCGCAAATATCGTGACGTTCTATCAAAAATGGTTTATAACAAGAATTTCTGTGATAGGCCGCATTCACTTTACGTCGAAAAATTAGTACAATATTACGGCGTGTTTTTTGACAAAGGACCATAATGAGATAGTGTAGCCGTATGTCGCTCGCGCAGTAAGACAAGCAAAACCAGCGAAAAGGCGGGTTTGGAAAATGTCGATAACAGAGTCGGCTAAAATCTTACTGTCATATATGATCTATATATACTCGAAATACAAAATTCAATGTATATTAAGAACTTCTTTCCTGAACAATAGTGACGACTAAGGATGTAAGTTTCAGAATTTCAAATCGAAGCAATTCGAATCAACATCAAGTCGAATCGATTCGAACCAATTTAAGAAAAAAAAACGGCTATATCACCATATTTACTTTATAATTTTATATATATATATATATATATTTAAAAATCAACGATAATATGATTTTATACTGAATAAAATCAGATTTGGAAATATTCGAATCGGAACATTCTGATTCGAAATTCGATAAAAAATATTCGAAACTTACGTCCTCATGAGTTCAAATTGTACATCACGAACTGAAATTCACTGTTTCATGGATTTGGCATGGGCTTTGCAATCAGTGAATAAAATGATCAAATATTTCATTATATGAAACACTCACTTGACTTCTTGCATAATTGGACGAATGGATTACGTCATCATTAGATGTTCCATCCGTCAACAAAACGAGAATTTTAAGGGATTTATCGAAATTTATTGAATTTCGAAAATCTTCATTCACGGTTTTATTTATGGCAAATCCGGTATACGTGGTATAACCCTTTAAAAAAGATTCGTGTAGTTTATTCTTGCTATTACCTTTGTGGGAGTGCAGGGGTAAGAAAGTATATATAATACATCGATAAGGGGTTATTGATAACAACACCTGGATAATTTTAAAAACAATTTAGGATTGGCCTCTGTAAATGGCTCATGAAGCTTGTTCGTTTTTTTGCAGCAATTTCGTAGGTTTACATAATTTATGCATTTTTCACCAAGTCTATGTATTCTTCTACCCTGCCTATAATTTGAATTGACAACCCTTAGTTCAGAGGCAATTCAAAGTTGCCATCCTTTAACTGAAAAGTGCCATATTTCTTTGCACTTTGAAGCAATTTATAGAGTTTCATTTAGTTTTCTATGCGGTTTAAGGCATGATTGTCAGGTTGACTTGATTGTGAACGTCGACATCGTAGGACTGTCTCACAGACATAATAATGTAATATTTGATGGAACTACATAGTAACGTATTCTGGCATACCATGAGCTTCACAGCATTTATTTGATTTTTCAGACATTCATAATCTAAGCAAGATCCAAGTTTAATCTCCGTTTTCATGAGCTGTTGATTATCTGGTGTCCTTGTTCTGTACCAGTGAGAATATTGCACAACGCCGATCTGAAACGTTCCTTCGTAAAAAGTTTCGCAATGTTATGCTAACATTCAGTGGCTTACCCAGGATTTCGTTAGAGGATCAGGGGGATTTAGAAATTGAAATTTCGGACGTAATATTTTGTATTTTGCACCACGTGTATTCTGTATTCGAGGATTGGGGGACTGGGACGTCATAGTTGATTTGAATTACTTTATTCGGTAATATTCCATATGAGTGAATTTTCGACATTTGTGTGAACTGTCGAACTGCAGCTATAAACAAGTATACAGTATATATGTGATAATAACCTTAAGTTTAAGAACGCTAAAAATCTCAAAACGTGATGATAACAGAAAATGATATGTCATAATACCCGTTTTAAGTCGCGAGCTGGGGGGACATGGCCTAATGACCTCATTCGTAAGCTCATGTTGACATTGTGTTATGATATAATATTATTTATAGCGTGACATGACCCACAGAGGCTTGTTGTGGAAAGTAAAATCTTTATAATAAGGCTTTCCAATCCTGAATTTACAGGTTGATTAATGCCTCCGCCGTTTGATCAACTTACAAAAGCTCACCTTTTGATATGTCGAAACCACGTGATATTGAGTTTAGCCAAAACATTGTGTTTTTGAAGTCATATTCAGAAATTGATCCGGAACCATCCATGAGAAAGATTAGATCAACAAACGCATCTGATTCTGAAAAAGCCCGTAGCATAAATTTTTGAACTTTATCGTTTCATATTATCGAGTTTAATTCCAATTGATAGTTATCTTTGTACATTCTTAAATATTCAATCAATAATAATTCGGAATATTCATTCATACGAGAATACAAGACAGCTAGAATATAACATTCATAAACTGAAATTTAAACTTTACTTTTCCAGATGCTATGAATAGCACATCAGTAGCTATTCGTAGCTCCCTGTGGTCAAGAATATAATAGAATGATTGAATGTTCATTTTTTTCTTTTCTATAGAAAAATAAATGAATATTACCATTTGGGATAGGCAGCCATGCAGGGTGATTCCAGTCGTCTCGCTTTGGATAAGGGTCTTTTCCGTTCCTCAGTCTGCCTTTACAGTTGGCACTAAACGTGCATTGCATATTACATAACTTAGAGTTGCAAAGAATTATAATTCCCACTATTATTATTTTCGTGTCCATGATAACTATTTTACGTTACCCACCATGTGGCTAACTTATGATTCGTACGAAGGCTATACAAGTTCAGTCAATTCAGGCATATTCAAGTAATGATCGTGAATCATTTCTGGTAACTCGCCGACCATCGTATTTGAGTGTGCTTGTGTCAAAGTTGCCTGCAGTAGAGCCTCAGGGTTAGGTTTGAAGATCTCAAAACAAAGTCATTTATTGTCGTCTATTGTGTGATTCAGCATATGGTTGACATTGAACGTAAACGTAATTGTTGGCCTGCCTATTATGACGCCCAGTGTTTTGAAACCAGATTCCAGAGTGTTGATGCTCAACTCGGCCATTTGCCCTGAATACGTGTCTCCTCCTGTAAGATACGTTCTGAATACGTGTCTCGTGTTACATTATGTTTTTGCTTTTTGGTTTCGTGCGTTAAAACGATTCTGTCATTGATAGTTTTATTTTCCAATATAGATTGAAGCATACAATTGTACACAATAAGATTTTTTTACGCAACTTCGTTATGAGAATTCACCTGTAAGCCTTTGATTACAGCATTGAAAGTTATATTCGACAAATACTATGTTTGTCAGACTGTTTCACCCCGAGGCGACGCAGTCTTACAATAGAACGTGACAGTGATGCCGTTTGCACTCATGTTGCCGGTAACGTTAGACCACCAATGATCCAGCGTAGTGCTGGACTATATAATATGAAATGGAAGTGAAGAAGTTACGCATTTTACTGCTGATATTAATAGGTTTTACTTGCTTGGGTATCATTAGGTAAGTCTTTTAGAGTAGGATTATCACGCATAAATGATGAGTGTTGATTGCGAGCGTCAATCTGTCTATTTTTAGGTTAACGACTCTATATGAAGAATTAGTTCCATCCAAGTTATACAAATTGGGAACGCAAACTTCCGCGTATGGATCGGTGACAAGTGCTGGCGAAATACCAGTCGAATACTTCAGACTGGAGCCACAACACCGTATTGAATGGCATCAGGTTCTCAAGTTTAACTTTTCTGTAGAACCCGATACAAATCGTCGAAGAATTCCAACACGATTTTGGATAAATTCTCTTCAAGAAGTCAACCACGATCTTGACTTTGTTTTAACTCCAAGAGCAACAAAATGCCGCCCAGGTATGTATCCACAACAGATGGAAAAAAGGTAGTTTTCTGATTTTGAAGTCTCGCATAAGGTTTAGTTCTAGAACGCATGCATAATGGTAGAACTTTACGTACTTTATTTTTGTTACTTTGGGGAACAGAGCACTGATTACAGCAGCATTATCGGATTCAGTTATTATCGCGACATTACTACTGATTTCAACGATATGACGACGTTTTAATAGGAGCGTAATTCATTGAGTATATGGGTATATATATATAAAATCTCAGGGCATGAAGTATGACCAAGTTTTCAGGATGATAACTCAATCTGATACAAATTCGATTTATGGAAGTAGTTTATTTAAAAAAATGAAAAACTCTACCATTTTCTATATATAAATTGCAGATACTCAGGTTCTCATTTTGGTAAAGAGTGCAGTGATGCATATCGAACAAAGAAAAGTAATTCGTAAAACCTGGGGTAGCGTCAAGAACGTGGATAAATATGAGGTGAAACGAGTAAAGATTTATCAATTTGCATGACGTTAACCCACATAAACTAAGTTATTGCAGTTACCTCATGCATTTAATATGAATGCTTGTATCGCACCAAATATGTACCCTTAAAGCAATGCTTCGTAAATAATAAATTAATAAAATAAATAAAATAAAACAATAAAGGGCGGCGTTATATTGTATAATACTCATGAAATGAGACACCTATGATAATGACCTCAGATAATCAGGAGCCATATCATCTCTACTAACGTTGCTTGTATTGTGATTCAGATACTTTATCTACAATGAGTGGAGGCGATTTTTAATACGTGCTTGCAGATTATTCTGAATATGTTCACTATTATATTGCTTAATTTACAGATTCGCATTTTATATTTGCTCGGAAAGATGCGGGATAATTCACAAACCTTAGAAAGCCCTCTTCTAACAAATGAGGCAGAAGAATACGATGATATTGTGATGGGAAATTTTATCGATGCATACACAAACGTTACCAAGAAATCTTTACTAGGATTAAAATTTTTTTATGAATTCTGCAGGTGCTATTTTTATAAATGATTTTCATACCAATGTCATTAACTTTATAGACTAAATCTAAATATAATCTTAGGTTGCGATAAATCAATCTTTTTCCTGAAAACTCACACTAATTGAATTAGGGTGAGATAGAAAGAAAAAACGATTTCTACGGTATAACGTATGTATATTTGCAGTCATTATCAGTTGACAAATACCTTTCTTTATTTGTTTACCCTCCATTTCTTCGAATCGACACTCCTTCACAAAAAGATTAAACAAGTAATTGATGATTGAAATGTCATGTATGTATTTTGTTTTGAATTTTGCTAGAGGAGTTGAGTTTGTAATGAGCGCAGACGATGATATTTTTCTGAACACTACTGAGATGATAACTCAGCATTTTTCAAAGCTCACTCATCCAGCATCACAAATTCTGCAATGTGGACTCCGCACAGTGAAATATGCTAAGGTATAATCCTCTTTTCTTAGCTACAAACTTCGCCAAAGCAGATTTGCCAGTTTTGAATCATGTACAACTGTCAAAATCCGTGCACAAAAAAGTCTCAAAATCAAACGTAAAACATAACAAATTCTGTTATAAGTTGATTAAGTAATCAGTAATTTATTTTTTTATCGTACGGAAAATACACTTTACATAAACGATATAAAGAAAAAAAAACGTAATAATGGCATTTCAGGGTAAAGGGAGGCGCGAAAAAACAATACTGGTTAACGAGTAAATACACCCGTAATTAAGTCAATGAGTAAACAGTAATTAATACAGAAGTGAAAAAAGTCAAACATTGTATCATTACTAAGGGAACTTGGATATTGTGTATTGAACTGCAGGTCCTTTCTTCTTGTTTACTTTCTACTTCGGATCCGTATTTACTTTACTTATTGTATCATTAATAAAAGTTTACGGCAAAAAAACATAACCAAACCCGTTACATATAAGAATACGACCCCGAGCACCGACAAGTAGGGTAACCATAGGAACCGCATTCCAAAGACGCAGCAGCACTAAACAAATTACCGGTAGGGACAAGTGGGACACGACATTTTGGAGACACCCGTATCTAAGAATGGATACTGTTTTGTTTGCTCTCAGAGGCAGATTCACATTATCCAAAAAGGTTTCTGTGGTCGTCGAGTCCCGTATGTAGCCAACTATGCATTCATGATAAATACTATACTACGGTACTATAATTTATGATAAATTTCTTTATTTAGTGGATTAAGAAATTGTTTATGAAGCCACAGGCACGCACGCACGCACGCAATCTGCAAATTTCACTATTTTGTATTTTTTCTACTTCTACCTTTTTTGTCAATTCATTTTTGCAACTACAATTTTTTATATGAATTTCCATACGCCTTCTCGTTTATGCTAGGTGAAGCGAAACGGCAAGTGGTCCATAGAATACGAAAAATACAATCGACCATTCTACCCTCCATACTGTCTTGGACCATGTTTTTTAATGTCAGTAGATGTCGCCTTGGCAACTTATGAAGCATCTTTTCAAACCCCTACTGATATATCAATAGACGATGCGATGATTACTGGTATACTCAGAGAAAAGGTATTTGCATTTTTTTCTCAGATCAATATAACAGTGTGAATTCTGAATTGTTTGCAAAGGATGACTATAATAATTATATTTTTATTTCTCTTGCAATATACGCATTTCAACCAAATCGATAATTTTATACCCTAATCCAATACAAAACTCGGCAAGTGCAATTCATGACATAATGTAAATGTAAATAATATAACATATGACGTTCTATTCAATCCCCATAACCATTACAATTACACAGTTTTATAACTAGGAATTTGTTACATTGAAAAGCAATTATTTTCAAGAAATACTCGTCTTTTCGTGCGTGGTTACTAATTCTTCTATTACTGATAACAAACAAATTATTTAAAAATTGGAAAGCGAATCAAATCGTATTTTGGGGTAAATTTGTAATTATCAAAATCTATCACGCCAGCCATGGTACGTCTTAATGTTCGTGCCAGAGGCTAAGTGAACATGCTTGTAATATTATCAGTGAATCAATAAAGATTTCATTCTCAATTATCTGGGATCAGAAATTTTTTAATATGTTCAGGCGTGCTCTTGATATTTTTTGCCAACGTACGCGGAAAGTGCATACCAATAATAAAATTGTTGCAAATGCCTTTTTGCAAAAATATTTTGCAGATTTATCAACATTGCTCTGCAAGAATTTTAGCAAAAATATGAAACCTGAAATTTGCCAATTTGCCAAAACTTTGGTAATTGAGAGTATTTCAATGTTGAATGCCATGTGAAGTATAGTTCTAATACCTTATCAACCGAAAACCTAAAGTTCAGCAAGTATCGTGGGAATCGTGTATTTTGAATTTGCGGGAATTTGCACGATTTTGCACAACTATGTCAGAACAAAATTAAAATGCCATCAATTCTATTATTGCATTTACGAAGCTGAAAAAAATCACGTAACTGACTGACTTTCTTATATTAAAGACGCCCTATATTAAAAATATATAAATATAACAACAATCAATTCGTTTTTTTGTCAGATTGGAATCCAATTGTCTAGCATGCGTAAAGGTGTTTGCGTTCACCTTTCAAATTCTGATCACGTGATTGATAAACTTCTCAAAGCGTGGAATGGAACGTTCTGAATTCATTTGCATCAGTCGATACCGGAATTCTAACCAGCTGTCTATACTGCTGCACAATATCCTTATGATGATTTGACCCTTCAAGTGACATTTGGGACTCTGTATCCATTTTTCGAATTACAACAGTTCGAATATTGCCCGAATATGTTATCGCACTGTGAGATTTTTTGTCAAATAAAAAATATATTTGTATACTGTAGCACAAGGCTGCCCAACCCGCTGGACTGTAATTTGCGGCCCGTAAGTGAGTTTGTAAATAAATAAATGTAAATAAAGTTTGTAAGCAGATTTTTTATTTTTATTCTATGTTATATATCAATATATAGGCTTAAGTATGTTTCTGATTTTGATGTGATTATTTCTGCCATCGATCTACATTCAAATGCCGGTTCTTATCATTACGTATGTGTCAAGTCTTGTACCCTGGTGGACATCGACGTCAGTTTTTTATTTCTCGCCGAACTGAGCGTTCTGTTCGAGGAACTCGAAATATATTGTGCGATCATTGAGAACGAACGCTGAGCGCAATTATAGGAATGAATTTGGATCCTGAATTTGAAAATTAATTTCAATCTGATTGTTTTTTACGTGTCTGCTTCGATCGTCTTTATTGCCTAACGTTAAATAAAAAGTCAACAATATCTTTGGTACTTACTGGTCCAGGGACTCGTTGTCCTTTATGTTTGTATTTTTTTATTTAATGTTTGGGTTAAATAAGATTTCGGAAATCGCCACTGTCTATCCGTCAATATTTCTAATGAAATGACTTAATGAAAACTTAATGCACGGCATATTTGTTACAAATCAGTATATATAGACTATTAGTCCAGAAACCTTTGTAATGTTACTTCATTAAATACTTGTATTGGTGTTTTAAATTGCACGAAACTGCCCACTTAAACTTGATATTCCCGCGACATTGGCGCACATTATGCTCATTTGAACATTGAGGCAGTATCATAGCTATACTTAAAAAAAAAAGAATACTCGAATATAACACTCAATTTCCACGTGATGTGTGTGTTCTCGTGTGGTCGTCAAAAAACCGCAAGTGTCAAGTCCACGCCCCGTGTTACCAGATATTCGAATAGTAACCTGCTCTTCTATTATTCGAATAACTTGCCTGCCCTACTCAGTAACCAGAAAGCAATTATTAAATTGATTGATTTTATGTTAATAAATTTGGCTTTTATGTATTATGTGAATTACCTACAGCGAAATCAGGACTTAGCTGATAACAATGTTCGGTACAAACGTTTGCGGCCCGCAACGAATTTTGTCACGTGAAAGTGGCGAGACGAGACGAAAAAGGTTGGGCAGGCCTGCGGGTGTAGCAGTTTATATGGGTTTCGTGGGGTCGACATAATAATATCCTTGTATAATTTATCATAACCGATACACGATCGAAAAAGCGTGAGCATAAATTCATTTTTTTCTATGCAAATATTTTATTTCACTGCAAAAATTCATAACACGGGGCTTATTGAAGTGATGAATGCTTCCTGAATTTGTTTACGAAAAGAGCAATTTGCAAAAATAAATACCAGACTTTCAATTCCCCCTGTCTGCACGTAAGAATTATCTTGAATTGTTCATTTTGTTCAACAAGCTAATTTGAACCCCATAAACGGAGTGGAAAATAGCAGGTTAAACTCATACTTGATCATATATCTTCCAGATACCTAAATTTTAGACAAAAAAATAAATTGCACATATATTTTGTGCTTTTAACACCAATTTTACCGCCGAATTTGGCAGGAACAGTATAAATGAATTTTCACAAGGTGCAAATTTCTTAGCATTCAAAAGTAATTGAGAGTTTTATGAAACTCCTTGCGCATATTTTCTGATAGAAACTGCAGATTAGTTGAATTTTGCTGGACTTAAATTCCGAAAACAAGATTTCGCAATTTTTGCATTATGATTGCTTCCGTTGGTTTTGTATAAATTTCGCTGAACGAGTTGTGTCGTTGGCAGATTCTGTTTTGTCATTTTGTTCCAGCATCAATTTCATCATGAAGCACATTGCATTTGCTGTGCTGTTTGCAGGTATGCATATGATTAGTTTATTGTTTTACGCCTAATTTCACCTTGAAATTAGGAAACTTGGTTGTTTTTAAAGCGCCCAAATAAATTTTAATTTATAGAAACCCATCTTGAGCAAAAGTGAAATAAAAAGCTGTGAAGTTTTACGATGTAGGTGTGGTCACCATAGCATAATTTTTTTCCTACATCTACATTCTATTTTTCGGGCAGCTTGACAGTTGATGGTAAAATGCGTAGTTCCTTTTTTTAGTTGATTTTTAAAGACTGGGAGAGTGGTATATAAAACTACTAGTATTCGAAAATTGTAACAAAAAAATCAACATTTCTGCTATGGAAAGTGAGAGTAAATACCTAAACTATCCTAACTTTGCTAAGTGTTCGACAAAAGAGACTTAATTTGACCAAACTATTTAATATATATACTTGTGCCAAAATAAAGTTGATTTCACTAGGGGCGATTTTCATTATATTCTCCTCTACCACATTTCCAAGCAGAAGTTTTTGTGTATTTCCGTCCGCTTTAACTTCCCTTGTATGGTAATACAGCAGTTTAAAAACGAATTATATGTGCTGTACAGCCATATAAAAGTTATCCGTTCGATGCTATTTGTTTGCAATTTCAGCGCTGGTAGTAACAAGTACAAATGCACAAAAGGGGTGGACATGGTGCTGTACCTCTCATGAAGAATTTTTGAAATGTGAGAGTATTCTACGAAGAAATGATCCTGATATAAATTGTCACGAAGAAGACGGGACTGAAAACTGTGCTAATAGAATTAAGGTTAGTAACTTTCAATGCTATGGCATAGATCGGTATTTGGAGAAATGAAAATTTATTTAACACAATAAATGGTTATAAATGGTTTATGTACTCTACACATATAGAGAGCAAAACACCCAAATTTGTTAATTTACTATGTCATACTCGTGCTGATCTTGTTTAATAAAAAGAAGAAATGAATGAATAAATTCATTTTATTTCTTGGGAACAATATACAATTGAAGCAAAGCAAATTTTTACGACAGCTCGCTATTGGCTCGTAATGACCTTTGCAAAATGTTGAGTTAATTTGAATAGAGCATGTATCCTTTATCTCATTTTGTGTTCAGGATAGAACAGCGGACATGATGTTCATGGATGGTGGAGATATCTTCAGATACCACCGGTGGTTGAAAGTCGTTGTTGCAGAAGATTACGGAGAAGGAGGTAAGAATATATATATACCGTATATATTGAAACTCATGGAAAAAGTTTAGTTCTGGTGTTTATGCGTAATTTTGAAGGATTTTATAAATCCAAATAACTAGAAAGATGTCCCGAGCACTCACATGGTCATTTGAGCAGTCCTGAACGAACTCATACATATATTTTAGGTTAAAACAGGGCCTAGTGGTATAGTTAGTGATGTCTGCGTTCTTATCAAAAAGCATATCTTAGTCGATCACTGTTCTGCCAGTCAAATATTAAACTAATACTGCCAAATTTCATATTAACGTGTTTTCGTATAAAACAAAATAGTGTTTCCCACCTCAAACAAATACTTTCGAACATTCCTGCTTCTAGGCATTATTATTTAGCTGTTGATTGGGGAAAATACCACAACTTATAGTAACAAAAAGTTGTTAATTTCTTTTTACTTATCGCAATCAAAAACGTGTGGTGACATCCTGCGATTTTTTGAATTTTTTGACTTTTTTAAAGACTTGGTAATACATTGAAATTACTTTGAACTTTTGCAGTCCGAAAGAAAAATATGATTTTATCGTTGAATAGAGGACCACAATAAAAACTTATCGCGTTGTGGTGACATCCTTCGAATTTTGAATTTTCGAAAGGTAATTAGATTGTTCGGAATTTTTCCGGCCTCAGGAGGTCTCAGAACTTTGAATTTATCTTCGAATATAAAAAAACTAATATAAATACTAAAATATGTTGGTGACAAACCACGATTTTCCGAACTTTTCACGGTTCGAATATTGCCAATTTTGCAAAAATTGAAAAAAAAAATTGATAAGATAATCGAATTACTTGAGCAACTAAAAGTGGCAAAAACTGGTTTAGAATATCTCATAAAATATCCATAGACTATATCTTGATGTAGTACCCTAAAGCGATAAAAAGCTAGGAAGGCCGGTACTATACAACACGTCGCCGATGCATATTTTTTTCGTAAGTAACAAACAATACAAAATTGCGGTGGGCAAGAGTGCACTCGCACCCGAGCGTAGCGAGAGAACAACGTAACATAAAGAAAAACGAAAGAACCGTGAGCTAACTATATTCGAGCACAATCATGATTCAACATTTAAGATATCACATATTCTACAACATCAGTTTAGTTGATTAAAACATACGGATCGATTTCAGTAACACTAAATTATATCGCGACAATAATCTATGGTGTGATTTAAATACGTAAATGTGTTTCATAATTTAATTTATTGCGAAAAAACACTTCAAAGCTGGTAGATTATGTCACTTGTAAATTAGTGATTTGAAACTAAGAATTGCTCATGAACTTACCCTCATTAACCACGAAAAAGAAACTGGATAATAGTTATTTTGGGGGAAAAAATCAGTTGGCTTCAATGTGCTTATCTCAAGAGACTAAATTCCTAAGTACTCTGCGGAAAGGGTTTATTTTAAAATTACCACACTTCCATTGCAGATGCCAGTTATTATGCAGTTGCAGTGGCTAAATCTGACCTACCGTCTCACGTGAGTATGTTAGCTTTGGAAGGAATGAAATCATGTCATACTGGAGTTGGAAAAACGTCCGGGTGGAACACGCCAATAGGATGGATCGCTAGAAATAGAGGGGTAATGAACTCCAGGGGACAAGTGCAGCTTTACGGTAAAACTAAAAAGTTTCCATGGCGGTTTGATCTTGGAATGGCCATATGCTATAAAGTCGGTCATGATTCAACCACTATTTCCACCAAACATAATTGGCAGTAACTGAAAATGTTTTGTTAGTTTAGAGTTCCACTGAAAACTACTATGTTCATATACAGCGAATTCAAAATTAGCACTACTTTGTTCTGATTTGCCAATCCTAGAAAGCAAACTAAATCGTTGCAAAATTTCTTTTGAACAAAATAGAACAGCAAGCATCGTAAAAAAACAAATTTTCTATTCAGCAATTCAAATATCGAGTCATATGCTCTAAATGTGTAGCGACAGCCCCTTTTCCTTATCAAGTGTCCAATAGTCCAAGTACCCTTCGACCTTCAATTGAGCCCTTTCACAAGCAAATGCAACCTTCAATTGTCCGTATTTATTTGACAATTTTAGTTATTTTCTTTTTATTGTCTTCAATTTTAAACTTTGAATTTACGTTTTCAAATTGAACCTATTTTTTAGATCCATTTACTGTTAGCTGTGCTCCGGGAGCTAATATTGCTTCTTATCAAAATATTATTCCGAATGCCGGCGGCCAAAAATGGTGTGCTCTTTGTATTGGAAATAATAAAGGGGACCATATTTGCGAAAGAGATTCCGACGAACTGTACTATGGCTACAAAGGAGCTCTTCAGTAAGCATTATACCGTTTCTTCGAATATCGTTTGTTTCGGAATCACAAATAAAAATTGCGATTCACTATTTTTACGTAGCATTGCAACATGTAGCATACATACGGCAAGCTTTTGCTGTTGATATATACCCGTAAAGTCGTATGAAATTTCATGAACGTTAAAACACACATATGTTTCAATCTCATTTTATATTCTTGCTGGTATTGCATAAGAATGTTCTGCTTGGTTCGTATATTTGTGAATAATGGACGAGTTAATTGATGTTCAATTTCGTTGTAGCTGTGAAACTGTTTTTGTGCGAATTTCTCGAGAACACTTGCTGAACAACGATGTTTATATATACATAATTAATCCGATCAAAGGCAGACTTCTAAATAAAATGTTCATCCTAATCAATAATTTTCGTGTATTTTAGGTGCATGAAGGACGGAATGGGAGATATTGCATTTGTCAAACACACCACTGCTACAGACGACGAAGATAAGAATAACTTTATTCTTCTTTGTCCAGATGGATCCAGGTGAGCGTTACAATTGTTTGGTAATATCTAATAATATATCAAAATGATATTACAAAACCCATACTCATTCCACACTCCAAATAAGGCTGCTGATAAAACTAGAATGAAACGAAATTTCCGGGGCAAATTTTTAAAGTAAAATTGACCCCCTCCCTCTTCGCAGGCTATCTATTACATTGTGCCATATCGGAACATTGAAGAGGACACTAGTGGCAAGACGGTTTCTCCGAATCGGTGGCATAATAAATATCATTCCTACAGGAGAAATTTGCAATCTTCTATGTGGTCAACAGCAACATATGAACATGTGTTTTCTTGATTGCAAAGTCTACCCATGATTGAGGTCAAATTCCCTTCTAGGGGATAAATTTAACCAAGTTTAGAACCCCTAACTAACGACTGATAACTCCGATGTATCTACAGAAAGCATCCAGATGAGTGGAGAGATTGCAATTTAGCTAAGGTCCCCGCTCATGGGTTAGTAATGAACAAACCCACTGAAGTCGAAGCTACAAAGATTTACAATATGTTGGAAGACCTTCGGGTAAGGAATTTAGCAACTTATTTTATATATTTACATCACATTAAATACAGTGATGTATCGCAGTATACTTATCTGTGGATCTGTTTTTACTATCTTTACCTTTTTTTCTAAATATACCATCGAAACCGATAAATACGATTTGGATCCCGACAGGTTGTCTTGCTGTCAGTTTGAATCACAGTGCCTCAAATACTGCACTGATCATTTATATAGCATTCATTACCCAGACAAGCTTTACCAGAGCATTAGGGTCTGAATAAAACTTGATTCGTATGTTTTTCCATCAATGGACATGTTTTAAGAGACGTAGTTAACAGTTAGTAAGTAGTTAATCACCGCATTTAAAACCTTATATGTGTGTTGGGATCTTGCTTAACACATGACAATCACTTTTTACTTTTGTATTGCAGAAACGCTTGGGCAATCAAGAAATGTTTGGTGACAAAAGGGATCTTTTATGGAAATCTTCGACCAAAGCATTTCTATTTAAATTTGACTCGGCTGTAAATTACCTTGGCGCGGAATACTATTGCAATATGCTTGTCCTGAACGGAATGAATTTGCTTCACACAAAAGGGTGTTTCAATCGAACCTCTGATGGACGTACCTAAATATCAGACATTACTGCTCATTTTAGAACATGTTATTTTTTAGCATGAATGTATATATTACATTTCACATTATTAAATAAACATTTCACAAACCTTCTATCGATTGCACTCTTTTTTGAAAGGATGGGAGACCAATCAAAAATAATACTTATACAGTGACACCAATTAAGATAAGTTACAAGAACAAAAATTTACAAAATATTGCTATCGATTTGTAATAGAGCACAAAATTTGATAATTTCGTCCTTATTCTTGATGGCCATCTGTTACGCGTCCACAAAAAATAACAGTAAAAGTTTGAACATTACATTTACCACATTTAACCCTGAAATAAGTTTCCCAAAATTGTAACTTTTCAATGACATTGAGCTGTAATATATGGTCTAGTATTTTTGTCGGTGGTAGTTAGTTAATTAACAAAGAACTATTGTTGCGTTGTGATCTGTTATTTGAGATTGGAATCGGAAACAGTATATGCCTTAAAATGTGTAAAAGCTGGAACGGAACACACGAAAACCAGTATAATTATCTCTTACCATACTAGAGGTTATAACTTATTGGCAATAAATTAACGCTGTCACGAATATTGCCTTGGCTTTGGTGGTAAAACTGGAGGCTGTTCACAATCTGAGCTGCCTGCGTAACTTGAACTTGATCCGGCGGATGATCTACTGTTTCCTCTAGGTGGCGGCGGGGGAGGCCTGGAATGCAAATCTTCATGTCTTATTGTTGACGAGTCCTTAGCATACAACGATGCACTCTTTGGGGGTGGCGAAGGGGGTGTAGTTTCTCTGCTGCTTGAGTCGTTTAACAGACTACTTCTTCTTGGCGGCAAAGCAGGAGTATTACCGTTCCCATTATTCTTCAAATAAATGGCGTTGTAACTAGGCGGTTTCGGTGGACGAACTGGTGGTGGTAGTTCGGATTCTTCCTTTTCAATCGTTTTTGTGGACCTTGACGGACGTTCGTCTTTAAAATAAAAAAATTAATTTTATCAGCTGTTATTTAATCTATACATATCACCATTTTAGGTTTCTTGAGCATCAGGGTATAATAGCCCAATTTTCACTGGCGTAATATTTTCACAAGGCAAAACGAGTCAGGTCACATAAAGATAGAACTAAGCAATCTTTTCAATAAAAAATACTCCAAATCCTAAATTATAATATTTTAGTTATCAGAGGTGGGTTGTTGGAGCAAAGCTGTGGGAACGCTTTAAGAAGTTACCCTTGAATGTGCTCGTGTACTCTTGGCCTGAAGTATTTTTTTTATAATACATTTGATAATGAAGTGAAAATGTTGATGGTTCTAGGAAACCCTTCCGGCGCTGTACATTAAAGAAAATTGTGATAATGAATATACAAACGTTCCATTTTTGACGGCAGCGATCAAACACAGAAATTATATTAGTTTTAAATTGGTTATCTGAACAACTATAACTCACAACTGATTTCTTTAGCCATTCGTGGTTGCTTTAAAATATCTGGCTGCAGGTAAGATCGCTTATTTGCTGACACTTTCTTTTCTTTTTCGTCGTCTGAATTGTCATCGTCTGAATCTTCGTCGTCAGATGAAGCATCCGAGCTGAAGTACGATTGCAAAAATGAAAATTATATTCTTAGAAATTTTTTGTAAATTTCACTAGCACACTGTAGAAACGTACTAAAACCTGATAACAAAAAACCTGACACTAAATTACAAAACTATGACATCATAATACATTATCATGGAAACTTTATTTTCATTATATGGCTTACTGGCGTTCTTATAGATACGTCAGTGTTCATACTGAGCAGTAGGCTAATTCGAAGATCAAAACAACGTTTAAAATTTATCGAGGTCTGAAATAATCAATGAAGATGACTTGCTAACAGTAACTATTGGTAGATGATCCCAAAATTGTTCACAAAATACGGAACAGCATGTAACTTGTGGTGCTGATCAGTATTTGAATATCCATTCAATAGAGCTCGGCGTCAACTTATAAGTAATAAATACAGTCCGTACTCAGAATTAGTCTTCTCTTTTTTCTTCTTTTTCTTTTTATTGGTTGTTCGATTATTTCTTCTCTTCCGAATTCGTAAAATTGCAACAGTTATGCAAATGATAACACCGACAAGAACTATGACTCCAACTACTACAGCAATGAGAATGATATTCGACCCTTTGTCAGCTGAACAAAATATAGCTTGATATTATTACAGAGTGATCGCCCCCATACAACGCAAGTACGTGCACAACTGAGAAAAAATGAGTTTTTTTTATTACCAGATGCAAATTTACTTACTGCAGCTACAGATTGAACGCAGAATAGTCAAGTATAGAAAATCTTTTGCCAGCAGGAAAATGTGTCTCTAGTCACGTACATAGAATGAGTATTCATATAAATATATAATCCAATCATACGTTACCCCTGAGGCTATTTCCTCTATCATAACGGATGTAGATTTTAGCGTAGGCTAAGTTTGTGTGAATGAAGTATAAAATAATTGTACCGAATGTCCATATTAATCATATAAGTAGAATCATTAGTAATCATCAAATCAGTAATTTGTTATCTTACATATTTCACACTTATCTCCTTTGTAACCCTTCTGACAAACGCATCTTGGTCTTTGGCCAATTCTTTGCTTGCATTCTCCGCCATTCTGACATGGATTATTCTTGCATTGATCTTTTATACGTGAATACAAAAATAAAAAATAGTAAGAAAACAAAACAAGAAATTTCTGAAAGTTTTTGATATTTTCAGCTGTATTATAATGGAAAAAGAAAAGCAAATGTAATGGCAAGAGAAGGTATTAAAATGTGAACCAAAGAGTGCTAACAAAGTTCGAATAATGTAATTTTTTACTTGTTTAATGGATTGATTGACTTAAATATCTTCAAATTTAAAATCAAATTTAAAATAAAATATTTAAAATCCAATTGAAATGAAGGAAAATCTACTTTGGGATTTTTTTTTCATTTGAATCATGTTATCTAAGTACTTACCTACGCATTGCCGACCGGGTTTGGAGGGATTTTCATCAACATAATTTCTACTGCATACACAGCTATACGATCCTGCCGGAGTATTTTGACATTTTGCTCTTGTGCTGTGGCAATCAGTGTGTATATCAGGATCAATGCATTCATTGAAATCTAGATTAAAAAATAGTTTGGTGTTTGTGATGCAGTTTCCTAATGTTTATTTCTCAATATTTATTAGATTGATAATTTCTTTAAAAACTAAAATAAATGTACAAATAATCATTAGAATTGTTCAAATCAAAACAGTTTTAAAAAAATTATTCAGTTTATCCTGTTTCGTTAAAAGCCTTTGAAGCGCACTATCAAAAAGAATATTCAATTGATTGGGTACAAAGTAACCGTTCCATCTAAATTATCGTTGTTGTTGTGAAAAAAACAAAAAAAAGTCTTTTATTTTTCATGTTTTTCTTGAGTCCTGCAGGATCCGATATTTCACCCAAATTTTACTATTTCTGAATTCACAGAAACATCTCGTGATTTGTGTGATATTTTACCTTAGACACATTTATACATTAGTAAACAGGAGATTGTATTAACCTGAAAATTTTATTTTTCCGGATGCTGTGTCAAACTGAATAATTCCCGTAGCTGTTTTGACAAGTCCTTTTACTTCAGTTGACATCAGAGATTTCATAAAATAATCTTTGATAACATCCCATTTTCCTTTCTAAAATTGACAAAACATAAATAGGATTGAGTATTTCTTAATTATGCTTGTTTCAAGGGGATTTTGGAACCCGACCTACAACACTGAATACCCGAACCTTATCTAAAAGCATTTTTGTTGAGGCTCTGAAAAAGGCTCAAAAGTTAATTCAGCTGTAACTTTCAAAATGCTTGTTTGCTTAATTCAAACTCAATCCCAAATCCGATTTGATTTACAACTGTACTTTGTTTTATATTTATTTTTAAAGCAGTGAAATTAAATAAAATGTACCATAATTTCATGGAATCCGGGAAATACAATTTTGAAGTTATTTATAATCTTTAAACAAGATAGAAATCAGAGACCGCCGACTTATCGATTTAGCATCGTGTATCTTCCGCTCTTACTCTTTAGCGACACCGCGTGTCCCATCACTAATTAATTAATAACTCATTAATTATAAGACCTAATTCATCCAAAATCAATAGGCTTCTGATCCGAGATATGATGAATGCACGTGCAAAATTCGCTTTCGTGGGATATCGCGTGTATCTAACAGACAAACACACAAACGGACAAATACCTACCAACATACTTACCGATCATGATCGATAAGTAACTAGACTAGCGGTGAGATGTATATTGAGGTCAGTCATAATATTGCAAAACGGATATTTAAATTAATCTCTGTCTGAGGTGAAAATCGGTAATGCTCCATTCCAGTGGTATATTACCGAATTTAAGACGAAATTGTGAGGTTTATCGATCTTTGGCTTTATCTAATTTCAAAAGGCTTGTTTGTCTAAACAATTCAGAATACATGTACCAGAGACAGAATTAAAGTTTCTTACAGCAGTACGAACGTTGAATAACTCTCTTTTCCCTCGCGAAAATAGTCCAGGGGGTGGCCTGTCAGTACTTGATTTTCTCATCCTAATTAAGAATGAGACTCTTGCCCCAGATCGTTGAACAGTTTGCCTGAGAAACTCCACAACTTCAAGTGATATATAACCCTCTAAACCAGACGATCTCAATACTTGGTCAAGCTGTAATTCAAAAATATAGAGGGGTCTTAAAAGCGAATGGAAATTATACAGAGTATAATAGGAATCCACATAAGATAAAAATATCTAGCATTGATGAGTTATATTTCCCTTGAACCGAAATAAATAATGTCATTTGTTGAGAAATTGAGACGATTTTCGTAACAAGCAACGGTTTTTAGGGTGGTATATACGATACTATGCCCATTACTAAACATATAGAACTTGTTTGTAGACAACGAATCGTTGTCACTACACTATGTTATATGTGATAAAATACTTTCAACATAACTATTCATATGATTACAAGTAAATTGAAGAATCGAAAAACAAGGAAGGATACTGGCATTATTGATAAGAATCTTTACATCCTGCATTCTATATATATAAGTGATATAGAAAAAACACAATAAATAATGTGATCAAGATATGTTAAGCATTTGTCACAACAATTACCGATCGTATAGTATAAAATATAGCCTGAAGGGTACTAGTTCGGTAAAATCATCATTTTGTTCTACACAGGTCGACATGCTTGAAATAAAGTTCTTCAAGGTTCACAATCGATAAATGATATTACCTCAGGCAAAAATCCACATTAATCATAACATCTATAAGCTGTCTGATAAGTCGTTTTACCAATTACTCAGATGTGTTTCCAGCATTGCCACTAATGTACATTGTCTGTCCCTCAGTTAATTACATATCTGATATCTATTGAAGAAACGCTCTATGTTCTTATCATACTCAATATCAGCTAAAATTCTAGACTAAAACGATTACATATGGTTGAAGTTGCATAATACTGTTATTGGGAATAGTTGAAATATTTCTAAATTGTGAATTTGTCACAATGCAAAAATGGTACTCCTGAAGTATGCGTAGCAAGATGTCGCCCAACCTGAACCCCAACCTGGTACATAACCTGAGTTCAGGTTGTGCGCCATCCCGGTGCGCATACTTATAACAAAAGGGGTCCGCAAAAACTTATAACATTGAATACTTACAGCGTCTTGCACTGGGCCCATCATTTCACCAGAATTTGTATCTTCATAAGTTATTTCTTTCCCATCAACATGAGTCACAATGACTTCGCCTTCGTATTTTTCAAGAGCTATGAATAACATAAATAATATATATATATAAGGGATGAACAAAACGTAATCACTCAAATTATAAACACTACAAAGTTCGGGCAATATAACTCTATATTAGCCCAGGAATAAAAATCATACATTGTATAGAAATAATTCTCATTTCTATTTTGTCAACTGTATCCATTTCACTGGCCAAATTGGTGTCTGATAACATCGTTTCCAATTACTCAAATTTAGATACAATGTACGGTCAGAGGTGACGATTATCTGACATGATCTAAAAGCGACTTTCACATTGCTATATTTTATCATCGAGTTCCATCAGATATTCAATACTTAAAACCCCATGACTGATAGTCATCAACCGGAGTTGGTTCAACGATCAGCTTTTTGAAATGCTTATGGTACTCATACATCAATCGTAACCAGCGATAATCTGAAAGTATAGTAACACAATAACTATAAATAAAAACTTACTGGCACAATTACTTCCACAAGGTACGGAAACGCGACCAACATTGGAGCTTGGTTTGAAAGATCCAAAAGATCCAGTTGAAGACCCACTGACTGCTGGTCTATTTGGAAACATTGGTCTATTTGGTATTGCAGGTCGGAAAGGCGATGGTTTTGGCACAAATGGTGTCGTTCGTGGGGAAAATGGTCTTGCTATGGTCGGCATGGGTGTAGTATAGGCAGCAACCGGTCGAAATGGCGTAGGCCTTAAAACATGATTATTAATATGTTGCACTCATTGGTGTAGGCCGTAGGGTCAGAGTGCGTCTCATCTCACATCAAAATATTTTCAAGGAATATAAGAACAATACCATTCAGGTCTCAGTTTTTGAGAAGAATTCACAACCATAGTAAATAATATAGGACTAAGAATAGAAATTTTACAGTGGAAATTAATATCATATATACATTGTTCATACAGCTGATGATCCGCGATTAATAAATTTAATTTAAGAAGAAAGAACAAAATCACCATTAACCTATGTTAACTTGTATTTGATGTATTTTAATTGATGTGGTGAAGATATGAACCCTTTAAAATCGCAAAAGCAGTAAGTTCTCGAAATCATTTGAAACTGATGACCCAAGGCCTCCTAACTTCAGTTAACTAGCACTGGAATTGAAAATTTGAATACCTTGTGTAATAGGTTAATTTTGTGGTCGGCAACATGGTTGTAGGAATCGGTCGTCTCGTCGCAGGAGGATAAAAATTATTGTTGTTAAAACCGACCCCATTAAAATTATTTCCAGCTCTGGCAGGAGTTGTCGTCCGTCGTCGATTAGGATTAAAGGCTTCAAAGTTATTGTTCTGTGAATCTCTATCGCTGTACACTACACCGGGACCACTGTTGGTATAATCTGTATTTGTTTGATGTGTTGTTGTCGTTGTGGTTGTTGTTGTTGTAGCTGCAATTAAGTAACGTTGTAAGATATATCTGTTGGTGAAAATTGAAAGAAAGGGCTTAAAGAATGAGATGCGATTCTATCAAACTATTATTTAGATATAATGGTTCTACGGAATATTCTAGTCTTTGCTTCGAAGGATCGAGTTTCGTTAAATAAATTTATTGCTGCAATGGTAAAAACTTTCAAAACTATCAAATTCGCGTGATGAGAAAATGCATAATTTTATACGGTGATCTTCATAAATTGGCGACATTTAGAAACTTATACGTATTGTGGCGGTCAACATATATATATAATAGTCACTTACTGGTAGTCGTTGTCGTTGTTCCCATGCCCTCGCATCTTCGCCCACGCAGAAGATAATATCGATCACTAGCATCGGTATAGCCTGGCCCACAACTGCAATGATAAGATCCTTCATCATTCGTACATTTGGCATTTCTGTCACAATCCATAAAGTCTGGAGATCCGCATTCGTCAAAATCTGAACAAGACAGACATTTAGAGAGTGGAACTTTGCGATTGCAAATGGTTGGATATGATGAATATACCTTTGGAATAACTTTTTAGTTTCTACCTGGTTTAATTAAGTTAATTTTGCTGTTACAATGTGATTTTTACAGCAGTGCAACATACCATTGATTCCTATCAACTTCATTTCTTTTGGATTCGGAATTTTCGATTCTGTATCTTCATATGCTGATTTTAAGAGGGGAACACCGCCCGCACTTCTAGGCGTGAGATACATTAACAAGGCCGCTGAAGTACCTGGAAATGTTTAAAAATAATTACACCAACAGTTAGATAGCGTTCAGTTAACTGGATTTGAACAAAATGTCTTGAAACTTTAATAATATAAAAAATCCAACCTCGGTCTACATGAGCTTGAAATGTCACATGATCGGCACTTCCAAAGTCAATTTGTTGAAAGTAATTGTGCATATGCCTACTCGTAAACACGTCAGTCACCTAGATATTGAAAAAAATGTCTATATTATTAACAAAATCAATTTGGTTATACGAATATTCATTTATCAACGAAATGGCGTTAGAAAATTACTGCGCAAAAAGCGTTGTTAATTGAGCGATAGCCAACTAAGCAACAAAATGAGACTTACAAAATCGATGACATATCCCTGCATTTCCTCGTACTGCATACTACCTGGATTTGATAAGTCGTCCGGTAATACCGATGGTAATTGTACAAACATTCTAAATGTTCGAGGAGCTGCAATAGAGTTTTAGGTTTTAGTATTCAGTTTGAAGCAAATCAATTTTCAAATGTAGCAACGAAAAAATTCACGAGAACGACTAAATACATTTGGTTAATATTGAGCTGTTCAAATATAGGCAAAAATCAAAACATACTTTTTCCTTTTTCAATTTACTGGTATATTCAAATACTAAAGAATATAATACTTTTTACGTTTTTGCACATCAGGAATTTTTAGAATTTTTTACCCAGGAATATGATACTTTGTATATATGAAATTGTATGCTGGTGAAGACAACAAGTTTTTTAAAATTGAATGTTTCTTTCTTGTACCATTGAATTTAGCCTTTCAACGTGGATAGATGAACGTAATTTAATACACTTTTTCGTTCATTCGATATGTTTCAATTGTTGATTTATAAAGGAAATTGGGTATATACAAAATATGGATCACATCTTAATGGTAATGGTAAGTATCACCTGGCCACCAACAATACATACATGTTCGAAGTTCAATAGGGTATGTAAATTCTGTATGATGCTCTTCATTTGTTCTCCATTTTTCAGCAATTCGCCATCTATATACTAAATTAGGTCGAAGGTCGACAATGGTTAAACTTGGGATTTTAGATGAAATAGTGACTTCCTTCCAAGATGATAACCCTGAAATAAAAAATTTAGTTTGTAAATTAAATTAATATATATGGGGCATCGCTAAAACAACTTGCGGTTAACCCATGGCTAAAATATTGCCATGTTCATGACCTTAGTTTTTATTATAATTTAATTCCAGTCAATTAGCTGTATCATTATATTATTTAATTACGTTTTATCATTTTATCTAAGAAACTAGTGTTTCAGATAGATTTAGTATGAAATATTAGTTCCATTATTTTACGTGTAGATGGAATTATTCAACTTATTTATACTCTGAAGTAGTAGAGTACCTTGATATTTAAAACACGCTGAATTTTTTAAAGATAGAGGTAATTCAAATGAAAGGTAATCATTTGAATTCTCCTAAAAATTTCAAATCTATACGATAAAAAGTTCATATCTATATTTTATAATTGTTACACATTTCCACGTTACCTTTAACTGCATACTGAATCACGTACACCATATCGTTCAAATTAACGTTTTTCCCTCTGTATCTTTTCCAAGAAAGTTTTACTTTTGTTCTTCCAGTAACAACACCTTTCAGTTCAACTCCTGGTTTTGGTTTTGGTGTAGTCGTGGTCGTTGTTGTTGTAGTGGTTGTCGTGGTCGCTGTAGTTGTCGATGCGTCGGAAATAGTAGATTGATGTGATTGTTGCGGTCCATGTGTCTGTTTGGCATGCGTTGATGCCGTCGTTGGTGGTGTTGTTGCTTCAGTAGTAGTTTTTGCATCTTTAAAAATATAAACGCTACTATAAAAGTTAAAGTCAAAATGTACCTGAATGTGAAACAATTTGGCATGGTTGACGTCTTATGAGTTATGACTAAAGCTGATGCTCACTGTCCATATTTTTATGTGCGGTTTTTAAGTTTATAACGTTCACACTAACGCATCTCGAAATAGATCTATGACAAACCGGTATTATTCAACATTTCTGTATATAGCTACTTACGGGTTAGTATTCATTCCGCCTTTTTTCCATCCTGTTTTTTTTAGTTGAGACTGTTCCTATCTACATTTCTTTTTCTATTTAAAAACTGAGTCAACACGACCCTTATTTCATGGGCTGATATTTTTTTGGTGCAATAGTTGATAAAAATATTATCTAGTGTTAAATGCGAAATTTTGATTCTTATTTAAATAAAGTTACGTACGAGGTGATATGCAAAGCCTTCCTGGAAGTAAGTTATTTATTACTCCACGATCTATATATCCATCTCTGCATTTACAGATGTAACCTGGCGAAGTGTTTTCACAACTTCCATCTTTCGAACAGTCTGTCCATGTTGAATTACACTCGTCAAAATCTAAAAAAAGTACGTGTTGTAGTACAGACAAGATTGAAAAAAGTGAAACATTTATGAAATCTATAAGCTAACCTCTCAACTCAACAGATGTGAAGTCCAATCCAAACGGATTGTCCGTAACCTCGTTGTATTTGAACATATCGGATACCTGATTAGGATCTATGTACGAAGCTGGGTCGAAAAACATGAGAACAATTCTGCAAAGGTTTATAAAATGTTTAGTAAAGTTATATAAACATTAGACACAGACTGTTATGTCATTCGTAGCAATGCATTCAAATCAAACTTAAAAATATTTGATAGCTGAACTTACGCAAATGTTCTTTTCATTATACCGGGAACAAGCTTTATTTCTCCTGAATTTTTATATTGCGCCATTCGCGGCCCCATCACTCTGTCCAACTATTGAGATAAAATTAACATTTGAACGAAGTTTATTATCTTCTATGTCTTTTATTTCTAATCGAATAATATTGACATGCATAAAAATTTTGATTCAATAATAATTTTAATTCAATATTTCACTATGCAATGTTTATCACTTCTAATTTTTCCATTCCATTTTCCATTTTATTTAATACATTTGCGACAATAAATGACATACTTTCAGACGATATAACCCAATACAAACACATTATTCTTGTTTTCATCATTAGCTAATTTTACCTATAATTTCAATTTACGTGTTGTGATGCTTTGTAAGTAAAGGTTTTTATGTTAATTTGCTGGTATAGTTTGTTTAATAACTTACAAATTGTTGCACGCCTTTAGCCGTAGTTATAGTAACATTACTCTTTGGGTAGACAAAGATTTTTCTGTAGAGAAGGGACGTCAGATTCAAATGAGCTTCATAAATAAGTGCAGCTGTAACATAACAAAATATATATATATTCATAACAATTATTATATTTCGTATAAAAAACAAAAAACAACTTGGCTCTCCTCATCATTTACAAGTGGCGTAATACATTTTTTGTTAGTTAATTAATGCTTAAAACGCATAATTTCTTTTACACTATGCCGATCCTAGACTTGATTTAATATTCGTGCAAATTATACGCTGTCATAAAGTGAGATTCGTGTAAATAATATTACAGCATGCCATTAATGAAGTAGATAAAGCGACTAAATACTTTAAATCCGTAATCTGTAAAGTGTGTAATAAGGAGTTCACCAACTAGGAAATGTCGCGTGACGCCCTTTGATATTCATAGTTGGTTCATACTACACTTGAAAAAACTTTCTGACACTTCGTTTAATTCATTCATTTTTAGAGTGACGAATAGTACAATATTTTTATATGGAATAGAATTTTATACCATCCATATTAATATCATTTGAAAGATACAAGTCATTTAGGGATTGTAGGGTCAAGTTCAAGCTCGAATTTGAAGCTAGCAAACCAAATATTGGATTTTGGCCAGTAAATGTGCTAGGTTTCATACCAGTTGTTGCTTCTGTCCATGTTGAGAATCGACCAACCCCTCGTTTGTTTGCAGCTGCAGCCCGAAACACATATTTTGCATTCATTTTCAAATTATTTATTCTTCGCGACATTACAAATCCTTCGGCGGTGAAATTAGCATCATTCATTTCAATCTTCAATTCTGAAAAACAAAGTATGAGAGTTATCTTCATACTTTGAAAGCATCTAATGCGAGGTTCTTCAAAATTAAGAGTTTTAAACAACTAAACACTATTAAACTAAAATAAAAACAGTTCTAGAAAAGTCCCACATGAAACCCTAAGATAAAAAAGTTCACATTTAAACAAAGTGATTTAAAACTTCTTAGCAAGAATGTGAAAAAGGAATTTGAAATAAAATTTGAAAAAGTTTAAATTTTACCTTTGTCACTGCCTTTTATTCTTCGGTTGTACTGAACTATAAACCAAAACTTATGAAGCTCGTTTCTCAGTTGATGTGGTATTGAAAAACTGATTCGCACTGACTTGGGATCCAACACATCGACTAAAAACGATGCTGGCGCATCGAAAACTAAAATAAAATGTTACACCTGTCAAATACCAAGTTAGTGGTAGTTGAATTCCAATATTAATTAAACAGTTGGAACTTCACCTGAACGATGTGGCCATGCTCAGCGTAACATTAATTCTACTGGATAAGACAATAAATGTATTTTAAAAATTCAATTTTAACACTATCGAAGTAGAATAAGATTATACATATTTCCAGGTGAAGTTGAAGAAAATTTGTTTGGAGTATAGTAATATCACATGCTTTGCATACATACTCAGACATTTTCTGCCAGGTAGCCTGCCGTAGTCGTCACTGACATCTACATGACCATGGGGGCAATGACATTCAAAAGATCCAGGTATATTTTTACAAATGTTCCCAGCACAATCTTGAAACTCCGTTCCACACTCGGAAAAGTCTATAAAAATGAATTATTGCAATGATACGAGGTTGTCGACCCTAATTTGCAGTTATGGTCAAGAATTTGTCCACAATATATTTTTCATTAGTTGATAATGTATATAAGTACAGTTAAATATAACTTTACCTGTAACTTTCACCGTAGTTTTGTCAATAGGTCCTCCGGGAATTTGAACTTTTTCTCTGAATTCTTCAGTTATCATTGTTTCCATGAGCTTCACTCCATCAACCACTGTTACAATTTTATACATAATATTGTTATTTCGTCATGCAATAATAATGAAAAGAGCTTTGTTTCACTGGCATTTTTATGCATATATAATTATTTTATATCATTCAACATCCATCGTTCAATTTTAAGTGAAATAATAAAAAAACGACATATATAGGCTACTATCTTGGTACGTCACTGACTTCGATCTTCAATTTGTCTTACATTACGTCCAAGACTGGAATTGCATCAACTCTCAGTGAGTGTAAATGTAACACTCAGCTAAGTTTGCTAGGAAAAATTGTGCATTCTCACTTTTACGATGTATGCTACTTACTGTCTTTTCCCATAAAAATTGCAGCAGTTATACGAATTACATTTTGGCCAGCAATGTCGGATTTTTGAATAACGTAATCTCGGAAGTCTAATCTTCTGTTGTTTCTCAAAGTTGTCACAATCTATGAAAATGGTGTAGTTTGAGATTGGAATAAACAATACACCAAATAAATGCTGATTTATTCCGACCAAATAAAAGTCTTATAGAAAATGCTATGAGATTAGTCTACCGGTACCAAGTTCTTCTTATTCTTCCGTTACGAAAGAAAATATGTGTGAAAATTTGGTGAAATAAACATTTAGTTTATATGTGGAATATGTTTGTAATGGTTCTAACCGATTCCGTTACTTCTTCATGCACGGTGGCTCTCATCTCTTGGTAGTTTATGACCGGATCGGTTGATGTGTAGTCAAATACAACGCTGAAAATATTTGTTTCTGAAATAATAAGAATATAATCAGTCTTATTGCAGAATCTTTGCAAACGTCAGGTCACTTCATGTGATGGTTTGCAACTATTTTTACATTTGCTTGCAAAGATTCTGACTAGGGCGGGCAGCTCATTCATACCTGCATAAAATTAAAGACTGAATGGTAAAGCGTAAAATATTTTGTAGAGAACACAAAATTCGTTGATATTTTCAAAATTTCAGTTATAGTAATAGGATTTGTTATCTATCTTATTTATTATGTATAAGTTTCTCACAGTATAATCTGGCAACCTTGGATCTACAGAAATGACGCAATTAAAAACTAATAATTTTATCGCTGCGTGGCAGCAGAGACTCTCCCGCTTCGACGTGCTCCATGCGCGCGTAAAGTTGCTCTACATCTGTTGTTTCGCACGTTTCACTGCAGAGGATTGAGCGCGTAAGACTTCAAGTTTGTAAACCCAGTATTGGAAATTTATTTTCTGCACTCTCTGCATTCGTCTCGTTATTAATTACCACTGAGTGCAAGGTAATACAGTAGTATAATTAATTAGTCGGTCGAGCATAAGGCCGAGGCGTAATTAGATCTAGCTTTGTTTTTTCCAAACGCTCTCATGTGCACATTTTTAGGATTGGTGATGTGAAGCGGTTTGAGATTATAGAAGAAGTTCTGTCAACTGCTGCAGTCTGGAAGAAGTTTGGAGAATCGTAAAAACTTGTGAGCCAATTATCTGCTTTTTGTTGTTGTTCATTTCAATCAGGATAAGATCATATATATATGTGTCCAGCCGAGTGTAGACCGAAATACTATGGTGCATAAATTAGGATTAATCAGTCAGCTTGTGGCAGCTCAAATCGTTGACCTACTACATCTATATTGCACGATTCTCAATCAAATTTGTATTTGCTCCTGAAAAACATCATGCTGAGACAAACTTGCAACTTTATCTAAAATTAGGATCATTTCATTGTCAAGGGATGCGTTTGCTTCCCAACATATCATTATTCCTTATGAGGGGAAATTTAATTATTACATTGTAAGGTTGTTCGGAATATGTGCGGGTGCTATAGCTTCATATTTTTAACTCATTCAAAGCTGCTAACTAAAACATCCAAAGTTTTTACACTTCTTTCCGTTCTATCAGTATCCATTTCCCCCCTTGTACCAACTAAAAAAGGTACGGAAAACTGATACATATTATATTCGAGCTCACTAAACTTTTTGCGGAATCATAAAAATGATAAAACTCACCACTCCGTATCTCTATCCAGTTTGACCATTCCCCTGTAGCGGTGTTTGTTACGCCACGGACACGAATTTTGTGAAGTCCAAATGGTGGTAAATCTCGCAGTTCGTGTTCCGTAAAAAACCCACCCCTAAAATAGCGAATAATATATGTCGTATATTTTGAATACGGATTTATGTTTTTGTTGTATTCTGTACAAGAAAATAACTTACGGCATTGCTCTGCCTTTGTTACTGACTGGTTTTCCGTCTACCAAAGTGTTTGCTTCGATTTCGTAAAATTTTATTTCGCCTACTGACGTCTGGGGCTTGCCCCAGGCAAGATACACTGAGGTAGGATTCATGGCTTTTGCGATGACGTCCAGTGGTACAGCTAGATTAAATTGAAATAAATATCATCAACACAAACAACATAGTGTCTGGTTAGATAAGCATGGCCGAACTTCTTAAGCTAACTGTATAACAGTAGTTTACAAAACTGCGAATATACATGGTGATTGGGGGACAACAACTAAAAAGTAGAGAAGGACACTTTCTGTATAGATCAATTCTCTAACTATATCTCACCTGTATTTTGAATGCACTCTACGCCTGGAAGGAGTTTTAAATGAACCCCGTCATCGATGAGACCTTCCTTACATTTACATGTGAATATTCCATATTGTGATGTACACGATGCATTTGCGTGGCAATATCGAAATTTTGGGATGTCACAAAAATTAATATCTAAATTTAACAAAGCATTAAGTGGAGTACGTTTCCATAAAAATTTTTTGTTTTTATAAAAAGTCAACATTTACGAGCTATACCTCTCACCATACTTCCTCTTGCCGGTCGCAAAGGTGGCGTTGTTATTGCATTTTTGATAAAACTGTGGAGAGAATCTGACCTGGCTAATCCATTTTTGTCGAAGTATATGTCAGAAGTTATCTGAAAATATTGGTGTATCTTCTTGTAGATTTAGGTATGATTGAATTCAAAATAGTAGCATTGTATGTACCATGCAACCTTACCTCGAGTAATTGCTTGTCTTTAATTGTTACATTCTTTGTAAAAACTATGTCGAGTCCCAAGAATTTGAATGCTGTTCCACCAAACATTTGTTTTAACTGTAGACAAAATTATATTTACAATAATTTCTAAAGATGATGCATCTCCACTGTATTCGTTCACCGTCATTGTGTTATAATTCGATTTAAATACTTACTGATGTATCTAGAAATTTCCTAAATCCCTCTCTCGGTTCAAATGGGGGCGCGTTCGGATTTTTTGCATGCCAGATATCGGAGAATTTGAGTTTCAGTCGAAATTGCCTTGGTTCTAGAAAAAAAGTAAATAGATAGTAAGTTGGACGATTGTACGAGTTGTTTATAGGATGAAATATTTGAAATACTCACGAAGCCGTATTTTGACCCATGGTGTATATATTCCCCGATACATGGTGTTTAGTGCTACCATTCTGAAGTGATACACACGATATGGCTCCAATTTTTGTACGAATACAGTCCTTGCATTTGGTCCCAATATTGCCTGTTTACATAACAATTTGATTGCCACTGGTGATCGTAAAGCACGTAAATAAAAAAGCTCGTAAAAATTCAATTACCTGTTCCAATGTTTGCGCGCCAAGCATTTGATATTCTACACTATAAGCAGTAATCTCCCCCTTAGTTTTATGTGGTTTGTTCCATGATATCCTGAGAGTTCGTGTGTTCAACATCGCCACTTTGAACTTCTCTGGTTTACTTGGTACTTAGAAAATAATGTTATTTTAATGTTATTAATATTATTGAATTTAAAATATTGGCAATTTTTGTTTCGCATCGGTTACATTCATACGCTCATACCTCGAAGAAAACGGTCGTTTTTTGGTTCATTCTGAGCAACTCGGGAAAATAAATTGCACAATGGTTTTAATGTTCCATAGTCAACTGTATAATATATATATATATATATAATAATACTGTATAACTTTTTATTATCAACTATAGAATCTTCTATGTTACTCACCACCCTCTTCAGTGTCGACGAAGCATGATGCATTCATGTTTAACGTTTTGACATTCTCGCCCTTCCTAAGTAGTGCACGAATTTCAACAAAATATTTGTCACCAAACGGTAGTTCTGTCATTGAGTATGATTCCGAAGACGGACGAAGAGCGCGATATTCGAACGAAGATATATAATCTGTGTGTAAGATTGCTTCCGTCAGTTATACGTTCGACATTTTTTGTTTTATATTATTGTATTCTTCAACAGCAATATCCTTCTAATTATGGATATTTGTAATATTTTTCTACCATACTTGTTTGTAGTTTATTTTAGTTATTTCTTATACGGTTTATACTTCAATGGCTATTTTGCTTGACACCCCCATAGATTTTGTATATTGAAATACATCTAGTGTTTTCTAAGATGATTTTAAAAAACTTTTTTTACTGGAGGCAGACTTTATCGCACTCAGGTCGTCTTCAAGTTCTGAATATACTTTCCACAATGTGTTCTGGACATCGCTTCCTCTTATCATCGTTGTTTTATCGGCAATAGCAGTCTAAAGGAAATACATCGGCATTAGCTACTAATGTGTGTGTTATAAATATAATAAGTAATCAATCTCACCTTAAATATTCTCGCCGAATTATCTGTTATAGCAGCATATTTGACATTGAACCAACTTACAATATATCCTACAATTGGGTAGGCCTGTGGTAGAATAATTAAAGTATTTACAATAGCAGAATACAGAAATATAAAGCAAAATGACAAAATGCTGCTATGTACCTGGTTTTGTTTGTTGACAGGCGGTTTTTCCTCAAAATTGAATAAATTAATATTAGGCTTCGCTGCCCATGTAATTCTTAGAGAATTTTCTTTTGCTACGCAGGACATTGAGGTAATGTTGAACACTAGACCTGAAACAAATGAGTTTAGCTTGTTTTATGTATTATAGCCAAAAATTGCAACATATTAAATAGTTAATATTATTATTTAGCTTACCTTGCGAAGATAGAAGTTGGGAGCATGAAAAAAATAAATAAAATAAGCGAATGGTAACGCCATCAGTTCTACGCCTCATTTCTGTATTTCCTTTACTTTCTACTTCTTGTCAAAATACATTCATTCTTAAGTTTAGTACAACTCTAAAAGAAACCATAACAATGATCAGTTTCTCGGTCCGACAGCATATAAACTTCTAATTACAAAAATCTCAAAATATAATATCTATTCTTTATTTGATATATTTCCTCTGCAAATCATACAACTAGCTTGACCTTCAAACAGCACTGTGTCTTGTCGGAAATAGGATCAGTTGGCACGTGCCCTGGGGCTGCTCGTTATTTGTCTTCGCTGTATCGGTTGCTTTGTTTTCTTTGGATTAATTAGCTTGTAATTAAAGTATTTACATTTTATATCTTAGTATGATTAAATACACACTGTTATAGAGAGACTCCGCCCTATAGTCAATTGATGGATTCGCCCTTATTTATATCATGCTTTGCCATTACCTAAGCTATCGAAAATTACGATTTCATTTCTGTAGTAATAGATAAAACATTTCATTGATTCCTCAACTGGACTGTTGAAATCCAGTTTGGTGTGAACACGACATCAGCTAAGCCAAGAATTATGGCTTAGCCGGAGGCTAAAAATCTGTTTAGTATGATTAGAATAACTTGCTCATCCACTACCGCATGTAAAATTCCTGCTTAATACTGCCGCTTGTCGAGTGGATGGATATTTTAATCACGGACGACATAAAAATCTTGATCGTAGAATGTGCGTACTGGAATATGACTCGTTGGTTTAACTAACGATCCATCTCATTTAGTAACCATAATTTGAGTATCACAACAATAAGATTTCAAGTTCGATACTGAACTCATAGTGAATTACCTCCCAACAATTGTATATATTTATCAGGCGTAATCGCCAAAAAATTTTCAAATTTATTTTGCTTAAATTTGATGGTGGCTTACAGGAAACGAAACTTTAGTGACTGAAACAAGTATTGATAATAATATTCAATGCATTTGGCGATTTTTATTCATATCTTTGAGTTTAGTTTGCAGTATTCATTAGCTTTTAGTCAAAACTATGCTATTGTGTCCCATTTATACCATTGATATTGAATTTCGAAGGGCTAACATCAGTGGTTCTTGAACTGGGGGGAGCAAGAGGCCACAAAATGAAATCGGAAATTTTCATGCAACGGATCCTGAAACGGTCTCCGCGTTCGTTAAAAATGCCAGCTTTTTCGCGGTATGATAATTTCTTTTGTCTCGTAATGTTTAATCTATGACAACTAAAAGAATTCAAAATGTCTCTTTATTTCAATTCATTTGTGTTGGCTGCGGCGACACACGGCAAAATAAACTCATTACCGATCTAAAATACCAAACCAAACCGCGGTTGAATAAAATATTCAATCCATGACCGATATACATATTTAAAATGGTTGCTTTATTTATTTAATTTTGATAAACTAACTTGCGAAGTTTCTAAAATTTTTCAAAGGGGAGCGCGGCTCAAAAAGTTTAAGAAACACTGGGCTAACTGGTTTTTGACGTTTTGCGTCGCGCAGGCCGGGATTTGTTTGTGGAGCCTTTTGCCATTTCCATGACAATTTTCATTCTTTGTAGCTATTTTAAATACGTTTATTGTTAATGTCTACATTTCTTAGCAAAATAAAATACTTTAGTCACGATGTCCCGACAACAAATCTCTTTCTTGCGCATAATAAACTTGAATTTCATTGGGCGAAATATCAAATATAGAATCTGGTCTGGTCGATTCCTGTCTTCTCTAAAACCCCTCAAAATGCGTATAGGGCAATTGATTATTCCCCTACGGGTTCTACCTACAAGCTCTCAGTCGCATGAACGTTTAAAAGTAAACAGAAATAAAAACTTCATGAAATTCCCAGTAATCTTAAAGGCCGATTAGCGGGCTTTGAGATCTTTTATCCATGAACCTCCGCAGTTGGCGCATGTTGTGATACACTTTGAACAAAATATTTGAAACAAAGTCCAGTATAGTTTGAAAAGAAGATTGCACTTTCATAGCATGGTAGCAAATCTCTCTAGAAATTTTCTGCACCGATTGGGTCTAACGTGTTATTTTAAGACGTAATAATGTATCGAATGTGCGAAAGCGTACTTTTTAAATCATGTGTGATCGCAATCTTCCTTCTAGATATATAAAAAATTATATTTATTTGATACTAGAAGTGTAGTCTCAAAATTTTCATTCAACTTTAATCCAAATCGATTCGAATCAGTTTTCAAAAACGTACGTGTTCGTGCGGCTTCTTATAATTTTTTACTGCTATAACGTTAATATTAGGGCCAATTACTACTGTTTATACAAGTCCAAAAATGCCGTTTCGAATATAAATTATTGACTAAAATAGACTGTTTTGAAGATTTGTATCCTTAATTTTTGCTTTACGCGTTGTTTAACAATTTCGTGTTTTTTTTCCACAAAAGTGTTCTCCTAACACTGGATGAGTTGCCATTTTTGATGTCATAAACGCAAGATGTCGCTATTATAGTGCAAAATTGTATCGATGTTCTCCGTCTCGGCGGAAACGGTAAATTCAGATGGTATTTTTAGAAAAAAGAAATTTCCTTTTATATATTGGGATCATTTGAAACTAGTGACTTGTTGTCTACATAAAATATTTTTTTATGCGGTAATATTTGCCAATGAACTAGGTGAGCGCTCGTTGGTTTTATTTTCATTTTGGGGACATTTACCAAAATAATGACTCATTTCTATTTTGTTCTTTTTATACAAAACTTGAAATGTGATGATATTTTAAAACGTGACTCGGTTAACGTACTTGTCTAATTTCCAAGTACATTTGAATGATTCAAAATTCAGTTGCTTGCAATTTGTTAGTTTGAAGTTGGCACCAGAAATCTTCGAGAATCGCGTGCGAAACTGAAGTACTTCAATTTGTAAGCTACTTAAAATTGTGGCGTGATACATAGCAAAGTCGTTTGTAACGGTATTGCTATTTTTGACATTCGGTGAGAAGTCAGAATGAAAGTCCTGATATCTATTTAATTAATTGTATTCGCAAATATCATATGTATAGGACGCCTCAAATAAATTAAAAATCACCCATCGATGACATAATCGTTTTTGATATTGATAGTACAGCGCACGGCAACGATACGAAAAACAAAAATATACAGTTGCGAACATTATCAGTTAGTGTTTGTATAATCCCAACAAATTCCATTTAGTGAGAAGATAATAACGTTTTGAACTGAAGTTTCTGCTTGGTGCCAGTATTACGTTTGGCGGATGTACGAGCTTCGCCAAAAATCAGTGTCTCGCAAAGACTGGCACTGCGGTCATGTAACGGCGCACGGTACCTATAATATTCAGCGTCACCACATATAATTAAATAGATTTAATTAAGCCCAGCAGCATCATGTCTTATGGTATGTTTTGATTGGCCATTCTTAGCGTGAGTCTCGACGTTTGTCTGCTCTCAGGCTTTATACTGTTTATAAACGTTTGGCTCAGCGTCACCTGTTTCCTGTCAAATAACCACCATTTTAAATTCCGAAAGTTCGAAATTTTAACACATTTTGATTCTTTCAAAATAATTAACTGCAATTAGTTGCTACGCGTGATAGATGTAATCGCACTGAGATCCCTACAGAATTCTTCGTTTTTTACATGGAATTAACTGACAAACCACCACTGTGCCTAGGCGTATAAATTTTTACGCAAGTTTGTTCTACGTTATAGGTTTATCGATGACTTATCTTTTGTTGTATGTAGTATGGCTATCAAATAGCCAAAAATCAAGACAAACATTTTTCCGTATAGATGTATTCGTAGCAAATGAATGAAAGTGATAATATTTTATGGTCACAGCCTTAAAGTCAGTTTTATTATTTTTTTCTTGTATCAGCCCGTTTTCAAAAAATCCCAGTAAATTATTAAATCAGTCAGAAGGTAAATGAACATCTCTCGTTTTGCCTGAATGGAATGTCCTTTGAATCTTTAAACTCCGTTGGTTTGTAAAAGGGAGAATGAGTTCTAGATACAATAAATAAAATAAAAAGCAAAAAATGAATATCATTAAAGTAATACGGTCCCAGACCGGTGGATCATCAAAAAATAAGGCATTTTATGAGTATAGTAAATGCATTCATTTTTAAAGTAAAATCGTTCAGTTAGTCATCTACAAGGTAGTGCACGAAAATAATTATATTGGTTACTGTCACTGTAAAACACAGTTAATTGTGCAAATGATTGCCTTGATGAAATTGAAAGGAAATAATAATATTTGAAAAAAAGGGAATTCGGCATGGATCGCGTGAGATATAAACGAACATAACTCCCACGCTTTGATTATATACAATGAGCATTTGAAAAATGAAGGTTAAAAAAATGGATAAACATAAGAACATTTCAAATATGATATTGGATCAATTTTGATATACGCCGTAGATGCGGAAACGCGCACACTCATAGGCATTTTATCATGCAAGCGATTGGTAAAGGATGAAGCGCAATTGCAAAGCAGCGCGTGTCACAGTGACAATAATATGTTTATGTCACACTGCTTGTCTTTAATTTTCGAATGTGCAATTATGTTTATTCTGACCAGTCTTTCATATCCACTCTGAACGGCTTGGAATCAGACCAACGTATCTTGTATTTAGACACGATCTAGATGTACTGTAGTTTCTGAACCCGCCTTGGAATGGTGCAAGTATGAAACAGACGCACATTCAATCACTTCATAAACGCCGTCCTCATTCCATGTGCCGCATGTTGTATTGCATGACTTGTCGGAACCTGTCCGTCGTCAGAACCAGCGTACCAAAATGCTGATTGCATCATTGGTTGATGTTGGTGTTGAGGTAGAGGTGGAAGGGCAGAATGCATCGAGTGCTGGTGATGTATCGAAAACGGATTCGGAAGCGTTTCTGAAGAGGTCGCTTCAGGTGTCATGTTATTTGGTGCCATTGAGAAGGATGGCAAGACGCTTCCGCTTGATGCTAAGGGAAGGCCTGTGCCCGTGGAACTGCCGTTGCTAGGAATTGGAGAAGACAATTCAGTTTTCATTCCTGGATGATGAGGTGTGTCTTGGGCATTTGTTAATGGTGGAAGAGCATGTTGTGCAGGCGCAATAATGTCATATTGTGACGAATTTACACCGTGAGGAGATGTCATGCCATGTGCCGGTGGAGACATTGCGGAAACTGACTGGGATTGTGGCGAATGATCTACTGAATTTGGACTCCATGCTTGTCCATTGCTCCCATTAGCTTCAACTCCATTCGCAGAAGAATCCATCATAGGGGAAGTCATCGATGCTGGTGAGTTTGAATTATTGTTCCCATTGCTATTAGACGACATCATAGGATTGTCTTTGTCCTGCAGTCCCTGTTTCATCAGTTTTTTAAATTTAGATCGACGGTTTTGAAACCAAATTTTTACCTGAAAAATAAAACATATACTCAAGGCTTTTATAAGGAGTACTCATCATTGATCTTCGATCGTTAATGCAATCTGACACGCGCCATGCGCCAACGGCCAATTATGTAATTCAGTGAAGTACTTAATTGGTTTTCTGATGTTATAGTTCAGACATGATAGATATAAAATACTTAGTTCAAGTGTTTCTCTGTACGTTGTCTATAGAATGCTAAACATGATGGACGTTAAGTTAGATATTCAAGTATCCTTGCATTGATACGTTCTTTCAAATGATACTTCAAGAGAGTGGTGACTGATGAACCGTGATGCATTTAAATTCAAAAGTTGATTCAGAAATTTCATTATTTTAGGACTATATAGTCTACTCTAGAACAACTATTCTGAAGTTTCATTTTTGGTAGTTACATTTTTTTCTCCCGTTCATTTTGTGCGTTTGAATACTTGATTCTGTATTTGGTTTCAAAGAGTTATTCCGCTTGCTTCGTATTTTTAATAATAAAATTCGGCATTAATTTTGTATGTCTCATACGACCCATCAAACAGGCGCTTGAAACGTGTTTACACCTCATGCGTTTTGGCGAAAAGGAATTTACTTAAACTTTATATGCGGTGAACAATGAAGTAATATTTCTCTCAAAAATATATATCAAAATATTTTATAACATAAGTCACGAATGGTGCCGAACGCCACTAGATCCTCATATCATATAAGTTTTCATGACCTATTTAGACCGCGAACGCTATTGTATCACGACAGTCAGCGAGTTGTGACAATAATACTTTAGTATATTTGATGTGTAGCGACGTCAAGTAGCTTACCTGAGTCTGTGTAAGGCCAAGTGAAGCGGCAAGTTCAGCTCTTTCTGGCAAAGCCAAATACTGTGTCTGTTGAAATCTCCTATTGAGAGCTTGGAGTTGTAAACTCGAGTATATTGTTCGTGGCTTTCTCATTTTCTTCTTTTTTCCTTTCATTGATACATCTGCGCCAAGATGATTTCCATCTGCATAAGAACACGGTTATTTATTTGGTGGACTTACACATGTTAATATAATATGTACAATAAAAATAAAGTTGCGCTGTAGCGGAAATATAAATATTAAATTGTAATTAGAAGTTATTTAAATATTCATATAAATATCGAGAAACAACGTATTTGAATTTTATTTCTTTACAATTTAGTACAATAGTTTCAATTTATACAATATTTAGTATAGTATGCATACTTTCCGCACAAATGATTGAAGATTACATTAAACGAAAAGTATATTGCAGTTTAGTCATTGTTTACGAATAAAACTTGTGCTTATATATATAAATATTCGTTCAATAACATATCACTTCAGAACACCAAATTTCGACTTTCGAATTGATGACTTTTGTGTCATTGCACAAAAATAGTATATAAATGTGCTTCAATACGTTTATGTGTTCGACTTTGTGGTAATTTTTCATATTCTTCTTAATAAAACCGACTACGTGCCCGGGGCATGGTCATGTAATTTTACGCTGCAAGATCACTTTAACATTATGCGATAGCTTGTAATTGTATCCACCATGGTCATTGCTAAGTCCAATAGATACCGGATGCATCGCACCGAAGAAATTAGTTTATACGGACCTTTCACTTTTATTTTAAATACAATCCTAACGACTATTCGCATCATCGGTCACCGTGTGGAGTTGATAAAACGCTATCGAGAAATATTTCAATTAATGGCGAGTGAAGGAATGAATAATTCGTGTGTTTGTTGCGTTGTTTTCGATATTGCATGACCAGTACGTTTATTGACATGATATAATCTTGTTTCTCAATTTTATTAGTCGCAATGCAACATAATTATCCGAATAAACAGAGAAAATTGTTGTCTTGATCTTATAACGTGAATAAAAATGTCATTAGTACGGGTACATCACCTGAGTTTTTGCCTAACCACATCAAAGTATTGCCGCTGGGATCTTCGTGGATAACTAAAATTGTTGTGCCCCTTGCCTTTCGGCTATTCCACGCCGCCAACTCTATAATTATTTTCAGCGCAGAGCCGAGCGCAGATATAGTCGAAGTGAAGAACACTAATCAAAATATCGAATTTCCCTCTTTGAGATTGTCATGACGATAAGAAATATATTATAGTTTATATATTTGTTTTTTAAGATACGATGTATTGCGTTGATCCTTTCGAAATAACACATGACCCTATGATGTCGCGAAATGATTTTTATTCACACAAGTCACACAATTAATACGTTCTGAGTTAAGTTAACTCCTTCGAATTTTTCACTTTCATAAAATTTGATCCAACCTCTACCCATATCCATGTTCTCATATTACCATTTGTGATAGTTGCAATCAAATCAGATTGTAAACCCGTTTTATTTTTATTTTAAATAGAAGTGAACTGTTATAGCATGACCTGGGAAGCAAAACTAACGAGGTATAGTTCTATTCGCAGATTTCAGTTCAATGATAATGAGTTGGATATCGCATCTGCAACCGCCCTTATTCAAGGGCGAAAAATCAAAATGGCGGATGAGCGAAAGAACTTTTCGTCTCGCATAGGTCATTGCCAGGTTATATGAGTGATATATTCTGATTGCAATGTAACGTAGTTAACGAGGAATAAAATAATGCAAACTTTATAGGAAGATATTTTACAGTATCACATCAAATATTTCATATGATATTACGGAATTGCGTAAAAGTAGAATTCTATATTCAACCGTTATATGCCGCACTTTTATTCGATATTTCGCTATTGTGATTGGTACATCACCCATGACCTGCTTTTTGTGAGAAAGTATGATATATTGTATCCGAGAAAACCGTTCAATAAAGAAGTTTTGACGGACGGCCTCGACACTTGTACACCTTAAAAAGCTACATAGTAGTATATCTTCGGGTATATATCGTGAGTAAATAACTGAGGAAACCGCGAAAGAGATATAGTGGATTTCTAACCCATCATTACCCAATGCTCTTCCAAAGCCCCAGGATATCAACTTCTGGGTCCCTACTCTGTTAGAAACAAATTCACACGAGGATTCGAAATGGGTAACACCGTTGCTCGACCCGTAACCACCTCGTCGTTCGTTCATGTGCTCAATTTCATTGCCATTCGTGTATCTTATACGTAATCTATAGTTCAATTGTAATATAATACAAAAAATGCTTAGTTAACAACATGATGAAATATTATACTCCTAAACGAATTTAATGTTTTTATAATTTCTTTTGCTGTTTGCGTAGTTGTATATACTTATAAACCATGTTTTAATTAGTTCGGTACCTTCTCAAGTGAAACCAAGATAGAAGGTCTTGAAGAAAATTCGCGCACAAATAACGGCGCCACGTATATACTAACCTTTTCAAAAGCATTTCTTTTAAGCCGGAAAGATTAATATTATTCGATGACTATTTTAGGACATAGTAAGATCCCACCATTTTCGCGATAAGTTGATAGATCGAAGTTGATCAAAGTCTTATTACTTTATATATCTATATTCTTTAGAAGTTCTAAAAGTGTTACTTTATAGATGCATATTGTCGCTAAACAAAGAATTTTGCCATGCTCACGATTCCCCACATTGCATGAGTAGTTTAGGTGCGCTTTTCCGTTTTCAGGCTGAGTATATCAATGATTATTGTCGATAAGAAAATTTATACTTTCAAATAATATTTGGGCAAAATTATCAGTTTCTTCAAGTAGTGCGAAACTATAAAAATCTGTCGTTAATTGGTTGTCTGCACGATCGTCCAAATTTTGCCTATGCCGTATCCGTAACGGAATTTGAAACTGGAATGGAAGTAATTGAGATAATAAGCGAGAAACTGTGTGATTTACCCATTAGAAAACCGCAGATGACGTACAAATATTTTACAATGTGTTGAATAGCAATTAAAACAGCCTCACTGCGGTATACATGTTTTGGTACAGAACATCCACCCCGTTTTGTAACTTATCTTTAATATGTCACGATTGTCCTTTGATAATATTTTTCGGTATTAATAAATTCGGTAATGCGCCAGATTTGCTTGCAAATCTGCGCCGCCTTTTAAATATAAAACAATGTTATCTTGAAAAATTACTCTAATGATATATATTTGATCTGAAATGCTTTGGTGTTGGATAACCAAGAGATGCCAGAGTGGTATAAATGTCTTAAACGCACGGGCGCACACTCTGAATTTCTAATGAGTAATAGGACACATCAGTAAATAACTATGGCTATTCATGTTTACCCACGCAATTAAGAAACTTTCGACCTGGGTGAACATAGGGCACCGCACCAGATCTGGGTAAAGAGGCCACCGGATTTGCGTTAACGCCTTTTCAAAGCGGTATACTTTGAGGATAGCGCTTTCAGGCTGTATATTCTTTTATTATCCCTGCCCACTCGATACTTCGCCGGTCGGTTGCGATTCCGTTGTTTATATGTTTGAAGCAGGGTAATGCACGAGTAACCAAGGCACACAAAACGAATCACTACTAAAAATACCATTAAAGGGGAAAGTTAAATCAAATCGCCCGTTGGTGAGCTCCAATGCATCAAACCTTATGATTTTACGAACATACTCAAAATGAGGAGAAACGAACATCGGTTTGAGCACGAAACTATTGTCTTCTGTTAATATCCTATACGTTCAATTTTTTACCCGAAGGATTAACCGTCGCTGACGCACCTGGATATAACCAGCTTAACGGTCCAAGTTTCACGTCGGAACATTGCTCTTTTGATTCGCAGTAAACACGACGTTGTTACTTCGTATTTTGATTGGAGCAAATTTTCTCCAGATTCTAACGCAATGTATATGATGAATTTGCGTGATGTCGCTTGTAATTTTACACACTGTCGCAATATTCGAACAGTTCAACTAAAGTCAATAATATTGTTTTCAGTGAAGTGATGGCTTGATGATCATTACTATTTTCACAGATTAAAGATCTTCGATAACTTTCTTGTTAGTTTGGGAACCAAACTGTACTTCACCCGTAACCTTGCGCGCCCAGACCTTTCTCTACGATGGGTTGTTTAAGGCTAATCACAGACCTCGGACAATTTTTGTTTCTTGCTTTGATAAACTATTTATTGTTCATTATAATTCATTAGCCATCTTCAAATCTATTAATTCATAAATAAACACCATCGGGTTTATTGAATAAAACAAATTAAATTGGCGTATAGTACGAAAGTAACTTGAGTGCAAGGAAATATCCACGTAATGCCATATCACGTGTACTAACTAGTAATTGTATGAACAAATATTAGTATAAACGACGTTAAGTGGTCTAAATGACAGGGATTTGTGTGGCATAAGAGATGTTTAAAGCACCGGTAGGTGTCGGTATGGTTAAATGATTACATTTTTATTATTATAGTTTGAAATTGTAGACAATTCGGTAAGCTAAATAAACAATCGCTGTGCTAATCCAATTGTAATATACGATTAAAAAACTTCTTTAAAGTACATAATTAATCAATAAGTTTCGTAATTATCGGTCATCAGAGGATTAGCTAACTTTATACATTACATGTACATTTCGATACAGTGTTGCAGCAATGTTAGCGATAATTGTTAACAGTTAGAAATACCGTAACATTCTTTACGCGCTGAATGCATACTTTATAAATACTTTGCATAAAACACATACTATTAAATACTTTGCACTATTCAAGTATTTTTAGTTATACCTATTGGTCTGTTTGCCAGTCTATTGGTAAATTTGGAAGTTTTAAATATTTCTTCGGTTACAGTGCCTATAATTTTTGAAAGCGCGTTGAATATTTGACTATTTGTCCGTTCTCGAAATAAAATAAAATGGCAGAAATAAAACGTAGGCGCTGAGCTTTGTATTTTGTATTGCCGCTATGGATTGACGTATATCTTACTAACAAAGACTTGGACTTTCCTTTGATAACCTATTTTCGGCGTAGTTTCCAATTACTTTCTTTTTCGGGGGATGTCAAAAACATTGCCAAGATATTATCTATGACATTATTTTTTTCATGATTCATTTTTATACCGTCACGTGTCAACTTTAGACTACGTAGCAATATCGTCTAGTTTTATCGTTGAATCATGTACGTCGATACATCATCCGGTACATGATTGTTATCAAAGTGACAGTTGTCATTTGAAATTGATATGAGTTAGATTTAAAAAGTTTCTGGATATATGAAGCAGTTTATACATCACAAAAAAAATCAGTAAGGGACAATATGTAAATATTTATGTTTTAACAAGATAATATTATCTCCGGTGATGTACGTCTACCATACATTACATTTACAAGACGATGAAGTTTTAAACAGAGGCAGTAGAAGCAACGCAACAAAAACAAAACAAAATAAGGTTACATGCATATGTGCTTGTTGTTTGGTAGTTGTGAATCAATCAAAAAGCAATAAAACATAACATTTTAACAGTTACTGCACATCCACAATTTCTATGAATTCATTGTCAATATTTTTAAAGCGGTTTGTTCCACTTATAATCTTATTCTTCGTCGCTGCATATATATACATATATATTTATAGTTTAGATCTCCAAAGCTTATGGTTATCGGTTGGCACGATTTATTGAACCCATTCGAAATGACGAGGTCAGATAAACATCATGAAATATGAGAATCCAAGGAAACATGAATTTTGTACAAGAACTTTCTACAGATGACTAATTCAGTGTTTGGAACTTTTATAATATACTATAATGTTAACAAAAAAGAAATTGTTCGATTTAGCATTCGATTTTCCCAAATGTATGTTTGTATTTATTCAGGTGCATGGCATCTTACGCTGTATATTTGTTACTATATGTAATCGTGCAGCTAAATATCATAATCAAAATATTATTATTTGGGTCAACGTATAGCCTAATATATTTAATGTATTGTAGAACTTTCAACTGGTTTTAGGGGTAGAATGAGGTATTTTTAATGGTTTAAGATGTTACGTTCTCTTTGAAGAGGCCGTATAGAAAATAGCAATGGTTATCGCCAACCATTTGGTTTGTTTTTCTATCGTGATTATAAATTATCTTTTTGAGCGATAAAACGATAAGTGTTGTGTATTCAGCCCGAATTATTAATTTTGCTTACTGTATCATGTTATAATTTATGTTGATGTTATGTTATGCTATTTCTTATGATTTTTAAACCATTGGCGTGATAATATTAGAAAATGTGGCCTATACCATAAACAAATTATGTATTAAAAATATATCTCTATATCATTTTGATCAAGAAATAAACCACTATACTAGTGAGGTATAGAACACGATCAAGTATATATATTATACCAGCTTTAACTGATTGATTTGATACTCAATACTAATAAACATTTTATCGTACAAATTCATGCCACCTGTTTCCCTGTTCATATTTTACACAAGATTTGTGAGCGAGGTGAATATTTTGGAGAAACGCAAAAATCATCTTATTACCACAATTAGATTCATTGTACCAGGTACTAGTACTAAAACATTCAATGCGCAGGGTTTAATAGCTATTGTAATGCATTTGAGCGCTTTGACTTCGCACTAAAAAATACAGACGGCTTAATATATTTTTTTTCAACTGATAAATTTTCATTAGATTGCGTAGATCGTCGCATAATGCATTTGCAAATTTACATTTTAGGAATTCACGTTATCTTGCTGTATAATTAGAATTGAATTATTTGTATTAAAATGCATAGTATGTCATTTAAATTTATCCCAGGGCCAATTCTGAACTTGGTAGTTATATGCGACTTGCTACTATTCCCCATCAACATGGTACACATGTTACATTCATGTAGAAAACCAAAAAGTATTACGAAATAACATGCAACATGGAGTATTTTACAAATAATTTACCTTGGTGTAGAACAACGGCATCTCCAAGTCCACAGTTTGGATACTGGTTCATGATGCTTCCATACGCATGCCCTGCACTTCCGTATGCTAAGCTGTGAAATCCTCCTGATGGGGAGCCCAGAGAGTGTGCCGGAGGACCTGATGAATACCCACCATGCAGACTTTGTGAATGTGAGCCGCTGTGTCCAACCGGACTTCCAGCTGAAGCAGCAATTGGCGGTCCTTGACCTGGTACACTTTGAGGAGATGCATAATGAGACATGTAGGAGGAGGCTGGGCCGCTGTAACCACCAGCAACTGGATTTCCGAAACTTGCTGCCCCACGAGGATTTCCAAAGTATCCTGAAGCAGCGGCTGCTGCTGCTCCAGAGTCATAGCCATAACTGTACGCACTCATTTGGCTTTCTGTGTGCTGCAAAATAAACGAAAAATCTCTGTTATATCACCATATCATCTCTTATATCGCACTTTAAAATCTTTATTCAACTTCTCCACTTGGGACCAGTTTCATTCACATCTTTGTTGTTTGTAATATCGTCTAAATATTGATAAACAACTTGATTTGGAAATCAAATATCCTGCACACCAAAACATAATATATACTTAACATAGTTTACATCTTTCTTTGTTTTTATTGATTTTGCCAGTACCTAAATTTGAGCGACCAATTGCGCGATTATGATTTATGCACTTGGCCGTTATGACTTTATAATATTGAAAAATGTATCTTGAAATGTCCAGTGTATGATTTAATGAGCTATCGCTACTTGTCAATAAAAATTGTGGTTAATGGGTATTTATTTTACAAATGTTCAACTTGTCGATGACCATGATAAAGCCAAGTTGTCGCGAATCACATAGACAGCGGTACATTTTATGTCAAAACAAACACGACGGAAGAACATTATCGAACCGCCCCCGATAAAAGCATCTGACTCAAGCAAACGACATAGCCCGGGGCAAAGAAAGGCACTCAATGATCGATACCAACTGTTCGTCTTTACTTTTCTGTTGCTATCAACACAATGTTCTGTATGATCAAAGAGCCGCCACCACGTACAAACTTGACTGGCTTGCGCTGATTTGTTATCACCGAAAATGTTTATTTATGTAACACTTTATCTGTCACTTGGTGTTATTTCATTGTTACCACAGAGTCGTCATATTATCAAATGAAAGCCTAAAAAAGCACAAAACGGATATTCATCAAATTTTATTCGGAAACACAATTAATATTATCGCAAGAAAAGATGGAGTCAAGCAACCTGAATGTTTCGAATTGCTGTGGTATTTTTGCAATCCACAGTTTATTATTTTTACAATATGAAAACTGTATATACGCCCTATGTGTTTATTTGTGATAAACTCCTATGTTTGTAAGTGACTCATTTTGAACATAGTTAACAAAATAAATTCAAATAACTTGATACCATCACGATCCGAAAGTTAGAGCTTATAAGAAGTGTTTGCAAGCGCAAAACAAAAATGTTTTTTTTTAATTTAATGTTTAATTTAATTACACACCAACAACAAAAAAACTGTATGACTGTCCATCTTTTCCTTTAATAACAAAAAATTCTACAGGAAACAGTGCGATTTATTTCTTTTATTGTGTTCTAACCAGAAGGCTATATATTATAAAGCTCACAGCTTTGGGTAATAATTTAGGCCAAGTGTTAATGTTATTTTACTGAACTTTTGACTCATATTGTTGCACGTGACCGATATCGTTGGATTGGTTAGATAATCAACTTGATAAATGCATGTGTCAATATAAGAAATGTCACATATAATAATTATAACTTACAAAGAATTAAATTATTGGAACGCGACCGGAAACATTAAGTGTCGTAAAAATGGCCGGTATTGAATTTACATTGTCGAAGGTGTAAGCGGCATTCTTTTAAATATAATTTATTTGATGTGTAATGTTGTCGTCAACTACCAATAAAACTAACTCCTTCCATTGTTGTCATTTTATTTATGTTTGATGATTATGCTATCTACACATTACAAAGTTTGAAAGAAAACAAATATTTTTTAAATTTTTTACTTACCATCACCATTTCTTAAAAATCGTAACACTGTCGGGGATCTTCTGTATTTCCCTGGTAATGATCTTTAGACTTGTTTTCTTGTGTAAACTAATTTATATCGTATGTTGAATTCGCTCGAATCGCTAATAATTACTTGATATCGATTCCATTTAGGTTTAAATATCTGTTAAATTAATAATATTATTGTAATAAATCTTAATTTATTGTTTTTGTATTTACGACAAAATACATAAATTCTAGTTACAATGTAACTACGTCTGACCGTAACCAAACATCACACCGTATGACGAGCGCATAAAATGGCGCAACGCTTAAAGCGTCTTTGAGATCCTCCACCCATTCTCTCGAAATTGATAACAAAATGGCGGATCGTAGGTCAATTTCATTTCGACTCAAAACGCTTCTCATATGAAGTTAATGTTTCTGTATAAGCCTTGAACCTTTCAAATGTTCAATTGTTTAAAAATTGATTTCATGGTTATACGAACGACGTGTGTCATGTCCTACTAGCAGTCATTCTAAATGCCGAACAACACATCCGATCATGTCGTAACCGCCTGGTTCTGCTTCTTTTCGTTGGTTTTGTTATTATTTCCTCACCTGATTAATATCACGCGTAAAGTATCATATTAGTAACATCAAATTGCTATTGAAAATATGACTACATTGCTAGGAATAAAAATGGTCTATTCTTGAACTATTTACCTTTAGGCCTCGCCACTGTCTCCGACATTCGTTTGTGTGGATGTATGGTTCTGACCCACGTCCTAACTATAAAGGTGTTATCATGTATAATTTATAAGCCTTACAAATGAAAATACCTTCTAACATTTCTTAGCGTATGATATGACTCCACTGGCGTTTTACAAATGATCAAAGTTGATCGGGTCATTTATTTATTTAAAACCTCATTCTTCTTCTTAAGAAAACTATGAAACATTATCGTTACAAGTTTCTACATAGGTGATCTGCGCGTATTCTGAAATTGTGCGGCGACTTGTAATATTATGGGCTGCTTGCTCGTTTACACTTGACTAGACACCGGGCACTACAGCTTGACTGGGGGTAAATATCGCCCGGTACGAGATTTCAATTTATAATACTTTGATGCCCCATCGTTAAAACTGCAGGTGTATTTGCCATCGCTTTCACCTCGGTTTGTTTGCATACCTGGCAAGTCTCCCATTTTTGCTAACCTAATAAGAAAAATTGAATTTCACGGATGAATGATTTTTTAGAAAAATAAAGAATATTTAATCCAAACAATGTGTGCTACCATAATTATTTCTTCAAACTCAAACTATCTAATGTTTTATTACCTAAATTCAAAAGTAACCATAAACTCAAGGATATCGTTACTTTGTTCAAAATATTTCTGTACTTGGAATGCAACTGATACTATACAGCTCGGTAATGCTCGCATACTACATTTCGTATCTGACGTATAAAACAAACACTCATAATTTCATGCAGGTGACTATCGTGTTTTTTCTAAGCATCATACCACCATTTGATTAGTTCTTTTCGAGTATATCGATAATTCCCGTTCCACTTATTCATACGAGGCTCAAGTGGGTCTTCTTTTAATAACCTTTCTCTACTGACATCGTCTATTCGTCCTGCGTACCGGAGTCGCCAGGAAAATCGTTTTGTGCCCTCAGGTCACGGCAAGATGAAACGAAATTTTATCCCAAGCAGGTTTTCGCAGTGAAGTCTCTTCCTTAGATACTTGTACATACAATTGACCGTAACAATATCTCGTACTCTTCATTTATTTTTTTGCGGACGAAGTACGGTAGAAGGTTTTTATTGTTTGTTGAACAAGTATGCCACGGTCATCCACCGATCAACGATTTTGACCAAGCAATTTGTAAAAAAAATTCGTGACAAACAGTAATTCTTTCTATCAAAAACAAATTGTCGTGACATTCTCATGGCAATAGATGTTATCGCTCACATATGTCTACCCAGCATCATTTGTTATATCTTCAAAGGGTTGTGGCACGCTCCCCTCGATGTCCGTCAAATCTATCTAGATTTGAATCACCGTTTTGTGCGCACATACTTTCAACGTATATGCGATACTTGAAATGATTCATGTCATTGCGTGTTATATTTTTCATTCATTTTCTCCCATACTTCTCCCACGTAAAAGGTACAGAACATACTGCCGTGTCATTGATACATATGCATGAATGTCAAGTTCGCCAACGCATTGATATCAATTTCATTAAGAATGTAATTTTTTTGCTTGATTGTTTCACCTATTAAATACTATTCTTTTTTTTTAAACCATACTTCATCGTTTTAATAATGTATTATACTCATAAACGTGTGTAACGGAATATTGATGCATATATTGTCAGTAAATATATAATACACCGTAGATAGATAGAATCTATAACTTAGTTTCGTAATTACTTACAAAATGTGATTTTTCTTAAATGAAAATACAAAACATAGCACAACGCTTATTGATTTGAATCTGATACATACATACATATACTCAGTTATTTTTTCGAATAAAAAAGGAAAAGTGTCAACATCTTCCCGGTTTTCTAGGAAAGTTGACTTACCATACCTGCCTATGTTTCCTAATAACTAAGCCTTCGTTGACCACAATTATTAAATTCGTTTATGAACTTTGACGTCATCTTAATAATTGGTTTTGTAAAATCAAATCAAAGATAAAGCCGTGGCGAGATCACATTGCGATACAATAAAAACCATACTAATGAAGTTATGTTTAGACGGCGGAAACAAGCTGATTCGAATCAAAGTATGTACATAAACATACTGTCGTTGTGCTTTGTAGCATGGTAGGCGGGGTTTTGCAATCTACTGAAGTAAACAAACACGTTAAAGAACAAATAAACTTATTTAACAATAACAAACCAAAGCCAATCCAATTCAGTAAAATAACAATGATCGTACAATTTTTATATGATGTAAACTACATGGCCTTGACTTCCGAATCATGAAACCGACATAACCCGCAAAAATATATCGCTGGGAATAGCTCTGACGATCGCTACACTTAATTAATAGTTTGGAAACGGAACAAGATTGACCGCAACACGTCGATGACAGCAAATGAGTCTTTGGCATTCGCCAAGCATCGATTTTTTAGCGTCCTAATTATAACTTTGTCGAGTTCAGTATGTGCGTGTAACAAGTAATTAGAAAATCGAACATCCCGTCCCGACCAAATGAATTTGTCGCTGCAACCCAAGACAAAATTAATATGCTTCGTGATTGACTGTTTTTGGAAAAGAGGAAAAATTAAAATACAGCGTGGTTCGATCATTTTCGATTCAAAAAATATTTTAATATATTCTTTCCACGCCATTGAATTGAACGAGGTTTGGCAGTTTTATTGGTCTTTTCGGAGCAAAATATGTTCTGGTTTCCGGCGCGTATGTCGTCCCCAAATCTTTGTACGAAAATATTGCTACATTATGTCATTGACAAAATGGAGGTAAGTTTGCCAACTCCGTAACGGGGAAAGGGCCTAATTGTACAGTTTTTAATGTTATTGTATATTGCTACAAAAATTTAGTTTACATTCATTTTCAAAATGTTACGTTTGAAATCATTCTAATTTTAATTTCACTTATAGTAGAATATGTATATTGTATACATTATTTCAATTCATTCGATTTTATCGATACATTCGGCAAAATTGAATACCCATGGTTTGTTGTGGATTCGACCTTAAAAAAATTATTTTACCAGCGTATTTCAGCAATCTGCATATTATCCATAGCAATTCGGACATTCGTGTTATCGTTGACTCTATAGCTTTAACGAATTCTTACTTACTGCAATATTTCTCATAATGTTCTTGTCTAAATACCTACTGCTGTTTTGTCCTGTGTCTGGCCTTTTCGTTCTTATTTGACACGATGACGCGATGCCAAATTCAACCATTTTGTTTAGGCGCGATACTATTATCTTGTCTTTCATTGTATCACAAGTAAAATGGAAGGTTATATATATTTTGAAAAATTGTTATAAGCAAGTACAATGTCAAATATTGTCATATGTGTATTTTTACTATTTACTGCTTCATGCACCAATTAAACGCAAAACTTGTTCTTATATATACATCATGATAATTAAAATAAGAGGTTAAAGTGTTCGACTGTAAATAAACTATTATTTTAACACATTAACCGTTCGACGATTGAATTTGAGGAAATGATAATTGCTTATAGTTTTACAAGTAGTAGCCGCAAAAAGTAATCGTTCTGTCATTTTGTTTGCTTTTAATATGAAGCAAAAAAAAACTAAATTGTTGATATAGAAAAACATTAAAATATTTAAAAAAAATTATAACTAAATTATAGATTAAAATGATAAAAATGATATATTTTAAAATATTATAACTGTATAATATATATTTTAATTTCATGTAATTTTTGTTATTGACTAATATTGCCCTCTTTATCTGATTTAATGCAAAAAGTTGCTAAATATTAGAAAAAAAGAACGAACAATATTAGAACAAAACTAAACGTAAATTAATAGAATAGTACGGAGGCGTGGATGTTCCACATTAAAGCTACCGCCTATTCATTTTATTACGTTCGGACAGGCGCGACTTTTGGGCCAAGTCGTTTCCACGAAGATTACATTGTAAGTACAAGGAAGCCGGGGATAAAGTCAAAGACAGAGCACGACATTTGTATTAGCTGATCTGAAATTAACCCAGTGACGCCTTTCTTTCCTTTTGTTTCTTGTAATACTTTGTAGGCTTTTATAAACAGAAAGCATTTCATTTCAGGGCTGTAAATTAGATACATTTTTCAATTTTTTTTTATTACCTTTTATTCAGTTCCTTTTAAATTTGAGCGTTGGTCAAAGCGGGTTATATTTTATCGAAGCGCATGCTTCTATTGTTTCAACTTTTTGTACAATGCATGACACATCATCGATAAATAGAGCTCAACATTTTCGCTACAGATTTAGTCTGGTATCGTCTGGATTACAACTTCTTACATGCCTAATTCTCCTGAGGCATTATGAGCCCGTTTGGATTAACTACTATTTGATCACTATAAGGTCAGGCAGATTTAAAAAAAAAAAAATTAATGAATTATTTGTCTTCAATGATTTCAGATATGAATTTTCCATGAGATTCCCAAGCAAGAAACCTGGCATGAATATGGCGATA